CGAGCGGAATTAGTAATAGGAACGGCGATATAGCCCTTAGAGAAGCGGTACTAAGCTAATAGTCGGAAAGGCGGTATTAGCTTTTAAATATACGCGCCGGTAGTACCTATAAACGAAAACCGACATAAGATAACCCGAAAAGAAAACGACCGATAACCCCGAGAAAACGTAATTTAAACGGTAATTTCGAGATAAAAGAACGACGAAATCGACGAAATCTACGGCTAAAAACGGCGGAAAATTTTTTTCTGGAAAAAGATAATAAAGCGCTAGAGTATAACGCTCGTCGAGAATCAAGAACGCCCGAGGCGTAATATAAAGAAGGAACGGCGTTAGAATAGCGACGAAACGATAGGTTAAGCTAGGATAATAATACTTCGATAAGGGTACTAAAGGTACTAGCGGTTTACGGAGAAACTACCAGTCTCTTAGCATCGATAAAGGCGCTAGCGGCGCTAGTAATAAACGGAAGGACGCGCCCCCGCGCGCCTTTAGGCGGAGCCCTTTAAACTCCGCTAGCGGTATACGGATAAACGATAGTCTTTAAACGAATAGGAACGGCGTATTATTAATACGTCCTCCGGCGGGGCCTTACGGCTCCGCTAGTAATACGAAAGGATAGACCCCTAGCCTTTAAACGGAAGGATAGGCCCCTAGCCTTTAAACGGCGGAAGAGACCTAGGCCTTTTAGTAATAGACGGAAGGGCGCGCCTTAATACGCCTTTAAGCGGAGCCCTTAGCTCCGCTAGTAAACGATAAACGATAGTCTTTAAACGAGTCGGACGGCGTGCTTTAGTACGTCCTTTAGCGGAAGATAAACGAAGGTCTTTAAACGGCGGTAGACGAACCGACGATTCCGTAGCTACGGAAGCTAGGCTAAACCTAGCAGGCGCTTATACGTAACTTCGTACGCGGGGCTTTAAAGCTTTACGGTTTAACAAGAGGATCAGAACTAGTAGCCCTCGGGGAGTAGTAATACCCCGGGGAACGAAGATAGTAGCCCGGGAAGCGGATAACGTAACCCGGGAAACGGCGAAGGAGAAAAGGCTCTCGGAAGGAATAACTACCGGAAAAGCGTACCCGGTAAGCGAAAAAACCCGGAAGACCTACGGAGGAAATCCCGGGGAAAAGTAGGACCCGGGGAAAGAGCGCCGGGGGGCTAGAAGCGCCCGGTATAATACCCCGGGAAACGAAAGGCCCCGGAAAGGAAACGGCGAAGGAAGAGACCCCGGGGTATAGTATAACCGCCGGAAAGGAAAAGGAGAATAAGGCCATACCCGGGGGGCATTAATACCCCGGGAAACGTACGAACGGAAGGAGGCCTAGGGATATACTAATACCTTAAGCGGCGGAATTAATAACCCGGGGAGTAAGTAACGTACCCTAGGAAACGGAAGCAATACCTAAGGATACGGTACGTATCCTAAGGCGCGAAAAGAAAACGGGTTAGGTTATTAGGGCTAAACGCCGAAGAAAAAGGGCGGCAGGACTAAACGCCGAAAAAAAGGACGGTAGGGCGTACTTTTTTTTTCCAGGAAGGGACCTTATATAATAAGCTACGCCTATAGTAAGGCCCTAGCTAGTACCAGGGCTTAGTACGTAATTAATACCTACGGCGGATAAGGCTAGTTATCGCAAGTACGGCCTACAGGGCATACTTTTTCTCCTTTTTCTCCTCGTCTAGCTTTAGTTTATTAACATACGGCTTTTACCCAGCGAACAGCTCTTAAAACCGTGACACTTTTAGCTTATTTATTTAGCTATAAAACGTTTCTTCATTAAAAACTATATCCCTAGTTAGGATTACTTTACCTAGCCTAGGAACCTAAATTCGGTATAGGTTACTAGTATAATATCCTATTAAATACCCGATATAAGCTCGTAGGTTTACCTTAAATCCTCTCTTATTAAGATCCTAAGTACGCTTTCCTATTAAAGGATACGCGCGATACCTATATATATAAATACCGTTTTAATCCGGTCGTAGGTCGCTCGTTAGCTCCCTTATTACCTCTAGAGTATACTATCTAAAGTACTACTTAAATTAGATATTTAAAAGCTCGTAAGGTATACGAAGATTATATACTTAACTAGGGCTAATATTAATTAGATATACCGCGGCTTTAACGGTTTCCGGCTATAGTTTCTTTAATAACCTTACTTTAATCCTTATCTTAATCGATTTAACGATAATAATTTATTTAACTCTCTTACCCCTACTTATTAACTCCTTAGTATTAACCGGCGGGAGTTCGAAATTAATGCCTTCTTTTACTACCTAAATCTTATATCCGGATATACCTTTAATGCTTATTATTAAACGCTCGTTATCGTAACGTATCTTATAAATTAAGAGTCGGAATTACTTCCGAACCTATCTTTTAAAGAATCGAAGAGTTCTTATTACTAGTAAACCTTACTTACTCTTTAAGGTCTTAACCTATAACATTCTGCTAAATTTATCCCTAATTACTATAAGCTACTTAAATCCGTCGTAACCTTCCGGGTAGTTAAATAAATCCTAATATACCTTTTAAAAAGAACGTAACGAGCGATATATTAATAAACGGCGCGAGATTACTCTCTTACCTATCGCTTAACTATAATATTCGTACTTAATTATAGGTATACCGTTAATCTTAACGTTCCGGGCGTTTTTAATGAAGGCTTTAAACGCCTTAGGATTAAGATACCTTACTCGCTAGTATTAAAATGCCTCGGAGTCTTTTCTCGGTTTAATAGTATCTCTCGATCTTCTCTACCGGACGTTTCTTTCCGGGAAATAAGGTATTACTACGATTAACGCTACGCTACGTAGAATACTCGATAGTATTATAAATAGTATTATAAGTAAAACTTACGAATAAAAAAAGAACTACTTAAATTCGAAAAAGACTAGGTTAAAACGTCGCTCTAGCTTCCTTACTATAATATTTTTCTCGAAGGTTCCATTCTTTAAAGTATAATCTAAACCGTAAAACTAAATACCTATACTACGAAGTTTCGCCTCTAAGATAATATTAACGTAGAAATCTTTAATAAGTACGACGTCTTTAAGCTTTAAATTAAAGGTAGGCTTATTAAATTAATTTAAGATATACTTCTCGATAATCTTACGACCCGTACTAATAATAAGAAAGCTCGTAGTACTAGCTTCGACCGTTTATTTATCTTTAGCGGAAACGAACGACCCCTTTATTAAAAGGTTACGATTATTAATAAAGTAAATTACTCTATAGTTATCGAAGACGGTACTTTCCGATAATAAGTATCGGACTAGGTTTATAATAAAATAAATCCCTATCTAAGTAAATAAGTATATAATACGTAGGTCGATTATTATTACGCTAATATTAATTAATTAAGTAGTAGCGTTATTTCCTCTCCCGTTTCCGGAGCGATTATTAAGTATATTATTTACGGAAACGTCCTACTCCTAGCGGTTAATTTAGTTTCGGAGCTTAGCGTACTTAGGTAAATCGTATCTAGCTTTGATTTTTCGTATAATATTAACCGGAATCGGCTTTAGGTTACGTATAGTTTAATTAGTAATAGATTTTTATAAGGTTTTATAAAAGCGAGCTACCTATAAATATGGTTTACCTTTAGACTTATAAAGGTATTCGTAGCTCGTTACTTTTCCTTAGCCGTTATTATTACTTAATTTCGCTCTTAAAATCGGTCCTTAGTAAGCTATTACGAAAATTTTATAACCTAATTTACCTTTTTACTTATTCTCGGTAGCGAAAGCGTTAAATACGATACTTAATTACTTAAGAGTCTTTAATTATTCGCCGAGTTTATTAGCTTTAATAAGAGTAATTAATATCTATATAACCTAATCGATTACGATCTTAACCTTAACTACTTCGAGGAAATCCTTTGCTCTTATAACGCCCTTAATCTCGTTAATATAATAAGCGCGAGCGTAAAGGAAGGTATATTACTATATAACGTAAAATTACTCGGGATTATAAGTACCTACCTTTACTCTCTAGAGTATCTTACGGTATTCTCGCCTAACGAACGTCTTAATAACGGCTTCGGTAGGAGCTATTTACTTACGGAAGATCTTTACGAGGTTTTAAATAGTTAGGTTAAGGTTTAGGAACTATATCTCTATATTAACTACCTTAAGAAAGCCTATAGAAATAAATACGAAAATCTAACCATAGAAAACCTTATATTACTTATTAATAGCTATAATTTAAGCCTCGATCGTTATTTACTAGAAAACGAACTTATTATACGCTACCGTTTATTACTCTCGAGTTCGATCCTTAGGCCTTAGTAGTTAATCTCTTCGGTCTTTAGTTAGGATCGACGCTTATTCGTAAACGGCTTTCTTATAGTTTTCTTTAAGAAGTTCGTTCTCTTAAGTAATATACTCCTTAAAAATACCTACTACGACTCGAATAGCGTTAAACTTAGCTCCGTTTAGATTAACGTCCTTCTAAATACTAAACTAAATAACTATTAACTTAAGCGTAAGGAACTAACGTAGTTATTTATCGTAGGCTCGTAAGTAAACGTTAATAGGAATCTTATCTAAGGAGAATTCGGACGTATTAATCATTATAGCGAAATAAGTAAGCGATTATTTATTATTAAATACGGAAGTAGAGTACCGGTATAGAAATAAGAAGGGAATATAATCGTAAGATCTAAGAAATAAATAAATATATATTACTTACTTACGTTAAAATAACCTAAGTAATAATAGCTCCTTAAAAGTATCCCGGGCTTATAATTATTACGTAACTAGCGAAAGCTAAGCTTAGGTTAATAGGTTATTCGTAAAGGAAGTAATAAAATACGGATAAGAAGGTATATATTAACTAACTAAAAAAGAAGGAAAGCTATTAAAGAGTATAGAGCGATCTATAGGTATATATAGTAGTGCTTAACTAGCTTAGGTAAGCTAGGTGGTTCCTACTAGGGGTGCATGCCTACGTGACAGATATATAGGACCAAAATACTACGCGTAGAAGCTCTCGCGGTTGGGTACAGATAGATTATATTAACCCTTATTTGAGTCAATAGCTGTAACTAGGTACCTAGGGTTCGGTGCTGAGGCCATCCAAAGCAATCACCCAATTGCGGTTGCATCATCAGTGCCTCCCTAATGCTCTGCTTTGGCTCCGATCCACCAAAATGATTGACGCTCCAGCCCACAACAACGGAGTACAAGTGATCTGAAGCACCAGCTCCAGCCAATACTCACAGCTGTATTATCCGAGTCTATATCCTCTTCTTTCCAATTCAGTGACCCTCTCGGTTCCATCGTACGGTCCCTACACCTATCAGTATCTGGCCTCTTTTCCGTTCGTGTCGGCTGGTTCGCCGAAGTTTTTCCCCATCGCCGACGAATAAAACCCCTTTTCGAGCTCGTCTAACTGCTGGCGCTCATCTTCTATATCTCTCCCGTTCCTCCCCCTCAGGAACAGGATTAGCCAGCCGACGACGACGAGAAACATCATGGGCGCGGAAATTTCGAAGTAGAGGAACAATCGATCTCGCTCCGTAACCCAGCTATAACCCTGGCCGGGCCCGTTGCCGTCCCCCGAGTCCTGCCACCGCAATATGCCGCTGCTGAAGAATGTCTGCCGAGTCATGAGAGCCACGCACATGTCGAGTATAAGTAGAATGCTTACGGCGAGGAAAGTTCCTGGTAGAAACACGAGTGTAAATACGGTGATCGCATGCATCGACACCGTTTGGTGGCCTGTTCTGAGGGCGACGTCGTGCATCTTCTCCGTCATGACATGCATCCTAGCAGCCATCCCGGTGGTGAAATTCGTCGATATTTGCGCGTTCTTCGCGAAGTGCTTGCTGGCCTGCATATTGGCATATTGCTGGGCTGTGTGGAACTAGAAGTTATTGTATCAGTTGCCGGGAGCAAAGGGAGCGGCCGTCGAATCTTAAACCCACCAAATTGCACCGATCTTTTAGTAGGATACTCAGCGTCTCTAGTCTCAGCTGCTGTATCCCGAGCTCTTTCTCGACACCGCGGGCCTTTTCCTGAAATCCCGCCACGGCCGACTTACAGCCACCCTTGATCTCACAAGGAAACCCGTCGCCTTCGGTTATAGTGGCGTAATATTCGATGATATCTTCGATGACACCGCGATTTAGTCTCAACACCATGAGCGCTTCCTGCAGGTGTTCTCCCAGATGGTGTAGCCCCTGTAGCTTTTCGAAAGAGAACACGCGTTCTACGTTGTCGTTGTCATTGTCGTTTCTATTGTCGATCTGCTCGGGTTCTTCGACGATTTGGTCGGCGTGGGTGGGACGCATCAGTTCCGTCTCGGTCACCGTCGACGTTTTCTCCCCTTTTGACATGGACGGAAACCTAATAAGAGAGCTCCACTTCTGACTTAACGGAGAAGACGGTTGCGACTTGGAGGTGGTTGCCCGTGTGCTCTTTTGGTTGATAAACGTGCCGGGCCTGCTAAGAATTGGCACGCTAGACGGCCCAGTGAGGTTGTCGACATCGACTATCAGGACATCCCTTGCCCCTTTTCGAAGTCTCTCGTCCAACTCATTAACGTAGTCTCTCCACTGCCCACCACACCACTCTATCACCTGAAAATGGGCTGCGAGTGATGCGTTAAACGACTTAGTCGGTGTCTGATGCGAGCTAGCGTTCATGTCCGCGCATATAGCTGAGTTGGTCGCGCCCACGATGCGCCCCTCCATAGTTTCGTTACCCTTGATGAAGATCCAGAAGGATTTTCCCGTTTCCACATCGAAGGAATTATACACGATGGTCTGTCGAATAGACCACCCCCACTCCGGAGTAGAAGCCGACCGCTCGACCGAATGGAGATTGTAACAATTTTGGATGAGTCGGCCTGATCGGCCTAGGCGCGGGATGTTGCCCGCGTTTCTGGTATTTGTATCATCTTTACTCAGGTAGCTGCCATGGCGGAAGGCCGTGTAATAAAAACTGCGGAGCCCTTCTTGCCTTCCGCAAGTAAATAGGAGGTCTAGAAAAGAAGGCATCACCTGGTGGTAAGTTGATAGATAAGTGAAGTCGTCTCGTGTGAGCCCCAGCCGAGCCCTTGCGTTTCTAGACCGGATGAAGCTACGCGCATATAATTAGCATTTTTAGAGAGCAGCTATGGTTCTCATGGGTGTCATACACATAGCGACATGCCGGGTCGGGCAGATTACTCTCCTGGCAGTGATTTTTCAAGCTGGCAACATCTGAAGGTTGGTATTCCCCAAATTCTATCGCTGATTTAGTGTCCAGGACAGCTTTCCTACTAGAAAGGGGTAAAAAAGTACCTGAACATTCACTATTAGTTTCCCAGAATTTCAGCAACTTAGGTCTCGGGGCTGTGTCGAACAGCCTCTCTGATTCGTTAAGTAACGCTTCGTAGTATGTCTTCAGGGTGGTCTCCGAGACCAGAGAAAGCTTCAAGTTGGTTGGGTACAACGAAGAGTCTTCGCATGAAGAAAGGAATCGTGACTCGTTATCGTCTTGGTTTGGCACGGGGCTTCCTTTGGACCCCGTCATGTTGCTCGGTCCAGCAGAGTTTAACGGCATAGTTGATAATAACGATGTAATGTGAGTCCCGAAGGCATGAGTAAGACCCGAAGGAACCTAGATTTCCTTCTGCCCGCCGCCCTTTATAGGTAATTATGTCTATCTGGGCCTTTCGGGCGAGGCTATCTGTATTGGGAGTGTGCTGTAGGGAATTGACATTTCGAAATTAAGCGACGAGTAAGCGGGCGCTTACATCTGAGCCTCCGGCGGCTGGCTGGCTGGCTGTAATGCTAGGGCGTATTTTATCGAGGCGCATGCGACAGTGCTCCCTAGATGTATCTGTGTGGAGGCAAAGGCCGTGTTTCATTACCTGTAAGTGGCCTTCTTCTATGTTCGTTCTAGCGTGGCGTGTCGACCTACAGGCAGTCTTGCACCCGAAGATACTATAATGTATTCCTACGTAGCAACTAATCATGTATAACGGGTGTACCCGTGCTGCCTATCCTGTCCGATTACATATCACTCTTCGCCTCAAGATGTACTCATAGGTAGGCTTTCTTTTACATGGAGTTCTCGACGCCTATATTTTTCATTGGCGGGTTTTCCCAGCCTGCGCCCGCCGATCCACAGCTTTGAACCCGGGCTTACTCCCGGTGCCCCTCATCTCAGCCCCTATGGCAGACTGGTGAGACCTCACAATGCACCGGCCTTTCCTATAGGTACCTACAGTCTTTCGCCCCTCATCTCTATCCGTAGGGCAGACTGGTAAGGCTCCATGACGCACTGGCCTCTCCCATACAGCCTTTCGCCCTCCAGAGGGAGTCCTAGAGGGTCTCCGCGGTGCCTCCTAAAAACGAAGGTTGTCGAGGATATAGGTCGTCTCCTCCTAGAAGCCGACCATTAGATAGCCAACAGGAAGAAGTTGTGCGAGTATGGGGAATTCCATTCCTACCTTTGTCAAAGACCGAGGAATGTCAAAGATATACTCTCCGTTTTTGCGCTGCCCCGGCATTAGTTCTCTCGGAACGTTTCCCTACCCTCTTGACCTTTGAGAGTGGCAATTCCTAAAAGACAATACCCACGGTACAAGTAATCTTGCCTGGAAACAAGGTGCCCAAATATTCCTCGAGGGTTGCTTGGACTAGCCGATAGGCGTTGATGGTCTCTAGAGCCATTCCGACTGGTTGGACAACCTAAGATATAATCCTATCTGAAGGATAATTTGAATATGTCATGGACTAGCAATCATCCGCTGGGGTCTCGAGTCCAGTCTCGCCGACGAAGTCCTTCTGTTTTAGGAACAGAGAAGCGCCGAGCCAAGTGCGAGAAATCCGCGCTGCATAGATTTTCGTGTGAACAAGCGGAATCAGGCGTGGGGAAGGACGGTGCGTGTTCATCATCTAGGAGGCCAATGGGTGGAATAACCCCGCTTGCGGCTCAGCGAGTCGGTATTACCTCAGACACCGAAACTGAACCCCACTCCCAGAATTCCTGTCGTACCGAAGTGTGGCAGGCAGAATGCCCCTGGTAGGGGACGAGCCCTGGGCGACGCTGATATAGGTACCTAGAGCAACCCCTAAAGATTCCCCTTTTAATCAGGTAAAAAAAAAGCCAGGATCCCCTTCTTATCCGGACTGTTCCCTATCCTAGACTCCGATAATACACGTAGGCAAGTGCACGTTCTAGAGCTGAATCACATCGGCGCCATCCCATAGTCGCAGCAGCACTAGGAGTAGGTATAGGTTAGGGCTCAAGCCTATCTCGACTGAGCACCAATGCGTGCAATATCGATCTCACGCGCACGCTGCTCTATTCCAGCGAAATCTAATTCCTTCGGGAGCATCGGTTCGAATCCGATCGGCGTCGGTCTTTTCTTTTTAGCTTTATATTACCTTACGTTGTCACTCTCCCTTCCTTCTTCTGATTTTGATCTAGGCTTCCTTCCTCTTGATTTTGTTTTATTTTGCTAGGCCAGCTACCTATTTTTACCATCATATGCGGCCCTTTAAGTTATGCTCGCTCGATGTGCGCACTGCGTAGTTGACGCCTTCTTGTGCATCCCCAGCCCGAGGCCATCGTCACACGTTTTTTTAGGCAGGGCCTCTGGAAGCCAAGTATGATATTAACACCAAGGCAGGAAGTTATCGTAGTTGCGGGTCTGTTGGCCTCACACACGGCAATCAACCGAGATGCACTACCTAGCTGTCGGCACTACAAGGCAATGGGCAAGAAGTTGAGAATTCTCACGCTTGACGCCCTCTCAACTCGACCACTTCTCCTAGCCCAAATCCGCTTGACATTCCGGAGCTAAGCGATGTGAAGACAGCAGAGCCAGGCTTCCGCCGATGGGCAGATTTGAGTGACACCACCGTAGTACCGGCTGTGTCAGATGGCAGGGATACCTCCTCCATCGGCCAGTATGCTCAGCCCAGTTGTCTATTAGGACAAGGACAACAAGCCATCACGACAACTTACTATGTGAGGAAGAGAAGAAGGCGACAGAGGCACCCCAAGGCTCCGCGCACAATGTCCTGCTATAATCTTAGGCAACTCAAGCCTATGAGCCCACGACAGCCTGCTTATATGCCAAGCGGCTCGCCATCGACCATTGGGGATTTTATTCATTTCTTTCTTCTTATTTTCACTCCTCCCTCCTTTCTCCCCGCCTGCCTTCCCGAGGGCACGAATTTTTCCCCAAATTGCACCTCATCCCTCCCTCCCAAAGGCATCCTAAGCTCAGCATCGCCGGATATTTATTTTATCAGGTTACTCCTTCATCTTAATTGTAACCTCGTCCTTCCGCATTCGTTACTATAACCCACCGGGTCTGGTTCCCAGTGCCCCAGCGTTGGCTTCCCCAACAATGCCCCTAGGTGACGTTAGCGGGGGCCAGGCTCGATCTTCTATCTCGTTCGCCCAGTGGACGGGTGACCCGTCCGTCAGACAGGGAGGAGAGGACGGTACTGGTAAATACGTAGACTTTATATCGCATCGCAAATTGAGTGAACATTGGGCATGGTGGCGCGTTCAAGAGGTCCTCCACGGTTTTTATGACGTCACTGCCGACATCCGGACCATAAGAAGCTCATACCTCCGGGTTTTCAGCATTCTCGTCTTCACTGACCGTCTAAAATACATTGAGCATTTCACAGAACACGGTGTCAACGATGAAAGATTGCCACTCTTGCAGCGCCCGGCCTCCTGGCCTGAAAGTAGGAAGCTTGACGCCGTTTTCGGCGACTTCCTGAAGCACCAATGGAAGTTCTGCCCCCTGCAGCTGAGCGCCGGTGCTCTTACAGGCCAGCGGTTGGATCCTCGCCATATTCTTCCCATCCAGGCCAGAACCGTTTTACGGAAGTCCAACGCTATCTCGGAAGTGGTCAGAGTTACCTTCCACTCAGACTGCGTTGTAAGTGTACCAAGCCTAGGAGGCGCGAGATATGGCCTACTAACCTTCATCAGGATCAAGGCTTGCCCACCACCATGGTCCTCAAAGCATACACCGATACGTCGATGGCGCCGCAACTGTACAAGGCCGAAGTCAACGCCTTTACGAAGATTTACAACAGCGCCCCCAATCCCACCACCCCGAAACCTCAGTACATAGTCGAGTTCTACGGAAACTTCATACAGAGTAACAAGCACTACCTCCTGCTGGAATTTGCTAGCGAGGGTAACTTAGATATGTACTTTGAGAGTACATCGCCGCCGAAATCTCCTTGGGGCATGTTTCAGTTCTGGGAGAGCATGTTCAAGCTCATCGGAGGTCTCGTTCTCATACATAACTTGGGCGGTCGCGGTGAGCTAGCTGCTAGTTCATTTCTCGGGTTAGTTACTATGGATGACTATAATACCTAGAGTTACTTACCGTCCTTAGCACCCACCAAGACATTAAACCCGATAACATACTAGTGAATAGCAAGGGGACGCCCGACGAGTACAGCCTGACTCTAAAGATTGCCGACTTCGGTGCGAGCGACTTCTGGAGGGTTTCAGATGGAGACCCCGATGCCCTAGGAATCGATAAAAAGGGGGACCAGGTGTACAGTGCCCCGGAATGCATCGCCAACTACGAAGCTTTGCGTAGGATCATCAATCGGGTTGGCCCCGAAGTAGATATCTGGTCCCTAGGATGCGTCTTCAGCGAGGCCGCCGTTTGGGCCGTCTGTGGCCACAAGGGGCGGGAACGCTATCGGGAAAGCCGGCTACAGGAGACGAAACGTATTGACTCCATACGGGGGACCGGATTCGATGGGTGCTTCCACGATGGAATCGAGCCCCTGAACGCGGTGACCTGTATACACGAACACATTCGCAGAAGCAGACAAGCCTGGGACACGATAACTCCCAAGATTACTCAATTAATCAGCGAGTCAATGCTTCTAGATTCCATGGGACCGCGGAAGACTGCGAGGGAATTGTTACTGCTCTCTGGACGGCTGCTCCAGACAGCTCGCGACGAAGCGTTTGGGGCTAGTCATACACCAGTTCCACAGCTACTCGTGCTTGATCAACCAGCCCTGCCACCCATCCCGCCCCCCCCTGACACGAGCAAAATTACCATAGAAGAGGTCCAGAGATACCGCAGCGATATGAAACGTCGTCGGCCACCGAACGAACACGTTGCCACCGCTTGCGAATCATTGCAGAGGCAGATCCGGGGCCGAGACCACGTGTTTCTGATAGATGATTCGACGTCGATGAAAACGAAATATCGCAACGATGTCGTCAATACCTTCATCGCCTTGTCCTACGTAGCAAAGAGAATCGACGGGGACGGGATCGACCTTTTCTTCACTTCGGAGCCGTCGAGGAGGTACCATAGTCGTCACACGTCGAAACTTACCGAGGAACTTCAACTACACTACCAGAGCGCTTCTAACAGCAGGGCTACAATGGAGGCTAGCGTTAGTGAGGTTATCGACTACATCGTTAAGAAGCTGCCAAGCTCCTTCTCCAAATCCTTGACGGGTCTACCGGGCATCTCACACTGGCTCGCGGGGCGGCCGAAGATCACGCTCTTTGTCTTCACCGACGGCCTGTGGGGGTGTCCAGCGGCTATCTCCCGGGTGGAGAATCAGATCGAGAGACTCAGAAACGAGCTCCAGGGGCGGGGGCTGAGTAGAGTCTGGGTGGCGATACAATTCATCCGCTTTGGTGATGAGGGCATCGAATACCTCAGACATCTCGATAATTTCGACCCAAGCTGGTACGTGGTACCTACCGTATCTACGTCCCTCTCCCTGCGTCAACGGCGATCGCGCCGTCGATTCTTCCTCCGCTCACGCCCTAAATATGCCTCCGTGCGTCTGGTAGCGACCCTGCTAATCACCATACGCGTACAGGGATATAGTCGACTCAAAGTCCCACAAAGACCATGTGCTGGACATGTTCATCGGTAGCATAGACGAGGAGGTGGACAACAAAGATGACTACACCTACGAAGGCACATCCGCTAGAGATTCCTCACCCAACTCTGCGAGTGGCGCCTAGTCAGATGTTCGCACTCGAAAATAGGGGAACATCCTCGGGCATCCCGAAAGTCCAAGATCACCGACCGGTCGTAAACTACTCCTTCAACTCACGCCGATCTCAGGCCGACCACGCCCCTCGCCTTCACTGGCGCGAGGCCGATCCCCATCTCTCTCTAACCCAACCTCTCAGCTCACCCTAAGGAGGCCCCACCCCACACACTTGACGAGTACTAAGTGTCGATATCTAGTAGGCCAGCCTGGAAGGCGACTTACTCGACTCGACTCCAACTAAGGATGAACTGACCTGTTCTAAACTGATCCGTTCTAAACCGCTGTTGACGAAGCCCCCCCACCCCCCACCTCATTGCCCAATCATGGGTAGGTATACATAGGAGGCTAGGAACCAAGTTCTGTAAATGTGAAGGAAAAAAAAAGCTCTATACTGTCGTCGGCGCGTAGGTAGACCAACGCCCTGGGTGTATGATGAGAGAAAAGCCATAGCGATGCCTGGAAGAACTCAGTGTACTGCTTTACGGCCCGCGGGGAATCACCGAAGGCGCACGCGACGGTAGAAGGGTCTGTATCTAGCAACTCGACTTATAGGAGAGAGGGAGGGTGCTATACCTACGTTTTCGAATGCATATGCATATCTATCTCGGCTAGTGTTGTGGTTACGTCCTCTCTATACCGCACTGTGGTGGGGTAATGGAAGATCCTTGTCCGCTGCCAACCTAATCAGCCCTCACGCGTAGACCTAGGGCAACAACATAGACCGGGCTGAACCGGGTCCATTGGCAAGAATATACTGACTCGGGATTGATCCACCTACGGCGTCGCTTCAGTCCGCCCTCCTCGATACAATACCGCCACTCTCATACGGCAGATCACTGGGGGAGGGGGAGTGGATAACAAAGGGATTGGGGTGGTAACTTGAACGGCACTTGGAATAGTGGGCTACGTGACGAACAACAGGTCCGGTACAGCCTTCTCAAACGGTGGCCTTCATCGTTTACGCCGGCTCCCAACTTCATGACAAATGACGGTCAACTATTTCAAAGACTAGTGGATACAAATCGCACTTCATAAATCATCATTGGCATTGGACGGCTCCTACATACAAACAACCTGGGTATTGGCTGTATTCAATCCCACAGCCGGACGAACCCAACTCCGAGATGCCATCCCGTGGGCAAACCCGTAGACCGACCATATGCGAGCCTTACTTGCTTCGCGCCCGGAGCCTAGATCGGGCCTGGACTTCGGCGGCTCCCGTGGTTCACACCAAGATGAAGTCAAGCGAATAGGGTTGAATAGATACAAGAATTGAAGTCGAAATAACCCCCTTTTGTCGAAAAGAGGCAGGTGCATTAGACAGACATGTGTAAGGGTCCCGAGAGAATTCATATTCCGCGGAACCACAAAACACCGATGCCTAAAGCTCTGCAAAGAAGTAAAATACCGAAAATCCGCAGTCATAGCTTTTCCTCCTGCTCCTATCTGCCAATGTTCCGTGTGTCATCGATAATCGTGACCATGAACGGCGATTTTGCGCGAGAGCCGCCCGAAAATGTCGGAGGGGCGTAGGGCGACAAGCACAAGCGCAATACTATGGTCTTGGGTAAATTGTGTATGGATTACACACTATGAGAATCGAAAGAACACTTCTGGATCCGCGTTATACGGGGACATTGCTAGAGAGCTAGACGCTAACAAGCGAACGTCCCGGCAGATGATCGATTTACACAACTACGGTGCTCATCCCCAAAGGCTGGAGGACGTTGCTTGCGTAGGCACCACCAACATTGCCTAACAAAGAAATTAGTTTTGCAACGCAACGAGACCAGGGGGGCTGTTACGTACCTGCAGGGCCATAGTTGCACACGGTGTACCAGGCGTCGAAGTCATCATACATAGTCCCCTTCTCGCAGAACTGGGATGCGCAGCCAAGCTCCGTAGACGATTTCCACAGGAGCTGCGAATAATGTCCCCAAGACTCGAACGAGGACATATCCGGCGTGGCTTGTCCGTAAAATTGAGGAAGGAACTTGGAGAATTCGCCGTTGTACCACATATCGGTGACCGCCATCTTGACGGCGCCAGTGGCACCGAGGGCGGCAGCTCCAGAGCTTTGCGCCCAGTTGGCCAAGTTCTGACCATAGCCTCCGTCGCCTTGGTTCCTAAACAATTATCAGCGACTGAAATCATCGCTATCTTCATTCAACCTACATATCATGCGCCATTATGCACGTGGCAGCGGTTGCGGCAGCGTAGCCAGCAAGCTTCTCGCTCCAAGTCACGTCGGTGGAGGAATGGTTGGAACGGTGAATGTTGTGGTGATAGATGGCCGCACCAGAAAAGTCATCATCAGCAGGCTCAGGAGCCGGGGATTCGGGTGCCTGTGCGACAGGCTGGGCAGTGGTAGGCTCAGGCTGAGCTGTTGTAGTAGGCTCGGGCTCGGGCTCAGGATCAGCCTCCGGAGTCTGGGTAACAATGACAATAGAAGGCTCTGGAATGGTCGGAGTTGGCAGCGGTGCGTCTGGGTATACGGTAACAATGACGATGGAGGTCTCAGGGGTTACCACCGCGGCATCTGGGCGGCGATGCTTCGCTTCGAAGAGGAGCGTCGGCTGAGCCTCCTCGCTGCCAGTGACGGTAACGGTCGTATAGTCGACAACCCAGGTGGTTTCTAACTTCCGCTTCTCTAGGGGGCTACCCATAGCCAACACTGCGGCGCCAGCAGCGACCATGATGGAGGACTTCATCTTGATTTCTCAAGTTCTAAAGGAGCGACAACTGTAAGGATGTGAGTACACTTCCGTGTATTTTACCAGCCGTAAACAGTGAAAGGTTGAATGGTATATGAAATGAGTGTAGTTGCAGCGAGAGCGAGAGATTGCCCGATCTACCGGCGTCTCATGGTTGTGGAAAAGGTCAGAGAGGAAACAGAGGAAAGAAACAAAATACGACGGTGCTGTGAGCCCAGTTTTAACCCAGTGCCGGTTTGTTCGAGCTATGTTGGCCAACGCGGTCCAGGCAACGCTAGAGCCAGGGGGCACTCTTTGTTCCAAAATTGGGCTTTGTTAAAGATAAATATGGACGACTATTCTTGCCCATGAGATGAGTGGGGACAAAGCTTGGATTGTTGGCTTCGCACATATAGACCACGCGATCTGAGCAGCCTTTACGCAGAAGGATCGAGATAGGCAATAAGAAATGCAAGAACATACCTTTCTGTTTATATCTGGGTCTTGGTGGAGCAGTGGTGAAGACGAGCAGTTCAGATCCAGCTGGCAGTGGAGATGGGGCAACTTATAGTACCCGACGAGACCACGAGGGTATATCAAGACAACTGATGCTTAAGCTCGAATTGGGCTTGCGTGGTCCGACAGTGACAGAACTTGTCCAACTGATGACCTCCAGGTTGGACGAACGTGGGACAGAGAGTGAGTTGCTTTCTAGAGCAGGTCGATCAACTGGGTGGGCGGCTGGCGTCCGAGTAAGGAATGACTGGAGAGAAGGGAACAGATGTAAGAAGGAATCTACTGTTGACCAGGCACTCCAAACAACGGTCAGTTTGGCAGGCTGTTGGAATAGGTCGACAGTCAAGACAGGGCGTGAGATAGGGGAGGTATTTAAAGGAATGAAAGTTCGCCAAAGCGGACACAAAGGAGTGGAAGTGGTTGGTCGGAAGTGAGGTCTCACGAACGCGATGAATTCTGGAGTCAGGCCGAACGTGCAGAGGGGAAAAAAGAAGGGGAGAAGAGGCGGCACTAGGCGAGGAAAGGGGGGGGGTTGATGTACCAAGGGAACAGACGCGACTTTTCGCCAACGTAACGAAGGGGAGAAATTACATAGTACCTGGGTACCTGGGCTGCCCTATGAACTTGATGGGAAGGGAAGATGAAAGGGGACAATTGTTTGCTGGGCACCTGCTGTGTGCCTGCTGGCGCCGGGGCAGGTGCGACAGGGGTATATACCGGGATGGCCCGGGCTGTTATGCGCCTAGTAGCCAGGTACCCCGAGAAGCTGAGTGGCTAGGCCACTGCCGCACCACAGCGGGCAGGATGCGAATGGTTGATCCTAGCGTCATTTGGACTGGCGGGATGTTATAATGAGATACTGGTAGGTACCTAGGTACCTACCTCCGAGCAAACGAAGCGCCTAAGTTATACACCTTACCTAGCAGATGGCAATTTAGTACCTGGGTACTTCCTAGGAGGAGGTCGGTACCTAATTTACATATAAGGTACCTTATTATTGTTACATCTAAGGTGCCTAAGGTTCTTGGAGGTCCCTAGGTATACTGATACCTCCTACTAGTTAGGGTGTTATTACCCTTATGCATGCCTCTATTCCTAAGTCTAGTAGGGGGTAGTTAAGCCGCAATACAGTGCCGGGTAGGGAGGTAGGTACCTACCCGCTCCATCTTTCGACTAGCATAGTTAGGTACCTAAGGTAGGAGGTAGGTAGGTATCGATGCAGACACATAGTACATCCGTCCATAAGAGCAAAGTACCAGATGCTCCCCTGTGTTTTTCACCGCTGTCTCTACCTATCCCCATGGACGGCCCATGGGGCTGGATAGGCACCTAGCGCCAGATGGAAATGCAATGCGGAATTTCACTTGATCCGCAAGCCAACCTGTCGGTTTCTTCAGTAGAGAGGCCTATCAGAATCACATGGGACAGCGATGTGCAAACGGCCTCCCTGCACTAGGTAGGTGTTATCGTAGGTAGGTAGGTAGTATTGTGTGGGGTCGGCTACAACCTTACGCACCTACATAACCTTGAAGGGGTATGTGCCTCGAGGCGTCCAAGGTACCTGAGATAGGGAATACATCTAAGGTACTTAACTACCTGTAGGTAGGATAGGCTACTGTATGTAGGTATTCGTCCGTCCGTCTTAGCCCGTTGGGGTAAGATTTTCGTTGTTCTCTTTCCTTTCGTTTTCTTCTTTTCTTCTTCACCCTCTCCGAGCCAGATCCCCTATCCTTCCCCCCGGTTCTGCTAGTTCGGGCCATCCTCCTTCGGCATAGATTTAGCCGTTCTGAGATTGCCATTATTTTGCATCGGACGAGTCATTGGCTGGGAGGTTATGGTCCCTGCGTCTTGTCGCTCCAGACTTTGTGCCGGTGCACAGCGCAGCCAGCCCGTGCTCCTCGATAAAATCACTCGACTCCCCTAACCTCCGTACTTAGTGTGTTTCCAACCCCTGCTGCAAATCTGGTGCCTTGCAGCTTTTCTCGCCTCTCGACGCTTAGAGGCCAGACGGTCCCAACCTTGTTTCCTCAGGCGCGGGGCTAACAAGATGTGCCCCAGAACGGCAAAAGGGAAGGCCAATGGTTCGCCTCAGCCGCCCAGCTGTCTGTTCCAGCCCTCCCAAGAGGTACCTACCTAACTAAGTAGCCTGCGCAACCAACGTATAACGTACATCTATGTGGGCACTCGCAGACATACCGTGCCTTAGGTGCCTTGGGTAGGTACATATCAAACCCTTCCTACCTGTAGGTACTTTAGATATATGGCACCTACTCATAGGAACCTTAACAAATCTACGATGTGTACATATTACGTGTAGTCTGGGGAGCAGAAAGGCCCGCATCCTGATCTCCCCTTTAATATGTACGTACAGATATCCTTAGGCACCTTACGTAGGCGCCTACCGACCTAACCACTGTGCAAACAATGGAGTGCACACACGCCGGTACGTACTTCAGTTAGGGACGTAGCAACTCCGATGTGTGTGTCAGGTACCCTGGGCAGGTGGGTAGAGGTATGTATGCACTGCTTCTAGGCACACATTATAGGTATTTGAGACTGGTTGGATAGGTTCTTATTGCAAGACTTAGGTACCTGAGGTATGTGTAACAGACTGTTCAGACTACATAGGGACCTAACATGATGTTATGTACCTAAATTAGTGTCTACACTACTATAGGTACCTTCTAGTGTAACCGGAAGGCCTGAAGACACATGTGGTGCGTGCACGCACTCGTCCGAAAATTGATTGCGGGACTCCCGATCCCACAAACGACGTTTCACAGATGATTGCATCAATTTATTGAGCGCCTCCACGAGTCTGACATTATGTTTATAGCCTCGACACAGTATTGCTTCTATATTCGCATATGTACATGCAATTCAGAGACTACCAGCTATGGACTCCGTCTGACGGCCGCGTAACCTGTCTGGACGATTGGTTCCTATCCTGCTTGACCAGCACCAGCACGCCTCATCAAACGAATACTGGTGTTGTTTTTCCAGAGCCAAGTGTCCAACCTCAGCAAATCACGAAGCACAGTGCAGGTGGGAAAAATAGGTAAAGAGGGGCCAGGGGCCGCGTCAACAGCCTCCCTCGGCGGCATCACCGCGCCCCTCGAGGCTGCTTCTCCTCTCATCCACAGGCTGCGGCAAACTAAGGATGAAACGTTTAGGCCGCCGCCACCCCAACCATCACTGCTCACTGTCGGGTGACAATGCCCACTCCCCCGAGCCTTATCATGAGGTTTTCCTGACAAAAAGGTGAGATAGGAAGTGCCAAGCTTCAAGGTCTTCCTCTATGCCTAGCAGCAACCTCACAATTTTAGCAAGCCGCTCCTATATCATATAATTATCCCCCGCATCGGATGATATAACCCGACAGCAATCGTAACCGCAACCGCAAACGAAACAAACACAATCCCTATAGAGGCAGGATGCTGTTTTTTTCGGAGCGCATGTTTCGCACTTAGACTCTCGCCTAAAAATCTCCCACTCCAATTCTCATCAAGCCGAAGCTTCCCACATCGGTCTCGCCATTGTTTATTTCGGGCCGCTTGGATCAACTGTACTTGAGATTGTCCACATGTATCACGGCGGGGAGGCAACGCAGAGTGATGACGGCTTCGGTTGGTGGTCAATATACTTGGGAGTCCAGCTGGGTGCCACGTGCTTACTCACACAACCCACACTCGATACGACTTCTCCTCCCACTCGTATACATGTCTATCATCCGATCTCCTCCGTATACGCCCCATCCGTGACTAGCTACTCCGGGCCTCGTATAGATTGCCAATTGTCGATCTGCTTGTCTCTATTTCTATCCTAACCCCCCCCGGCGAGACTTCTTCCAGCATCCTTCTGTGCATCGGTGCCCACCCGTAGCCAAGGGGTATAGGTAACTACCATCGGATCTACAACCGTTCGCACTATCATATCTGTGGTAGAAGCATATCGCCTCTTAGCCTGGCATCTGTGCGGATTCCTCGCCTGCGATATTGAGAGACTTACTTAGAATCCCCGCCGGCATAAGACGTACGCGCAACGCTTATCGGTTACGAGCAAAGTGGACTGAGGTACTATTGCGCCATTTGGATTTCACGGCCAGAGCTTGCCTTCCTAGAATCCGGTTAGATAGAGAGGATAGTTTCCTGAAATGTTTTGTGCACCAGACGGGGGGTTACGTCCTCGAATCCAGGTCATGGACGTAGGTACTAGGTACTATCAAATCAGTCAACACTCACGGGTCGGTATGAATGACGTCCCATGTCTTAACCCTGCCACCACTTAAACTCCGACGCGATGTCCTAGATACCCAGTCTCAAAATGAAGCTGTCTTAACCGTCGCATGCGTTACTCGTATACGCATACGCGACAGTATTCTCGTTCGACCTAGGCACGGTACGGCGCCGCCGTTAAGAGAGTTGAACTATCCGGACGGTTAAGCTTCCGGCAGCACAACAACGTTGCCTTCAACCCCAAGAAGGCAACCTTTTTCTCTTCTTCTAGAATCACCTGTGGTCGCCCTCCCGACGTTTTAATAGGCCTGGTATATGTCCACTTCTTGTCCCAAGTTGAGACAGGAAATGACTAGATTCAGAATCCACCGTCCGACAGTAACTAAATCCTCGCCTATCATGCGGACGTTGACATGGTAAATGGTTCATCAGAACTGGTTCTAGGCCCGTCCTGGCTTACGATGGGAAAACCCACAGCGTCGGCCATGTAGACACAATGGCACTCGCCACCAACCAGAAATCCACGTCCTTTAATGAGGAGGGTAATGGAAGCGTGATCGTTGGTTTAGCTATCGCCCATGAAGGCTTCAGGGAGTGGTATCCCGGAATTTCCAGTTTGGAAGTTGTGTCACTTTGGCAGGACCATCTCTATTGTTCAGAATGGCGCGACGACAGCAAGGGGTTCGAATACCGGCGACGTTAAAAGCAACGAAGTCATAACTCGCTCGGCTGGCCCAGGGATTCGGACGGGACGGCGAAGAAAAGAGGGGGCTTCCTACGCATTGTAGGCCGGCCGCGCCGAGTTTGTTGAAGGGTTCACAACCCACACAGGGTTATCAAAGAGGTAACGCGCACAAACACGTACGCCTGCCATATGCCACCCACGAAAATTCTAAGACTGATGTCTCATATGAAACAGCCAGCAGCCAGCAGCCTTCCGGTCGAGCGGTTCGTAGACGGCGGGACCACGGCCGTCACACCGCGACTGCTATACAACGACCCTAGGCCGTCAGCAGTTCTTCATCATAACACCTATGTATTCCCAAGCATCTAGCCGTGTCCCGTGAGCGTGGGAGCTCGTGGAATTAAACCTTTTCGGGCAACATCGTCCAGCGTAACATACCTACTCCGCAGTACACCTGGTGTCATGGACTGCTACCAGGTCCTCGTACAGCAGGCCCGGTGGGGTGTGCGTGCTACCATAGCAGATTTTGCAGAAGCGCCACCTCAGCTGCGCCAGAAGGCATACTTGCGTGGATAAGAATGTGTTAGGGGCTTGTAAAACATATATCCTGTCAAGCGTCGGCAGCTGACCGGCGCGTACATCCAGCACTATGAGGACCCTTGTGATGGACGCGAGCCGACGGAAGAGGGGTGTGAGCGAGACACTCAAACACTGTTGGAATGTATGTGTCGCCTCCTCGATGGTTCTGCTCTCCTTCCCGACGAGGAGCAAACGCACAGAAGGGGGGGGGGCCGTACGTGTAGGAATGGACACGGAATCTCCCTGCGCCCCCCATCCCTCCCTTCTCACCCTGCCGCTGCTCGAGGTGAAGGAGAGGACTCTTAACAGTGGCGGGGACATTTGAAAGGGCGGCGGCAGTCGTTAATTACGTGCGAATAGTTGACTCGTGACGTCTTAAAGAGACGCGTGCGCACTGGTGGCAGGACTACTCGCATGCATGCCCGGTATGTTCACTTACACACACGTAGGTATGACAGGTAGGTGTACGCCTGTGGTCGCGGCACACAAGACAGGACAGCTCCGACAAGAGAAAACATGGTCCTCGAGGTTCGTCCCACTGGTCGCAAAGACAAGGGCAAGACCACGGGGTCCTACGCAAGTCGCTCGACAAAAGAAAAGGGGGAGGGGCTGGAGTCGCGCAGACAGGTATAGAACAGGTCCGGACAGGTTAGTTCGCTCGTTCGTAGACATTATGTCCTATGAGACCTAGGGCTACGCTTGCTTACCCACATAAACAGGTTGTTAGCCGACGTCGAGCGAAGCCACATGTCTTGTCTCGGCGGGTAGTTTCAGGACGGGCCATCTCCGCTTGCCTACTGCCTCCTCGCTGTGCCGCCTCTCCTTTGAACCAACATCAACCCTCTCCTCTGTCACTCTCAATACAAGTTTGGTACGACTAGTCAGCGGCCGGTCTCGTGGTTTGCGGGCGTATCTAATATAGAAGGTGACGCAGTATCTCATTGCATACATATGAACTTGGTCACTTCAAATAAAGCGAAAAGCAGGCACTGCTACCGACGCAACCGTCGTTACAGCGATCAAGGACCAGCATGGGATAAAACTGGATATTTGTTAACGCAGGCCGCAGAGGCTAGATGCGCTAGGTTATCGGCCGAATAGTGGAGCAGCTGAGGGCTTGTATATGAGATACGAAAAATGCTGTTGGACGATGCATGCCAGAATATGATGTATCTTCATGGTGGCGCCGCTAGCTCCGGGATGGGGCAGATGCATTTCTTGCGGGAAGCCGGTGAGGCGGAGACGAATATGTAGGCCGTGAGCGTATGTAAGGGATATAGGAAGGGGGGTTCAGCATTTGCATAGATACGATGCAAACTGCGATCGGCTGCCTAATCCTCAGAGCACTTAATTATATACGCGGCGCATCGTTCCATTATGGGACAGGGACACAGGTGTTTTTTTTTTCCTTTTCCGTTTCAAGAACCTCGCTCATGGAATCATGAGCTGGCGTATAGCTATCGTCGGTGCCCGCGAGAGCCGCTAGAACCATATTTGATGAGGAGCTAGGCGAGAATACGTATCCCTAGTTGACTTCAGATGAGGCAAAGTATTGGAAAACGGAACGTCGACTTCACTGTATTTCTTGCTTCCGTATATACATAGCAATTTGTTCTCAGAGTGCTCCGGGTGTAGCCTACTCGTCTGAACCGATAGTTCGTCCTCATGAAGCCGACGCTTCGGCCTGTGACTGCGCTGAAGGCGGGTCGATGGCCTTGCCGAACGGTGGTTGACCGCGCTCCCTAAAGATGGGGTAGTGGGCGTAGATCTGCTTCGTCCGGAGATGGACGGGAATTTGGTCCTCGGGGGCATCTGGGATCGTCTTCTCGAGTTTCTGTCCACGAGCATTAGCACTAAATGTCCTTTCGGGTAGCCGGGCCCGCGAGCTTCGAGTATTCATACCAGGTTATCGAAGACGCATTTATTAAGCTTCCACTCGTGTTTCCTGCACTGCCACAGCTGGTGGTTGTTGTTATCAAGGCATTGCCAATGCTTGCGAAACTCCACTATGCAGTGCTTGTTGATGTCGTCGACCCTGCATAGTCCCCCCGTTGCCGTTAGCGATCCTGTCCTGTGCTCCGCTGTATGCGGACGTGTAGGATTATCTCATTCATTGGCAATGGATGGTCAGATTGTCTTGCACTTGTTGCCGAAAGGGTCCCCAAAAGCAACATACACACTGGCGGCACATCTAGTGACTCTGCGGCCCTCCTTCAAACACTCGAACTCGCCTTTCCCGGGGTTCTCGGTCTTGCATTGCATGAAGTCATCGTTGTAAGGACGGCACCGGGCGCCTATGAAGAAGGAGGCTGAGAGTAGAGGCGCAGAGGTTGCCCCGACCTCTTTGACGGGGGGGATGGAGTCCGGGAGGGGTGTGGTATCGTAGAGAACCCGGTCGTTGAAGCTACGGGTCAAGTTAGCAGAGCAACAGTCTAGAAATGCGGAATGGGCCTGGCGTTCGTGAAGAGTTTCAACATGGACCGGCAGACCCATACCAGGCGGGGGATGGGTTTATAAGACATACTATGGTCTCCGGCTAGCCATTGCTGCGATATCGACGAAGTTGCCGGCGAAGTTGATGTCGGCAGTTTGCGCGAGCTTGGGAGATGGATCAGTTTATCACTGGCGATGAGCCGATCTCCACGGGCGGAACTACCTCAGGTAGGTTATCTAAGGGGGGTACCATGGGTCAATTGAATCGTGCTGATTGGTTCTAGCCACATGAGGCTGGGCTAGTCCGTGGCAGCGCTACAAAGTTAGTAACCAAGTACATTAGCATGTTTAATTACCTAATGCAATTAATCTTACATAAGGTTAAGAGGTATCAAGGTACCCAGCCTAAGGCCTCTCTCCAAGGTAGGTACCTAGGCACCTAAGAACTTGGTTGTGCTTATCGGGGAATTTGAGGCCGGCCGGCTATTGTTTTCGTGATGAAATTCCCACTTCCTCCAAACTACAATGTGGGTAAACATCGCGACGCCCACGGCCCAATAACCTGACCACAACAAGCCCAAGAGAATAAAAAGCACTAATAGAAAGCCTTTACATACAGAATTTAAAACACGTCCTGAGTACGACTAATAATCTTCATATAATCCCGGCTTTGGCGAAGGGAAGAAGGTGTGAAGAATACCGCCATGAGCTAAGGGGGAATCGCTTGCGACAGAATATTCTCAACACTGCTTTGTCTTCGCGCGTGTGTGCCTCGCTCTCCTTGCCGTTCTATTTTGCGGCTGTGTGGCCTCTCACCCGATTGTCAAAATTTTTTCTCCTCGCCAAAAATCGAGCTCTATACCCAGCACTATGGCCCTCTTTAATACCGGAAACTCACTGTCGAATGCTCCTGGGGGCAGCCTTTTTGGTCAGCCTAACAATACCTCGTCCCTCTTCGGCCGACCCGCAAACCAGCCGCAAAATCAGAACCAGCCGCAATCCAACCCGTTCGGCGGGAGCTCGTTCAGTCAGCCTCTAGGCCAGCAACAACAAGGACAACCACAGCAGCAACTGGGTGCTTCCGGGTTCATGAACGCAAGCCAGGGGATCGCACAGCGATCCAGCTTAATTTGGGAGCCGGGACGTGAATCAATCAGTATGTCTGCCGCGCTCTAGTCTTCCATCCTGCTGCGGAGGCTGACTACTCTCGTTCTAGTTCACAAACCTGTCACCGAGCAGATCGAGAGCATGCTTCTCAAATGGCATCCCGAAAACCCGAATACAGCTTTCAAATACTACTTCTACAACAAGGTTGATCAAGCGCGCATTCCCTTCTACCAGCCCTCACCTGCCGAAGACCCGCGAGAATGGGAGCAGGCCGTTCACGACAAGCCCGGCCCCGGCTACATGCCTGCCCTTGCCACTGGTTTTAAGGCGATTAGCGAGCGTCTCACGATGCAGAAGCAAGTGCTTGGGAACTATCGGCAGGCCTTGCACGCGATCAACTCGAGCTTAGATGCCATCCTCTCACAGAACGATCTGCAAACGAGCGTACGAGCCCTCAATGCCAAACGGAAGCACGCGATACTGCGGCAGAGATGCCTAGCGCTAGCCACCAAGGTCCAGGTTCTGCGCAACCGGGGATACTCGCTAGACAAGGACGAAGATGAGCTCAAGACAAAGTTGGAGACACTCGATAGAGCTGTGACAGACCCGGCGCTTAGCGCGAGAACGGAGGAGCTATGGAGCCGTCTGATTATGCTGAGGGGATATGCCGAGAGTCTACAAACCGAGCTCGACCGACGCGGCGCAGAGGCACAGGAGGGAGGAATAGGGGAGGAAGCCCAGGCGCAGGCTAAAAAGGTAAGGCATGAACCCGCAATAGCAACACTACGGGCAAAGACTAACACTCGGCAACTAAATAGCTTCTAGAGGCCTTCGATAAGCAGATGCAGTCCCTGAAGACCCAACTGGAGCAAATCAAGAAGGACTATGATGAGTGGCAGTCCTACACAAATCTACCCTCGAAGAAGTAGGAAATTATTACGGCAAAGATACTGAGACGTTCTCGATACCATAACGACCATGATAATAATAGTAAGTCTGGCGGGAGGAGGTAGTCCATCAGTTGACAGGAGGGTTCTGAGCTTTTGGCCACTTCAAGGAAAATCTGTATTAGGAGAGGTTCGCTCTAGGAAGCCCGCATAAAAACCCGGCGTTCAGGAAGATCCGATCCCTTGGGGATGGCTACAAGATATACTCTGCTTAGACTTTCCCGGCTTCACTAAACATAGTGAGGCAGTGCAGCCCAGTTATTGAAGAGTGACGGTGGTGGAATGCCCGCTTGCTTCTACCATGAAATGACCCTAGCTAACAAGCGCGTGGTGTTGTACCGCACAAAGGCCCACATCCGTCTATGACTATGTTTTTTTCCGACCCCAAGCATCACCTAGGTATATCATAGGTGTTCGTCGCGTCGTCTTGGCATTTCGGTGTGATCCACAATCACTATCATTAGAGACACACAAGATCCATGGCGCGAGACAGCCGAAAGTGTTTTGGTGACGGTCTGTCGCACGCCTATCGGTGGTGCATGGGTGGTTGGCTGTGGTCGCAGTACTACCCGGCAGCGCTATCTGTGTGAAGTTGTCGCCTCGTTTGTCTGTCGTGTCGCGTGGTCAACTAGCAGTAGGACACGCTGCTTAGAAAAAGCTCGAAACGGCATCGATCGCAAAGGGTGCTGGGGCGGGTTTGCCGATAGTCAGTATCTGCATGCGATACGAGTAGCACGGGAGGGAGAGCAGCAGCAGAAGCGCAAGAGGCTCGAGAGAGGGGGACAAAACATACACAAATAGAGGGTGACGGCGGCGGCAAGGAAGCTCTGGATGGTAAAAGAGGCTACGGCCTCGTAAGCCTCGATCTCCTCCTCGGAGAATTGGGGTGCCGCGACTGTGCATGTCTCCGCGTTAGCGGTACCTATATCGCGAGAGTAAGGAGCGGGGTTTCCTACATCCGCCGAACATTCTGACTGATCTGTGTCGTCTGCGTTGCTGTGCCTATTGGCGCGCGTGTGCGTCTGCTTGTTTGTTGTTGCTATTGCTGGGGAGATCGGCTTTACTGGCGAGGTCGGTTACGAAGCGTGAGACAGCAGGACGAGATACTCCATACACGTCACTGAGGAAATTATAATTTGACAGGAATTGTGTAGATGGAGACTGTCCCCCGAATTTTTCGACTTGGTAGGGATTTGAGAAGTCTATCGATAACCGATAAGCGGGAAGGCCACCCTCCCCTTCCCCACACCTTGCTCGGTGGGTCCCTACCTACCGTAGTAATAGAGAGGTACCCCAATAGGTACCTGTTGTGTCTACACGTACGTGTAAGCGGAAGGCCATCTGCTTAGCGAGGTTACTCTGAGATGTATGCATCAAGCCGCCGAACCTCGACGGGAACCCATATCGCATCTTGGTAAATGTACCATATACCTAGGTACCTACCTACCTACCTACCATAGGTACCTATGTCCATCCCCGCAGGATAGACCTATTCAAAGTGCTTTGGGTGTGGGTACCTGATGTAAGCAGCCAATTGGGGTGCCTATCTCCTCTACCTAAGGTAACCCCGGGTGCCGGCATCCAGGTAGGTAGGGGGTATCTACCAGGTATCACCTCACCTCATAGGTACATAGGATTTCCATAGTCTCTGGGTATGCATATGTACCTGTGTACATTAGGAGAGAGAGGTATTTATAGGTATGTAGGACCTCAGTTCACAAAATCCTCCCACCAAAAATCCATCGCAATGGACCCCGCCAAAACTTGGAGCTGTCCATACACGGGTTAGCTGGCTAGTCCTGAAAGTCCGAGGCGACGTTATCGGCCGTCTCTCTCCCGGAAAGACCCGTCGTTTCGTTATCTATGCGCTGTAATATCTCTGTAGGTAAATATCCAGACTAGTTTGTGTCTTCTCGCCCGATGGCGGCCGGTTCTCCTTTGTGGTTGACAAATAATAAATCCTCTCCCCTAGCCGTTATACAGCCCTCGTATGATCCTATTTCCTATTCACCACCCCTCCGACTAAGGTTGAATTCGTCTACACTACTAGCTTCGACCGCTCGTTTTTCTAGCTCGCATAAAACCGGCCTCGCTGGCAAAATGCCCCTCTGACCTCGGTATATCGACAAGATCCAAACCCCTTTCCAGCTCGCCTTCCCCAGTGCTGTCCCGCGGCGTTCAGTTCGGTTGCTGGGCTTGATTTCGTCCACTCGCGATGGCTTCGCTTGTCAGGACCGTACCTCGCCGCCTAGGCCAATCAGCCGCTCAACTACGAGTTGCATCTTCTCTCAGCTCGCGGCTGCAAAGCTCGAGTCCGCGGGTATGCCGCCACTACCCGTCCCTGGCCACGGCCACGTCCGTGGGACGGAGGTCATTCCTTACCCAGGCCGAAACAGCGAAAGGTCACAGCGAGTATGCGTATCACGACTTAGACACCTTTCCCCGTCGCCACATTGGCCCTGATGAGGCCGATACGGCTAAGATGTTGAAGGCCTTGTCCCCCCCGGTCGAGAATCTAGATCAGTTTGTCCGGCAGGTCATCCCGCCCAACATCTTGTCTTCGAGGAGCCTCAACATCCCACCACGCCACAGCCCCCTCTCCGAATCAGGTCTCAAGCAACATGTCAAGGACTACCAGAGCCTGATCAGCGTGAAGAAGAGTTTTATCGGTGCTGGCTACTACGGAACCCATACCCCGTCCGTCATCCAACGGAACGTGCTCGAGAACCCAGCCTGGTACACGAGTTATACCCCTTACCAACCAGAGATCAGCCAAGGTCGCTTAGAGTCGCTGGTCAACTTCCAGACCATGGTCACGGATCTCACTGCACTTCCCATTGCTAATGCTAGTCTTCTCGACGAAGGTACGGCTGCCGCCGAAGCTATGACGCTTTCTATGAATAGCCTGCCTTCTTCGAGGGTTAAGAGGGAAGGAAAGACCTTTGTCGTCTCAACATCCTTACACCCCCAGACAATTTCGGTCCTACGGGGACGGGCAGATGGCTTCGGCATAAGGATCCTAGAGCTGGATCTCTCCAAGGAGGAGTCTGATGCCGAAATCGGAAAACTCGGCGATGACTTAGTTGGTGTCATGGTTCAGTATCCAGACACCTATGGCCATCTGGAGAATTTTGCGCCTCTGGCTGAATCGGTGCACAAACAGGGGGCCCTTCTCAGTGTTGCCACGGACCTGTTGGCCTTGACGGTGCTCAAGCCTCCGGGAGAGTGGGGGGCTGACATTGCGTTCGGAAGCGCGCAGAGATTCGGCGTACCGATGGGATTCGGCGGCCCTCACGCCGCCTTCTTTGCCGTCGGCGAGAAGCACAAAAGAAAGATGCCTGGGAGGCTAGTAGGGCTTTCCAAGGACCGCCGAGGCGACAAAGCGTACCGGCTAGCTCTACAGACGCGGGAACAGCACATTCGACGAGAAAAGGCCACGAGTAATGTGTGTACGTCGCAGGCGCTTTTGGCGAATATGAATGCGCTCTATGCGATCTACCATGGCCCCGAAGGCCTCAAAGCGATCGCCGAACGGGTTATCCGCGGGGCAAGGGCCTTCCAATCTATCGCTGAGCAGAGCGGGTTCAGCGTTACGAAGAGCAAGTGGACCAACGATAGGGGCGTTCTCTTCGACACAGTCGTTGTCGACGTTAAGTCCGCCACGAATCAAGATAATATTATAAAAGCAGGGGATGAGTATGGGGTTTGCTTCCGCGTAATCGGGGACCGACACATTGGCGTTTCGGTTGATGAAACAACATCTCTCGACGATTTGACCAAATTGTCCCAGATATTCGCGAAAGTCTCTGGGGGTCAGGACACATACGCAGATGCGTCAAGTCGCGTCCACCAGATCCTCTCTCAGCAGGCTGGACCGTTAGACATCCCAGCTGCATTTCGGCGCACTAGTAGTTTTCTGACACACCCCGTCTTCAACACGCACCACTCAGAGACAGAAATGCTACGGTACATACACCATTTGCAGTCTAAGGACCTATCGCTCGTTCACTCCATGATTCCTCTCGGCTCGTGTACCATGAAGCTCAATGGAACTACGGAGATGTCACTCATCACGCTGCCCGAATTCTCTCAGATACACCCGCATACACCACAGAACTTAGTCCGCGGCTATATCAACCTGTTGGAGATACTCAAAACACAGCTGCGCGACATCACAGGGATGGATGCTACCTCTCTCCAGCCTAACTCTGGGGCTCAGGGCGAGTTCACCGGCTTGCGAGCAATTAGGGAATTTCACAAGCAGCAGGGAGAAAAGGGAAAGAAGCGTGACATCTGTCTGATCCCCGTGTCCGCTCACGGTACGAATCCGGCTTCTGCGGCTATGGCCGGCTTGCGGGTGGTTCCAATCAAATGCGATACGATTACGGGCAACCTTGACCTGACGGATCTCGAAACGAAATGCAAAAAGCACGAGACCGAACTCGCGGCTATCATGGTTACTTACCCCAGCACATTCGGCGTCTTCGAACCGGAGATAAAAAAAGTGTGCCAGATTGTTCACGACCACGGTGGGCAAGTCTACATGGACGGGGCCAACATGAATGCGCAAATTGGGCTCTGCTCGCCGGGAGAGATCGGCGCCGATGTATGCCACCTGAATCTTCATAAAACTTTCTGTATCCCACATGGCGGGGGTGGTCCTGGTGTCGGCCCCATTTGTGTGAAGCAGCACCTTCAGCCTTTCCTACCGCGTGACGCCAACCCTAGTGGCGAGGTGAGCAGCGGCGGTTACGCTGTAAGCAGTGCTTACTACGGAAGTGCCAGCATCAACCTCATCAGCTGGGCGTATAATTCTATGATGGGTGAGTTTTCCAGCCGATATGTACTAGCCACTCGACCAACCCCTTCTCCCGAAGTTGATTGTCAAGCTAACATGGCGGTAGGAGCCGAGGGTCTCACCCACGCTACCAAGATCACTCTTCTCAACGCCAACTACATCCTTTCCCGCCTCAAGCCTCACTACCAGATCTTATACACAAATGAGCATGGCCGGTGCGCACACGAGTTCATCCTTGATGCCCGACCCTTTAGCAAGACCGCTGGGGTTGAGGCCATCGATATTGCTAAGCGCCTTCAAGACTACGGTTTCCACGCTCCGACGATGAGCTGGCCTGTCGCCAACACGCTGATGATCGAACCTACGGAGAGCGAAAGCAAAGAAGAGCTCGATAGGTTCATCGACGCCCTCATCAGCATCCGTGAGGAAATTCGCGAGGTCGAACAAGGTAAAGTCCCGCGAGAGAGCAATGTCCTGAAGTTGGCCCCACACACGACACAGGACCTACTCCTGGGCGACGGCGATGGCAACTGGGCGAGGACGTACTCAAGAGAGAAGGCCGCATACCCACTACCGTGGTTGAAAGAGAAGAAATTCTGGCCTACTGTCACAAGAATAGATGACGGTAAGTTTCACTGGCGCAGCTGTCCTAAAATATTCCTCGCGTGGATGTACTAACTAATGGCTTAGCCTATGGTGACCTGAACCTCTTCTGCACGTGCCCGCCTGTAGAGGACACTACCTGAGAGATCTTCGCATCACCTCTCGGCATTTCCTGGGCATAGGAGCGTGGAGAGTGGGCATATAAAGCTAAGCGATACCATCCAGTTTCAACATTCCTGGGGGGGGAAGGCGTACCGGTTAGGTGCATATATGGCCAAAAAGAGCATCTCGCGGAAGGTATTCAACATTCGTCGGTATATATTTGGTAGAACGTGGAGTTTCACCAACTTCTAGAGCAGGCGTTAATAGGATTGGGGAGGGGGGCCAATTCAACATCCATTGCATCCAAGGGGTATTGAAGGAGGTTGGCTTGCGGTTGTATCTAGTTCTCTCAACCGAGCTCGGATTGCTTACTGGATAGCGGGTTACGACAAGATGGTAGGCATGGAAAGAGGAGGGGCACGACGGGGGAAATCAAGGAAGAATTGTGGTCAGTATAAGCAGCCAAGACGAGAGATTCCTGCGTAGCCTCTCCAGTAGGCAACAGAACTACTTTCGCGCCGCTTAGGAACTATAGTACTGCTTTAACCGGAAGGTGAAGTGGAAATGCGGTTTACCACTTTCTTGAGTGAGAACTCGCTAATGTTGGGCCGGGGATAGATGATGCCGAAGAATTATCTCTACATCGGTATTCTACACTTCGCTAACCTACGCATTTACTATATAGGTAGGCAAGCTGGCTTTATTCCACAGATAGATGTGCCCTTCTAAGCCAGATTCCCAGGAAATTCACGGGGGAATTAGGCTCATGCAGTCTGAATGTAGGTGATGTAAAGTCATCATCATAGAGCTCACGATCCTACGCTCCCTCTCCTCGTCGACAGCGCAAACCAACTCCATATAACCTAGTAGCAGTTCCAGGAGGCCAGCTCCGTTCACGTTCACGCTGACAATACCAGCCCAGGGCAGGCGACAGCTCTCTGCCTTCGCAGAACCGCCCTATACTCGGGGGCCATACCTAACGGGAGGGGCACACACGCGCACGGGCGCACACTTGGTACCTAGGCGCCGAACATCAAACGCCTACCCGCTGCCTCTTCCTCTCCCTACTTGCACACTTACCTCCGCCGCCGCCGCCAGCCTCGAGCACAACCCGCAGCACCGCGTCGCCGGCGCGGATGTACACGCACCCGTCCGCGCCCGCGGCGCCCGCGGTCAGCGACACCTCCTCGCCCTCGCCGAGCGCCGCCGCGTCGACGACCCGCGCCGCCCGGCCCTCCGCGTCGCCGGGCGCCAGCCACTCGATGTCGCAAACGAGCGCCTTCTCCTCAGCGCCCGCCGTCGGGTCCGCGCCCGGGCTGCCCACGTGCTCGATCTGGATCTCCAGCGCGCGCCCCGCGGCGAAGAGCGGCGACGTCCCGCCGGCGGCGACCGCCGCCGACCTCGTGCCGCCGCGCCGCAGCGGCTTCGTCGTCATCGCCCCCCCGGCTGGCGCCGTGGGGCCGCCCCCGGAGGCGGAGGGGGAAGCGGGAGGGGGAGAAGACGCGAGGGGCGGTGATGAGGAGACCTGAGGGTCTGGAAGTGCAGGGCTGCCGTCGGCCTCCGGCTCTACGGCAGTTGTCGGGGATACAATAGGGCTGTTCTCGAAGGAGGAAGTGGGAGAGGGAGAAGATGGGAGGGGCGGCGGTAAGTAGACCTGAGGGCTCGGATGTCCAACACGGCTGTCGTCTTCTCGCTCTGCGGGAGGTGGCGGGGATGTAGCGAGCGAGATAGCCGGCTCGACTTCTGGAGGGGCTTCTTCGGCGCCTCCTGGTATGTCGGAAACTGCCGATCCCGGTGCCGGTTCACCTCCAGATGCGGCGATATCCCCCTCCGTATATTCCCCATCATATATGTCGTTCGCTATTGGTTCCGGCTCTGGCGTTACCGTTTCCATCGCGCTGAGGGATGGAGGCGCCGACAGCAGCGTCGATGCTGACAGCGTGAGCAGCGTGCTCTCGTTTGGGCCGGTATATTTTGGCAACCCCTTGCCGTGGATGAGGTCCCTGACGCTCTCGCGCACGCGTTTCTCCAGGCGCTGGTTGAAGCTCTCGGCCAGGCCGTCGAACTCGGGCCCGCCGAGCGCCGGCAGCCGCCATCCCGGGTACAGCTTGCCGTGGGTCCCCGGCGTGTGGACCCCGGCGTACGTGAGGACGAACTCGTTGCACAGCCAGCACGCGTCCTTGCACGAGCAGACGACCCGCGGATGCGGATAAGACCGCGCGCCTGACGCCTTGAGGCTGCACCAGTACAGCAGCTGGATCTCGGCGTGGATCTTGGATTCTTCCAGGGTCTTCCGGGCCTGCTCCACGAAGCCAGAACTCGCCTTCTCTACCGTGCTGCTCAGCAGGCGGCACATGGTTCCGAGGTTCGTCTCGCCCTCCTTCAGCCCGTCGATGCGGAGGATAGCGGCCTGGAGTGCCGGAGCGTATTTGTCGACCGGGACTCTTTCGAATGCTTCTCTAGGCGGCTCGGCGAGCACAACGCGCATATTTCGAACCTGTGGTATCTTTTTCGCCTTGCGGCACAGGTACCTGGCTGCTTCGCGGTATCGGGCCACTTTGTTGATCTTGTCCTCGAAGCTACTTCTCAAGGATGGGTTCATAACCTTGTTAGGGATGATTTCGATGAGAGCATGTATACGTCCAGCTTGTTTCAGGCGGTATACGCCCTTGACCACCTCCTGAAGCCGTTGTTGTGTTTGGTCTTTTTCCCAAGAGCCCATGAGCGTCGATAACTCCGTCGCCCGCTCGATGAACGGGCGTAGTGTATTGGAAATCTCGGGCTCCTGGATGTGATCATGCCGGATATTGCCAAGATATCCCAGCGCAAGTCCGATGCTGACTCTGACCATTTCTAAACGTTCGAGGATGCGCTTCGAGCACATAGAGACGATGACCCCCAGCACGCCGTCCGTTGTATCAGAGGCGGAGTCTTTTCAGATAGGTATAATTAGTACATGAGCGGTGTCACCGGGATTGCTGGCGCACCCTTAGCACTGTCTATTTTACCGAGGAGAGAGAAAATATCCTCGAAACTTCTCTTCAACTGCCCTAGGACATGTTTCCCGTCGTCTGGCTTGGCTTTGTTTATGGCAATCAAGACATTCAAGGAACCTGCATTCCCATCTTCCTCGATGCAGACGGCTGTGATGTGGTTGGCGTTATGGTTTGGGCGCGCGAGGAAAGCGAGCGTGCCGCAAAGTCGACGCTCGGTTTCGAGAGGTAAGGTATAGCCTTTCGACCTATCATGACTATTCGCCACCGAGTTGCGAGATGGCAGGGCAGGGATGGGATGAAGAAGATGTAGAGCCGCGATATTCTCCGCGCAGATGATCGCGGGGGCATTGAGGTCATCCCGTGCCACATCCAAAGCCTGCATTTTCACTCTAAGGGATAAGCTCTCTATAATAGCTGTCGGCATCCGTAGCGGGCGATGAAGTCTCCTCTACACCTTTGGTTCGTCGACTGAAGCGGTAATCGTCCCCTCTGTCCGTTTTCTTCTTCTCCCCTCTTGCGTTGGCCATGAACCTCAATCGACCGCCGATAAGTCGCGTAATACGCGCCTCCCCGCCTCCTCCCCCTCCTCCAGGCAGTGCGCGCGCGGTCCTCGAGATGATTGGCACCCGTTCGCGTGGTTACTAAGATACATGTGCATCGAAGCCCCTCCGATACGAAAGACATGAGATGTGATATATCGCTGCGAAAAAAGCTGCGGTGCTACATCGAGGTACCCGGCGGTGCAAAGTGTCTCTCAAAACCCCGTATATGACCTCCGAGCCACGGAAACCAAGAGGTCTATTCGGAGAAGTTATGATCGGACAAGCCAGCGAGATTGGTCCGGGAAATCGACCCGAGTTTTCTGTCGTGGCCGGACACGAGCGAGAACGCGCTGGACATTTCTCGACGCGGCTACGGGAGCTGTGGTAGATATGCCTACCATGAATCGTGTTTCGTCCTTCTATTAGCCTAGGGAAATAGGGCTCACAGCAAGCCTGTCAGACGGGGAGGTCTAGGGTATTTCCAACTGAGAGTCACCCTCGCAATTCTCTTGCCATCGCCTGCCTGCGACATCACTACCTGTTTACTACATTTCGAGCGTCTCGAGCGGAATCACTGGAAATGCTCGCGATGATCGAGAACAGCATATAATAGCTTCATTCATTTCGCCATGTACTGCGGGCAATGAACTAGTGCCAAAGCATGCTCAGTGGTACACTCGGGATTGCCGGGAAAAGGGGGAATTCGCATTGTCTACGGTAAAAAGTAACGCTATTACATAGGTATTCAACATACTTAAGGGACTGCTCGCTCTAGGATGCTTGGGCGGCGAACGCATGGCGTCAAGTGACGCTCGCTTCGGGTCTGGTGGCATACCCCCTTTTCGTCATCCGATGAACTCTGAACCGGTCTTTAGCGACACCCTCACCGGAACGGGAAGCTTGCGTGGTATAGATAGCAGGTTGGCGTACTGCATCAGGAGTCACCATAGGATGGCAGCGCCTCATAGCCCAAAATAAGGTCTTGCTTATACAACGACCTTTCGTTGAGGTAGCCAGTTAACGAGTATCATACGAGGGAGATAATCCTCCAGATAGTAAGTCAGTTTAGAGTACATTTACTAGCATTTGAAGAAACAAGGGCAAGGCCCGTTAGCACGGAGCCTACGGGCCGAAGATCGTGATGATTTGCAAGGCCGCATTTTCGTGAATGGTACCGGTATGTGGTCAATCAAACGCGTTGGTGCATTAAGGTCGCAAGCCATGTGCTGTGTAGTACATGTTGACATGAACAATTTGCCAAATGAGACGCGCAATTTTAAATGACACCAACAACCACGACCATGACGACTCCCCAGGGTTCTGACAGAGGGGTAGGTGGACTCGGGGTATTAGAAGAATTTTGACCGTGGGTTTGCCGATTCTTCGTCATTGCCTCCGCGACGACTGAGGGGAGGAGGAGCGTGTGAGCGAGGCCAGACAGGAGTGAGCAATACAGCTCCTCGATACTTTCGTCCGGGGGCTAGCAAGTTTGATAATTCGGCCTCATTGAAGGATTGGAAACAACACCTGTCTCACGAGGACTGTCCCCATTTTCGAGTTTACCCAAGAGTTTAGTCCCAAGGTCGCTTTCACACACCGCACAATCGTCAGGCACATTAGGTATAGTCCGCTGTACTATAGGTAGTAAGGGTGTCGAAGGAGATCGAACGGAAGAGGGGGACCCTGAGAGCGTCGGCGGTCAGGGGGGGGTCACGCCAGCAACGGGGGCGGACTTCATACAACAAGAATACACGGGCTCAGGCTGAGGGCATCACGTACACACCTTCGCGCTACACTGGTTGGCAGGGGGGCAGGACTGATTGAATATGAGTAGAGTAGGAGGGGGGGGGGTTAAGGACATCTACCCTACCTTACCTAAGGTGGCGGTCCGAGAGATTGATTTGAAGGTTGACCCATGGCCAAAACACACCCTTGTACATAAGACATCTGAGTAAGTCTCTCCGTAGGGAAATTTGTGGTACTTTACCAAGCCAGGTGGGTTACGTAAATTTGGTGACATATGGACTTCTCAACAGAGTTCGTCAGTCTCACCGCTGGGTTGGCGACGAGAGTCAGCACCTATGAGGCATATGAGGCATATACAGGTATATAGGTAATGTCGCGTGGACTATCGTGATAGGACAGACGGCAATACACCAAGGCGCATTTTTTTCTCTCTCTCTGGGATGGGTGATCAGACAAGCAAACGTGGCATAGTGCCGGGTGTGACACATTTCGGGCGTGACATATGGCGACATATTGGCGACGATTCGCGGCCTGGGCGCATTTCGCGAAATATTTTTCCTCTTTAGCCGCCTAACCATTAGCAAAGCGCCGCTGTCGCGAACTGGCTGCCACCCAGGCCCTGCTTCGGGTCCAGGCCTGCAGGGTCGTCAAGCTCCCGTGCCGAACGGATACCGGACTAGAATAGCCGTCGCATTCATTAAGCGTCGTCGAGGGCCGAATATCGAATTGATCCACAACCGGTCGTGGTCGAGGGACAGATGACCATAAAGGAAGAAGAAAAAAAAACAAGAACGCGCCGGGACATCTGCACAGGCAAAGTGCATACCTACCTCCCATAGTCGGGCAGATCTTCTCCACCACATCGCGCATCCGGGTTGAGCAGCTGCTGTGGGCGGAAGCCACCTGCCACTCGACCAGTCCCGGACCGCTCTGGGGGAAATTGCAAATTGCGTCTGTGCTCATAAGAAGACGCGCCGTAGCTGCTCGTTGGGGGCTAGTCAGGAACAAGAGTGACGATACCACCTGCGCTACCACCCTAAGACGTGGGTACGTGTGTACCTATGTTACCCTGCTTGTTACCTTACCTACCTAGGTACCTACCTCAGGCACCGACTGCCTTAGCTACGTTAGGTACCTCTTAGATATCCCCGAGCGTGCCTGAAAACTGCAGGAACAGACGTCTTGACCCAATCAAACATGATCAGATGCTACCTTCCTGTAGGACGGGGCCTGGCCGGGCTGAAATTGTATGATTTGCCTAGGTAGGTTTAGCGTGGCATTCTGTAAACGCCCGAGGGATCCAGGGAAGGGGTGAATGGCATTGTATGATTGATGGGATCGCAATATCGGTAGTCACTTAGGTACCTCTAAGTTAGTGCTATACCGAGGTAGAGGGGTGTATTTTACATGCCTTAGTTCGGAGGTATGCTTGGCTTGGCATGAGGGTTGCTGAGCGAGCGTCTGCTGGTATCTGCAGGCCTCGACAAGTGGTCTTGAAAAGCCTGACGACAATCCTATTACTGTCCAAGCATTGAGAGATTCGATCCGCACTGCGTGTTTGCGCGGAAGGGAACGGCGCGGTAACTATACAAATGGAGGAAACGACCTACCTAGATAACAAACGGGGGGAAAAACCATCTCAAGGTGCATTCCGTCTGCCTGTTGTATCCAGCGCAAACAGTGAAAAGAACGGCGCATTCGGGGCTACCTTAGCTGTCGGCCCTTGGTATACACAGCTTAGGTCCCTAACCGCACGTACAATACAATACCTCTTACAAAACCGGCACCCGCCGGGATGCTAAGTACCTTAGAAGGCATGTAGGCAGGTTAGGTACCTAAGGTAGGCCACACGGAGGAGATATTGGAGCTGGAGTGCGGCGCTGTGCATCTCGGCACTCTGACGTTTTCACCAGTAGTGCCCTGCAGGCCGCATCAAATGTATCTATGTAATTTCCGTTGCCCTGTGCAAATTCGGAGGATGCGATCCGTACCGTAATACCTCCCGAGATACTAACCCTAAAAGGCATATGCGTGTATGGCAAGAATGAAGACTAATTCCCTCAGGGCTAAGGAAAGCAAATGTAGATGCTAAGATTTTATTTAACCTCTCCCACCAGGCCTCGAAATAAAGAATAAGCACTTAAAATTGATCTCGAAACCTCCGTCTTATGGATGCTCTGGGAGCTAGGTTGCCTGCCTCCCCCAGCTCTCTGCCTCGCCGGGCTCTCTCTACGTGTTGGGATAGGGTACCTGGAAAGCAGAAGTAACGGTACCTACGTACTACGTAGAATGTAGGTTAGCTTACTCATGCTTGTCGCTCGCAGCCAATGGAAGAGTCGTGCAGCGATTGCCCAGAGTTGAGCCTGACCATCTCATTGGGCAGGCCGGGGGGGGGCCTCTGCTCGCTTGCCCCAACGCCCCAGTGACGCCCTAGTCCTCTGGTGTAACGCTGGTAATCTATGCCCTGTATGGATACTTCAAGGTACCTCCTATTGCTGTTGATCTCGCCATAGACCCACAAGGAGACCCCAGAGATGATCGTGGCTGTCGTCCCGCCGCCTCTCTGCCACCCATCTCTCTCGTTCCTTCATTAAACTGGCCTAATACCCTCACTACCTCACCCGCGCGCGTACTCACTCTCTCACTCTCTCTCGTTCTCGCTCATCCACACACCCACACACTCTCTATCTCTTCCTTCTACCACAGGGCTCCGTTGGCAGAGTCCGCGCCGCGAGTTTCGCAACTAAGTTCGAGTACCGAGTACTCGGCCCAACATTCATTGAACCGCTCATCGTATCAGACCTAACATATACGCGTCTGTCGCAAGGCACGAGCTGGATATATTCGCAAAGAGAATTGGAAAAGGAAGCAAGGGCTTCAGGGAAAACTATATCCAACGACTGATCCTCTTTACTCGGAAGTATCTACCTTCGCGATAACGCACCGTCCCGTCCCGTCCTGGGCTAGACATCGAAACCCATATATTAGAATTTCAGGTGGAACAAAATCTGCGGTCTCCGAAATGCATCTGTCGTCCATCCTCGCAACCGCGCTCCTGCCCCTGTTGGCAGTCGCTGAGACCTCAACTACGACGTCAACGTTGACGTTGACCAAGTACATCACCATCTCCAAGGTCTCTACCTCCAGCGTGTACAGCGCGAATTCGACCTCGTTCTACGCAGCGACTGGCACTATTTCTTCTTCCGCCACTTCTTCGTCCGCCCTCTTCGTCCCGACTACGACAACGGGCGCCGACGGCACGCCTACAACTGCTGCGCCCGTTGTCAGCCCTACCATCGACAACAACAGTGGGGTGGCACTTGGATCCGCACAGATCGCGTTCGCTGGTGTGGCTGGCATGCTGATTGCAGCGTTGTTGTAAATTTACGCTGTACCTACAGTGTATATCTTACAGCCTCACCTCCGCCAGCAACGCCAGCCTAACCCTCCTTAATGTGGACATTTTAACCTTCGCCTTTATTTATTCTATCAAACCGCTGCAGCACTCTTCGTTTCCAGAGCTGTCCGCCTACATCACATGCGACAAGACGAATGATTTACGATATACATCATCAAAATTGACAGCGTTTCGCTTTCCATCCTCATCCCTGCGTCATTCCCGGCTTTCTCTGCACACCTGTCTCAGGTTGCAGCAAGCCGATGATGAACCGCCACTACAAACTCGACGCCGTACCCTCACCCTCGGTATTCCTACTGGTGTTGAGCGTTTGGCGCCCCCTTTTTATCTCCTTAACAATTCAGAGACCTCGATGGACTAGCAAGCTGCCTACGACAAACTTCCCTTCTGACATCCATGTGCTCTTGAGCGAACTTGACGCCTTCGAATACACATAGGCCTCTACCTCGGAAGGCCAGTGTTGACGGGTTGCGCTTTAAATGGAGCAGTTCATGGTGAAGATGGGAGTGTATTGTTGGCTGGACTGTCATTTTTCATTCATATGCCCCCCTTTTTTCTCTTGTCTGTGAAGGAGCTCTATGATGAGCTGCGGACCGGAGGCCCACGAAGGCATCTTTATACCATTTGTTTTATTCTTTTTCTTTTCACTCGCCTTCGTGTTGTTGAGATACCCCCTTATTGCACGCCCGCCGAGCGAGGGTTGGCCCGAGGTGGAATTTGTATGAGGATTGATGATGCCTGAAGACGTTTGTCGTATTCTCACTGTGTGTGAGTGTTGCCCGTCGATTTTTAACTACTTTTCGGAGACTCGTAAGCATTCGCAGTTGCTCTCCCTCCGAACTTGCCACCTACTGGTTGGAAGGAGGGAGGAGGGAGCGCGATCTAGCACTTTGTTTAAGAGAGAAGTTCTATGAATGCTATACAGCTCAATCGATCCCCTTTAAGCAATATGTTTCCTGGCTGGTAGTTGACGTGCTGGCTTGTTGATATGAAGCCCTGTGTGTAAATTGAAGGTATGTAAGTCCTTCCTGATCGGTCATTGGCGTTATTTGTGATTGGCCAGCATACACTGGGTCCAACTCACAGACCCATCGCTAGGGGAGGCCTGGTGATGTACCGAAGGTAGGCGAGGAGGGAGGTAGGTATATTATAGGTATACGGTACGCCAGTCTACCTTAGCAAAGGTTACCTGGTGGTAACGAAGTTTTAGTAGTATAACATTGACATGATGGTAGTGTTGTCCTCCCCTCTTCCATCATGCCCAGCTATCGTAGAAACGCGTTTCTTCGTCGATGGGCCCTCTTGTTGTGCGATGTCGTTTGGGTATCGTCCAGCAGTCCTTCCGATGAACAATCCAAAAGTAAATCCGGTTAGGCATACTGGCAAGACTGGTTCTTATATTCTACTGTCCTCTTCAACTACATCCGATACTTTGGGGTGGCGGTTGAAGGGGGCCTTTCAGCTGGCATCAGCTGTGAGTAGTACATACAAGCATTCCAGTACAAAGGCAGCTCCGGTTCTAACCGATAAGGCGGGCTCAGGCAGGACGCGGCCAATAGTGGGCCACCAAAAAGCTGGGGAGGATAATTGTAAGCAATTCGGCTTATGTGGGTATTTATGCACCGAAGGCGTCAATACCTAATCGTTATTCCTAATCGACTTATCAAAGGCGAGATATTTTGGAGCTGGCTTCGCCATCCCTACCCTCTCTTCATGCTGTCATCGACAGCTACCCCCAATTCCAGCATCATCCCAGCGCTGCAACGATGGCATCCCCTTCGGCTTCATTGAGCCGCATCCGCGCGCCCGTTCAACGCGCAATCGCACAGTCTTCTGCTATCGGCGCCATCCGCCTCTATGCCACTATCCCTACGACCACGTCCGAGCCGTCTCCCTCGTCCGGCAAACCCCGCCGACCGACGTATTTCAAAGACACGACGGTAGCCTCCTTCGACGATTTCCTGCCCACCTCGTCCGCCGCGTCGCCGCTGCCCCCCAGCGACGCCTACCAGCTGCGCACCGCCGAAGTCGGCCCCGCCTCCAACCGACGCACCATCACCCGGCTGCCCGAGTGGCTCAAGACGCCCATCCCGGCCGGGAACGCCAACTACAGCAAGATCAAGGCGGACCTGCGGGGCCTCAACCTGCACACCGTCTGCGAGGAGGCCCGCTGCCCCAACATCTCCGAGTGCTGGGGCGGCAGCAACAAGAACGCCGCCACGGCCACCATCATGCTCATGGGCGACACGTGCACGCGCGGGTGCCGCTTCTGCAGCGTCAAGACGAACCGCAAGCCGGCGCCGCTGGACCCGCACGAGCCCGAGCACACGGCGGAGGCGCTGGCGCGGTGGGGCCTCGGGTACGTGGTGCTGACGAGCGTGGACCGCGACGACCTGGCGGACGGGGGCGCGCGGCACTTCGCGGAGACGATCCGGCGGATCAAGGCGAAGAAGCCGAGCCTGCTGGTGGAGGCGCTGACGGGCGACTTCCTCGGCGACCTGGACATGGTCGGGCTGGTGGCCGCGAGCGGGCTCGACGTGTACGCGCACAACGTGGAGACGGTCGAGGGGCTGACGCCGTACGTGCGCGACCGCCGGGCCACGTTCCGCCAGAGCCTCGCCGTGCTCGAGCACGCCAAGAAGGTCCGCGGCCCCGCCGGCGTCGTCACCAAGACCAGCCTGATGCTCGGCCTCGGCGAGCGGGAGCGCGAGGTCGCCGACGCCCTCAAGGAGCTGCGCGACGTCGGCGTCGACGTCGTCACCTTCGGCCAGTACATGCGCCCCACCAAGCGCCACCTCCAGGTCGACAGGTACGTCACCCCCGACGAGTTCGAGATGTGGCGCCGCCGCGCGCTCGACATGGGCTTCCTCTACGTCGCCAGCGGGCCCCTCGTCAGGAGCAGCTACAAGGCCGGCGAGGCCTTCATCGAGAACGTGCTGAGGAAGCGGGCCGGGGAGAAGGGCCGAGCCGGCGTCGACGGCAAGCTCGGAGAGACCATCGCCATCGAGCAGGCGATGAAGAGCGAGGGGGTCTGAGAGAGAGCACTGCTCTCTGGGCTCTCCATCTTATCCCTCGCAAAAACTTGCTTTTTTCAACATGGCTTGTACATAATTGGTTCCCGCCGCTCGGGCTCTGCCCCCGAGCGAGTGAGGGTGGCATGGGACTCGGCGCATAGAGACGGGCGGCTCTCCCCCGCCAGCGTGAGGAAAGGGGGGCGGGGGATGGGGGAAAGACTGGAGTTTGGAATTTGGGAACGCTCGTCGGCCATCTTATTCAACCAGGATACGGCGGCCGGGATCAACAGAATGGGAACCTGGGCACATTGGCCCTCAAGCACTTGTACTTTCTTGATCTAAGGTGAACATATGTCTATCCGGTACCTATGTATCTAGGGGCTGTGCTCGTGTTCTACGCGTGCGCGGGCAGACGTCCCCTCGGACTCACTTATACCTACTATAGAGCTACTTATGTCTGTAGCACTCCGTAACCGGCCTGGGGGTTAACGAACTTAAAATATCGGGCCCGGAGCACGGGGCGGAGGCTGGCCGACCCGTCGGTCCGGAGCCGAGCTAACGCATCTCTACAGCAAGCCCAATATGTCCCGCGGATCAGCCATAAAAGACTCTCCACAACGGCAAAGAGACGAAACTGGAATTACCCAAGCAGGGTTATGTACACATGTTATAAACCTTCAGCAAACGTGGCGTCGTTAATCGTACTCTAAAATGTAAAGCGTCTCCAAAACTCTACACGTAGCATTCCTTGATCGTCATGGGCCGTTTGATACATCGCTCTTCACTATGTATACTTCGCCGATGAGGACGGCGCATCCGACGACCATCGATATGGTGATGATGGGAAGGTTCACGCGAGCGAAATCGAGACCCCGGACGTGGATGTGCTTCCTAGCGAGGATATCACGCCACAAGAGACCGGCCAGGGATGCGCTGAATGCTGTGCTAAACGCACCATAGTTGACGCCGAGGGCCATGCTAACATGGCTATCAGTACGCTGAGACGAAATTAGGGGCCCTTGTCGTGCAGACGACGTTAAAGAGACGAGTGGGGTTAGTGCCCGTCTTCTTCATACGCACCTATATACCGTTGCCCAGAAGGTTCTGTCTGAGATCCGAGTTCCATTCTCTTCGTGAATCTGCTGCCACGCTTGTATTACGCGGGAGAGGAGGATAGTCGTACCGATATTAGTCCCCGCAAACTAATTCACGGCAGGAGATTAGCTAACGAGGTAGACCCCATCGGGGCAACAGATACCTACATTGCAGAGGATCACCGAGAGGAATGCCATGCCTCCAACGCTACCAACCGTCCCCGTCTTGTTCACCCAGTGATCCCAGCCGTAGGCGAACACCGGGACCCAGCCCTTAGTGACTAGGGCTTGCACGAGGATAAACATAGAGAAGGCGAACGGAACAAGTGCATATGGTAGGTGACTTAGCACCGCTGTCGCTGTGGGGAACGTCTCCTGCGACCACCTGTATGCATCAGCTACTAACGACACGAGTGTCGTCCCCCGGCGTTCTGGGCCCGCTGCGACACTACAGGAGGGCTCCAGTTTCGCTTCCGCCTCGGGCTCAGATGACGCTAAACTCGTCTCTCCCGCGTTTTTTATCAACGTTAAGCCTGAAAGTTTCTCTGATGGGTATTGCGGGTTCGGGGTAGTGGGTATCTGTTTTTCATTGATAATCGCTGCATCATCTGCCGGAGGGCGTGCTCCCCGTGATCGGTCGTCCTGCGGTAGTGGTTCGACGGTCTTATCCGTCGGTAGGCTATTTTTAGCCTTTATATCGCCGCTGGGTGGATCAGTAGTATAGTGAATGCCCTCCAGAACAGCATTCTGGCAATGCGTACTCGTTTCTAAAGTGGCAGTAGGTCGAGGAGGAACGGGCGAAATGTGCGCCTGCTCTCCGCTTCGGTTCAGAATGGCTCTCTCCATAGCTTCCTCCTGGGCTAGTCGTTCGGCCCGCGCTCGTTCGAATTCTCGCCGACCGTCGCGGGCGATCTGTCTGGTTTCGCGGCGGTGGTGCCATCCAAACCCAATATCCCAGCAAAACATGACAAACGCGGCCGGTAGGGTGACATAGAATACGGGATGCTCGCCGGTGCTAGGAGTAGATGCGTTGAGTGCGAGGAGCGTGATAAGAGTTGCAGCCATAATGACACCCCCGAAGGCAGCGCCTCCTTTATCCAAAAAGGGATTCATGATCTCTTCTAGGGACAGAAGCTTCTCTTGCTCGCCGTTTGTCGGGTTGTCCTTATCCTCCTCGGCGTTTCCTCTGGCGTGAGGAATATTGGGGTTCACAGGCTTCCTCGCCTTGGCTTCCTCCGACAGTTCATGCATCTTAATGCAGAGCGGGATGAGAGACTCGTCCGCGAAAACGATATAGAGCAGAAAGGGGAAAAGGACGATGGCGGTGATGACCACAGGGACGATCATATGGGCCGTATAGTCGATGAACTTGATGTTGAAGGCGCCGGCGAGTACTAGGTTTGTGGGATTGGAGGATACGAGGACGGCCGAGGCAACGTTCGCTATAGCGAACTGGGTGAAGATCCATGCCCTCGGATGGATGATATTGCTGGATACCCGAGTCATGTACGCGAGGAAGGCCGTACCGGAGAGTATGATTGGGTCGTTGCCGATGAAGATGCCTAGGGCAAAGAAGAAGGCGTACAGATAGAAGAACAGCCGATGGCCAACCTTTCCTGCTTTCTGAAGGACCTTAAATGCTAGATACCTAATGAGACCAGAGGCATCGATCGATATGGCAATATATGCTAGCGTAATGAAAAATGCCATAATGTCGATAGGGGAGATGTTGTTGGCGCCGATCGTGCCCCCGTACACCTCCTCCCGGCCGATCGCCAGTATCGCCAACAGGAAGAGGTCAGCTATTAGGGGTGCCGTCACAAAATTCATAGGGAAACGAAATCGGACAAAATGCCTGCCCCGATCATCCTGGCCCTCGCTGTAGACGCTAATGGAACTGGAGACGTGAGAGGGGCGATTCCGCCTCGGGCCTATCACCCGCAAGGCCCCCAGGGCGTCCAGGATGGCATCCCTCAACAACCTAGGAATATAGATCGGAATATGGAAGGGGAGGAGAACGATGATGTCTGCATAGCCGACAGAGCCAACGGGTTAAATCATATGCTTCGTCTTCGCGTTACGGCAACTCTACTTACTAGTGATGACAAAAACGACCAGGGTGATGATTGACCGCCACGTGTGAATCTTGGTAGTATCGAGGTCGAGCCGAATAGAGCTCAGGTGCTCGGCCATCTCGATGTCCCTCTCGCGAAGGCGAACGGAGCTCTAGTGCTTCCCGCCCAGGTTCTCGAAAAGACGAGAATTTCGGGAGAGGATGCTGGTTACGGTGACCGGGTGTGTAGCTCCGGCCTATGAATAAGTACTTCCCTAGAGATATATACGATCCATGTGCGGCGAATTCGAGATTGCTAGCCTCACCTACCTCTACTGTGGCGACGAGGAGGACCCGCGCCGAGAGTGTGGGATTTTGCAAGCGGGCAGTGCAACCAGCCTCATATATACATGGAGGGCTGGGAGGGTCGGTGAGCCGGCCGGACAGGCATGTAGGTAGATCTCAAGGAATCGATAGCTGGGTAATTGAGACCGGCGGCGGGAGCCAAGCGGGTCGATAAGCGAATCGGACGGTACACGTACTCTTGGTAGAGACGGAGATGGGATTTTTCTTCCTGTCGAAGTGAGGGAGAGGGGGGGTTAGAGAGTGCGAGAGAGAACGTCTAAGCAAAAGAGACGGGAGCTGGGCGACGCTCACCCAGGATTTGCTGTGACGTAGGTAGTTGCAGGCCTGGAAGGTGGTAGAGGTAGGTGAAAACGTAGTAACGTACTGGTAACAACAAGTCTATATACCGTAGGTACCTACCTACCTATACTTGCCTACCTAGGTACCTAAGGTATGTGACCACGCATCCTCCCGCACCCGGTGTGGGCCGACGCGGTATCGGGTTGTTCTCAACAGCCCTCTCGCCGCCACAACCTGTCTGCACCGGTGGCTGCGCCTGTGAGATTCCGTCAGGTGTGTGAGATTATATCAGGTGATTAACAAGACGTTCCTTCGGTTAGGCACCTATCTGTAGATATCTGCCTACTACCTATGAGGTACCTACTTACCTAACCTCTCTACCTAATGTATGCAGGTAAGCGTACACGATTTGCACCTATCGGAGCTCGATCCAATGCGGCGACCGAATACCGGGTAGGGAGGAGGTGCCCGCATGAGCACTGCCTTCCAAATGCACCTACTACTACGTACAGACCTCCTAGTAACATGCATAGTAACATAGGTTGTGCGCCTGGGGGTTCGATTGGCCAATGGGATCGAAAGCACCGTAACCGCGGCCAGTAGACGCACCCAGCCAAGCCAAACCTATCTCGTGTGTAACCGATCGCAGGAGGAAAGTTGTCGTATGAAGGCGTATAATCAACACGCGACTGATATGTCGAATCCCGGCCCCATGCTCGTGTAGGAGGTAGGTATGTACGTATTGCAGGCATTAATATGCTCTTCTTCCGAAGGCGGGATGCGGGGAAGAGGCGCGCCAGGGCTGAGGCGAACCAGTAATATTTCTAGGGCTCGGGAGGCTGGACCCGCCCTTTTCCTCTCTTTTCCTATTCCACTCCTCGGTATCGAGGTTCGTGCGTCATCCCCAGGTCAGATGTCTCGCTGATCAAGCGGCCCTACGCCACGGACGGGGGAGGCCTTAGTTCCTAACCTCCGTTGCACCCACGGCCCCGGTTGTGGTTGGGACTGACCAGACTTACCTGGCTCAGGTACCTACCTCCTACCACGTGTAGTCTACGTGTCCCGTCCCGTCTCCTGCGTACCCCCAGTTCTATACCTACCTACTCTATACCTTCACGTCCAACTCCTCAAGTCGACACCCCTCCACCCTCCTCCTCCTCGGGCCACCGCAAATGCATAGGTATACATACCACTCCGACCGCTAGCCTCGTGTTAAATCCGAGGCCACTGAGCGATGGACCGACCTTTGCGCCCTCTAGATTCCTCAACACGGCACAACTTGTTTGCGGCGGTGCTGATGGCCCGGCCTATCAAGCCAAGCTGGCTAATCTAGCTTATGGAGGATGGGTCATCTGCCAAGGACTACCTCGCTCGCCTTGTGTTGGGAAACACGAGGCGGTTGCGATATTTACTGACCTCGGTGCCGTTTCTATCTTCGTAGGCGCGCTATCTGGTCGCTGTGACGCGCAACTATTAGATAAAATCGTCGAGCAGCCAGCGTCGTTTTGCTGTTCTCTCTTATGACCCCATTCACTTGCGCTATGCGGACCTGTCGGTTGATTCTATCTTCTATGTCCCACTCTCCGTCTTTTCCTCCAGGCCATGCCGGCGCTGCCTTCGACGGTGCTATTCGATGCTCTGGCTAGCCGTAGCGAGCTTCTCACCGCAAATGGTCCCTCCACAGCCCTCAGTTCGGGTAATGCTACAAATGGCGACGATGCTATGCAAGTCGTTTGTGCCTGGCCCTTGTCCGGCCAGTATGGCATTGGCTCGAGGGCGTTGTAAGTCGACGGATCCACACAGGCGACGTACAAGCTCGAGGTTGCAACGCGAAACTAACGAATAACCCCCTCCCCCCTCCCCCGCGGTTAGATACTACGCTCTCGTAGCAGCCTGCATCTTCGCTCGAAAGGCCGAATGGCTGAGAAACGCTTGCTTAGCAGCTGCTTGTATGTCCATATCTAAACACCAAACCCGGCCTGGCCATGACCCTGAAATTCGTGGGATACAGTCTGTGGTAGCGACCTTATCCGCAGATAGACGAATGGTCGTAGCTGATACTACGTGCTGCAGTGATTTTCCCGGCTGTTGCCGCCCTTCATGGCATTGTCCTCGCCGTACTACATACCGACAGTGAGTCCCGCATACCGCCGTCGAGGTGCAAGCCGTATTTACATCCGTGTTAGGTGCCGTCGACATGGACGTATACGGGGCCTTTCAGTTCTGCGCTATTGGCCTAGTAGCCGCTCCGCTGACAGTGAGGATGTCTCGGACCTACTTCTACGACCCCGGTCGAAATATAATATTTCTTTGGACTGGCGTTGTTCTCGCTGGTCGGTAGTCGTCGTCTCTGGCTTCCAGTGCCTGTGCTAACAACAGCAGGTCTATTGAGTCTGACCGTCGAGTTTTTCCGAATCACAACCTCTGCCTGCCCCCACGACGATTCCGGTAACCCGGTTTCCCCTCTTGATTTCAAGGGCTTCCCATATGAGCAAGCTACCTGTGGTCTCACCTGTAGCATCGAACAGGGGCCGAAATCTCCGCTGAGACAAGGCGCAACAAACGAAATATACGTCATTCCAGCACCCAATATACTCACATTTAACGCTGCGACGCTCCTAGCGGCTGCGTGCTGCATCCCTGCCATCCTCTCTCTTGCGTCGATGTGGAATAAGATCCTCGAGATCAACTGGAAGTCCAGATTCGGCCAAAGAGATGGGAATAAGTTAATTGAGGGGTCAGTAGAGTCTGGAATCGTCCAGACGCACATTTCTCTTTCTTCCTCCTTTGAACTATGCTCATTTATCCTGGCTCTATAGGACGAACGGTGCTACCGTCGCGAAAATGAGCAAGGTTAATACCGTGGTGAGGTTATTTTTGAGCACCGTGGAGATTCCTCTATTTAGCGGCGCGGTAATTGCCCTTCTCATTTTTGGTGAATGGAATTTCGCCAGTCCTCAAATGGCATATCAGACCGAACTCATGACTAGCATAGGTAAGTGTCATCTTATATCCTATGGGTCGTTGATAATAATATTTACCTCGTTCATAGGCCAGGTTAGTAACTGAAATCATCCATCTTCACCCCAGCCACATGAAGATCGGAGTCAGCCCGCCGTTAGAGAAAGAAAAGTTGAAGCTATCATTTCTAGCTTTCGCAGGAAGAGGTGTTCAAGTATTTGCTAACACTCATATACGAAATAGTGGGCGCCTCTTGTCGGGACCGGCCTGGCTGCCTTAGGTTCGCTGTACCTCCTCGTCGTCGACTTGGAGATGACGAGGGAGGGAGCAACACAAACAGAACCTGTGTGCTGTGCTTGTTCGAACCACAACTTCAGTGGCGACCAATGTTCGGGTTTACTCATTTCAGCTCAGGCGGCCTGCTCCGTTAGCTCGGAGGAGGGCCGAAACGCGTTTGAGAACGCCTTCGACAGCCCGCCACTAGACCCAAGGAATCCATCGGCTTTAAATGGGGTTTATGGCGGCGCACTTTCGGGGTCCTGCGATTCGATTGTTCCCCCAGACGCGGTACATTTGCCGCCTAGCCTTTCTAGTCATGGCGGAGTGCCGGCTGAGACGGACTCCTTCACCAGTCAGCCGAAACCAAAAGACCCGGGCAATAGACGTAAAGTGGCCAAGGTGTTAAGAAAGGTTAGCGATTATTTTGGCACGGCAAAACTTCACCAATTTGACGACTCCGAGTTCAAGCATGGCAAAGCGGTCGACTTCCCAGAGGTTCCAGGGGAGGAGCAGCGAAACCCGGACCTGCCTCAAATCCGAGAACAATACAACACGCACCGCGAGGATGAGAGCTCGGCTCGCTCTATCATAAAACGGTCGCCCAGATCAGACAGCTTTACGGGGAGTGTCAGCTCCAGGTTCAGCGCCGAAAGCGGGTTGCTAATGACGAGGGCGATATCAGCAGAGTCACTACCGCCGCCGCATTCTCGCTCGTCATCATCGGCGCCATCGACGGCCGGAATAACGCGTAGCGACACGCTGCCACCAGTACATGGCCCGGCTGAGCAGCATGACCCAACCAGGGGCCAGCCAAGACAGCGGCGAGATACTCTGGAGGTACCGGTTCTGGATTTTCACAGCTCTTCGCGAGCTAGCTCGTCATCCTCTCCGCTTACAACCGTCACTGCTATCGCTAATGGCCAGGGCTCGCCCGCAATTGTTATTATATCCCCCGACGCCGAAACGGACGCCGATGCGGATGCGGAGCCTCTCACTCTCAACCCCGCTACCGCCTCGTTGTCCTCTGCGTCGCCATCTTCGCCACCGGCCGATACGTTGCCTCAGCCATAGCACGGATGTATGACACCTCATGCGTGGAAGGAAAGAGAAGGTCCTCGTGAAGGACTCGGTATTTTATGATTGGTGGTATATACTCGTAGAAGTTGGATATGCGTATTTTCTTTATGCGTAGGCTTGATCCCTCAGAAGGTGTTAATGGTACAATGCCTACCTGTTTAGAGGTGCAGGTAGATGTGCGTGGACGTTCTCGAGCATAAGGTCAGGAGGGATTGGGGATATGTCTACCTGGAGTGGTTATGTATGTATGTATGCAGTGTTCAGAATATGTAGGTGCCGTGTCTAAGGTAGACAGGACAAGTATATATATATATATAGAATAGGAGAAAGAAAGGAGGTGTGTCTCCTTTTTGACCATCTTTCAAGTGCCTACCTACTTCGACGAACCGTCGTATTGATCCACCGACTGGCTGGCCAAAACCAGTATACTCCTTGCTCTGCTACGGCTAGGTACCTACGGCCAGGTACGGCCAGCCACTAGGTGCTTCAACCAATATGCCACAGCGGATCTTTTCACCGCCACAGGACCCTGAAAACAGCCTCTAGGGTCAGTAAATCAGTGAGCTGTCCGTTGATCATCCATCGTACGAAGCCGTCGACACAATAATTCGTGGCATGATCGCGGCCAGCGCGACTTGTTCGTCCTGCCATTGAACGCGCCCGCCTGCCGGGGCTATGCAAAACATCGCCCATTTTGGTCCTATGCCGGCTCGGTGAGACCTCTGATATATAACAAGATCCCCTCCGCCGATATACCCTGCACACACCACGCCGCCAAAGGGCGTTGTGTACAGATGGCGGTCGAAGATCTCGTGCAATGGCTCGACGCATGCGGCGCCCTCCTGCGAGACTTCCCGTACGTTTCTTTCCCCGGCCGAAGGCTTCTATACTAACATCTAATCGCACAGGGCCGAGGACTTCGCCTTTCTTGCATTTCCCTTAGCCTGCACCATCCTGGGCGGCATCATCTTGTACTTCACCCACACGGACTATTGGGACAGACCCAAGCACTACACCGTCCCACCTCCAAAGATACCCGATGAAGTCAAAATCCTGGAACAACCGACCATCAAAGTCCCCGGAACGACGGCGATCCAATGCTATATGCCTGCCACCGGCCGGCTCCTCGGTCTTGTCAATCCGTCGACCCCCGCCGGTATCGATCGCGCGATAGCTCAGGCTGCTGCTGCCCAGGAGAAATGGGCCACTACTTCGTTCAGCGAGCGGAGGAGAGTGCTTCGCACTATGCTCCAACATGTCCTCGACAACCAGGAGCAGATCTGCCAGGTCAGCTCTATGGATTCCGGCAAGACCATGGTCGACGCTCAGCTCGGCGAGATCATGGTCACCGCCGAGAAGCTCCAGTGGACCATCAAGCACGGCGAAAAGGCCCTGCGCCCCAGTAGGCGCCCGACAAATCTACTCATGGCGTATAAAAAGAACACAGTCCACTACGAGCCCCTGGGTGTGGTGGCGGCGCTAGTTAGTTGGAATTACCCATTTCACAATCTGATAGGCCCTATAATCAGCTCCATCTTTGCCGGAAATGGTGTCGTGGTCAAGGTTAGCGAACAAACCTGCTGGAGCGCCGCCTACTACACCAGCATTGCGAGGGGCGCGCTGGTAGCACACGGTCACGATCCCCAGCTGGTGCAGAGCGTCGTCTGCTGGCCGCAGACCGCAGGACATCTGACGAGCCATCCCGGTATTAGCCACCTCACCTTCATCGGCAGCCGGCCCGTGTGCCACCACGTCGCCGCCAGCGCGGCCAAGAGCCTCACCCCCGTTGTTGCGGAGCTCGGCGGCAAAGACGCAGCCATCATACTCGACTCGGCGGAGCCCGACCTCAAGAGGATCGTAGACATACTTATGCGCGGCACGTTTCAGGCTTCGGGGCAGAACTGCATCGGCGTGGAGCGTATCATCGCCGCGCCGCGGGTCTATGACAAGCTTGTCGCCATGCTCGAACCTCGCGTCAAAGCCTTACGCCTCGGGCTGTCCGAGGACGTCGGCGCCATGGTATCGGACGCCTCGTTCGACCGGCTCGAGAAGCTCGTCGAGGACGCCGTGGCCAGCGGGGCGCGGCTCCTCGCCGGGGGGAAGCGATACGTACACCCGGACCACCCCTCCGGTTTCTACTTCAGCCCCACACTTCTTGTGAATGTGACGCCGGACATGGCCGTGGCGAGAGAGGAATGCTTCGGGCCGATCATGACGCTGCTCCGGGCCCCCTATTCCTCGGCCAAGGACGTCCTCGCGATAGCGAACGCGCCGGACTTCGGGCTCGGGTCGTCGGTGTACGGGTCGGACGCGGACCCGGCGCTGCGACAGGTGGTGCGGGGGATCCGGGCGGGCGGCGTGGCAGTCAACGACTTCGCGGTGTACTACGCGGTGCAGCTGCCGTTCGGCGGGGTGGGCGGGTCCGGGTACGGGCGGTTCGCCGGCGAGGAAGGGCTGCGCGGGCTGTGCAACCTCAAGAGCGTGTGCGAGGACCGGCTCGGCTGGCTCGGCGTGCGCACGGCGATCCCGCCCCCCGCCCGCTACCCCGTCCCCAGCCAGGCGTCCGGGTGGCGCTTCACGAGAGGCGTCGTCGGCCTCGGGTACGCCCTGACGCTGCGCGAGAAGCTGCGCGCGCTCGTGGACATTGTGAGGAATTCGTAGCTGGCTTGTCCCACTATCACGTATGAGGGGAGAGGGCAATATATATATAGAGAGAGAGAGAGGGGGGGGGCGGGGGAGATGGAGGAAGTACAGTGCGTAATTTATTGTATACGTCGAGGGCCCCAACGAAACAAAGCCTGTAAATGTGGTGGTTTGCACTACCCCCGTTCCTGGTGGGTGTCATATCTCGACGTTGTCCCGGCCCAGACGGAGGGGGGAAGGGAGAGAGCAGGGCAAAGCGCGCCTTTAATATAACGACCCCCCTCACCACTCTCGATATGTATCCGTGTAATGTTTATAACGTGACATGCGGGACCCTCGGGGATCGTAGGATCCGTAGGGTCGACCACGTGTAGGACACGGCAGTGCCGTGAGCGTACATGCACTACCTTAACAGGATCAGGGCGGAAGAGGGCAAGATTCCGCGCTTGGAAACCCATCTGCGTATTATAGTTCTCTACCAAGAATAACCGCGTGCTTGGAGAGGTATCTCGCGTGTCGACCTCGTTCGTAGACCCGAACGAGGCCTCAGCAGATACCCTGCTACCCCAGGCCTAACTCGTTCCGCCCTCCACCACTCCCTCCGGTCTTACATCATCGCAAAGGTCGCTGTCGACTCCCCTTGTCTTCTCCCTGCCCTGACTAGCCATTAATTCATCAATCGAGCCTGTCTGCCTACATTCCGGCTGGCGGGCCGCTTAGGTGACCGCCGTCACCGCAACCCTTTAGAACGGCGTTGGGCAGCTCCCTCTCAGCCCCCTTACTTCCTTCCCATCGTACATATCTCGCACATACGCTTGCGCACCCTCGCCGCGGCTATTATACCGGCCAGTCATATCCTTCTGCTAGTCTCGTAGCTCGTATAGTCTCATCGGTAGCATAATGTGTGCGAGAGAGACTTGAGGCAGCGGCTGCACACGCAGCCTAGCGCCTAAGCCCGGCTCCGCCAAGCCTTCTAGGCAGCGACTGCGGCCATGAGGCGGCGCTGTATCCGGACCAGGTTGCCAAAGTCCATGCTCTTCGAGTCGTCGGCGGGGGGCACGTGCTCGCCGGACGCGATGCACAGGACGCGCATGCGCTCGTCGTAACGCAGGCCCGTCAGCAGCTTCGGCGTGATGAGGAAGTACTGGCTCGTGTGCTCGCGGCACGCGATCTCCACCATCCGCTCGTGCACCATCCGCTCGTTGCGCGGGTCCATGCCCTGGTTGATCTCGTCGACGACGCGGAACGGCGCCTGCGCCATCGACTGCAGCGCCATCAGGTAGAAGATGGTCGACACCGCCCGCTCGCCGCCCGACTGCCGGTGCTGGTTGAGCTGCTGCAGCGTCTCGTTTTCGCTGCCGAGCCGAACGTAGGCTGAGCGTTAGCCATGCAATGGGGGCTAGGAGCGACGGGGAGCAACTTACCGAAATTTGACCTTGATCTCGATAGCCCACTGTTCAAAATCTTCATCCTTGTGAATGCCAACCTCGCCCGCACAGTTTATCTGCTCAAAGTTGTAACTGAAAGCGTCGTTGATCTTCGAGATGACTTCGTCGACGCGAGGTTCCCATCTCTCCCTGAGCTGACCCGTCTTCTGGGTATAGGATTCGAGCTTAGCGTTCATTTCGTCTTTCTTGAGGGTGAGCTCCTGGATATCTTGCGCACGCTTCTCGTACTGCCGCAGGATCGCGGGGTCAACTCCGTGGATCAACTCGAGCTTCGTCTGCTCGGCGCCAATCTCGTTGTCGATGTCCTCGGCGGTCTTATCCACCACCAACTCATTCCAGTGCTGGAGCCCCGCTCCGCCACTTGTCGCGACAGCTTCCTCCACTTTACGTCTAGCTTCAACCGCTTTGGTTCTCAACTCTTCAGTCTCTTTCTTAATATCGTCGATCTCGGATCGCTTTTGGTCAAGCTGTTGCTTGATCTCGGAGTTCCGTTCTTCTAGCATTTTCACATCCGATCGCGCTTCGATAAGCCGGATTTGTACCTCTACCAATGCTTGATGGGCACCACGGATCTCGGAAAGCTGTTCTTTGTGTTGCAGTACAGATATCGTCTTCTCAATGATGAGCTGGTCCTCCTGGGCACTATACTCGAATATTCTCTTCCTACACTGCATGAGCTCGCTCTGCGCGCTTTCGAATGCTCCCTTCTCAGCCGCTACTGCTTGTTAGTCCAAGACCCGGATGACTAGGCGTATACATATACTTGCCGATTTTGTCCCCAAGGGTTGCGTATTGGGTAGCTGCCTTCTGGAGCTCATTCTTCTCGCTCCTCAGAGCATCCTTAGGGATTGTTAGCAGTCTGGACTATATAGGTCAGTGGACGCGGGTGCTCACGATTTTTTCTCGGATCGGCTCTTCAGCTTCCTCTATCTCTCTGATGCGGGTCTTAACGACCGCCCCTTTCCCCCTAATTTCCTTAATTTCTTCCTCTGCTTCGTGTATTCGTCTTTGCGACGCAGCTCTCTCAGAAGTATCCACGGGCTGGTCCGTCCAGAAGCGGCCGGGCATGATCCGTCTCGTACTAGTAGAAACAGCACTGCCACCGTATTCCCTACGTCGCGAGATGCGATATAGCGTACGGCCAGTGGCCCAGCTATTAATTTTTTCCGAGCCGACGAGTCGATCGTATTGCTCGTTGCTAATGTCTCCAATGGCAACGCCAGAGACGTGCAATCTCTTTTCTGCGCACAGCATGGCGAGAACAGGTTCTGGGCCTTCCAGGTATGAGATCGAAAACCCATCGAGACCCATTCCGCGAGCTTCTTCGTTAGAGACAGGTGGGCGAAACGAGGCGAAGTTGCTCCCGCAGGTTCTAATGGTGACTGAAAGCGACAGTTGCTTGTAGAATTGGTTGCTTAACTTCTTGTGGTCATTGCGGGTCTGAGTGGTGAAGCAGACGAAATCTTCAGTGGCTAGAAGTGATTGGATTTGATCCGCGTACCGCTGGTCCGTGATGGAACAGTTGAGCATTGGTGGGCCAAAAACCTCCTGCTCAAACTCATCCTGATGATCCCGAAGCCATTCCCAGCCTTTGGCGGCATCTACATTGATCTTCTTCAGATAGGCTAGCTTTTGGCCCTCCTGGGAATCCAGGGCTTCCAAATCCCTTTCGTGCCTTTGCCTCTCTTCATTCTTGCTGAAGTTAAGGGCTTTCAGTTCGCCAAATTGGCTTTGCAGTCCCCTTTTTTCCGCCTCGTTTTCTCTTAAGATCTGTTCTTGTTGACGCTGGAATCGTGCCTGTTAGCATCGGAGAGTTCGAATCGTGTATGAGACAAAACATACAATTTTTTGGTTCCAGTCGGAAGGAACAAACTCGGGGGGCTTGTTTTGCAACTTGGCCTCGAGGTCGGTAATCATGCGGCGTATCTTAGCAATCTCGGCCCTCTTGGAGGTGTGAGAGCTCTCCTCCGCACTCTTCTTATTTTGAACATGCTTGATTTGTTCATCTAGGGCCTCGACACTCTGGAGAAGTTGGTCGCATGCCTCTTCGGCGTGCCTCAGGGCCTTCTTGCGATCCTCTACGACAGCCTGGACCTTGTCTCGATACTCCTGTTTTAGGTTAACAGCCTGCAAGGCGGGTCCACAAGCATGCTCGAGTTCTTGTAGCCTCTTGGTCGCATCCTGCTTCCTTCGCTTTGATTCATTTACCATACGGCGAAGAGTATTGTACTCGGCAACTTTGCGTGCGTTCTGGAGGTCATGAATCTTGGTTTGTATCGCCTCTCGTTCGCGTAGTCTATCCACATCAGCCTGCGATCCCTGCTGGCGGATTTCGTGCCCTCTCAGAGTCTCAGTGCAGGTGTCAAGCCTGATCTTCAGCTCTTTGTGCTTCCTGTGTAGTTCCTTTAGCTGATCATGCCAGTCAATCATGCGTTCCGGGGCGGCCGCTCGCAGGGTTTCGTGGAGAAGCTGTATGGGAGTAAGACCAGCGAACTCGGCGACTCTGTCCTGGGGAAGAAACTGGCATAGGTTGTCGATTTGGATATGCAGTCCGCTAGTGACGTTTTTGATAGCCTGGTGGGTACTATCTCTTCCGTTCAGCCACCACTTAGTTTTATTGTCCTCCTTGCGAATCTGTAGGCGAATCACGTAGTTGTCTCGTTCGGTTGGTCGGCACTGTAATTCTATCTCAACTGTAGCAGTCTCCTTCCCGTGCTTGACGAACTCTCCTACGTTGCTTGCCCGACCGAGATGCTTTGGATGGTAACCCAAGCCCAGACAGATGGCACAGACGAGGGAACTCTTGCCAGTGCCGTTCGGACCGATAACCATGTTGAGGTTGGGGCCCGGGTTGAACTCGGCGTGTTCGTAGGTGACGAAATTCTCGACCAGGACCCGCACGATTGCTCCGGTCTGAAATTCCCTGGTGTCATGCTCGCGATCGTCTCTTTCCGGATCGGGCTTTACTCGTATCTCTCCCCGATTTTCCCGGTGCGACCCCCTACCGGCGAAGGAGACATCCTGGTCAGTCGAATTCTCGCGATCTTCGCCAGCATTTCCGTCGCGCCTTTGCCGTTTTGGAGAAGTTGAGCCGGATGATTGTTCTTCGTCATTCTCTTCCTCGAACCGCGCTCTCGACCGACGGCGGGGCTCTAGGGATGGCATGGCGGAAGTGAGACGTGCGGCAGGCCAGGTCCAGCGATCGCGTCATACGGAAATGGAGATGAGCCAGCTCGATAATTCTCCTCGGTTACGAAAGGGGGCTGTTGATCGGATGGTCAAGGAGTCGTACTCGACAGAGATGATTCAGGTGGGAAATTTAGGCTATTGAAAGAATGGCCGAAATAAGACGCGCTGTCGGGTGCAAGTCGCGACGAGCTGTGGGGTGTTTTACGATGTACTCGGTACCTATAGTACATGGGTATAAATCAAGCGAGAGGTACCTAGGTAGGCAGCTCCCGGTGTATTTTCCACCCCTCAGCTCCAGCAAGGGGCCTTAGGTAGGTACTGAAGGAGGTACTATATACATGCTTCATTTTCACCCACAAAAGGCAGGCACTACCTGAGGTGTCTGGAACGAAACATTAGGAAGTTGAGATATCATGTATATGTAGGTATCTACCGAAGCATCACTTACTAAGGTGCCTTACAATCCTTAGGTCAGGTACCTCACTTGGTACCTAAGGTAAGTACCTAGGTGAGGCAGGCACATAGTGGATACTTGGCACGGTTCCACCCTCATGCGTAGAGGTGGGGTACGTACCTGCCTACCTAGGTAGATGTTAAAAAAGTTCAGCCTCCATTTAGAAGTTTGCCGACGTCATCCCTTTCTCTGACATGCCAACGCCCTTTCCAAACGCGCCTGTTCAAAACACCTACATCAACATCTACCTACACGTACATATGCATATATATGTACATATATCATATGTACATGAGCTGTAGGCGATATAGGCACCTCGAGACCAACTTTTCTCCTAAAGACCTACCTACATATTCGCATATAGGTATCTAACTTAGACGCCATACATAGAGGGTATTGCTGTTTCCCCTGGTCAAGTTACAGTTTAGTACCTGGTTAGGTACGTGAAGTATAGGTTTCTATAATGCCTAGCTACAGGTACCTATGTGAGTACCTATTTAAGCAGATGCTGGACGAGTGGAGGAAGGGGAAAAGTAGGTGCTAAGGTATGAAAGGAGGTTTGTATGCATATAGGCAACTTAAGCAATACCTACCCGTTATTGTCGAGATGGCCCTCATTGTTTTTAGTCAACTCTTATTGTCCTCCATCTCAACAACCTAACTACACATTCTAGGAATTTGCAGAGGAATTACTTGCTAAAAACTTCCATCCTATCAAATGCCAATCACTAGGGGCATACTGGTGTAAGAAGCATCACATACCCAGCAGACACGTCCCTCGGTTCCCAACCCACCCTTGCTTTATTCTGACCTCTCCCTCCCCCCATACCTCCCTTCCAACCTCATCCTGCCCCTTTCCCTTACAATTTTCCTGGCTGCCCACTCTTCGGGGCGCTCTCTTTTCTCTCTGAACCCAAACACCATTCCAGGCTCCCTATAGTCCCTTCGAAATCTGCTCGCGGCATAAAATCTTCCTATAGATTGCTAAGCAACCGTTGCCCCCAACCCTTGGACTTTCTATTCTTCCTTGGCCCCATCCAATCATTCCTTCTAGCTCACTCCTTCACTATCACCGTCCCAGCAATTAGATTATTCTCGGGGTCGAGCTACCGCTTTATCTCCCCCAACAGATTTCATTCCCATTCTACCGTCCGGCTAAGCCAACGGCAGTCCAAAGAAGACGGCTATGGTATCAAAACTCGGTTTCTGATTCCGGACATGACTGATGATAGCGGTCCGGCGTTTCGCGCTCCTCGCGCTCCGCTTGGGGATGCAACAAATCGAATAAACAATGCACCCTCTCCGACGAAGCCCATCAAGTCTAGCCATGCTCCGACCTCCCAAATTGACCCCCTAGGAATACACCCCACCAAGGTCCAACCCCGCCAAGATAACCAGTCAAACCAATCCAACCCACATACGTCGGAACGTCCGCAAGAGGCCCAAGACGACGGTAAACGTAGGCCCAGCATCAGGACCACGGGTCGTGCCTCCAGCGGCGGTCGCCGTAAAACCCACATCGGCCCTTGGGAACTAGGCAAATCTTTAGGCAACGGTTCCGCCGCGCGAGTGCGCCTAGTTCGTCATACTGTCACAAGCGAGTTGGCCGCCGTCAAGATCCTCTCTAAGAACCCCGACATCTTAACACATCCGGGAAGCATAGCGCAACTCGACCAATGGGACCGCACTCGAGAGGAGTACGGTTCAGAAAACCGCATGCCATTTGCCATCGAACGGGAGGTTGCTATCTTGAAACTAATTGACCACCCGAACATCGTAAAGCTGTACGATATCTGGGAAAACCGCTCAGAAATGTACGTTATGCGGCCCGATTCTTGGCACGATCACTAACTCAGACGCAGTTATCTCGTGCTCGAGTATGTACAGCGCGGCGACCTTTACGGTTACCTTAGCCAACACGGCCCCCTCTCCGAGGTAGAGACCATTTTCTACTTCCGACAGTTGCTTAGCGCCTTGGAATACGTTCACTCGTTCAACCTCTGTCATCGCGACCTTAAACCGGAGAACATCCTTCTGACAGAGGATGGTCGCGTCAAGGTGACCGACTTTGGTATGTCTGCTCTGCACCAGGGACCAAATCACATGTTGAGAACTTCCTGTGGGAGTCCACACTATGCTGCTCCTGAGATCGTCAGTTCGGCATCCTACAGAGGGGACAGGGTTGACATATGGAGCCTGGGGGTGATATTGTACGCTTGCCTGACCAATTCCTTGCCATTTTATGATAACGACATGCAGCGGCTTCTTCACAAAGTCCAGAAAGGAGTGTATCGCATGCCGACGTTTACCCCTTACGAGCAGCAAGATCTGATCGCCCGGATGTTGAAGGTGGATCCAGAGGAGCGCATTTCCACGCGCAAACTATGGCTGCATCCTTTGGTTCGTAAGTATGATCATCTAGATGATTTTAACGACGGCGAGTGCACCCAGGAGTACAGGCAGAACGGCCGCTATGACCCAGTTCGACCCGATGAACTCGACATGCAGACCTTGCGGCAGTTGAAATCCGTTTGGCATACGTTCACCGAACAGCAACTGGCGGGGAAATTGACAAGCCCGGAGTAAGTTGGATCCGTTTAGCACTGGTTTCGGCCAGCTTTATCATGGACTATATTCACTGACGTGGATGGACAGGCGCAACGATTTCAAATTGTTCTACTGGCTTCTCTATAACTACAGGGAAAAGAGGCTGGAAAATTACGGTGGCGACATAGCCTATTCCGCCAGTGACTACCATCACCTCCAACCCCTGAATTGGAAGAAGAAATACACAACACTAGAGTTCCAGGGCAAACCCGGGAAGAATCCGCCACGGTTTACTGTCATCTCGAATGTTGCTACCAACGCAAACGGCGAGGCCCTGGAGACAGCATCAACAGACGGCGGTGCCACTGTTAAGAGTTACGACCCGTACAAGTCCTCGCGCATAATGGAAGACGTGGTAGCTAGTCGCGCAAGGATTGTGATCCACCGCGATGGTACCAATTCTACACGAGGTTCAAGGCCCTCAAGCGCACGAAGCAGGTCGGCCCGAGCCAACTCGGAACACTCACGTCTCGGCAGAGGTGCTCGACATCCGAAAGGTTCGACCGCACTTGGGGGCTCACGACGTTCCGTTAACTCAATCAGAAGCGGCGAAGAAATTTTATATAGGCGGCCGGCTTCGCGCCAAAGGAGAAATATCGATTTCTCGCATGTTCGGAAACGGTCAGCGGACCAGAGCGAATCGGCATGTCGCCCTACAAGCATCGCGGGAGATGATACTACTTACGATCGAGACCACACATCTCCCACGAGCCCCGCCAGGAGAACCGAGCGGTCTAATATCTCTAGGAGAAGTCGCTCCGAGACGCAATCCATGACGGACGTGTCCAAATCGCAGGATGGAAGTCTGCATTGGAACGAGGAGCTCCGCCACTTCAGTCGTAGCATCGCGAAGGACTGCGACGACGCGTTTAATAGCAGCTTGCTGAGCTTGGAATCTTGTCTGGGTGAGATCTCATTCGAGTCACCGATGTCAGAGGGCGCGGGGGCGCATTCAACCGATCCGAATACTCTCATGACCAGCGAACCGAACACTAAACGACGGCCCTGGGACACTCGGTCGCTACCGCCCCCGCCACCACACGAGAATTCGGATACAGAAATGATCGTGGCGGTCAAGGAGAGAACTGAGCGACCTAAGGGCGCCATGGATAAAACTCCCGCCCAGATCAATAAGCCGATGTTCCCCGTAAACCAGCTAGGTCGACCCGATAGGTCATTAGAGAAGTCAGAAGCAGACCGTAGAGTCACATCGGCGCCCATCTATTCGCAGTTTAGCACACAATGGGGTAGGGACAAGATTCCTCTGCCGCCTATCGACGAGACGCCGAAGGAGGACGATTGTCAGAGAGATGACGACAGACGAGCCGTTTCTGCACCTATTTCTGAGCCGTGGGTGGCTCGTCACACAATGGCGGAAGAGCATGACGGCTTAGAATACCTTGCCCGACATCAGAAAACGATACGTCTCGTTACTTCCCCATCTGATCGACCCAGAAAACCCACGGTCCTGGATCCTCACGCCGATAAGAAATTGCCCCGGGACGACCAACCGAATTCCCAGGATACGCAGGGGCCGAACATCCGTCAGCAGTACTGGGACGGTGAGACAAAAGCAACAACGCCCCAGGATCCCCCTATAGTATCCAAGGACGGTTCGTCGGGCTCCATCAAAAAGAAGGGGTCATGGTTCAGGCGTAGCTCCAAGGGTCAAGACGACATGCCGAGAAGTGGCTCTAGCAAGAGCAACATCGATGGCCTAACCGCCGCAGAAACGAATTCATCTACAGGCTCGGTCATCCCGCTGGCAAAGAAGAAGGGCTTCGGTTTCTCTTTCTGGCGTGGGGGGAAGGTAGAGCCTCAACTAAGGCTCTCGCTTGCAGGTAGGCTCCCCCCTCCATATGTAGGCACGGGGCTTGGGGGTAGGAGGCTAACCAGAGCCGCAGAGTCCGATTTCGACTTTCCATCGAGCCTCGAGCCTGTCCGGGCGCCCGGGCGTCCCAAACCCCCACGGGCCGGGAGCACGCGGCCCGATAAAGCTGCGGCCCGCAACATCGAGCCTCAGCGGAACTGGCTGGCCCGCCTATTCCGGGTCAAGCCGGCGACTCGGCATTTTTGCTTCGTGATATCCCGACGTCGTGCGCGGCAAGAGATTGCTAATTTGTTCAGGGAGTGGAAGCGTTTTGGTGTGCAGGATGTCGTGGTGGACAAAGAACGGAACCTCGTCTTTGCCCGAGTTGCTAAGGAGAACAGTAAGCACCCTCGGCCGAGCCTGGAGGGTAATAGCGGACAGGGAATGGAACTAACGGCAACCCGTTTGGTAGGCCTAAATCTGAAGGAAGCTTGTTTTGCGGCGGAGATTATGGCGGTCATCGAACATGGAAAGCGTAATCGCCTCAGCATCGCCCGATTCACGCAGGAGCGCGGGGCGGCGAGCACATTCAACAAGGTGATGAACACGATGGAGAGCATCTTCGCGTCACGAGCTATGCTTGTCACGGAGAAACGAAAAGTGAAGATGATGATGAAGACACTCGACTCGTGACACTTCCCTGGGGGGGCAGTTGCGGCTACGCAGGGCGAGCGCGCACGTCTAGTCGCGTCGACTGGTTCATAACCTGCACGACGACGGCGTGCGCAAGACCCCCCTCGTATCGCTCGAGTCCGGTTTGAGGAGGTGATCGTACCTACGTGCTTTGGGGGAGGTTTCCGGGATATCTGTGTGCGGATGGGGCTGGAGGGGACATGTCAGGGTTGCGATGGAGGATAGAGGAGTGTGCTGTTAGGCGGGCTACTCTTCTGTCCCCCTCTCTTCCTACGTCCGGTGTTGTAAGTGCGTATATGAAACCGAGAGGAGGGAAGACTCTTGACAATGGCTGCCAGCTCGTAGCTGCGATGGCTACAAGAGGTGAGCTTGCGGTTGGAGAGAGTTGTTCGGTTTAGTTTCACATAGGCTTGATACCTAGATGCTCGATAGGGTGAGGCGTTACAGGTTTCGTTAGTAATGGGATCCGTGGGGGGACCAATTTGCTTTTCCTTTCGTCTTCAACGCGCGGAGGGCCGGTTGGAGGGGGACCTGCATCGTGTTACTACATCTCGCACGCGTGTATATCGGTACCTACGACGCCCAGTGAAGATCCCTTTACGCCGACAGGGTCGGGTGTTTCCGGCTGCAACGCGTGGGCTTGCCATCGAGGCGGCTGGCCGGAGTGGTGGAACCGACCGCCCTACCTAGTTGCTGAAGCCTTTCACAGCTTAAAACGGCCCGGCAAACCTGCAAGTTCCTAGGACTAGGGTTTAGGTAGGTACCTACCTACTTCGCGCGCCCGATGCGAGCGCCGATGGTGGAAGCGGGAATTTAGGAAACGCGCTCGGCGGCTCTCACGGGATCAGCTTTTGGTAAGGGGACCGAGAAAAAAAAAAAAAGTCGATTGAGCTGCCGTTATCAATCTGTCCTTTTTAAATCCCCCTTGTCTCTCTCTCTCCCCTCCTCCCTCTCCCCTAATAACAACTCGTCGCTTTTCCCTCTCTCGCGCCTCTGAACTCGCCTCGAGACTTGGCTAACGTACCGCTTGCTTACGTTAGGAGGTCTCCGAGGTAGAGACACTATAGAAAGCCTAAGCTTCAGGCGGCGGGCCGCGACAAAGACCCCGTCTCCTGCCACTCGTCCCCCAAAGGAGACATCGGCCCGTCACCTGACAGAGCGCAGCCAATTGGCCGCTCTCCCCCTCTTCCCGTCGTCCTGAGAACCTTTTGGGGTGCGCCTTCGTGTGCGGCGCAACCATGCTGCGATCAGTAGCACCTGCGGCGGCCGGCCAAGCTAGGAGCCTGCTGGGGCCGAGGACCGCTCCACGGCTGCTCGACACGTGCAAATCTGCCTTCTCCTCATCCTCCACATCGTCGTCATATGCCCCATCGAGGCCTCTTCTCAGCAGCAGCACCTACAGCAACCCCCCCCTGTGCTTCCAGAGAAACCTGCACGCCACATCGACGAGAATGGCTGCCAACACCAGAACCGAGAGCGACGCCTTTGGCGAGATCCAGGTGCCCGCCGGCAAGTATTGGGGTGCCCAGACGGAGCGCTCCCTCTCCAACTTCCGCATCAACCAACCCCAGGACCGGATGCCGCCTCCGATTGTGAAGGCGTTCGGTATATTGAAAGGCGCTGCTGCCACCGTTAATATGCGGTACGGACTGGGTATGCTACAATCCTGCCCAGAGTGCGCCGCGCCTGGCCTACGCTGAGGGGGTATATTGACTTACACGTGCTGCGACCACGCTATTATCACAGATGAGAAAATTGGCAAGGCCATCCAGCAGGCTGCCGCCGAGGTGGCCGACCTCAAGCTCCTCGACCACTTCCCCCTCGTTGTCTGGCAGACCGGCTCCGGCACCCAGTCCAACATGAACGCCAACGAGGTCATCTCAAACCGAGCCATCGAGATCCTCGGCGGCGTCAAGGGCAGCAAGAAGCCGGTCCACCCGAACGATCACGTCAACCGCTCGGCTTCGTCGAACGATACCTTCCCCACCGTCATGCACATCGCCGCCGTCCTCGAGATCGAAGGGAAGCTGTTGCCTTCTCTCAAGAGCCTTCGCGATGCGCTGCAGAAGAAGGTCGACGACTTCAACGCCAAGAACATTATCAAGATTGGAAGGACCCACCTTCAGGATGCCACCCCCCTGACTCTAGCCCAAGAGTTCTCGGGGTACGTAGCTCAGCTGGACTTTGGCATCAAGCGAGTGGAGAGCTCCTTGCCGGATCTGCGGCTCCTCGCCCAGGGCGGCACTGCCGTCGGCACGGGCATCAACACCTTCGAGGGCTTCGCGGAGGCGATCGCCGCCGAGGTCAGCAAGATGACAGGAACCGAGTTCAAGACGGCGCCGAACAAATTCGAAGCGCTCGCCGCGCACGATGCCATCGTTCAGGCCTCGGGGTCCCTCAACACCCTAGCTGCGTCGCTCACCAAGATCGCTCAAGATATCCGATATCTTGGTAGCGGTCCTCGCTGCGGTCTCGGCGAGCTGATCCTGCCGGAGAACGAGCCGGGCTCGAGCATTATGCCGGGCAAGGTCAACCCGACCCAATGTGAGGCATTGACGATGGTCTGCGCTCAGGTGATGGGTAACCACGTCGCCACGACGATCGGCGGCATGAACGGCCAGTTCGAGCTCAACGTCTACAAGCCCCTCGTCATCCGGAACCTGCTGCACAGCGTGAGGATCTTGGCGGACGGCATGCGCTCGTTCGAGAAGAACCTGGTGGAGGGCCTGCAGGCCAATGAGGAGAAGATAGCTAGCATCATGAAGGAATCGTAAGTCAAGAAACGAAGAGGAAGAAAAAGTCCGCCCTCGTAATTTTAGCCATACGATAGCTAACGGTCACGACGCAACACGCACACAGGCTTATGCTCGTTACCTGCCTCAACCCCAAGATTGGCTACGACATGGCATCCAAGGTGGCTAAGAACGCGCACAAGAAGGGCCTGACCCTGAAGGAAAGCGCAATGGAGCTCGACGCCCTCACCTCGGACGAGTTCGACACCCTCGTCAAGCCGGAGCTCATGGTCGGGCCAAAGCCTTACAAGGGTTAGACACCGGCATTAGGCAGTCGAACCCGCGGTACATTACGTCCAAGGCGAGCTAGGCGAGCTCGACAAGCTCGACAAGGAAACTAACCACTAGCTTGTCGCCGCCAATCGCGCCAATGATAGACCAATGCGTCTCTAGCAAGACCCCACGAGAAGGGTCGGTGGCGGCGCCAGTCTTACTGTGCACGCAGACAGAGTACGGCGCGAGTGTACATAGAACCTTGTAATAAAAAAAAAGAGGGAAAGAAAGAAATAGAAGATGAAGGTATTGCCGATATTCGACAACCTTACCGACTAACTCGTAAAAACCCGAGGCTCAGGGGGGAGGTTAGACGGAGCCGATACGAAGAACAAAGGGTTAACCCGCTCGTTGACTCCGTCCGTGCTAACAGCATCGATCAGAGCGCCCCTGCGACGGAGATTGAGCTACCTATGTACATACGCTAGTAGGTGAGCAAGTAGGGAATGGAGTTCTCGTCGATGTGGACGATATTGCACGTGGAGCACCCAACTCCGGCCGTTGGGGATTCGGGTACTCTCGGCAACCCAAGCGATCCAAGGCCGCTAATTAGCCCACCGCCCGACCTCGGCAGAAACAGGAGAGAGAGAGAGAGAGAGACAAACGGCACTGGCCAATTGGCCGGGAAGAGCCGGGGGGAGTAAGCTCGAAGTTGCTCGGGATCTCGGGAGTTTCAGGGCCCTCTCCTCTCGACTCGATCTGCCCCCCTGCTATGGACCCATGGAGGCATCGCGACGCCTGGGTTACTGAGGCGCTACGACGTATTGGTAGGGGACGCGAGGAGGACGCAGGATGCAGGGCTGCTACGTCACCCGGGCGATATTTTAAACGACCCAATGGACGGGCGGCATCTTGGAGTTTGCGTGCCGCCTGCACCCACGTCTTCGGGAGGAAGTACTCACAACTTGGCAGGTCCGTTCTGGCATCCAGAACCCCCCCACCACGATAAAACCCCCCCCTGCAGTGTCATCGAAATCTCCAGAGAGGCCGAGAACATAGCGACAGCCCCGCGATATCGCAGTGCGATGCCGGATACGGACCTAAGCTTGTCAGATGAGAGGAGGAAACCCCCATCGGGATCTCCTTCGGAATAAAAAGCAATAAAAAGATCGAAGTCGAACGGGTATAGCCGACAAATTGTCTTGATGGACCTACATGTACGTTCAGGAAGAGGGGGGGGGCGGGCAGAGTATTCGGTGATAAGATAAGAAAGGTACGTTGTCGATGCCGTCATGATCCCAGGCGGAGGCTCCGACGATAGTATTAATAATAGAGAACCACATCATCGCCGACATGGGTCGGAGGGCATACGTAAAATAAATGGGAAGCGAAACTATGAGTAGTTCCGTACGTGCGGCGGCCGGGCGGACGAGATAGACCACGTCTTACCGGCGCGGCCAGATGCGCCAAACCAATGGCTGCGCACATATGAAGGAACGAGACTAGGTAGGTACCTAAGGAAGAGAGAGGTAGACGTCTTCTGGTGCTTTGGTGCGCGCGCGCGTGCTATGTGGGGAAGGAAGCTGGGGAATCCTAGCGCAAGCAAGCCAGTCAGTTAGGTAGTAGGTACGTATGAGTAGGTACCTACGCAGCAAGTGGTGAGTGGCGCACCAACGGAAAAGCCAGGACCGAAACCGCCCCCCTCCTCCCTCCCTCCTCTCTTTCTCGCTCTCTTCCTCTGTCCCTGGCTTACACGTGAAGGTCCGAGAGGAAAGCCGGCGACGGCCACCCTAGGCAAAAGGGGGTCGGAACAGAAGCACAAAGAAAAGAGGTTCTGTCGACAAATAACAAAGACCTCTTGCTTGCGGGCGCTGGTACTTCCTATAATAGGAGTACCGGCTGCATGCCGGCTTGTGGGAAACTAACCTAGGTAGGTACTAAGCTACCTCGCTGCCTCCCCCACACTTTCACAAGCTCTGGCAGACCTAGACCTAGGTAAACAGGTAAGAGTCAAGACACATCCGTCTCTCCTCGCGCTCGTCGGCTACATCAGCGACACCCAACCAGTCATCCACCCTCCCTCCAGCCGAGCTCAGACGGAGAAAGGGCGCCTTCGAGCCACCTCATGTCGTAATATCCATGTGTATACTACGTACCTCACGTCAAGGCACCCCGGTACCGCATTGGCTATTGGCCAGAGGCACCTCTAGGTAGGCACCTACGCGGAGGGGAGTACATCCCTTTCCCGGTTAGATCTACGCACGGGGCGAATCTATGTCCCCAGAGCAATACGCCCGCCTCTGCTGCCTCCTGATATGGGTACTAACCGCGGCAGAGTACATACATACCGCATAGAAATAAATTCGAGCGAGATAGCTAACCCTTGGCATATACTGGGCACCTAAGGTGGGTAGATAATAAGGCAGTCGGTCTACCTACCTACCTACCTACCTACCTACCTCTAGGAGGGGTATGTAGGTACTTATGCTTGGGCGTTAGGTGCTGCTCGTGGACAATGGGGGAGGTATCAAAGGTGGCCGACTACTGCCGCCGCCGCCACCTCCTCCTCCGGCTTTGAATACGTCAAGCACCTAACTACTACCTGCCCTCTTACCTGCCGTCCGGGGAAGGGGGTACATACATCGCGAGCTTAGAGGTAGAGGTGGTTTAGATACGTACCTACCTCTGGGCACCCGGCAGGCATGAATAGGAAGAGAGAGGTACCTACAGGTGGACAACCTATCGCACTGATATCATTACATACCTACCTACTTACCTCTATATGTAGCTGGCAGCTTCTACTTCTACTCCTCCTCCCTCCCCCCCAGCCGCCCTGCCCGGCATATTATACCCGGCTCCCTTCCTCCCACCGCCGAACCTACACACATACATAAGTCTATACCGCCCGCCTCTTTCTACACCAGGAACCCCGTCCCCTCTTATCACACCCGTCTCTCCAATCCTACCCGTCTACCTCCCCGCCCCGTCGTCGGCTCCTTGGACAATCTTCTCCAAAGCAGTTACCGTGTGCCTTAGCTGCATCGCCCGCTCAGTCCTGCACAGAGTGGGCTACGCCGCTGCCCGACCCAGTTGTCGTCGCCCGTACTTTAATAACCGTAGGCATCCGCCGCTATTCTCCTTGGAAGGGTGGGCCAAGCAAGCATTCGGGTGAGTATAAGAGGTGTCTATGACACACGTATAACACATATATAACCCGTAACCCAACCCCCCTTACTGGTCCTCCAGGTTTCCCTTCTCCCCATTTGGTCGCCCTATAGACACATGTTGTCTTCTCTCCACCCAACCCCCTACGCTCCATTCCTCTCCATAGTCAACCCTCTCGGCTCATCCGACGTTGGGGTATACCATAAACTTACCTACTGAAACCCCCTTGGCTTACCCATCCGCTAGATCTCGGCCACCCTAGGGTTATCTCTATATATCCAGCTGCGTGTCTGTTGATGTGGAGTTGGTGAACACGATGGCGACCACCGACAGCATCCTCCAGGGCGTCAGCATCTCGGGCACCATACAGCCCGAGCACAAGAAGATCCTGACCCCCCAGGCCCTCGCCTTCCTCGCTCTGCTCCACCGGTCCTTCGATGGCACGCGGAAAGCGCTGCTCGAACGACGCGTGCTACGCCAGGCCGAGATAGACCGAGGCATCCTCCCCGACTTCCTACCCGAGACGCGGCACATCCGCGAGGACCCCACCTGGAAAGGCGCCCCTCCCGCCCCAGGGCTCGTCGACCGCCGCGTCGAGATCACGGGCCCCACCGACCGGAAGATGGTGGTGAATGCTCTGAACTCGGACGTCTGGACTTACATGGCGGATTTCGAAGGTGGGTGGTTATTATTGTCGCCCGAGGCTCAGTGGGAAGTGAAGGGGAGAGATGGCTAACGAAAAAGAACCTTGCGCAAAACAGACTCTAGCGCTCCGACATGGGACAACATGATCAATGGACAGGTCAACCTCTATGACGCCGTGCGGCGGGATGTAGACTTTAAGCTCGGGCCCAAGGAGTATAAGCTCCGGACGGACCGGACCCTACCGACCTTAATTGTGCGGCCGCGTGGGTGGCACTTGGTTGAGAAACATGTCACCGTGGACGGGGAGCCCATCTCCGGATCCCTGTTCGATTTCGGGCTGTACTTTTTCCACAACGCTGTCGAGGCGACGAAGCAGGGCTTCGGTCCGTACTTCTACCTGCCCAAGCTAGAGTCGCACCTGGAGGCGCGTCTGTGGAACGACGTCTTCAACCTGGCGCAGGACACCCTCGGCGTGCGACGCGGCACGATCCGGGCTACAGTCCTGATCGAGACGATCCTGGCCGCTTTCGAGATGGAGGAGATCATCTACGAGCTGCGCGACCACAGCTCCGGCCTCAACTGCGGCCGCTGGGACTACATCTTCAGCACGATCAAGAAGTTCCGCCAGAACAGCAACTTCGTGCTGCCCGATCGTGGCTCCGTTACCATGACGGTGCCCTTCATGGATGCCTACGTCAAGCTGCTAATCCAGACGTGCCACCGCCGTGGGGTGCACGCCATGGGTGGCATGGCTGCTCAGATCCCCATCAAGGATGATAAGGAGGCGAACGATCGCGCGATGGAGGGCGTGCGGGCCGACAAGCTGCGCGAGGTGCGCGCCGGCCACGACGGGTACGTCCTCCCTTCTTCCCGATTTCTTCTTGTTCCGCTCCCTCCATTCTCGCCCTCACTCGCTCCAGTTCGAGATTCCGGCTAACCTAAAATCCAGAACGTGGGTGGCGCACCCGGCACTGGCTTCCATCGCGTCCGAGATCTTTAACAAGCACATGCCGACGGCGAACCAGCTATTCCGACGGCGCGAGGATGTGGTCGTGGGTCAGAACGACTTGCTCAATATGAATGTACCCGGTAAGGTCACCGAGGAGGGTATCCGCAAGAACCTCAGCATCGGCCTCGGCTACATGGAGGCCTGGATTCGCGGTGTCGGCTGCGTGCCCATCAACTACCTGATGTAGGTCATCCCTTTTCCTCATTCCCCATGGTCTCGGACATGCTCCTTTAGGATATCTACTATTTGCCTCTTACCGATCTTGATTTTTTTGTTCCTATTCGCTCACACGCCAACACAGGGAGGACGCAGCGACGGCCGAGGTATCGCGGTCGCAGTTGTGGCAGTGGGTGCGGCACGGAGTGACGACGGCGGAGGGCAAGAAGGTAGATAAGGCGTACGCGCTGCAGCTGCTGCGAGAACAGACTGAGAAGCTGGCCGCTGCGGCGCCCAAAGGCCACCGGTACGCGCTCGCGTCGCAGTACTTCGCCGGGCAGGTAACTGGCGAGGATTACGCTGACTTCCTCACGACGCTGCTGTACGACGAGATTACGTCTGTGGGTAACGCCGCGCCCGCGAGCAAGCTATAGGTGAGACAAGCAAGATGGTTGTCTGGGGAAAAGATGGAGAGAGAAAGATAGCGGCTTGCGAGGTGAAAGTTGTAAATACCTGGGAAGAATGGCTTAAGGGGAAAGGATGTTCAACCGGTAATCGGCGACCGATGGCTCTAGGCAATCATATGCATTTGAACCGAGTTCCGGTTTTCGCCATAACTGGATATATATTTTATATAAACACGTTCGAGAAAATGACAAGAAATGTGACGATCAGGTCCTAATATTACCCCGCTGCCTGCGTGTCGGGTGCGACATATTAGCTATACAGGTATATCCTAAGTGTAGCAATGATAGTGTCCTCCTGCCGGAGCTATAGGGTAGATAAGACTACTTACACCCGAATTACCTAGCTACCTATATATACACACGACGCTTACAGCTGCCGCTTTCTGCTTACTCGTTGACAGCGACTTGCGAGACAAGGCAATGCGGTCGCCGGGATAGTGAATGCGCGCCCCTATCCCGATTTCTAGTCTCGTACTACCTAGGTAGCTACCAGGGCATAAAGTACGAATATCCCGGGAGGAAGGAAAAGGAGTTGTCGAAAATGAAAGCTCTTTGACTCGGGCATCTCGGGAAGACGAGATAGAGTGATGTTGAACGTGGAATTTGATTGACGTCGATCCGAACTCCTGATAGCTCGGGGGAGACGGGTTGAGTATGTAACAAAGCAAATAGTGCTATCAGGAATATGCGGGGACGGGCAGTAATTAGTCACGAAGATGACGTCACTACATATCGCATCGTGATCGATTTCGGGCTGCCGTCGATGGCGTGCTACCGGGCATGTCTCGAACGCGACGGCAACGCAACATCGCGACATCTCGATCCATCTTAGAAAACCCCGTACTTGACTAGCACCACTCCATTCGACCAGTACCAGTGCAATGACTTCTGCGTTGATCATCGGTGCTACTAGAGGCCTAGGTGCTGCTCTCGTCAGAGAATACGCCTCCAAGCCCTCGACGCTCGTCTACGCAACCACTCGATCTAGAGATGCACCCAGCGGGTTTCCGGGCGGCGTCAGATGGCTATCGAACATTGAGCTGACCGACCCCAAGGTTGGTGACAATCTCACCGGCCAGCTTAAAGGCGTAGAGCCTCTAGACGTGGTGGTAGGTTCGCAGGCCAAGGCTTCGAGTCCGTAAGGGCACGGTTGTTATTAACCCTCAAATGATCTGTCGATCTAGATCATCAACGCCGGACGATTCACGACGGAGGACTTCTCCGCCGAGAAGGGCCCCAACTGGGACGAGGAGGTGGCCATGTACACGACGAGCTCGGTAGCGCCGGTGTTCATCGTGCACAAGCTCACTCACGCCGGCCTCCTGAAGCAGGGCTCCAAGGTCGTCCTGGTGTCCAGCGAGGCAGGAAGCATCACGCTGCGGCACGAGAACGAGGGCGGTGGCAATTACGCGCACCACGCTAGCAAGGCCGCGCTGAACATGGCCGGCAAGCTCCTCAGCATCGACCTCAAGGAGCGCGGCGTCATCGTTAGCATCGTACACCCGGGCTTCATGCGCACCGATATGACCAAGGGCGTCGGCTTCGACAAGCACTGGGACTCGGGCGGTGGTGAGTCGTCCGAAGCAAGCAGGCCGACAACAGAATGGAAGCTAATACGTAGACGCGCCCCCCCGCCCTTTAGCCGTGACGCCAGAAGAGGCGGCCAGAAGTCTAGTGGAGTGGGCGGACAAGCTAGATATTAGCCATTCCGGGGAATATTGGGCGCCGCGTGGCCCGCGTAAGTGTCTTTCCCGGGCGATCTAGATCCGCGCATATTGCTTCTGCTGCTGACAACAACGGGGATTAGGGGATATCGGCATGGCTGAGACGGTGCTGGGGAAGAATCTCGGAACGCCCTTACTGCTGCCTTGGTAACTCGTATCCTGAAAGTTGAAGAGGCCTATTAGATGGGTGTATGTGTCTGCCTCCGTACACGATTTTTTTCTTTTTTCGATATAAACAGGTGTATGCTTGATGTGGGTGGTATGAACCAGCCAATCAAGGTAGACGGAACCCTATCTTGCCATCTCCGGCGACGACTTTTTCCATGTCTTTATGGTAGTAAGCAGATCACAATTGAGCCCAAACCGTTTCCAAATTTGATACTGGTAGATGGAATAGTACCTCTATAGTATGTAGGCTGGATAGGAACCTAAAAGGGGGGACGGTAAGCAGGGGACTGGCGGCTGGGCGGGAGGTACTTACCCCATTCTAACGATGATGCCAAGGGGGCCGGCCTTTCGACTTGCACAAGCCACTAAATATGGATGTGCGCACATCATCACACGGACACCGCGGGCACGCATTAGAAAAGGGGCCCTGACCATGTTAGAGATATCAATATTTCGATGCAAAGGCAAAGAGCTGACCGCCGAACACGTAGAGGCAAAAGGCTATGCCATATATTACGCACTATTCGTCACTTTTACGTACGATATCCCCGTCCCTATAGCACGTACATCGGCAACCTGGGCAACGGCTGTCAACGGTGGATATGCATTCGGGCTTGGACACAGGGACGACGGCGGGGAAGAATGCGATCTGATAGTTATCTAGCTCCGGGTCGTCCTCTAAAGTAGATTGTCTCCGAACGAGAAAGTTTTCAAGCGCACCCTCCTCTCAGACACGAGCGGAGCTTCCGCGGTGGGCTGGACGGGATGTGTCGACGGTCGAGGTCGAACTTGCTGACCATCGAGTGGACCTCTCTCGACGCCGTAAGCCTCGTGCCGCGATTTGGACCGTCCGCGAGGAGCGGGAGATATACCGAGGCTGTATCAGCGGATCTAGCTCTCGGCGTGGTGTAAGACGAGGCGAAGCCGAGACGACTTTCTGCCCATAAATATCTCCGACCCGATGGGCAGGTTGGGAGACGTGTAGAATACATTAGCAGGAGGCGGACTTTTTATTGTCGACGGTTTCCAACCCGATACTGCCATTGTCATTTCAAGAATACGTTCCGCCGCGCCGGCGGTTGACCCTTCGCCATTCACACAGACAAATTGGCAGAGACCATTGTAGGCCAAAACAACCCAAAGCTAGGTAGCTAGATCAACAATGACGGATGATTCGGACAGGGTCGCGAGGGCTGCGTATCACCGTATTTGTGAGGTCCGTTTTCTTTCCCGCGGCCGGCCGGATTATGCATTGAACAGCCCCTTAGACACGTGACTGGCGACGAAGCGAAAAGCGGACGCGCTATACGCCTACATAAATACCAGGTACCCAATATACCTGTCGTGTACCTGCCTGCTTCCAAGACCTCCCGTCTGCAAGCCATTTATAGGCATGCATTACTGCGCCTAATCCCCCTAACGACTGCTCCTGCATGTACCTGGCATACAGTACCTTTACGTACCTGCACCACACGGTGGAAGTACAAGAACTACCCCTAATGGTAAGGGTGTGGTCCAGACGTCCCGATATTCCCCCTTTCCCCCCCTTTCTTATTTTTGTAGGGCGAGGTCGAGTCGGTTCAGCGAAGCTGACAAATGGGTTACGCGTCAGGGACAAGAACGAGTTCACATAGGATCGTCTTTCGCAATCCGAGCCCCGGGCTTGCTCCCGAGGTAACGGTATGTGGCACGCACGGTAGCGTTAAGGTCGGGTTAGGTGGGCGATCACACACAGATATATATATATATGGATAGCTAGACGTGCAGCGATAACCGTCACCAGCCATTTCTTTAGGATAAACAGAATACGGACGCATTAGTTCCCCCCCCCTCCTCCCCCCCAGCCGGCTCAAAAGGAGGTGGATACGTGCAGACATCTGTGTGCGTAGGTAGATATACACGTAGGCGGACCGCGTTCGAGATCAGGAGTCGAGTTTGGCCTGGTCTCGGCAGACTTCGAGGATCGGAATACAACCTTAGGTTAGGGGAGTCCGGTTTTGCTGGAGCGTTGTTATTACGGGCGATGTTGCAGGTGACATCTTGTAGGAGAAAGGTAATCTCCTGAAGGAGGCGGATTGGGCGGGCTAATAATCCGTCGAGGACGCAGCACACGTATCGACGACGTCTTCCTCGCTCCCTTTATACTATACCCTCCTCTCCAGAATGCGAAGGCATGACGAGGTTGGACTCCCCCGTCTGGTCTGATAGGTTGACCCGACAATGGTGCAAGTGCGGTAAGGAACAATGTTGCTGGGGTCTCCCCATCTGGCAGCAGCGGCGGGACAATTGTAGGCCGGCCAATGGCGTAGCGGTTCAGCTTATTGTTGCTCATGCTTATGTATACGATCCAATCCACTCGAACCATCGGGTTTCTAGACCTGTCTTCATTTTCCCGATGGCCTTCCATTTCTTGCCCCCTTGGCTCCCACACATGTATGTACACATATGTACTTGTATTCCGTGGTATATTATGTGCAAAAGATATACGAGGATATATGGATGGATGAGCGGGTAGGTTATCTCCTGAGGTATGCAACAGTCGCACTGAAACTATACACGCTCATTGCCTTAATTACTCATACCTACGCGGTAGCCACCTACACGTACTCAATGTATGTACATCCGGTCTTCTCTGTTAGGATAGGAGGTACCCAGAGGTATCGGCCACCCCAGAAGGATTGCTCAAGATACAGGCCGAGTAGGTACCTGCCAATACGAGGCACAACGCCTGCAATACGCACCTCCTAACCGGCCTAGGTAGGCTACGTACTTTGACGTATTACTTGCCGATTTAAGTAGGTCGCCGCCGAGGTTTACTGGGTAGGTGCCCTAACACTTTGATGTAAGCCATATGCCATGCGCAGCAGCATGATATGTAGGCATGTAAGGCAGCAGGTCGGTCGGTCAGTTTGGTTAGCATGGTGGCTCTCATAAGTCTTGGGAGATACGTGAAGTACATATACCTAGTAGGCATGTGATGGCTGTGCGTAATGACATGTGCACGTATATTACAGCTGTGTAGGAGATCAGGCACCCTAACGCACGTGTACCATAGGTAGGCACCTACCTACCTGTATGAGTAGTACCTTGATTTCTCCCAGGTGGGTGTAGGTAATTACGTACGCGCCTGGGGAAGATATTACCTAGGTATCTAGTCTAGGCGGTAATTGATTCGATGTTGGATTCCATGGTGTATAGTAGCGCTCCGAACAGCAAGCACTATGCACGTGTGTGCATATGCCATCCTGCTGTGCTGGGTCAGGATGGGCGGCTATTCCCGATCGAGTATTTACCGCCAGACTAAATCGCGTGGTGGGTGCTAGCGACCGTTTAGGAATGCCACCGATCCCCAAAGCCAAAAAGGTTGATGGTGCCTCTGTGCTTCCCTAAGGATCTGTCACAGTGTCTCAGGTGGTCACAGGCCTTTTACGTACCTATATTATTAGCATTACCTCACTACTACGTCCATGTTGGGTGCCGAAAGCCTGTAGGTAATTTAAGCATGTATAGCATGCTAGTGCCTGGCTTGCTCCCTCTATGCGTATACGAAGTAGCTACGCAACCCTGGGAGGTAGGAGGTAGGTAGGTACAATAGACGGGCACCTAAGGTACTGCGTAGTACCTCGTAAGTGGAATCCGGCGGTCTCTGCCCCGCCAGTTGCCGTTCGTTAATCTCCATTAAAATCAACCCTCTCTCTTCCCCCTGACCCTGTTTTAAACGAGCCCGGACAGGGCCCCTTTCCTCGCCATTCGTACCTAAATCAAAAGAAGCCCACCACGGGCAACAGTGCACTGCTGCGCACCTACATACGTACATGCGTGCCGGGCAGTTTTGGCGTCGCTGGATCAGGGGGGGGATCTCCTTGCGGCGAGGGCCCTCGACCTGGAGAAGCGGGAGGGGTAAAAAGCCCAAATAAAATTAAAAAATTAGAAGAAGACGGCCGAAAAGAGGAAGGGAGGAAGAGCCGAGCCGAAAAGGCATTAGCAGAAATCTAGGGTACCTGCCGCCATCCGACTCTGCATAGGAAACCCCAGGCAAAACCAACGGAAGGACACGCAGAGAGAGAGAGAAGACAACAGCTTCCCCCAACACTCGTCGAATCCCTCCCTGGCTACCTCCCGTCCGGCTGACCTTGCCGACTTTATTTCCTAAGCAGCGCAACTGATCCTCGTTTTTCTGCACTTCTTGGCCGCTCACTTCTCGCTCTTCTCGCCCTCTCGCTCTCTCGCTCCCTCTCCCTATTTTTCCCTCGCGCTATTTCTCTCCTCCCCAGGCATCCATCCAGCCATACTGCAAGTCGCCTCGAAGGGCCCAAGGCGCGCGGAATAAGGAGGGATCTCAAGACCGGACCTCTCCTTGTTTCCATCAGCGACAGCAACTCCTCCTCGTGGAACGGCAACCCAAGAAATCGCCCCAACCCGATCCGACTGTCCGACCGGACGGAAGAAACTCGCCTCGCTTCATTTATCGATCGACCAGTCGGACGTATTGGCGTAGCTCGACGGACGTAGCCTTCGTTCTCGCCCGCCTCCTCTTCTTAGGGTTCCTTGCATAAACGGTCCAACACAAGAACGCGTGTTGCCGCACCCAAGGGCCGAAATAACGCTCAGCGAGACTTCGGGCTTATTCTTTTCCTATCCATCCATCGATCGATCCATTTCTAGCCGCCCCCGTCTCTCTCTCGACCCACGAGCTGACCACCGCCGCCGCCGCCGCTGCCGAGTCAGTCATCAACTTGGCTACCGCACTTGGAAGCGTTTCGCCACAGTGTACATCGCGGCCCCCTACGTGCCTCAAGCGCCTTTTTTTGTAACAAAGTTGCTCGACAGCTTGATTGGCGTCTCTTGAACTCTCCTCTGAATTCCGCTTTCCCTCGTACCGACGCGCGCGCGCATATACGGACAAATTAGATCTTTTGGATCGTCGTTGGACCCGTGTCGTGCTAGGTTTCGAGAGGGCCGGCAAAGATCATTGGCTTCGTGCGGGAAACGCTTCCAAGCCTCCGAGGTCAGAAAACATCATAGTTCTCTGACGATCGCGGCCCATCTTCTTTCACCCCTGACGCAACCTCGCCAGGAATTCTGCAGTGTTGTCCTCTTCCACGTTCGGCTCTGAACTCTTAACAAAAGTCAGCTATTGGTTGACTGGGCACTTCTCCCGGCTCTTTGATTACCAGTACGGGGCCGGCAAGCACCCCCTGCGAGACAACGAACCCGCACTAGAAACAGGGAAACAAGGGGATTCCGTACACCATGTCCTCCACCTCACATTCAGCAGATCTACTTGGTAAGTAGCACATGGCGTAGTAGTCGGGAAGCGAAGACGTCCCAGCTCCGCCGCCCCCTTTCCCCCCCCCTCCCCTTCGCGTTCCCTTTCCTTTCCCATCTCGAACACCAACTGCTGCGATAAAGGGGAGCCGTGTTAGGCAACGGTCCACTTAACATATCCAGCGGCCTGTTTCATTTGCAGTGGTAGACGTTTCACAATTGCCTATCATAGTCATCTTCGCATTGCAACAAATCTGCATTGATCCGATCAGCTAACCGACTTTCTTCCGTTTGCTATTCATAGGTCTGTTTGATAACAATTCGTCCGCTCAATCCCCTGGTCTGACGCTTAATCTCTCATCAAACAACCCCTTTCGTAATCGTGCGGCATCGCCCGCCAGCCTATCTACTCCTCCCCGTTCCCCATTTGATGATCCTCCTCCCCGACCGACCTCGAGAAATCCTTTCCTCGATCCATCCAACAAACCTGTTGCTGCCAGTTCCGTCTCGCTCGATAAGATGGCATCTAAAGGCCAGAAGTCGCCTACGGTCGAGGACCTATTTGTAAGTTCGCTTTTCTAGTCTCGCCCTGGTCCGCGAAACCGGTTATTAATCCTCGCTCTCAGAACAACTTGTCGTTTGACGATAAGGAGGCCAAACCCCGACCGCCCCCAGGCCGACCTCCGATGAATCGCCCTCCAGGTGCCCCCCCTCGAGGCGAAAACAACCCTCCGCGAGGTCGTGGCCCAACGTCTTCCTCGTCTCATCGGCCTACTCGATCGCAAGAAGAAGCATTGAGAGCGCGCAGGGCGCACGGTACCGGGAATGGGGAGAAGCTCATCGATATTGGCTCTCCCAAGAGAACGGCGGATCGTCGCCCACGACGCAATAGCGACTCGTCTGTGATAGAGAAGCCGCTAACCGAAGAAGAAAAGAAGGCACGTGAGCTTAAGCGTAAGGAGGGCGAGCGGCGCCATCGCGATGGCAAGGACAAGAGCCGGGGAGGCCGAAAGCTCGATATCATTGATCAGCTCGATGCCACCAGCATTTATGGAACAGGACGTGAGTATTTTGAGGAGACCGAACGCAAAGGATTCCCGGCCTTACACTTTCTTAGTATTCCACCATGATGGCCCATTCGACGCCTGCAATCCGAGCCGAAACCGCAAGGGAAGTCGCCGCGCCCCCATGCAGGCGTTTGCTAAGGACTCTGCGAATAACTCGATCGGAGGCGCAGGCCCCTTGAATCAACGACCCGACCACGCACAGTTCATGGGACATGATCCTCACGACGCTTCTAGTATGTTCGGAAGTGTGGGTAAGGAGTCAAAGAGCGAGACGACGTTTTTTGATCCTAAGCAGGCGAGCGAATTCGTCACGGGCGAAGAGACACTAGGTCTTGGATCCTCGACGTTTTTGGAGGGCACTCCGGCTGCCCGTACCGCAATCCAGCGTAACCAGGCCGAGGCACAGGAGGGCTTGGAACAAGGATTGGGCAGGAAGAAATCAGTTGTGCAACGTTTCCGAAGCATGAAGCGTGCACCGCGCGATTACGGCGAGTCGGGGCGAATTACGAGCCCAGACAGCAATTATGGCTCGCGCTCGGCCGACCTTCCCAACGGGAGTAACAATGGCGAGAGGAACCCCTTCTTCAACGAGTACGACAAGGCCGACGAGCGCATCTCTGTCCAGCGTAAGGGTTCGAACGCGATGACCCCAAACAGCCCACCACCCCCTCTACCAAATACGGCCCCCGAGCGCCGAGCAACTAGCGACGGTCCTGGGTCGCCCGAGTCTCCCAAGGGATCGAAGGGGCCAGATGGCTTCCTATCGCGTGTCAGGAGCCTGAAGGGCGGTCGGCGACAGCGACCGGACCCGCCCAGCAGAGACGTACCACCGTCGGCTCCGGGTATGGCTATCTAAACCTCTCGAGAAATGGACAGTGTTAACGAATCGTGTCTGGGTACAGTGGCCAGATACTAGGTAACGGCTACATCGAGATCGGCCGGGGCGGATTTCAGCGGTCATAGTAGGGACGAGGAGGGTGGGATGGCTTTTTTTTTCCTTCCTGAGCTTCGGATTTGCCGTTGGCCTAGTGCGGTGGAACTTAGGACAAAACGTGGACAAAACGTGGACGCCTCGCAGGTTCTTCTCGGAGAAAGTAACAGTGTTGGCATGGGTTGGTTGTGGAAGAATAACAGAGGGAAGGGTTTCCGCGCGCTAACAATTTACGCGTCCAAGCCTTTCATACCTCCATCTTCTCCTACCCTTCTTCGCGCCGTGTACGACGCCCAGGGGAGGGGCCGCCCGCAACACCGTTCGGCTATCCCTCGATACCATTGTGGGGAAAGCAAGAGAGGGAAACAAGAGTGGAGGGAATACTGCTGCCGGTGGCTAGGCAAAGCTCGCCCAGAATGAACTCAATGAAGAAAGCTTCTAATTACTTGACAGTGCTGGTTAGAAATATGCAGAAATGCTCTCTTCCTGGGCAGTAGTGTAATTAATATGTAGATACATGTATGTAGTGTTGTTCAACTCGGGATTGAGAAAGCAAGTTGCCTTCGATAATAGACGTGGAAATATGCATATCCAAGGACGCACCGGCTCGGCAGGGAGACGGAATCAAGAAATTCTGCAGCCTCTGTGCGACATGCGGCAACAGGCTCTGATACCGAGAGGCTTTGATACTCTGGTCTCGACTGTGTCATGGTACATTCTTCAGTGGAGAGTATTTGATAACGTAGAGGCATCGGGAACTTATGAGTAGAAATGTCGAGGCATTTGATACGTACATTACCTCGCCAACCGGGTAATCGCTAATTCATCAATATAATATGCAGGTACCCGATAGATGAGTGTAGGCCTCGGGTTGTTCCCCTTGTTCGTCTTCTCCTTCAACCTACCGCCTTGCACCGATGACGAGTAACACCGACGCCGCCGCCACCTCTGCCAACCGTACTATTTGCTGCTCATCCACGACCACCACACGCTATAAGTGGGGGTTTAACGAGCCGTGATACATACCGGCCGTGCGACCCCGTCAGACGGCATGAGCGCGGAGGAAACCGACGTCGCCACCAGCGCCGTAGTCGGCCCCGCGTCCTCGACGTCTCCGCGTCCGTCTTCCTCGCCGTCGCCGGCGGGCCCGCAGTACGTACCCACGTCTGGCGCAACGCTGTACGGGCTCGAGGTGCGGCGACTGCGGGAGAGGCTGTTGCCGACGACGACGACGACGAAGCAGGGGGGTGGATGGGGAAACGGGGACAGGCTACGGATGCGCACAGGGTGCGCCGAGATCGACGGCGGCGCGCTGCTCGGCGGCGGGTTCGAGCGCGGCACCATCGTCGGCGTGAGTGCCGAGGAAGCGGACTTTGGGGTGTTGGTAAGTTTCCGGCCCGGTCTGGCTATTCGTTCGCGTCTGCGTGTGGGCGTGGAGAGGCGTCTTCGTCTATGTGTTGTGACGATCTAGCCTTCTTTTTCTTTTTCCCTTCTCTAAGATATACGAAAAAAAAAAAACAAGACTGAAGCTGATAGAACCCTTTCTAAGGGGGAAAGGTGTGGTATGGCAAGGCGAGCGGATTAAGTAAATGCTGACAAAGGGGCTCGAGGGTTAGGTCGGGTTGCAGACGGTCGCACGAGCGCTCGTCTCTGACCATAGCGGCGAGGGGATTGGAGGCGGAAAGCCCGAGAGCACGGGGGCAAATAGGCTGCGGGCCGCTGTCGTCACCACGCTGCCCCCCGCCGCGATCCTGCCGTTGCTGCGGGACGTGGTCGCGGCGCAAGCGAGAGCTAGGTTCGCGACGGGCCACAGGCCACGGGGAACGGAGGAGGTAGAGGAGGTGGTGAAAGGGATAGTAAGGAGTTGCCTAGAGCGCGTCTCGATCTCCCGCATCTTCGATATCGAGGGCTTGTGGGAGGTGATTAGAGAGCTAGAGACCCCTATCTCTACTACTCCTGATGCTAGGACTGAGGGTGCTCAGATAGCTAGCCCCAGCGGGAAAGATGGGGGGGCAGATCCTATACGGTCTACCACCGCCCAAGAAGAAGAGGCGCAGGCAGTTTTCCCCGAGTCGTTGGTCTCGGAGCCGTCCCCTAGTAAAGTTTCCGGAAACGACGAGGATAGTGATGCTGATCTCGGGCTGGTCGTAGCAGACCCCCCCGTGCCCGAACTGCCCCCAAGGACTCATAAGACAGAAATACAAGATAGCGAGGACGACGAAGACGGAGGCCTGGATTCTTCGCCACCACCGATGATTGCTTCTCCCCGGGCGAAACTACCCATAACCCTGCCCTCTCTTCGCTCACCTCGCTCGCCTCTCCTCCGACCTCCCCCTTCCCAACTGCCCCCTGCCGCACCACCGACCACCTCAACCCCCAGAGAGCCAGCGGGCGGTGTTCGCGAGGACAACGCCGAGAAAGCGGCGGGAGACGAGGAGAGGAGCGGGCGGGAAGCGGGAGCCGAGAAGGGCGAGAACGAACCGACCCCGACCTTGCCCGACATCATCCTGGTGACGCACTTCTCGTCGCTGCTGGCGGGCCTGTTCGCGCGCGCCGGCGACCACGGCAAGGCGGCCGCGCACGCGACGCTGCAGCTGCTGGCCGCGCACCTGCGGCACCTGTGCCGCGCGCCCGCGCCGCCGCTCGTCATGCTCCTCAACACGACCACGGCCACGGCCACGACCGCCGCCGCCGCCGCCGCCCCTGCGCCTGCGCCGACGCTGCGGTCCGTCTTCAGCGCGGCGCCGGCGCCCGCACGGCCGCGCAGCAAGCCTGCGTTCGGCGCGACGTTCGCACAGCTCCTTGACCTGCATCTGCTGTGCACGCGGGTGCCGCGCTCGCCCGCCGACGCCCGCCGCTGCTGGGTCGTCGAGGTGCTGCTCGACGAGCTCGGGGTGTGGGAGCGGGCCACGGAGGCAAGCGGCGGCGGGGGCGAGGAAGGGAGGAACGCCGGCGGTAGCGGGGGCGACGGCGGCACAGGAGGGAGGTGGCAGAGACGTAGTCGAGAGCAGCGCTGGGGCGCCGTGGACGTGCGCGCCGGCGTCACGATCGTCGACGCCTTTCCCGGACCAGGGTCATAAAAGGTGGTAGACTTGCTCTGGGGGGCGAAGAGTCACATGTGCCCTATACTACGGATGTAAAGCCGCACCTAGAGGCGGCGGAAGGCTTGCTTGCTTGGGTCAGGTATCACGTCAAAATTCTTGCGGCTGCGTTCGATATCAACCATAGTAACTTGTCAACCTGTGAGATTAAATAGAGCGAGATCAAGCTTCTCCGCTTCCCCTCCCCCGCCCTTCTCTAGGAGCGATTTGCAAATTCTGAACGCTGTTCCCATTAGAGCATCTCCCCTCCTTTTTGGTCGCGACTGGTCCTAACCTACGTCTATATCACAGAGATCACCTACGAAGAGATGCATCATCCCATCTCTAACCAACTACCCAGTACCTACTACTTTGCTCCACCCTACAGCTCGCCGGCCGCGGGCTCCTGCTCATTCTGCGAGCCCCCGTCGCGCTCGAGGTACGGGTCGAGCCGGGCGACCAGCTCGCCGACGGGGATCCCGCCGTCGAGGTCGAGGTCCCAGGACGCGGGCCGGCCGTGCTGCCGCGGCGGGATGAGGATGTCGTCGACGGCCTGGATGACGCCGTCGCGCGCCAGGCCGTCCTCGAGGGCGATGTGGACGCGGCCGTTGATCAGGACCCGGACGAAGCCGTACCAGCGCGTGACGTCGACGGCGAGGTGGGCGTCGCCGAGCAGCGTCGGCAGGTCGAGGTGGTAGTGCCTCGCGCCCTCGCCTCGCTTCTTCTCGCCGTCTTCATAGTAGTCGTCGTCGTCGCCTTCGCCGCCGTCCTCCTCCCCCTTCTTCTTCCCATAGAACTTGTCTGTGTACAGCGTCTCGTTGACGACGATATGGTACTGGAGCAGCGCCTTGAGGTAGGTCAGTCCCTTCTCCGTGTTGAAAAGGAAGGCATTGGCGCCGGGGCCGAGCCGCTCGAAGGCGGTGTTGGTGGGCGCGAAGAGCGTCAGGCCCGTCAGTTCCGGCCTGTCGTCGCCGTCGCCGTCGCCGTCACCGTGACGGTGGTGCGATAGCCCGGTCTTCTCGGCGGCAAGCTGGAGGGTGGAGAATTTAGTCGGGAACAGAGAGATGACCTTTCCTGCCGGCGGCGGCGGGACCAGGATGCTCTCCACGCCGTGGATGATGCCGTTCTTGGTTTCCTGTATTAAGGGAGTGGTGGAATTAGCGTGCGTGACTCTTGTGAGATGCAAACGAAGATGCTGAAAAGGAGACGTACGATATTGGCCACGACGACCTTGCTGTAGAAATTCAACCTCAGGCCGAATAGGCTCAAGCCAACCCGCAGCCTCTGCGGGCGCCCACCCAGATGCTCCTCGATCAGGCTGGTCGGCAGGGTGTGATGGAAGAGCACGCGGCCGACGGGGTAGAGGCCGGGAACGATGTGGTACTGGATGACCTTCTCGATGAACTCCTTCGGGACGTCGTCGTGGTGCGGGATATGCTCAAAGGCCTTGTTCGTCGGCACGAAGGCGGTCACGTTCGCCGAGGTGCTGTTGAGCTTCTCGACCAGGTCCGGATAGTCGTCGACGAGGGCGGCAAACTTGGTGGTGTAGTTCGAGGCGTGGATTGCCTGGTACACGGTCAAGTTCGTCTGGCCGCCGTGGTGCCCCGACTCGCCGGGCTTGCTGGTGTAGTCGCGCGAGGGGAGGAAATCGACGACCTTGGGCAAGAAGCTACTGAGCTTGCCGGCCCGGGTATTGAGGGTGTCGAGGGCGGCGTCAAAGGCGTTACCCGACGACGACAGTAGGTCATCGACAGGGCCAGACAGCTTGTGCCACCATGGAGAGGAGGAGGACGACGCCTTCTCAGTGGGCCCGTTGGTGTCGAGTGCCAGCTGCTCGGCGGTGGCCTCGTCGGGAATAACGAAGGCGGCGGCGGCAGCCACAAAGGGCAGGACTACGGTGGCGTATTTCATGTCGACGATGTCGATACGCTTGGTTGGTAGATTGGTTGGTTGCTCACTCTCTCTCGCTCTCCTGATGACCACTTGGTGATCGGTTGAGCAGCTCAGGGTCTACGGAAGTAGGAAGGGGAATGAGAAACCGCTCTGCCTAGGACCCAGGGGGCTTCGCCTTATAAGACGTACCTACCTACCTGCCTAGCAGTAGTAAGTCCTTTTTTCCCTCCGTCTTCCCCTCCTCCTCCCTCTGCCTGTGCGAGGGGGATGGGGCGCGCTCCTCTAGCGACCACTTACGTCAAGCTGTGTGTATCAATTAGGCAATGGAGGCGCGTCAGACCTGGAATCACAAAGGGGACAGGGTGAGGGATGGAGTGGAACACGCAATCGGCTGGAGACCTACGCCCAGGCCCGGGACCTACGGAAGGGCGATTTGCTGGATCCTCTCGTTCGTTCGCCTCCCTCTCTCTCCCTCTCTCTCGATCTCTCTCAACGGACCAACGGCAGGGCTGGACGGCGTTGCTGGGGCCGAGTTGGGTGATTTCTACTCGTGCTCGCGTTATGGATCCTCCTTCGTCATGACCTTCGTACCTCAGCCCACCTCGGAGAAGAGTGCGAAAGGCCAGGCCGCCCGAGCCCCAAAGCGGCAAGGTCTAGGTACCCGCCTACGTAAGCTATGGAGGCACCTCGTAACGCATGCATCCGCTGGACAGGTACCTCTGGGCAAGGTATTCCATAGGTATCTACAGGTTGGAGGCATGCTGAGCGTGTACATGAGAAGCTGCTTGTCTACTCGTAAGCAGGTACCGATGACTTCTCGAGGGAGGTACTGGTATGTATACGTGTAGCTCGCAATTACTTACGGTTAGTTGCTCCTTAAATGCCGTATGTGCATACATGCTGCTATAGGCATATACTGTAGTATACGTACCTAGGGACTTCTCCAAAACAACCTAGCAAGACCGGAACTGCTTCATTTCTCGCCAAGCTCCTAATGACTTATTCCACTTATCTCGATCACGAATCCGGGAATTCGATGGCGTACTCTCTCTCCTGTCCCCCTCGCCGCGGATCGGCACGCAGGCAGTCGAGTCCTCCCGCCTAAGTAGTATTCTTCTGTTTGCCCGCCTCGACCGCCACCGCGGATCCGGCCTCGCCATTTTCGGAGTCGTGCCCGACGATTGAAGACGACGTCGATGCATGGTCGGTTGTGTGTTTCCTGCCCTTCTGTCAGCAAGCATGCCCACTCCGCCCTCGCCCTACCCTGCGTATCGTCGATAGTGAAGTCTGTGTGGCTTACCCCTGCTGCTTGGTGTGCCAATGCAAAATCCACGTCGCTACGATGAGCATCACGGCGCAGCCGAGACAGAACGGGAATCCCTTCGGATACCGCGGTTGGTCCAGCGTCGGAAACGTGAGGATCTGTGTCCAAGCCGTCGAAGACTGCGCGAGGATGTTGATCATGACCAACGTGAATCCCCGCTCTTCTGGCGAGTCTCTCAGCAGGTTGTTTACCCATCCGTGGAATACGCTCGACAACGAGATCGCCCAGTACCCCGACGAGAACGCGAACCAAATCGCTCCTTCGGGCACGCCATGCCAGATCGTCAGGATGAGAAGTGCCACCGCGTTCCACGTGCTGGCGAACGTGATGGCCCACGCCGGACCCATGAACAGGTCCGAGGCGAAACACGTGAACAGCGTGTAGGGTATGGCTAGCGCAGCTTGGATCGTCCCGAACTGGTTCACCTGCGGCGTCGTGTACCGGTTTAGGCTCTTGATCCAGAGCAAGAAGGTGCCTGTGTTTAGATAGACACCGGCGTTCCAGAACAGCACGTCGACTAGCACTACCACCCAGAACCGTGTGCTCACGAGAATCTTCTTGATCGTGCCGACCTGGAACTTCCCCTGGAAAGCGTGGCCACCTCTCGCTAGTCGCTTCCGGCTGATTTCGAGATCGCTTTCCGTCAGGATCCAGGGATTCGGTTTCTGTAAGCTACCGGGCAGCAGAAAGTATCCGAGGATGCCAACTGGGATGGTGATCACGGCGCAGATGATGTACATCCACCTCCAGCCAGCTAGGCCGTTGACTCCTTCCAGAGCGCTTGTCGTGGCGGACGTGATCAGCCCCGCCGTCAGGGTACCGAGACCGACGCCTAAGTAGAAGACGCCGCCGCGACGGGCGATCTCGTGGCCGCGGTACCAGCTTCCAAATACGTAGTGCATGGCTGGGAAGAAAGCTGCCTAGGATAAGTCAGCAACTCGGCGTTGGCGTGAGCTCGAACCAAGGCACGGCAAACCTCGAACCAACCGACGAAAAATCTGTACGCTGCCATTTCCGCAAAGGAATTCCCGCGGTATTGAAGCAGCGTGAAGATCCCCCAGAGGACGTCCAGCGACGGGATAAGCCAGTACATCGGAATATACGTGAACAAGAACAGAAACGGGATTTGCCCGAGCACGGCGCCCACGATATACATCGTCTGCAATCTGACGAGCTCATTGCCGTAGAACCCGAGGTCCTCCTTCATCCCAGAGACATAAGCGTTATCTTTTCAGGTGATTAGTTATAACCGTTTGAAACCATCACATCGGAAGTGCCGACTCGACGACGCGAGGCGGCGCGAGGCTGCTCACTCAGGTTGGCTTGGTCGATGTACTTCACCCAGTAGGCGAGCAGCGCATAGGGCACGACGATCAAGTCGAGCTTGATAATGAACCGACGCTCCTCGGGCGTGTCGTCGTCCGAATACCATTGTAACTTCCACCACGCCGATCTCCGAACAACGTTAGTATTCCCAGGTCCCGGGTTGTCGGCATCCATCATTTCGCGCGCACTGTTCTATACACACACGCTTGAGTTGAGGAGACGAATAGGGTATCGTTGGTAGACGGTGGTACACGTCCTCATCTCTTCATCTTCGAAAAAAATAGCTGAGGCTGCACGCTACTTAACTATAGCCATCTTTGCCGCGGTGCTCGTGCCATAGAAGATTGACGATATCTTCTTCTCCGGTTGCACCATTGCGCGATGGGCGCCGCAGATTGTACGATATCCGGATTCATACATAAGCCGATGACGTGCTCGCGCGCGGGGGGGGGCGTTGATGATATCCGCAGGGATCATACAACGTTACCCTTCAGAATCAACCATACATACACATACACACTTCTGGCCCGGCCCGACTATGCATTCTTGCCCTCGGCATAGTCTAGGACGTGGGTAGTTATCGCGAGAATACTATCACACTTTAATAGCCGTCACTAGAGAAAACCTGACAGGGTTATAGATATCCTGCTTGGTAGGGCTTGGCGGAAAGAGACTATACGAATGGTTGGCTATTCGTTAGTTATCTATGCGTGTCGAAGGGCCTCCGCGATATGATTTGCCTTCGAAGTTACGTAGATTCAACACCAGACAGCAGCGCAGAGGTCTATTTTTGAGGAATGGGCAGTATCTTGACGCCTTCTGTTATCCTGTGTGAAAAGGGGGGCATCTGGGATTATGAGTGGGCCGGCTCGACCAGGAGAATATCAGAGAGTGGTCAAGCGGCACCATCCCCCCCCAACGCTTTCCTGGTCGTTGTAACACTGTGCGGCGCCATTACGCGGCAGAAGCATCAAGTGAATGATATGGGTCGATCCACGCGTATGCATTTTTCTATACTGCTGGGGGAAGAGAGGGCAAGGCACACACTTATCGACAGTGGGGGCTTGATATCATAGGCATATTAGTTGCTGGAGGAAGGAAAATCATTAGACGGGAGGGGGAAGGGGGGTTCTAGCGAAAGAAAGGGGGTAATTTATTATATTATGTGCTATTAAATAGCTATACCAGAAATGCGCAGGTGCTTAAACAGAATATATAGGTATGAGTAGATATCTGGCGTGGAATGCAACATTTCTCCCAAAGTCACATGCGAGAGCGGTCTGTCGTCAAATAGTAGTCGTGTTGCTTGCCATCGAGCGCAACCTGTATAGAGATTACTCCCCTGGCTAAACACCGCTGTGAGTATCTTGACGGTATCAAACCCCGGTGGTATATATAACGTTGGCATCCCATTTCTCTGCCCTATTGCTCTAATTCTTTTCCCCTGGGAACCATTGCCTCAAACAAAGCCACATTACATTCCTATCAGCTGGGTTAAGCGCAGCATGCGCCCTTCTGCACTTCACGCGCTATTTGCTATAGGATATTTCCACCTAGTATCACAAGCATATAACGCGAGGTCCTCTTGCTAACGCTATATATCCTTGTATATATCGCAGCTCCGTAATCCCACGAGTATGGTGCCTCTCTATGTGTACAATTCAGATTCGCGCCGGCTATATTCCCTGCAGCCGTACGGGCTTCTAGTTCTTAACCCAATAAGGCGTTGCCCATCGAGGGTAGAGAGAGGGAGTTGAGCCCCGTGCAATTCCTGGTGGGGGTCGGGTAGGGGAGAGAATTTACCGTGGTCCCCCCCACGGCCCAATGCAACCGAGTGACATACAAGGATAAAATTTCTACCGTATAATTAACACATCCGATCGGAGATTAGCGAATTGCCTGCGTAGGCAATGCCACACTAGCCGGGCGGGCGCGCGCTCAGCTCTCCAGAAACTCCTCCAGCACGCGGTTGAACTTGTCGGGGTTCCCCCAGAACACGAAGTGGCTGCCGCCCTCGTGCTTCTCGAAGACCCTCGAGCCGCGCGCCGGGGATCTGCTGCGCGACACGCGCTCGACGGCCTCGACGGGGACCGGGCTGCCGCGCGCGCGGCGACGACCAGCGTCGGCACATCGATGCGCGGGAGCACGTGGCGCCAGTCGGCCGCGAGCGGCGCCGGCGTCTTGGCCTGCTGGGCGAGCGCCCACGCTCGGTCCGCAGGGTCGGCGCTGGGCAAGAAGCGGCGGGAGAGCGCCTCGCGCGCGGCGAGCTCGAAGCGTCGGCCGGCGGGGAACACGGCGCTGCGGTCGGGGGGGGGCCAGGCCGGGTCGGCGGTCATGGCGGGGGTCTGGTCGACGAGGACGAGGCGGCAGGGAACGCGGGGAAAACAGGTCGCGGTGGGGCCCAGAGGACGGAGGCGCCCATGGAGTGAGCGGCCGACGAGGGCGGCGGCGTCGCGCAGGTCGAGGTCGGCGGCGTCGGCGCGCGACGCGGTACTCGAACGCGGGCTTGTCGGAGTCGCTGTGGCCGCGGTGGTCGTACGTGGTTGACGCGGAGGCGCGCCGCCTGCTCGCGGAACTGCGCCGCCGTCTGCGCCCACCCGGCGATGAAGACGAGCGCCGGCGTGGACGGCGGGCCCTGCTGCGTGTGCCGCAGCCGCACGCTGTCCGCCGTGGTGACGAAGCTCGAGTGCGGCGCGTCTGCGGCCGTTCCTTTCTGGGTTTCTTTTCCCTTGGAAACCCTCGGTGGAGAAGAGAGCGGACAGAGGTGGGAGAAAGCTGGTGAGGGGGAGCTGAATGTTCTACCTAGGTAAATGATGGCCACGAAGCGGGCCAACAGTGCTCGCCAAGCTCTCTTTGGAGTGTCGTGGGGGAGGCCGGATAGTGGTAGTGTCTAACCACCTTACCAGGGAGGAGGTGTAGGTCTCCTCTTTCCATTCTACGTTCACGCATATATATAGTCTGCCCTCCGGGGGCGTCGCGGATATAGCGGACCGTAAAGATGCGTATCTGAAGGACTCACCTACCTAATCGCGATGACGGCGCTCTCGACAGCTAGGATTGGTGTCATCTCGCGGGGCGTCATCACTCGCTGGGTCTGCTTGAGCTAGGTACTCCTTCGATTCGAGAATTGACTACCTAGGTAGGCAATCGTCGACCTAAAGGTAAGTAGACTTGCGGAGTCTCGTGTACCAACAGGAGTTCCATATTCCGTAGTACCCGACCCCTGCTACGAGCGACCTAGTTGATTGCCTTAATCAAAGCCTACGGCACTTATTATAGGCGGAAAATATGTTGGATCTCAGATGGGGTGTTCCGGATCGCTTCCGTGTTGTTCGACCAGGCGAGAATCGCATGGAATCCTGTTCAACGTGGGCGTGACGAGCTCTAATACAACATCATGCTCCGCTTACACTGCTTGCCCACCCTCCTGTTCACCGTGGATTTGTCAGGGAGAAGGGGGGGATGGGGAGAAGAGGCCCAAGAGTACTTTTAGCAGCCTTCTAGGTAGATTAGTTCTTTCAGTGAGTCGAAGTGTCATAGTGTCGATAGGACACGAAGAACATGCCAGCGGAAAGTCTCGAGTCCGAGAGTCAAGATTTCGGAGAATTTAGAGAACCAAGGGGAAGACTAAGCGCGCTCCTGGTACATTTAGTATTCTTGCTATACGCTCCTGGGGTCCCTCGTGTTTCCGGTGTTCTTTTCCCTTCTAGAACTTCCAGTGCTCTTAGGCTGCTGTCATCCCAGTCGCGAACAATTAATATAATCTCTAAGGTATCAGGTGGTTTCCCTCCGTCGTCGCCGCACGAAAGTCATCTCTCTTGGACTCATCATGAAATGGCAATGGTTCGGGGCACTGCTTTGTTGTCGGAGTCCTGCTCCTGCTCTTATGCCGTCGTTGTGATCGTTTGGTTCCTCTCCTTGTTCTTCATAGCTCGCTCTTGGAATCTCCTCCGCTTCCATGCGACCCGCAGGGACAGTAGATCCTCTTCGAGCACGCTTTGGTGGAACACCCGCGTAGCTGAATAGTAGACGTGCTGGTGTTCCGTATGAACCGCCGCTAACATATCTCCTGCGGTCTTAAGGGCGACGCATTCGTGCTTTCGACAAGCCGCGATATCGGCGTCCTTGGCAGCTCGGGCGCTGGCGGATGTGAGGGGCGAGCACTCCTTCTCGGACCGGTAACATGCAGCATGTTTGAGCATTCTCTCGCACATTTCCTTCTCGGCAATCGTGAGCATTTTGCCGTATTTCTTACGGTACTTCTTCTCGATTACTTCCTCCCTCGCTTCAATATAACTCTTGGCTTGTGCCGCGACACTCGCCTTGAAATCGGCTTCAAGGTTCATCCGGGCCTTTTTCTCTCGGGATTTCCACTTTCGTAATTGGTTTAGGTGTGAGGAACGTAGTTTGCTAGTACGGCGGCGGGAACGCATTGCCATGACCTGAATGTCTCGCTGGAGCGAAACGGACTGCGCCGCCAGTTGCAAGTTCTCGCTCTGCAGCTCCTTTACGAGTGAATCTGGCTGCTGGTTTTTGCCTTGGGCCTGCTCGAGTTGATACGGGAGAGTCTCCCAGTGGGAAAGGCCGATAGTTGGGTTTATAATCCCAATATCTTTCACCGCGGACCCTGGGAGCATATTGTAGGCCTCGTCTCGCTGCGCGGTACACTCCTTAAGCTCTCGAGCCAGTGAGCTATTGTCAACTCGGAGTTTTCGTATCTCGGCCATGCAGTGGCGGATCTGCCTGTTTAGTTGCGCCGCCTTGCAGAGTTCGTCTGCCTGCTTTGCGGCTACTTGCTGCAGCCCGGATAAAGCCTGGGCGGCTTTCTGCTCTCGGCGAGAGAATTCTTGGATAGTTTCCCTTAGCTCAGAAATCTCCTTAGTGGCCTGCTGTCTCAGGCTGAATATTTCTTGTGTAAATTGCAACTCGAGTGATGCTTGCTGCGCTAGAGCGGCATCTCTGGCTTGCTCGGTGGCAGTGATATGTTGTTTGATGGCCTGGAGGTCGTGGTGAGTTTCCGGGAGTGGCTCTAGGAGACCAGCCCTGAATGATTCTACGAGATTGTCTCGCTCATTGGCTACGATATTGTAGCGATGTTCTAAAGATAGGTAGCCCTTTACAAGCCCCTCATACAAGGGGTTGGCCGTGGTAACCGCACTAGTGCATCCAAAAGACTGTGCGGGTGGTGGCATGATGGTTGGCTAGATGATGGGGTGAGAGTACGGGTAAGGGGCGACGTAGAGCGTTTCTGAAGAGACGTGATTAAGTTCAATGCGAGGCTGGGTATGTTGGGTGATCTTCAAGTCCTTCTGGCCGAAGAGGTAGGCAGTTCGGTGCTTGAACGGTCGGTACTAGAGGGATCTGTGGTGAGAAGCTGGTGTCGAGGACACTTGGAAGTTCATGAAATGGGCAAGGATGGAGAAAGAGAGAATCAATAAGTCAGGAAACCGAAAACACCTCGTGTTGGGTCCGTTTGTGCTGTTGCGGGCCAGGGCTAAGACCAGGTGACTAGAAAACAGCCATTGTCGCCCTGGAATCAGAAATCCCAATGGTCACTGCTTCAGTAACCGAATTGGGTGCCTTAGAAAGGAGTGTGGTACAGTTATGACTCTGTGCCATCCAATGCTGGTGACTAGCCCTCGGGTTGTTAAGGTAACAACGATAACCTGTTTGTACGTAATTGATACGAACTCTGCCACTACGGCTATCTGGGGTGTGTCCATGTATGTCCTGCATTATACTCGTATATAATAAGTGCGCATATACACGAAAGGGGTGTATTCGGGCGAGCAGGAGTTAATGATTGGTATGGGGTTAGTTATACCAGCCTCGCGATCCAGGCCCTTGGTGACTTTGTTCTATGCGATGCTCTATGATCGGCTCGGTGATGTGGAATGCATCGATGATGTCTCTCCAGGTCTTCATATCGATAGATAATACGGCTTGCTGCTTCTGAGCTCGATGTTTGGTGGAACCGGTTTCGTCCTCACGGTCGGCCGGATCTTGGCCAGGGTCAGCACTTTAATAAAAAAGATTTGCGAGGAGGCTTGACCTACGTAGCGTTGGTAGCTTATTCTCGTCGAAATCGATCTTGATGCGGCCGTCTCGTATCAGAAAGCTGACGTAAAACATATTCTCCACCGTCTGTCCAAAGGAGCGCGGGTTCACCACAAATTTCAAGAGATCTATACCGCCCGTGTCCCTCAAGCCGTGGCGGTCCATCAGTCTTTGTGCCTCCTCATCGCTAGCGCCGCGGTTGACGGCCTCCTCTACCACATCCTGGGCTTCGTCTTGCACCTGCTTCAGCCTTTGGAGAATCTTGGAGCAGATAGCAGTAAGATCGTTCTTCTCCGCCCTCTGGACGTCCTCTGCATTGAGAACCTCGGGTCTCGTTTCTAATAGATTGTTCGGTCGGAACGGGGCACTGCGCTTGATAATCTTCCGCCTTTTCACCTCGGCCGACAGAGGGCCGAGGAGGAAGCCGGGTGCAGCCGGACGTCGAATGTTCGGGAGGCATCCAAAGCGGCCGAGATGCTCCCAGTTGAGCATGTCCCCTTCGTCACCAACATCATCGTAGTCGTCCCCTTCGTCGCCGAGGGCACCGCGGCCCGGCCGTCTTCGGTGCTGCTGTGTAGCGGTAAGCTCCGGGGCGTCGTCTTCCGTAATCCCTGCCCCTAGTCTCATGTAGGTGATGCATTTTGACACAAATTCGTCAACATCAATACCTTGAGCAGCACTCCCCGAGGTCAGACGGACTGTCTTGCGATATGATGCGTCAGCAGTATTCACCAAGAGTTTTGAGTCGATAGTAGCCTCGGTGGTTTGCTTCACGCCGGATAACAGTAGGTTCGCCTTTCGTAGCGTTTCGTGCAAGCCGGTAGAATCCTGCTTGAGATATTCATCACCGTTTTCTTGGAGATCCCGCAGCAGATCCCGATACCCGCGTTGGAGATTGCGCCTTTCCACCATGGACTGATCCGGGTCGAAATCCATATCGCCCTCCTTTCCGTCCTCCACATCTACGCCTGGCTCGCGCGTGCGCCGTCGGGAATTAGACTGCTCAGCGCCATGGGTGGAGGCTCGCTTCCTTTTTGAAGCACTTTCAAGTTGTTTACCCTTGTCTCTAATGACTAGTGGATTGTGAAGATCATCAGCAGCGGGCGCGGAGTCGGGGGACTCGGAGTCGGAAGACAATTGTATCGGCTGCATGTCTGGTTGGAGTCGCTCTAGATCTATAAGCGGTCGGTTGGACCTGAGACGTTGGACCTGAGACGCTTGTTAGTATCTCAAGACTCTGTGAAAAGACAGCCTTCTTGTGGAAACCCAGGAAGATGTCGAATTTCTGGTGATGGTGACGATTTGAGGTCTGCTCAATTAAAGGCTTGGCAACGGTGAGGCGCGCACCAAGTCGCGTCATCTCGAGGCTGAACGCGACTGACCAGGTTTATTAGGTACCTAGGTAGTTAGCGTAGTACTGGCAAGTCTCCACATGGGCATCTACCTATGTTTGCTGAGTGATGGGTCAAGACCTATCATTAGGTAAGAACCTACCTTCCTCTTGCTGTAACTGATTTGACTGGAAGTTATCTTATCTGATAAGCCCCTGTAGAAAGGTACTTATGTACCTAAACCTGATGCATAACAGGTACCTGGTACTAAAGATATAATGACATTTGCTGGGGTACCTACAATCTTGTGAAGTCTTACCGTCCTAGAGGAGGTACCTAACCTCATCCTAGGTACCTCCTAACTTCCATTCAAGGTGCCAGTACGGGCACCTTCTACCTTACCTATGTGCCAAGCAAAAGTGTCAGCCAATCTTGCATGTCATAGTGGTCCAAGCTCCCACAGTCTAGGACCCAAGAATATGTGTACCTCAAGTACTGTTACTGGATGACGAAATAGGTACATAACCTAAGACAAAGCAGTGTCATGTGCGACTAAACACCTACATCCTGTCAACATCAATTCCTCCACCAAACACCAGCCGTGAATGCATGCCTGCCTACCTACCTACCTACCTACCTACCTACCTCCCTCCCTCCCTCCTGGCATATACAGCTTTACTATCGTAAAGTTGTCATGGGACAGAAAATACCGTGATGGAGCCCATTTCATTTGGTAGCTCTGAGTTATTAGACTACCCGGTTAGCATACGCATGTGAGATCACATCTGATGTACCGTTGTCGATTTGTCCCTGGCGGACTGACGAGTTCCGCGTAGAATCAATCTTGAGGGCGACGAAACACCTCATCTGTACTCAACGTTACTGAAAAGACCCGATCTTAGACACATTGGCTCCAACTTGAGGTGTGTACTCTTTGGGCGCCACTCCGCTTATCGATTGTTCTTCGAGGCAAATGGTTCTGACCTAGGCATTCCGAAGTCCTCATTCTGATCTTCATGTTACCGTCCAAGTATGGGCTGGCTCGAAGCCCCTAACAGTCCCTGTACAGACATCATATAAGGCGTTCCGTAATGAGAGGAGGTACGACTCAACCACTATATGTACGTCCACCGATATAGAGCATGTTAATTCACACATATCAGGTGGAACGAATGGCTCACCCTACCGATTCCCTACAAATCCCTCCCGATCAATTCGTATCTTGCCATCACGATATGGGATCTGTCCCCGACCGGCGGGAAACAGGCCCAAGGCCATGCGATCCCCTTCGGCGGAACAACACTCCCCCTATTCGACCAGGACAACCAGCTACAAAAGGGCAGGCAGAAGTGTCTAGTTCATCGCCACAAACAAGCAGACGGAAACGACAACACAACTACGCCGTCGAGCACCGAAAAGAAGAAGAGTGGTTCTAAAAAAGAGAGCAGCACCCTCGTAGATAAAGAAACCGAGGAGCTTGAACGCCTCGAGAAGCTTTTCAAAAAACACGAGATGAACGAGATCCCCAGAGTCGAATGGTTGGATCAGTTAGTCTTCCGCGAGACGGAGAGGCGTGGCTTAAAGGCGGCAAGGAGTTCGATTAAATCTCTACAACGCCAGTCGACCATCAATGTTACAAAGGACGGATCCCAGAATAACACGACGAATCTCGGAGCAAATGACCAGTTGATGCCTGGCCCGTCGAAGTTCATGCTGAACGTGGAACTACCTCGCTTCGACTTTCCCGTCGTGTTTGCAGACCACGAATATCCGTCGCCGCCCGTCTCCTCTTTCCAACACCTTTCGGCCTCTCAATCTAATATTATAATGAAGCCCCCTCCAGAGGTGTCGTATGGCCCCGGTATCAACGGCCCCGATAGCGCGGGACACGGTATGAGCGGTCGTCTCGTCAGCATATACGACCCGGAAGTTGGGGCTCGGGACAACCCGGCAGAAAGCAAGCATAGGCGACTTGTTAGGAGTCAGCACCGTCACGGAATATTAGACAAGGATTTGAGGCCCAACGCCAAAGTCCGCGACGAGCTGAATACGATCATGTCGTATTCGCCGACCCATACTTTATTGCCCGAGGAAAAGGATCTCGTCTGGAAGTTCCGCTACCATTTGACCAAGGACAAACGCGCCCTCACCAAGTTCGTCAAATCCGTCAACTGGCAGGATCAGAGCGAATCCAAGCAGGCCATCCAGGTCCTCAGTAAGTGGACCGACATTGACGTGGACGACGCGCTGGAGTTACTCGGCCCTACTTTTGACAACCGGGCCGTGAGGGCGTATGCGGTCGATCGGTTAAGGAAGGCCGATGATCACGAATTACTTCTCTACCTGCTCCAACTGGTCCAAGCTCTCAAGTTCGAGCATATATCAACCGACTCTAGCCAAGCTGCTGTACGCGCCTCCTCGCTCGCTAACTTCTTAATTTCGCGTGCCGTGGAAAATTTCACCCTCGGGAACTATTTCTATTGGTATCTCGGCGTCGAATACGACGATAAGAGCAACGACCAGGGAGAAGAGGTACGTACTATGTACGCTAAAGTCCAATACGATTTCATGAAGGAGCTGGAGGAGCGTCCAGGAGGTCGAGAAACAAGAACTACTATTAGGAGACAAGCCGAACTCGTCACGGTGTTATCTAAGATATCGGCCGAGATTCAGGCTTCAAACGAGTCGGTGGCCCGGAAAGTGGAAAAGGCCAAGTCTTTCCTGGCAGATCCAAAAAATGAGGTTCTATCTATCGACCCGCCTATACCTATCCCTCTAGACCCATCGGTCATGGTAGCGGGCGTGATCCCAGAAGAAACGCGGGTCTTCAAGTCCTCTCTGTCGCCTATTATGGTGACATTTAGGACGACTTCGGGCAGCAAATACCCCATACTCTTCAAGACCGGCGATGACCTACGTCAGGACCAACTAGTCATCCAGATTATCACCCTTATGGACCAGCTGCTACAAAAGGAGAACCTAGATCTCAAATTAACGCCATACAAAATTCTCGCGACTAGCACGACCGCGGGAGCCTCTCAGTTTATACCCTCTCAGACATTCGCGGCGATATCTTATAAGTACCGCGCCAATCCGGCTCTTGCCTACCTCAAGCAGCATAACCCCGACGAGCGGGCTTACCTAGGGGTGCGCAAGGAGACGCTTGATACGTTTGTCAAATCGTGCGCGGGATACTGCGTCATCACCTATATCCTCGGAGTCGGCGATCGGCACCTGGACAACCTGCTCCTCACTCCCGACGGCCACTTCTTCCACGCCGATTTCGGGTTTATCCTCGGCCGAGATCCCAAGCCATTCGCGCCCGCCGTCAAACTCAGCAAAGAGATGGCGGACGCGATGGGTGGCTCGAACCCGCCGAGCGAGCAGTACCTGCAGTTCAAGCAGTACTGTTTCCTCGCATTCGCCGCGCTGCGAAAGTCATCGAACCTGATCCTGAATCTGTTTAGCCTCATGGTGCATGCCAACATCCCGGACATTAAGATCGAGCCAGACAAGGCGGTTTTCAAGGTGAAGGAGCGTTTTCATCTAGAGCTAAACGAGGAAGACGCAATCCGGCATTTGGACGGGATTATGGAGGATAGCCTTAACGGCATCATGCCTGTTGTCATCGACCGGCTGCATGATTGGGTGCAGGCCTTCAGGCCATAGGGGTAAAAGAGGTGCTGGCAACCTGTCATGATATGTATGTAGGAGGGTCCTGGGACGGGGCCCGGCGTAGGTTGGTCGGGCAGCTATCCGGAGAGGGTTGCAAACAGAGCGGGTTGGAAGTGAATGAGATGCGGGACGCATGACGGAGTTTTGTTGGTCGTTTCTAAAACGACGCGCGTGCATAGATCCAGGATCACACCCACGCAGGATACCCGATATACAGAAGACGGAGACAAGCGGATCAAATGCAAGCCACTTCACAGCTTTGGACGGGAGCTAGCGGTCTCGACATTATATCATGGGCGATGATGAAACACGAACGGAGTGCGGCAGCCACAACGTGGGATGGGAGGGAAAGGCGCATTTCCGTCCGCTGCGTACCTATACATATGGACACCTAATACCTCCTATCCGGGCATACAGGTAGGTGAGCTAAAGAACGAAGACTACCAAGTAGCGCTGTTAGGAATCGAACCTATCCTTCGTTAAGTAACCTACTGATCTCAGGTAACCTACCTCGCGATACCTCCAGGTCGTTGAGCTACAGGCATGTACCTACCTAGGTACCTAGCTAGGTATGTATGCAGGCACCTGCTGTCTAATATGCCTATGCGTATGTGCGATATTCCCTTTAGGTACTTCCCCTGACCTCTAGGCAGGTGGGTACCTAACTTGACGCGCCGGGGGGGAGGATGGACTTGCATTTCCAATGAAATATTCCCCGTATTCTCGGTATCCTCGCAGCTCTAGCTGCATAGGCGGAGGCTTGCCGGCTGCGCCACGGGTGGATATATTGCATATATATACCTACACGTACATACAGACCTGTATGCAGGCTGCCCGTGCCTAGAAATAATGCGTAGGCACCTAGGCACGTCTCCGAATAGGTAAGGGGGGGGGGTACACGAGGGAGGAGTCGAAGGAGGTGCCCAACACCTGATGCATTGGAGCCTCTCGGAAGTTGCCATAAGTCCCGTGACTTCTTTTCTGGTCGTATGGGCTATGTAGGTTTAATGCCGTGAAAAATCAAGCCATATATACCTGGGTACCTAGGTGTGTAAGTTGCGTCTCACGTCGTGGCATCTCACGTCGTGGCTACCTAGGTACCTACCTCTAGGTAGGTATGGCTCTCTTTACCCCTCCTCGCCCCTCTCCTTCTTTTCCCCGTATTAAATGATCGAGAATTTACCGCACCCAGGACATGTGGCGTCCCCGTGGTGGCTACACGTCACTGATGTTCTCCCAGCTCAGACCGGGTTGCCGTGCGAGCTGTTTTTTTGTCTTGCTCAGAGGGGGTGATATACATAGGTACCGAATCTATACAGGCAAAAAAAGGTAGACAAGATCCTGACGGACGAGGCTGCGCTCCCATATACACGTATAGGTGTAAGCACGGCGGAAGTTGACGCGAGGTAATGGATGTTAGTGGCATACTACGTATAGTATATATAGCATCATGCCGGCGTCACTACCGCCTGTTTAGGGAGGTGCCACATGTGTACGTCGCAGTCCAAGTTTCGAATATATATCTCAAGGTTATCCCTAAGCCCACCTTGCTTCACACTAGGCACTCTGCCTAGAGTGGCAGATCTTTTCTCTTCTATGAGGTACCTACCTAGGCACCTACCTGCCTGGTACACTAGCAAGTATCTTGCCCGTTAGAATATGTATCGTATGGAAAGTTTTACTTCAATTGCCTTGAGTATACCTACGTGTGAGTTCGGAGACGGACCTAGACTTGGCATCTCCAGTAGGAGGTAGGTGGCATGGAAGTTTTTAAATAGAGATAGGTAGGTATCTTCGGTACTATCATAGGTACCTGACATGGTGCTTACAGGTAGGTGTGAGGTAGGTACCTGTTACGGAAAACGCATCCGGAACAAGCCCGAATAGCAGTGGCCTTTTCCCTATTCGGATTTTGTCTCCTCATCCATGTTTTCTCTGATAATTCTCATTATTATTACCTACCTAGGTAGCTTTTTTTTTTCTCCCGCGTCCACGCCCTGTCCGCTCTCGAATGGTGGATGTGTCATGTACTCAGGAGGTATGTACATGTGTAAAGAACCATTTACGCAAGAGACAGTTCCATGGAACCCTACCCTGTGAGAGCGTCGATTCCCAATTTGCAGCTCTAGTTTGGCGGTACTTTCATGTGTTTATAATACCTATCTCATCTATGTACGTATTTGCATCCGTTCAAACCTGTCCGCCCCCTCCCTCCTCCACCGTCCCCGACCCCTCAAACTCGTCTCTTTTTCCCACCGTCCCATCTCATCGTGGAAATCTGGGGAGCTGCAAATCCCTCTTACCCACCCGGTCCATCATCGAGCAGACTAAGATTGCCTGATCTCTGCGGCCTCTTGCGGACACACCCTGCCATAATCGTGAGGTCGACCCATCCTCCTCGGCCATCTTATATCTGCCCTATGTCGTACGCGGACTTTCTTGAAGAAGGGAATTGCTGACTTATCGCCCGTGAAGTTGCATTCCTACATATCATTGATCTCGCAAACCCCAAAGCCGGGTTCCCTAGCGCACGGCCTTTAAGCACATCATTTCATTTTACAAGAAGGGCCCATCCATCAACCCCCCAGCCACTTCGTTCGCGGGCCCTTGATCCTAGCACTCCCGGGTCTGGCCTGGCCTCATCTCTCTCACTTTCTCGTTCTCCACCCTGAAAACAGAAACCCACCGCGCCACTGACTCTGTTTCGTTTCTCCTCCTGCTTCGGGCCTCTCGACTCTCTTCCAATTGCTAACACTTCCGTCGGTTCCCTTCTGCTCTCTGCTAATTGCGTCGCGCCGGGGTGCTTTGACTTCTCTCCCTTTGCCTCGAAGACCGGACCGTACCCAAAGCAAATCGCACGTCTCCAGGCTAAATCTCTATCGAAAATCGCGATCGTCCCTGAGCGCACTAGAATCTTTAAGGGCCACTTTCTTCTCATGCCCCCAGAGTCACGGTTCGTACCATCTTCCCTTAGCTATCACGTTTTGGGGAGGGGGGGCGCTAGTTTCGTTGTCCCTCCCCCTTCCTGTCGACCTGCCTACCATGTTGTCGACATAATTCTCCTGACTCAAGCCATCTAGATCATTCAAAGCCAACGGCGAATCATATCCGATCCCACCCCCTGAACCGCGTGGACTTGGCGCGATCGTCAACTCCGATCATGCCTGCTAAACCGTCGAGTAACGGCGCTGCGTCCGCCACCTCGGTGTCCTCAACCGCGAATATGCGTTTCGAGCTTCCGGCCCTGGAATTCGCTTTCGGCTCCCTGACGGACGGCACCGACATTCCACCGCCGCCACCATCCCCCAAGGAGAAGGTACCGACGCCGCCGAAGACGCCGATAGTGGACGAGGCCGAAAAGAAGCAGGAACTCGCAAGCAGCGCTGCCAATGGTCATGGTACTTCCCCCCAAACTGAGTCCATCGTCACAGCCAGTGTCGGCACCAAGCGGCCAGCAGAAGATGGTCCCGTATCACCTACGCTGTCGAGCCGCGGAAGCCTCAGACGTCTCCTCAGCAGAACACTACTGAACAACGCTTACGATGAACAAGGGTCGATTATAAATCAGAACGCATCTAGGCCTCCGAGTCGGACGGCAAGTACCGTCGCGGAAGAGAAAAAGTCGAAGCGCTCGAGTGGCTGGTTTAGACGGTTACGGCCAAGTGATCATGCCAAGAGGGTCAGTCAGCATTTTGAGGAAGTGAAGAAGTCGTCGCCGGACCCTTCATCGCCTGGCCCGTCGTCGCTTGGTCCGCCGCCACCCATGATCCCGGAGCTGAGCGCGCTCGAGTCCAAAGTCGATACGCGCCTAGGTGACGATTTATTCAAGGAGATTAAATAAGGCGTTACGCTGCCGGGAGGGGAGGGGGGCATCTCTCAAACTTTTCATCCACGAACATCTTTCTGGTTGATCCATTTCGGTATCCTATGGAGGTTTCTTGGAGAACCATCTTCAATCTACTGCCATAACTATCCTAAGGCAGAGTAATAATTCGCCACACTGCACTGAACACAATGGTTCTTTATAGAGGAACCGATATTGAAGAAGAGCGTCCGGAAGGCGGAAATACACTTAGATACCCGGCTCTTATGTGAGCTCAATCGCCGACACACCTCGTCAATTTTCTCCCTCGTTTTAAAAAATTTTTTCCTTCCCCCCTTACTCAAATCTTTATTATTATTCTGCGTTCTTATTTTCTCCCCTTCCGAGACCTTGCCACGCGTCATATGTGTCCGTATTATTGTCCAGAACATGTGAGCAAAGACGTGCACGCGCGTGCGAGCTCTCTGTGTTTTAGCCCCTTCCTCTACCCAGCCCCTTTACTTATTTCATTGGATGTACATCTCTGTTCTGCTTATCTCGGGGAGGATGAGGGACAGTTCTACCTAGATAGCAGTTGGAAACTTACTTGCTCAACCCGGATAATGTCTGATCTGGGGAACAGTAATGGAGGAGGGCCGACAAGGTTGCGCGAAAGTTCGGCAGAAGGACGAAAGACGGGGAAGAAAGGCATAGGGCGATTTTTCAACTAACGGTCAACACTTTCGACTATGTGCTTATGGGTCACGATAGCGGGAGAAATTTATACCCAGCTTGCGGTTGGAGAGGATTGACCATATTGCTGTGAAATAGTGCATTTCTGGCGCGAAGGACGTCGTCGGTTTTCATTCCCCATTACTTGTTTAACTCGACGTCCCTGCCAGTCTAAGCTGAGAAGGAGAGAAGAGGAAAAGTCAGGATCGGGGACAACAGTGAGAAGAAGAAGAAGAAGAAGAAGAAACTATTTCGCGCCTGAGGGGTCGTCAATGGCGCTGCCCGCTCCCATTCTTTACCTCTCCTCGGTCCTTGGGTTGGAGGTCCTTGGACTGGGTATGAATTGCTTTGCCAGGCCTCATGAAGATGATGATTTTAAATACCATGGTTATGTCCCCCGTTGAGCAGGTTAGATTAGGTAGTTAAAAGGTACTTGCCCACCTCTGTTGGGTACCTATATCCTACCCTACCAGGCACCTACCTACCTGCCTGTAAGGAGGTACCCAAGGTAGAGAGGCTGGTTTACATGTACCTAGAGGTTCCCACGTCAATCAATTTGAGGGGCACGTAGCGAATCTGTTGACGGTTCGAGCCCTGTTTTGCCAGCACGGGCACCTCACCTCACACGCAGATACCGGGTAGGTATTAGAGGCAGGTGAGGTCTCAGACCAGCCCAACTAGTCCCCTGTACCTCATCCCAACCTCTAACCGGATTAGGCGATTTTGCCGAGCTTTTTCCCTGTCACCCAAACTTTATCCCTGTTACCTAAACTTTTCGTACAAGGGTCATTAAATTCTCCTTTCTAACCACCGTAAGAACGTGCACTTAATTTATTCTTTTTCGTGATCAAAAGTTGCCCTAGGAACGTTCGATAAATAATTAAATAGGCGGTAGTAGTAGTGGTAATGGTGGTGGTGCAGTTAACTTGGTGGTGCAGTTGACTTGGTGCAGTTAACTTGGTGGAGTTGACTTAGTAGTGGTGGCGGTAGTAGCGGCTTAAGTAATCAAAAGGATCTCATCCCAACTAACTAGTAGAGTAAGGTCGTAGGAAAGAGCCAATAGAATCTTCAGGAATCCGTAACCCGCTTTGGGGTAAGGTTCAGGGGACTAGTTGGGCTGATCTGTAGACTCGAGGCAGGTAGGTAGAGGTACAGACGGGAGAGGGACGATCAGAAAGGGGATTGCGGGTTAGGTAAGCCTGTCCCTGTCATGCTGGCCAATGGTAGCCTACTTTCGGCAAACGCTAGGTACGACGCAGTGTGATACGATCAAACGTCATTGCCGAGCTCAGCTTCCAGAGCTCCGAAGGGAGGACCCCGGGCCCCCTGATATCAGGTATGTATCTGATGGTTTTTTTCATTTAAATTATTATCGTGTGTCGAGCCTGCGCACGCCGGATTGTCACCAACTGCCACCCCCGTCACCACAACTTCGACATCCCGACAACCTCTGGTCTAACTTCCGGTTGTTGTCAACCCAAGGTTCAATCGATACCCGCCAGCATCGAATGTCATCCCGCACCGCGCATGCCGAGACATGACTGTGGCGAGCATCCGACCGCTCAGAGTGCGGGCTCTGACGAGCTCGATTTGGCCGAGCGCGCACGCGGCCGGTCGGGTCTGGCCCGGTCCGCGAACGCCGACACAGGTCCGCCGCAAGTCGGGTCCGTACGGATACACTCAAGCCAAGTCGCTTGTCTTCAGCGAGCATGGCGAGCCGAAAGATGTGCTCAAGTAAGTCTCTCCCACCGAAAGAGAGCCCTCCCTCCACCCCCCTTCGATAGAGTAAAAATGAGTCGCTTTCTGTTTATTTAATATATATATATATATATATATATTCAGAGGGCAAGGTCGAAAGCGAAACAGAAATCAAGATGAGCTAATGCTGCGCTTCGTGCCTTGCCGCCTGTTAAAAGACTTCACACACATTCCATCTCCCCCGAGCTCCCCTCCGAGAGCGTGTTCCTACGCACCCTCGCCGCGCCTATCAACCCGGCCGACGTGAATCTAATCCAGGGCACCTACGGCGTAAAGCCGACCTTCAGCTCGCTGATCGGCACCGCCTCGCCCTCCGCTATCCCTGGCAACGAGGGTGTCTTCGAGGTTGTCGCCACCTCCGTCCCAGACCGCTTTGCCCGCGGTGACTGGGTCATCCCTGCCCGCACAGGTTTCGGCACCTGGCGCACGCACGCGGTCGCGTCCGCCGACGACGTCATGCCCATCCGCAAGGACGGGCTCACGCTGCTGCAGGCCGCCACCGTCAGCGTCAACCCCTGCTCCGCGTACCGCATGTTGCGCGACTTCGTCACGGACCCGCCGCTTCGCGAGGGCGACTGGTTCGCCCAGAACGGCGCCAACAGCGGCGTCGGCCGCGCCGCCATCCAGCTCGGCGCCCTCTGGGGCTACCGCAGCGTCAACGTGATCCGCGCGCGCGCCAGCCCGGCCGCGACCAAGGCCCTCAAGGACGAGCTCACCGCCCTCGGCGCCACCCTCGTCGTCACCGAGGAAGAGTTCGAGGCGCGGACGTTCCGCAAGGAGCTCGCCGGCCGGACCAGGGGCTCGCGCGAGGCCGTGCGCCTCGGGCTCAACTGCGTCGGCGGCCCGTCGGCGCGGACCCTCGCGCGCTCCCTCGGCACCGGCGCCACTCTCGTCACCTACGGCGGCATGTCGCGCGAGCCGCTGACCCTGCCGGTCGGCTCGCTCATCTTCCACGACCTGCGCGTCGTCGGATTCTGGCTCAGCCGCTGGGCCGACCGCGACCCGGCCGCGCGCCGCCGCACCGTCGACGAGATCCTCGACCTCGCGCGCGCCGGCCGCTTCCACTTCGCCCCCGCCGAAAAGATCCCCTGGTCCTGGGACACCGCGCTCGAGTCTCTGACCGCTGCTGTACAGGGAACCCTCGAGGGCTACCGCGCCGGGAAGGGCTTATTCATATTCGGGGACACGTGAGCAAAGGTGACAAAAAACCGGGGAAGGCGGGGTTAGGGGGCATGTGACGGGCAGAAGAGAGTATGTTAAAAATAGGAAGAGTGACGAGGTCTTCCATACATTTGTTACTACTCCAGACAAGGCTTCGACGCATCGAGCTCCTCTGCTATATCGTCTAAGCGGGCAGATATTGTATATTGTAGGTACCCAGTGCCTACAAACCAAATACGGTGCTGAATGGCAGGGCAAGGCATGGCATGCCATAATGCGATACATGCACGTGTATGTCCCGGGATAAGGAGAGAGAGTGTGCATTCGCTTCGAGTCCTAGAGAGTACCACGTATAGGTTGTGTCGAAGGTAGGCCAACTCGTTGCGCCAACGGGTCAGAGGGACTCTTGATCCGCCCCCTGTCCTGCCCACACTCGCCCTAAAAGTTCCATTTTCTCTTCGTGGACGTATGCCAGCGTATGACCTACATTTGTCTCTTCCTGATTTTCTCGCTCTTTATTTACTGCTATGCAATGCCCAAGCGCTTCCTCCGCTGGGCGCCCACCGCCATGATGACAGCGACGATAGTTCAACCCGAGCACGCGGCACAACGCCGTTCTAAGCTTATGAAGTGGGAGTGGGGGGGGGGGGAAGGGAGGCGACACCGCGACTGCCAAAAAGGCATGAAAAGAATGATGTACGTAAGAGTTGAGGAAAGGAGGTAAGAGTAGAAGAACAACACGATCTTATAGCGTCTAGAGTACCGGTGAGAAGCTCAGCCCCAACGACGGCTTCTTCCTATCTGGACTCGAGGGGGAGAGGTGGAGGCGCGTACATCCCAGCGCGCGGGCTACTATGGTGACGTCTTCTGGGGGCGAGCATAAGTAGCGGTCCACTCTTTCGCGGTGGCGATGGCCTTGTTTTCGTCGTCCTTCCAGCTCTTAGCGACATCGGCTGCGAGAGGGTCATCCGGGTTCGGGGCGCCGAGGAGTGCCTGAATAGAGAGCAGGATGGTACGGATCTGAAGCGCCGGCGACCAGTTGTCTGTACGGAGAGGGGAGGTGGGAGGGAATGGATCAGTAGGCGAACGGCTAAGCGTTGAGGGGTGGGAGAAGAGAAGTAGAAAGAGCTCACTCTTCAACACATCCAGACAGATCCGCCCGAGCTTATCGACGTTGGGGTGATATATCTTGGTGAGGAAGCGGATCTTGGGTGGTACCATCGGATAGTCGTCGGTCAGGAACAGTTCGAGTTTGAAGATACCTCCTGCGAAAGGGAACAAACAGATAAGCTTCACTGTCAGCCGACCGCTTCTGCGCGGCGGGAAGCCGGTTCGGGCCGTGTATAGGATTATCGGAACATACCCTCGTACGGCGAACCTGACGGGCCGTGGATCTCGACATCGAAATATCGGAGGTTGTCCTCGTGCGGAACCGCACTGATGCCCGGAACCCTGAAAAAGCCCAGTGGTCAGCGAGCAGATCGGCACCACGGAACCACCGGGAGGTACGGGTCCCCTGGCTCCTTTATTCGGGCCATCTCACGGCTCGGTCAGGAGACGTTCCGTCTCCTTTATGATGCGCTTCGGCAACGCCATCTCTGTGTTCTTCCTCTGGGTGGGATTGGCTTTATTTGTGGGAAGAGCTGTAGCCGTGGCGGGGGAACAAGAATAAAAGGCCGAACTAAACGGAGCTGTGGCTCTCAAGGGGCGTCTGCTGGGTGAATAACGCTTTAGTCGCGCAGCAACCCGGGGGAGGTGTTCTGGTTAATCTAGATGACTCTTGTAGGGCCGAATGCTGGTCGAGTAGGAGAGGGTAGGCGAAGGCTCAGCCGTCAAGCGGAGGGAGTGCCGTAGCGTTGCAAGATACGCAAGTGCCGACAGGGAGATGCCGGAAGAGAAGGACGACCGCTGCTCAGTGTAGCCGTCGGGCGCGCCTGAGTCCCAAGGTATGGTGGGCAGAGTGCGTGAGTCAGGCAAGCAATGGTGCTGCGGGTGCGGGGTGACTGGCCAAGCCAGAGACCGGCTTAGCCTCGAAGCCGAGGAGGCGGGCAGGAAATTCAAGAAGCTATTGTTCCGCAGGCGGGCTCGTCGAAGAGAGTACCCGGCGAGGAGCCTCGCACGTAGCCGGCTGTTATGTAGGCTGTTCTGGTGTCTGTGGTAGGAGAGGTTCGTCGAATAAGGCACGAGGTGTTGCGCTCGGATAAGAAGAGAGAGAGCCTTAGGTGACGAGGGCGTAAAAGTGGGCTGGTGGCCAACTCCCCCCAAAAAGCATCGGTACCGGACGGGTGGCACTTGTAGGTACTTGTCTAGAGAGGTAGGTACGTAAGTACTTGCTTAATGTACCTATGCATTTACGTGCCCGTACACCTAAGGTATACGAAACGAGAAATCTCCTGACATGAAGGTATTGTCAAAACTTCTTAAACATTAGGTCTAGAGGTAGGTAGGTGCCCAGTATAAAGCGTATATGTCGAACGCAGATGTTAACTTACCCCATACCTAATGCGAGCGTTCTGTGGTGGTTGTGATAAGCCGGAAAAGCACCCTCAGGGTCGTCGTGGGCCTCTAAAGGTCACCTCTACTAAATAGAAGCCGCGGGCGTGCCCTTAAAGAGTGTCTTGTGTGTATACATATGCGACTAAAGCGGTACTTGTGCCCAAGATACCCACATCTTAGCAACAACCCGGGACGTAAAACTTCTGTAGGTTAGGAGGTACCTATCCTAAGACATTCCACCCAGTAATACATAGGTGCCTAGGTAGGGTGTCTGCCTTAGGTATCTCGTCCCAGTTATAGCCTCGTTCCCCAGAACATCCACTCACCATTCTTATGCCAGCCCCAATAATGCTCCCTCGTCGAAGCCTTCGTTAATTCATCCAATCTTGCTCGCCGGGGATACCGTGTGGCCGGTGCATCTCGATCCCGTGGACGTATCTCTTCTACCGTCTAAGCAAGGCGCGCTGGCTGAAGAAATATCGAGATAGATGAAGGATGGGCAGCGCCGCCGTGCAGATCTCGTCGAGAAATCGATGCTGCAACAAAGCTCGGGGACATCTGCATCAACGAAACAAATCGTAACTGACCATGCCTTCAACTTTCGACAACGCCCTGGACCCATCTAAGAAGGGGAAAGTCATCAAGTCCGCTTACGACAGCGAGACCTTTGACACCGACGTGACGATCCACGTTGACGGGCTGGTCGGATCAGCAACTATATCGCCATGTGGTCGCGACATCGCTCTTGCATCGTAAGTCGGCCACGCCACTCTCTTACATGGTGAGATACGTGCTTATGTCGCCGAAGACCTGAGGGCCTAGCCATCATCGATCTGGATTCGTATAGCCCTCCCCGTCGGCTAAGCAGTCATGGGATGCCATGGCTTGTTGTCGATGTGCAGTGGTCGCCCTTTGCGGCACGAGACTACTGGGTGGCTTCGACAGCAAATCACCGCTGCCTGGTCTGGAACTTGAATCTGAGAGAAGATTCCCCCACAGGCGCCATTGAGCATTCTCTCCAGGCCCATAGCAGGGCGATTACCGACATCAACTTCTCCGCCCATCACCCCGATATCCTAGCCACCTGTGCAGTCGATGGTTACGTGCATTGCTGGGACCTGCGGAAGCCCAGACAACCCGTCCTGACCTTCTGCAATTGGTCCGCCGGGGCTACCCAGGTCAAGTACAATCGGCAGAATCCCAATGTGCTCGCATCCTCTCATGACCGGTGGTTGCAGATCTGGGACGAGAGGAAATCTTCGGCGCCGATCAAGTCCATCACCGCGCACACGTCCAAGATATACGGCCTCGACTGGAACCGTACGAAAGCTACCAGCATCGTCACGTGCTCGCTGGACAAAAGTATCAAGTTCTGGGATTATGAGAAATCCGACAAACCAGAGAGGATTATCCGAACAGATTTCCCGGTTTGGCGTGCTCGCCACACTCCCTTTGGACGGGGCTTATTAGCTATGCCCCAAAACGATCCGGGAAACCTATACTTATACGATGTTCGCCGCGGAGAGAATGAAGCCTTGGACGACGCCGTAGAGCCGCGCAAAATATTCCCCGGCCATGGAAGCCACAAGGTTAAGGAATTCTTATGGAGGAGTCGCGGAACCGTTTCCGATGAAGGGAGAGACAATCGAGAATTTCAACTCGTATCGTGGGGCGAAGACAGCGAGTTTCGTCTTCACAAAGTGGACCCGCAAGTTCTCGAGTCCGTTGGCCACGTGAAAGGTGGCCCGGCCCTGAATATGAACTTTACGAGGAAAGGGGCAGCGTATAAGACTTATCGGGCTGTAGAAGATCATTCTCACCGAGAGAGGAAATCGGCTACAATGAGCGATCCTCGCCCTGGTAGTGGCGGCAGCCAACTCCGACGAAGTGCTCTCACTATAGTCATGCAGGCAATGTCGTCGCATTATCCTCGCTCCGGCAACGGGCCTCCGAGTTGGAAAGGCCCGTCGATGAAGGCAAAGCCTGCGACGGGAAAGGCGACTGACCGAAGCCTGGACCAGCTCGGCTGGATGAAAGGCATAACTATGAGCAAGAGATCGGGATTGATCGGCCCGCCCCAGAGAAAGGGGTCCAGGGACTCTACTATGTTCGGACATAACTTTCACGACGAGCGTTGGGGCGAACCCGAGACGTTGCAGGAAGAGATCATTCGCGTGAATCAGCAGTTGCCAAATGTGAACTGGGAGAACGTAGATCTAGATACACTGACTCTCAGGGCATCCCTCAAAGGCCCGTGGGGCGCCAACGGCGATACCATCTATATCAACGTCAACATCGATATTCCTTCAAATTATCCGAAGTCGAGAGCGCCAAAGTTCATCATAGAAAAGACCGCATTGATGGCGGACGAGACGCACAAGCAGATCAACCGGGAAATCCACCAGCTAGTAAACCAATTTACGAGGAAGCGGCAAAACTGTCTTGAGATGGTCCTTAGCTACCTTCTCGGAGAGGTCGATTTGTCAACTAGCGACTCGCTCTTCAAAAACGTGAAAGACCTGGACGATGACCTTAGCGGACTTGCCGACGAAAGCTCAAGCGAGGAGGAGGATAACGACCTCCCCACTGGTGTCTCAGCCATCATGTCCCAAGAGCTTACCGCAAGCACAGAGCTGGATGCCACCCTTGCACCGACTAATCGGCCAATTATACCACCAATGCCCCGTTTGTGCGGCTGTCAGTTCTCGAACGATGGGAGGCTGGTTTGCTTTTTTCCGACGAAGGAGGACAAGGCCAGGACTGCCTTCTTCTCTGGCAGTGACTCCTACCGAGAGCGTCCTAGAGGCGAGCCTAACTTTGCAGGGTTTGGCAGACTTCAGCAGGAATCTGCGGCCCCGAGAAATAGATATGCCAACGACGATATTTCAGCAGACGACCAGTCGGATTCGGAGGGGGAAGAGGAGTCGTCCAGTTCGAGTGATTCAGAAACCACATACCTACATAAAATTAACATGTGGTATCTACCAGGCCGGCGCTTTAGAAAGACGTTTAGCGGCAGTTATTCTATACACTCCAGTGGCGGGGGGACTGGAATCGGCACAGGTACGGGCACGGGTACTAGTAGACGCCGGCCAGGGAAGCCGAAGAATATTATATCCATCTATAACGTTACTGGAGAGCTGCCTTCCAAACGAGAATTCGCCCAGGAATATTGCATCTTCGGAGATGGTCCGGATGTCTGCGAACACAACGCAGCTATCGCACAGAAATACGACCGGCCAGATCTGGTCGACGTTTGGAGGTACGCTGCCCTATTACTCCGCGGAAACGTACCCCTCGAGCTCTTGGGAGACGGCCAGGGTAGAGAGTCCATACTAGTGATCGCCAGGGACGCGGTTACGCGCTTCTCCGAAGACAAGTCGTCGCCCTGCCCCCGCTCGGACTCTGCTAGGCTTACTGGACGGGTTAAATGGGGTCATCACCCTCTTGCAAAGGATCTCATTGATCATCTCTTCCATCATTTCGAAAACATCGCCGATGTACAGATGCTTGCTATGCTCTCGTGTATATTCAGCGAGTCGTCGGCCGAGGACAGCGTTGCCTACGCGGAATCTCACCTCGCTCAACCAGAAACACCGCTCCCCATGAAGGCACCGTCTTTCTCGTTGGATTATTTCCCCATAGATGCCTCGCTGTGGCATAGTAACAATTACAAGAGCCAAGCCAACTCCGGAATTTCTACGCCCAAGACGCTGCACACCCCCGTTCACCTCCCTGGGTCTTACGGGTCTGAAGAGGCAACCTGGGGCGGTGATCCAAAATCCAACTCGTATTCTTGCGGAGAGACACCTCCGACGACAACCCCGCGGGACCACCTTCCCGACGGTGACACGACTCAGAGCCTAGCAACCTCTCCTGATAATAGACTGCTGAGTCGTGCCAACATCGCTCTAACCGCCGGGTTGGCGAGTTTCCCTAGGGCGTTCGCTAGCGTTGCGTCAACATCCCCCCCTGCCCGGAAACGTCCTAGCCCCGGGGAGACGTTCCTCTCAAACCTCACTCCAAGTAACATTACCTGGGGCGGCTCTACTATTCTCGGCCCCACGCCCGAGCAGGCTGGTACTGCACGCACCTCATACTCCGACGACGAAGCACAGAATGATGACGCATTCCCCCTTGTATGCCATGGTATATCTACGGAGATGGCAGATCAAAGCATATTTGATGATGATGGATGGCTAGGCGTTCCTTTCCTCGAGCCTTCGCGCCATGCCGTGTATGCGGGCTATCGACACGCGTACGCAGAAATGCTGCAGATGTGGGGCCAACCGCTGGCTCGCCTCGAGATCATGAAGTTCAACGTCCTGAAAGAAGAGCCGTCCGATCCTCATCCTACGCATTTCGCGAGTCCAGGGGACACGAATTTCCACGAACAGTATCATGGCGCGGAAAATTTAAGCCACACGCCACACGCCCATCACGGGGTCAACTCGCAAATGATGCTCGGGAAGAAGGAAATATTGCAATCGTTGATCGCGTCTGATCGGGGCATCGATATAATGGGCATTTGCCGTGTCCATGAGACTCATCTAGACCCGGTTTGGTCGACCCATGCCAGCACCGCGTTAGGGGGTGCAGTCGGCACCTGCGACCGTTGCAAGCGCACGCAAACACAGCTCCTCTGCGTGTTCTGCAGAGAGCCAATCGATGCTCTCTACCCGCCCTGCCTGTCTTGTGGTTGCGCCAGCCACGAGGCTTGCGTTGCGGAATGGCACGCAGCCGGTGAAACCGTATGCCCAGCCGGCGATGAGTGCGACTGCGTAGAAGAGGCAAGCAACGGCCAGGTCGAGACGTGGGCCGCCATGATGGGCGCCTTGCGCCAGGGCAAGATCCGCAAGCCGTCGCTCGAGGACGAGGACGAGGCATACGGCCGCGATGAGTCTGACGCCGTCGAAACACACGACTGGGAGACAATCGCCGGTGGTTCGCGGCTACCCCTCGCCGACGGACAGGGGAAATCCTCGGGGACCTCGCAGTCCCAGTTCCAGAACCCAGTGTCAGCTGCTAGGGTCAGCCTCGGGAACAAGCTGAGGAAGTCGGCGGGCAACTGGGGAAGTACCACGTCGCTACGCAGAAAGCCCAGCGGCGCGGGACCGGCAGCCAAGCGTTGACGTGTACGCGCGCTCGAACTGTCTTGTTATTATAGTATACGGTCCATACATGGCCAGCGCAGGGACCCCTTCTGTCACGACTGGGACCCCGGCTTTTCGGGGATTTGGGATACCCAGAACTCGGGAGAACCCGTCTAGGTGTGCTCGTGCCTATGCTACCGATGTGCAGGCATTGGTTGGTTACCTTTGGAAGAAATACTGAACAGTCACTTTTGCCTTGGAGACGTATATTTCCCGCAATCTACTGGTTGTGACATTTGCACGACTAGAGTGGTATCTCTTCAGTGAAAAAGAGAGTGCTTGATTGTATACCCATAGAACCCCTGGACGAACACGGAAACGAAACCGCCTCCCCGCCCTTCTCGTTTTCCTTTTGTCTTACTAACTGGCAGAATCCGCCGTCCCTTTTCCTAGACCTTGGCCTGGGTGTTTTGTACATCCACATCCTTCTCCCTTTCCGCTTAGCGTTCCGCAGCTCGACACCACCCCGGTACCGATAGTCCCCGTCCTCTCCCCCGGGGCTCATCTCGGCTCGTCTTACCTCGACGCCGCCGCCGTCGCAGCTACCCGGCATCATCGCCGCCGCACCGACACATCTGCACGCAGCGGCTGGTAGGGTCGGCGTGGCAGGCGACGGGGGCGAAGTCGTCGCCGGCGGCGGCGCCGGCGCACAGGCACAGGTCGCGGCAGAGGGCGTCGAGGCCGCCCATGCAGCGCATCGAGGGGTTGCGGGGCGGCGGGGCGGCGGTCGCCGTCGCGGACGCGGACGCCGAGGCGGAGGTCGCGAAAGTGGTGGTGGCGGTCGCGGTCTCGGTGGAGCTAGTGCGAGGCGCGCCCGAGGCGCAGCCCGCGAGCAGCAGCAGGGACAGCAGCGGGAGGATACGGGGCGCGGAGCGCGTGGCCTGCGAGGGGGGGTTCGCGGAGACGGGGAGTTAGTCGGGGACGGGGGGGGAGTGGGCGGAGGGGAAGAGAAAAGAAAAAAAAGGGGTAGGGGGGCTGATCGCGGGAGGGGCGTGTTCGGACCTTCATTCTGGCGTTGATCGGCTCTCTTTTGTTCTCACGGCCGACGAGGGGGAGGAGGGAATGCCCGGGAGCTTGGACTTGTTAGCGCGAGGTCGACACTGCCTTGCTGCTCGCGTACGCGGTTCGGTATCGCTGTCGCTTGACGGGGGTACGCCACAGGGGGGAGGTTAATATACGCCGATATACGCGTCGACTGCAGACGGCAGAGGCGCAGAGCTCGCAACATAAATACACCACGGACGGACCTGTCGAGCCTAGATCGAAGGGGGCCCGCATGAGGGCGAAGAAGCGGCTGCACGTAGGTACTGGTTCATATATATTCATATACGGGGAAGGCCACTCGCCCGCCGTTGCGTCTCGGCTCTCTGCGTGTGTTGCATGGTAGGGCCCGGGCGAAATAGGCACAGGAGATAAGAGAATGACGGGCGTTGAGTTGCTCGCCTGGAGCTACGAAATAGACTCGATGGCGCGCTTCCTACCGACCTACCTACCCTCCCCGTCTACCTGCTTTCGAGTTATGCGGGTGTTTGGTAGGTAGGGTATTATACAAGTTTACCCGCGAGGCCGGGTTACGATGGTGCAGCAGCACACAAACAACCAACGGCTACTACGACGCTGTTCCGCATTTCTTACCAATCTACCTTACCTACCTACATATTCTGCCGCTCACCCACCGCTGACGGGGGGAATAATCTCTGACCAGGGAAACGAAGAACCGAGCTGTCATCTCCCGGATAAGATTTTCATGGTGTGAGATATCGTCGGTCTACTAGATTCGAGATCCCCCCCCCCCTTCCAGAGCCAGACGCAGTTCGGTCTCATAGGCAGTTCTTGACTTTACCTGTTGGATAGATTACCTAGGTATTAGAACGTAAACAACCCCTCCCGTCTTTAAAAATAGGATCCATGTTGGCATGTACGAGCTGACCCCCGAATTATGCGAAACAGACTAGATATGTATAGACACCGAGATCACCAAAATGGTTAGTAGACAAATCTATGTCGTCGTAGTTGTTTGCTGCTCAAGTGCCTCGCTTCGTTGAAGGACAGGAAACAATGCGGAGCAACTGACGGAATAGTGGCGCAAAAAATACCTAATCTTTGTGGATGTGCAGCGCGTCGAGGAGGAGGGAAATGATTGACGTAGAGACGATGATCACTAGCCCGGCTTTGTTCGGCAAATAGGCACAACTGTTTGTTAATTGCATCGTCAAATACCTGCATTGGTATTGCTCAATACGCTGCTCATCTATGTACGATATTGCCCCTCCTGTAACGACCAGGTAGGTGCAAGCTCGGCAACTTTGCACCTTATTGGCGGCTGTAGATGAGGAGAGATCGCCCTGAGGTTATCAAGGAGCGGGTCCTAACCCGGCATGTCTTTGAAATCCCGTTGATGAGAACGACAATCCGGGAACAACACGCATACAGAGCCTACATTCCAAAGCCCTTAGCAGACGCTTCTGTGAATTCCCTCCGCAAGACGCTCTGCCTTTCCTTCGAGCACCTTAGCCGACTGCTGCAGCAGGCCCCTATCCGGCCGGCTATCTCCGGCCGGCTTCTGAGCTCGGAGGATGGATAGGTCGACCTCGTCGCTATCTACGAGGGTCTGCGTAACGGATACTAGGTCCCCGATGAGGCGGTCGAGAAGGTCGAAGCTCATAGACTCGCGTATAACGATGCGGAGGATCTCCGTCTTCTCCTCGTTCGGCGGCAACGCGTAGTTGGGGATTATCCACTGGCGCGCACGCATGAGGAGTGAGACCGATTCCTGCTTAATATGCGGGAATTGCCGCTTGAAATCATCCGCGAGCCGGAATGAAACCACCGGCAAGCCTGCGACGTAGTCGGCGGATGTCTCGTCACCCTCGCCCTTGCCTAGAGCGTTCTGCACAGCACCCGTTAGCACGGCTGGGGCGGCCGGCCTTCGGCGATGGATGTCCGAGACACAGGTATACCAGCCCGTGGCTTCGAGGCTCTTGGAGAGAAGGCGCGCGTTGCGGAGGCAACTCTCCATGATCTCACGGTACCCGTTGGACCCGAGGTGGATGAAGTTATAGTACTGCGCGATGACCTGAGCCCCCGGACGTGAGAAGTTAAGCGTGAACGACTTCTCCGTCCCACCCAAATAATGCAGCTCGAAGATCAGGTGCCGTGGTAGATACGCCTCGTCGCGCCAGACGATCCAACCTACGCCCGCATAGACCAAGCCATATTTGTGACCAGAAGTGTTGATAGACTTGACTCGCGGGAGCTCGAAGTTCCTTGTACAGTAAGCACTCAGCGCAAGACAATTCCCTCGAGGTATTTTTCAAGGGGCTCTCAAAACCTACCATTTCGGACCGCCGGCCTTCGCATACGTAAAAGGTGCAACGAAGCCACCCGAAGCCGCATCGACGTGAATGGGGATATCGATACCCGTCTTTTCTTCGTACTGGTCGAGGATCTTGGAAACCTCCTCCACTGGCTCGTAGTGTCCAGTATAGGTGCTACCCATGATGACAAAGACGCCAATCGTGTTCTCGTCGATATTCTGCCTTACAAGCTCTGGGTCTAGACGGTAGTGACTCTCTGCAGACACCGGAAGAATGCGCGGCTCGACATCGAAGTAGCGTGCGAACTTCTCGAGGGCAACCTGCGCATTGGCGCCCATGATGATGTTGGGACTCGAAGCATCTAGGCCCTGAGCCTTTCGGTGCTCCTGCCAGCGGCGCTTCATGGCTAGGCCGCCGAGATGGATGGCCTCCGAGGAGCCAGTAGTCGCCGTCCCAATCGCCTTCTCGCTCTTCTTGGCCGCCCAGAGGTGGGCCAAGATGCTGACGCAGCGCTCGTGGAGGGACATCATGGCCGGATACTCGTCATTGTCCGCCAGATTCTTTGCTAGGTTCTCCATCATCAACTGAGACGCATTCGGCTCCATGTAAGTTCCTACGAAGCTGATCGGGCGGTTAGGCACTAGGCTCTAGTAATAGGAGCACCCTGGTATATACGAAGCCGGCGTATTTACCTAGCAAGGTTCAGATTCGGCTTGCCATCCAGGTCCAGCTCGTCGCGAATCAGCTGGTAAGCCGTGTCGGCAGGCGCTCCCTTTTTCGGAAGCTCGTATTTGGGCACGTCGGTCTCGCTCGCATACCTGGTGCCATAAGGCGTAAGGTGAGAGGTAGCGATCCTCCGGCGTAGCTGACGGCCATTTTCGGTGAGGTGAGTGCCGTGGAGCCGACTGACGAGCTCCTCAGGGTCGATCTAGGCAGTTGGGAAGATCAGCCGAGGAAAGATTGCTAGCACATGGCTTTATCAGACGGACCTGGAGAGCTAACGGCATAGCTAGATAGGTAGGTAATAGTTCTGTCGGCCGCGGAGGGAGGCAGGCGAGTTGATCTTGACGGGCGTAGGAGGCGAGATACCAATGTCTAAGGGCGAAGGATCCAAGTTGTGTGAATCTCAAGCCTGGAGAGGAAAAGAACCTATCTATGAGATCTGCCTCTGCAGTGCTAGTCAGGCGTGCCGAAGCTCCTACCGTGTAAGGCGGCCGCCATCGGGAGAAGGCGTCATGGACGGGCGGGCAGCGAGCTTAGCCACCTATGACGTACGTGACGTAACTTCTTGCTGTCCAACCGTCACGATCTACTGCTGTACCTACCGAGATACCTACACAGGTACCTACCTAGGTAGGTACCTAGGTAGGTTTAGGTAGGTACACTACCTCCTCAGGTACCTAACCTAGGCGACTCAATAGGTAGGTACCTACACTTGCCTCCTGCCTCCTGCCTCCTGCATAAAAGGTAGGTACCTAGGTATCAATGCGCATAGATACCTTAGGTAATACCTCCCCGACGGGAATATGAACCCATCTCATCCGTACAGGCATCCCTCTTTTCACGAGGTGTTACCAAAGGTTACAGCAGAACCCAACCCGGCGTCAGGTACCCACGAGGCAGGTAGGTATTCATATGAATGGCACCTTATAACGCGGGCAACTAGCCCACACACCTGCCTACCTCCTATAACCAACGCGAGGCTGGCTTGGCAGAACTGTGTAGACTAGGTAATATGACGAGTATTACGTAGGTCGGGAGAGCTACGTATGGGGCTGAGGTTGCTCTGCTGTGGGAGCAATGGAAGCCGGGATGAAGAGGTTGAATCGACTGACTAGCTAACTAGAAAGGAAATGAGCAAAGGAGATGCGAGCTACCTATACATACACAATAGGGAGCTGCGAGCTCAGTTAGGTAAGCGAGCAACCAGTGAAGAGGTAGAGAGCTAAGTATAGGTGGCTCTCTACGCGACAACAAGTTAGTGGGGATATGAGCTTTGGTGCTGTGACGTTGAGGGATCCCTGCCGCGTCGCGGCGAATCTGGGTTGGTTAACCTGCTACCCAGCTTATCGTGTTACTAAAGCGGAACAGCGAGAGGAAGCGAGAGAGAGGAAGCGAGAGAGCGTGTGTGTGTGAATACAATCTTCTGTTTCCGGTGTGCCAAAAACTCTTACGAAAGAACAAGATTATGCCGGATTCGTGAGGACGTGGGCAGTGAGACAAGAGAGGTGGCATAAGAAGAGGCAGAAGCTCTAGTCAACCTGGGGTGGACGCCTGTATGGGCCATAGTGTACGAACAAAGCCCGCAAATAGCTGTAATCTTGCGTGTCGAAGGTTCAGTATCTATCCCTTTGTACTCAGGGGGAAAATAAAAGGGCTCACCAGACGTACAAAGCTTGCGTGCCTCCTCCAGCAGACAGCGTTGTTCACTTCCCAACTTTGGCTAACCAAGAGCACGAAATCACTATGTCGGGGGATGGAGCGTTCAATTGGGCCGATGGCCTCCAGCATATTAACAAACTTCTTTTGGAAGAGTTGTTTGACCATAAGAAAGTCATCTCCGTCAATGAGAACTTCGACAGGACCCTTGTTGAAAGAATAAACCTCGAGGTCTTGACCAAGGTTGTCCCTCCCTTCTCCGAAAGAGTAAATGGGTATCTCCAAGACCAGATCAAGGCGTTAAAGGATCAGGTGGCGGAATCCCGAGACGATTACGAAAGGTTGAACAAGGAGAAGGTGCAGCAAGAAGCAGACATCGAAAGCGCAAACAGAAATTTCAGACTCATGCAGGAGACTCGCCATGAGGAACTAGTCCGGATTGATGAGGAAGCTGAACAGAGAAAGCAGGAGGAAGAGGATACGAGGCAGAGCCTACAGAAGCAAATTACAAAGCTGAAACAGGATCTCCTGGAGGCGAGAAGGACCACAGGCACCCGCGAAGGATACGTCGATGACTTGCACAATGCCTATGAGGCATTACAACAAGAGATAGGGACGACGAAAACGGAGCTGGAAAAAGTCCAGAACGAACTTCAAGAGGCACGGGACGAGACCCGCGAAACGATCGAAAATATAAAGGACGAGCGCCTGGGCGTTGGTGAGACCAAGATGCAACTCGACAAAGCGAGAGAGGAATTGGAGGCCCATCGCAAGAGGCAAGAATCGCTCGAGGCTAGGACCCGGGAACTGGAAGCTCTAAGGACTGCCGCCGAGGGGAATGCGCAAAGGCTTCAAGACCTTGCACAGCAGAGGCAAAGGGACATAGACAGCCTCCAGGAAGCGTTAAAGGCCGCCAGGGGAAATTTAGAGGACGACGAGCATCAGCAAACCGAATATCTCAAGAAACTCGAACAGCAGATCACGGAACTCCGGCAACAGTTAGCGAAGGCAAACGCCAGGGTCAGCGAGGATTCCGAGGGAGCGCACCATCTCAAGTTTCTCAAAGAGAAAGTGGGGGAGCTCCGGGAAGTTCTGGGTGATGAGAGCAAGAAGCTCGACGACTTTTTCAACAAAGCACCAGATCAACTCGAGGCAATCATAAGGAGGCTCCGTGATGCTCGCGAGGGCGGCGAAGGACATGCCGACGACGAAACAAGCCGCAAGCTAACCCAAGATCTCGAGAGGTTGGCCAGCCTGCGAACACAGATTGTGGATCTTAGCAAAGAGCGCCAAGATTATAATAATAAAAACAGGGGAAAGCGCGGAAGTCCTGCCGAAGACTGGGACGACTTACGAAAAGAGCTACAGCTCCTTTACAGGGCCCTCGTCCTCAGGGGAAAGCTTCCCAACGAACTCACGGACGCCGTGCAGATCAGCAGCGAGAAGGGGAGGGACGGAGGGGGGGAAGAAGCGGAGGAACGACTCAAGGCCCAGATCAGGGAGCTTACCGACCTACACGCAGGGACTAAGGAACGTGCCAAGAAGGCAGAAAGGCTGGAAGCCGAAGTCAAGCGGCTCACCGACCAGCTCGCACAAAGCGGCGAGCGCCACAGGGAGCTCGTGGACGATTTCACCGGGCAGTACCGCGAGATGATCCGGCACGGGGAGATCGTGGGGGCCGAGCTCGACCAGCAGATCAGAGCCAGCCAGGAGTCGCTGGACCAGTACCGGGAGCGGCTCGGCCGGCTCAACCGCGAGATGGAGAGGAACCCCGGGGACGCCGAGGCGGCACGGAACCGGCGACGGGTCGTCGGGATGCAGGGGGAGATTGATCGGATCAACAGCATCATCCGGACCCTGACGGACGAGAAGACCTTCTTCGACGACGCGGTACGGCAGCTCGAAGGCGCCCGAAGGCGAGCCGGCGTAGCAGCTGCGCCCGCAGAGCCGCCGCAGCCGGAGGAGGGCGGCGGCGGCGGCGGCGGTACTTTCTGGCTGACTGCGATCGCATCACTGGCCTGGAACCTAGCGCAGACGCTGCTCCGAGTGGTGTTCCGGGGCCGTCTGAATCTGGTGCTCTACGTAGGGGCATTCCTATCGATGACGACGGCCGCGCTCGCGTTCGGCCTCGAGCTCGCGTCGTGGCGGTACGCGAACTCGCCGACGCGGCGGGGCCTGTACGCCAACTCGGTGGACGCGTCGACAATCTGTTTGAAGTTGCCGACTTTGGAAGTGTTTACGAGTTTCTTCGCCGCGCTTATGGCGGGCCGCTGGAAGCTGGTGGTCTGAGCACGCTCGCGTCTGTACTGAGATATATATATATGTGTATATACCTACCCACGGTTAGAGGGAGGCGGAGTTGCATATCCAGGATGAACGCTCGCGAGGGTAACTTGGCTATGGATTACTTCCGATGTCGAATTCAAGGCAACGGGGCTGGGGTTCACCGCCAGACGGGACCAGCAGAAAGGTAGATGATGTTGGCGTCAGGTAGACCTAGATCAAGTAGTATTAGGAGGTAATTGAGATGGGAAACGAGGTACCCACGGTTAGACAGGTATGTGTGCTAAGGGGTAATTTTGACATCAGCGGTATGTCACGTACCTGCCCATAGGTACCTAGGAAAGTACCTACCTGGCAGGTAGGTACGTGGTACCACCCAACTCAACGACCGCATAGAACAGCACGTTGGGAATGCATAAACTACTTACCACGTACGCAGAGGGAGTTATGCACAAGTTATCCCATGTCTGAAACCTGTCAGTAATGAGTTGCGTCATTTCGTTTAACGACGGCGGCTTAATACCGTGGCTCAATGGCCACTTTATATGGCTGCGGGCGAAGATAAGGTACCTAGGTATCGTACATCACTCTATTCTTAGGTACATAGCCTTAGGTGCCTTCGGTTGGAGGTTAGGTATTTACAGCTGATAATGCCTACCTTTACCTACCTACCTTACCTGCCTCGGCACCCAAGGTAGGCATCTACTCATAATAATGCCCTTAAGCGCTCGAGCTTCGCGATATCATCGTGAGCCAACGATACTCAGCCGCACTCTGAAACGGAGAGGCTATACTAGCGCTGTCTTTATTCGTGTCATCCATTCCCGGCCTCCCGGAAGCAGCAACAGGATCCCCAGAATCACCTTTGTCAAGAGCGCTCTGCTTTCGACTGCTGCATTTCCGCCTAGGCTTCGAGAGCAGCCGCAGCAGTTACCACCACCACCATCATCACCACTACCACCACCACTACAACAACATCGTCGCCTCGCCATGTCCTCCAAGCTCATCCCGGACAGCCCGGCCGACGTAGCCGTCATCCGGCACATAACGCCCAACGTCGTTACCGTCTCCATGCCCTTCTCCCGTTTCGGCATCCTCCGCATCGGCGGCCGCGGCACTATAAGTAAGCCAGATATCTCAGATCTACGCGTGTCCTACCCGTACCTAGACTAACCGCCATCGTCACCGCTTCGCCAGTGCGCCTCACGTCGGGAGCCCTAGCCGTGTTCTCGCCCGTGGCACTGACGCCCGAGACGCGGGCCAAGGTCGCCGAGATGGGCGGGAACGTCGGGTACCTGATCGCGGGCGACATCGAGCACCACATCTACCTGTCGGAGTGGGCGCGGGCATACCCGGGCGCGAAGCTCGTCGGGCCGAAGGGCCTGGCCGAGAAGCGCGCCGCGGCGCACGGCAAGGACGCCAAGATCGGCGCCGAGCCCTTCAGCTTCGTGTTCGGCGAGGCGCCCGGCGGCGACGGCGACGGCCGCGTCGTGGACGACGAGTTCGCCGCCGACTTCGACGTCGAGTACGTCGCCGCGCACCCGAACCGCGAGATCGTGCTGCTCTACAAGCCGGACCGCGTCCTCGTCGAGGCGGACCTGCTCTTCAACCTGCCCGCCGTCGAGCAGTACTCGCGCGTGCCGGCCGCCGCCGCCGCGCCGCGGGAGGGCGCCCTGCGCCGGCTCGCCAACCGCATCTTCGAGGCGCTCAACACCACGGCCGGCGCGGCCCGCGGCACCAAGCGGTTCCTGTGGTATTTCATCGCCGGCGCGGGCGGCGACCGCGACGCCTTCAACGCGAGCGTGCGGCGGATCGCGTCCTGGGACTTCGACACGATCGTGCCCTGCCACGGCGAGACGATCGAGGGCCGCGGCAAGGCCGTCTTCGAGAAGATGTTCGAGTGGCACCTGCAGAGCCGCAAGTGAGGGGTGGAACGCAAGGGAAGGGAAGGGCGGGGAGGAGAGGCGGGACTTGTCCTGCATGCCGTACGTAGAAGCACGCACACACGACGTACCGCGCCGACGGATCCCCCGCAGCCGGCCAACCACGCTCGGCACAGTTGCGCCTACATATGCACCTACACGCGAGAACCCCGGCTCGAGGTCAAAGTAGCTGCTCATCTCCTCCTCCCACCCACCCCCCTTCTCGCAATCATCCTCACCTAGCTCTCTAGGTTAGGTAGCTAGCTCGAACGTCGCTGCCCTGACCCGGCCATCAGGTAAGGGGACATCGAGCACCTGATGCATGTCATGCGTAAGCGTATACAAGGATGGGCGGAGGTGCGGATGGAAGGGATGGGGGCGGACGCGTGTGCGTGCAGAGCTTCGGGTCGTAGGGAGCACATACGATGCGCCGGCGAAAACGGCGATCTCGACACCTGCCCCCCCTCCCCTCCCCCTTCCCTCTCTCCCCTTCTCCCCCACGCGACTTGGGCTACGTGCTGGTGCGCGTCCGCATTGCGTGCCTAGCACGCCAACCTACATAGAAGCACGGCGGGCGTCGCGCGCCCCCCATTCGCCGGCGGAACCTCGCAAAACATGACCCCGAAATCTCCCTCTCCGCCGCCGCCGCCGCCGCCGCCGCCTCCTCCCGCTCGCTATTCGGCCCGTTTCCCCCACTCCCCCTTCCCCTTACCTCTACCCCTACCCCGCAAGCAGGTGCCGCCCCGCGAGGTAACGGAGCGGAGAGGCGGCGCCAGAGGGACGCAGCCGAACAGGAAGGACTCCACGTCGCCTTCGCCCTCCGCGCCCCTCACACCGCTCCTCGGGCCAAGGGCAGAAGCGAAAAGGGTGGGATTCGATTGTGCTGCGCTCGGTGTGGCGGCTTGGCCATGGCGTTACCGGAGACGGGTGTGCGCGTTCCCGAGTCAGGCAGGTGGGAGGGTTATATATGTTTCACCTAGCTTATAACTAAGTTGGCTTGTATTTATTCAAATTTTCTTGTCTGTATATGAATAATTCCCTCTTTAAGCTCCTTCTAGGTTACACCCGTCTATCCTTTATACGACAGGCCAGCCAGCTCCCCACCTGCCCGTGCCAATATCTTATCCTCTATCGTCGGGGAGAGGTGTAGGAAGGTCGACGCGGTATGAACACGATAACCCCTCGTAGGACACACGCCTGTCCCTTTCACCTCATCTCATGCCCCGATGAACTGGCATGGTGCCACCAGTCAGTAGTCCCCCTGGGATGTGCAGGAGCCGTCGGCTGTGGCTATTGATGCATTATCCATACCCTCGCCGTCCCCTCCAACCCTCCCCCCTAACGGTTTTTTGCGCAAAGAAAAAGGAAAAGAAAACACCGGCCATCCTATAGACAAATTCCAAACCCTAAAGTACGCCCATTCCTTTTGGGCGGTGTACACACGGATGCAGGGCTTCATGGACTTCCATCTCTGGAGGGGGTCGTACGCTTCCGTGACCGGCCCCTTCCCGGGTCGGAGTCGGAGTCGGAGTCATCGGTACCGTCGCTATCGTATGAGTACCAATAGCCATATGCTGGTGGCGTGTGAAAGCGGTCGTGGCTCATCGACGCACCCTCATTCGTGAGCTGTACGACCCAATCCCGTGTCAGCATTTAGAGAGATGGGGGACTCTTAGGGGGGGGTAGGTTGGGCAGAGAGGTAGACGTACAATGCACATTTTGCAACGCTCACCAAATTGTGCGACTTTGTTTTGGCAGTTGACCTGCGCCTTTCCGCCAACCATCGTTAGCCCTCCGTGTGGCCAGAAGCTATACAAAAAGCTAGGTACATACGTAGTAGTTGGCACAGTAGAAATGCATGTCGGCGGGATAATGCAAGACGTAGCCAAGCTTGAGGTGAACGGAACGAGCCGAGAGGAAGCTGCCGTGCGGTCCGTTTATAAAGCAAAGTTATCTGTAGAGAGAGGGGGACAGAGAGAGGATATTGCAGACTGGTAGGCGCTTAATTAATGTGTCTGATGAAGCCTGCGAGTTAGGAATCCGCTGGGGAGAGGGAGGACCCTCATTCCTTTATAACATTTCGTTACCGGAGAAAGTGCCTCCCAAGAGGCCGGTCCCAACGTAGGATCTCAAGATCGAGATCTTCCACGCTGCGTTCTGCTAGTCTCCCTCCTTACCACAAGCGTGTATGGAGCCCGCACACGTAGCAGCAACCAGGTCCGACATGCCGGACAGGAATGGACCTTGTCCCATCGAACTCAAAAGCTGGGGAGGGATGGAGGGCATTGTGAAAAGGGATCGGCACCACCAACCCGGCCCGCCCGGCTTTTGCAACTCGAACTCGCAGTATTGGTGGTGGTATGGAAGGCGGGGGCTTGTGGACGTGAATGACTGTGGCGGTAAAGGGCCAACAACTTGATCACCTCCATCACACCCCCCCACCCCCTCCCATCTTTAGCTGCGCGAGCTCCGTCAACCGCAACACCATTACATAGCACAAGTTAGGATGACTTACCTGGAAAGGAGCAAAGAACTGCGCGCCTAATGTACGGAGGAGTTACACCGCAGTAGGCAGAGTCAGATGCCCTAGACTTTCGCATCCCTTCTACTTGACTCGGGGTCGAGGACGACGGCATCCTCGATTAGGAAGATCAGTAGAATCTAGGCAGGTTAGGCCAGTCTGTGCTGTTCATTCCGAGAGTTGACAACTCCAGTCTGCTCCCCCCCCCCCCGGCTAGATCTCCCCAGCTGTGGCACTTGAAGCATCATAGGCCCAAGGCGCCCAAGGCACCCGTGCACGAGGTGCGTTTCGGGCAGTCCACAGTCCTCGAGCTGCCCCGTACGGACAGTCCCAGAGTCGATGCGGTGTTGCTCGGCACTACCTAAGCTCATGCACGTAAGTGTCCGGCCCAAGACGGAATATCCCAGAACACGGAGTGCGCGTAGGAGACCTCAGGGTAGCACGCCTTTCGTAGAACAGCTCAGGCTCGGGTCGGCCGTCATGACCTCATCCGAATAGAATGCTCGGCTATGCAGACATTGATATCTTCCTTGTTGAGGTCATCCACAGAGGCATTGCCACAATTAGCGCTCTGGTCAGGGGGTGTGTTGGGAATGCCACGGGAGCCCCAAGCCCCGTCGCCGATGGGGATGGTTGGCCTGGCAGGTCGTTTCCGATTACCATATGAAGGCCGTAGTTACCGGGTCCCAAGGCCCGGCTACGTCGAGCTATGAATAAGAGCGGAGCGGAGCGGAGCGGCGCGGCGCGGTACGCGCCATACACTTACGCCCGGATTTGCGGACAGGAAGGACAAGCCCCAACACTTGAGTGGTTGAGGTGGCCGCGCGGCCGGGCGAATGGGCAGAGCCGGAAGTGGTCGCCGCCGCAACACTGCTGGCGGATGGATAAGGGAATGCGAGGAGCCGGGATCCGAAAGCTGCTGCGTTTCTGTTCGTTGGCTCTCCAATGAGAGGCCACCCGAGAAAGGAACTTCTGACGTTTGGACAGTGTCGATCTCCGATCGTCCTCTTCATACCTCCAGACGATTGGGCAGGACAGACAGGCTCCCCAGCTCCATCTAACGTTGCCCCCATCCCCATCCGTCGTCCAGTCTAGCCTAGCGGGATGGGCGGATGGAGGATGGGACGGAGGAGACGGCTAAAAGCGAGAAGGAAAATAAGAATAGGAACCTGAGGAGACAAAAACCAAAAAAGAGGAGGTAAAGGACCGAGAAATAGAGTAAAAAGGAGGGTATATTTTTGGTACCTACCCAAAAAAAATGGATCGGGCGAACCTGGACCTTTCCGATAGCTGGTCCCGCACGGAGACAGGATGATAAGCAGACCGATCAACCCGCCTTAGATACGGAACCCAACCGCCATGTGCCCGTCCTCACATGCATTGACTTGCAGCCGGGGAGGAGTCGGGCGGCTCATTACAACAACTTGTCGTCGTCGTTGTCGTCGTCGAATTGTTAGCAACCGCCATCATCGCTGGCAACCGTCATAATACTGGCTCTCCAAGTATCTCCGATGGCAGGGGAGAAGAAAGGAATGGGTAAGTGATCAACGATGTCATAGGAATGCAGTCGCTTACACAGCCAAGTTGCCTAGGTAGGTAGATATGTATATATCCATACATATATCTATATACTGGGTAGGTATATAAGTACCTACCTAGGTATATAATATATACAGATACATAGGTATATACAATATTATATAGGCCCATATCTACCTTTAACCCCAGGTGCCTCCTGATAATAGACCATCATCGCCCTGGCCAACAACTCCCACCCTCGAAGCCTTGTTGTCATCGCCAAGTTTGCGGTTCCCGAGACTCCACACGCGCACTCGCCCTCGTACGTGTGCACGTTCTTGTCAGCACTTACTTACCTACATACTTACATGTGCATTAGCCCCCCTCCCCCCCGTTGCGCCCTTCACCGACCTGCAGTTCCCGGCCCTCGCTCCGGCGCTTCGTACGAGCGGCCGGGCAGACCGAACATCCCACCCACCAGAGCCCGCGGGAGGGGTTTTGGAATCCAGAGGGACTACGCGAGGTACGGTCATCGTTGCCGATGCGGCAGGATGCGTGGAAATACATCTATGCTCCCTGAGTCAAATCTCACCGTCGATGTACACAGCAATACCCACTTGTCTAATCACGAACCCACGATTCCGCTAACAACCACCCTACGAGGATTTAAGTGCGAGGAACGACAGTGAAATGTACCTACCGAAGAGACGCATACGTAGAACCAAGCGAGGAGGCATGCTTGAGCATTCTCTCTACATCGGTCGGGCACCTATTGCAAAGTGTTTAGGCCTTAGCTGTTGTTATTGGTGATTATGGCAAGGAACTTTCCTATAGGTTTAGCTACTTCTAGACACACTCTCTGACTCACATACACCCACACCCACATTTCTCCCATATCTCACCCTCTCCCCCCCTCTCCCCCTTAGCCATCTCCCTTCCTCTGAGAAAACCGGTATCCAGCAGAGGGTTTCTTCCCTCGACCCGCCTTTGCTGTCTTCCCCCATCTTGGGGATATCCTTTCACGACGAGCTCCTGCTCGAGCTGGTTCTTATCACCGGGCCGTATTAATTACCTCTGCGAAACTCGCCCGGCTCGGCGCAGATTGGCGTTCGAACTCGGCTCCATCGAATGATAAAGAGAGTGAGAGGGTCCCGTGCTCCACCAGGGAAAAGCCCCCATGCCTCCGGTTCGACCTAGTCTAGACCCAGAGCTTGGTTTTAAACAAAAGGTATTAAAAAAAAGATCTTCTCGCCCCCAAAGACACTCTCAAAAGAAAAGAGGACGTTTCGAAGGGAAAATTATGCCGGGTTAGACGGGGAGAGGGGATATAGAGAAGATGTTTGCGATGCCCAGCCACACATATTGAATCGCATGCTTATCCAGTATCCCCTGGTCCTACACGGTTTGAGCCGAGCCGAAATACTAGGCGACCAAATGGAAAGCTAGATACGCCAGATGATGGTCGAAATACCCGCCGCGGGTCTCAGTCAAGAGTAGAGTTACGATGCTGAGATCATGGAGGCGCGAGCATCTCCGACTTTCGAGCACTCTTCCAAAAGTCAAGCGCTGCAACTACATCCTGTCCTGCCTCGTCTTCGTACGCGAATATGATCTTGATGGGGTTAGCAACGCCGTTTACTTTGTAGGGGGGATAACCGCCGCTGGGGTGGGAAACTTACCTCATGTGTACTACTATGTAGCATCCTGATATTTTTGTGGGGAACAATATGGACTGCGCCGCTCTCGATGTTACGGAGCTCGATGAAGCTCGGCTCGAACGCCAGGATCCATGGATATGAGAGGGCAAAGGACTGCGGGGTCCCCTCCCAGTCGATGCGCCATTCGGGCCTCGCCCTCCAGCCATTTCGATTAACAAAGAAGGAGAAGTCTGTGTAGTTAAGAAGGAACTCCCCGTTAAGGCGCTCGATATGGATTGGCTTGACACCCTCCTTTCTCGCGACGAAGTCGAGCGACGTGTCGGCTTGGTCAAGCAACGACTGGGTTTCGAGCGTATCGAGCGCGACAACCTCGAAACCTCTAGCGCATGCCACACACAATTTGCTCTTGAGGAAGTGAACGGACGACGACTCAGTCGGGATGTAGAATTCCTTAAATGCCCTCAATTCGTCCTGACCGGCGTTGAACATCTTACCAAATCCTTTCTGCTTCTTGCCTTTGCTCATCGAGTCGTTGGGTTCGTAGACCTTGATCGTCGTCGAGAGTGCGCTAGATTTGACGCAGCAGACGAGATGTCTACCCAGACAAATGCCTGTCTTGAAGAAGTTGCAGTTGTTCTGGATCTTCTTTGGTCTCTTCCCCAACGCCGGTTCATTGGGGTCCAGGGCCGCAAGTGGGTACGACAGGAGAGACTTGTTCGATAACACGAGCAAGAGACCGTACTCCTCCAACACGTCAACCTGCGTGACATGCTGCGCCTCGATAACTCGTTTGGGCGCCTGATCCTTGACCTTGCGATCCGAGACATAGATGCCGTGATCAGTGCCAAAGATCAACTTACGGCCGCCATCTGGATCCAACCTAGTTAGCATATGCGGCATACCTTGCGTAGGATACTTTGCAGCACGTACCGAAGGGTGTGACTGTGTTGACCAGGTTTCCAGCTTGGAAAAAGTTGGAAGAGAGGGTGCTGACGTTGAAGAAATCGGCTCGCGCTCGAAGGCGCTGTTGGGCTGCATCGATAAACTCGAGCCACTTTTTCCTGGCTGTCTGATTCGACGCGTATAACACCTGCTCATAGTAATTTCTACCTAGATGTCGGAATGTTATCGGCCAGCCGTCGGTCGTCTTCTTACCGGAATCGTTACCGCGGAAGGGTAAATTCGAAGACGCCCGCTTTATGCCCTCCTGGGGGATAACCTCGTCCATTTCCTTGATGGAGAGCAGTTCGAGCGGGATTGGCTGGGCGACGACGTCAGTTACCGAGCGCAAGGGCTATAGGATATTCTCTCGCGACTTACTCTCCTGTACGCCTTCACCTCTTCGCCCTTTCCGACTTGTTTGATCCTCACGAGAAGAACGGCGTGGTCGAATAAGAAGGCCGTGATATCGGTAGGGTCCGTAGGCGTCTTCTTGAACTGGGTCTTGAAAACGAGCTCGCGGCCTTCGTCCGTCAGCTTCAGGTCAACTCGATCGGCCGGGCGGAACTTTAGCTGCTCGTGCAAGCGGCGCAGGTTGAACCGGTTTTCGGCTTTGCCGGACTCGGCGTTGACTCTGCTTAGCAAGTCACGAATGGTGACGAGGACTTTCGGAATATCCTCCTTGTCGGGATTTCCGTCTTCCGTGTACTTCAGAACGTTCTCTAGGAGAAGCGGGTAACGCGCAAGTCTAGTTGTGGGTTTGGTCAAGTAACCGTTCAGCTCCAGCTTCCTCGATTCCTTCCTCCTCTCGATCTCCTCGACGAACTTGGCAAAGTACGGGTTGCTTGACCGTTCATTCTCGAACTCGAACTTGGCCTCCAGCTGCTTAGAACCATACAAGATGAACGGCTCGAACTGAGGGACTATCTCCAAGAAAATATCGCCGAGGTTCTTGACCACGGGGTTCTTCTGCTGCCGGTCCGTAAGAGCCTTTGCAAATCTAGAACTGACCGAGTGTATGCTCGGATGGTCGATGATGTTGCTGAAAATATTCTGCACAACTCTCTCTCTCCTCGCGGCAGGGATAGGCGAGTTCTTCGAGTGTAGAGGCAGGATCCAGAAATCTCTAAGATACTCGAGGTCCTTGACGAAGTCCCTTTCGGTGTAGCAGATTTCGGAAATAACCTCTTGTCGCTTCTTCTCCCTGTCTCCTACGCTCTCGGCAATTTCCTTAGGCACTGTATTGATCCAGAGCTTCTGTTCGTCCGTCTGGTCTGCATCGTCGTTGATGGCGGCATCCTGTTCTTTCTTCAAACCCACTTGTGGCTTGAGGTTCAATCGAGACACCTGTTCCAATCTTCGGGGGCAGGCGATCGAGTAGCAGAGCTGGTCCCTGGTACAGGTTGGCGAGTAGCATTCAGAGAGCAGAACGAAGACGCCATTGACGGGATGTTTCTCCTCCGGTTCATCCATGAGCGTTTCTCTAAATTGATACATCTCGGACGTCGAATCTCGTAATCGGTGCTCGTAGGTGACATCGTGAAAAAACTTCTGCGCGTCGAGGGCTCGACCCAAGAGCAATGCTAGATTCCTGTCCGTGGTTCTGATGATATAGGATAGAACGTCAACGGCCTCGGAGCCGCTAAAAGCATTCTTATAGGTAAGCTCGTTCTTTGTTCGCTCGCCCGTGATTATCTTCTGCCTGAAGCACTCGGCAACCCTCGAGAGGAGGGCAGGATAAACCAAAGGTGGTCGGATCTTGGCGGTGGGCGGTCGCTCGCCTTCGATTGATCTCGAGGATATCGACGGTCTGTGCACCAGCTGCTGGCGGGCCTCCGAAGTCTCGGGGACAATGGTGCTAGCCATTGACATGGTCCGGCTGTGGTCGCCACCCAAGGTCGACGAGGCCATACTCATTGTCCGAGTTGCAGTGCCCGGCGTAGGAATGAGACCCGGATACCCGCTCGTGTTTCCATTCGGCATGGGGACTTCGTTAGAAGGGGCCCTCGCGCGGTTGGGAATCACTCGACCACTCATCATCTGGTGAGCGTCGCGCTCCGGAAAATGGCCAGTCATGGACATCGATCGGTCGTCGTAGCGTTCGGGTACTACCCGGCCCTGCGCCGTCGTTCGGGAGGACATGGTACCGCTCGGAGGTGACCGAAGGCTATTCTGAGGGGATTGGTAAGAGCCCGGTGGTGGTTGGTACATCGGTTGTCGCGGAACGCTAGCTAGAGATTGGGAGCGATAGGGATCGTCGCGCATGGCAGGACCGGAGCCGGCCCCGGGCCCGCCTTGATAGTACCTAGGGCCGGGGTTCCGGGGGGGATATCCCGGCTGTTGAGGCGGCGGTCCCCTCGAATCTAATCGGGGAGGGCCTTGCGGCGGGGGGCCGGGGTAAGGCCTTCGGTCCGGGCCAGGAGGCGGCAGCCTGCCATACTGCCCTTGCCCCTGGGGGTTCGGGGGGTACCCGCCTGACGGGTTCCGCTGGCTTTGGTAGTAACTATTGGCCATACTCGTATCCATTGTTCTCGTCCGACCGGACATCGCGTCCTCGTAGCCACCCCCCCGCTGAGGTCGTGGAGGAGGACGCCGTTGCATATCGGGCGACATGCCTGACACGGACGACAAGGACGACATGGTATGGGTTCTTCCGTCCTGCGGCGGCATGTGCGGCGAAAGTCCGCTCGGCGACGACGAAGTCATAGTGCCAGTTCGACCCGGGGGAGGGGCAGCACCAAATATGTTGGAGAAGGCGGCATCTCGCTGGTTATTGGATGACGAACCATATCGGCGTTGGTCGTACTGGTAGTCCGCCATCTTGTGGTCCTAAGGGGGGAAGGGAGGAGTCGCGAGTGTCAGCAGAGAAGACGTCGCCGAGCTCCAGGAGCAGTGAATTCGTCGTATCAATAAGACGGGGTCGCCGGTGGCGTTGCACAAATGCACCTCACGCACGCAGGTGCACCTCTCGATCATCAAAGGATAGGGTAGGGGTAAGGGACAGAATCCAGGGGCGAGGGGGGCTTACTCTGGTGAAGCCTAGGCGGCCGCGGGCCTAGACAGAGACCAAGGCCGTCCACAGAATGGGGGAGATGAAAAAGGGGTGATTTGCCGATGGCGACGACGGGCTCACCGCCGTGGTCGACGGCCGCGATGCGCGAGCGATACCCAACTGGCGTTGCTGGTGCTGGCGCCGCTACCACTCGCTACTCCCTCGTCGACTCTCGTCCAGTTCTGCTCCCTGGCGCTCCGGAACGCTGGCTGGGACTAGTTGGTCGAGCTTCCGGCGAATGCAGAATTGGCAGGCGATCGGCAGTGATGACGGGATGGGTTGTGTGGTTTGGAAGGGGGCAGTGTGCACGACGTCGGCATCGAATCGAATGCGTTGAGTTGTTGGACTGAGGAAGGGAGGGAGGTCGGGTATACGGTATGGGGGAAGAGAGGGAGAGGGAGAGGGAGAGGTAGGTAGCAGGTTAGGATGCGAATGGGCGCTGTACGTAGGGTTAATCTGTACAAGTCAAGACTTTTTTTTACTGATAATAAGGAAGGATCAATAGAAACGGAGGCCCATTCATCACTTTGGCGTAGGGGCCATATCGAACCTGCCTGCATTCCGCCCAGATATGGAACCTGCGCGACGGGACTAGCCTACTACTGCCCCGGCTTATTGTCGGACGGGAACTCGTCCCAACGGCCCAGGTTGTCCGAAGGTACCTCACCACCCGCGCCTCGCTGTGGCGGTACCTATACCTACCACCGTCAGGCCAGACGTCGTCCGTTCTCTCGGGCACCTGGAGGCAAGCCATTGAATTTTGTGAACTCAACGCCGCCTGGTAGCCGTGCCCGGTAAACCATGCGGACGAGGTACTTGCACTACCTTATCCAAGGTACTATACACCGGATCAGGTAGGTACCTCCTTAAGTACCTACCTACCTAGCCTGGGTTCGGTAGGTTAGGTAGGCACCTAGGTACCTAAGGCAGGAAGGAGGTCGGCAGGTGCCTAGGTACCTACCCACCTACCTACCGACCTATGACACCTAAGGTACCTCAGGAGTACGTAGCGTATCCCCATCCCCCCACACATCATGGAACTCAGCCCGATCAAATCAGCCAAGTTAGATAAGAGGCGGATGGAAGGCGAGAGAGAGGCTTGTTTCTGGGTTTCCATCTTACCTACCTAAGGCATCTCCAAGTCGCTTGCTTTTCTTTGCTTTCTTCTCCTCCACCAGGGGACGAGCGAGTTTATTCCGAAGCCATCCTCGCAGCCTTTTTTCCCCCTCTCGTCGCCCCTCATTTTCCCCTTCTTGTCCTTTCGCAATTTAACAATTTCCCCAGGTGGTATTGCGCATGCCCCGGCCACGATACACACCGATGGTGGTATGCCTCGTATAAGAAATCGCGACACCAGTTGCACACGAATACATGCCGGAGGTGAATGCCCATGTGTATATGTGGTATATATGGTATACGTGGTATACGTGGTATGCTGGGCAATACCGAGCAGGTGGACGAGATGCGGACGCCCCTCCTGCTCACATCGGGAAAGAGGATGTGGCAGTCCCAATGATGCGCTTAAGTCGTGATCAACGGAACGACCGAGATGACGATGCCTCCCCCGAGTTAAACCACCCGCCGAAATTGTACACGATTTTCCGCCCTTCTTCTTTTCTTGTTCTTTTATGGTATCTGACCGGACAATCAAGAGACATCATCTCGTTCATGTCGTTCCGCCCATTGTTGGGGGCGGGGAAAGGAGAGTGCCAGTCCGAGCGGAGAATGACCTCTCCCATCGACAAGTATCAATGCCGAGTGACTTGCTGGCTTACTGACTACACCTACTCGAACCCGATCTTATGACCGATTCCACGATGACTATGTCTAACACAAACGACTCGTGTTTTAGAAGCATGTGCACATGGCTCCTAAGAGTTGGGTGCAAATAATATCTTGATTATCTATTCCTTGAACTCCATTCCTTTTTTTTTTTATTAAGAAAACGTAAGGGGAAAAAACGCCTCTTCATCTTCCTATATGTATGCATTTGCTATCCCCTCTCCTCCCTCCCTCTTTGCGTCGTTGTCTCGAAAGAGGGATATGGTCGGGATGTCTGTCAACACGAACACGCGAGTATCCACAGCTGTCAGAATCGTTACATTTGCTACCTAGGTAGGTCAGCCTATGCTTGTATCGCACATTAATGAACAGAGAATTTAGCAGATATTGTCCTGTACAGATTCGCTCTATCACCAGACATCAACCGAACCAGCACAATACAGCCAATTAGAAACGAAGGTACCTATAACCCAATAAAAAGAATCAGCGTCGAAATATCGATACTTTTCAGTCGGTTCTCCCTATACCCCTGCCCACAAGTAGCCTTGCTGCTCTAACCCCTCTCCCTTACTCGCTCTCCCCCACCACCCACACACTTTTTCGCCCCTTTAGGCGAGGGGAGCGCATTCACGAGGATACACGAGCCCGGCGAACTCGTTCGACGAGCACGGCAGGCCCGCCACGCGGACGGTGAAGCTGAAGGCCGAAGGACCTTGCCAGTTACCCATGACGTTGCGCACGGGGTAATACTTGCCGGCCTCGAGCTCAACGTCCGCGCAAGCCTCGGGGTTCTGGAAGTTGCCGCCCATAGCCACGGCGAGCGGCTCGACCCCGTCCGCCGGGGCCACGGCGTTCCAGCAGTTGAACGCGTTGCCGTGGCCGAGGTAGAGCTCGTTCCGGTTGTCAGCCGAGGTGCAGAACGTGTACGTCCCCGACAGGGGTGCCTTATAGTACCCTGAATAGACGAGGGTAAAATTGTTGGCGTCCACGGCAATTCCGCCGTTCGTGTCTCGCGTCCAACCTGGCCAGTAGGCGCCCGCGGCATCCGGAAACTCCGGGTTGGGGTGGGTAACGCCCGGATCAGTCGGGTTTCCCGGACTGTCGTCCTGGACGAACCCCGTCACATTCGTGAGAGACGAGCTGAGTGGGGTGAGCCTATCCGTGATGTAATAGGACGAAGGGAAACCCTCCCGGCCATAAGTACCCAAGGGGTTGCTGTAATACTCGACGTTGAAGCCGCCGGCTGGACAGGTGCTGCCGATATACGGGCATGGTTCCACGGCGGTGATGGTGGTGGCCCGAGCACCGAGTGCTCCCAAGCCAGTGGTTGCCGTATCGCGTTCGGTGACTACCGCTGCAGCACTGCCGACCAGAGATGCGCCTACTAGTAGGGCAAGAATCTGCAAATTCAGCATGATGGAATGGATCAAGACTAGCAGCCGAGTTATCTGCTGAGCTGTGTGTCGGTTTGGGAGGACGTTGGACGCAACTCAGGGGAAAGTGCTATTATGTCTATGGAAAAATATGTGATGAGGTGAACGCTTTGAGTTGAGAGCTCTAGATTACCTTCTCGTCAAAGGTAGTCGATAGGATCTCATATATACCCGACGAGCACCCAACTCCTTACCGAGAGCCGTTTGATCGTTGTCCTTGGGAGGATAATTGGCACGCCTACGAACTCTAGGTCCTGAACCCACAACAACTCTGAGTTAAGGTATTGATAGGCAGGACTTCAACGGCAACGTAGCTAATCGACTTCCTAACAGAGACCGACGAGGACTCGGTCGTAAGAAATTTGATGTCGTCGGCTTATTGCGCGTAGGCCTTGAAACCCTATCAGCGCCCTCATAACAATATTTAACATCTGACATAATGGATAACCTTCCAGCGTGCACCTCACCTACGCTGTTTATCTGGGCTTGGCCCGTATGTGGCTGCCGCAACTTTCTAGTTTGGGGAAGCGGATTATAATTCGGTATTCTGTAATATACAATATATAGCCACTGATGTCAGCTGAACCCAGCCTTGCCTCGAAGCTGGGCGGTTGGTTCTCGTGTGGACGATTTAAGCTTGATCTAGATGCGAGGTTAAGGCGGGATTTTAGCTGGGCGTCGCACCCTGGGAATTCTCCAGATAGTCCTACGGCAGGCCTCACGAACCTCTTCATCGAGACGGGGATCTCAATATTTTTACATCCGGACGCAGATATCGACCAGCCACCTTCGCGTCGACCGCGACTTCGTAAATTGGACCAATGGAATTACAGCCCGCACGTTTATGTACCTATCGGCGTGAGGGGAAATAGAATGATGCCTACATTGAGGTCATCTTCAATTTCGATTCTCTAGGATACTTCAGGTGGGAGTGTACGAATGCAACGATGCAAAAACGGGGTTGAGGGGGCGCTTGTTCATCTTGCGGGGGAGGAAGGGAGGAGAACATACATGCGTTATGTAATCAAGTATATCTCACGTGACACCGTCTCAGCAGCAGTTCCCAGTTTTACCCTAGCCTTGATGAGACACGGCACCGCAACTGGTCGCTTGCTCAGATGTAAGCAGTTCCAATGTTAGCTTCAGCTTCATACAACTTCGAGCACTGACGGATACGGCAAACAGCCACCACTCGCGAATCTCATCCACCCCCCCCCCCCCCCCCCCGGTCCGTTATACCAATTCCATCTCTACAGAGGAAAGGCATAGCTCGCTTTTATCCATCATGGACGAGTCGGAGATCGCGCCAAAGTTTGCCCCTTTCCTCGGCATGGTAAGCCTTCCTCCCTCGCTCCCTCTGTTGCTTGTTCTGTCGCGCCGCGGAACGAGGCTCCAGGCGGCATTTCGGTAGGACTGGGCGCTGATCCTGGCGAACCGCAGGCCGGCATCGCAGCGTCGATGATCTTCGGAAGTACGAACGCGTCCCGACTCCCAACCCCCACGCGGCCTAGCAGCCCCATCGACCGCGCATGTGCTGACGACGAGGAACCTACAGGTATCGGCGCGGCATACGGCACGGCAAAGTCGGGGATCGGCATCGCCGGCGTCGGCACCTTCAGGCCAGACCTGATCATGAAGGTTGGTAGTCCTCCCAACACGCATACGTACGTGCGCGGCGCCGCGGGTTTGGCGGTCCCATCGATTCGCTCTGCTCCGCCCAGCGATACATCTACGCGACTCGCGCTACTACCTTTTCTACGCGACGAGAGTTGCTAACGAAGGCCGCCCGCCCGTCTATAAACCCAGTGCCTAATCCCCGTCGTCATGTCCGGTATCATCGCTGTCTACTCGCTCGTCATCGCGGTTCTCATCGCCGAAGATATGGCCCCGCCGTCGGACCGGAGCTACAGCCTATTCAGGTACGCTTCCCCCCCCTCCGCCCGCGGGCGCCTCCATACCTATATGCAGGCGCTCCAAACCCAGCTCGGGGGACTTTGAAAAAAGAGAAAGAAGGGAGTAGGGACAGAAAAAGAATACGAGGCCCGAAACGAAAAAGAGAGCGTAGGAAAAAACTAACGTCAAGAACACAGTGGCTTTATGCATCTCGGGTGCGGCATCTCGGTCGGCATCACCGGGCTCGCGGCCGGGTACTGCATCGGCATCGTCGGCGACAAGGGCGTGCGCGCCTACATGGAGCAGTCGCGCATATTCGTCGGCATGGTGCTGATCCTCATCTTCGGCGAGGTCCTCGGTCTCTACGGGTAAGTCCAGTTCCTCCCCATTTCCCCCCCTTCCTTCCCCTTCCCGCTACTCGAACCCCCCTAGAAAGCAGAGAGGAGAAAGACGCCGGCGGCGGCAACATGCTAACCCGTCCGCGCGCGCGATAGTCTCATCGTCGCCCTCCTCCTCAACAGCAAGAGCAAGGGTTAAGGTCCGGCCCGAACTGGGGAAGGGCGGAGCATCTCTCTCTCTCTCGGTTTTTTTTTTGTCGGACCAATGCGGGGCCTAGCTCCCCCCTTCCTCACCGGAACCAGAGAAGAAGTTTCTCGTTACTCGTCTCGCTTTTGCGATTCCCGGCCCAGCATACCATAACATCGTCGACGTCTACGAGCACACGCACACCCGCACGAATCAATACGCCCCCCCAAAAATTTGAGTGTCTAGAATCGAAGGACGAGACAGTAGAAAGGGGAGAAGAGAGAACAGAAGAGAAGAGAAAATTTGGTCTTCGTAGAGGCTTGGAAAACAAAGTGTAATCGAATTATAACTGGCATGTTCGACGGCGTTTTACGGGTATGTATTGTAGAACTGCAGAACGGGCCACATGTGTGAAGGGGGGGTGGGAGTGAGGCAAGAGACTCGTTCTAGGATCGGTCAGGTAAGTCGTCAACGTCCAGAAGAAACGGATGGCTTTGAATCAACTAGGTAGTGGACGGGACGGTGGCTCAAAGTAGCAATACGCGAAATCACCACGACAATATCGTCACTACGTTTGGGCCCCAGGCCGTTGTTGCTTGTTGACCCTGATCTCAGTATTCGCACATTTTCAATGAAAATCAATGCTAGATACGGGCCATTTTAGGACGGCCCATCGTCGCATGGCGAAAACACGACTGGCTAAACTAAAGGGATAAGGAGTGGTGTATGACGACGACGACGACTATGAGCAGGTTCTGGTTCTCGATGTGTCCCGGATTTCGCCCCATTCGTAACCTCGACTACGATAATGACAGCGCGCGCCCTCCGTCTTCTATCGAATCCTAAATCACCGCGGAGAGGGACAGAAACAGGGAGGGGGAAGCACGCCACCCGAGCCGATCTAGCTTGCTCCGAATGACGCCGAAATGGTAGCTCCGCCCAATGCATACAAGAAAAGAAAGGACAGCTAAGATACCTGACTTAAGAACAAGTTACACTAAAGAGCGATACGAACTAGAAGGCAGACGTGGTCGATCTCAGTTTCCCTCATCGTCAATAGATGGGGATTAGCAGGCGAGAGAGATAGCTGTCGTAACGATAGCTTCTAGGCAGGTCGGGCCAAGCAAGTAGTTCAATACTACTCATCGGCCGAAGCGGAGAGCGAGCCTGCCGCGACTTTCGACGTTTCTGCGATAGTTGCTCCAGTTTCGGTCCCGGTCCTCCGTTTCCCTCATTTGGGCTGCACATTTTAGGTAAAACGTCAGCACTCGGCATGTAAATGCCTCACCAGCTGGGTACGAGCAAATCAAGCTGGAGGAGAGCGACGACAGGGCTGTCTTATGGCGACATCCAAGCCAAAAAAGAAAAAAAAAAACACACTCCTCCGCAGACACGAATAAAGCAGAAGAGGGGACTTTCAGACGAGAGAGTAGAGAGACTATACGCACCTAGAAACCAGTCCCACCTTCTCTCCTCACGCAGGAGGATATCGTCGCCGTTCTGTCGAGCCAGCCTCTCGCGTTTCGCCCTCGCAGCCGCCTCCTCGCCGACAAGGTACGGATCTTCGAGAGGCCGGACCTTGTTCGGATCGTCGTCGTCGTCGGTGGTGGTGGCTGCGGCATGAATGCGGTCGATGGCGGTGCGCAAGGCACCCTCAACCCAAGCACCGTTGTTGGCTGCAGATACGCGGCGGTGCGCCACCCTCTGGTAGTGGCGAGTGTTCGGGTTGTTGCTCATTGACGACCAGGAGGGGACGTGGAAATGGCCGAGGTGTGGTGCGTCGTTGCGGCGGCGGGGCGAGGGAATCCGCGGGAGGCCGGCCCCAGGAGCAAAAGTCGACGTCATGGGCGTCGGCGTGGGGGACAAGTTTAGCATGGATGAGGATGTGTAGCGAGGCGGTGGCGATCGCGACGATTGGGATGAGCTCTGCGGCTCCCGGGGAGTGTAGGCGGGAACGCTCTCGTTTGTCAGGATCGTCGAATGGTACGACGGCGCCTCGGAGACTAGTAGAGAACATCTCTCGGATCAGCACTTCCCCGATACCTCGGGACGTCGGGAGGGAGTGTCGGCTCACCGTAAGACGGGGCGGCCGAGCGGATAGAGGCCGTCTCGAAGTCCTCGGCACTCAGGCCTTCCAGGCGAGACGGCCCATTATGAATGGCGGTTTCGGTAGACATCGCGTCGACGCTGTGAGGTGTAGAGTATCGCTGGGCGAGTTGGCGAGCAAAACGAGCGTCAAGGAGGAGCGAGATTGGAGAGGAAGACCCGACGCATCTGGTGGAACTCCAGGGAGCCTTATCATTCAAGCCCGTGTCATCAAAAGGCTCTGCAACAGCAGCAAGGTTAGTCACGATGAGGCAGGCACACACACTCTCTCTTCTCTCACACCACCACCAGCACCGACCAGGCTCCGGGGGATTGATAAAGGCGGGAGAGGAAGTTGTTTCGTTACAAATGCACACGTGAGGACTGCAGGGAGAGGGTCGCTAGGATGGGGAATGGGTGGAAGGACAAGAGCGGGAGGGGAGAGATGGGTGGACGCAGGCCAGGCCCAAGGGCCGGGCCAACCACGACGTCGAACGCGGGGGTTGAACCGATGCAGAGAACGCTACTACTGGCTGTGCTGGGTTGCTGGGTGGCTGCTGCTGGGGCCGGGCGGACCGCAGCTCGGTGCCACCAGTCTCGCAAGGCTCCTTCTACCGGACCATCCAGAATGACGCAGCTGCACGACGGGCAGGTACGACAACTGCAAGGTTGGGCTGGGCAGCGACCTCGTTTTGCTGCAATCTACCTGAAGGGTTGCAATTGTCATAGGAGTTCGCAGGTACCTTGGGTACTTTCAAGTACGTACCTACACCTAAGTTCGGTATCTAGGTAGGTACCTACCTTAGGAGGTACCTGTTACCTGTAGTAACAGCAGGTAGGTAAGCCTGTGGCGCTGCTGCTTTGTATTACTGCCGGGTCCCCGGACTCCTCCCACCTGGGCAGGTTTAAGGTAGGCAGATGTCTGGGCCTAGGCCTACATCTTCCTCACGGATAGTAGGCCCACGCCGAGACCGCTTTCCTGCCTGTCGGGCCCACGGAAGTCAGCGGGCGAGCAAGAGGGGGGGGCGGTCAAGTTAGAGACCGTCTTTGATAACAGGTAGAAGTGGTGGAATCATCACTCTGGACACGCTATGAAAGTTGCGCTCGCCAGGCTCGACTTGATCCTACGCCTCTGGTTGGTTAGTTGGCGAAACATTGGCCCTCCGGCTCTACGTAGACATGCCCCGCCGAGTCCGTCTACATAGGCGCAAGTAACCTTTCCATCCCCTGCAGAGCCTCTTCGTTTTCTTAGTCCGGCTCCGGTTGAGTCGGACTATCTTCGATAATTATCGTGTGCCCTAGGTAGGTACCTAGGAGGTAGGTAGGAAGCTTAGACATGTGCTTACCTGACCTGCCTGTATCACAGATACCTAGGTATGTGTGCTGCTGCATTAGGTACTTCAATCCGTTGCCCAACTCAACGCTTGGGGTTGGTCCACCTGTGCAGAGGGGCAGAATAATACCGCATTTCTCAACGGCGGCGCAGGATGATGGCATTGACATAGGCGACAAAGGAATATACCTAAAAAAAAAATGCATGCTTATCAGGTAGGCACCTATGTCCTTGTAATTTGCTCGGACTTAAGCCTACCTCAGGTTAGGTACCTGGGTACCTACTATGTAGTATCCACTTAGGTAGGTATGACGAAGTTGACCGAGCTTCACGGGTAAGCATCCAAGGCAAGCACTATCTAACCGAGTCCTCTGGTGTGTGTTCGGTACCTGAGATGACGAGCTCATGAGAGGAGCACACGTTAGCTAGACGACATAAACGGAAATAAGCAGAGCAGATGCAACCTCCAAGCACTATGCGTATTACGACATAAAATATGCATAAGTACCAGGTAGCTTAGGTACCTCCTAGAGGTGAGAGGTACCTAGGTAAGTACGTTAGACGTCTTGTACCTAATATTAGCGGAAGAGATAGAGGTAATGCCAGCTGTCCCTCCCCTCCCTGTCTTCCTCCCCGGTCCTGATGCCCTCCTTCACCTCCCGCACCCCCTCCACCACAAGAGAAAGAAGCAGCCAGATGATCAATGCCAATGCGACTACGCTATTTCGTCATATCACGTACCTATTCGGCTCTTCGATCCTTCATCAATCATGCATCGCATCTTGAGGATGATCCCGTCCCGAGACCCAATACGTGTTGCTCAGGTCCATAAAGTGCTCCGGAGGGGCTTTTGACGACGACGGCAATGGCGAGATAGCCACACTAACGGTATCTGTAGGCCACGCTACCTACCCGATGGGGTGCTATATGTTGCCCTTATCGCCCAGGTAGGCCCAGGTAGGCCCAGGTAGGCCCAGGTAGGCAACGGGTCACCTGCAAGACGTCAAGTGAGACCCGGCTGGGCCACCCCTCTTCAGCAATGTGAGGTTCCGAATCAAGCTCAGATGACACAAGGCCAGGTGCTCTAACTCTGCTAGAATCCTTCGTCGCAACACAACTTCCAAACAGCCTCCGATGCTGCGACGTCTGAAAACTTGGCAGGCTACATATCCTGCCAATCCCTATATCGACATTTCCATCGTAATATAGCTTAGAGGCTACAGACGGTCACGTACCCGACCGGTACAGCTTGGTCACTACCATCGACATCCACCTGGTGTAGCTGTATGTAGGCGGATATGTATAGGTGTATTCGAAAGAGAGGAAAAAACTGTAGTGCCCCGAGTAAGTCTAGGTAATGCCCCGCCCTGTTGATGAGCAGAGAATCCAAATAGTCCGCCCGAGCAAATTCCTTTTACCGTCCCATCCGCCCAACCGGCCCCAGAAACCGTAGATGCGTATGCGTATGCGAGCCAGTACCAAATGAACGATGCCAATCCTACAACTGATCAAGATCAAGCCCTGCTTTACCAGAGCCGGCGTTGGTAGTACACCGGCTCCATGCCCTCTGACAAGCGACGGATCTCTTCTTTGATCCGCCGCCTTCTCTCGGCACGGCTAATCGGCTTCTCGTCGCTTACGATGCCGTCCGTATTCCCGTCATTGCCGCCGCCTCCGCCGCCCTCCTGCTCCTCCCCAGCCCCGGCCGCAGCATCCGCGACGCCGACATCATCTTCCCGCTCCCCCACCTCATCCTCCTCCTCCTCCTCCTCCTCCTCCCTCACCGGCGCGGCGACCGGCTGCAGTTGGCCGCTCTTACTCGCGTCCCTGCTCCTCGGCCTCTGGCCGGGCAGCGAGGGCCGAATGACGACGAAATCGTCGTGGCCCTGCGGACGCGGCGCTTCCGCGATGGGCTGCTCGGCGGCGACGGGGCTGTCGTCCGGCAGGTAGTAGACCTTGGGGCTCGGCCGCGGCACGCGCTTCGGCCGGATGGCGGCGCGCAGGTCGCGGAGCGTCCGCTGCTGGATCACGTAGCCGCTGAGGAAGAGCGCGGCCGTGCACAGGATCACTATCGACGAGAGCGTGCAGGCGTCCTCTTGTTAGCCCATCGAACCCTCGCGCCGAAGCTGTGCGGCTCCTGACAGCCGTCTACGAACGTGTAGCTCCCGGGCGTGTTCCCGGGGCTAGCTCGTTCTCGTCCGTAGGTACGGACGAATGGCGGGAGGGTCGGTGAGGGGAAAGCGGGAAACAGGGGCGGTGAGGGGGAGGGGGGTTTAGCCGTACCGATTCCCGACGAAAACACAACCGAGACTTGCGACGATGTCAATAGCATCCTCTGGCATCGGCAATTCAATCAAGGCGCGCGAAGGTAGGTATACTTAAAGTAAACACCTAGACATGTGCACATAACGGCGTAGACTTGACTCTCAAGTAGTTGAAATTCAGAATTCCAAGTTTTTAAAAAACCAGAATAGATGAAGACGTAAACGCCTCCTACCCACCGGGTAGCGCCGTCTCAACCCCCAATTGTCCCCGGTCGACCTCGTATTCTCCGTCGCCCTGGCAACGCGGGCCCAGGAAACGATCGACCGACGCCGCCGGCTTGGCGATCTGACCCCGGTCCGATCCCAGATCTCTGGTAAGATGCTTGCTTCCTTCTACTACCCACCACGTTGACGCCACTTTCTTTTTCAACTACGCGGATTTCCGAGGCGGGCCGATATACTTTAGAAGGCCGAAACCGCGCGGGCGACGGCACCGCATTCGCAGGCGTCTTCCGGACACGGCGGCGATTTTCGTCGTGTTAGGCGTGCCCAGCTGAGCTTGGGGGGGCCTACCGCGGATGCACACGTAGCACGGCATGCGTAGGTGCGCCATCTCGCCTGCTCCGCCTGTCCGCCGTGGCTTCGGGACGCGGTGCGCCCCCCCCTCCCCCGCTCTCGCCGCGCCGGCTAGCGGCCAGGCTGCGCTACCCTCGGTGGCACAAACGAGCGTCGAGTTGTCGCACCTGGCACCCCACCCCGCTCTGCTGCGAGGTCGGCATCCCCGGCTGGTCGAAGCACTCGACGCACATGGTGCGTACTCGCATACCTGCCGCTAGTACATCCGCTCGCCCTCGCCCCCCGGGATGGATGCAGTCCGGGCCGCCCGGGAACGCTATTCGTGCCTGGCGATAGACGGTGTGCGAGCAGGGGCCGGGAAGTCCCGTTGTCTCAGCCCCGACAGCTTTCGATGGAGGCATGCGGAGCTTATTCCGATTCGTCCGTGCGTGGGGGGCAGAGTATAGGCGCTGAGGCGAGTCGCGAGGTCTAGGGCGAGCCACCCTGAACCCCGTGTTGGGGTGGCGGGGGCGAGGGTAGTCCTTATGTAGCGTGCCGTCGTCGCCTAGCAGCAGAGAAAATCGAGATGCAGTGAGCCGCCCAGCAGAGTGCGGCCTTGGGCCCAGGGAGGCGATGCTGTCTTGCTGCCGCAGTATCTACCCGCCGAAACAAGGCCAGAGCCAACAACCCCCGCCCCCCCTCTCTACCGTCCGAGTTCACATCCTGCTCTCTCCCGCCTACCCCGCGAGCGAATCAGCCGGCGTCCCCGAGGTCGTGCTGGGCCGGCTCATGTTGCTGTCAGCTAGGACGGGAAGGAGAGAGACAAGAGGTAGGTAGGTACTCGCCGCTAAACTTCGCCTCCTCGACGAGCCCCTAGCGGCAGCGGGGAGGTAGTATCACGCTGTTCAGCTCGGGGCGAGAGGTGTGTGATATGCTAGGAATCGGATAGACACCAAGTGCATGGAAACTGGTGCGCAACACAACCCTTGCGATCGGATAGCTCCTAGCAGGGTCGCGAGAAGCGGGGTTTCGCCTATCCTGGGTCTCTTCCTGCTATGCTCTGGTTTCCAGGAAGATGAATGCGGATAATGTCGTCTTGTTATTCGCGGGGGCGTTGCCAGGCTGGCGCGTCTCGAGCAGTGGCCGCGGTCGCTCTCGCAGGCATCTCGCAACGACCCGGCGGCCTCCTGCCCGGCACGTGTTGGGCGGAGCGCCGTACTTAGCATGGGAGCTTGGCCTACCCGAGACCCGGATTCGCGTACTTGCTTGTTCGTAGCGGCCGTCTATTCAGCCGGTCGAATAAGTCGAAGCATCCTTCGAACGCCGCCTCAGCCCCCCGTTTTTCGAGGTTGGGTTATGACTAGATACCTAGGCGGTCGAAGAAGCCAGCGGACAAGTGGGAATCGTGTTTCTCGCCAATGCTTACTTCCCGCCCCCTAGCGGTCAAGTAACCACGTCACGGAGTCTTGTCGTTTACCAGGTACTATTTGCTTACACTTAGATGGGGAGCGTCGTGCCAAGGTATTCTGATTTCCTGATCCAGATAATACTTTGTGCCCTGATTGGCCGAAGGCGCCAGGTTTGGGTGCCGAGACAGACCATCAGCTAGCCGTCCAGGACAGGACGGGAGAGAACAACAAGGGTCGAGAGAGGCGTGGGCGGTGCAGTTTGACGGCTACTAAGTGAAATGCACTTAGTATATGAAATCTATGGTAGTTGTATATAACCCGTATTACCTTCTGCCCCAGACTAGAGAACCCTCGGTCCGGCCAGTCCGATTCCGAACCCGCTGATATTAAACTCCCGCTTATCCGCCTAAGGAATCCATGTTTACTCCCCTAGTCTCCACCAGCCGATAACCATCAACAACCTGTCTACTCAACAATTTGACACCGGTTGTTTAGAGCTTCCTTTTTCCTTTCTTCCTCCTTTCTTTTTTAATTACCTTTTTAGAAATAAGCATGTGGTGCTATACAGGAGTGGATTCTCAAATATGCGTGGCTTACCGTGCACGAAGACAAAAGTAAAGCAGGGGTGGTGATAACACTACGGCGCGGAAGTCGATGAGAGCTCTCACGTTCCGTTTCTGCTCGCCGGCTTCGCGGCGTCCGCCGCACCGAATTCGACATCTATCCGCGTGTCCTTCACGATGAGAAGCTTCCGGCTTGAGCTCCCGTCGACGGTCTGGCTTCCCGGCCATCGCGATTGTCGTTGGCTTGTCAGGCAGTTAGTCCTCAAGTCCCCTAGGTTCGGCAAGCTATCGAGCCGTATGGACCGGGCGCCGCTGGGGATGTTTTTTTGGCTGCCGCGGGTTTCGAGTATGTTATTCACGTAAGCTCGCATGCCCCGCCCGTCGAGGTTGAGCTCGCATCTGTTGAAGAGCGGGCGGAGCGGCGGGAGCGAGCCAGCAATGATGCCAATGCCGCATTCGGCAATAGACCACATGATAATGTACCCGAGGTTTTCTGCGTATAAAACATTCAGCAGTCAGCCCCCCCCCCCCTAAGCCAGACAACTAGGGGCCGTAGTGTACGGGATGCCCAATGGCTTGATTACTTACGGAGGGCATTCTGAGAACGGTTGCGATGGTTGGTGCGAATGGGGAGGTATTGCAGCCGAATACAAGTAGAGACACTGGCTCTACAATACCAAGCAGGTCAGCTATTGCCGTATACAGAGCAAGGGACAGAAGGGGAGGGATATCTCACAGAATACCAAGGGCGAGGACGAATGCGAGAGAGAGCTTGACGCTGAGCTTCATGTTCAAATTCCACAGGATGAAGGCGGGGATGATAGCGCACGACCAGTCGGTCAAGATGGAGATGCCCGACACGGCAATGCTAATTTTGCCGACCTTGCCGATCCCGTTGCACACGCCAGCGGAATGTTCCCAGTTCGCGGCTAGCGGGGTGCATCGCGTCATCACAATTATGAACCCGATGAAGCTGAAGACGACGCTCAGGAGCATCACCACCCATATAGGGATAACGTAGCGCTTCGCCTTGGTGATCCGTAGGAGGGCGGTGCAGATGGCAGTCTTGATAAAGCCGTGGCACCACATGTAGTTGATGTTGAAGATGACAGACACTGGAGGGGAGAAGGGTGAGAAAAAGAGGTCAGTTTCCCGGTCGTTATGGGGTTAAGACGACGCATACTCTTCACCGCATTCTTGTGCATCTCTCCCGACGGGTCCATCCTCTGTATAACTTCGTCGGTTGCGCCAATTCCCGAGAAACAACCAATAGAGCTGCTGGTGACGCAGCCTATGAAGAACATCTGTAGGTGCAGTGTCACATTGTTAGCATCCGAAGCCGGCCCATGGGCCTCCGTTTCCCTTCACGATTTTTTCTTCCCCAGCTAGGAACGCTCGCGACTTACCAGGGCTATTGTCATCAGGAGATCGTCCAGGCCTCTTGCCCCGATCTTAAGCCGGACCCAGAGTCGCAGGCTGACAGATATGACGGAGAAAAAGCACAGCAGGACGGCAGCGATTATCGTCCTCCGCCCGAGTCCCTCGGGCATCTCTCCCGAGGTAGCCATGGCCGCAGAATGCTCTTCTTCCGCTCTGAGCCTAAGTCGATTGGGATTCCTCAGCTAAGTCCGGGGCGCGCGAGACGAGAGCTGGCTCGAGTAGTCCTGTGCGAACTAGCCATGGCCAATTCTACGGCAGCAGCGGCTTTTATATATCAATGGTAGGTGGGTTAGATATCTGGTAGGCAGGTAAGTATATAATAGAGGTGTATCGGTATGCTCGTTCGGTAAGGGCGGTGCATTGTTTGCGTGGAGCGAAATTTAGCACCCGAGTGCTCGTAGGACAACCTTGCCCGGCTGCCACCGGCTTGCTGCTTGCCATCGAAGCAATCCCTTGCGGAGATGCTCCACAGCGTACGAAAGTACGAAGGCATTAGACTCGTAGGAAACGACGAAAGGTCGTCCCGCATATTGGCCCTCCCCGAGAGCCTGATAGTGGTTAGCTCGACGAGAGAGAAGAAAACGGAAAGCTGCAAGTCGGGCACCTCTAAATTACCTAGGTATGGCTCGAGGTTGAGCCTGTGGCTCGGGATCCTCCCCGGGAACCATCCCGGGTTTTCGTGACCTTGGCACCGTCATACAGTCCGAAGGTGGCACCTGTGAATAGGTAACTATTGGGGCGGCATTCAGACAGGCCGTCGTTAGCTTGCTGGTCGGTGTCGGCGCCGGTGTTCATGTTGCAGCAGTAACACCCGCTCTTGGACAGCGGGTTTGTCTGCTAGGCCACCGAAACCGTCGAGGAGGCCTAGTAGACCTGACTAACTCCTCTATCCTGACCGTATATGCGCGCAGTCCCCGCTGGTTGTTCAAACTCGCAAAGTCCAAAGGCCGGCAGTTAACCGTGGTAGTACCCGAAACTTCCTATTGGCCGGCGAGTCGCGAAGAGCAATATACTGTAAACCCAACGCCCGCAACTGAGGGGAACGTGCGAGTGTGCATTACGTGCGTGTGCCGATGGCGGATGACACCCCCGGAATATGCCAACCGCCCTAAGTGATGTCTGACCCGACAGGCCGGTAATGTGCCGCAGATGTTTGGTCTGGTACTCCATAGTCCCCAGTCGCCTTTTAAGAAAAGGGTACGCCCCCGCTGTGCGGTCCATTTGTCGTTCTCGGCTTGGTTCTATGGGCAGGTGGTAAGTATATACCTACCTAGGTGTAGGCAGGTATACGTAGGCGCCTATATAACACCCCCGAGTGAGTCCGTTTACGGCCTCCTTGCCAATACGAGGAATATCTCACGATAATCTACGGTGACCATGGTACGGCCGAGTAAAAGTTGGACTCGGACGTACCTGCGCGTGAATACGGTGACAGGTTGCGGTGTGGCGTTGTTGGTTGACAATCCCCACCGTTGTGCTGCCGTTGTCAATATCACCCATTTACACGAGAATGCCGTACGCAGCGCATGGGAGGACAGCTAAAGCGCATCGAGATCTCTTCAGGGAGTATTTACGTATTGTGGAGATGACCTTGCCACCTCATAAATTTCAAATTACCTACCTAGGTAGCTTAGCGGGTTTCTGTAGCTTTATGGGTGTCTCCAAGAACTCTCTGTTTGTAGGTAGGTATAGGAAGGTATAGGGTGGACTGCTTGGAAGTTAGAGAGAGTACGTATAGTCTGCCGCCGCAAAAAGCTCAAGTAAACTAAACTAAACGTCGCAGAGCCAGTGTATAGTTATCTTTGCGTTGCTCTGCGGGTGATGATTCAGGCAAATTTAACGAGGGCGATGGGCGTCTTACTCTACACAACATGAAGCCGTCTTTCTCAGGGGGTGATGCTTGCTAATTTTATATACCTGTTTAACACATATATTCTTGTGGTTATTTGAATTTCTCTGGTAATTGGCTATCGCAAATTCAATCGATAAAACGTACCCAAGCTTGAGTTGCGAGATCCGCCTCGTCGCTACGGTCTACCTACTCTTACTATCTCCTACTCGTCCGCGATCCGATCAAACGCCGTGTTTTTCGCGTCCCCCTGTGCTGAATCTGTACATATAACCTCACCTCCGGCCGGGCCCCCTCTAAAACTTCTAAAATAGAGACCCGTAGAAGCATATAGAAGACCGAAAGCCATACGCGGAAAAATGGCCAAGCGCGAAACCCACCGCGCCGACGAGCGGCGATTCCTGGACGAGCGCGGGAGCGACGTGCCGCTGGCGCCGAACGGGCTGAACCCGGCGACGATAATGGAGAAGGCGGTGCGGGAGCGGATCGTGGACAGCTACTTCTGGAAGGAGCAGTGCTTCGGCGTGAACGAGGCGGACGTGGTGGACCGGGTGGTGGAGCACGTGTCGTGCGTCGGCGGGACGTACGGCACGTCGCAGCGGCCGACGCCGTTCCTGTGCCTCGCCTTCAAGCTGCTGCAGCTGGCGCCCGACGACGCGACGCTGCGCGAGTATCTCGGCTTCGGCGGCGAGCGCTTCAAGTACCTGCGCGCCCTCGCCTGCTTCTACGCCCGCCTCACCCGCCGCCCCGAGGACGTCTACCGCCTCCTCGAGCCCTTCCTCGAGGACCGCCGCAAGCTGCGCCGCCGCGGCCGCGCCCCCGGCGCCACCCTCACCTTCGTCGACCAGTTCGTCGACGACCTCCTCACCAAGGACCGCGTCTGCGCCACCAGCCTCTGGCAGATGCCCAAGCGCGAGATCCTCGAGGACCTCGACCTGCTCGAGCCGCGGACGAGCCCGCTCGGCGACATCGAGGACTTGCTGGAGGAGGAGGAGGAGGAGAAGGAGAAGGAGAAGGGGAACGATGGGGATGTCGATACGGATAAGAGGAACGACGACGATAATGACGACGACGACGACGATGAGAGGGAAGGGAGCGATGACGAAGAGGGTCAGGTCGAGGAGGATCGAGAGGGTAGACGGCGCCGGAGGTCGACGTCCGGATCGAGCGCGAGACTAGACCCCAGGGCGAGAGGCCGAAGCCGCTCACGAGACGACATGGATGTGGACGAAAGCGATGGGGATAGTAGAGATGGCAGGCGACGGTAGCCTAGACATGGAAACGTTGCGCGCTAGAACCGAGTAATGGGACCGAAGAAAGGTCGCCTAGGAGTTTTATACAAGCCGGGTGCATTTGGGCTAATCGGACAACGATGAATGGCATGGCGAGAGCGAAATAATCATCGTATTTACAATCCCTATCGGGTATTATACGTACGCCATCTGTCCAGCTAAACCTCCATTTTTTGAACTAAGTCAATCAGCTAACCCCCAGAGACAGAACCGCCTCACCCAGCCTCCAGCCCCGTACCTTCTGAAATACTCTAGGTGGCTGCAAATTTGCGTTGCCGAATGGAGGGCAGTAGCACATCAGCTACGGAGAGCAGCCGTGCATCGTCCCAGTACTGCCCGATGATTTGCAGGCCCCCGAAATCGAGCAATCTTTCTTCTTCATTAGCTGGATCGACCGGGATGTCCATGGGGATGCTGATCGCGGGCAGTCCCGCCAGGTTGGCCGGAACCGTGAAGACATCGTTCATATACGAATCCAGAGGCGTCTGCTTCATGACATCGTCGAGCAGGGGCGGAGTTGTCGGTGCCGTAGGGCAGAGAAGGAAGTCGACTTGCGAGGGCCCCAACTTGTCTTCTAGTTGTACGCTACCTTCCATCTCGCTCAGATCGAACTGCTGCTGGTCTTGGAGGGGATCTGGTAGCTTAAAGACGCGATCGAAATCTCTCTTGACCAGTCGGCGGACTTTCTGAGCCTGTATGAAGTAGTTGTCCATAGCTTCCGAGCTGAGGGTGTATGAGCCAAGTAGAATGCGACGCTTCACTTCGCTGCCGAACCCGGTATCTCTCGTCTTTGCATACAGTATCCCGTCGAAGACATCACTCCCACTGTCAGTATTTCGCTGTCCGTAGCGGATACCATCGTATTTGGCAAGGTTAGATGCTGCCTCGGCAGGCGCTATCACATAATAAGCAGATAGGGCGTTCTTAGTAGAGGGAAGCGAGACGGGGACGACGCGGCCCCCTAGTTCCTCAATTTTCTCAGCTGCTGTCAGCCAGCCCTGTCGTATACGTGGGCTGAGCTCGTCTATGTTGTACTCTAACGGTACGCCGAAAGTCAGCCCCCGAACCGCCCCTTCTTGAGCCGGGTTCCAGGAGGCGAAGCCTCTCCTCTCGGCGGTACATCTCTCGCGCACTTCGAGTGGGAGGGAGGTTGGGTCCTTGGGGTCATGTTCCAGATAGAGGCCCTGTCCCAGGATGGCCTTTCCGATCGGCGCTACGGTCCTGGCGAGGAGCCCAACCGTATCCAGCGAGTTCGCGTAGGCGACAACACCCCAGCGGGACAGCATCCCGTACGAGGGTTTGAACCCGACGGTGCAGGTATAGGCGGCCGGCATGCGAACCGAGCCTCCCGTGTCGGTGGCCAGGGCCAATTCGGCTTCCCCCTTCCTCACGGCAACGGCACTACCTCCTGAGCTACCTCCGGCCGAGTATTTCTCTAGACCGAGCACATTGTGTACAGGCCCGAATGCCGAGGTGGTGGAATGAGTGCCCATGCCGAACTCGTCCATGCCACTCTTTCCGCTTATGGAGGCGCCCCGCTGCCTGAGTTGGCTGACGATTGTGGCCTCGAAGGGGGTGTTGTTCCCCGCGAGGATGTTGGACGCGCATGTTGTAGGGAAGCCAGCAACGGCGATGTTATCCTTGACTGCCAAATGCAGGCGGCGATGCGAGACGACGGCTGTCCTCGGTCGAGCTGAGATCACCCTACGGACGGCTCTAATATGGGGGGCCTTGATATAGGTAGACATGTGGTCTGGGTGATGCTGGGCATAGGGACCTGCCCTTCATTGGCGGTCTATACCAAGCTTTGCCGGCGCCTACCCTCTGCGACTTGCTCGGTCTGAAGCTGGAGGGGTTTTATTTTTTGGCGAGTACTTTGCACATGTCACTTTTCGCTCTGGTGGTTTAATTGATTCGGGGCTTACTAAGGCTACCGCCTACCTGTACCTGCCTGTACTCATAGTAGTAACAGCCTATTTGTAGTTGCCTGGTTTAGAATGTACCTCGATACCTTCTAGTCTTTAGTATTCAGGCACCAATGGACCTGCTGGGTAGAAGTACCCGGTACTAACATTATACCATTATTAGTGCCAGAGCGGGTCCTGGATTAGGTACCTACATTTATGTGGGTTGACTGGATCCACGTGCCGGAAGGAAGCCGCGTTGCCTGTGCCCTATAGGCTGGCGTGGATAGAAGTACCGAGTACATGGGTGCTGAGTGGCAGGTTGTGACGCAAGCCGGAAACGTAAGAGCTTGGCAGGTACCTTGAGGTCTCGGCTCAGGAGGCCCGGTCGGTCTTACCTCTGACAACTCGTACAGCCTTTGGGAAGTCATCATCAACATCGTCCAGATGCGACGAGGCAGGTACCTAGCGTAGCACTTGCCTCAGGCAACTTGACCGGTGAAGCCTGCATTAGGTGCCCCGTAGCCCTCATAGCAACCCAACAGCGGCGCGTGCTCCCTTTTCCATCGCCGATATTATCTTCAGCATTTACACACATCGTATACATAGGTATCCCCCCCGCCGCTGAATCACCGCCGAACCCGGTCTTGACAGTGCTGGGTGATAACGCTGCGTTGCCCCGAACCATAGTCGAAGAATCGAAACACCTCGGAAGACATACGCCATGATTCCGAGGCCTATCCTCGTTACTGTGTCCCTGGCCGCCGTTGCCAGCGGAGCGCAGCCTGGTGCTCCCGCGCCCGTCACCGTTCCTATGCGCGATTTGGAATGGGGGCAGCTCAACATTATACACACGACCGACACCCACGGCTGGCTGAGCGGCCATTTGCAGGAGTAAGACTCGCTTGATGAGATATGTCGACTTGCTGATCGCTGCTGACCTATCCCCCCTCTCCTCTAGACCGCAGTATTCAGCCGACTGGGGCGACTACATATCCTTCACGAGCCATATGCGAAAGAAAGCAGACGAGAAAGGCGTCGACCTCTTAGTCATCGATACCGGCGATAGAATAGAAGGAAGCGGGCTGTATGACGGTTCCGATCCGAAGGGCAAATACAGCTACGACATCTTCACTCAGCAGCCTATAGACGCTCTCTGCACTGGGAACCACGAACTCTACCAGGAAGGCTCGGTCGATCGAGAGCACAACACTACCGTTCCGCGCTATAAGAACGCGTATATCGCATCAAACCTCGACTACATAGAGCCCGAGACGGGCAACCAGATCCCGCAAGCTCAGCGGTACGTCAAGTTAAAGACCAAGAATCTCGGCTATAACATCATCGTGCTCGGCTTTCTGTTCGACTTCGACCGTAATGCGAAGAATAGTGTTGTGAAGCCCGTTGAAGAGGCTATGAAAGAGGAATGGTTCCAAACCGCTATTCGCGAGAAGCCCGATCTCTTCCTCGTCCTTGGCCACATAGGCCTTCGTATGAAGGAGTTCGAGCAGATCTTCAAGGTGATCAGAGACCAGAACTGGTACACCCCCATCGCCTTCTTCGGCGGCCACGTACACGTGCGAGACGCGAGAAAGTTTGACGACAACGCCTTTGCGATTGCCAGCGGTCGGTATTTCGAAACCATCGGTTGGATGTCCATCGACGGCATCAACAAGAAGAGCGCCAGCGACATCTCGACCGAGGCTACCGCGACTTTCAAGAGACGCTACATCGACAACAACCTATTCGGTCTCCAGTACCATACTGGCTTGAACGAGACCACTTTCCCTACCGAATTAGGTCGTAACGTTACCAACATGATCGCTAAGGCCCGTAAAACTTTGAAGCTCGATCGCTCGTTCGGCTGTGCACCTCAAGATTTGTGGATGAGTCGTGCCCCATACCCCTCAAATTCCAGCATATTTACCTGGCTCGAGACCCAAGTACTTCCCGACACCATTGTCAACGAGGAAAGGGCCAATTTTTCAAGGCTCACCATCGTCAACACCGGCGCTATCCGTTTCGACATCTTCAAGGGCCCCTTTACCACGGACTCTACGTTCCTCATCTCGCCGTTCATTAGCAAATTCAACTATATAGCCGACGTGCCCTACCCCGTCGCCAGCAAAGTTATCCAGCTCCTGAACAACGGAGGACCGGTTTTCAATGGTAACCATTCGCTTAACACGAAGCACCTGACGATTCCCGAACGGACCTCTCCATGGGTGATCTTGAACACCGTGGGCGAGGAAGAGGTACCGCTTCCCGCGCTGTTCATGGACGGTGACGGAGCGATCCAGAAGCCGCTAGGCGGGGGCAACGACGATCCTAGCGAGGGGCCTCAGTTGACTCAAGGATACACCACACAAGATGATCTTGGCACGGACGGCGACGACGCCGTGCACGCACCCATAAGATTCTACGACGTACCCAACTGTATCGAAGCCAAGATCGCCTTCCCCCCTCCTCCACCGCCGGCTCCCTCACCACCGGCTCCTACCACAACCGCAACCACGTCCTCCTCCTCGTCTCCGTCTCCATCGTCGTCGGCGGCGGGCGCCAGCGTCGGACCGGACCCGGAGAAGGTAGACCTGGTATTCCTCGACTACGTCCAACCATGGATCATCCCGGCACTGCAGTTTAGCGGCGGCGACTACAAAGTCGAGGACGTGCAGCTGTACCTCAACGCGACGCTGACGGATCTAATCGCCGGGTGGGTCAAGGAGAACTGGGAGGTGAACTGCTGAGATGTTGCTGCTTAGCTGCCCAGATATATATATATATATATACATATACATACATACGTATGTGTGTGTGGAATCGAGAAGGAATATAGCACAGCGCCGGCGATGGGTAAGCCTAGGCGCGGAATGTTGGATATTTCTCTTTTTGGGGGGATACGGAAGGATATTGGTTATGGTCACGGATACGGGATATAGGCACGGATCTCGCACCAGAAGTATTTTAACTGTATGAACTATCATTATCGTTATTACTATTATTCGACGGGGCGCCGTGTCTCAATCCGTAAATACTCGCCAGCGCCGTAGCAATCGACAAGTCCGCTGTAACTCGGAACTACATAAAATTACTCTTACAGCCGGAAGAGGGGGAGGTGGAAACGGTAATTGACAACTCGCAATGCAACCAACCATGCCGATTAGGCCCGATCAACCCGCCAGCCTGACAGCCATGCTTAGTATATATTATTATATATCCGCGGGCGCGGCGTGCGTAGCATGGCACCATGACCTTGTCGACGCTCTGGCGGCTTCGTCCAGGTTCGCAGCGGACGATACTCTAACTGCCTGCCTGTCTGTCCGTAGGGCTAGGCGCCACCTCTCCGTCCTGCCCACCCTCTCTCCGCCCGCAGTTCCCCTCCGGACTTTTCTTTCTCGGCGCGAACTCCTCTTCCCGCTCCCGGCTCGCCTCGCTCCGTCGTTTTCCGCTTCGCGCGCGCACGCACCGATAGCTCCATACGGAGGAAGAGGGTGGTGGGGAGGACGGGTTAACTGATTGAAGTGGCACGCCCCAGAACCGTAGCCGGCCCGTGTCCGGACGCGAACAACGAGCCGGTCTCGCTGGGCTTGGGAACGACGGCGGCTGTTATCCAGATGAGAAAAGGCCCGGGGACGAAGACGGCGAAAAACCACCTGCGCAAGGGGCCGGCCTTCTGCCGTGGCGATCGGGTGTCGGAGTTTGGACCGGATCGACGCGAGGAGGGTCTGGCCTCTTTGTATGCTGGAAATCCGTGGCGGGCTCGGGGCCTGCTGGGCCTGGGATTGATGTCCCGGCTGCGGTTGCGGTTGGGGCTGCGGTTGCGGTTGGGGCTGCGGTTGCGGTTGGGGCTGCGGTTGCGGTTGGGGCTGCGGTTGCGGTTGGGGCTGCGGTTGCGGTTGGGGCTGCGGTTGCGGTTGGGGCTGCGGTTGCGGTTGGGGCTGCGGTTGCGGTTGGGGCTGCGGTTGCGGTTGGGGCTGCGGTTGCGATTCCGGTTGCATTTGCTGAGCCTCGAGATCAAAATTAGGATCGGAACGTCTGTCTACGGCCGCGCCGCCGGCATCGTGCTCGGATCCGTCGACTCGGGTACTAGAGGCGGCGGCAACACACGTGCTTCTTGGAGGAGGACTACCACGGTGTTCACCAGCGGTTCCGTGGATTTCACCACTCCCAATCCGAGCTCCGCTACTACTATGGCTAGTACCTCCGCTAATAATCTCGTGACCTATGCCATCGGTGCTAGAGTTGATGTCGTAGTTCGCAGATTTCGCGACGATCACCGCGCTGGGAGGTTTTGTGATTATAGGAAGTTTTATGTCCTGTCTTGGCCCGTTTGGAGTACAGAGACTCGGCGTAGGCCGACCCATGACAATTAAGCGAATTAGCGTATAACGATCTGGTATAAGACGACTTTGAGTTGAGCGACTTGGGATTTCGGTTGAGATATCCTTGTGGCGAGGGGTAGAGGCTTCGGCTTTAGCGTCAGCGGTATTGACGTCAGGAGAGGGAAATGGCTCGGTAGTGATTAAGATTGGAATCTGTGGCTGGAGTATCTCTTCCCCGAGCTGGCCTGAATAACAATATGGTATTGCCTCGATTATAGGGCCGCATAGCTCGGCCTCCAGGTTGAACGGACCACCCCAGACGCTTCCTTCGCAGTCTCCTTCGCGCTGTATCCTAAAAGGGATGGGTATCACGAGTGGGCAGCGCTTGGGATAGCTAGGTTGATGGTTGGAAAAGCGCGTCCCAGGCCTAGCAGGGCTCCGGCCCGAGAGCTCGCTGTGGGGAGAATGGATAGGTTCGGTAGTAGAATTGGCCGCCTCTTCTAGTTTGTCCAGTGCTGAAGCTGTTCTTTCTATACGCTCCACGAAAGTACTGGTTCCTCGTTGGGGAGACCAGTGTCGGGGATGAGGAAAGTTCCGAGGTATCAACGGGCCTTTGGACGCGAGATCGTCTCCGGCCTGCGTCTTAACGGATGCTCCACCGGCGGAGGAATACCTGGTTTGCTGCTAGTTTTCTTTGAAAAGGCTGATCGTGCTCACGGGGGTGCCTATTAGTGGTATCTTCGACCCGTTCCGTAATTTCCCGCCAGGCGGGATGCGGAGCGGGAGAGATGTAGCGATACGTTGAAGGTGATCGCCATGTGGCCCCTAGGAGCACACGGGGAATAATGTATATGACGATGTTTTCTCTTTCTATGTTGTTTCTGTAGTTCTCATCGCTGCGGCCCGGGGGGGGACGGGAAGAGGAGTTCCGGAATGGCGTAAGGAGGAAAACGCGCTGCCAACCCGCTGAAGGGAAGCGCTATTGGATCTGGCCGAGCAATTTACGCTTTCTCCTCTCTATGAGCTCCTGCTGCACCTCCTCTAGAGTGGGCAGCTCCCACGCCTTCCCGTCGCCTACATCGCCAGGCAGCGGCTCCCATCCTGGAGGGGGTTCGGCCTTGCCCTTATTTAGTAGCACTTCAAAGGCCTCGCGCTCCTTCTCAGCCTCGTATTTTAGCAGGGCCTCGTCCTCCTCGTCGGGTGCATATCCGTAGTAATTCGCGTCCACGGCCTTCCTCAGGTCTTCGCGCGTCTCTAGCGGCTTCTCGGCGTCGTGTGCCCTCCTCTGCGCGGCCGCCTCGAACAACTCCTTGACGCCGGGAAGCTCCTTGGCACGTCCGAAATACCGGTACCCTTTCCCTCCTCCGGGTATCTCGCGGCCCGTCTCGTCGTAGATCTTGCCGCCGCCACGCATGTAATTGGGGCCGCCCAGGTTGCGTATCTGGACCTCCCACATGTGCTTCTCGCGCATGAGCTTGTTGATCTCATCGTTGAGATCCCGGATCTGGTAGTCGCTCAGGGCCGGGTCTTGGATGCGCGAGACCTTGCGGCTGATCTCCTTCAGCGTTTGGCCGCGCCACTTCTCGCAGGAGGGGATCGAGTCGACCTCGGTGATGATCTTGGGTCGCCGTGCCCGGCCGGCGTCGATGATGCCCAAGTCGGCGGCCTGGGCCTCCCGGAAGCGGAAGAGCATGGACTGAGCCTTTTCCGAGTTTCGCGCCTGTTGCCATGTGGAAGAGACTTGTTAGCTGCAGTTACTTCTCCTGAGCGCGAGAAAGATGGAGCCAATGGCACTGGTGACTTACCATTGTCGCGGATTATGCCCCGGGCGTCTCCTGGGTTGAAAATACCGTATGAATGGTCGACTGTCGACTGGGAGGAAAAGTGAGGGTGGAAGAGGGAAGAGCTCGAAGAAATGGTACGTTGGGTGGGCACCTTTTTTGCGGGCAAGCTATGTACCGAAGTACGTCTCTCATTACGTAACCATTCAGTATGTTCCTATGAGAGGTAAGGCTGTCATTGGTGTACTTAAGGAGGCAAGTATCTGTAGGCATGAGTTTATGTAAGGAGATACCTTGTTGTTGCTTTGGTTGAGGCTGAGAGAGCTGCCCTAAGAAAGTGGGCACGTGTGGCTTGTCGAGAGGGATTACTAAGCCTAGCCTTTCGGAACGCGACGCGACTGCTAGGTCGCACGTACCTTTGTATGTCCCTGATATCGATATATTATGGTCCTTGAGGTCACTGCACATCCACCCAGCAGTTCCATCATCTTTCGCTTTCTTGCCCCAACCTCATCTTTTCCCCTTTCACCCTTTTCTCCTCCTAGGAGACCAACAGCAGAGCAGGTCGCAGGAGATTCTCCTCATCGCCCCCCGCCCTGTCAGGCGACTGCCCAGCCCTACAATATTACGACTGCTTACCGATGGAGTTGACGGCCGATCTGCTGCTCTCCGTCTTGACGTGGTCGGCTGCGCAGTCTGCGACCAAAGCCGCTCATGCTCTGGTCCAGGGTCACAGAGAGGGGATCACAACCTAGTTGACATCGAGCATTCCCCTTTCCGAATAGCAAGTGCTACCAACCACCGGCATCTCAAGCCAGGGCTGGTCTCTCTAATATCCGTAACTCGGACCCCTATCGATCACGCATGGGGCTTCTCATACTACCTACCCTAGCATGCCTAGAGTTCACTGCATTGCGGGTCACTAATTTATGAGAAAGGGACTCTTAACGGACTCGATCCCTCGCTAGCAACCACGGTAGGATCGGCCAATATTTCTACTCTCTTACTATTATCCACGCGGCAGCAGCTAGCCAGCCAGCTATACCAGGACAATCCTCCCGCAGTCTGCCATCCCGCGGGCTAGTGCCTAGGTACGGCAGAGGCAAGAACAAGAACAAAACCACACAACTCGTACACCCTCGACCTAAGCCGTGATGAAGACCTCTTCACCGAGACTGCTGGAGCCCACACACGCGCATGCCGAGCGAGCGAGCGAGGCAGCCGGGCGCATGACAGCATCCAACCAAAGAACAGAGATCTGAGCTTAGTCGAGCGTTAAGGAAAGGGGGAACTTCTCCCCCTTCCCTCCCCAACATCCACCTCTTATTTCCCAACACAGCGTTCTCGTGCCCGCGGCAGCATCGGCTCCCCCCTCCCCCCTTTCTTTCCCCTCTTCCAAGATCCCGCGCGCCCGGCCATGACGAAAAAAAAATCACAGCACCCACCACACGACCCGAGGACGCGAGGCCCGCTCCGGCGGCGCCGCGCGCGCGTCCGGTGACGGCCTTTTTCTAGTTTTCAATCGGAGCCCGGCGTCAGGGTTGGGGTGAAGGGGGGGGTGAGGCATGCGTTTGCGGCCCAGCAGTGCCTTGAACCAGGGGATGATGATGGTTTGGTATGGGCGAGAAGATACGAAGAAAGAAGGGAAGGAAAAAAAAAACATACATACCCGGTGATGACCAAGGTATCCAAAAAGCCAAATTTGCAGACAGCCTGAACGAGCCCGGGAACGGGTGAGGGAATGGTTGCCAATGAGAACCTGAGAGCTAATCTGAGGGTACATGAATGTATGTGTGTATGTATGGTGCGTCTGGAGCTGTTGTTGATTCGATAGAAGATGAAGCTAGGTTCGCCTCGCTAGTAGCGTGGGAATACTACGCGGATTATCATGTTTTTGCCTTTTTTTTCTCAACTTCCACTGTGTCTATACGGGATGGCAGTAGTATGAGACAATACTAAAGAGGCTATAGCTTGCCTAAGGAACAGCAGATAAGGGCCTCTCGTATCACCCTCCCGACAGCACTATAGATCATGCTGTGAAGTTTACGTGTATCAACCCATTTCTCATTATACCTAGCCTGCATAAGTATCTATGGTTCCTCAGTCCAGTAAATGGTAAGCTCGTCTAATTCCCTCTTAGACCACTCCAACTCCCCTGTTTTTTTGCCCGTCCTCGCGTCCATATATCATCGACAGGAAACGGGGGTCTCTGGCCTCTCCACCCGACTAACTTCGATAAAGGTCTGGATAGATCTGATGACTTCTGCCACCTTAGAGTGGCCTCTATCAACAACACATATATCGGTGTCTTATCGTCGGCGGTTCCAAGCCTGCCCATGGTAGACGAAGCGGGAGAAGTGTAGACATGACATTGACTGCATAGATGACTCCTCTTGCATCTGTTTATTCTTTTATTTTCCGCTCATACCTGCCTCGTGCACATTTAAATGCTAGGCAGAAATCCCTTACTTACTTTTCGGTCGTTTCCGCCCCCTTACTTTACGGTGAAACATCCGTCACTTCAACTTTACTGCTTCTTCTTGGACTCCTTGCGCGCGTCGGTACTTGGCGGTTTGCTGTACAGCCACAGGGCGCAAAAAGAGAGCCATCCGGTGACGGTCACACCAATGCCGGCGATCCACGGCCAGGCGCCACTGATGACGTAGCTGCGGGGCCATTCATCATGGGCAATGTGTCGCACGGAAACGGTGTTCTTCTCCTCGACGTTGCTGTAGAAAGGTCTCTTGTAGTTGACCTTGAAGTTGAAGATGCCGTGCTGGTCTGGCAGCTTGAACGATACGGAATATGTGGTGCTGTCCTCGGATGAGATGGTCGGGTGCAGTTTCAGCCGGTAGAAAGGGGAAAGCATGGAGAATTCCAGCTGCAGGTCGTCCGACTCGGGCACGGTAAAGGGGATATATTTATCCCAAGAGTACTCGGATAGCGAAATGGAATATGTCTAGCCTCAATGTTAGAGCATTTTCGATAAAGTGAAGGAGGGATACGAGACATACCACGTCATTCTTGATACGATAAATCTTGGGGTTGCTCGCGTTACTTGCACCTGGCTCATTCAGGTGGTGCTCGATCCAGTTCACTCTCAGGACACCCGTCTCCTTAAAGGTCCAGCCCGACACCTGCTTGGAAAACTCGCGGTTAAGGGTTCCAGCTGCCTTCTTCTCGCCAACCTTCTTCACCTTCGCGTCGAACCACTTGTCGCTCAGCATGTCGGCCGAGCCTAGGACGGTGAAACGGGCCGAGTTGCGGGCCTGCAGAGTGCTCACAAGGGAGAGCTGGGCACCGCTGGCAAAGAGGTCATCGATGACTTCGGCTTGCTCCTTGGGATTGTAGCTGTAAGATGTCGAGGGAGCGCGCAGGATCGGGCTGAGGAGGGCGCCCGGGCCGAGGGCCTGGCCCATACCGTTTGGAAAGGCGATGAACTCCCCGTCAGTTGAAGTGGGGGCGAAGAAGTCCTTGATATCTGGCCGGAGGGGGCCGGGTGGCGGAAGCAGCAGAACGTCATGCTTCTCCGGTGAAGACGAGATATCGTAGTTGAAGTGGTCAACCACTAGGCCCTGTCGGTCGGGAGGTAGGTGGATGTCTAACTCGAGGAGCAGGGAAACAATGGTTGTCGGCGCAGGCTGGGCGGCGGAGAGGGCCAGTAGGATGTTGCCGTTCGCATTGATGAAGTCGAGCAGGATCTTGGGCGTCAAATTGGGGCCCAGACCTTGGGGGCAGTCAGCGTCAATAGAAGCCAAGAAGCCCGAACCAACATGATAGCTGGGTACATACCCTTGGACTTGGTGGGCAGGAATAGAATATGGTCATAGGATCTCTCTCCCAGGTGGAAGACACTCAAGCCTTCGCTCTTGGGTGTCTCGTAGCTGATCTGGAACCCGCGGCCTATCTCGCAGTATATGGCATCAGTATCGAGCGAGTCGCAGTAGCACGCTGGCTCAAGCATCTGCCGAGAGGCAGGCCTAGCCTGGTCGGGCTCTATACGTACCCTCTAAATCACCAAGAAACTTGGAGTAACTCTCTTTCTCGGCGACGTCCTCAAGGATGACCAGCAGACGATCCCCGGTGGAGCTGATTGCGTGGGAGAGGGCAGCCAGGAGGAGGAGCAGGAAGGAGAGTAGGGTCTTCATGTTGGGCAGGTTGTCTCGGTGGTGAGTTGGCTCTAGCCAGAGAAACAAGGCAGAGAGGAGATGGGCGCGACAACACGAGAAGGGTTGCGCATGGGAACCAGCTAGAATCGTAGGGAGCGTCTCTGGTTGCTATGGGTGCCGCTCTGCCGGTTGCTGTGTAGTTGTGCTGTGCTGTGTTGAGCTGGATTGGGATTGCGGCGCTGTGACGATTCATCCATTTATCACTTTTCTTCGCCGTTGACGGTAACAGCGAGCTGTTCCTTCTCTGAGAAAAGAAAGCTACAAGTTCGCGACTGCTCTGCTCGTTTAGGTAGCTGCTTGCTTTGTCGGGAGGTCTGGCATACGTAGCCCGTACCTGCCAAGATCTTTTTCAATTGTGGTAGGTACATGGCATGTACATCCGTAGGTACCATACCTCCCTGGACCTTTCACTTGGGCCCTCCATGGAGGGACCTACGTACCAATGTAGGTAGCAGTGCACTTAGGAGGTACCTAGGTGTCTACCTAGGTTCCTACCAAGGCACAGCACGGCAGGTTTAGCTCCGAGAGTCCGATGAGGATGTCCTCGCCGCTACGTCTTAGCTAGGTACACCTTACCTAAACCCTTAGGTAACCGGATACCCGATGCCTCATTGGTGATATCCAATCCCACACGCCCACTCCCCGCCCGGCCGTTGACTTGACCCTCTTGTCGCAAGCTCAACGCACCACCTCCCACCCAGGATCGAGAGAGAGAGAGAGAGAGAGAGAGAGATCGAGACGCACACACGTACACACCCGGCGCAATCGACAGACGCGCAGACCATGTCCTCCGCAACGCCGCAATTCTGGGCCGGCCCCCTCCGGTACCTCCGCTGGGCCACGCGTGAAAGGCCCAACTACGTCTGGCCCGTCGTCATTGGCGCCGCCGGGCCCGTCGTGCTCTTGACCGTCCCGCCCACCCTCGAAAAGCTCGGCTACCGCCGCGCCCCCCCGATCCCCATGACCTATCCCAGTGCGTCTCCCGTCCCCCCTCTCTCCCGTAGCCCCTTTGCATCTTGGTCCCTCCCCGCTCCCTCTCCTCTCTCCGAGCTAGCCTCCTCGCGCCGCTAGAAGCCAAGCTAACGCAACGCCCGCAGTCCCCCCCGGCCCGAGGAAGACGCTGACCGGCTACGACGACGAGTAAAGCGCGCCCGAGCCTGCCCCGCAGCTTAGTAGGACGAACTACCCACCAGGAGCCGTGAGGGGCATGCGTTTGGATGCGCATGAGAGGAAGAGAGAGAGAAGGGGGGAGACGGAGGATACGCAATTCGGCTGTATATCGACGCACTCGCGCATTTGTAGATGTTATACTACGGACCCCCGAGACAAGCAAAAGGGAAGAGCTGGGGGGGGGGGCACTCGTCTAAGAATGATTGGCCGATATTTAGGTCCGGGTTCGATAGACATGCCTTCGGGAGAAAGACTGACAGAGGCTGTAAAAAGGTTCCCAGAGGAAAAAAAAAGTAAAAGAAACAGAAGACGGAGAGTATGCCGATTCACATACCACCCAGACGAACGAACGAATAACCAGAAACCAACTCGGAATGTCGCATGTGCCTTGCCTTGGTCAAATCATATTTTGCACCTGCTTGCCTTCTTCGCTGCATCGCACGGCTAATACCGCCCGTCCACACTGCTCTGACTCAAGAATCGATTCTAATCCCGGCCATCCGTCTATCCATCCATTCCATTCCAGAGGCTATGACGGCAAACAGACCTGCCGCCCGACCCCGTCACACCGGATACGAGGGAGCCCGAAATCTCAATGCAAACGCCGGTCTATGCACCAATGCCTTTCGACCGAAGCCCCCTTTCCCTTCGCCTCCCCCCCGCCTCATCTCCCCGTTGCGCTTCGGGGGCGAGCCCTATCTCTCCCGCTGGATCAAATTCCATTCGTACTAGATAGGTAAGAGTCATTTGTTAGCTTCGTTCACGGCAGCGCGCCCAAGGCTTATCCGTATATCTACTTACTACTCGCCCATCGTCGTCTCCGGTGTAAACGAGCTGCGGCATCGGCGTGATGCAAGTAATGGCCGCTTCCGTGTTCGTCCCCGTCTCGGTGCGCGTGTCGATGTGATCTAGCCGCCTCACCAGCTCGAGAATCCACTTCCCGTCCTTGACCACTCGCTTCCAGATGTTTACCTTCCCTCTCCGATGTCCCGTGAAGACGAGGTAATTCTCAAGCCATTCACTTCCCGATCCTTCGTAGAACGAGCACGAGTATACGCAGTCATCGTGCTCGGAGCACACGTTCTGGTCGAGTATTAGGTCGCCGTTGATCGTGTACAGCGCCACATTAGGCCCCGAGCACAGCATGATCTCGCCGGACACGTCGTTGATACGAGCGCACTCCACCGCCCGGGTGCTCGGCAACTTCCGCATAAACTCGAGGCGGTTGAGGTCCCACAGAAACGCGTGGCCGTCCCCGGAGATGGTGACCAAGGTGCTGAAAGCCTTGGACACGGCGATGGTCGTAACCGGCGTTTTATGTCCGAAAAGCGACGACCGGTGTACCAGCTCAACAGGTTTACCCGACGCAGTCTGTATCGTGAAAACAGACACGACGCAGTCCTCGCCCGCCGTGATCAACGTCCTAGAGTCTGCGACGACAATACACGATATCTGACCAATGTGTAGGTTTTCACTCACGCCGGCGCTCTTCCGATGTTCGGTGTGGTAGAACCGCACACTATTATCCGCGTAGCCCCATTCAAGATACTTGTCGAATGACGGCGGAAGATTGAGCCGGAATGGGGAAGAACACAGGAGGCGATCCAGTTTAGGCGAGTAGGTTAACGATGCGACCCGTTCACGACTTTCGAGGAGCGGGTGGGGGATCCTCGCAAGAGCATGACTAGACGTATCAAGCCTCTTCGCCGGGAACGAGACGTTCTCCCGCGGTGGGTGAGGTTTGGTGAAAACCTGGTGCGGAGTCTGCCCGAAGTTGTGTATGATGCTTGTGGTAGCATGTCGTTCATCAGAATCGGTAATATTGTCCAGGTCTTTGGCGCCGTAGTACGAGAGGTAGTGAAACACATTCAAGTTCTCTACGGCAGCTTCGCCGCGTTGCTTGTGACCGAATATCAAGTCGATCCAGAGGTGAAGGTTCTGGCTTACGTACGGGCTCTCGAGCGCCTCGCGATGTTTGGCAATGAATATCTTCGGGTCACCTTTCGCCCAGGGAGGCAGTTCGACGTCGTTCACTCGTCCCCCGGAGCCTTGGCGTTCCCCAAAATTGTATCCGTTGACGTTCGTTAGGAAGTCTGGGAGATAGAAGAACTCGGGTATTAGCTCCCGCACGTCCGAACCATTATCTTGGGAGGATGATTTCCATGACCCTTCGATCGAGAAGAAGAGCCGATCCGCGTGATCGAAGGAACCGCCCTGCAGAAGTATGAAAGACTGCACAAAGGGAGGCAGCCGAATCAGATACGACGCGACAATCATAGCGGATGAATAATGCGTGCCATAGTGGAACGGTGTCTCGCCAATTTCAGCTAGAGTAGAATACCTCGACTGATAGTCGGACTGGCGTCGCGCGGTCTGCGCACCCATAGGTTTCGAGAGATCTCGAAATGTGGCGGGATCGTCCAGGTTCAACTCGTCGCCGGTGTAGTCTGCCAAAACCCACGGGAACACCGGATACTGTGTGAGGTCGTTGAATGTCCGGCCTGCCATTGTATTGACAAGCATCAGATAATGGAAATTGGAAATCTCGCCCCGTTGCCATCGGCGCATGATAGGATTCCAGGGGGAAGAGTTGAAGATGCTACCAAACTTGGATCCGAGTGTTTGGGGCGAGTCTTCGAACACCTTAAGAGATTCTAGGCGCCACGCATCTTCTGGGTTGGGCAGCGAATTGACCCCCGACGTGTGCGGAATCTTATTGATGAGTTTCGTGAAGACTTCGTCTCTCATTACCGAATTCTTGGCAGTCAAAAGATAACTGCGACCGTCGGTGAAGAAAATCTCGATCGCCACATCCCGGAATAAGAAGCGGCGCTTGGATATACTGATCGCATCTTGCCATTTCCAGCTCCGTGAATCCTGGGCGCTCTGTGCGGACGTCTGGCGATTCTCACTAGACTTTGACCCAGTAATGATTTGAGAGAACGGGTCGCGTTCTTCAGGAGGTGCCTCCCAGACGTTGACTATTTCCCCATCTACGCACTGGAAGAAATTGTCCATTATATAAAGGGCATTCTTCCCGACGAGAAGGATACCCTCAAAGGCCTCGAGACCAATGATGCGAGAGATGTTATAAACCTGTTGTACGGCATCACCTTGCTGCAGGCGTCTCATTACTCTCCGGTTCTTATCTTCAAACCCGTCATCGGCTGCATTCGGATCATTTGGATCATCTATCAGTTCGAAATCGTCCTCGGGGACGACCGACTGCGCTGATTGTTCGGGATCAGCCCGAGCACCGGCCACGGAGCTATCGGGTTCATCTTCGGGGCCGTCGTCTAAGTTAGCGATCTTCGCCTGAGGGGTGGACGACGTGGTAGTTTCTGTCAAAGCGGTAACTATGGATGGCAAGATCGACGTGCTTGGCGCGTGGGCTGCAGCTGATGGCTGGTCAACTGTTTTCCGCTTCGGTTGATACTGGTCGTGGTCGGTGGTAAGATCGGGCAGAAGCCGAAGCCGCATGCGGTGGCGGCCTTCAGTCCTATCAAGCTTCCACTTAGAAGGGCCAGGTTCATACAAGACGGCCCCTGGTCGGTTGAGGTCTCTTTGCATTTTTGAAAACGCAGACGAATAGAAACCGACATCGTCTTGTTGATCCTGCATGAGACGCTGGTGTTTGAAATGCTCAGAAGCATATATGGACTTCATCCATGCCGAGTTAGCCATGTCATGCCGTAGGAGGACATTATCCCGCTCAAGAGTCTCCAAGTGCCACCGCTTCAGTGTTTCTTTCCGCTTCGTTAGTCGCGATTTGGCCGTTTCCGACGTGCGTTGGTTTTCTATGCCAACGAATTCTTCCCAGGCTCGTGAAATTCCTCCTAAAAACAGCGTGTCCAGCGAGGGCCGGTGTTGATCCACCCACTCAATGAAAGCATCGGTGTCCAGCTCGGTGATTTTCTGGAAGTCGGTTATTAGCTGAGCCTGATCCGAGGTCGTTAAGAGGCGAAACAACGAAGAGCATTCGTCGGGCTTCTGGACTAGCATGATGCGCCAAATGTCCACAGCAGCGAGCCGCACAGCTTGCCTGGCGTCAATTAATTTAGCATAAAGCTGGTACCAAAAGAGCTTCATGTAGTCATCATCAATGGACATAGACTGCAACACAACCATCTGCCAGTAGAGTATCTTTTCCATCGAAAAGTTCGCCTCAATCTCTGTAGTCTGTGGGTCATCCATCTCTGATAATCTCAACAGAACCAACTTGAGGAACGAGCCTCGAATAGTCGACACTGCCTGGCTACAGAGCCTTACGGTCTTCATTGCTGCTACCTCGGGTTTCTGCAGGTGCTCCAGCAGGACTCCGGCGAATTCCAACATCGACTCGGTCCCGTTCATGAACCATCCCTCGAAGATCGCTTCAACCATGTGGATACTGAATCTAGCCATGTTGGTAAGTACTTTCGGTTCGCTCAAAGCCTTCCAGTCGAGCTTAATTGTCGTGGAAAGGTGGACGATAGTGCTCTTGAGCACATATGACTCGAAGTAAGCCTGATGCTCCTGGAATCCGGGAGGGACTTTGAGGAAAAGTCCAAAGCCGGGGAATTCTTTCCGAACTAGCAACTGGTCTATGAAAACGTTGATGACAAGTTCCAAAATGCCATCTACTATACCGTGTCTAATGCTCTGCTCGGCAGCTCTCTTCTTCGGCGATATCGCGTGGACGAGGCGAACCGGACTGGCTTGAGTGGAAGTTTGCGATGTCAGAATGAAGGAGGAAGCCTTCCGCAATTGAGTTCCGCGGTGGGCAGTCCCACTAGTCGGGAGCGATGGATTGGCTGCGCTTGAGGTCCTCACTACCGGAGCTACACTCGAGCTGCCGGCAGCTGGGCGAATGATGACATCGCTTCCTTCAAAGTTGAGTGCCGAATCCCCGGAGTTAAGTTCCGTCTCGGGATAGACGGGGTCTGCGCTAACAAGAGCGGGATAGAGGGCGGACAGAAGTAGTCGTACGTAGTCTGAAGACAACGCAAAGTCTCGGAAGTCTGCTGATCGGGCATGAAGGTCTACCATGAATCGAATGACAGTCTGGAGGACGGCGGCATCGCCGGTAGGGCGTTCGGCTGGTGTGTGCATCGCCTCTGGAGCAAAGTTTAGTTGAGCCCTATAGCATACAGGGTAAAACTCACGTCGCAATTCCAGTTCCTTCTGCAGTAACATAGACCGAGCCCGCGGCCTTGTAGCTGGGTATTCGCGGGCTGCTGTGCTTTGCTCGGCGAGGCTAGGCTCGCCCGAAGGCGAAGTCGGATCTGCTTGGCTCTTGAGGACGTCTTTCATGCCGTGCTGAATCATGGCCGTGATAATCGGCAACGCGTCGGGATTGGCAATTTTGCACTTCCCGAACGTCTCGAGCATGCTGAAGAAATCGAAGCTCTTATCGAAGTCTATCTCCGCAACATCATATCCGAAGAGAATGCTGAAGCAGATGGGCCAAAGGGTTGGGATGTCCCACCATCGCTTAAGGTGGTAGGCCATGATATGGAATCCGCCAGTCTTCCCGGAGAACTTGCCGATATACGTCGGGCCGTGGGTAACTAGAAGCCTGGCGAGTATCTTGCAGCCGTTTACTACGATTCCCGGGTCGTCCTCGGTGAGGAGATACAGAAGCCACTGGGCCATCATCAGCTTAGAGTTTTTTTGTGATGGCCATGCGTCAAGTACCTTATTTGTAACAGTTTTTGCAAACTTCCGGATAATTGCTAGGTTTCCTTTCTCGCAGAGCAGTTGGCTGTACATATCCAAGAGACGTATACCAACATATTTTTTCGTCAGCAACCGGACATCGTCTCTGCCGGTCCCATTGGCATGGGATGGGCGTCGCGATGTGACGCTCCGTGAACCGGGTCGGTTTGTCGTTGGCTTCGGGGTCCGCGAAACAGGCCTTGCGGGAGGGTGGAAAGCATAGGTGATAAACAGAGCAAGCGACTGATGGACTTCGGTGTTGTAGTTGCACTTGACGAGGCTCTTCACTGTACTTATGAAAAAAGGGAGGACGCTTTCAAGTGGAGGCTCGGATTTCACGGCATCGAGTAGCCTTTTTACAATCCCTAGAAACAGGACGCGTGTCAGTATAGAGCACGATATTCGCCTAGGCCGTAATACTCACGCATTCGAAGCAGCCGGCGGTTGTTGTATTGGTGATGCTTGCTCATCACAGCGAAGCTCACGAATTGCTTGTAGTACTGCTCTTGGACTATATGTCCGCACTTCCTCCAACCATCAAAGTCGACGAGGAGGACGCGATACGCCAGAGGGTTGATGATGACGGACTCCAGAGGGTCGTTATGCTTGTACCCGACAAACCCCAACACAAGACTCAGCAGTTGAAGACATAACTTGTCAGTCTCGGTCTTGTCAAGCGTTAACCTGTCCGTCAAACTTTCGCCCGTGGTAGGTCCACCAAACCCGAGCTTGGCTTTGAGCAGAATCGCCAACGTTGCGTATCCTCCGTCTTTCTCCATGGCCTCGCTGTTCCGCCAACTTGAATTGATGCATAGAAATACCATCTCGACGGCGCGGACTAACGTGTCGGGCGACGAAGCTCGCTCGACAAGCCTCAACGCAAGCGGTGTGAACCCGGCGAGCTGCCAAAGGGCATCGTCGAAGAATTGAGGAGTCACGACGATCGGGTTCCCAGTCAGCACCGCCACGCCATTTGAGCGAAGCAGCGCATCGTTGATGGAAGGCGACGCAGTGTTGATGGCTATGCCTGTGCCGTTCTTCAGGACCATTTGCACCAAGGTGTTGGCGGGCCCGCGTGATAGGGCGCGAAATAGCTGGGACTCCCCGAAATGCTCCTTCTCCCGAAAGATTGAGGACGGCATTACGCTGAGAAGAATGTGGCTCTCCGGGACCACATGGCTGCCTTTATCTCTTATAACTCTCATGATATCGGAATCATCTTTTCCGGTACTGACAAGGTCGTTGCGTAGTCCCAAAGCAGCAGATGCTCTATATGTCTGGAACCCGCCGAGACAGTCTTGGAAATTCCCTTGATAATGTACGCCTAACCGGCTAGGCACAGAGAGAAAGTCATCGCTCAACACGTCATCGAACAAATGGGCAGTGCCGAGAGACCACTTTGACTGTATCAACCCGGCGCCTAGGTGAGAAGAAAGCTCTCGTGGCGTCCCCAAGAATGACTGGACCGGCAACGTCTTATTATTAGAGGAGGTGAAGGACGCAAAGCTTTCCGTACTCCCGTTCGACAAAGGTGGAGAGGCAGGATAGGAGGCTCGTATTTGTTCGACGAACTCGCCGTTCACATACAAGGAAGCTTTGCTGGGCGTCATTGTCTTGGGTCGTCGGTGAGCAATGGCGACGTGATACCATCTACCTTCTTTAAAAGTGAAGGTTCTAAAACGGACACTCGGCCGCTGAGAAGTCACTGACGTTTGTAAAATGAAGTTGCGGGTATCTTTCTCGAGATACGCGAGGAGGAAACAAGTTTGGGTCGAGTCAAAGGCCCCAAAAATTGTAGTATGCGACCTCGGGTCAAACTTGTCAACTCGCACCCAAGCAGCGAAGGTATACCCGGCGGACGACTGAGGGGGGAATGGGCGGCCAAGACTTGGTAACTCGATAGAAGAATGCCCATACTGGGACAGGTCGAATTGGACAAACGGTGGGCCGCCATACTTTTGCATTACTTCCAAGCAAAAATCTGACGAGTTTAGAGAAGGGTTGAGTAGAAGCTGTTGCGCGTCAACGAGCTGGTTCACGCCAAACGGCACGAGAGATCGGCAGAGGGTTAGGGCCGCTTCTCTCTCGGCATCGTTTAGCGAGGAATTCTCTTCAAAGGCGAGTTTTAGGAACCTGGACAGAACACCAGTCTCGTGGACCAGGCAAAGGTTGGCATTCGAAGCATCCACGATCGATGAGAGGACCTTAAGTACGAGGAGCGATACCGTATTCTCCAGAGCTCTGCTATCACGGGGAAGCGATTCCCAGAAGTCTATAATGGTAGGGATGACCTCGGGGTTTTGCAGAGTCGACTTGGAGCTAATGGTCTTCTTAATCCTCGCCTCGATCGACGCCATATGATCAAGGCGGGCAATTTCGTGGTCCTCGTTCCTGGTGCTGTCTACCCCAGTGCCGATCTCTGTAGGCCCCACCAGGACCCAGGGGGTGGTATCCTCGAGCAAGATCGAGCAGCATAGTTGATCCAAGGCGCGGTCGTTGAGCGCGAGGGCGAAGAGCTTCCCAAATAGTTGGCAACTCGTCCAAAGATCCGAGTCGCTGCCGCCGAGGCCAATGCTTGCTATAGCCTGCTCTAGAGCATCCCACCCACCGTCCTCGACTCGCGTGCGAAAATACCGTCGGTTACCGGGATGGTTCCGAAAAGCAGCCCCTAGGGCGTCGAACACGGCGTTGAGGAGGTCAAAGCAGCCCTTCTTTTCGTTCTCGTCCCGCTTCTGGAGGTTGTAGAAGCCAGAAAAGGACCGCAGGACATCCAACAATCGGTGGAAGCCTCGGAGATATCTGAAGTCATCTTGGACGGAGCTTGGCGGTGTGGTCGCCGACAGATGCTGTTTCACCTGGCCGATCTTGACAAGCAACGGCGCGAATATCGGATACCCGTTTGCTGCGGAGTTTGAAAGAGCGGAAGATACGGAGTCGAGGAGCGTCTGGAGGACTTCGGTGGCTTTGGATGTGGGTAGGGGCGTCGACGCAGATGTCGACGATCGGTAACGGCCCGGTCTTAGCGACATGGTGGCGGTGACAAAGAAGTAGTCTGCGAGACGGGCGAGAGTTGTGATTTCTTCATATTACACGAGCCGAACCTGCCACCGCCCCGTCGGGGGCCTAGGCTGTTGCTTACACGGGAGGGCATCAAAGGCCCGTCGAATCGGCTCCCGTGAGGCAGGGCAAGATAAGGGCGTTGTGCGAGGGACAGTTGGTGCCGTGTGGACTCGGGCGGGCGGGAGTTCTGAATTCGGGTCTCAACACGGTGCAGCGATTGCGAGGGCGGCTCCGTCAAGACCCCAAAATCACCCAACGACGTGTTGCCGTCGGCGGATTCGGGCCCTACAAGTTCGTGAAGGTTAGTCGTCAGCCTTGGGAGGTTTCCAGAGGTCGGTACCGAATCCGAGGTACCTCCAAGTAGATCAATCAGAAGGACTCGGGGCGCCTCTCCTGTTTAGGCGCACCGCTTGGGTACTCCCCAACTGCTACCATCGCACGCAGTATGGGAGGTACCTCTCAGGAGGTGGTGTGGGGCATTGTGGCTTGCATTCACGAGTTGACGTTGCACCTAAATTTACTTGGGAAGGCATTCATCCAACCCCGCATCGAGTACGCAGCACCAGGTAGTCTCATAACCCCCTTTACAACCGCCGTCTAGTCGGTTCAACGGTGATTATTCACCTTCTAACTCAATAATCACTGTAACTATCACTTACACTCGCTAAATATACGACGATGCTCTCTAAGCATAATCCCCCTCCCCTCGTTGATCGTTGAAATCGACGAGGAAAAGTAGGGTGGTATTCTTGGGTTAACATGACCTCATCATACTTCCTTACTTGGGGTTCCTTCAAGTCGATTGGAGACAGCTAGGTACGAATACCCGGTCGAATCGACTTCATTCCTAGGCCGTGTTGTCAGGTAGCTCTTCTCGATGTAAATAGGTAGCTATGCGACTGCTTCCACGGGCTACGCACGGCTACTAGAAATGAGCAGAGTAGGCTCCCATCCAAACCATCGTACTTATGCTTTGCAGGGACGAGACCATGGCCACTTTGAACCACTGAGTGCGCCATCCTCGAGCAATCGAACTACGCTCAACAGTTGGCCCGGTTGTGCCGTAGGAAGCGGTTCGATCTGCCCGGAAGGGAGTGCGCCATCGCGAGGGAGGAATTCGATTCCGCACCGTGACGGACCCGGCCGGGTCGGCGTCTGCGGCCCACACCATCGGTGCTTACCTCGAGGCCAAGGTCGTGCTCAACTACCGCAGGGACTTGACCGCCTTATCCTTGATAGCAGTTGGCATCGGGGCAGCCTCATCCAAGTACCTATCTCCGTCGCGATGGCGTCAATCCTAGGCTTTCGAGCGGTATCATCTACTATAGGTAGGGGGCAGCGGTGGCTCGAGAACTTGAGAATCTGGATTCGAAGAGAGGTAGTTGAGATGCGCTCGGTGTTGCTCTGAGAATATACCATGGGGTTGCACGAAGGCGGTAGACGTCAGGACCTGTCCGTGTCCTCCCAATCTCCAAGCGGCGGCCGGGCCAAATCCTAGCGTCAATAAAGATCTCAAGTCGACATCCAGCCTTCCTCCGGTGCGTACATATGTGCGAACGCGATAACATTGGGCGGTTTTCTACCCCTATGCAGGGTCCGGCCAGTCTCTTGCCTTCACGTGCGCATTCATCCAGCACAGAGCTGCCAAGGTTAGTTTGAGCTCCTCTCACCGCTTTCATCGTCGAGGCAGGGCCGGATAGAACAACACCGCCGAGTTCTAGTGTTCGTCACATCCCGGCGGTCGTCTCGATGCAGTTATTTTCGGATCCTGGCGTCATCAGCTGCCTACATGACGGATAGATACGTCGCCTATTCGCTTTAGGATTCACATCTTTCGTGTACCTATCCGAAAAAGCCGGGGCGGACTGAGTCGCTGTGCATAGTATAGATATGGCCGTGCATTGATAATCTCCATTCCGGGGGATTGATGTGTGTGGTGTGTCAGCGAGGAGCGAGACAAATACGATGCAGTATTACCGAGTCAAGTGACTATGAGCGATGCGACGGAGGAACCCGCGGCCTACAATGCGTACTGTAGGTACTGTGTGTGTGTAGGGGAGGTCATGCAAAAGGATCCCAGGTAAGAGAGTTGGTAGGTGACAGAATGAATGACCTACTAGGATAGGTAGATAGGTGGGTGATGGATAGATGGATGGATGTTTCTGCCAACCCGGGAACGGCCCCTTGATAGGCAGACGATCGTTGGAAATAGGGCGATCTATGGATGATAGGTTGGGCACCTGAAGTGCCTGCTAGGCGCGACGGTAAGAACACATTATCGATCACTCGCAGCTGGCGAGGTATTCAGGGCGAGCAGTCTCCTATACGTCAATGCGGCGAAGACGCGTCTTTTTAGGTACGTGGTTAGGCACCTTGTTGGCTAGGAGAATCGACGTTCTCATCCAGGGAAGTGAAGGCAACCAAAATGTTACGTACAGAACATGGAGCAGGGCCCTGCTAGTAGGTACCTGGGTACCCAACTCCTCCCAAGCCTCTACGATCTCCCTTGTTGAGTCGGAGTTGTGGAGAGAGCAAGATGGCAGGAGAGCACGTGCCACCACGCCAAGACTGGGCTTGGAATCAGGTGTGCGCAGCTGACAGATACGAAATGAAAGAGTCGAGGTCCGATTCATACCGTACTCATATGTGCTCACGATAGCAGGGAGTTGGTTGACGGGCAAGGGATGCAGGGCTGCCTGGTTGGATGCCCCGGTGGTGGCCACGAACTCGGGAAACACGGGGGAGAGAGACACCTATAGGCTTACGGCCAACACATTGCCTCGTCCACGACCCGTGTTTTGGCCTGTATCAGACGCATACACGCTATGGAGACTGATCCCGGCTCGATTGTGTCATTCCATCGTTATCTGAGGTGCGTCTCTCGCAACCTGTCACCAGCGGCAAATGCCCTATCAAGCAACATATACGCCAATCAAAAACAAAAACGAAGCGCGACGGGATACGACAGACACGGCTGCATTTGCAAGAAATAGCGAGGGCATACCTGGTGTTATTTCAGGAGCGTAGCCCGTAACTCGTGCTTCCTACCTCGAGTATGACGCACATTCGATGAGCGAGTGCGTGCCAGCGATGGCGGGTAGGCCACTCCGTACCTCCCTATGTGCCTAGGCACCTAAGGTACCTACGCGGAAGCCCCTTTTACAGGTAGGGCGGGAGGTCTACATATGAGTGTAGGTACCTAGGCTACCTTGCCTCATAGTTGTCCACCGCCCCCGGTCCAGTGCCGGCAAATCCACAGCACACGCTGTTCAGGGTCCAGAGGGAAACCAAGTCAAGCTGCGGAATGGAACGGCCATCGCCCCAGAATACGGTATGTACATACACAGGTACATACGTACAGACAGATACCCGGTATGCAGGCAGGTATGCCTAGGCTGATAGGAGGATAAGATACGGTGTGTAAGTCGATGTGGTGCCCTCCTTATCGTCGGCCAATTGTTCCAGTCAGGGGAGAGGGGGGGGAGGGAGAGCAGGGGGGGCTGCAACACATCCCAATCTGCTTACGCCTCTTCCGGTGCTCGTCGATAACCCGCGTGAACGCGGAACCGATTAGGATTATTACCCATCCGCAGATTTACTTCCCTTAGGAATAATGTCCGAACGAGTGATCACCGCGACGCTTTGCCTGGTACTCGGCGGGAGCGGTGGCAGTTTCAACCGTAGCAGCCGATCATCATCCGACTCCGGCCCCTTGCAACGCTATCAGTCACTTTGCCTAGGTACCGACTTACGGTTTCCGGTAGGTGTAAGAGGTACCTAAGGCTAGGTAGGTGATCATCCTAGGAGCAAGATAAGGGGGGAGAGAATAGGCCAGCAAGCCAGCCAAGTTGGAGAAGGTATTACATATATACGCTACATATATGCGCTACATATATGCGCTACATACTGCCTCAGAGGTAGGTACCTAACTTCGTAGGAATCCTCACTGGAATGGCTCGGCGGGTGGCGGGAGGTTGGGAGGGAGAGGTGCCTACCTCCCATACTATAGGTTAGGTACCTTGGGATTGTAGAGTAGGTACCTCAGGTACGTCGCGAGCACTGTAGCTGTGTACAGGTGGACACGGCCCGTGTCCGGGGGGGAATCCACAGGAAGAGCGCAGCTAACCGGTTGTGGCTTGGTCAAGAGGTCAGCCCACCCACACTTAGCCCCTTCTGGCTGGTCTTGACGGCTGCGTGCGTCACCTGCACTGCTCTGCGCTGGGGAAGGCAACCACCACCACAGTGTGCGGTGCGCACCTACTATACAATTCCCGGTACGTACCCTAGCGCCTTCACGCCCCAAGCTTTGCGGAACCCTCCAACATCTATGTACATAAATACCTACCTCCCGGCTATGCACCTCTGGACCCATCGACTTGCACTGTACCTGTCCTAGCAAAGAGGTACCTACCTAGGAAGCCCGCCCGCATAGGACCTAGCACCCGTCCCCCGTTGCTGGTCGCGGCCTTTATCAACCATCTCTGCCCGCTTTCGCTCCTCGACACGCTTCTTCCCTTCTCCCTCCTTCATCTTCCGATCATCCCGTCTCCCTCTCTCATCACCATCTCATCGAGCAACCTCTCTGTGGTGGTCTACTTCCTGGTGCATCATTTATTCGGTTTCTCGGTCCTTCCTTTTCTTCGAGCTTTTCCTGCTGCATCTCCTCTGAGTCGCCGGTAGACTTACCATCCGAGTGCTGCGAAAGCCGTCTCCCAACCCCTTCGCTATTTTCCCATCACCATCCGCCAACATGAGAGGCTTCATCGCCCTCTTCGTGTGTGCTGCGGCCGCAGCACCCTCGTTAAACTACGACCCTTTCCATTCCCAGGCGGCGCCTCTCATCTCGGCGTCTGTCGTCGACGAGGTCCCCAACTCCTACATCGTCAAGTTCAAGAGCCATGTGACCGAAGCCTCCGCTTCCAAGCATCATTCTTGGGTCCAGAAGATTCATAGCAATAGCGAGGATGACCGGCTGGAGCTGCGAAAGCGTAGCCAGCTGCCGCTTTTCGGCGGCGACGCTGAGACGTTCGGTGGCCTGAAGCACACCCTGAAGATTGGCACCGAGTTCTTCGGGTACGCCGGCCACTTCGATGACTCGGTTATCGAGGAGGTCCGGAGGCATCCTGATGTAAGTACCCGTGATATCTCATCGCTGTTTGCAATTCTCTTATCTGCTGTACGACGCGGCTATGCACGGCAGCGCATGTATGAGTCACGTGGCAACGATGATGCTAATGCAATTCGGATTCCCAGGTTGAATTCGTTGAGAAGGACTCCATTGTCCACGCTCTCGAAGAGCCAGATCTCGAGAAGAACGCGCCGTGGGGATTGGCTCGTATTTCCCACCGCAAGCAACTCTCGTTCGGCACATATAACAAATACCTTTATGCCGCCGAAGGTGGCGAGGGTGTTGACGTATACGTCATTGATACTGGCTGCAATGTTAACCACGTCGACTTTGAAGGACGTGCGAGCTGGGGCAAGACCATCCCCACTGGGGACGAGGATGTCGACGGCAACGGCCACGGTACACATTGCTCGGGCACAATCGCCGGCAAGAAGTACGGTGTTGCCAAGAAGGCTAGCGTTCACGCCGTCAAGGTCCTCCGATCTAATGGATCCGGTTCGATGTCGGATGTCATGAAGGGCGTCGAGTGGGCTGCAGAGCAGCACCTGTCTCAGGTCGCGAAGGCCAAGAAGGGTGAGCGCAAGGGTTTCAAGGGGTCTACCGCCAACATGTCCCTAGGCGGTGGCAAGTCTCCTTCCTTGGACCAGGCTGTGAATGCTGCTGTTTCCGTTGGCCTGCACTTCGCTGTCGCGGCAGGCAACGACAATGCCGACGCGTGCAAGTACTCCCCGGCTGCTGCTGAGAAGGCCATCACCGTTGGTGCCAGCGCCCTCGATGACAGCCGCGCCTACTTCTCCAACTGGGGCAAGTGTGTCGACATCTTCGGCCCCGGCCTCAGCATCCAGTCCACCTGGATTGGAAGCAACACTGCCGTGAACACCATCTCCGGAACCTCTATGGCCTCGCCCCACATCTGCGGTCTCACTGCCTATTTCCTGTCCCTCCAGCCCAGCAAAGACTCCGAGTACGGACTCGCCGAGATCACCCCGGAGAAGCTCAAGTCCAACATCATTACCATTGCTACCAAGGACGCTCTCTCCGATATCCCCAAGGATACTCCCAACTTGCTCGCTTGGAACGGTGGTGGCTACTCCAACTACTCCCAAATCGTCGAGCAGGGTGGCTACGTTGTGGACACTCTGGCTGACAAGTCGATGGGATTGTGAGACAGACTGGGTAGGCTTATGAGAGCTTAGGAGTTCAGGTTTCTGGAGGATGTGATTACTAGGCTGGAGAACCCGCTTACTGGGCCGGGGGAGATTACCACAGACCTCACCATGGCCATGGCTACGATGCATATAGATATGGTAGAGAGTTTCAAGCAGGATCATGGTTATGGACGCGGTCGAGGATATGGCGGAAGCAATTACTATCGAGGCAGCGGTTATTGTTACCCCATAGACGATGTGGGCGAGATGATGTTTTTCCCTTATGTACCTAACAATTAGTAATTTCAGGACCGCCATGAATTAAACAACAACTCGCTAATGCCCAGGACATTAATTAAGACGTTGGATTTATCTGGCCTAGTTTAAGTCTACCAAGCCACGCATGGCCGACGAGAGCCGTGGACGAACGTATAGTACCTGACGGCATACAGGAGACTGTCCTAGCGCCTAGAGTTAGAGCTCAGCGACTGCCCCTTAATCCAGGTTGAAATCCCCCCCCTACACGTATATCCTCCGGCCAGGCGTTGCCGCCAGAGTCGCAGTACCGCGACATAAATTACTAACCCTCCACGGCCCTATCGTCGCCATCATGCGTTATCGCCACGATGGGACCGACGTACTCCCTCTTCTTAACGGAAAAGTGCCAAATAACGACGAGCAAAGCGGTCGCCCCTCATGTCAACACGCCGAAGTTCATAGTCTCCGGCGTGACTGATGTAGTAGGAGGCCGGAACGCCCAAACCCATACGACGATGAGGTAGATGCAAGCGAACACGTTATTAACCACGCCCAACGCGCCGGGAATCCGTTATGGTCCCCAGCTTAGGTTATCTAGACCTACCCATTCGACTCGCGCGTCGAGTGGCTTGATACATCCAGGCTATAGTCGCCGCCAGAGAAGCAAACTACAACAGAGTAGGTAGGACGAATCCAGGCCGGCGATGCTAAGGTTTACGACGATGTTGAACGCGACGCTTGAGTCGAGGATGATCAGCGAAAGAAGGACGAATATTAGCCCGGTAAAGCCGATAGTATTATAGATGGGGATGGAGGTGCGACGGTCAAGCTAGAAAGCATCCAATCCCGTGTGGTTAGCGCAGCTAAGACCTTCACGGGGCGGGTTTTCTCGCCCGTCCTTAGGAAGTAACTCTCTGGAAGAACTCCTCGTTCCCTGGCAGATGATCGTAGCATTCGGGAGGAAGACGCGAAGACATGGTGCCAGGGGCGCGTGGAGAGGATTCTCGGTGTTTAGCCCGGAAGCGTCTTACGCCGATAGCCGAGTCGGCGCCGACGAGGGAGAACACGGACGCCGGCAAGCCGACCATGAAGGAGAGGAGCCCCTGTGTCGGCCACCCCCCTGCATTCAGGAAGGCCGTGGAGAGCGAGGCGTCGTTGTGTGGAGCAGGATAGATTACACCGGCCGGACCGCCACTGAGGACTCCTACCAGTCGAGAATTGTAACGATAATGGGTGCTCGGCCTACCTTGGAAGGCTCTGCGTCGAAACGCAGCAAGCTAGTTAGCCCCCCGCAGATTATCCCTCGCGGGACACGCACATCACGATCCCCTCTCACATTATGAGAGCAGTGCACGAGGACTCTAGAATAGACATGGACCCAAAGTCCCTCTCTACGATGTCAGCTGTGGCCTGAGCAGAAGGGACCGGCGCCGAAAGCCTTGCCTTTGGCGCGGGCTTCTTGTCCACCCGAATCAAGCCCCTATCGTCTCTGGAGTAGTCCAGGTCGTCAACGTTATCTCCAGCTTGGAGCCACGCCGAGGCGGGTTTTCCCCCGATGTGCATCTCGACATCGACTGCGGCTATTCGAGTGTTTCCCGTCGTTGTACCCACCTACCTGCCTAAGGTCACTCCTAGGAAGTTAGGCCGGGACAGCATACCGCATGTAGGCAACCGAACCAACTTCTTGAGACTGTCTCGCCATTTGCTTGGCCAGCCGTACGGCGCCATGTAGCCAGTTTCATGACTTGTGCGCACATGCACTATATACCTCCACCTACCCACCGAAGTAGAATCGGTAACCTACGCATCGACAGATGGTGGAGATCGTGACAGACAGTTTGCAGATTGCGCCTGTGTAGTTAACTATACGCCGGCGCGAGGTCTCAGGGGTTTGGCCCCCCAGCTCAGAGTTACCGGCTGTTAAGAGTGCAAAGCAGACGGTGTTTCGAGCAATGAATACATCCGCACCCCGGGCACCGACCTCGTCCGCTACTCGCAGGAAACGCCGAAAGGTTAGGGAGCTAGGGAGATGACGAGAGAGCACCAACGTCTCCCAGTCAGCCTCCAATAACGCAACGGATGGGGGCAAGAAGAAAGATGCTCTGCCGCTAACAGCAGCAAAACATTGGCCATCCCACCCTCTTACATACTATCACCCATCCTATCCGGCCTTCCGAACCGGCAATATAGGTATCTACAGGTTTGCTTATTGTAGCAACTGCTCGACTCGTCCCAACGGCCGCCATCACCTTTCGCACAACACTGGACTCCCCACTCCCCTTCTCCTCTTCTCCCTCCCCCTCTCCGCTCTCTACCTCTCTCGAAACTCTCTGGCGCAGAAAAGCACACAAGACGGAGGGAGCCGCAGCCTTCCGCGTGCCGGGCCTAGCGGGCCCGGGAGGAGGGGGGAGGGGGGGGGGATCTGGATCGTGTACATATGCAGCGGTCATATGCAGCTGGGCGTGGACGTGCGTGTGCTGTGTGCGCGTACGGCGAGTACGACGAGCTGGAGGATGCGTCGTCGGATCGGCAGATAGTCGCCGTTCTCGGGCCGTCGCGCAACAACGGCGTAGCATCCGTACGCGAGGTAACATGCGCCGCGCTGCCAACCGTGGTGTCCCCCGCTGAGTGCGGGGAGTAAGGGACAAATGGGACCGAAAACCCTTTATTTTCGGAAAGGATTCGATGTTGGTAGAGGCTCGCCGCGTGGGGCAGCAGTCCAAGTGAAAGTAAGTGGTTCGTTGGAGGTGGAGTGACGCGGACTCTCTTTAATGCTTCTCTCGAACACCTTGCTCCTCCATGCTCGAACACGGCTGTACCAAGCCCCTGTAAGTGGATAGATGAAATGAATAACCCTAAAGAATATGAGAACGATTGCCGTCGATGGGACGGGATAGGCTGCTGCTGGCCGAACTACCGACTGTTTCTGCGCAGCAGACATTCGTCCGTTTCCGCCCTATACCGACCTATCAATCCCTTTCCTCTCTTCTTAGTTTCAGTCCTTTGGTTAAGCCTTCATCTGACTCGTCGAGCTCAACTTATTGATGGATAGGGGAATGAGCCGCGGGAAGCAGAAAGACAATAGTTACCACCCCATGGGCGGCATTTGGTAATGGGGATGCCTGTCGTATTCACGCCGAATAAATGGCCCTCAAACTCTTGATAGGTCACTGAGCTTCTCATTCGTCTCTATGTAGCTTATGCACTTACGTACCCAGCGAGCAGCACGACACAGTATTTTAGCCCTTGTCGCCATACGCGTTGCCCCCTTTCTCTTAGCTGTACTGGCATCCTCACGTTATCGAGATTAGAATCTTGAGCCATGATCGATTTCTATTGCTTCCCTCATCGGGTCAAACACAGACACCTCCCGATTCGGTCATATGTGGTGGTTTCATGCTGCCGAAATTCGGAACTGCATGTCACTCGGTGTGTCTCCGTGAGATCCTCGACCAGGAACATATCTCGATAACACGGAACTGAATGCGATGAGCGCGGTGGATACGGTTCAACTGCGGCACCGGGTCTCGTCGTTTTGGTCTCCCAGTAGTCCCGCTATTCTCGAGGTCCCCCAGCCTTGACCTAAATGTGTCCTTCGACTCAGTGTTCTTCGACGCAAAGCCGGTTCCGATCTCGATAAATCGTCACTAATTGCGATAGGTGGCGCGGTCTTGTCCTGACCGGGCCCCGCGAGAAGCTATGCAGTGTCGGTGGTTAAGACGACGGCTCGGAAGATTCTAGTAGCGGCCGCTTGCATGCCGACATACCTAACCCACCGCGAGGACGTGGTCGAATGTGGTCGTTATTAGTCCGTCGACGAAAGGCAGGCTGAGACGTTGGGCGGGTATCGGCAGGCCTCGCGCTTCCGGACGCCCTTCATCTTCGCCATCTCGAAATGGCAGAGGTCACACAGAACCCGACGCGGGTCGCGGGCGCCGACGAGCGCGTCCTGGCAGAGGCCGACACCAAGTTTCCGGCACTCGCATTTGCAAGTTTTCTCGCTCATTTTTCGTCGATGAGGTTCGGGCTAACAACCTGCCGTCGAGGGGCTGCTCTCCAACGGCCTTGGTTTGTTTGTAGGCAAGGTGGTAAGCCAGATACCTCCTGAGTCGATGGCTGAGCTTTTACCCTCTCCGTTAAAGGGCCAGCGAAGCGTTGCCCTGAGACGTGTCACAACCCCTCTCCCATCAACTGACCGACTCTGACGTAGCGTTTCTTTGTGCCGGAAAGACATTACATATGACTAGTCAGCGGTCAGACCTCAAGCGCAGGGCCTTCCGCTCCGTAAATGGGATCTTTCTTGAACCACGGCACGTTTTCGATGCCCCGCACCTTTTCCTCCTCGCCCTCGACGCCGTAGCACTTCTCGTCCTTGTAGCCTCGAGAGAAAGCTATCACCATCAGGAATCCAGCATCGAGGTCCTTGTCCATCCGCTGGGCGACACCGGCGGGCACTATGAGGACGTCGCCCTTGACGGCGGTCACCTTGACCCCCCCTGGGTTGTCGTCGCCACCGAAGAGGAGGCGGGCCCTCCCGTTGGAGACGCACAGGACTTTGTGGCTGGTGGCGTGGAAGAATGTGCGGGGGAGCATAGTCCAGCGCGATTTAGGAAAGACGGCGCGGATCGCCTTGAGGTGCGACTCCATCTTCGAGGAGGAGGTGTCGCGGGGGAATACATGTCGGTAGTGTAGGAGAGGCTTGTTCTGGATGCTGGTGTTGGGGAAGAGATTATGCGCGGGGATGAAATAACGATTCACGACCAGCGACGATAGCGGCGTGAGCGCTAGTTTAACCTTGGGGCCCATGGACGGCTATGATGAATCGCACAAATCTGTCCGGATTTGTTGCGGTGTTGTGGGTGTAATTGAGAGCCCTCAGTATGCCTCAAGGGCGTATACTCATACCTAGATAGACGAATGGAGTGGATAAAAAAATTTTTTTTTTCCTTTCCTTTTTGGCTTCAGTTTAGTCGGCACCGCTATCACTCGGAATCGGGTTCGATGTCACAAAGGCACTTGCGATCTCCACTCCAGTTGCGTGTAAGTATGATGTACCTCCATCGCCTCGATTTCGCTGCACGGTTATACATTAATAGGCCTCAGATACGATGGGCTCAAAACGCGATACCTAAGTTGATTGATCTACCTAGCTCTATGAGTAGAGGTCGCTATGAGTGAGTGTCAGGTAGGGATAGAGGCCTGTCCCCGAGCTTGATTAGGGAGTTCTAGTCACGTGCTACTACCTAGTGTAGGGTACTTTAGTACAGACGCTTCCCATATCCCGTGTCACGTGTAAATATGGACGTCGGCATTCCCCCAGAGTCGTCTTATTCCCGACTCTTAGGCTAATGGCGCAAGCAAGCAACAGAGTACCGGACCTTTAGACCTCGAGACTCAAAGTCTCAACAAGGACTTATAGGTAGTTGCGGAATACCTATGCATCACCCGGGTGCCGTGGAGGCTCGTCTATTTTAAATACCTACCTACAGAGAGAGCAATTGCATGAGGTGATGGCCCACGCCCCTTGTATGACCGCCGCCTTCTGGCGACGATGATGTCACTCTCCGCTAGTTACACACATGACGTCGGCATTCAGATATCGACAAGGACAGTTTAAATACAGATTTCCCTCCATCCGTGATCCCCAGACTCTCGCCACCTTGTTTCCTTTCTGTTAGGGAATCTTAAATACTACCTATCTAAGAGACCAGCCTATCGAACCTCAGATCACTGTAACTTGGTCGATACGAGTGTTGCACGTCGCCGCTAAACTTGATAGTTGTTCGTCGAAGCCATCTTCGACCGCATTCCTCTCGAGTATCCCGAACACACCATAGTGAGCGTCAACCCGACGAGACGAGCCTAAATAAAACGAGCATGTCCTCCCACGAAGGCACCACCACTTCCACCGCCAATGCCGCGACCGCCAACCCCGGCCCTGCGAACCCGAACACCATCAGCCGCGTCACCACCTCTGGTGTTGTAGCGACGACAACAGACCCTACTGCCGCGCCGACTGCCAGCACGGCCGAGAAACTGCGGGGCGATGCTGTCGGAGCTGCCCGCGGCGTCGCAGGCAGTTTACAGGCGGTGGTGGGCGAGACGATACGCAACCACGATCTGGCGGCGAAGGGCTTCGCGAAAATGCGCGAGGAGGACGAACGGCTTGGCGTCGAGAGGGGAGTGTTGCCCGTCGGCGCGGAGCGCAGAAGGGAGGTCGGCGCCGGGGAGGCTACGGGAGCCGGATCGGGAGCCAGCGCGAGGAAACACGATGAATAGACGGAAAGAGTGCGATATGAAGGAGGATCGGAGTAGGTATAAGGTGGAGTAGGGGCGCAGGATTGGGTTTGCTTGAAACTAGCTCAACAAGCCACCTACATGCTTAGGTCTTAACTTGATGGGCGGGCCCAGCGATGCAAATTCAACGCGGACTGCAATTACACGTAGCTATAGCTATCTAGGTACTAACTCCCAGCCAGGGACACTCATGTACCTATAACGAAGGCATTGCCGACCGCATCGTCGCTCAACGAGGCAATCGGCAGCGCTCGGCTCGAGTATTCTTTAAAATCCCAACCCTGCTGCTACCCGCTTGTCGTCATCGTCAAGTTACGAGGTGCCGAAAAAGGAGGCGGAACCAACGCGTCGGGTTGAGTTTGCATCGGCGTTTTGACAAGCAGCTATCCGCTTGCAGTCTCGCATCATTGTTGGCCAACCCCGAACGGCCAAATTTGATTCGCGACGAGTATTTCCCGACGGCTCCGTGCCGGGATATAAGTCTAAATAAGAAATTTGGCCTCAACGAATCAGATCAGGCACAAACCTGGGACTGAGCGGGCTTGTGGTTTAGTGGTATAATACTCCCTTAGCATGGGAGTGGTCCGGGGTTCGATTCCCCGCGAGTCCATCAACTGGAGGTTAGATTCCTTCTGTACCACCGTTTCTTTTTCTCTTTTTCGCGTCCTCCTCCTTTTTGCCGGCTTGTATGGGCAAGAGGAAAATAAACCATAATTCTCACCCGCACGATTATTTCTAGTGCTGGCTGGGTTGTGATTTGGGCAGCATATAAAATTGGACTGCCCCGTATCAATAGATACATGCGCGCGTTCACTCTGATTGTCTTGGGAATATACCTATGTGTGGTAGCATGTGTGAGTACCCGAGTTGTAAGCCTTTCCCCCTCTTATGGGGGTCTGGATAGAGGGTAAGAGCATAAGCAGCATCGAGTGGACTCCGGAGCAGCAAAGTTCACCGGTCTGTCTTGTGCTGGTTTCAAGGATGTTCCGACGACATCGCTAGACATCGCGAAGACGAGCGGTCTCCGCAGACAGTACTACTATATAGTCGACAGCCAGGCGATGCATCCGACGAAGTCGAGTTTGCCGTATTCGGATCGCCAAGGGGTCAGTAGGTATGCGAAAGGCGGTGGTAAAGCCACAGTTGAGCCACCTGGCCGCTGTCAGAGCGACAACCAGACCTTGCCAAGGCCAAAGAGCGAGGAGATGAGAATTCACGTCGCCGTGGAAGTCTGTGGCTTGTCGAGTTCGTATTCGGGTTCACGACGCCAGACCGAGTACATGCTGGTACGTAGGTACGTAGTACGTGGTAGCTGACACGGAAGACCCCTGGTGCGGAGCGGCATGAAGAAATGCCACTAGACGGTACACACAGGTACCACGTAGCCCGCCAGCGGCGCAGGTACGACCCCTGCGCTAAGCGGTGCTAATGCAAGTTTGGGCACAGCTGATTGGTCGGAAGCGTAGCGGGAAGGGCAGCTCCGACCAATCGAAGACGGAAATTGCAAAATGGAAAATAAAATAAAATGCAAAATAAAAAAGGGTCGCGCCGGGGGTTGGTTTGCGCGTACCTGTACCCTGGAAAGCTGTCGCCGATAAGATTGCCAGCGACGGGAAAATAATTGCGTATAATAGGTAGACAGGCCATCCCGTCTTTCTCACCTGCTTCGTGTCGTTCCCCCCTATTCTTCGTGTGCTGATAACCTCCCCCTTCCACCCTCGTGTCGACAGGATCAGGATTGCCATTGCTTGGGACAGAGCCCTCTCTTGTTGCTCGCTGACCTATACTTTGCTATCACGGATACCCCTCTCTCACCATCGTCTCGCAAGCCCAATCCTCGATTCCGCCCCGACTCCTTTGACTCTACCGAACCCAAACAGCACAGCCGTTCCCGACCACCCTTCGACATGGCCTCCAAGGTCGCGCTGGAGAAGCAGGACAGAGCGCGTGATGCTGCCTTCAACCAGGCCATGCATGGCGATACTGCCCAGGTCAAGGGCGGCTTCCGTGCCATGGTCGGCAAGGGTGCCGATGCCCAGAAGGCTGCCGTCGACGAGTACTTCAAGCACTGGGACAACAAGGGCGCCGAGGATGAGACCGAAGCCGACCGCGCCAAGCGAACCGCTGAATACGCTACCTTGACGAGGCAGTACGTTATAGACCGGCCCATTTTGTTTCCTTTTTCTAATGTGACGAATAGTTACTACAACCTGGCTACCGACCTGTACGAGTACGGATGGGGCCAGTCCTTCCACTTCTGCCGCTACTCGATCGGCGAGACATTCTACCAAGCCATCTCCCGGCACGAACACTACCTGGCGCACCAGATTGGCATCAAGGAGGGTATGCGGGTGCTGGATGTCGGCTGCGGTGTCGGCGGACCCGCCCGCGAGATCGCCAAGTTCACCGGTTGCCACGTTACCGGTCTGAACAACAACGACTACCAGATCCAGCGCGCCACGCACTACGCCGCAAAGGAGGGCCTGTCAAGCCAATTGACCTTCGTCAAAGGCGACTTCATGGTGGGTCCCATCGCCCCAGGGCCCCAGTGCCCCGTTCCCCTCGCAAATCTATCGTATCGTAGCTGGGGCCGGCCCATAGTTTGCTAACCCGCCTGGCTGCCAACAGCAAATGGACTTCCCCGACAACTCGTTCGATGCCGTCTACGCCATCGAGGCCACGGTGCACGCGCCGAAGCTCGCCGGCGTCTACAGCGAGATCTTCCGCGTCCTGAAGCCGGGCGGCGTCTTCGGCGTGTACGAGTGGCTCATGACGGACGACTACGACAACGACAACCTCGAGCACCGCAAGATCCGGCTCGGCATCGAGCAGGGCGACGGCATCTCCAACATGGTGAAGATCTCGGAGGGCCTCGAGGCGATGAACGTCGCCGGGTTCAAGATGCTGCATCACGAGGACCTCGCCGATCGCCCCGATCCGATCCCGTGGTACTGGCCGCTGTGCGGCCAGTGGAAGTACATGCAGTCGGTATTCGACACGTTTACCATCGTGCGGATGACGTGGTGGGGTAGGCTGCTAGCACACAACTTTGCAGGGGCCCTGGAGATAGCGGGCCTAGCGCCTAAGGGCACGAAGAAGACGGCGGACAGCCTGGCCCTCGCGGCCGACTGTCTGGTTGCCGGGGCGGAGAAGCACCTGTTCACGCCGATGTACCTGATGGTAGGGCAGAAGCCGGCGCAATGACGCAGCGACGGTGCTGGCGCGGATAGAGGATAGCGAGAAGGGCGACGAGAGTGCTTAGCGAAGACGGCACCGTAATGAGTATATAGAAATTCGACATTAATGCCTGCTTAATATACCTACCTAATTGACACCTAGCTTTGGCAACTCTTTCTCTTTCCATTATCTCTCTTCTCTCTCTGTGTGTGTCCGGCCTGGAGAGGGGATGGATTTTGGACTGGTTCTGGCAGACTGTGCTTGCTTTACTGTACCGTACCCGGCATACTAAAACATAGCTTACTATACCAAGGCCAGATGCTTGCATGGCTGGATATATAATCGGTAGGAAGCCTGGTTGGAATATAGTTAGGGCTTCCCCCCACTGCCGCCGCTCAACGGCTGGGTGATACATTGCATTCGTGAAGGTCGCGTTTTAGATATCTTCTAGCTGTTGGGGGGCACCCATGGGCTGGGAAGTAGCCTATCTAGACCAATTCACAGACAGCGACCTGGCGAGTACCTAGGAACGAGACGGACGATGTTATCACGAGCATGCCTTAAGTGCCTATGTATGTGTATGGGCAGGCGAGGAGCATGTCTAATTCAGGAGAACTAGAATCGTCGGAAACCCCCAACGCAGGGAGATCCCCAGCCGCACCTCCGAGGCCACAGGGCTTGCTGTCGCCCGACGTGGTTCCTAGGTGAGGTCAGGCATGATAAGGGGGTTTAAATCAATACCTTAGGTAGCTTACCTTAGGCATAGGTAGGTACCTACCTAACTACCTAGGTACCTACCTATCTCTTAACCTCAGGTACCTAACCTACCTAAGGCTACAGTCCGGTCGGTACATGTGCCCCCGAAGGCACTGCGATAATGCGCAGGTGTCTTATCGGCGGCCACCGGTCGCGTATCTCAGGCACCCAAGCTCCGATATGGTCGGGCGTAGTACCCGCGCTAAGCTGCAACGAGCTTAGCGGCTGACCTCACCCCCAACAAGCTGTTCCTTATCCCTCAAATGAAAAAAAAAAAAAAGGTGGGATCGATTGTAATATAGTGAAAATCGCTCTTTCGACCCCCCCAAATAAATCCCCGTTGCCGGCCGAACAGCCCTACGGATAACCACCACCAAAACCACCTCAAAACGCGCCGTCCACCAGCCAGCTGCTCCCTCGTAGTCGGCCAAGGGAGTCTGCACCTCAAGCTAAGGTCACAAGTCGACGGCGACTCCGTCCTTCGCTCCCCCGTTGTCCTTCGTTGTCTTCTCAACTGCTCTATCTCTCTCGTCCGGACCTCCCTACCAACTCGGACTCACCATCCCTTGATACCCACTAGTCCGTCCGCCAAATATGTCGCGATACTTCCGTCCGGCAGCTCGACTAGCTGTCTCCGCCCGCGCCGCCGCCCAGGTGACTGCCGCCCCTCGAACTCTCCCCCGATTCTCCCCCGCCGCCTCTGCCCTCGCCGTCTCGCGTCAGCAGAGGAGGACATACGCCGATGCCAAGGGAACCAAGGAGTATACCGTCCGCGAGGCCCTCAATGAGGCCATGGCCGAGGAGCTCGAGGCCAACGACAAGGTATTCATCCTCGGCGAGGAGGTTGCCCAGTACAACGGCGCCTACAAGGTCACCAAGGGCCTGCTCGACCGCTTCGGCGACAAGCGGGTCATCGATACCCCCATCACCGAGAGCGGCTTCTGCGGTCTGGCCGTCGGTGCGGCGCTGAGCGGTCTGGCTCCCATAGTAAGTATTTTGTTTGTATTGTGCTACGTGGCCTGTTGTTATGCATATGTCTAGATACCGTACATGTCCTTCTTTCTTCTGTCTTTCCCCTCCTACCTTCTACCCTTACCACGTCACAACAAGATTACGCCAAGCCGGCGGGAATATGGGGAGAAATATAGGAAGACGGAAAAAAAGGGGCGGTTGACCGACCAGGAAGAACATGACAAGGGTTAAATAAAAGAAAAGTCAGCAATATCTAACCGTCGGCGGCGTTTCTAGTGTGAATTCATGACCTTCAACTTCGCCATGCAGGCCATCGACCAGGTCGTCAACAGCGCGGCCAAGACGCTCTACATGTCGGGCGGCATCCAGCCCTGCAACATCACCTTCCGCGGGCCGAACGGGTTCGCGGCCGGCGTCGCGGCGCAGCACTCGCAGGACTACAGCGCCTGGTACGGGTCCATCCCGGGCCTGAAGGTGGTGTCGCCGTGGTCGGCCGAGGACGCGAAGGGCCTGCTCAAGGCGGCGATCCGGGACCCGAACCCGGTGGTGGTGCTGGAGAACGAGCTGATGTACGGGGTGTCGTTCCCGATGTCGGAGGCGGCGCAGCGCGACGACTTCGTGCTGCCGTTCGGCAAGGCCAAGGTGGAGCGGGCCGGGTCGGACCTGACGATCGTGTCGCTGTCGCGGACGGTGGGGCAGTGCGTGGCGGCGGCCGAGGGGCTGAAGCGCAAGTACGGCGTCGAGGCCGAGGTGATCAACCTGCGGTCGGTGAAGCCGCTCGACGTGGAGGCGATCGTGCGGTCGGTCAAGAAGACGCGCCGCCTGCTGTCGGTCGAGTCGGGCTTCCCCTTCGCCGGCATGGGGGCCGAGATCCTGGCCGTCGCGATGGAGTACGCGTTCGACTACCTCGACGCGCCCGCCCAGCGCATCACCGGCGCCGAGGTGCCCACGCCCTACGCCCAGGGCCTCGAGCAGATGAGCTTCCCGACCGAGCAGCTCATCGAGGACTACGCCGCCAAGCTGTTGCGGGTATGAAGTAGGCAAGGGAGGGGGGCAGAAGGGGGGTTCCCGGGACGGTCTGCTAGCCCCGACCGGACATACTTTGGAAAAGGACGGGACGGGGCGGGGCAGGGCGGATAGGAGACGGCGACATAGATGGGGGCAAGGAGAGAGGGAGGAGGGGTGGGGTTACCGGCGCTGGGATACGGACTGAATAGAGTGGGTGACGGAATAGACGACAATGATGACGACGAGGCGGCCCGAGGAGAGGGAATTGGTGAAGGGGGAGGGATCTTACGGCGGCAAGGACGGGGGAAAGGGGAAAGGGGAAAGGAGGAGGGGGATCAAGGGCGGCGGGGATACGAGGTACGACGACGGACGGACGGACGGACTGGCTCTGTACGATACTACTAATTCTATTACTTGCCCTGCCTACCTACCTCTATGTCTCCTGCTTTGCTCACCCTCCCTCTGCCTAATCGTGCTAACGTCTGTCTTCCCTCCCTCCTGGCGCTACGCCGCGCTACCCGTACGGCGTCCGCCCGGTGGCGTGGCGGGGCGGCGTGGCGGGGCGGGGGGAACTAGTGTTTTACTCTTGTCTGTCCCTTTTCTTCTTTTTTCTCGAGTCCCTTCTCTTTTGTTTCTACTAGTTCCTTCCCGCCGCCCACGCACCCACCCGCGTCTCCCTCCCGCAGCCTTTCTTTCTTTCTTTCTTTCTTTTTTTATCAGGCTTTTTTTCTTTCTTTTTTCTTTTTTTTTTTCCTTCGTGTGGAGCGAGGAGCGGGACGGGGTCTCTGGGGCAGCAGCAGCGGAGGACGTGTGCGCGTTGCGGGATAGGGAGGGAGACGAGGACGGGGCGGGCTGGATGGCGGCGTAGGGTGCGCGAGCCGCCTGCGCGTGTGTGCGGGGACGGGGTAGGTATATTGGGCTGGGCGCGGGGGGTGCGGGGGTTTGAGCCGGGCGGCGCGAGGCGAGGCAGGGTAGGTCGGAGTATTTGCGCGGAATGAGGCGGGAAGGGACGGGGACGGGAACGGGATCGGGTCGGGCGGATGGGTCCGCACTCTGCTTCCGAGCGGACCGACGCGATGGAGGGGACGGGAGGGGAGGAAGGGGGGGGGGGGGGGCGGAGCACCCTACGTTCCACGTGGCCTTGCACCCGGAGGCGGGAGGGCAGAGGGGGACCGTAGCTCGCCCGCGCGTGTAGGGATGGAATGGGATGGGATGGGATGGACCGAGCCGGCGCGACTCGTCGCCTCCTGTCACACCTACCTAGCCTGGGAGAGAGGGAGGGCAGGGGGCATGAGAGGGGGAGGGCACCGTGCGGCGGGCTATCCCTGCCGGCGAGAAGGCCGAAGCGAAGGGGCCCCGAAGCAGCAGGCGAGAGAGCCTCATCAGTTGCGAGAGAGAGAGAGAGAGAGAAAGAGAGAAAGAGGGGAAGAAAAGGTGTGAGGGGGAGCTAGAGGGAGGGGGGAGGGTCGCATGCAGACGCGCATATACGGGTAGGATAGCCAGAGGAGGGAGGCGAAGCGAGGCGAGGGGAAGGGGGGGGGAAAGCATGAACAGGCTCGCGGAACTCGCAGGTATCCACGGGACCCGTAGATGCGCACGATGTGGGTGTGACGTGTAGGTAGATAGATAGTCTCACGCACTTCTCGTCCTCGCGCGCATGGATGTTGCAGGTGTATGTATGTATGTGTGTGTATGTAGGTGTGTGTGTGTGTGTGTGTGGGTGGGTGGGTGACTTGTGTGTGAGAGAGCCGGGAGTGGGAGCCGGCGGAGGGGGGACGACGAGCAGGTGAGCGACGCGTGCCGGCGACAGACAAGTCGACAGACATACCTACATACGCCCCGTCGCACGCATAACACGGATATATATACCTACAGCCTGCGCATGCCGCGGCCAGGATCGTCGCTGGTGCTGCCGACGGCACGGCCGATGCGATGGCGCCCGCTGGCGCTTCCTTCCTAACGCAGCCGTGATGTGGTATCGCGGCGCGGATATATGTCTACATATATATATATATACCAGCCGGGGCAAGACTATGAGTAGGGGGTGAGGCGGAGGAGGACGGGCAGGGGGCGGGGACTAGCGACGGAATGGGCTGCGGCTTCACCGCGGCCCAGGCGGGCATCGCAGCAGCGGCTAGCGGTGCACATCGTACGTGTATGTTGGCGAGAGTCAACAAGCTATAACTAGGGGTGTGTGCGGCAGGTTCTTATGTAGGTAGGTGTGTTGGTTACGGGCCACGGGTCCCTGGCCAGCAAGAGACGGGTAGGTAGGTTTATTCTGGCGGGCGGGCCGATCCGGTCTCTCTCAAAGCCAAGCCGAAGGAGAGAACCAACTGCCACTGGGACAGACTGCGAACGTACCTAAGTCGAGGAAATAGAGGAGGCGTATCCGCGATCTGGGTATTTACGTGGGGACGGTATGCTGCGCATGCATGTAAGCACTATATGTAGGTATATGTAGGCTCTGTATGTAGGTTCTGTATGTGGGTGTATGCATGCGCTGTGTTATGTGTTGAATGCAACCGAAAGGTGGGAAAAGTCTCCGCTGACCGCCTCCTCTTGCTTCGGTCTCTGCATCCATAACCGACAAGAGAGACAAGAGACGAGAGACAGACGGGGCAGACAGACACACAGAGAGAAAACTACCGACGAATAATGCATCGTGGTCGGTCCGCCCGTCCATTCGACCCCGGCCCCTTTGCGGGGTCCCCCCCCTCTCCCCCCTGGACCGGTCCACTCTACTGGACCCGGTTTCTGCGTCGTCGGTACGGGAGGAAGAACGTAGGGACACACACACACTCACACGTATCCGTCCATGAAGTCGCTGGAAAGTCTAGGATGAGAGATACCTAGCAGTCAGATAAGATAGCCGGCATGGCCAATTATCGCCGTTATATTCTATCTACGTTTATACGTATCTGCGGAGGAGAGTGGGCGTAGGGGACGGGGGAAAGAAAAAAGGAAAAGACCGGGAGGAGGGAGACAGCTGAGGCGTGGGACGAGGAGGGGGTGCGGCGGGGAGACGAGAAGAAGCGGAAGAAGAAGAGGGGGACCATCCAGCCAGCCATCCATCCACCTCAGCATTCTACAAGGTAACCAGTGGCTTGGCCGGCTCAGGCCTCGGAGTCCTAGCAACTATTATCTGCCAGTGATCGAAGGGGTTCCCTTTAGTGCCTGGTCTCCGCGCTCTGCCCCTGAACGATAGGACGGGACCTTACCTATTACAACAACGACAACAACAACACTACAACACCCTGTCTGCAGACTCGCCTACGGCAGCGAGCACCGCATATATTACATATATGTACGCCTACTTACCTACCTACATATATATACTACCTGCATAGGTATGACAGGGCCCTTACCGGATGAGGCCGGGTGGGACGGGACGGCAACATGCACATCGACCGATGGGATGGGATTGACGAGACGCGCGCGATGCTACTAGGACGAAATGCATCGCTACCTACCTTACCTAGTTGCCACTTAGGTACCATGCCATACCATACCATACCATACCATACTTGCACCTTACGGCAATCCCTCTTGGCTTGGTCTGAGGGGAGGGGAGGGGACCGAGGGACCCGCGCCTAACGAGCCTCGGGCGTCTTCTCTTTTCGCTGGCCGAAGCGAGAATTGCAACGCGAACGAGATAAGAACGGATGCCCGCCGAGGAGCCAAGTCAGTTCGAGCTGCCGTTAGTCTCTTGGCCCCCTCCCCTCTGCCTACTATGTAATTTTTTTTAAATAAAAAAAACACACTTGACCTGGTTTCGCCTTACTATATACCACTTCGCCGCTTTCCTCTTCCCGCAAACTTGCTTGCTTCCAGTTTGCCTCTTTTTGGTTTTATTTTTTGGGAATTCTTTTTTTTATTTTTTTTTTCTTGCGATTTGCTCCTCGTCCGGTTGCTCTCCGATCCAGCACGCCGCCGTTTCCCCTCATCCGTCCTACTCCGTGCCTCGGTGTCGTGCGCAACCATCCTCCATAGAGGGAGAGAGGGAGATATAGCTATTACCTATATCTGCCGGATGGTCTGGTGAGAAGCCAAGAGAGCACCCAGAGCCCTTCCAACTGAGGTATTTAAATCCCGTCTTCGTCGCCGTCATCTCGCCCACCTCGCCCTCCCGACTCCCGGGTTCGTCTTCCCTCCCTACTTTTCGCGCCGGTATACGTATTTGTGTCTGTGTACCTGGTCGTGTCCGGACCCGTCTGTAGAAGCTACCGGAAAAGGGGGGACCGCGCGGGACGGGACCTTACATGAGTATTAGACCGGACCCGAACTAAGTAGAGCCGCGCCGCGCCGGGCTGGGCTGAGCCGGGCTGGAGAGAGGTAGCATTTATATCCGTATCCGTGGATAGCTAACTCACCTACCCGAGCCGGGCTTCTCACTAATTTACTCGCTGCTTATCTTAGCTGCCATGGCGGACCAACCCAGCACCTCCTCCGCCCCCCCAGCTGCCGCCCCAGCTACCGCCCCAGCTTCCGCTCCGGCCGCCGCTTCAGCCGCCGCTCCAGCTGCTGACGTAGCCGCTGCTGCCACTTCCACTCCCGCCGCCGCCGCCGCCGCCGCCGCCGTCGTGAGCCCCAGCTCCCAGCTCCCCGCAGAGCCCGCAGCGATCATCGCCGCTCCAGACCCGGAAAATGAGGTACGGAAAAGGGTGCCGAGCAAAAGAAAACCTCCCCCAACCCAAAAACCCAGGATGAGAGGGAGGAAGCCCAACCCGTCGTCACCCCTGCTATCAACCAGCCACAGCCTGCAGGGCGAAGAGGTGGGGAAGAAACAGGGGTGCCAATGGGCACTTCGGGATGGGCGAGTTGCTCTTGGGGCTGCGCCGGCGCTGTTGGCAACCGATAGTTGAGATGGCGATCGAAAACGTTGCGGCGCATGTCTTGCCCAACGTGAAATAGTTCCCTCCCACTAACCGCTTCGTTCCAACGCGCAGGGCGACGACGACGACGGCACCGATGCCGACTCCGCACTCGGCGAAGATGCGTCAGTAGACCCTTTCCGTACCACCTGCATGCCGTCCGGCATCCCGGCCCCACCTCTTCCGCCGGCCATCTCCGTCGCGATAGAAATAAACTATGAGCATAGCGAGAGGATCGGGGATGCCGGCAACCCGCCCCTATCCTTCTGCGCTGCACGGGATAGGGGGTGGCAAGAGAAGAGGGGAGGGAGCGTCTAAGGCAGGGAGCATCGCTAACACCCACCGCAGCGCGAGCTCCACCAACTCCATCACGGCGAGCATCATGGAGTACCGCACCATCCAAGGCCGGACGTACCACAGCGAGAAGCACAACTCCAAGTACTTCACGCCCAACGACGAGCAGCAGCTGCAGTCCGTCGACATCACGTACGTTTTCCCCTGAACCCTTATCCCCCCGGGGCCCGGCCAGTCGTCAACGCCGACGCCATACCGAAGCGCTGCTAGCGGCCAGGTGGGACGGCGGGCGTGGACGGGTCTGCGATGGGGTCTCAGGACCGGGCAGCTTCTAACTTCGTCGCCGCTTGATGCCGAAAAAAACCCCAATAGTCACCATTACCTTACCGTGCTGTGCGAGGATAAGCTGTTCCTGGCACCTATCCCGGATGACGTCCAGGTTTGTTCCCGGAAAGAGGGGAGAGAAAAAAAAAATATCGGAGGAAAAGGAGAAGTGCTGACGAGAGTGCTCCATCAGAAAGTCCTAGACATCGGGACTGGATCCGGTGAGTGCCAGATGCGTCATTCCATTCCCCCGAGACGAGGCTAACAACCCCTCCTCCCCTTTCTCTAGGAATTTGGGCCATGTAAGTGACGCACCCACACCCACCACAACAAGACAGCCGCTCGTTCGGCGCGGCCAAGCAGACGCTTACTTGTTTGCACGCGCAGCGACTTCGCGGACCAGTACCCGAACGCGGAGGTGATCGGGACGGACCTGTCGCCGACGCAGCCGCTGTGGGTGCCGCCGAACGTCAAGTTCGAGCTGGACGACTGCACGCAGCCGTGGACGTGGGCGGAGGACAGCTTCGACTTCGTGCACATGCGGTACCTGTTCGGGGCGGTGACGGACTGGGACGAGCTGCTGCGGCAGGCGTACCGCGTCACCACCCCGGGCGGCTGGGTGCAGTCGTGCGAGGCCGAGGTCGAGATCCTCAGCGACGACGGCACCGTCCTGCCCGACAGCGCCTACAACCAGTTCTGGAACATGCTCTACCGCGAGGCCACCGCCAAGGTCGGCGTGCCCTTCCAGGTCCTCTCCGACGACCTCCAGCGCCGCGCCTTCGAGGAGGCCGGCTTCGAGGACATCACCATCCGCGACTACAAGTTCCCCGTCGGCGGCTGGCCCCAGGACCGCCGCCTCGCCGAGGTCGGCCAGTACGTGCAGCTGACCATGCTCAACGACGTCGAAGGTGAGCTCCAAACCCCCCTCTCTATCTCGCGCAAGCGCACACCCGCAAAGGCTCGCTGCTGACCGCGCTCGCCCCCAAAAGGCTACACGCTCTTCCTGTGGAGCCAGGTGATGGGCGAGAACGCGCCGGGCTACCAGGAGTACCTGGCGGTGATGCGGCGCGAGCTGCGCAACCGCAAGATCCACGGGTACATGCGCACGCGGTATGTCTACGGGCGGAAGCCCAAGGCCGCGTAGGTAAGTCGCCCGGCCCTCCCCCCACACCCACCCGCACGCGCAGACGTGTACGGATTCGCGGGTGAGCGAGGGAGGGACGAACGAAGCCGAGGTGGACAAGGAGGAGGAGGAGGAGGCGAGGAAATTTTTTCATGCGTATATGAGCGAGCGAGCGAGCGAGCAAACGCAACGGATGCGCGGACGGGCGAGCGAACGACGACGGGTGGCTGCCTTTTCCCCCTCTCCCTAAGGTGTAAATAGCGCGGGAGCATCGGCGGCAGCGGGTTAGGTAGTTTAACGAGCCGGGTACGCGTGCGAGCCAGGGCCAAAACGGGGGAGGCCCTGGGCACGGATATCCCTCCCCCTTTTTTTTCCCCCCCGATCTTACTTGCTCCCAACGCACCCCCTTTTTTGCATCTCTCTCTCTCTCTCCCTCTCTCTCTCTGCATTCCTTGCCCAGCGCGTCGAGGATTGCCCTCCGCGGCTGTCTGCCGGCGCGTGGCGTCGCGCGTTGCCGCGGGAAGCGGAAGCAGGGACCTTGGGAAGCCAAACCCAGCGCGGGTTCGTTTTCCCCGGCTCGTGTCGGTGCGTCAGTCCGCGATCTAGATCGTGATTGCTTTTTCCATCGTCTTGGTTCTTTTCTTTTTTTCCCTCCCCCTGCCTTTGCTTACGGCCAAGCGATCGCCGTCTACCCAGCCTGGCTATAATACCGTAGACATGCAGCATCTGGAGGAGGGAAAGGGGGGGGGGGAAGGGGGGCACGGGGGTCTTATATTCCCTTCCCCGCCTCCCCGCCGCTTACGAGGCACAGCCGTGGCGGTGGCTGTCCGAGGCCGCGGCACCACCCGCCGCAAGCCCGAGCCGAGGACCTGGCTACAGGTAGGTAGGTAAGTAGGTCATATCCCGGGCGCGGCGGCGCGCCACTGGCGAGGCCTGCAGGTGAGACGGGGGGGGGGGGGGGGGGCAGACCAGGCCAGGCCAACTACACCGCCCATGCCGCGGGTTGTTGTTGCTGCAGCGCCGGCAGTAGCTAGTAATGCCGTCTCGACGTATAGCCTAATGCTCAACCCGGATTCGCAACGGCTCTCGTATTTGTGCTCAGGCTCGCCCCCTGCTCCCTTGTCCCTGCTCGGCGAACCAACCCCATTTCCGTAGACGGTCTCTCTAAGACCTCTGCCCCCCCCTCTTACCCCCTCAAGGACGAAGAGCTGATGGTGCAATTCCCGGGTCTCACATACCTATGTACCTATGTATGAGTAAATACGCGTTCCCACATCCCAGCGAGACAGCGCCCGCCTTCCCCCCCCCCCCCCCCCCCCGGGGGGTTCCGGGTGCACCCGGGTCGAGCCCTGGGGGGAGAGTCCACTCAGCGTTTCACTGTGTGGGAGTGGGAAGAGGGAAGAGAGAGGGGGGGGGGGGCAATGAGACCAGGCGCCGGGTCGTACGACATCGCGAGACCATCGTGCTGGCCTCGGCGCAGCGGATCTGCCTTGCGTCGCTGTCCTGCCTGCCTGCCTGCCGCGGTATGTCTGCCCTTAGTAGAGTAGAGCGTCGGCCAGCAGACGTGCGTGCCGCTACTAGAGAGAGAGAGAAGAGAGAGGGATACGGGTAGGCTCGGAGCATCGCCCCGGGACGGGCCGTGCTAGCTAGCGTAGGTAGCAGCAGCCTCTTGTCTGCCTGCGTGCCTTTCCGCGTCCCTGATGCCGCCGCGCCCAGTGGCACCTCCCTTGCCTCCTAGCCCGCTACAGGCCGTCGGGCATGCGCGTGTGCGCGCGCGAGAGAGAGAGACAGCGTCCGTCACCGCCGCCTCCCGTTCCCAACTGAGCACCGGCAGGCAGGCAGGCTGGAGGCTGACGCGTCAGTGTCGGCCGCGCGGCGCAAAAGGCGAGGAGGTCAGGATGCCTTCTCTCGGTCCCTCGCGCCCGTCTCGTGAGCTTTTCGTCCTCTCGCGTTGCCCTTCGTTGGGGAAATATTGTGTCATGGTAGCGTAGCTGGGAATGCTGTATCCATGCAAACAGCGCAGCGGCTGTCTGGCTGCAGCTGATAGAATAGCACATGTCGGAGGGTTGGTTCACCAAGTTTGATGGAGTTGACCAGTATCGGCGAGAAGAAACCCAACAGTGTAGGGATGGTTATACACGCGATGCTAAGAAGGCATCTTCAGTCTCTTCCTCACCCTAGCCAGGCGTTGCCGTGGATAGGAGAGAATCGAGATACGATAGGACTGCCGTGTACGGAGCAGAGAGTATAGAATCTAGCGTAGAGAAATGGAAATAGTATTCAGACGGTTTACCCAAACTAGGCATCGTGGGTATACGGATAACAGCGCTCTGAGATTTCGTAAACAGATTTCGAACTTGTATAAATATGAGACGGAGGTCCTAGACAGACAACGCGTAGTTCGTTCCCCTCGTTACCCGTCTAACTAGCGCTCACCACCTCGCCACCCATCCCGTTATTTCCGAGGCTAGAGAAACCGCCGGACTGTGCAACTCCGTACCCGCTCGCGCCGTCGCGGAAACCCATCCCGTCGTAGTTGCGCGGGACCGCGGCCGCGGCCGCTGCCGCTGCCGCTTCCATGCCGTTCGCCGCGCGCCGGCCCCGCGCGGCCGCCGTGCGGTCCACGAGGTCGATCGCCTTGGCGAGCACCTCCCGGTCCTTCTGGAACGTGAGCCGGCCGACGGCAGCGTCGCACCGCGCGAACTCGGCCCGGAACTGCGGCTCGCCCTCGCCGACCACGCCGCCGAACTCGGCGACAAACCACCAGACCAGCTTGACTCTGCTCCGATGCGCCGAGTTCGCCTCCCCGCGATCTAGGTCCCGGACGTCCAGCATGAAGGCCTCCGTGAGGCTGTCGTAGGTCCGTGGCGTGTCCTCCACGTCGGCCGGCTCGAGCTCCGACGGCGCGCGCGTGGCCATGGTGACTGGGAGCGGCCGGATCGCGCAGCCCGACTCCTCGCGAACTTCGCGGATCGCCGCGGCGATCCGAGATTCCCTGCAGTTCCGTCTCCCCTTGGGGAGAACCCATTCGTCCGACTCCGCGTCGTAGAGGAGGAGAACCTGCTTCGGCTCAGTGGAGGTGTCGAACACGACGGCCCCGCATGCCTCGACAAATTGCTCCGAGGAATAGAGCGTGCTTTTCCACCATGAATCTGCCATCGGATTTTGTCGAGAGAGAGAAGTATGCAGGTAGCCGAGGAACGATCTTGTGAGAGCCGCGGCGGAGATAACCTTCGACTGACAGTGTCTCGCAAGGTATTCGGTTGGAAAGCCGCACGGGGTGAGGCAACCCAGACTAACATTTGAGGAGAGGGTCCACAAGCCAGCTCGACCCTAGGTATAGGCCGAGAGCGTCGCAAAGGAAGAGGAGTTCGGGTCAATACAGAGCGGGTTCACCGTTCCCCACGGGCAGGCTAGGTCGTCTAATCCTAGACGGTATCGTGCGACGTTGCTCACCTACCTAGACAACTGTTGCGCCGCCAGCAAGACGTATTCATGCAATACAATGCGGACAATGCGGATCGAACTGCGGGCTCTTACCGGGCTAGCCGGCGACGCCTCTCAGTGCCGCCACATTGAGAAATGGCACGGGTAGCACACCGACCATAATGCTTAGTGCGTCGTCGCGTGTATGGGGCCGAGCGAGGCCGGGAGCGGACATTAGTAGCCACTTGAAAGGTGTATCAACGATTGTACATACGAAGGGCGCTTGGCACCAACGACGTTGCTAGGTAAGAACCTGCTACCCGTGCATGCGATCAAGAAAATTGGGATACCCTGGACCCTTGTTAGCAAGGTAATATTGGACCAAAGCCGCCTATGTGTGTATTCAGCTAGTGAAGAGGGCCATACCCAACAGGATAGGGGGGTGGGCAAGAGGAGAAGCGGGCGAAAAAAAAAGAAAAGAAAAGAAAAAAAAGGAAAAGAAAGGAGAGGCGCATATACGGATGTTGACGAGGTGATATATATGCTTGGCGGGCGATATATAAATAGCACGAGTTAAGTTCTATGACTCCGGCGCCATTTGTCACTTCTCGCCATCTCTCGTACTCTCTCAGTCGAGGTCGTCGGCGGCGATGCCAATGCTACTCGCATCGCATTGCCGAATGGCAGCGGAGCCAGCCGCAGGTGGATGCGGGGAGCAATTACGTCAGGCGTCAGCACCAACGTCGGCGTCGAGAGAGACGTTGGGGTGGATCCGATCGGGTCTAGGTTCTAGGTCGCAATTTGGTAAAGCTGCCACTGCGACGGCGTGATAGCAAAGTCGAGAGACGCCGGAGCGGCACGGAAAACAAAGCCACTGATTCGTCTAACGGCTGTATGTCCCAAACCCGAGCCCAAAGGGAGAAGCAGACGGTAGACGGGTGCGTAGTAGCGGAGCCAATACCGTCCACGGCCGAGGTGATTCGTCTCGATGTCCAGAGGAGCCCCCTCTTCCGCTCCCCTTCTCTTCTTGGCTCGCTACACGGGAGCGGAGAAGGAGAGGAGGAGTCGATAACGACACGACAAGTCGGGTCGGTCACGGTTGACATGTCAGGCCAACTATCGATAACCATGGGCACGCTCTCGGGTTGTCGCGGGAGCAGCGCGGACGCACAGGCGGAGATGGGGATACGGGGAAGAGACGTACAGACATGCATGCCTACGCGCATAGAGACATGGAACCCGAGCTCAGCTTGGGCCAGGTCAGTACCCTATCACGTACGTAGGTAGAGCGGCAGATGGGAGCGCGGCGGGGGTTCTGTGACGCGAAGCGCGCAACCCAAGCCTGTCCTTGTCCACAGGGGCGGTATGGGTTGGGGGGACCCCTGGCGCCCATCACTCTACTCCATCCAACCACGTCTCGCCGGCTTGAGAGACATGTGAAAGCTAGTGTACTCGCACACCAACACCACCTGGGAGATTCCGGCCTCGTATGCGTCGTAGTGGCAGCGCCTGACTCTCTTGCGGGATACCATTATTGGGACTTGTCTCGGGTGATGAGGGGGGAGGGGGGGTTAGGAGGGGAGAAGAAGGAAAGATAGAGAGAAACACGATAAGAGAGGAGGGGGAAGGGGGGTCAAATGACCAGCGTGGTGGGAGAGGCATGATCACCCAATCTCCCCTTCTTGGTGGATGGTTGTCTCGAAGGGGAAGAGAGAGGGACGGCAGCCAAGAGGCAGCGGTTGCGAGAAAATGGGACGGACGGAAATAGTAGCGCCCGATGCGACGGTAGCTCTCTGTCTTAATCGTAAAATGCTATGTGGACATCCTGTGTACTAATCAGCCAGGCTCGAGAGGGTATATGGCTTCTGACCTCCATTGCCTTGGCTTACAGAGGACCTTGGGTACTGCTATCCCTCCCTCCGCAGCCTTACTTCGGGCGCATCCAGGGACACTACCAGAAATAGGTGCTCACCGCGTATATCTAGCACAATTACGTCCACCTCATATACCTACCTAACCTTGCCTTCCGAAGGTAGGTATACCAGGTTGAAGGTATGGGGTGACCGAATTGACCCTAGGTTCGCCGTCCTACACACGCACACACCTCTCTCACCTCGCATGGCTCACCTTTATCCTCGCTCGGCACACTTCACCAACGCTACTTGGGTGCACTGCCGATGCCATCCCACGTTCACGCTCGCCCGAATCGGTTTAGCGCGGATCTGGACGTGTTGGGTCGGCTTCCCCCCAAGTTGGCGACCTCTGATCTACGCCTCTGTTCTACCCTACCTCGACCGCGGGCATGGGAGGGGGCGCAGGAGGCAGGAAGCTAGGGAGACAGGGGTGCCGGTGATGATCATGCGGATGGACTGTGCGAGGTTCGCCGGCGATAGTTGGATTGGGGATGTCAGGAATATGAGTATGGCGAATGTACCAAGACGGTCCAGGTGTGGGTGGTGTGTGTAGTGTGTGTGTGGTGTAAGCAGCACCTATGGGAGTGGGTGTGTGTAGATGACGAATCCGTAGGCATGACTGGTGACGGTGGCTCATATGACTGATACTTCCGATAGCCGCAAGAGGGACGGCGATGGTTGTCGAGCTAGATAACTCCCTGCCTGCTTAACTTGCCCAATCTATCTCGGGTATGTATACACGCAATAGGCATGTATCGAACGGTATCGTGTATACCCAGCACAGACCTGCCTAAGATAGATAGGTAGATGGGTAGGTAGGTAGGTAGGCGTGTAGGTGCTACCGAATTAGTTGAGGCAGGCCGGCAAAGGACGTGCCTAAATAAGAAACACAATCGAATGGCATCAGTACCTACCATCCATGTGGTTGGAACTCGTGAGAATTCATCTTCTAACCGGACCCGGCCAGGGCCACCGTCTGCCTTAGGTACCTCTCACCATAGGCACCAGAGGCATTCTCAATGCGCTGGCTGTCGCCCTGCCTACCTGTCTCTGTCTCTGTCACCCCCCTCCCCCCTCCTCTCTCGCCTTTAGGCACCGGCAAGCATGTATTTGCGTTCGATCGATTGACTTAGGTAGTCGTGCTTGTCGACACATGTCGACGCATACACACTGACGCACACAGTGCCCTCTCGGCATTCGAAAACATGAAGAGCCACCCGCCACCCCCAAATTGAGCGAGGCAGCCAATATCGGATAGATGGGTCTCGAAGACGTGCCGTGCTTGGTGCTCGACCCTCTTCTCTGGCTATGTGTTGCTCGCTAAGAGCGAACGAGCAATCACGTCGGCAATTGGGCCTCAATTGGCCAACGAATAGCTTTCCGGGGCCAATTGCACGATACGGGTAGATATGCTCTGGCCCGATAAACAGGTGGTTGGTCTGACTTACTCGACTGACTTGTTTTGTATCCACGTACGGAGCAACCGGTGGATCGTCGCAAGCGTCGACGGCCGAGGATGCGCGTTCAATTGAACTTGGCCGCGGTCAATTGAGCTCGATCCCAACGCACGGATCCGCGGGCGTAGTTCGCTTTGCAATGGAGAGGGCGTAGGCGTCGCCCCTTCGTCTGCAAGAAGAGACGGAACCGGCAATTGGCCTTAGCTAGGGTAGCGACAGCGGTGCCTGCGAAGAATCGCCGCAGAGGCCCAGGCGGTTTTTGCCTGTGGTTCGAGCCTGGTCACCCTGTGGCGAAGCGCAATCTCGCAAAGTATCCCCGTTGCCTTCTGTCTCTCTCTCTCTCTCCACCCTTCTCGAATAAGCCGAAGAAGGTAGGTAGTGTAGGAATCTAGGCTGGCGTACTGACGGGCACGACCGCACGACCAGCGCTTGCGGGCCTTATGAGCTTTTTTTTTTTCCTTGCACTGTTTTACGCACGCACACGCACACGCACGCAGTGGACTCTCGTAGTGTAGCTCGGGTGCTTTCGGAGCCGCGTAACTCAGGCCCTCGCCACCATACTGTCATACGTTAACGATGAGGAGTTTAAGAGCGAGGCTCGTAATCCGATAGCAAAGGGCGGGCCGGGGTAATTCGATAGCTTCGTCCGTCGAAATGCTCCGGATGCGTCGGGGGAAAGGCTTGGATAGATGGGCAGGTACTTGAAATATTCCCTCGGTGATCTTACGAGGTAGGTTATGTATTACCACCCAGGCAGTTGTAGCACCGGCAGCACCAGCAGCGCCGGTAGCAGAAATAGGCTTAGGCGGTTGGATATTAAGTCCGTTGAAGTCCGAGGGCGGGAGACGGGACAATGTTGTGTGTATGTAGGTCACCCAGAACGGTCACCGTGGATGATGCCGCTATTATCGCGGGAGGATGAGGGTGTGCTCCACAGAATTGGAGTCAGAGGGCGTTAGGCACCGGAACATCGTCAGCATTGTCCCACGGTGCGTGTAAACGGTTGACGGGGGGAGGGGGAGAGAGGAGAGAATTATGGATTGTGCACTCTTGGATGCGGCCATGTGTGCGTGGGTGATGTGTAGGCGTGTGCCATCGACGACGTGTTCCATGACTCCAGGACCTGGAAGGGGATAGGTAGGCATGTAGTAGCGTAGAGCGATTTGCAGCTCTGACTATGGACCCATGACAACATTAAGCATGGCGAGGTTGTCGGGGTATAGCGGGTACCACCCGCTAATACCCCTAACCCAAGGTACCTAGATACCTGAAAGTACCTACCTACCTCTTCGTTTCGACGGATCTCTGGGTTCCTCTAGCCTAGGCCCACCAGATTGGATTTGTGAGCAAGTCCGATCTGTCTGTGCCAGCAAGCCTATGGAGTACACCACCCACGACGCACCCAATTACCAGGTACCCCCTATGTACCCATATCATACTCTAATTGTATATCCACGCGGTGCCTCAGACAGTGGGCGTTCATCCGGGTTTGGTGCTACGTAGGCCAATTCCACGTGAACGTACCTAGGTACCTGCCCGGGGCGCCCAATTCAAGCCACGGGACGGCTCAATTGCATCGTAGAGCCTGTAGACCCGGCACTGGGAGGCCCGGCGTACATCAAGTACCGTCAATGAGGTTAGGAGGCCAGCCAAGTGGCTTGTGACTCTGCCATATGACGCTGTGGGCATGCCGTGTCTCTGGAAGGTTACATTAGGTTAGGTAGGTACCTAACCTGACCTACCTACCCTCCTACCTTAGGTACCTACATACCGTAGGTAGAGGATAGGGCGGGGGTGCATCGTGAGGCACCCGCGTACCTGATGGGGTGGGGAAAGTAGAGAGTACGAGGAGGGCGGGAGACAGTACATGAAGGCGAGTGGCAAGGTACCTACGGGTAGGTAGGCCACTGGGTAGGTGGTTAGGTAGGTACACCGCGGACATCGCTGCCTTGATATACCTATGCTGGAATAATCAATCCAGGGCTAGCCTACCTCATATGGATGTCCATGCTGTGCTGTTGGTGGACCTCTAGGGCGGGAGGAGAGAGGCGGGGGAGGTAAAATACTAGCTTTAAGCCTAAATAGGTAGGTAGGTAGTTAGCTCTTCGTTCCCGCTCCCGCCTCTGTCCATCTGATTTCCACCTTATCGACCAACCAGCCGGAACCTCTTAGGTCGGTAGGCACCTACCTCCTACACGTACCTTAGGTACCGTAGGTAAATAACTGCGCACACGATGACTCATCTGGGTTAGTCGGAAGTGTTACTAATATTATCATGGCTGTCATTTGCATTCTTGTTTCTCACGAGGCCAGAAAAAGAATAGGAAAAGAAGAGGGGAAGGGAAATACTGGCTTATGGATATTCCACTTCTCCTCCTCCTCCTCCTCCTCCTCCCAGTCCTCCTCCTCCCTCACCATTTGCGTCCCCGTTGATCTCGCCTCACGTTGTGACTCACACGCCCACCTCAGGTCACCTCCCACGGCCGCTCACCACCTCCAGCTCGACCTCAAGCAGCCAATCAACCCACCCACCCACCACTCTCCTCTCCGTCAATTGACTTTGCAATTGGTCAATGCGAGACTTCTAATTCCCAATTCCCGGGGGGGGGCCAGCATCAATCGGTCTCCTTCGTCCATGTCAATTCCGTTGTCAATCGCACGGCCATTCGCCTCCCGCTCCTGGAGCTCTCTGCCTTCGATGCCGCGCACTCCATCTCGGATAGCCGCTCCATCCGCTAAGCCCCCTTTCGAGTCCTTCAGTTAGAGATCTGTGGCCAAACGGGCAAATAGCCACGCAATTGTCTTTGAGTACGCGCCGTGCACACGCTTGGCCTGCCATTTTTATGCTAGGCTTCCAGGATGACGACAATGTCTGCCTCACGCCCACGCCGTCTTCAGTCACGCCGGCTCTAGGCTCTGGGCCTTACTGAGGTTGGTAACAGAGTATCTCTTTTTTCCCCCTTCTTTTCCCCTGCTTTTAATCCTGCCGACCGGAAGCTCCGCCCGGCCCGTGGGAAGAGGGTGGTCTGTAGTCCCTGGGAATGAATCAACCTATCGATTCAGCGTATCCCCTGCTCCGTGCGCGCTTCTTCCCTCCCGTCCTACCCATAGATGTCCTGGATCGTGCAGTGTTTACTTGCACAAGGTACCGCAGTCTTTACTGTCCGGCATGTCCTCGTGACGGCGAGTGCTGCCTTGCCCCCGATCAGCCCCTGGGCTACGACCTCGCCCTTCTCGCCTGGTGTGCATATACCGCTCGCCGTGGTCCTGGTCTCTGCCTGCCTACCTACCTATCTACCTACCTACCTACCTACACCTCGGCCGAGCATACAGTGTCTTGTTTCTTTCTTGCGCATCTGGTATAGCTTGGCATCGTTGCTGGCTAACGGCATGACGACATGTCAGGATGGTATACGTCGGGACGTGAAGCTTTCCGCCCCCCTATTCGGCCTGCGTGTCACGGTCTTGGTTTCTTGGTTGGCAGGCGTTATTGCCCGCCATTGACCAACAGTTCGGGAACACCTGGTTTGCACAAATCCCATACGCATTATCCATGGGAAAGCAATGGCCAGACGTTGCGTGACACGACACAATTCCACTTTAGCACTGTCGCTATTGCACCGTATTCCGGGTCTTCAGTCCACTCAGGAGAGCGAACGTTTTCGGGCATCAGGATGCGACTGAAGGAAGGATGGCCAATTCGCTGGATAAGGTCTCTCTTATAAGCGGGAAGGACGGGCTGGACTAGGCGAACTGGCTAGTCAGGTCGCCGTGCCTGATTTTCTCGCGCGAATCTCGTGCATCCAGGATATTTACCAACCTGTCGTCGTCGACGCCCCCCGTTATCTCTTATACCAGCGCCGCGTTTCCATGCCGGGGCCCGCCCTCCGCACCTAACGACAGACTGACGGACTTGTCTGCTGCGAAGCTAGGCATGGTCGGCATTCCAATTCGCCTGTGCGATTGGATCCCGCGGCGTAAGGGCCTGTGGCGTGACAAATTATCGTGGCCTCCGCACGTAGTCGGGCTCCAACCTTGGGAGGTTTGGGGGGGGGACAGCTAGCAAAGCTTACATACAAGATATGGGGCACGCTTACTCTGGCTAGTCTGCCGTTCATCAAGTGGTAGAACGTGTTATGGCTGGTAAGTTGTTGTTAGTGCGTAGGTGCGTCAGTTGTGGGTTGCGTGTACCTATGTATGGCACACCCCGCGCCCCCCAGTTGCGCCCCGCTCGCCCAGCGACCGTGTCAGCGTTCGCAATTGCTCGTCCCTCCCCATCGCCGCCCGATCACGTTGCGAGAGGTGCGCTCGAGCCTATCCGCCCGCCAATTGCTGTGGCTTGCGAAGCTTCGTTGGGTTGAAGGCTCGTGAATTGGGTTTTCCCCTCCCGTCCCCGTATACCGGTCCAGCGTCAGTATCTTGCGAGAAGCTGGTGCTTGTTGGTTCTGGGGATGGCGCCTTAAACTACCTAGGTGCCTATCAGTGGTGCGTGACGTACCTACCTAGGTAGGTACCTAGGTAGGTAGGTAGGTACCTAGGCACTGTACCTACGCGCATGCACGCAGCGGAAGTCCCTTGGGTACAGGGAAGACATGCAGACCCGGATCCAGGCAGGCAGGCAGGCATACCTAAGGTAGGCCGGTCTCGCCAGCGGCTCTCCTACTCACTGCCCCAGGTATGTACATATCTTGTGTGCTGCGACGTTGGGTAGGTTCCTGACACGGCTGGGCAGAAGCCTCCCATGTTCAGACTGAAGGGGAGGGCGGGAGAGAGAGCTGATAACAGCCAGGACCGAGTGAGAGACGGGAGTCACTGGCCCAGCTGGCGAAGTACCGACGAGGCGAGGGGTACTTGTCGGTACTTGTCCCGCTGACAGGGTTCCCAACTCCAAGCACCCAAGTCGTCGCACACCCCTGCGCCGCCACGCCGCGATTCCCCTGTCCCCCTCCCCCTACCCCCCTGTCCGCCTTGTCTTCTTTCTAGTCCTGCCTCATAATAGAATGCGTTAACGAAGTGGAGGGAGGTCGTGGTGACTCCTCGACGACGCACACCACCAGCCAGATTCCGTGAACGAAGGCCCCAAGCAGAGGTCGCCGGTCTCGAGTTGCCTGGCGAGGACGGACTTCGCTTTGGTTGGATCTGAGAGTGCTGGTAGACGGTATCCCCCCCTCTCTCTGGTCTGCCCCACCACCCCTTTGCCCTTCCCACCAACTTCACTTTCGCTCTCGTTTTTAGCATTTCCCTTTTACCTTTTATATCCCTTTACACCATATAGGCACACCTGTACGTATCACAATTCCAAGGACACTTCAGGAAACTTAACGAGCACGCTGATCCTTTTTATCCTCCCTCCTCTCTTCCTCTCTCTCTCCCATTCTTCCTCTTCTCACCTGTCCGTCCCATTTCCACATCTCCCTCCTCGAGCGCCCTGTTGTCATTTGCAATCTCCCCCGCCCGTCGTTCACACTGTCGGTCTGGCTCCTATAAGTGGTCCTGCCGGAGTCTCTCATATCCACTGCTCTGGGTGAGCACGACGACAATACCAATTAAACATCGCCCGCTGAATTGCCCACGGCTCCTATTTTTAATCAGAATCTGTTCGCATAGCTTTGAACAATCCCGCAGCAGCGGCGACGGGGACATCTATTCCTGCCCGCCTTAACTCCGAAACTAATCTCTGCGGCCTTCCGCCGATTTCTGGTACTTACCTCAGACCCTGGCTCTGACCGAAGCCAGACTCAGGGCCGGTCGTTGATATATAAAGCCCCCCTCCCAACTCGGCTCTCCTCCATTCGACCCCATCCTCTTCCCGCTAGAGCCGTTCGTCACCACTTCGATCACATACGCAGTCACACCGAAAGTGTTCCCGCCCCGGCATCTATCGAGTGAATCAATTCCCACGCAGCTGGGCTTCTACCTGATTTGCCACTTCACTCCCAATCGGCCCACACAGAGCGGCTTATCGGGAAACGATGTCTGACAACCCGACATCGCCAACTGCCTTCCGCGTGGAACGGCTAGCCAACCCACATTCTGCTCCGGCCTCGTCCCACAGTATGGACCTATCTACGATGTCAGCCGTGAACCCATCCCGGGAGCAGCCTTTCAAGAAACCCCTAGATATCAGCAACCTGATGTCTCCTCCCGAGCCTCCCAGATTCGATTCGTTCTCGCACAATCAAAATAACTCCAAGCCGATGGGCAAGGTCTCCAGCGTTCGACGCACGGGCCCGATCCCGCCGCTATCGCCCCCCATCTCGCCTGCCACCAAGACCGACGATCAGCCCGTCAGTGTCGTCTCCATGCCTAACATTCCTGTGAAGGACCCCATCCTATATCCCGGGCGGGACACGACAGGCTCGCCCCAACAGCAGCCACTGTTTGTCCAGGACGATCCTGTCGACACACGCCGAATCGTGGATGAGCACACCGTCTCTCGGCCGGCGGATCTCTTCCGCAAGGCGACCCCTCCTCGGCCGGAGGACTACGCGTTGATATTGTATTTCAGCTCCCGGGTGATGGAGATGTACCGGGCGGACCCGCAATCCTACCTGGAACGAGAGCGTGCATTCCTGCTGGCAGACAGACAGGCCGGTTTGCGAAACGGTCGGCCCAAACTTCAGCCAATCCTCCCCGCCAAGCCGACACAGGTTCGAAAGGAAACGCAGCGTGCGAAGAACGCGAAGCCGTGCAAGGTGACCAAGGCAACGCAGTCTCACACCACGGCCGCCCGTCCCATCCGTTCCTATCCTCCCACAGGCCACGGACAGCAGGCGACTCACCGTCTACCCAGCGCAACGCCCGATCCTTCGCCACGCCGCGCAGTTGCTCCGAATCGGGAAGATAAAGACTTTAACTCGGTGGAAGACTTCTGCCCCCCGAAAGAGGCGCTCCCGGACCGGCCCAACAGTCTCAAGGTGGACTGGAAGGGGACTCCGATCGACTTGACCAACGACCCGCACCGCGAAAAATTGCATCCCGAGGAACTCTCCCTGGCCGCCAACCTCCGACTCGACTGCGCCACCTACCTTACTAGCAAGAAGAGAATCTTCGTTCGACGTCTCGAGTGCCTCCGCATGGGCAAGGAATTCCGCAAGACGGACGCGCAACAGGCTTGCAAGATCGACGTCAACAAGGCGTCGAAATTGTGGATGGCCTTTGACAAGGTCGGCTGGCTCGATAAGGCCTGGATGGCTCCTTACCTGTAGTTAGGGAGTCAGGATTGCATAACATTTATGGTCCGTCGAGCATAGATCGTGGCGTCTAGCGAATGCCTTCCCCTCTCACCACATCCCCCCCCGGAGTGCCGCCGATTAGAGTTATCGCTCGACTCAAGCCTGCGACTTTTGAGCCAAGCACGGATTTGGATTTCTCTCCTTCCTTGGTCCTGGAAACTTCTCTTAACCCCCTTTTCTCTCTTTCGGGAACACCGACATCCGTTACCGGTATCATATCACAAGAACGAGTGTTTTTGTTTTGTTTTGTTTTGTTTTGGTTTTTTTTTTTCCCTCCCATCCCACCCACAGCATAACGGAATTACCATGATACCCCCCCACGGAGTGAACGCACGTCCACCCGCACGGTTACCCTTTAAAGATGTCTTTTTCTTTCCCGGTCTGCATGAGGTGATTTTGGCCGTTTTTTTGGTGGCGGTTCGGTTCAGGTTGGATTCGGTCGCGTCAGGTCAGGCTCGATCACATTGGGAATATAACTCTGCATCATGTATGGCGTTGGGTCGGCCCAGCAGCGCGCGTCACGGGCCTTGGTTGGGTTACCGGGACGGGACGGGGATCTCGGGACACATAAGGCGTGTCGGCACGACCTAGTATGTAGAGTGCCGAAACGGGCCGGCACTGTCTTGGAATCTTGGAATTACTTGGAGGGCTTTCTGGTTTACAGCGGCACGGGGTGTGACTAGGGTATCGCACAGTCTGGCTGAGCCAATATACATACATGCAATCTTACGATGACGATGGGAATATGCAAGACGGATTTCGAACGCAGGTCATTCCGGTCGCGTTGCTTGCGAAAGCAGTCCCGGCACTATTTTAACTACTGTTGAGCGATAGCTGGCCAGGTTGCGTAGTAATCGTGGGTTTACGATGGAGAGAGTTCCGGGGGCCGACAGCGGCGTATTGGCGCATGGACGGGACCTGATGGGATGAAGCCCTGCAGGCGAGATGGCTGGCGACCCAGGGCAGCGGTGCGGGCTCCGATCCGCCTGCCGCCATGCTGGCGTCCCTTGCTTTAGCGCTTGGCTGGCGGGGGCGTCGCCGCGGAGCCGGATCGGCGGTACGGTGGTATTCTAGTCAAGACAGGCAACCCAGAAAGGACAAACCGACGGCGACAACACGCTAGCGAGAACCGACAGTGGAACAGAGCGAGCAATAGCAGTGATGCGGCCTACTACACTGCTTACCTACTGCCTACCTACCTCTCTACGACCGCAGACGTGTGCGCGGCCGCCGAGGTAGGGGGGGAGGGGGGTTCAGCGTCGCGTCAGATGGCTTACTGGCGGGCTACTAGTCTGTCTATGGCATACGTATCAACTAGCGAGCGGCAACAACCGATCCGAACCCGCTCCGTCTCGTGGCTGGCGGGCTATCTACAGAGAGGAGATAGAACAGACTCTAGATAATTGAGGCATGTCCCTGATGGGATCGTGCGGTGTTACGGCGCCCCGGTAGAGGCCTATGCGCGAGCACGGGCAGGCAGGGATGCGTGTACAGTGTAGATGCACATATGCACATCACATATGCACATCGTACGGGTCGGCTGCACAGGGACACAAGGCCACCGATAGCCAGGGCGAGCGCGCGCGCGAGAGAGCGAGAGAGAGACAGAGACAGAGACAGAGACAGAGAGAGGAGGGTCGGATGGGAGAGGCGGACGAAACAACCAGCTCGGCCGATTCTGCGATTCCCCCACTCTGGCCTCGCCCACATGGCAGCGCTACACTATATCGCTATCTGCCGTGCCTTATAATGCCGACGCTACGGATCCTATACGCGCCTAGCGTGACATCGCGCCGCCGATACGACTAGGCTAGGGGGAGCCCGCAGACGTCGCAACGGTGACATCGCGCCGGCATGTGTGTGCATTGTCCCAGGTCTTTTTTCCCCATCCTCTTCTCCTTTACACACACGCACTCTCTCTCTCTCCATTCTCTGTCCTCGCTGTCTCTCTCTGTGTCCAGGGATATGCCTAGGAGACACCTACGTACCACCTACATACGCAGCACAAGCATAATAAAGAATCTGCACGAGAGGGAGGGGGGGAGCCAAGTAGGTAGGTAGGTAACTAGCAATGCGGGCCTATTTACACTTGTCTCGTCTCTTCATGCGCGGCCATCGCAGATCGCACCCGAGTTGAAACGCCGCGGACGCCCCGTTTCATTTCTGCATGCCTGGTTTTTTAATTATCTAACTGCCTACATATACATAACATATATAATATATGTATAATATATAGGTATATTCAATTCCTATATAGGTATGTGTATGTACTATATATATCCCCGTATCACCCATATACATATACGTCCGGCGCCCTTCCCTCCCCCCTGTAACCCCTCCCCCTCAGAGGACATACATATATATATTCCTATTCCTATTCCTATTCCTTACCACGACATGTTGTGGGAGGTTACACCTACCTATGCCTAACTTACACGAATTCACACCGAGTTACACGCGCCGTCAACATCCACACACACACACAGGTAAGGTAGGTGGGTATATCATGGAGTAGACAGCGCACACTCGACCCACAGGCACAGGCACGAGACACAGGGAACCCGATAACATAGGTACCTACCTATAGGTTATGCCGATGCCAAAGGCACGAACAATATCGAGGAATTCCCAATCCCCTTCCCCTCTTTGCCAGCTCAATGCCCACGCCGCCGTTCTTGCACTCATGGCTCTTAGCAATATCCCGTGCGCCGATGTACCTCCTACCTACCTGTTAGCCAACCTTGCCTACCTCGCCTCGTCCCCCGCCTCGCCCTCGCCCCTTCGTACGTGTCCCATCCCGCACCACCCCGCGTCGCCGCCGGGAGGCTAAGTAGATTAAGTACCGGAGCGCGCGCTTGCTTTGTTGCCTCTACCCGCCACGGACATAGAGCTCTCTGCCTACGAGGAAAGTAGTGGAAATACCTCCCTGCCGTGCGTCAGACGGACAGACGGCTGCCGAGGCATGAAACGGCACGTGGGACACACACACACAGACACCCCTGTGCCCGTTCCTTTCATTCCCATCCAGCCATCGCTTCAGTTCATGCTGTGCCCCAGCAGCATCGCGCTGCCACGTCTCTCTGGCGCCGCCCGTCACTTGGTGTCATGGCTCTAGAGAGGAAACTCGTTGACACCCTCCCCCCTCCTCCCCCCGGGTCGGTCGTTGCGCTAAGTAGGACGAGGCCCTGTGGACTAGTTGGACGGGAGCCAACCCAGCCACGGATCGGATCCCGTCTTCGGGACAAACCGCCAGATCAAACCAGTCTCGTTCGGATCCCGCCCTCCCGATCCTGCTGTTACCCGGGCTGCACCTCCATGCCCGGCGACCGACCCTGGTCGTAGACATATACGGCACAGGAATTGGACAATGGGCGAAGCCAGAATGCAACATTCCGAATCCATCAGCTATCTTCTTAATTTGCCTTTCCCCATGTCCTTTCTCTTCGGTGCGGTATCAAAAAGACAATGTTATTGTTACGGGTGCCACGTGCCCCATTTCCTGTGGTTGTGCGACATGACTCCATAAAGGGGCATTCTCGGTACCTACCCACCGATGTTCTTCCCCAATACCGAGATGGCGGCATCTCTCCCTACTACGATCCGACCAGGCCGAATAGCACCCTAACACTCAGACGCAATTCCTCATGGCCTACAATCAGGATTTCACCCTAGATGCTGATATCTAGGACAGAACGGGTTTCAGTTCCCTTGCCAATGCTATTGCGGCGAAGGACTTCCACGATACCTGACTCCGTCGGCTATCTATTGTGGCATACGCGAGGTTGTCTAAGAAGTGTCGGTCTTTCAACAGCGGTGAGAAGGATGGATAGGTTTCGTATAGCTTCACTCCCGTCCCTAGTCCGTTCTCTTCTGCCAGAGACAGCACCAACAGCTTGGGTCGCTGAGGCGGGCAAGGAGGCGAAACGGCAATATACCCCGCTGGAATCCCGCTTGCTTACGCGAGCACAGCGGCACAGTTTTTGCCGCTCAGATTCCCAAGTCGTAGATACCTAGGTAGCTGGAGGCATCGTCCAGGACGACCTGCGAATCGGAGCCTCCCTAGCCGAGCGAGTTGGTAAGAGACCCGTCTCAGGCCGCTCATCGGCCACGGGTGAGTCCTTTCGCGGGAACTGGGTATAAGTAAATAAACGTTATGAAAATACCTCTCCTCGGTCGTTGGATTCAGCCTTTCGGAATTCGCGTTTGGGGGGATCGGCTCCTTTTCTAAGACGAGGACAGCTTTGGTGATGTCGGCGGTGCCGCTCGCCGCCTCGAGATGCCTGCCTAATATTCGACATCACGGCTCCGCTACGTCCCAACATGTTACCTAGTGTATTGTCCATATGAGACACCGTTGCTTGAGAGAAGGACGGTTAGCTACTATACGAAGACAAGGCGGATGCGTGCATGCTGGCTGCCGAGTCGAGCGAGGCCTGGCGGGATAAGGAGCGCTAGGGTGGCTCCCTGAATCCCTCCCTTCCTCGCAGCGGCTAGACAGGTAGCTCTAGCTCGGCCGCGTAGCATGCCGGCTGCCCTGAATTCCATCACTAAATTCCATCACCCACCTCGAATAGCCTAGGGAGGCCGCAATAGGTACGCCTAGCGACGTAGGCGAGATTCGGCGCGCGAGAATGACGGACTGCATCTCTTTCCCGCCCAGGTTGCGTGTCTTAACCAGGTACCCGGGAGCACGTCATTGATGAGACCAGTGATAAATACTTGACTCCTCCGCAGGACTAGGTAGATACCTCCTATTACTTCCGATGGCAAGGAGCGAATAGACGCCTGCCTGACTTGACATGCCTACGCCACCACGGCCGCTTCCCGATCGAGTGTTCCTCTCCAGCACCATTATTCAACTTTGCTGGCCCCAATGCGTCGCCTCCCACCTTCCATTGGTCAGCTACGCCCTACGTCCCCAAGTGTATCCGCGTAGGGAAAGAAGGACAGAGAGGGGGTGAAACATATAAAGAGAGAGAGAGCCGCTACGGCTGAACCGCTGCCAGCCTTCCCGTCCCTTTTCTTCGTCAATCTCCAGCTTCACCCGGACCACGATTCACCGCACGACTCACACATCCTCACAACCGGCTGTCTTGTCCTCTCGGCCACCGTGGAATGTCGAAGCGGACAGAAACCTCATGATCGCTCACACTGTAATAGTTGGGAACTGCCCCCACCATGCCTGGCACTGCCCGTTCCCAGCCAGCAGACCGAAAAAAAAACGGCTGGTTTGTTCCGCATATCTCTCCTGCTTCGGCTCTGCTAAACGATAATACCCGCGCCCACCACGGGATAACGCGGTACGACCTCACCGCCAGCAATCGAAGTCTAAACCATCCTTTACACTACCTCGGATCGGGACATGTACTGGAGCTATCAGAAACTAGTAGGGAGGCGCACCACATGGTATGTACCTATCTGATTACATACCTCTGCTTCTGCACCGCCGGTAACGACGTACTGACACTCGCGACCACATTCTGTCCGGGGACAGCCCGCGATAGGCTCGTGGGTCCGCGCATCTTGCGCATCTGCATATATATCGACCTCTTTCTTTGGATCTGCCTCGGTAAGCAAGATCAGATACGGCCGAAAAGGATCACAGCTCAGCAGGGAGTTCGATTAATGGCGTTACCGGATGAGCTAAATAACGAAGACTACCAAGTAGTGCTGTTAGGAATCGAGCCTACCCTCCATCAAGTTGTCAGTTTAGCAGATACGGTTGGGCCATCCCCACCCCAAGCACCACTGCTAACGACGCTCTCACTGGATTCAACCTGTATGGTTTTCAAACCTAGGGACTCAACCCTTGGCCTTCTACCTTAACCCCGGAGCCGCTTTTACCTCTTCGAAACTCATACAACAGCTAGCGTCCAAGAACATACTGGTTATTGATACTCCTTCAGGCTTACACCGTTCCGTAGGCTTAGTAGAGGTATTCAATAAAGTTCTCCAACAAGTATTAAATAAAGCCGTCAACCCTATACCCCCTCAAGACCCATCAGATTAAGACAACAAAGTCCCGGGCATCATAGCCCAGATAAACGCCAGATACATCACATCCATAAGCTACTCTCCATTCGAAATCCTATACGGCCATCTACCAATCGGTTCCCTTAAAGCCGAGTATCCTCCTTCTCACCTCACAGACCTCCGAGCTGCCATGACTAACCCTTCCTTTGAACGCCCTGACGAAAAACAACACGCTCTAACAGCGCTACTTGGTAGTCTTCGTCATTTAGCTCGTCTGCAAGGGGTTCTCCGAGATCCGGCAGAGAGTCATCGATATCACGTCCAACGATGGACACAGCCTGTCCCCCTCTGCCACGACGGACTTCATTAGGCTGAATATTGCCCCCTGGAGGAAGACGTTGAAGCAGCACCTGCGGAGAAGAGGTCTAGGAAGAGAGGGGAGAGGAGGGCCGAAGCAAGGGCCAAAAAGAGACAGAAAAGCACCGATGAAGCCATGCGCATCGACCGCTTCATTAAAACACTAGGTACCTATAACCGAGAGCGTAACACTTGATCGCGATAATAGCAATACTGCTCCGTCCGAGGATTAGACGTTCGGTGCAAGTAGCGAAGCACCGGACGTGTTGTCGGTGCATCGAAGAGGAATAGCGTGGACACGCTGTAGGGGAACCAGATGGGAACAGGAACAGCCACAGCTGCCAGATTCTACCAGTGGAGGTGATTCGATGCTCCTGCTCCCCCGTCTAGGCCGAACACGGGAGTCTCACACTGGGACCCCTTCGTGGGTGCCTCGAAGAGAATAGATGTCGATTAATTATCTAGGTAGTAGGTACGGAATAGATATACACGATCGACTGGTGAGCACGACTTGTGGGGGATGTCCCGTTTGAACCGCGTCGCAGCTTTGGTAGCCTTGAGGCTCGCATGTGGCTACCGAATGAACGGATGGGCGAGTAATGAATGGCGTGGGGGCGGTGGGAGAGAGCAAATCCCTTCTGGGATCCTCTACGACGGCGAAATGGGCCCGCCGTGCTTCTCCAACGCGTTGGCGTCCTGGTGGCAGGTCAGGGAGCTGAACTTGCCGTTGTGCTTTGTCGGGATGGTCGGCCATATGCCCTGAAAGCTGAAGCCGAGCTCGTTGGTCTTGCAGCCCTTGGCTCTGTTTTTCCTTCATCTCTTTAGCAGCTGGCAGGTCAGTCGGGAAGGGGAAGAGGAAACGCACTGGAACAGCGTGCAGAAGACGTCGTCGCCGCCCGCCGTCCCGACGGAGCTGATCGCGTCGTCCCACTCGGGGGGCAAGTCATCTGTCCACACGCCGCACAGGGGGACCGTCCGTCAGCGACCAACCCGAGAGTCTCGCGCGAGACGCGCGGGCCGGGCGTCGAACTTACAGCAGGCCTGGCCCTTGGTCGGACCCACGAACTCGGCAGTTGCGCGGGTAGGTGTCCTTGCAGACGAGCACCGCGGGGCCCTTGTCCGTCGAGATCTCGCTCGGGGGCTCTTCTTCGGCGCGCGTCTCCGGGGGCGCGGGCGCGGCCAGCGGGAGGAGGGGGAGCAGGGCGAGAACGGCGACGGTCGGCGACTTCACAGCGAGGCTGGAACGAGTGCGTAGCGTTGGGTGTCCGTTTGACTGTCGGCGGCAGCAGAGGCTACGAGAGATGAGAAGGGGTTGGCGGGAAAGAAGGGTGGGTAGGCACCTCGAGACAGCGCCCGAGCAGAGGTGGTGGGCTACAGTGGTGTTTATTCTCCTGGCGCCGAGGGCCGACACACGTACGCCCCACGGCCAGGCCACTGACGCCTCTACATACGTACCAGTCTGTATCGCGATCCAGCATTTCACGTACCCGACTTACTATGGTCCGGGTAGGCTGCCGACCCTTCGGAGGAAAAAGGACCCCTGCTAGGCAGGCATGGCTATGGCTGTCCCTCTGTTAATGGGCGCGGGCTACTCATTAATTATGCCCATCTCGACTTGGTCCACTGGTATTGGCAATTTGGTAGGTTCAATCGTCGCTTGTTGGGAATTGGCTCGGTGCCTTACACCCGGTAGGTATCTTCTGGCGCGGGGGAAATGGGAGACGGCGGAAGAATCTTTATTTTGCATTAGGCACCTACATAATAATATCTGTCTCCTGTCTATCTCGCTACCTATTCCGGCTGGTACTTGAGCACGAAGGGAAACGTCTCGGCGACGTCCCAGTCCTCCTCCTTCGACGCGTCGCCGAATATCCTAGCGCCGCTGACCAGGAACGCGTAGGTGCCCTCGGGGAGGACGGTGCCGTCGTCGAGGCGGCCGCCGAAGTTGCTAGCGGCGCCGTTGCGGGCGAGCAGCGCCAGCGGGGACCCCGGCATGGCCCCGAGGACGTCGTAGCCCTTCCACCGCGTCGTGGGCAGGCCGGTGTCCGTCAGGGCGATGACGTCGGCGCGGAGATGGGGAACGTTCAGGGTCGGCCGGATGATGAGCCGGGGGTAGATGACGCGGCCCGTGATCGGACTGCCGGGCCGGTTGATGGTAAAGGTGGTGTTGGCGACCACGGGGATGTTGAAGTGGCCGTCCGTGCTCGTCAGGTAGACGCCGCCGTCCCAGCCGGGCTGGACCACGGGGGTCTTGTGCAGGCTGCCGAGCACGCCCAGGTACGGCAGCACCAGAGACTCCTCCCTCGTGCTGTTGAGCGTTATGTACCCGCTGTACACGGGGAGCAGCGTGGCGTTGAGGCTCTGCGGGGGCGTCAGCGTCACGGTGACCTCGACGGTGCCACCGGCCGGCACGGTGATCTCGTCCGAGGAGAAGCTCAGCTCGGCCCAGTCGTCGACGCCGGGGTTCGGGAAGTAGGTAGTGGTCAGGAAGGGACTGCTGTTGTCGGCGAAGGTGTTCATGGTGAGGGTCTTGGCGTGGCCGAGGACGTAGGTCACGGGCTCGTCGGCGAGGTTCTCGACGACGAAGGTGCGCGTGCCGACGAAGTGGTCGCTGTCGTTGAACGAGAGGCTGCTCGCGCTCAGGAGCGTCGTCGCGTGCGCCGCCGCCCACGCCTGGACGATGCCGGCGCCCTGCTGTGCCACCGGCGCGACCACGCCCGGGTGTGCCGCCTCGCCGTCGAACCAGCCCAGCGGCTTCGCCGTCGCCGCGACCAGCCTCTGGAGCGTCTGGGGGTCGCGGGTGCCGCGGGCCTCGGCGACGAGCGCGAAGATGCCCGCGAGCAGCGGCGTCGACATCGAGGTGCCCGACAGGACGCCGTAGCCCCCCAGGGCCAGCGGATACGTCGAGAGGATGTCGCCGCCGGGCGCGGCGACCTGGGGCTTGACGTTTACCTCCTGGGTCGGGCCCCAGCTGGTCGACCTGCTCATGTACCCGCCACTGACGGGGTTGTCGAGGTTCTCGATGTAGAGCCCCGAGGAAGACCAGTCGTTGATCTGCACGGTGATGTTGCTGCCGCCCGCCAACAGGGGGACTATCTTGGCGCCGAACCGAGACGACGCCGTGGCCACGGCTTTGATTTCCTCGTTTCTAAGCCAAAGGCTCGGAAGGTCCCTACGATTGTGTGCTGTTAGCCGTTGTGGGTACTAACGAGGGAGCCGTCGAAGGCTGCTCCCCCCCCCCCCCCCCCCCTTCATTGCAAACGCGATGTATTAACTTACGCTCCGGTTTGGCTGTACCAAAGAACATACTGGGCCCCCTTGGCAGCGAGATTGCCAGCCTGGCTTTCAACGGTACAATCGGAGCCGGACGTCGGCATCCGCAACAAGACCACCTTCTCCGATAGATCTGGCGTATCGTCGGGCAGCGCCGCGCAAGCGTCTGTCTCCGAGGCCGTGTCGTTGCTGACGGCCCACAGGGGCAGGGTGACATTGACTGAATAGGTGGGGCTGCCGAACTGGAGGCCGAAAGCCGTAGTCTCGGCCGCGTCGTCTACGGTGTAAGTGGCTGCCTTGGCCATTGACGGCAGGACGCTGTTCTCGACGGAGCCGACGGCGGTGACGTTGATCCCGGACGCCGGGGTCGACGGGTACCACAGGCCGAGATGGCCCGAGTTGCCGGGGGCCACGACGACGGGGACGCCGGCGGCGGCGATTCGCGAGGCAGCGATGGCCCAGGGGTCGGAAGACCAGCCGGAGTCGTCGCCGGCGGAGCAGGAGATGATGTCGCTGCCGTCCTCGAAGGCGGCGTTGAACGCGGCGATCAGCATGTCGTTGGTGGTTTCGCCGCCGCAGCCGGTGGCCTTGTACATGCCGAGCTTGACGCCCGGCGCGGCGCCGGTGAAGCCGTGCTCGTTGAGCTGGGCGGCGATGATGCCGGCGACGTGGGTGCCGTGGCCGACGCAGTTGTCGAAGGGATCCGGGTCGGGGACCGGGACGGGCGACGTGTCGTTGTCCCCCTTGAAGTCGTAGCCGTACTCGACGAGGCAGCCCGGGCCGAAGCAGCCGCCGAGCGCGGGGTGGGTGTAGTCGACGCCGGTGTCGACGAGCCCGATGCGGATGCCCTTGCCCGTGTAGCCCTCGGCGTGGAGCTTGTCGACCTGGGTCATGAGGTGCGGAGCGAACCCCTCGGGGCTGCTGCCCTGCTGGCGCTTGACGCGCCTAGCAAACTCCGCCACGCCGCCGCCGACGTGGGTGACGTTGGGCTTGGGGAACGAGATCTTCCGCACGGGCCATATGCTCTTGACCTCGGGCTTCGCGGCGATCTGGCCGGCAGTGAGTTCGGGCTCAGAGGGAAGCTCCTTCAGCGTGAAGGACGCCCCCTTGAAGAGCTGGTACTTGAGCTCTATGCGGTGCTCGACCTCGATGCCGTCGGCTCCGAGACCCCGGTAGAACGCGTTGGGGTCGTCGTCGCCTTCGAATTCGACGATGTATGCCCCGGGGACGATGGAATCGTCCGCGGCGGGGATGACATCTGTCGGCGCATCGGCGGCAGCGGCGACTGCGACAGCCCTCGTGGTGTAGGTCAGCGCCCCGAGCAGGGGCGCCAAGGTCGACTGGACTCTCATCGCGCCTGGGGTCGAAAATCAAAGCAGACGCGTCTCGTTTCTCGCAGCGGTGCCAGGGTCCTGACGAAAAATACAAGAACCATCGTGAAGATGCTCGTCCGTCATGTCCTATTTATCTCAGTCTTGGTAAGTGGTGTCGCGCCCCAACTACCCACCAACCCACGCATCGTCGGTACTCTCGAACCGGACACGAGCTATACTGTTCACACCCCCGGTCTACTCCCTCTACATGGCCTGTCCGGAGGTGATGTCCCATTTCTCATCCAACGCCCGGGCGATTATTCCCCGAATGGAAGAGGCTATTAGCCCGTCATGCGGTTTACGTGGGAATTTCTCGTATGGGACGGCCGCCAAGCCTCTGTCACGGGGAATGCGACCCCTGGATTCTAGCCGGGGTGTGCCTGAGAGGTCAAGGATTGGGGGCCAGCAGATCAGTCAGGTACGACTTCTTATTGCCGACGAGATCCCCATCAGATCTACATACGAGCAATCTCGCGATCTCGTCGCAACATGCGGTTGTGCCTCGTTGCAGTAAGTGAAGCCGTAGGTAAGAATTATCTAATGCAGAGACGGCCCGGCGGGATCGTAGGTACCTACTTGGACGTGGGGGTAGGCCAGGGTTTGTTCGCCAGCGCCGACGGAAGCGAATCCGCAATCGCCCTTCCATAGTCGAATTCGAAAATTCGGGCTATGTCTACTATCAACCAGATAGCGAACGAGCGAGGCAGAGTAACGGCATGCTCAGTAGGCGATTAAAAAGTCGTTGCTATATTTGCATAAATTATAACTAGGTAGGTCTTTATTTATAGCCGAAGCGACTCGGTTCGGCCGGAGTCCTTGGCAGAACGAGACACGAGCTACCAAAGCTCATCCGACAGCCGCATCGGCGACAAGTCGCCGTTCTATGAACGTAGGCATGGGCGCGTAGGCTATTAGAAACCCGACAGTTGTCTCCCGTGACATGGAGCCGGGAACGCGACCACGATCTTACCGCGGAACCCGCTGCGTGTTGATCGCATGAACGTACAGACACCACCGCCACTGCTAACCTCCTCTTCCTCCTCCTAGTCCGAGTCTGGAGTAGCCCAACCACAGTTGGCCGTACCCAGCGGCTCTATACCCTCGGCCGCGCTATGCTAGCGGCGCGAGGAGGCGCGCGCTACGGAGACGCGGGTACGAGCTCGATTCCGATGCTAGCATGGGGTGGCCCTCGTCTCGAGCTAGATATGGATTCCTAGACGCTCCGGCGCGCGCGCAGCCATCCGCCGTATACGCCCTGCAGTCCCTGACCCCCGGGGGCACGCACCAGTCTTCGCAAAGGGCGAGGTGCTAGGAATCCTATCGCCCGCGTGCGTGGCTGCGAGCCGTTATTCCCGCTCCCTCTCTCCGCCCCCTCCGGCCTTCCGCTCTCGCACCCCTTCCCCTTCCCTCTCTCGTCTCTCCGCTCTCCTCGTCTCCCCCAACGTCAGAGTAGGTATGCATATCCAATCGAGGCTCGGCGGCGCTGCGCTGAGCTATGGAAGCTCGTGGGGCCGCACGCGCGGGCGCTGCGCGCGCCCCGTTGTGTCCATCTCGACGGGGTTCGGCGCCAGCGACTTGACGGGCGCGTAGTAGCCGGCGGCGCCGCCGGGCGCGTGCGCGGGGGCGATGGCGACGGAGACCGCGGGAACCTCGACGGCGGTGGCACCGGGCCCCGCGCCGTCCGCCCGCCGCCGCTTCCGCAGCGCGCACCAGACCACCACCAGCACCAGCCCCGCGCCCACGAGCCCGCCCACGACGCCCCCGACGATGGCGCCCACCGGTGCGGCGCCGGCCTGCGAGCTGCCGCTGGCGGGCACCGCTGTGGGGAAGGGCGAGGGTGTGGATGTTGAGGAGGATGTCGGGAGAGATGATGTTGATATGGACGAGGGTGTTGGGGTTGATATTGGCGTCGATGTTGACGTTGATGACGTGGATGTGGATGTGGTAGTGTCTGCAGCGCGAGGTTAGTGCTAACCAGAATCGGCAGCGAACACAACGGCTGGCCCAGGATGCCGGGGCGGACGGTAAGGGGGAGAGGGGGGGGAGAGGGGAAAGACTACTAACACGACTCCTGGGAGACGACGGCGAGCGGCAGGGCGCCGTCGGGCAGCTGGACGCCGGAGGCGGAGCAGCCGTTGGAGTAGGAGCGGGTCTGGTTCCAGCCGACGAAGCCGGCGGCGCAGCAGAAGTAGCCGCCGTTGTCGAACATGACCCACGAGGGGTCGGCGCAGCGCGGCGTGTCGACGAAGGCGCTCGTGTAGTTCTCGCCGCCGGCCGGGAAGCACGCCGCGTTGTACTGCGACGGGCACACCGTCCCCGACGGGCAGCACGCGCGGAACGGCGCCCGCGTCGCGCCGCAGTCCACCTCGTCGTCGGCCGCGCTGCACGAGTCGGCCCGCCGGATCGCCCACCCGGCCCGCGACAGGTCGACGTCCGACATGGTCGCGGTCCCTCCTTTCGTTATCTCTCTCTCTGCTTTCTTTCTCTCCCACCTGACCCCTTGCCTCTGGTCTCTCTCTCTTTTTTTTCTCCTCCCCTACTTTCTCTTTTCCCCTTCTCCTTTTCCCCCTTCTGCTAATATATCCTCGCGCTATTATTCGGGCGTTGTCGGTGCGCAGGCAAGGCACTCTGGCGAATCGGGTGCTCGGCCCCTCGCGATGGATACGGGCTGTCGGCAAATAGCTACGCAAGACGCATGTACAGGAAGTGTAGGCGCGGGATCGCGACGGGGAGGGCCTGAGGGAGACATCTTATACCTTACCGTCTGGGCGGGCGAGATGCGCCGGGCAATAAGGGGGCTGATCTCGACTCCGGGTAAGCTTATTGCTCTGCTCTCTCGCGTGTCTGCCTGCCCCCTGCTCGAAGCCCGCCGGGGTCCACCTGGCTGTTCAGCTTCACTTACTACTGCGTCGTATATTATGTACTCTGTTTGGCCACCCACCTGGGCGAAAAGCATGGGATCGTGTGGACTGTCACCGCGCGAGTTCCCGCCTTAATCTCATAACAGCCTAGGCGCACGGGGGACCTGATCTGCAGTGGGTTTCCAATCGGAATGCCTGCACACACTTACACTTACATACCTACCTACATCCTTTACGGCGTATTTGCTTACACGGTCATGTGAAAGTCCAGGTTTGACAACTCGCAAATCGCAAATTACTGCCCCTTGCGTAGTTTGGCTATAGCTTTTTCCACCTTCTTTCTTTTCCGTCCCTATCTTTCGTGTTTTGTTTTTTCCCTACCCGTCTCTTACCTACTTCGCCCGTCGATTCCTAGTCCACTGCTACGTAGCATTCGGTAGCGCGCCGAGAAAGCAGGAATACCATGCGTAGAACGCCTACCACGTCCGTCCACGCCCAGGATCAGTCTCGCCGAGGATCTCGAGAGCAGCCCTAAAACAACTAGGTAATTAATTCCCAAGCTCCAATGGGAGGCCGTCACGAGCCCAACTACACCCGTTCCTGTCTACGGGACCAGGTGTGAGTGGACCCGGCTCCCCCGTCCCTTGGCGATCCCTCGCAAATTTGCACGATGCCATCACGTATTATGAATATTTATTTACTACGCAGCCGCGGGTGAGAACAGCTTCAGACTCTGTAGCCTGCGGGAGATGCGGCGGCGTGTTGCCCGCGGATGGCGTCCATGGCAGACCAATTCTGCACGTCAAACCGCGTGAAACCAAATACCAACCTACCGTATACCGATAATGATAGGTATGCGATGCATGCGCACACAACGTACGCCTGAGGGAGAACTCTGTTAATAAATAATAAGCCACCGATCGGCCCGCCTCAGCAGGTGTGCGATGAGAGAGCCCCGGCTATGCGAAAGCAGAGCTGTTTTAGTTCTCTGTCTTGGGAGCAGCAGCGTAGGGAACGCGCAAAGAGGAACATGAGACGTGTACCTAGGTTATTATGAATCAGCCTTGACATGGTTAAGATCAACCGGTCTCGTAAAAGGAATTCAAGCTGAAGTTGTGCTGGTTAATACCTACCTTCAGGCGCTTACTTTTTGTGCCCCCGGTCTCTAGTCAGGTCAGCTAGGTATATGATATCTACTTGCCCGAGTCGAGACGCAGGTACGAAAACATGGAACTTACGAGGAGGCCTGGGAAGTGAGATAAGCCGTCGTACCGGTGGCCAATGTCAAGGGGTGGGTATCGTGCCATTGCCCGCCCTCTTATACCCTTGCCGTCCTACCCGCTCTGACTATTTCTCCGTCCCTCTACACGGTCAGAATAGGTAACCTAACAAGCTGAAACAAGTCGACAGGCAAAGTCTATGTGGTCACGTGAGGTACGGAGTCCCGTAGTTACATCCCCTTTTTCACTTGGAAATTCCTTATTTTCATATACACGTCCTATACGTAGGTATACATGCATTCCTATCAAAGAACTACGAGTAAATATCCCTTCAAGTTAAAAAAGTTCCCTGTAAGTAAGTAGGTATGCAATAGGCAGTGCCCAGTAAGGATTCCTAGTATATATTAAGACTGTGCGCGGATGCAATGCCGCACACGGCAGGCTACCCGACCTTCGACATCCTCCATATTTACACTCATTAATCCAGCCAGAAAAAAAAAATAAAGAAAGAATTAGGTGAGGTGCTACCATATCACAATCTCTCCCCAAGGGATTGTAAGAGCAAGTCTTGGGCGATGGAAAACGATTACTTCTCCTCAGCTGCGTTGTCATGGACGGCAGCGGTAGGTCTGAGCCGTATACTCCCTAACATATCTGTGCTAACACCTGCGGAATAGCCAGCGGCGGTCCGAGCCGTACCAGGAGGGCGTCTTAACCGCTAACAGCCCAGTCAACCCGACCCCAAGCTGGTCAACAAGCTTGCCAGATACGAGATTGACATCACTGCCCTGGTCTGCCCTGAATAGTGTCCTCAGGTAGGGCGTAGGACACGACAGTGGATTCGCCGTCGACTTGTTCAAAACGAAGGACAGCGTTCGTGCCCCTCACGGTCGTGCTAGTGGTCTCGTTCAACCAGAACTACGGCTACGGTAGGGTCAACAGTTGTAGCCGAGCCGGAGCCGCGATTTCGCTCGAGACGTACCATGACGCGCGCCAACAGACGTTGTACAGAATTATTTTGCGTTGGGAACCCTGCTTTTGCGAGTACCTAACCGTTCAAGGCGAGTCCTTGCAATGGCTGCTCGATGTCGGCAGAGACTGTGCGGCGGATGATGATTCCCTCCGACATTGTACCGAAGTTTATGTAAAACGCTGGAAGAATGCGAAGACATGCGGTTCCGTGCGGAGGGGAGTGGACGAGGTCGAAGTCGTACTAATATAGGTATACGACCTCCTCCTTCTTCGCTCCTACTCCCGTGATCTAGGGTGGCATCTGCAACATCCCCGGCCCCCGAGATAGGCGGCTCCGGCAGCCCTTGGCGGTGACTGATATACGTTGGACCAACGATAACGCGGCCAGGAACTGTCAGGCTGAGCGAGACGAAGGGAGGTCCTTCAGGCCGAGCATAGCCGCGTTTATCGGCGCCTGCTTTTTAAGTGGTCGTTACGTGAAAAGGTAGACGCCTACACAGCACGGAAAGCGCATACTGAATCCAACATCTGAAACAGCAAGGGTTTCAAGCCCGACCAACCAAGACAGCGTCTTCCAAGACCCATCTCACGGCGGCATCCACGAGCTCGTGTGCGAGTTCGCGGAACGCACTGGAGCTATCGGGGTCCGCCCCGGATGGTATTCGCTCATAATAACGAGAAACAGGCCACATCTCAGGGCACCACGTGTGTTCGAGAGGGCGACAGAAGGAGAGAGGTATGATAACTGAGCCAGTCCACGTCGGCAAAGGCCGATCGATAAGGTAGGTTGAGGTCGTGCCAGTTAGTGTTGGAAAGGTAGACCGATGTGCCCCAAGTCTTGTTCGCAGTTTAACGACTTGCCCGGGTCGGACAAATGGTTGCAGTTTAGCTCCTCACACATATCCAGGAGTCCCGGGCCGGTTGACGGTACTGGAAACAGAGGACGAGCGACCTCCCCGTCGGAATCACCTCCGCCAGTACTGGTCTCCTTACAGCAGCGGTAACGAGGGTTCCACCGAAAGTTACGGTCTTGCCAGTGCCACAGTCGTTGGCTAGGAAAACGAAGTGCGGGAAGCTCAGGAGAGATATCTCCAATCCGTAGACTCCCCCGCGGACAATTATTTAGCAATTCTGGACGAGAGCGCATAATCCGTCTGCCTAGCTCAAGTGCCGGCTAGAACGAGTCGTCGGCTAGGCCAAAGGATCGTTTAGCTTGGACATAGTCTGTTGAGCGCCCCGCGTTACGCCATCACCACAAGGGGATCCTAGGGTCTGTAGCGGTTGAGATGAATATGTAAGACGCTCCGGGATTTTAGGCATCGTGTCACGTGGCCTAGGTATTCTTCGTCACCTCCTGTAGCATGCCTGGAAGCGAAGTATGTACCGGTGTTATAGATAATAAGGCCAAGTAAATTGTAGTTCAGGTCCGGGGATGGGGCTAGGAACCACAACCGTACGCAGCCTCTACGCCAGCCACGCCAGGAGCAAATAGGTTAACAATCGCGTCGTCGGGTAAGGCGTCAGCGGTAAGTCTGCGGCGTGCTCCCTACGGCGGAAGACGTCGGGTTCCGGTAGAGCCGTGACCTTCCCACCGCCTCGGGAAAGCCCCAGGAGCTTGCGCATCATGCCCACCAAGTGTTTGGGCTAGGTTAATACTGCAGGCGGCGCCTTAGGACGCGGACGGAGCCGGCGTCAGAGGCGGCTGGGATATCTTGGTTGATGGACGCCGTAGTGAGGAATAGAGACATCAGGTCTGCCTCGATGACGGGACGGCCGCCACCCAAGACGGCGTGCTAAAACTCTGCGAGGACTCGACATCCTTACAGACGGAGGGTGGCAGTCAGACAGGACGGATTGCCGAGCTTGTTTGGACACGTAGGCGTCCGTAGGCGGGCATTCCTACGGCCGTGACGGCTAGTGGATGGGGATCTGAGGGAAGAAGACGGTGAAAGTGAATTGTTCCCGAGAGGGAGGAGGGGGGAGGAAAAGGCGTTCCAGTATATAGATTTAAGTATTTGTAGGTGTTGTTGAATAGTTCTACTCTTGACGAAGCAGTTATGCCACACCACACATACACATATATATATATTCAAATAGTAAAGCAGGTGCACCAGAAATCTTGATTTATATAATTGGAGATTATTCAAGTGTCGTAACCTGGTTAGGGTTCAAGCCTTCTATGAGTTAAGATACCAAAGGTAATTAGTCAAATTCGTCATCACAACGGTAGCACAGAAAAGGGGTATCCGAGCTGACCAGAGCCTGCATTCCCAGTAGTCTGCCGCCTTATTCAAAAGCGTCCCGGATGCAGGCTTCGAGAGCCGGCCGTCTAGGGCTATCGGGGCAAGGTCTAGGTACCTCGTCTCTGCTTCTTGGGCAGCAGACCGCCGTAGTCGAAGACGCAAAAGATAGAGATACGCAGACCGACACATGGATAGACGGGTAAGCGATGTGGAAGATATATTCGTAAAACTACCTAGACGCCAACCGGAGCAATGTAGTGAGAGCGGCCCGAGATCAGATACGCAGAACCACCCATTCCCCCCCATCCTCGGGGCCAAACGCCAAACGTGAATGACTATCAGACTTGGAAAACCCTTAGAAACCCCTATGTGACAATGCTAAAGCGTACCTGAAAGAGGGAGCAAAAAACATAACAAAGTGGAAACGGAAAAGCGGAGGGGGGGGATCATGGATCGACACCCCCGAAGCCTTGACGAGAGAGACTTAACCAAAATCCCTTCCGCAGAGCCAAACTGTATTCGTCTAGTTACTCGAGCGTCGGCCGCGCCTCGCGGGGTCTCCCTTCCCTTAACCCCTTATCACCACTACCTCCGTGACCACCACCATCGTCGTGGCTGTTTTTTCCGCTGTCATTGCCGCCCCCGCAGGGTCCCTAAGCCCGTAGGGCGCGGAGCCGCTGCTGCAGCGCGTCCTCTTCCTCGGGCGTCGGCTCGTTGGCCTGCTGCTGGGCCGGCTGGGGTTCGGCGCGGCTCGGCTGCGCCGCGTTGAGCTCCGAGTTGAGCTGGACGCCGGCGTCGTCCGCGAGCTTGCCCAGCAGCTCGTGCACCGCGTCCTCCGACACCTGCTGCGACGTCGTCTGCGAGATCGCGTCCTGGTAGATGCCGTTGTTCACCGCGTACTCCTCGTTCTGCTGGCGGAACTGCTCCAGCGTCATCAGAGTCTAGTGGTTCGCTTTGTTAGCTTCCGGCATCCGCAGACGAGGAAGGGGAGAAGAGAAGAGAAGGAGGAGACGGAGAAGGAGAGAGAAAGGGGGGAGGGGGGGGATCCATACACGTTCCGGGTTCATGTTCCGCTGGGCGGCCGTCATGGTGCGGGAGGACTGGCCCATCATGTGGGTCATGCGGTTCATGGCGTTGTTGGCCTGGATCTGGGCGACAGAGAGCTCTGCCATGTCGGCCATCTGATCCATCTGCTGGGCAAGGGCCTGCTTCGAGAGCAGCATCTTGGCTTTCTGGTAGGCCTTGGCGGTGTCGCCCTTGCGTAGCAGGTCTTGAATTTGCTTCTTTAGTAGCGGGTCCTGCTTCGCTGCCTTCTGGGCCTCACGGCGCGCCTGCTTGGCCTGGAACTGTTCGCATGCGGGCGCAGAAGAAGCGGTGTAAAGATTAGTGACGTGTTCTATCGCTACAGCAGTGGTGGCAGCTACAGCGGCAGCAGTAGTTAAAGTGGTCGCGGCCGGTAGTGCTGTTGTTGAGGGGGACTCGGCTGCTCTTGTTGAGGAGGATGCATGGGGAGAGTGGGTATGTAGACGTGTACAGACATATAGACAGGCCGGGGGGGGTGCTTGGGGTTCGGGGTCAAGGATGGGGAACAGGTGAAGGAGAGGGACAGTATGGGAGACGTACGCGAGCCTGGAACTCGACTTGCATGTCGCGGGCAAGCTGTCGGTTCGACATGGCGACTAGGAATGCAGAGTGATGTGGTGTATAGTAGGTTCGATGGCCGAGAAGCACGGGAAATCGGGTCCGCTGGATGTCGCTCGGCGAGGCGTCGGCTTGATACGGTTGGGATAACGAGAGATTTCGATCGGATCGGTAGGGTTGGCCAGCCGGGTAGTAAGAGGTCGGTTGGGCGGGAGAGTAGAGAGAGCGGTGTAAGAGGGGAGTTCGGAAATGTAGGATCGAAGCTGTCGTTGTCGGGTTTCACTGTGGTTGCTTGTGAGGGCCAATCGTTGTCGGGATGGCGATCGGCCTCTGGATGAATAAATGGATGGATGGCGGGTCGGGCCAGGCTGGGTAGGCCAAGGCAGACTAGAGAGTCGAGACTGATGGTTGATTGGCCCGGGGAGAGTGGCCAATGCTCGCCAGCCTTGCGCAGGCAGCGGGGCGCTCACAGAAGGCAAATGACGCAGCTTCGATGCGTTTATTATGGCATGCGCACCAGCCACACCTTTTTCTCTTTTGCTATGTACAAGCCGCAGAATGGCCCGCCACAGCTATCAAGCCACACGATTCACCTAGTATCTCCATCGAATTCTCCTCTTACCCAACTTCTCACCTACAATGGCCCCTGTGATCGCTACGTTGCATTAACTTGTAGGGATTCATTTTATTCGTGATTTCCTTCAACGATGCCCACAATCACCAGCAAGGCCAAGTCCTGTTCCGTTGTGGCCGGTAACGTCCTCAAGTCTTTTCTTTTTCCATGGCTCTCCCTCTGTTCTAGCAGTAGCTATACCTACCTACCTACCTACCTAACCTACCACGGCAGGTACTTCGTCCGTACGTCCACGATCCCACCTCAAAGCACGACATCCAGGGGCAGAGCATGATAGCACATGGCGGTGTGCTTGCGAGCGGATATCGATGCAATAGCTTCTTCGTTATACGTGACTATCTCCGTCTGGGTATGTGTGCGTTAGTCGGTAGGCAGGTACCACGTTGCCCGGCCCATCCGTGGCGACTAGAGAGAGAGCCACGCCGAACTAGCCCCCTTTCCGGGTTGCTTCTTAGCCCCCTCCCTTTTTACTACGCGGCCATCCTCTGGCGTCCTCCCGCCCCGTCGGTCTTCCTTCTCGAAGCAGGCACCAGGATTGCGAGCGCGAGAACTGGAGATGGCACGGGGCTGGGCAGATGCGCACACGAGTTACGCCGACCATCCCGAAGGCTGCCGTTTTGTCCCACTGCAGGTGCCTTAATACTGTATATAGTTATGCAGGTAGCTCGGTCTTAAATACCGGCTGGTGTAGGGGGCCGCTCGGGTTAATGTGCACGTATGTACTTAGTTGGCAGAGGAAGAGGCACAGAATCCGCCTTTTTTTTGTCCATAGCGAACCCTCGGACGCGATTGGCCTCCGCCGGCTATCAGGCGTGAGAGCTAGGGAGGGCCGAGAGCGGTTAAGAACAGACAGCAGGTGTGCACATACGAGTAGGCGTGAGAGGAGGCAGAGTAGTCAGCCCTAAATCCTGACGTGAGTAATGTAATATGCCTACTACAGACCTCTCTATCCCTTCTCCCCCAGCGGTAGGAAGGGTTGCCTGGGAGAGAGGATAGCTACCGGGAGGATGCGGGCAGCGAAGTAATCTCGCGTGCCGCATCCTGCTGGCGCTGTGCGCTCGCTCGGGATTTGTGTCTAATAGATCATGGGCGCTGTAACTTGTAAGGAAGTAGGTATTTACCCTCGCTTGATTGCCGTTGGTCTGGATGAGTTGGGGTAAGTTGGGCGTGGCAGCATCCTCGCTCTTGTCATTACTATGATAAATCCGCTCGCTGCATGACATGACAACACATCCCAGAGATGATCGGTAGTAACTATTTTAGCTATTCGAAAAAGAAGGATCCCTTTCTTTACGAGGGTTATTCGCGATTGTGTGGGTTTTACCGTTGCAGTTTCTCTGTCTCGTTTGTTGCATTCGGTATTGTGAATTCGAGTTCAGATTAATCAACCATATCGACTCAGATACACAATGTGCCGCCAATGATAGGAGTGCCTAACCTGCGTGTCTACCTGCCTACCTGGGCAGGTTGATGTCCATCGTACGGTCTGCCCAACTTTAATCATCACAGACGTACAGACTACGAAGATAGGCACGTTAGCATAGAAGCTCGAGGGTTGCATAATCGTACACGAAAGAGAGTGCGTACTGGCTTCGTATGAGCTGCTACGTTTCTTCGTGTTCTGGCTGTCGTGGGTCGGTTTCGTTTAAGCCCCTCGTGTTGAGAATGCTACGCGAAAGCTACAAAATAACATGCCGGGGTATATGTACATAATAGTCTAGTAATACATATACCTATACATATATACATATACATATATGCGGTGTGTATGTAAACATGCGATATCAGATCCGGGCATGGCTAGGCATAGAGGGATGCCTACGTTAGCTAAGTGCTAGACGGAACAGAAAGGGGCCTCCTTTATCCTAAGAATGCAGAGACACGCTACTAGACGAGATATCCTCATTGGCGCAATCGACGACGACGGGATAGATTTCGATGGCGCCTTTTTATTTTGACCCCCTAGGGCTCTTATTTACCTACTAGGAACAGCACTTGTGTCCGTGCTGGTTGGTGCTGGGTACGGGTCCGGGGGCACTGTCATCCTATGCCCGCTCTAGATTCGCTCTCTTATCTCCCGTCTTCCTCGCCTTGCCACATGGGTGTGACTGGGGGGGCCGGCTCCCATCTCCCATCTGTTGAAGAGAGAGGTACCTAGCTAACGAATCAGGTATGTACACACCTACGGGTCGCCTACCCGCCTGGCTCGCTCACTCGCTGAAACAGGCGGCTTGCAACCGCTTAGCAGACCCGTGCGTTCCGCGCACCGTCTCCATCCGCCCGCTCGCTCCGTCTTAGCGGGTTTGACGATCAGTTTGGTTTACCCTACGATGGTGTGCACCTATGCTTTTCTGCTTCCCGTCAATCTGGGCGGGCCGAGGGTTGCGCGAGTGCTCTTGTAAGCGAAAGACGGACATTGGGCGTGTTAGATCGGACGTCTTGCCCCCTATTTCGATTGTGTATGCATGATAAGTTATAGGAGGATAAACAAGTACATCTCCCTTCGTTTAGTTGAATAATAAAAGAGGGGCGGGCTAGTCGGTGGGCAGGTTTATCATGTTATAAATGTATGTCGGGAGTTGGTGATGTTTCATACCTACGACTTGGACAGGGTGTGTGTGTGCGTGTACGTCTGGATGTGACCACAGCGTATCGACACGCGTCCTCCGAATATACAATTGTGCCACCTACCCAGCGCGGTCGGATGGATGCTGGTATCGCGACGATTCCGATCTGATAGCGCTACACTTGATTCCCATCTACGACTATGGCGTACATACACATTCATGCATCTACCGCCGTCAATACAGCACCCACCGTTTCATTCAACATCGCAGCGTTTCCCTCTCTCTCGCCTTGTACGGATAGAGCCTCTCTCTGTACGTGGTTCGGCGAAGACACTGCATGCGATACGATACCAAGACAGGCAGAACGGGCACATATGTCGTGCTTCGTCTAGCCCCGTCCGTAGATCTTCTCGATTGATCGCCTGTCTGGTTAGATACTTGAGCAAATCGGGCTTGCGGGGAAGGTCGGGAATCCGAATGTGACAATACAGAGAAGGGCCCCTTACATTCTCCCGCCTAAAGGGGGTCGCCTAGGCTCCACCGCACGGAACCTCGGGTGGGTTCACTTTGAAGCGGAAGGTGTCTGGGGTAGGGTAACGTAGTAGGTTGTAGAATCGGAGAGAACAATGAAAAGAACATCATGCGAGGAGAGAAAGCCAAATGTTTGACGATGCGATGATATCTGAGCCCCGAAGACTGAGAGCGTGAAGGGGCCTGGGGGGAGATGCCTGCTAACCGACCCTGAAACAACGTCTCATTCTGGGATCGCTAGGCGGGTGTTGCGATTGGCTGTTTACCTACCTATCTGATCGTCTGTAGTGAGATTCATGATGGGAGGTGCCGGTAGTAACAATGTAAGGTGTGCACGGCTGTGCCCTCTGATCTTCTTCGGCTTCCCTTACAAGGCGTTACGATACCTAGGCGGCAGAGGGACAAGAGTAATTTCTCCCTATCCCGCAAGCATGGACCCCGATGCCCAGATCTCACTCGTAGGCAAACCAACTACAATCATGGCGTGTGAGAACGGCTGCAAGGGAGGCTGAGTGCGCAGTGTGTGCGTGTTGTATTGTGTGCGTCAGATCACCAGTAACCTACAACGATTCGTCCCCGTGAAACCGGTCGGTTCATCGTACAGCTATCAACTCCTTACCAGCCACCACTAACCGGAAAGACGGATAGGCGAATACTCTGTCGCACAGTAAAAGGCCTCTGTGGTTTCGGTACTGGCTGCATGGTTGGAACTGAACCTCGCATAATGTTGCAAACGGCACAACGGTAAGTAGAGCGCGAAAATCCGTTGTAATTTATTATAGGAGGAGGACAGAGAAGTAAATGATTGCTACGGTGACGAATTCTGATCGAGTCCTTTCCCGGACATGTGGGGCCGCCTCTACGACGTCGACAGTGCAACCCTCCGTATTAGCTAGTGGCTTCTAGGCCTCTACGGCCCTAACCAAGCCTACGAAGCAGCTGAGCCGAGATCTTGTCTCTACATTCGCCATCGACGATTTATGATCGAATAGGCAGAGTGATATGCGGCCTTGACGAGACTAAATCCCCATATAATCTATTTCGGTGGTAGGGCGGGCAAGGATCTGCCGTTTGCGCTCCGTCGGACGGTAGCGAAAAGATAAAAAGCTCCCGGGAGCGATAGTGTGCTGTTGAGACAGAGCCTCAGTTTCTATGTATAATGACCCATGTCGTGGTGTCGACCGAGCTTAGGAGCAAGCTGCATGTAAAGGATCGTGGGATGCGAAATATGAATCGTCGAATTCGGCGTTAGTCTGTATAACCGCACCGACCCGGCAGACACGATTTCGAATTTTAGATAAACTACAATGAAGTTCTTAATTTGGATCCGGCGATCTGCGGACGCGCTGAGGATCGAAAGATACGAAGACGGTGCCTACGACTTTGCAGTAGACGTTGGTCTCGAACCGTCCTCTTCAATTGTGCACCGCCGCTTGTGCCACGCGCTCCGCTCTCCTTCCTGGCGATAACTGCGCACGACATTGCCCATGGACTGGGAACCCGCAGGATTCGGGGTAGTTCCCCAGATTCTCGCCAGTCCCGCGATGCTCAATGGGATTGCGGAACGGCTTCGAGAGCCTTTCTACCGCTGGCTGTGGGAGACTCTGCTGCAAGGCGAATATAGGCTAATACCCCAGGACCCCATTAATTGAGACGAGATTGCCTAGCCATCAGAAAATTAAAAATGTCTCTGCTTCGAGGTTAGGGAGAATGCATCGGTCCAGACCTCGATGCGAAGTTCCCGAGGGGGCAATAAGTGCGGAAGTGCACGATTCATTGTCATCTCTACGATTAGTTTGGCGTCTGCCGGGCATGGACGGCCGTGGCTGTCCAGAAAATAGAACGGAGGCACGAGCGCACTAGCCTGAATTACAGCCATGGGCCCAAGGCGCCAGGAAGGCTTTGGAGAGCGGTAGTTGCTTAGGGTCACTAGACTTGTTATGCTTGAATCCTTCTTGATGTCAATTCTGGCCGCGATGCAGTGAAGAAGAGGATGGTGACTGCGCGTCGTGAATCCTTCTATTGCTGGCGTCGGGCGAGAGTGATTCCCTTCTCAGCAGAGGCAGAGGGAGATAGGGACAGAGAAGCCCTTCTCAGCAGCAGACCGATGCAAGTCAGCAATAATAGGCTGCTGACGAGACCATTTGTGTGTTGTGTAGTTGTGGCTTTTCAGCTGGCCAAATCGCTTCAGCTTACTAGGCTGCTAAGGCTTGGTGGCTAATAATAGCCACCACTGGGGAAGAAGGGACCTTGCCGGATGCTGTCTGGCTCTGAACGCGGCGCAGATCGTAGAGAAGCTCGAAGGATCGGCATTCTGCTTCGTAGTGGCTTTCAGGGGGATTCGACCACCACGATGACAAGACAGGCTACATGGGACGAACCGCACGGCGTCCCTCTAGCCCGTATCCGCAGCACACACCCAGCGTGGAATACGGCGGTGCATACACACAGAGAGCGGATAGTATAGGGGCTGTTGAAGATCACGGCAAGCACTAGAATTACTCGGCAATGCGTTCACGCGCTGGAAAATATCGGATCGAGTAGTGGGTTACCGGATGTACGAATCGCGTAGATGGGCAATATGTTAGTCGTTTCGAGAGCCAATGCGACATAGGGTGGTCGACGATCCGGCAGCCCAGATTGGGGGGGGGGTTGGTTTGCTTGATCGTTCACTCGAACTCCGTACTACTATACGTAGGATGATAGGATGATAGGGAGAGTGAAGGAGGGAAATAGAGAGCGGTAGAAAGGGGTAGAGATGCCGAGATGGGGCGCCGAGGCGGACGATGGATGAGATGGATGGCGGGAGGAGGAGAGAAGTCGGACGGTAGACGAGAGGCGAGGGACCTCCGGTATGTTCTTCTACCAGGTGCCTAAGCTATGCACATCACGGTGATTTCCTTCTACGAGGTATTGTAAAATGTACGTTATGTACATAGAGGTGGGTATCTGGTAATGGAGGCGCATTCGGTACCTGGGTACACATTCACCATTCAGGATTCCCACTTGCCCCATCCAGATATGGCCCGGGCGGCCCCTTGCTTTGCCTGCGACCGACCGATTAGGTCTTTCATCGAGGGAAGCCGCCTCCGCCGGCCCCCCTGCCGCACACGCACTCCATCGCACGGGCCAGACAGACCCACTCCCCCCTTCCCCGGCTGGAACGACGCTTACCTCACCTGGGATGGCCGGGGGGGCGATGACGCTACGTACCTGTGCTGCTGGCCAGGCCCACCGGGCCCACTGGCTGCACGTACTGGTACTTTGCCCGGCCCACACCTGCGTGTACGTACTCTGTCGTGGCTGACACCTCATTCCAGCGGAAGGTCCCACAAGCGTTGCGCAAAAGGGAAAGGGGGGATCCCGACCAGGAGTTGGTGCCTCAGGCCGCCGCGCTACCTAATAGGACACGTTGAACATAAAGAGCGCCGCCAGTCCCGTCCCGTCCCATCTGACTTTCGTTGATTCAAGCAGCCAAACAAGATCACAACACGACCACACAATCGGCCACGGTGTCCTCTGTCGCCCTGCTTGCCTCGTGACTCGATTCTCCCACAGTCGAGACCCGTCACAGTCTGGGGAGGGCTGACTCATCGGCACCCTTTCCGTCGCCTCCCATCCTAGTTCGTCCCAGACAATGCGCTGGCTCAGGTAATGGCGTCGCTATTACTTGCGTTGAGGAAGTAGGACGGCACCTCGGTACACCCCTCTCAGCATTTAACAAAGCTGCCCACCCACCCGTCAGCTTGCTTTCCCCTTCTGCAGCTCCGCAAGACGGCCAAGCTTTGAGACCTCGCACCGCTGCCAGCTCGCCTGCGAACACTCTCCCAAGAACCACCACCACCACCGGAGGAAACTGAAGTCCTCCTAATCACGCACTAAGAACAATAAATTACAAATTACCAACCCAGAACAGTAGGCGAGATGGCCACCTGGGAAAGCCAGCCAGCAGCCTCGTCGGCCCCTCGGGTCAAGTTCGAGGACTCCCCGGCCGAGTCGCTGCTGTCCGCCCCCGGCGACATCTACCCATCCCTCTTCGACAACACTACGCCTGCGCTGAGCCCTATGGAGAGCGTCATGACTCCGCAGTCGTTCAGTCCCAGTCCCGAGGACACGACTGGTGCTGAACCAGATTCCGCTACCAGCGCTACCCAGGTGACGCCTTCTCCCGCCCCCGAGGGTGAGAAGAAGCCGGTAAAGAAGAGGAAGTCGTGGGGCCAAGTCCTCCCGGAGCCCAAGACCAACCTACCTCCGAGGTATGTGATGGTTAAGCACGTGCGCTGACGGAGAGATGGTGCCGTACTAACAGATAAAACAGGAAGCGGGCCAAGACCGAAGACGAGAAGGAGCAGCGACGAGTCGAGCGCGTTCTTCGCAACCGCCGCGCAGCCCAGTCTTCTCGGGAACGCAAGCGTCAGGAGGTGGAAGCGCTGGAGCAGAGAAACAAACAATTGGAAGAGCTTCTGCTCAACCAGCAGAAGACGAATGAGATGTTGATGGATGAACTGAACAAGCTCCGAGGTTCCGGCGCCAGCCGTGGCTCTTCTCCGCTTGACAGCTTCCAGCCTTCCCCCCTAACCTTGTCCCAGCCCTTGTTCGGCTCGTCTGAAGACGCGTCGGTTCAGGGCAAGCCCGGCCTGATGAACGATTTCATCCTCATGCCGGAGCAGGATGGCACTCTCGACCCTGCCTCCCTGTCCCCGGAATTAGCCCCCGTCCCCGACGACGGCGCCGCCGAGTCGACGACCGAACACGTTTCAATGGCCCCCGCTTCCGCGGCTACTTCCTCCGACGCGACACAACATCCAGCAGCGGTGTTGTGCGACCTGCAGTGTCCGTCGGTGGAAGTTCCACAGTCGTGGCTGGCCTCTCAACAACCATCGGATCTAGCACTGTCACTCTTCCTGCAGCTTCAAATGCTGTGGATGGTATCTTCGGCGATGATTTCGGCCTTTCGACACCCCTTGATCTTGATTCGTGGGGCGCTCAAGGCCAATTTAGTCCTACTTCCGACCCCCTCGCTTTTGAGTACAATAATCTGGCTGGTGACTCGACCCCCGAGTTTCCGGGATTCGACTTCGACCAATTCCTCAGCGACGAAAGCGGTGCAGCCTCAGGCGCGACCGCGGGAAGCGACTCTATCACCCAAGAACCGGACCCGGCTTTTGGCCTCTTCGATTCTGAGAATCAACTCCCTCCGGAGACTCTTAACCAGCAGCCCCATCTTGGCGCGTCCGCTCAAGGATGCGACGATGGAGTTATTGCGGTTGGTGTCTAACGAGGGACGCGATGATCGGGTCGAGGGGCTGGCAGTTGGATCCCCGGGTATCAAGGGCGATCAGAGCCGTCGACCGCGAACGTGGCCAGACGGCACCAGCTTACCGTCACGAGAGGTACTGCTCACACTACTGTGGGCGATCAGAGTCGAAGAACGGAAATCAGTCATATCGAAGGAGGGCGAAGAAAAAAGCGCCTTCTCGCCAAGTTCCCGACCCGGATCAAGCGTCCTCGTAGAACAGACACCATCCCAGAATTATGTATTATCGGTGGCACCAAAAAGGGAAGGGGAGATAACGACGAAACCGGCCAACGGAAAGAGGGCTAGGCTATCCTACTAGAGAGGAGTTCCGGTGGGGAAAAACGACAACTATTTTTGGTATGGGGGACGGTTTCTAGGCGTCACGGATCTGGCTGCATGATGATGTACTTGGCCTGACTTGAAGCTGGACTTGTAACAAGTAGTATGTGTTATGAATTGACACTCTTCAGCGATTGTTTTACCGTTTTATTCCGGGGTTGCATATCGTGGACTATGATAATTGGCGACATTTCTGGCAGCATTATATAGAGCCTTAGAGCCTTAGAGCCTTGGAGCCTTTGATGTCGGTGAAAGCGAGATTTGTTACGGACCTGGGGGCAGTGTTCCTACTCGCAATGATATGGGGGAAAGGTAGATGCATCCGGGAATAAAAATCCAATACTCCTACACTTCAGTCTCGACGGGAACTCGTCAATTCAACCACTTGTTCTTGGTCTGGGTTAGCAAGGCCTCGCTAGATAAGTTACCGAGGCGGCTTTAAATTGTATTGCGTGGACTAGGACACGTCGTCTTCACGAAACGTATGATGAAAGACGGATCAGATTTTAGCCTTGTTTCGCCTGAAGGAATGTCTGGACACGATAAAGGGGTATCGGCGCAACTATACCAGAGCTTGGAGGCGTCTCAACCGCCATCTTTATGAAATAGCTGTCGTTATCGAGGCTAACAGACGTGGTTCCCCTTTGAGCCTTGGGATTTAACGCAGAGCTTGGAGTCTTACGTCGTCTATCTGGCTCGCTATCACCTAATCTCGTACGTACTGGCAGATGACCGTCTCGACGAAGCCTGGGCCGGCTGCGAATGCGAGCGCCGTGGTAAAGGAACCGGGACGGTGAGAGGGAACATAGGCTAGCTATTACCCATGATGTTGACTGAAGCCCGCGATACGACCCCGATATAATCTTATATAGCACTACACTGGGAGATAAAACCCCGTCCATACATGCATGCCCTACACAGCGCTTCAGACGCTTATCGTGAGCACCGGCCTTTGTCTTCGCCTAGATCTGCGGTGTCTTCTATCGCGGGTGGTAAACTTGCTTCGCGAGAGCGGCTCCCCGCAAAGCGCGCTACGTGAAGTCGTAGACCATGAGGCTTTCCCTGCCCTTCGACTCCTTGAGCACGATGACCATCTCGTCGTCGAACCCGACCCAATTCCGCCGGTCGTCCCACTGGGTGGCTGCCGCCTGCGCAACCACCGCGACGTCGTCCGGGCCTTCCCCGCCGTCGGCTACCGGCCGAGCGGTGGGGCGGACCTCGACGCTGCTCCCGTGGGCCCGCCCTTCCAGTTCCCACACCCGGATCTCCTCCCCGCGGCAGCTGACGCTGACCGCCTTCCCGCGGGCCGTTATCTCAGCGTCGCTTATGCCAGACGTGTGTCCCCAGAGCCGGATCCCGGGCGATATCGACAGCGACGACGATGTGGATTTGCAGAGGTGGAGGATTAATGTGTTGTCGGGGAGGGTGGCAAGAAGGTAGGGGTGCGTGTAACAGAGGTTTATAGGCCCGTCTAGCTCGTTGCTACCTCGTTCTAAAGGTGAGTTGTTTAATGGTTGAGAAAAGGACGCGGATAGTGATAGTGTACGGTTGGGGACGGTCCGGACGGGGAGGGTATACGCTAGGCGGGTGGTAATGATTTCTGGGGTGGGTTTGGATTTGGAGGCGGAGGAGCGCAGGTGGAGGTCCTGGATGCCGAGCGACCACCCTTGGAGGCTGGAGAAAGTGTAGGCGATGGAGGCTACGACGCCCCCGGCTGTGTTTCGGATGGATAGTGCGAGAGGAGCTCTAGAGGTATGTGATTTGAGCGATGTGAGTATGTATGGGGCCCTGATCAAGTTTTTCGGTCTTGAGCTTTCTGGTGCCCGTGGATTGAACCGCCCTGGGCCCTGCCGGCTCTCGGTGTGTTCATCGCTTCCGGTCCCTGGTGCTTGCTCGGACTGATCCGAGCCTGGTAGTTCAATGGGAGCCTCTACAGAGGGCCCCTCGAACGTATATAAGGACACCAAGACTGACTTCGTTGCTGTCAAGAGGTACGGATAGGAGAAGGCGATCCCGACTAGCTCTCCGTTGCTGGACTTCTCGTGGAGGTAACTCGGCAGTAGCTTCTTTTCCTGGGTATCCAACTGCCAAACGCCAAAGCTGCCGTCTGTGAATCCTAGCGCGATTTTCAAAGACTTGTCTCGGGGCTTCTGCTCATCTATAGCAATACAGCTGGGGAGAGCTCCCGACCCGACATCTTCCAGGTTGATCTGGGCTAAAAGCTCCTTCGTTTTCAGGTCCCAAGCTCGTAGTCCCGTTGCCCGGTCTGCTGTCGTAGCGATACCCTCGGAAACCTTCACGAGCATCTTATGCGACGAGTTCGTCTTGGCGAAGGGCGGTTCCGGGCCGACGTGCAGCTCCTCGACGGCACATTTCCCTCGTGCCCAATTGTGTCGGAGTTTATACTGCATTTTCCAATTCCTCGAGGACTTCTCCGTATCGTCCGCAGGCATGTCGACCCAGCCTCCTCTTCTCCCATCTGCCCACAGCGCCCTTTGCGACGAATAGTAAAGCTTGCCGTCCCTAGCAGAGCCGTCACGGAACCCCGGGATGCGCAAGGCACGCGGCAGGACAAAGCGCGAGTAGTACAGGCGTCTCCATATCTGCGAGTCTCCGCTTAGACCGTAGAAGCGCTTCGATAGGGGCGCAGTGTTAAGTAGGTCGGGAAGAGGGAGGAACGAGAGGACGCGGAGGAGCAGCTCGTCGGATAGAGGCGACAGCAGGTCCGGGGAAAGGGTATGGCGGGATCTCTTCGACGCCGCGAGTCGGCAAGTCGTGTCGCCTTCGGTGCGCTTTCGCTTGTAAGTCATGGTGCCTCCTGGCGTCGAGTATCGAGGCGGAGGAATGCCCTCTCCTGGACGAGAATAGTATCCTGAGGTTGACGGATGAATGGGATCTCACCCAAAGCACCGCATTCGGGGATATCGGATATTATCATCGCGATCACGACGCAGCCGGAGTTCAGCCGAGCCAGGCCTTGGCGATTGGGTTAGGTACCTAGGTACCTAATATGCTGAAGACAGGGTGTGATACCTCTAATAGATGCATAGAGGTACCTAGGTACCTACTTAGGTGGAGGTGTGTACAAAAAGAGTCGCATGCGACAGCAGGGATTGGGAAGCTGCAGAGGATTAATACATCTTCGGGCGCACCTTCGACTTACCTGGGTGGAAAACTAGCGGGGGTTATGTAATTAGTTGGGTGGTTTAATTCTCCGGAGGGTGCGGAATACGATTCTATCTGTCATCTCGACAACTTCAGCCTCGAACACGCCGTGGTGTAGTGAGCCAAGAGAACACGAGACCAGACAAGGCGACATCTGCTGGTCGGTACGCGAATTTTCACGATGTACGCTCCTCCCCAGCTGTATTTCCCCTAGCATACGCCGTATTACGACATTGCATCAGTTTACCCAGTTCTTAGGGTGCCTTAAGCGGTTGCCTGCTAAGCCGTCGGACTGCCCATCACGTTCTGGCCGCCACGAGTTCCTGAGTCCAAGTCTCGGAAGCAAACCAATCCCGTCGTCTGTACACGTTATAGTCGTCCGGAGCTGGGACGGTGACGTTATAGGGATACGTAAGCAGGGCTGAGCTGATTCGATTAGCATCGTGCTGACCGGTTCAGCACGTCTAGGGCCTGCCATAGGCTTTATTATCATCAACGAAAAGTAGGAATCCGGAGACCAAGGCCGAGCACGTAACGCGGGCCCCGCGGGTCCCGACTACCATGCAACTCCAAGGAGGTGGAAGCCCAAGATCAACTTAAACCCGTTACCCGTTAACCTCAAGGGGACAGGCCGCTCCGTCTATTCGCCATCACTTGCTTTCCTACGGCAGTTTCACACGCCATACCAGCCGCTGGGAGGTATTAAGCGGTCTTAGCCTGTCACATACACCACGCCATGGACGCCGAGGGCCCCGAAGTTGGTACCCCGGGATCTCCTGCTGCGCCGCGACGAGCTGTAAGTCGGATTCCACCATGATACTAGACAGCCTCCCTCTTCGGGCATTCATCCCCCAGATTACTAGTTATCATACTACCGAAGTATTCGCATTACCGCTTTCTCTTGGCTAAGTAACACCGCATGGGCAGTGCGACCAATGTAGGCTTAGGAAGGTGAGAGGAGCCCACTCACCCACCCGCCTCTCGTGTGATAAACTCACGGATCGAGTTTATTAACATGCAGGCACCGCGTGGGTAGATCCGCTGCGACAAGGAATCCCCGTGCTCCAACTGCCGGAGCGCTAGAAGGGACTGCAGTTCCACGGGAGCTGGCCAGAAACCGAAGGAACCACGGCAGCGAGTGTTGATATCGAGCCAATAGTATGCATAATCTGCCATCAAGTGCGGTGGAAGCAGAGTAAGCCCCCGAACTGACTCGCTTAACTATCCTTGTCTAGTGAGCGGAAGATCGACCTTATAGAGGAGCGGCTCGGCGGTATCGAGACGCTGCTACGAAACCTCACCCCTTTATCATCCTCAAACTCGCCCGCTCGGGAGTCCCGTTCTCGGCGGCCCTCCGGAAAGTCGACACCGTTATCCGGGGGCAACGTGGATGATGCATACAGCGCTACCTTTGACCCGGAGGATGCAGGCGACTTCGAAGGGAACTCGTCGTTGGCGGCGCATACGGCGTTCGCGAGCGAGTTCCTCGAGAATGTGGTCCAGCACACCCCACTTCCGCGGCAGGGAGGCGGCTCCAAGATGGAGGCGGCGTTGTCATCGCTACGGAAAATTGTCAATATGCAAGAGAACCGCCGGGCTGTGTCGTCTTTCTACCGCTGGCCAGGCCAGAAGCAGGCGCACCAGCTAGGCATACGCGAACTTCCCCTACCTCCTATGGAGTTAGTGGCAGATAAGCTGCGAGTGATGAAACGTATTCGCCTTCTCCTACCCTTCTCCCCGGGTGCTCCCAGGAAGTGCTCATTGACCATTGAGCCTAGCTGACCTTGTATCGCAGATGGCCCAGTTCCCTTGATGCTTGCCGTCCTCTATTGCTTCATAGACGTCGAGAAATTCACCGACCAATGTCGCCGCATTTACTTTGATGCCGACGACGTCACAGATGCGACAATTATCCTTGTTAATGCTGGGATCGCGTACTTGTTCTTCGAAGCGGGATTGAATGTCGACGATCCCAAGGAAAAAGCTCAGTATGAAACGTACTGGAATATGTGCCAGAAGAACCTAGATACGGTGCTGGCGCAGCTCAACTTCCTCATGCCAGCGACGCTCGAGAATCTGGAAGCATTGCTTATGGCTGTAAGTCTTCACGGCATGTCTTCTCAAGGATCAAAATGTGCGGAGCCGGAAAAAGAAATATAGAAAAGGATGACCGTTTGGTTGTTGTTATAATTTATACGCGTCAGTACTAACACCGTGAACCATAGGCCAGCTTTTCGATTGATGTTTCGCGACCTTCCCTATCGTGGGTGCTAGTATCACAGGCCGCTCATATGTGCCGGACGCTTGGTCTGCACCAAGTCGGCTCCATGAAGAACGACAGCCCACAGAGAAGAGCCGAAAAGTCGCTACTGTTCTGGTGCACCTACATGCTAGACAAAGGGCTCTCGCTACAGCTCGGCCGCGCGTCTGTCCTGCAGGACTACGATATCTCACTGCCACACATCGCCCCTGAAGGCCACGCGGCCTATCCGGGGACGGAAGTAATGACTTTTTGGATCAAGCACGCACAAATCCAAGGAAGGATTTACGAACGTTTGTACAGCCCCGGTGCGCTAAGGCAGGCCGAAAAGTACAGAACCGAGCAGGCCAATATCTTGGCTACGGAACAGAAGCACCTCATGCAACAAAGTCAGGAGGTGATTGCCGGATTTCAATCATCTACGGCCATCGATAGCCGCATGTTTGCCCTGATGCTGAAGTCGGACGAGGTCTCGTACTTGTCCTCCCTGGCGCTTATCTATCGGGCGATGCCGCCTATGGGAAACCGCTCGCGGACCTTTTCGGATGAATGTATCGACACGGCCAGGCAGGCTATGCGTTGCCACCAACAGTCCATGGCTATGATGGAAGAGCAGTCACTGAAGATAATGTATATCCATTGGTAAGTTTGAAACCCGTCATGTTGCCTCTGACCTATTAGGCTTGTTTGCTAATTCATATGTCTGGGGGTGGAAAAAGGACGATCATCTATGCTCCCTTTATTCCATTCATCGTCATGTTCTGCCTGGTAATCGAAACGTGCTGCGAGGAGGATTTGCAGTGCCTAGCGGACTTCGTTCAGTCGCTCGAGACCGCCTGTGACGTGTCTTCCTCCATAAAAAAACTGCATCAGCTGTGCCGGGTGCTATATAACGTTGCGCAGGTGTACATTGAGGCGAAAGCACAGTTGCCCGTCGACCAGGGTATGGTTCCGGTCGGCAACGAATTCAACATGTACCTCAGCCAACTCGGCTTCATCCCTGTAGACGAGACCATGACGGGCAACATTGATCTCAGCGGTGTCGATGACCAGGCCAGGTCGATGGCGCAGTCGGCATATCTCGGCGACTGGTTTTCGGGTAATAACTATATGCTAGGACTATTAGAGGAGGACCTATCTGGGATCAACCCGTTAAGTTGGCGGTCGTAAATCGAAACGCGAAACGTGTTGCTGGAATCCAAGATGTGCCTGGGAAGGATATAATGGAAAGGGGCCGTGTAAATCGCGGCTCAATGAGCGATGATCTCGGACGGGCGTACTGAACCAAGGGTATACTGGATATCCCCGCTCTGGGCAGGCTATACTTGAAATAATATCACGAGGACTGTAACAGAGTAGCAGGGGACCCAGAAAATTGCGTATTCGTGTCTCGCTTTTCAAGCCCCCCCCGCGCCCCGGCTATATACTGGCCGACTTTGTCAGTAACTGTGCGCGCACGGCTTTCACGCAGCTACCCGAGACATCCTTATCTGTCTCCTTCCTTTCGCACTGATACTCGGTGCTTGTTTTATTTATGCCCTCTCTCGCGCCGCATCCACTCCGGCCCTGGGTGCAAATAGCTGGCCTGTATCGTCCTACCTCCACGTGTGAATATGAAAAGAGATGGTGATTAGCTCACGAGGAATCGGCCTTGGCGATACGCTCGGCTTCAAGCTCCTGCTCAGCACGTCGGTAATACTTTGCGGTGTCGACGCCGTGCTGGCTGTGGTTGACAAAGTTGAACCAAGGGAGGACAGCGGTGAAGAGGGCAGAATAGCGGGACTGGCGGGCGGCGACGCCCTGGAGGTGCGGCGAGAGGCGGCTCTCGCCGTAGAGAGGCTCGCCCGCCTTCACCTTGGCCACCATCTCCTTCATGTCCATCTCGACCTCACGGGCGTTCTCGGACATGCCGTAAAAGCGCACTGCCGGTTTAGTTAAAAAAAGAAGAGCAACCGACGAGCGATTTTCCAAGTATGCGCTAGATTTAAAACCGCCGGGGGTTGGAAGAAGACGAGGGGGGGGACGTACGGCTCGATCGTTCGTAGAAGTAGAGAAACCCGCCTATGGCACCGATGACGCTGACCAGGCGCATGGCGCGCGGAAAGCCACCACGGCCAACCTGCGAGGGCGCGAACCTCTCCATCAGCCAGAGCAGAGTCGGGCCGCCGGCGGCCGCGACGGTGCCGTGGATGTAGTCGGAGGTGCGGGCATAGCCCACTACCCGCCTGAAGTGTCTAGAGCCGGTGGGTTCGTTACGTTAGTGGAGAGATTGCGCGATTTCGAAGGGAGCTCGTACGGGTCATTGTCTATGAGCTAGAGGCGGAACACGGGTTAGCATGGACTTGCTCGACAAGCTGATAGCTGGACGGGATAGAAGAACTGGATCGGGGCAGGGAGGCAGGGCCGCGCCAAGTACGTACGGGATAGTCGGTAACGAGGGTTTTGCTCGGGATGTAGGTCTGCTGCGGACGAGAGCTCGCCATGGTCGCGACAAGGTCGAATTGGACTACCCGACGAAGCTTCGTTGTGCGCTCTCCGCCTCGTTGGGTTCCGGTTCCCTTTAATTGAGGTCATGAAATCCTTGAGCTCGAAATCGCGAGAGGCCTCGGAAGGGGAGTTGAGACGAGGTATCGGATGAGTAAGCGGCATTTCTTCGGTTGTTGTGTCACCCCGCCTCACCTGCCCCGGCTTAGGTAATGAGTGGTACTGCGCACGGCCATTTATGGGTTGTCAATTTGCAATCGAAAGGACTAGGGTACGTAGGTACTACGCAGCTGTTGATAAGATAAGATTAGATAGTGGTTCTGCCCCACATGGATGGAGACGCGTCGCGTCCCGGCTAGATTTAACGATTCAATCAATGAGCCGCGTGTTTTCCTCAGCGCATTAGAACTAAGACCCTCCGTGAGGTTGAGCTGAGGTAGACAGAGTAAGAAAAATGGCGTCTCGAGCAGCGCCGCGAGAAACTTCTACTACAAAAAGGCTGCTGGGCACCGACATAGAAAACTACGATATCGAAGACCCCTTCGCCGACTCTGGTGACGAAGCGCCGAAAAATGCGGGACCGCCGGCGAAGAGACCTAAGAATACGACGAGTCTGGGTATTGATGAGGCGGTAGATGTGAACAAGAAACCTAGAGCACCGCTTGTGAAGTTGGACGAGACTAGGTTCGTCCGCTGGACACGATCGATCACCGGGTGACCATCGTAGTCGTACTCACCCGGCGCAGATTACTGTCAGAGAAGGGCATACCACGACTACGACGAAAGGCGCGCGATTTAAGATTCAAGGGCAAAGGACACGAAGTACGGAACATCATTATCGATTCCACTACCTACATCTAGATGCCGCGCGGGCACACACACATACACCCACTACACTACTCCCACAAAAGCGAACAATCGCTAACCACACCGCGTGCCCTTTCTAGTTCTCCGACGCGGCGCGGCTCCTCTCCTTCTACCAGCTGTGGTTCGACGACCTGTTTCCGAAGGCCAGCTTCCTCGACGCCGCGAGCATGGCCGAGAAGGTGGGGCACAAGAAGTACATGCAGACGATGCGCCGGGAGTGGATCGGCGAGGGCAAGCCGAAGCCGCTCGCCGACGAGTTCGCGGAGATCTTCGGCGACGTGCCGCCCGAGGGCGACGGCCAGGGCCAGGCGGAGCGCGCGCCCGCGCTGTTCCCCGCCCGCATCGCGCCCATGTTCCAGAACCAGGGCCGGGGCGCGCCGCGCACGCCGCCCCCGCAGCCGACAGACGACGACGCCGGCGTCCCGGGTGACGATGCCGAAGACCTGTACGACGCGACGCCGCGGGCCCGCGGCCCGCCGGCGGCGAAGAGCGGGAACGGCGCCTCGCTGTTTGGGAGCGGCGCCGCCGGAGGAGGAGTGCCGGACGACGACGAAGACGACCTCGACGCGTTGATGGCCGAGGAGGAAGCGCTGCGTGCGCGGCCAAACCCGAACCAGAACTCGAAGTCCCTGTTCGGCGACGGCGACCGCGGAGGGCCGCAGGAGGAGGATGATCTGGACGCGCTGATGGCGGAGGCGGAGCGAGATATGCAGATCGAGCCGGCGGGCCGCGGGTCCGATGTGGTGGCCAAACCGGCGTCGACTGCTGCGGCTGGTGGTGGTGATGGGGGCGACGACCTAGATGCCCTGATGGCGGAAGTGGAGGCCGAGCCACAGGATCAGGGGAAGGCGGCTCGAGATAGCGTGAGTTCGGGGCCGCCAAAGGATCCCCATGATGTGGTGGATGCGGACGCTGAGGAGGCTATGGCGGAGATGGAGGGTTTGTGGTGAGAAGCGGTTCTGGGAACCGAGGTGGAAGAGGAGCGTAATCCTGCTGCGAATGAGAATGAATGTAATGTCTATGTGCATGCTGAGGGCATTGCAGAAGAATTTGGGCCTTGGTGCATTTCCTGGTAGACGCCTTGAAAATGGGCCGCTGGCGAGTTGTGGCGATAAGGCGATACTCAGGTTGCGTTGAATCAGTGGCATGCCTGACAGGTTTGGGTATGAATACTGGCTCTCCCCCTATTGCGTACGAAATGAAGCGATTCAATACCATACTACACTGAATGTTTACCTACCTATCTAGGTAGGTATTATCTAGCACATACACACTCTGCAGCATTTAGCATGGGGGAAAAGGGACAGAGAACAGGAGACCCTGGATGAATACCTCTACATAATAAAACGGGCTACATTCTCTCTTATGTAAACAACAGATCTGTATGCATGTACTGGGATGTGTTGGGTAATCTCTATCCAGGTTATCTAAGCAACCCTTGCTCTATCGATAAAGGCAGGGTAGCCTTTGATAGGCTGGCTCTGTGCTGAGCTTCACATCCCACCTTGCCCAAGACCATTTCCCCCAGTTACTGACCGCAGGCTGAAATCGAATACCTCAACCCCAACCTTGCCGCACCAGTGTTGTCCCACAGATGTCTGATACAGACTCTATCAGCTCTTTGGGCCCAACCCCACGGCAGAGCATGGCATCTCCAGACTTGGCCGAAGCTGTGCAGAAGCTTCGAATATCCAATGTTCGAGACGACTTTGTCATCGACGACATCCTCTTCCAACAGGGGCCCCGCAAGCGATTCAAGCAGGACCCAACCGCCCTCAAAGCCGAACTTGAACGCAAGTTCCTGACGCCTCCTACTACTTTCTCCACCGAATGGCTTAACAAGCTGCAGCAGCGATGGGAATCCACCGTAGATCTCACCGAGATATTTCGCCTCGCGCCTACGCAGACCCGTACCGTCACACGCTTCCAGCGCCAGGGTCTTGAGGGCAGGGTATCGGGCTACAAGAATGTCACTGTGCCTGCGAATAGCGCCACCGCCAAGAATTCTACCTCTCTGATGCGCAAGCCTGGTGACCGTACCGACTTCGTACGCGGCGCAGCAGGCTTCTTTCCCTTTGCCCCGGGCGGTCTGGACAGCGTTGAGGCTACAGCTGCGCTAGAAGATCAGATGTTGCACTCCGAGCCTACTACCACCCAAAGCAAGCTAGAACGTGTCATCAAACTCGGCGCCGAAGGTGGGCTTCTCGCAGTTGCGCCTGGCCTCGAGAGAGGCATCGACTTCAGCAAGAAGAAGTCCAAGGCAAACCAGAAGGAAGCGAGGGCGATCGAGGCAGAACTTAACCAAGAGCCCGACCAGGCACCCGAGCATGAGGATGCTGACGGCCATGGGGAGGCTGAAAATTCTGAGGGGGCCGAGGAGGGGGAGCTAAACGGCGAGGAGGGAAGCGAAGATATCGACACGCTATTACCCGTCGAATTTCCCACTCTAGTGACTAGCGGTAATCTTACTAAATCTAGCGCGCGAAAGGCAGGTCGAGAATGGGCCCACATGGTCGATATCAACAGAGACATCACCAACTTCAGAGAGCTCGTGCCCGATATGGCCCGAGAATGGCCTTTCGAGCTGGACACTTTCCAGAAGGAGGCCATCTATCATCTCGAAAGTGGCGATTCCGTCTTTGTTGCCGCTCATACGTCGGCCGGCAAGACGGTCGTAGCGGAGTACGCCATCGCATTGGCTGCGAGGCACATGACCAAGGCCATATACACGTCCCCTATTAAAGCCCTGAGCAACCAGAAATTCCGCGATTTTCGCCAGACCTTTGACGAGGTAGGCATCTTGACTGGCGACGTACAGATAAACCCGGAAGCCAGTTGTCTCATCATGACCACCGAGATTCTGAGGAGTATGCTGTATAGAGGTGCCGATCTCATTCGGGACGTAGAATTCGTCATATTCGACGAGGTCCACTACGTCAACGATTTCGAGCGCGGCGTCGTCTGGGAGGAGGTCATCATCATGCTTCCGGAACACGTCTCGCTTATCTTGCTCTCTGCTACTGTCCCCAATACGTACGAATTCGCCTCCTGGGTTGGTAGGACCAAGAAGAAGGATATATACGTCATCTCGACACCCAAGAGACCCGTCCCCCTGGAGCATTATTTGTGGGCCGGTAAGGACATCTACAAGATTGTAGACCACCAGAAGAAGTTCATCGAGAAGGGTTGGAAAGAGGCAGACCAAGCCATGCGCGGGAAGGACAAGGTGCTCCCGGCCCCGGCCGTGAGAGGCGGTGGCAATCAGCGTGGAAACCAACGTGGCAACCAGAGAGGAGGAGGCCCTCAACGTGGAGGCGGTCAGCAACGCGGTGGTCCGCGAGGTGGCGGCCAGCAGAGGGGAAGAGGAGGAGGAGGAGGAGGGCCTCCGCGAGCTAGTCACGCACCGGGCCACATGGGTCGCGCCGGTCGGCCAGGTGGCTTCACATCGGTAAACCAAGACAAGAATCTCTGGGTTCACTTGGTACAGTACTTGAAAAAGTCCAATCTCCTGCCGGCTTGCATCTTTGTCTTCTCCAAGAAGAGGTGCGAGGAGAATGCGGATGCCTTAAGCAACCAGGATTTCTGCACGGCCCAGGAAAAGAGCCACATTCATATGATAATCCAGAAGTCGATCGCGCGCCTACGGCCCGAGGACCGAGTCCTACCACAAATCGTTCGTCTACGAGAGCTGCTGAGCCGAGGCATCGCCGTGCATCATGGTGGTCTCTTGCCTATTGTCAAGGAAATGGTCGAGATCCTGTTCGCTCGGACCTTGGTCAAGGTCCTCTTCGCGACTGAAACCTTTGCCATGGGTCTGAACCTGCCTACTCGAACTGTCGTATTTTCTGGCTACCGAAAGCACGACGGCCATTCATTCCGAAACCTCCTTCCGGGCGAATACACCCAGATGGCTGGCAGAGCTGGCCGTCGTGGTCTCGATCCCGTAGGATCGGTCATTATCGTGCCTCCTGGCGGTGGGGACGAAGCGCCGCCCGTGGTTGATCTTCAGAAGATGATACTGGACCCGCCTAGTAAGCTGCGGTCGCAGTTCCGATTGACCTATAACATGATCCTGAACCTGCTCAGAGTTGAGGCCCTGAAAATAGAGGAGATGATTAAGCGTAGCTTCTCTGAACACGCCACGCAGCAACTACTTCCAGAGCACGAGAAAGCCGTCAAGCTATCCGAGGCCGACTTGGCCAAGGTGAGAAGGGAGACGTGTAAACTCTGCGACGAGAATCTGGACAAGTGCCACCAGGCGGCGATGAATTACAAGCAATTAACACAGGACTTATACAAGGGCCTATTGACAATACCAATCGGCAAGAAGCTGTTTACGCAGAACCGACTGATCGTTTGGAACAAGGACGGCGTGCGGACGCCGGGAATCCTCCTGGCTAACGGCGCGAGCAGCAAGACGTCGGGCGGTCAGCCTACGGTTCACGTATTCGAGATCAAGACCGACCGCGAGACTCGAAACTCGACCGATATTCTACCCTTTATCGGTCTATTTCGCTCCTTTTTCACTCCCCTTCCCCGTCACAAGAAGGCATATCACAAGGCCGTCCACGTGCCGCTCAGCGACATTGAATGCCTCACAGCGAAAATCACTACCGGCATCGTGCCGGATTTCTTCGAGTTTGGCGAGCCGCGCGCGCGAGCCAAGGACAAGATATTTTCAGTTTGTAAGACCTGGGAGTCTGATATCTGGGATGAGGTTAGCTTTAGCAAGATCAGAAACTTGCCGCTACAGGAGATTATCGAGAAGCGGCGAAAAGAGGAGGCTATGATCAAGGAACACGCTACGATGTACTGTCGTGACTTCTTGAAACACGTAAGTCGCTATGTTTCTTCCTAATCAACCCGACCGATTGTCTTACTGAAAACTCTTTTTGGGCATCTAGTTTGCCATGTGCCACGATCAATGGGTCATCAAGGAGCAGATTTCGTCGCTCCGTGAAGCGCTCGCCGACCAAAATCTTCAGCTGCTACCCGACTATGAGCAACGCATCCAGGTGCTTAAGGACCTTTCTTTCATCGACGAGGAAACGCGAATTCAGCTCAAGGGCAAGGTGGCGTGCGAGATCCACTCGGCGGACGAGCTCGTGCTTACGGAGCTTATCCTTGACAACGTGCTGGCGGAGTACGAGCCGGCGGAGATCGCGGCGCTGCTGTCGGCGTTCGTGTTCCAGGAAAAGACGGAGACGGTGCCGAAGCTGACGGGGCGGCTGGAGCGGGGGATGAAGACGATCGTGGATATCAGCGAGAAGGTGAACGAGGTGCAGACGGAGCGGCAAGTGATCCAGGGGGCGGAGGACGGGAGCGACTTCGCGTCGCGGCCGCGGTTCGGGCTGATGGAGGTGGTGTACGAGTGGGCGCGGGGGATGAGCTTCAAGAACATCACCGACCTGACGGACGTGCTGGAGGGGACGATCGTGCGGACGATCACGCGGCTCGACGAGACGTGCCGCGAGGTGAAGAACGCGGCGCGCATCATCGGTGACCCGGACCTGTACCAGAAGATGCAGGCGGCCCAGGAGATGATCAAGCGCGACATCACGGCGGTGGCGAGCCTATACATGTAGGCGGGACGCCTTGCGGCAGGGGGGGAGGGAAGCTGTCTACCTCCTCCCTGCTGAGGTGGGGAATCCGTGTCGTCGGCTGAGCGAAAAGCGCCGTGCGTATTACGGCGGTACGATTCTAGAGGAGGAGACGATAATACCCGTCGGTGCTACTATAGAGATACCTATCGAGGCGTTGTCAGGACAAAATCGAGGAGAGAGATTTTGCTACTTAGTAAATACTATCCTTCAAATGGTTTCCTCATTTCAGCCACGCTCGTGGGTATACGTGCTGGTATGCTTTGTGATCCCGGGACCCTGGTGATGGAGGATTAGAGGAGATAGGTCTCGTGTAAGTGCTTAGGCATCGCATGGTCACTTCAAATTCAACCCCTTTCTACCCCCCACCCCCTTTCCCTTCTTCTCCTGCTTTAGGCCGGTTAGTGTGGGTGGCCGTTATTACGGCTATCTTATTAGTATCGTCGCCAGATTCGTCGATTTAACGTCTGTTGCGTAAAACGTAGATGCCTCTTGCGGTATGTAGGCTTATAAGGGCCGGTTCAATTGCTACGTGATAACGTCGGCTATATGACGTGATAAAACCTCCATAACGGAGCGTGACGGCGCAGGAGAATAGCACGATGATGCCTACGATGGGCGCGTTGGCCATTTCACTGACGCGATAGGGAAATGGCGGTCACAGGCACTAAAGTCCATATTCTCCTTTCCGCTGCCGCAAGGGAACTTGCAATACTTTCGTATGCTTCTGGTTAAGCTACATGCCATTTGATGTGGAGGCTGCCGTGTCGACTGGGCTACCTTTGAGCAAAGGTGACGTCTCTTCGAGGCATCGATTACTATACCACCCCGCCTGCCCTGTTACTATCACTTAGCATCTTGCGCCGTGTAATAATGGGGTATGCTTAGAGTAGTCTTAATTTAGTCAATACTTCTCTAGGTTCCCGAGGTCCTCAACCCCTCTGCTTCTTATCAAGAACGCCCGTTATTTTACGGATTAAAAGTATTAGGTGTCCTTATACCTTCGTGCTTAGCTATCCAATCCTGACCGTGCCTTATCTTTTAGTAGGTCGCCGGCCGGGGATTAAGCCGTATTATCTCGTACGATTCCTAAATACCTCACGTACGACGATATTATGCCTGTTTCATGGACATGTGTCTCTGTATCGAAAGCTGGTCGAAATCATGCATCTTCCTCCTGTATTCCTGAAGAGTGCGGCTTTCCGTTTCTGGACTGACCTGCCGGATCGGCTGAGAATTTCGCAAGCGTACCGGTACCGCCGTTGGCTTTGCATGTGGGTGACGCTTCCTCATATGGTTTCTCAGACTCTTTTCGGTCGGAAACCCGACATCGTTGTATGAACACTCTACTTCATAGCACCGAAGCCCTGTGGTATGGCGAATTTCGTGGTCCCGAAGTAATCTTTGGGTCGAAAAGCCCACGTATGCGCGATCACACCCAGACTTTTGGCAAACGAAGGCTGTTGGGGCATACTCGGCTTGGAAATTGACCAAGTCCTGCTGGGGGACCGACAAAAGAGAGCGTTGCTTAAGGAGATGCTGCCCAAGACGGTGATAGTTCTCAGTACTTCTCCGGAATATATCGGCGGTGTTGTTTATCACTTATTGACCTTGTCAGTTGCTGTCGATGTTAGTTGCAAGGCTGAGTGCTGTACCTGTTGATGTTTTCTCATCCTCACGTAGCTGGATGAAATAGGCAATGAATCCTTGAACTTCACGGACTGAATCAAGTAAGCGCAATCGGGGCTCTAGCTTTTTCACCTCGTCGATTCCGTGGTAGTAGGGTTGGTGCTCCAATGCCGCAATCCTTTGGCAAAGAGCGTTGAGCTGCCGTATCAATGGATCCCTGCCATCGGAGATGGGGTTACCCAGCATCCCCACGTACTCCAGCACATGATGTACCCAATTCTCGGTAGCATATGGTAAGAGGCCATGAATGCCGGAGGCAACCTTCGGTAAAGAAATCGGATCCTGCTCGGGCCCAGTCAGGAGGTCGAGTCCCTGTTTCAACTGAGAAACACATGCGTATGCGATTGAGTGTTGTGACTCGGTGGGGTTTATGAACGGCAGATTATTATTGCCGTGCTCGAGCAAAAACCTGTATGCACTTAGTTATAGCTCCAGACATTTCTTATGAAACTCACTTAGGTACAGTTGAGTGGACGAAGGTCAGAGAATCTTCCAGTCCATCCTCTATTAGAGGTTTGCAAATATCAGTCGCGTCTGGGAAGGGTTTCGTATCCTTGTCGAGAACATCACAACCAAAATGGAGAGCCATGGAGAGCCGGATCTGGTGCTTTCGCAGCGCATGCCGCCCCTTTTGATACAAGAGCCATGAGAACACTCTGCCTATTTTTGAGACATCTTCAGGTAAGCATCGGCTGCACATATTACTGAGAATTTTAGAGTATCTATTACACTTTAGTTAACACCTTGTAAGTGACAGAATAGGGTCAGTTACTCACGCTTCTGCCAAATCTTTCGGCAGGCTGTCAACTCGGAAATGAAGGTCTTGGGTGCTGGTCGCCATATATAGGAGGTCTAGGATAAGACGGACCCATAGAAACATCCCTGGCATAGGTAATAATATCAGTTAGTCTCCGCTCTTATGATCTAGGGATTTCAGAGACGGCTCGACCTTCTGCTTTCTCCATTATGTCCCTCTTCAATTTTCGAAGCTCTGCTTTCTCAATTATTCCACCGTGCGTCCCATTGAGGTCTTCGAGTGAACCATCAACCATCATAGCTATGTCTTGCTGGACTAAAGCTTTCTCGTCCGTGATGCATAATTTCGGCTGCTTGGACAATGATGACGCTATGCTGGGGACTTCCTGACTTATAAGCAAGATCTTGCAACCCTGAGCCGATTTCGTCAGCTGTATGAGATCCTTGATCAAGCTTCTGTGCTCCGACGAGGGAATCTCGTCTATTCCATCCACAACTAGGCGGACGTCATCAAAACGCTGTAGTAGCCGTGGTAGGAGTTCCTTAAGTACACTTATTGTAGGCTTTTGTCCCTTGCTAATATACTCGGAGTAGAGGAAGGGGACAAAGTCGTCGTCCATCTCGACGATTTGAGAGCATATTGTCCGGAAGATATGGGTCGTGACGTTTGATGATGGAGTGTAAAAGTCGCAAAAGAAGAATGCTACCCGATGGTGACGATTAGATCGAAGATAGTTGATTACTCGGGCGCTTAGGACGGATTTTCCTATGCGCATTATTAGTTATCTAGTCGGCTCGCGTCCTAGCGAAGCGTAAGTGAGATAAGGTACGAGAACGAAATACCTGATCCAGGCTTCCCTTGCAACCACAAGACCGCGTTTCCGCTACAGTATATAGCGACATTGGTCAGCGCCTGTACTAGTGAATAGTGCTTTGAGAAGGGAACCAGAACTGCTCGAAAGCTAACTCACCGGCCGCGCTGTAGCCAGGACCTAAGCCTCGAAGACTTGTCAATCCATCCTGATGTGTCCGTGCAACAGCGACTAGCCAACCAGTCTAGCTTCAGTTCTTGGACATTATCGCCCGCTTCAAGCCAGTTCAACAGTCCCCGATATTGCTCAGCCTGCCATTGCTTCTCTCGGCATTCGGATTCTTTAAGACTCCTCTGTCTCGACTCAGCCATTTGCATGATATTCAATGATACGGCTTCTCTGTCAATCAAGTCGCTGTTATGCTTTATACTCTCAAGCAAGCTACCGAACCGGGCATCAAACCGGCCCCATAGGGACGAAAAACACATTTTCCATTCTATAGGAAAGGATAGTTAGTTAGGCCCATGACTTGTTCGTTTCTTCTGAAGCAAGGATCTCGCACCTGGCTTCCGTATCATCGAGTAAGCTCGCCTATGGAACTCGATAATGTCTTCAAACAAGAATGCAACCAACTGTTGAAAGTCCCGATGCTCGGGGAAGGCACCGGCATATCGGGAGAAGCGCGGCATGTGAGCGCCAATATTTCCGTACGCCATCAAGACTTTGTCCAAAGCATGTGTGTATTCATGCACACCCTGTTTGCCACGATTATTTGTGAATGACCACAGTGTGGTTTCGTAGGTCAGTTCTTCTTACCTGGATAATAAGCTTGACGGGCGCCTGTAATGATTTTCAGCGCTATTACTTGGAATGGGAGGCGCGACCAGGCCAAACGTACCCAGATCCAAGGGAGATATGGTGTTCCGTTACATGCTACCTCTACAGCTTGGGAATAGCGGTATATCGCGTCCACGAATGGTGTAAGGCGTTGCAGGTTTCTCAGGCGCTGCTTCGCAGCAAGTTCGTGCTCAACGTCCTGGATAGCCGTCTTCACGTCGTCTAACCTGACTGTTCTTTCGATGCTTTGGGCATCCTCGATGGAGATCTCATCGCGAAAGCGTTTGCATGCTCTTTGTATAATCTGTTCGGCCATATTCGAAATTGGAATAAGCTGGTGACTGTGAAGCAATGTGACGCCGGAGGGTTTGCCTTGATACGAATAATGACTGAAATAAATAGTCAACGAGGCTCTGAGGCTGTGGTTATGCAGACTCGCAAAGCCACATCAGGGATGCTACCCTTTTACGGGCCACCTATAGAGGCCCAAACCTGTCTATATGAGGGAAAACCCGATTTTTGATAGGTGAACCCCAAGGGTAGAAGGGGCGTCATTAACATAAATGATAGCCCGAATATGCCTCTCTCTCATACATTTGAGGACAGTCAGCCTTCCAAGCCACTGTAAGCCTCAGCCTCCGTAGGCATCTTTGTACTGGTTTGCGTCGCATCCGAAAATTGTGATCGGCTTGCCCAGTCGAAAGCTAGATATCAAATTCTCGTCAGATGACCTCGCTGAACTCGTGACCATCCTCTATAATACTGTCTGCGGTCTTTTCTTCTTTTTTAATCGCACCGCCCCTGTGCTGTGTGGCAGAACCCGGTGTACCGCGCCCTTTTTCTTTGAGGGTCACCCTCCGACACGTTGTAGGCATATGGCGAGCAATATCGCTACCACTACTGCTATTGTTACTAGTATTCATCTCTCCGATGGAAGAAACAGCCAGTTGGTTTCCCTCAACGCGGGCGACACCCGCCAAAAGGCAGACGAGTGAGGAAAATGATCTTGATAATGAACAGCGAAAACGATCACGGCAGTCTTCATGGCCACCAAAACACTCACACGAAAGCAAAAATGGGATATATACAGAATTTTCATCGGAGTCGACACCCACCGTTTCCGTCGATACGTCTGGTACATTAGGGGCGAAGGAAGACCTGGTGTGCTTTGGAATGGTAAATGGCAATACCCATAGGCTGAGGTGTGTCAACCGTGTGCTGACCGTCAGCAAGATATGCTTCGAGCCCGTGGCGGCAGAACCGATTCAACCTCATGGTGTCGTCGCTGTACAAAATGGTGTCTCTGGCAGCCTACTATCTCATGATTCTATGGTTCCATTGGCAACTCTCACGACACGAGATGCCAAAATCTTGAAACTTTTTCGTCAGGAGTCTATCGAGATGGAGATCCGATTGATCCCAGGCTATTCAACCTCGAAAACGACCGGTCGGAGAGGCACGATCGCGGCGGTGACCTTATACGGGTGCGAATATTTGGGGGAACCCTTGCAAGAGGCTCTACAACAGCTGGTTCTATATCTCCAGGATCCCATATACGCGACCCGGGATAATCTATACTGGAATCCTCAGCGGTTTTATAACCCGCCTGGGCAACGAACGACAGTGTTTCGGCGCATGATGGACATTCCTCCCGGTAGACAAGAGCAAGTGTCTCCGGTAGATTATCTCGCGGGATTTTGCTCGGAGGTCTCTTTAGCTGAGACCCAAGGATCCCCGTTTCTATTGACCCCCCTGCTGAGGTGAGTGCATCGGGTAGGTTATCACGAATACCGCAAGTCTAATCGGCACCCTAGTCACCAGAAGCAAGCCCTGACTTTTATGATCAACCGAGAGCGAGGATGGACCATCCAACCTGCTGGCGTAGACGTGTGGTCACTACAATGTGACCAGTATGGTCCGCCCACGTAAGCGTAGGCAGAATAGAAATCACCTATCCTCATTCTGACATGCTGCAATAGTTATGTTAACAACATCGACGGACAGTCGTATCCCGATCCGCCGCCTAGATTCACGGGGGGGATATTAGCCGACGGCATGGGATTTGGAAAGTCACTCAGCATGATTGCGCTAATCGCCCATGACAAGGTGCCCGCAACGGGCCAACTGCCGGACGCAGCCTATCTTAACACTTATCCTGTCTCGACACGAACTAACATCATAGTAGTCCCGTCAGCCTGTCAGAAGCTCCCCTTCCCGCCTTCTCATGATACCCTGCTAATGTATCGTAGTAATACAAACTTGGAAAGAGGAGTTGACTAAGTAACTATACCCTAGCATTGCTTGACCGTCAGATTGTTAACCCTACAGGCATCTCTCAAATAGAAGATTCTCATGGCGCTGTCACCACAAGACAACTAAAGTTGTGGATTCGACTGACCTCGCATCTGTGGACATTGTACTAGTGTCCTATCAGACCTTGGCTAGGGAATGGAGAACTGAGACAGCCAGCATCATACTCGCACACCGTTGGCACCGGGTCATTCTAGATGAGGGTATGTGAGGGGCTGTTCCTTTTTCTAACGTTGCTAACTGTCTAACATTCGGTAGCGCATCTAATAAAGAACCCTTCGCGGGTTACTGCCAAGGCTGCGTTTGCCCTGAAAGCTGACCGACGATGGGCCGTCTCCGGGACACCAATACATAATCGCCTATCCGAGCTAAGTAGTCTTTTGCGATTTGTCGGTGCCTTTCCTTATTCCGAAAAGAGAGTTTTCGACGAACACATAACGCACCTCTGGGGTTCGGACAAACACCAGCAGGCAGTTGGTCGACTCAAGCGCCTACTCAGCTTCGTGATGCTTCGCAGATTTCAGAATGACTTGGATTTACCGTCCCGAACCAACCTCAAGCTATTTCTAGACTTCGACGATTATGAGAGGGCCACCTACAACATTGCCAAGGAACGAGCGATCAGGTGTATCGATGATATCTCGACATCAGATAACTCAAGAGAAAGTTACAATAATGCCCTCCAGAAAATCCACTCACTGCGCGTCATATGTAACCTTGGGGATTCTGTAACCCAGGAATCCCAGAACTCACTGCCACCATGGAATTTCTCGGAGGGAGTCGCCTGGGACGAAACATCTGCCTGGAAATTTCTCGAAGCATTGCCCTCTTTGGGGATCCCCATTACGTGTACTAACTGTGCTGCCTCTATCGAGACTTCGTTTGACGTCACTAGTGAAGTCGTATCTGTTTACCTGACCAGGTGTCTCCGAATTTGGTGCTCCTTATGTTACAGGGACTCATTACCTGCTACTGGCCTTAATCTCTGCGCTTGCACTTCAGCTTGTCCTTCAGTTAAGGTTACACTCAAGAGCACCCCTAGAAGATCATCTAACGAAATTACAACCCCGGGAATTGGTAGGTTTCCCACAAAGATCCGGAAATTGGTTGACGACTTGCGACAACAAGCTGGTGATGTAAAAAGGTGAAGCCCCCGTTAGCTTCGATAGGCAGAGACTAAACATAGCTAGCATCGTATTCTCCTCTTCGCTAGAAACCTTAGATCTCATCCACAGCGCGCTCAAACAGGCAGGGATAACTTGTGTTCAGGTTGACGGCCGGCTAAAATCCAAGGAACGAAATCTTGTTTTTAACGAGTTCAGAAGCCGGGAGATCATTAACGTGTTGCTTCTCTCCTTTCAGTGCGGTGCGGTCGGGTAAGGATAACCTCTATTGTGGTGGGAATATAGAGCTGCTAACGGAGAAATGCAAGACTGACCTTAACTGCTGCTTCGCGCGTGTATCTAATGGAGCCACAATGGAACCCCTCCATTGAGGAGCAGGCCCTCGCTCGAGTTTACCGAATTGGCCAAACTCGAGATGTCACCACCATTCGATTCATCATGAATAACTCGATAGAAAAGGTTCGGCAACTCACCACCCTCGCTATCACCTGGCAACTAATAGCTTTGATCCCAGTATGTGCTAGAAGTTCAAGACAAGAAGATTAACATGATCTCTGCCGCCCTCTCCGCTATGGGAGGGTCGTCTCGAGGACTCGCTGGACAGCGACTCAGAGTAAGTGATGACTTTATCATGCTAACGACGTTTTCCATGTACGAGCTTACCGAGAGATAGGAACTGCGAGACCTACTTGAGTAGCAGTGCGACATCATGGAGAAAGGTTTACGGACGGTTGGCCTCCCAACTCATTGATAACTCCTTCATGGCGTGCGTTCACTTTTGCTCCATGATGCGCGGATAGCTAGAGTAGGCGTATTCCAGTTAGCTTTCAGTCATTAGGATCATGTTACGTAGCTAGCGAGAGCTAAGCTTAGGTTAATAGGTTGTTCGCAAGGAAAGCAATGGAATAAGGGTAAGAAGGTATATATTAACTAACTAGAAAAGAAGGAAAGCTATTAGAGAGTATGGAGCGATTTATAAGTATATATAATAGTACTTAGCTAGCTTAAGTAAGCTAAGTAGTTCCTACTAGGGGTATATGCCTACGTAATATACCCCTTAGTTAAGCTTACGATAGTAAGGTTAACTATAGTCCTTTACTTACGATAGTAGCCTAAGGGGTTATTCCTTAGTTTCGCTATGCTTCGTTAAGGTTAATCGATTACTAGGTACCTTATCTCGGGCTTCCTTATATTCCTTTATCCGTATATATTCCGGTTTATTACTAGTAGTATTTTCTCCTAAATTATATACTCTTCGCATTCCCTACTTAATACTCTATAGTTTATTATAAATAAAAATAATTACTCGTATAATTATTCGTATAATTACTCGCTTTCGATTAAGCGGTAATTAGTTATATAGGTAATATAATAATAGTAATAGTAATAACTCTAATATTAATACTAGGATTTAATCTCCTTTGTTATTATCGCGCGCGTTTACGCGCGTTACTTATATTAACCGATTCTATCGTTTCTCTTACGAAGGCGATTAAGTATAAATATATCTCGGATTTCTCGCTCTCGAATTAAGCGTGCCTCTCTCTTTTCCTTTCTTCCCTAGGTTATTTATTATAGGTATATATACCTAACTATAATTAAGTAATTTTATTAATTACGCGATCGTAAATTAATATAACTAATAAAGCTTCGTTAATTTATTATCGTAAGGTAAGTTTACTTCTTTTATAATCTACGTAAAGCGTAGCTCGCGTATTATACGAATCGTAATATACTTTTATTAAGCGACCGTAGGATAATATCTTAACCTATCGCGGTAAGGGTTATTATTTATAATTAATATATTATTCTTAATATTAAAGTATCCTAAGACGATAAAGCGACCGTTAATTACTTTATATTAATAAATAAGGGGTTATTCGAAATAATCCGTTTATTACTTACTCGTTATCTACCGGTAATAATATAGTACCGTAATTAACGATTTTTTAATATATCCGATACTTAAGAGCTTCGTAAGATAATATTAACGCTTTAAGGTACCGTAGCTTCGTTAAAGTAAAGGATACTCGGCCTTTCCGCCGCGAGTACTTAGCCTCTTACCTTCCGTATACGTACGGGAGGTAACGTTAGAACTTCGGCCGGTAATTAAGCCCGCCGCGGAAGGATACCCTTTACTTCCGGGTTCGGGGCCTTAGTTATCGCTTAGCTTCTTAAGGACCTTTTTATCGACGAAAGCGACGTCGATATAATTATACCTAGCGCCTTAGCGTAACGTACCTAAGCCTTAGTAACTCGCGCTTCTTAAGGTACCGTATCCCGAGCTATTAAGGTCTCTACCGACGAATCCTTTAAGGAAGAATCTTCCGAGGAAGACTTCCCTTCCTTATACGAAGGAGTAATCGAAAAAAGCGACCGCCCGGTTATATTAATTATTCGTAAGGTTTCCTCGCGTAAAACCTAAGCTTAAATTTACGTATATTAAGTTACGTTTTTTAATAATATCGCCGTTACTTACGTAACCTAAGCGACCGTTATTATTATTATATCGACCCGTAGTAATATCGTAAAACGAAAACGAGGATAAGAACGAAGCCGTAACGCTCCTTCGGTTCCCGGAGCTACTACCGCTCCCGCTACTTCCTCTAACCCGGCCGCTCCGGCGGTTCCGTTTAATACCCCCGTCGCTTCGGCCGCTTCCGCTTTTATTACCGTCGCCCTAGGAACTACTTCGGTTACCCGTAATCGAAAATACGGAGCTCGCCGTATAGTTCCTTACTTAAGCTACGTACGTAATACGGCTTAAAATAAATCTATTAAAAAGTACTTCGATTTTTTCTAAAGTATTAGCCGCTACTACCGCTACTTATCCGGCTACGCTTACGTATTTTTATAAGTATTCTTACCTCCGTACGTCGAGGTCTAAAACTAATATTATATAAGGCCGACGCTTTAATCCTACCGGCTACTTATTTTATCGTCGCCTATATCGAGTCCTCGGTTAATATATAAGCTTTATTTTACGTTAATTAATACTCGCTAACGCTACTTATAAGCCCTTAAGCTCGTTACGATAATAAAAAAGCTCCTAACCCTTTATTAAGATAAGGAGTAAATACCCGCGGTTCCCGAAACCGTAAAATCGCGACGAAGCGTAGCTAATTCCGGTTAGTTTACTTAGTTAAGCGTAAGTCCTTCGGCTACCGGATTATCGACCGTTCCTACCGTACCCGCCCTTAGCTTTATACCTACTAGCCCTTTTATTACTCTAACCGGCGTAAGTAACGCCTTCGCCGGTTTATCGACCGTAATACCTAACGTAGCCTCGTTCGCTATCGCTTCCGAATAAGAGTTAGATATAAAGATAAAAGACGTTAAAAGAAGGAAAGGGAAAGAAGAGACTTCCGAAAACGAAGAATAATCTTCTAAGGAAGTAATATCTAAAATCGTTCGCGCCTTTGCGCTTATTTCTTTCGAATAATACTTATACGAAGTACTATACCGATAAACCGACCGCTTATACGAGGAAATTATTAAATATTAAAACGAATCCGCTAATACTCGTATCTTCCGCTAATCCGGCCTTACTTACTACTCCCGTAATTAAGTTCTTTATCTTAAGGCGGCCTTTCTATATTAGGATTTAAGAGTAATACGAGTTTAGTATTTAACGGTAAGGAAAGCTATCTTTATATAGCGGTAATACTTTATACTTATATATTAATTAGTTAAGGAAAGAATTTACGTACCGTTAATACTTACGGTAACTTTTTAAGTATTATTATAATTATTTTTCCGCGAGCGTCCTATAAATTAAGTAATACTTTAAAGTACTCGAACGATTAACGTAGTAAAGCTTTCGTAAGTCCGTTTATTAGCATTTAATTAATAAGGAGGTAAATTACTTCGAAGGTATCCTTTTAATACTCCTAGCGTAGCTATATATTCTATATATCTATATAACGTAGCCTAGTATTAATCCTTTTTTTCTCCCTTATTACTAGTCTTATCGTTTACTAGTTATCGCTATATACCTTCTAAGGTTCTCCTAGCTCTAGGGTAATATCCCTAAAGAAACGTTTAAAAGCTATCGTCTCCTTAATTATATACTTTAATACGAGTAATTTAGCTTTAATCGTCGATATCGATACTATATCCTAGCGAACGGCTCTCTATATAATCGGACCTTTAAATAAGGATATTACGTATCCCTAAGACGACTTTCTTAACTTAAAATCGTTTATAAACGAAGCGTTACTATTAATTAAAAGTACTTAAGCGCTATTATTCTTACCCCTATACCTTATGCTAAGGAAGTAAGTAGCATATAGGTATCTAATCGTTTAATTAATCGCTTTAAAGTACTAAGGTCCTAGATTAATTAGGAAATGGAATAGTTAGGACGCTACGAAAGCGACGTTTAGGCGTATTATAATTACGCTATAGAATAATAATCCTACTTTCTCCTGGTATTCCTTAACTTATTATTTTAAAGTAACGCCTATATACTTTACTAGCTCGGTAATTAGTAGTAATATTATCGGAAACTAATTATTATCCGCTAGTTTAAAGCGTTTAATAATCTTCTCGATATAAGCGTCGTATATTAAGGTTATAATTCGTACTTTACGATTACGTATTACCCTAATCTCTAAATATTACTTTACCGGTTTAAGTTCTTTCGTTTTATAGGTATCCTTTAACCCCTAAGCTATCTTTTAAGCCATCGCCTCTAAGCTTTTATAGTTTATAATTAATATATCGTTTACGTATATTAATACGAAGACTTCTCGTCCTTCTATATAGAATAAGTACGGCTCCTTTAGAGAGCTCTAAAGTCCTAGGCGGTTAAGGGTACTCTCGATCTCCTTAAACTAAAGTAAGGATAAATCTCTAAATCCGTATACTACTCTTATAACGAAGGCGTATTTTCCCTCTTCCTTAAACCCGTCTAATAACTCTATAGGTATAAGGTCGCTTTCCGGTCTTACTACGTTAAGGAACGCGTTTTTAATGTCATACTAATTAACTTCGAGGTCGAATTAAGCTACGATAGCTATTATTATACGGAACGATTTCGTTATTAACGTAGTTACGTAAGTACTCTCGAGTAACTCTTTAGGTTATAAATCTCCTCGCGTTATTAAGCGCGACTTATAGGTAATAAGGAAATTATTTTCGTCGAATTTATAATCGAAGATTTATATTAATAAAATTAGCTTTATTCTTATCCGTTCGCGATTAATAATACGTTATACTTTAATACGTAGGAAGGTCTTAATCTTAGATCTAGCGTTTTCTTTAAATCGCTTTCTTAATGAATACTTATCTAGGTCCTTTTATATCTTTAGCGGTTTAAGTAAATCGTTACGGTAAATTCTTATCTTATTAAGCGATACGCTTAATCGCTCGGCCTTCGTTTAATTAACGGCTATTACGAAAACTAAGTATAACGTAATATACTTATCGTAGCTCTTTACTTATTACCCTTTTAATTAATTAAGTTAAAAGGTTATTACGAAATCGAATTAGCGATTTCCTAGGAAGTTATTCCTAGCCGTTAGGTTATCCGATATTACGTAAACTCTAGTACTTAAGCTACTTATTACTTTATTCCTTTCCGGGCTTTCTTTTCTTTTCCTTTTATTATAACGGATAATAAGAGGATAAACCTTTCTCTTACGCTACTTACGCTAAGTAATTTACGGGAATAGGTTATATTACTCCTTTTCTTTGGAGGAAGTACGCGTTTCTTTAGTTAATTACTTTAAAGGCTATTTCCGAGTATCTATTCCGTCGGCGAAGTATATTCGCCGCTCCGGACTTTCGGTACTTTTACTAGTAGCCGTACCTAACTCTAGTTACTCTATACTCCTTATCGGAATACTCTTACTTCCCGTAATTTCCGCGGGTACGATTAAAGTAAGTCTTAGACTCGGAAGCCCGTAGGATATATCCGCTTCTTCGTTTAATTTCTCCTAGGTTTCCGCTTCGAGTTACTCTTATATCTCTTACTCGATTAATTCGAATAATTTTATTAACTCTTACGGTTACTCGTCTTTAGACCTAGCCGTTTCGTATTTTAAATTATCGGAATTTATCTTTAGTTCTTCTTCTAAAGGCTACCCCTTTCCCGAGCTAGGACCGGCGGACTAAGTCGTATCTAGATCCTCGTTACCCGAGGTAGGCTCGCTACTTCCGAGGGAAATTAACTCGCTACTTAACTCTCGATTAAATAATATAAGCGAATCCTATAGGTCTAATACTTCGATAATTAATTAAGTAACGTTATTACTTATACGTATCGAGAAATCTATTCGATTAATTTCTTTTCGTTCGAGTTACTAAGCTTTTAGCTTATTTATCTAGCTATAAAACGTTTCTTCGTTAAAAACCATATCCCTAGTTAGGATTACTTTACTTAGCCTAAGAACCTAAATTCGGTATAGGTTACTAGTATAATATCCTATTAAATATCCGATATAAGCTCGTAGGTTTACCTTAAATCCTCTCTTATTAAGGTTTTAAATACGTTTTCCTATTAAGGAATACGCGCGATATCCGTATATATAAATACCGTTCTAATCCGGTCGTAGGTCGCTCGTTAGTTCCCTTATTACCTCTAGAGTATACTATCTAAAGTACTACTTAAACTAGGTATTTAAAAGCTCGTAAGGTATACGAAGATTATAAGCTTAGCTAAGGCTAATATTAATTAAATATACCGCGGCTTTAACGGTTTCCGGCTATAGTTTCTTTAATAGCCCTGCTTTAATTTTTATCTTAATCGACTTAACGATAATAGTTTATCTAGCTCTCTCTTTCCTACCGGTTAGCTCCTTAGTATTAGCCGGCGGGAGTTCGAAATTAATGCCTTTTTTTACTACCTAGATCTTATATCTGGATATACCTTTAATACTTATTACTAAGCGTTCGTTATCGTAACGTATCTTATAAATTAAAAGTCGGAATTACTTCCGAACCTATCTTTTAAAGAATCGAAGAGTTCTTATTACTAGTAGACCTTACTTACTTTCTAGGGTCTTAACCTATAATATTCCGCTAAATTTATCCCTAATTACGATAAGCTATTTAAATCCGTCGTAACCTTCCGGGTAATTAAATAGATCCTAATATATCTTTTAAAAAAAACGTAGCGAGCGATATATTAATAAACGGCGCGAGATTATTCTCTTACCTATCGCTTAATTATAATATTCGCATTTAATTATAAGCATACCGTTAATCTTAACGTTCTAAGCGTTTTTAACGAAGGCTTTAAGCGCCTTAAGACTAAGATACCTTATTCGTTAGTACTAAAGTACCTCGGAGTCTTCTTTCGGTTTAATAATATCTTTCGATCTTTTCTATCGGACGTTTCTCTCCGGGAAATAAGGTATTATTACGATCGACGTTACGCTACGTGGAATGCTCGATAGTATTATAAATAATATTACGAATAAGACTTACGAATAAAAAGAGAATTACTTAAATTCGAAAAAGACTAGGTTAAAGCGTCGCTCTAGCTTCTTTACTATAGTACTTTTCTCGAGGGTTTCATTCCTTAAAGTATAATTTAAACCGTAAAACTAAATACCTATACTACGAAGTTTCGCCTTAAAGATAATATTAACGTAGAAATCTTTAATAAGTACGACGTCCTTAAGCTTTAGATTAAAGGTAGGTTTATTAAATTAATCTAAGATATACTTCTCGATAATCTTACGACCCGTATTAGTAATAAAAAAGCTCGTAATATTAGCCTCGACCGTTTATCCGTCTCTAGCGGAAACGAACGACCCCTTTATTAGAAGATTACGATTATTAATAAGGTAAATTACTCTATAGTTATCGAAGACGGTACTTTCCGATAATAGGTATCGAACTAGGTCTATAGTAAAATAAATCCTAATTTAGGTAGATAGGTATATAGTACGTAGGTCGATTATTATTACGTTAATATTAATTAGCTAGGTAGTAAAGTTATTTCTTCTTCCGTTTCCGGAGCGATTATTAGATGTATTATTTACGGGAACGTCCTACCCCTAGCGGTTAATTTAGTTTCGGAGCTTAACGTATTTAAGTAAGTCGTATCTAGCCTTAATTTTTCGTATAATGTTAGCCGGGATCGGCTTTAGGTTACGTATAAATTAACTAGTAACGGATTTCTATAGGATTCTATAAGAACGAGTTACCTATAAGTATGGTTTACCTCTAGACTTATAAAGGTATTTATAGCTCGTTACTTTTCCTTAGCCGCTATTATTACCTAATTTCGGTTCTAAAGTCGGTCCTTAATAAGTTATTACGAAAATTCTATAACCTAATTTACCTTTTTACTTATTCTCGGTAGCGAAAGCGCTAAATACGATGCCTAGTTACTTAAGGGTCTTTAGTTACTCGCTAAGTTTATTAGCTTTAATAAGAGCGATTAATACCCGTATAGCCTAGTCGATTACGATCTTAACCCTAACTACTTCGAGGAAATCCTTTATTCTTATAACGCCCTTAATCTCGTTAATATAATAAGCGCGAGCGCGAAGGAAGGTATATTACTATATAACGTAGAATTACTCGGGATTATAGGTACCTACCTTTACTTTTTAAAGTACCTTACGGTATTCTCGCTTAATAAGCGTCTTAGTAACGGCTTCGGTAGGAGTAATTTACTTACGGAAGATCTTTACGAAATTTTAAATAGTCGGGTTAAGGTCTAGGAACTATATCTTTATATTAACTACCTTAAGAAAACCTATAGAAATAAATACGAGAATCTAGCTATAAAGGACCTTATATTACTTACTAGTAGCTATAACCTAAGCCTCGATCGTTATCTACTAGGAAACGAACTTATTATACGTTACCGTTTATTATTCTCGAGTTCGTACCTTAAGCCTTAGTAGTTAATTTCCTCGGTCTTCGGTTAAAATCGACGCCTATTCGTAGATAGCTTTCTTATAGTTTTCTTTAAGGAGTTCGTTCTCTTAAGTAATATACTCCTTAAGAATACCTACCACGACTCGAGTAACGTTAAACTTAGCTCCATTTAGATTAACGTCTTTCTAAATACCGAACTAAATAGCTATCGACTTAAGCGTAAGGAACTAACGTAGTTACTTATCGTAAGCTTATAAGTAAACGTTAATAAGAATCTTATCCAAAGAGAATTCGGACGTATTAATCGTTATAGTAAAATAAATAAGCGATTATTTATTACTAGATATAAGAATAAAATACCGGTATAGAAATAAAAAAGGAATATAATCGTAAGATCTAAGAGATAGATAAATATATTACTTACTTACGCTAAAATAACCTAAATAATAATAGCTCCTTAGAAGTACCCCGGGCTTATAACTATTACGTAGCTAGCGAAAACTAAGCTTAGGTTAATAGGTTATTCGTAAGGAAAGTAATGAAATAAAGGTAAAAAGGTATATATTAACTAACTAGAAAAGAAGGAAAGCTACTAGAAAGTATAGAGCGATCTATAGGTACATATAGTAGTACTTAGCTAGCTTAGGTAAGCTAGGTGGTTCCCACTAGGGGTGCATGCCTACGTAACAGATCATAAATAACTACTATGCCATAGCGGAATGGTGGAACCTGGCTCATATATGTCAAGCGTTCTCAGATAAGACCTAATGCTGTCACGCAAAACGTAAACGCTTACGTTTCCCCCGTGGGCTTGACAGATATAAAATGGCTATGCTCAAAACGATGGAAACGCATAATGCAAGATGAGGGACTGCTAGGACAAATACGACAATAATAGATGAAGGTTTTGAGGTAATTAGATGTTTCGCCTGAGGGTTATCAACTGCATGACAAATCGCGACGGGCTTGTCATTATCCCAACATGAACGCGGAATACGCAGGCCTGCTTACAGAGACAGGGGTGGGCGTAAATCACGAATTTACCCAGAACTATAGCCTGAAGTTGATCTATTTATGTGAGATGAATGACGACGTTGGGGTTCCGTTGCCGGCTACCTACCCTCAGGTAGGTACTCTGCCGAGGGAGGTCAACGAGTAGACGCCTCCCGTCTGCCACCCCTTTGCTATCGACCGATTCAACCACGGAACGTCTCGAACCCGTAAAGGTGCCGTTCGCACCAAGTTCCCGAAAGATGTGATACCTAGATGGGCCTAGTATTTCCAGGGACACCTGCGAATGGTGGTCTGTCTGGGAGCTGAAAGAATGAGGTATTCAACCACGAACTGTCCGTAAATGTGCCGAGACTAACCCGGAGAGGCGAAATGCGGGCGACGTTGCGCCCCGTCTACGTGGGTCGCCAAGTTGCAGATATCCCCGGGGGGTTGTTGACTTCGATTCCCTAATTCGTAACCCCCGTGCGACCTTCCCCGGAGACAGGACTGCCGCAACACCATCGGCATGAATGGGGTATTAGTCTCCCATATCTAGTTTCGATATCGACCTAATACCTATATCGAACCTTGGAGGCATGCGTGCGTATACCAACCTATGGTTTCAAGCTCGCTAGATAGTTAGGCGTCAGAGTACTACCTGACTCCTACACCTATGGATAACGTGTACAGGGCTGGTTATACAGAGAGTCAAAGAAAATGCTGCTGTTACCGACGAGTAATGCCCCTGAATGGGAAGATGGGTGACTTGCTGCTTCATCGAGAGGCCCACTAGACCGGGTCATGATGTTCGCCCGCTTGACGAAGAGGGGGGTAATAGACAGTGACACCCTCAAATACCTAGAGCTTGTCATTATGCGCTATTCGCTCGTCTTAATATCGGGTCCTAGATATCTGGTCTCCTATTAATAGCGGAATCTGTGGGAACTGGTCTTGAGAAAATGCCGCTATCCACCGGGGGGGGGGCGACGGTAAATTGCAGGTATGTCGGTCCTATATTATATTCCGCCTGATATTAACTCGACAGGCATATATAATGTCTTCTCCGCTCCTATCGCGCGCTGATATCTACTTTCTTTCCGACCAGGCTACCATAAGTACGAGCTTCCCCTGTTGGTTGCCAAGGTTCTCACGCCCTACTTGTTCCCGATCGGTAGCCACCAGAGAACCGTACGCTCTCTTCAAGATGCTACTCTCCCTCCCTCTCCTCTTTGCCCCGGCTCTGGTCGCCGCTCACGGCGCTGTGACCAGCTACCAGATTGGCGGCAAGACGTATGAGGGCTACCAGGGCTTCTCCCCGGTGGCCGGCGCTCAGATCATCCAGAGACAGTGGCCCGACTACAACCCGATCATGACCGCCTCATCCGCCGCGATGACCTGCAACGGCGGTACTTCGGCACCTCTCTCGGCCGAAGTCGCGGCGGGCGAGAACGTGACCGCGATTTGGAAGCAGTGGACTCACCAGCAGGGCCCCGTTATGGTCTGGCTCTACGCCTGCGACGGCGAGTTCACCGCGTGCGATGGCAAGAGCAAGAAGTGGTTCAAGATCGACCAGATGGGCCTGTGGGGTAACGTCCTGAACAGCAACAACTGGGGCACCGCGCTGGTCTACAGAGACCTGAAGTGGTCGAGCAGGATCCCCAAGAGCCTCAAGCCGGGCAACTACCTCATCCGCCACGAACTGCTGGCCCTCCACCAGGCCAACACCCCGCAGTTCTACCCAGAATGCGCCCAGATCAAGGTCACCGGCTCCGGTACTGCCACTCCCGGCGCCAACTTCCTCGCCTCCATCCCTTCCTACGCGGCGCAATCCGATCCCGGCATCATGGTGAGTTTCAGGCTTCCCCCCTCTCTTTCCACGTCCGATTCTCGCTGGGAGCTAACTGGGGCCAGGTCGACATCTACCAGGGCAAGGCAACTTCGTACAGGCCTCCGGGACCTGATGTCTGGACCGGCTGAGTGCCAAAGAATTGAGGACTGAGGGACTAGAGAAAAGCCTTTTAGAGAGAGCGAAAGACCTCGCTACCGTTTTGGCATTTTGATGTGATAGTTGAATATCGCGTTGTTACATAGTCTAATATCAGATCCCTAAGGCTACTACCCCGATTTAAGAATATCGGTCCACCCCAAATAGAATGCATTTTCATGCAAGACCACCTCGCTTCTCACTTCCTTCATCAACCAACTTGCGTGACCTGTCCGAAGGCTTCAATCGCCGCGCCGAGCATTTCAGACCATTCCCTCACCGTCTCTTCTGTATAGTGCCCTCCATTTACTGCTAATTCTAACTTGAGGCGATTCCCTACAGGTTTTGCTAGGACCATGACCACGTCGTCTTCCATCATCTTCGTGTCTGCCCTATTTCCCTCGTAACACTCTAGTCTACGGGCAGATCCCCCTATCTCCTCCTCTGCGTCGCCTAGGTCCTGGTAATGCGCCACGCACCCGAAATACCGCGCGCTGGACGGCCAATCGGCGCAATGTTCGGCAATCTCGTCGAAGCCGATCGTGTCGAAAGGGAGGCTATCAATGTGCTGGTCGTGGATGGACTTCAGCACGCCGTGGAGTGATTCTTCGTTGCGGAAACGGGCCCTGACAGGGATGATGTTGACGCAAGGGCCGGCCGTGTCTCGTAGATGGACGGGGACCATGGCCCGCCCAGACACCAATCGTCCGAAGGTGACATCTGAAGAGTATGTGACTTTCGAGAGGAAAACTGCACATGCGGAGGTGAAGATGGTTGCGGGAGTGAATCCGTTGACCGGACGCGGCGCGTCAACCAGCTTCTCTATGACGATCGGGCTGGATTTTCCCCTCGGACCGCGGCAGATTGGTTCTGGCTCGAGCTTTGTGAGAGACGAGTCCCGGAGGAATGATTTCCAGTACCTGTGGCTAGCACGCTGATTTTCAAAGGTATGCTGGACGAAAGCCGAGAAGCTGGGTGTGGGCAGCAGCGCCTCGTGGTTGTAAAGGGCACCGAGGAAGCGCATCATGTGAATGAGGGTTGTGCCGTCGTATTGGGCGTGCGATAGCCTGATTACTAGCCTCAATGCGCCCTGGGGACCTGAGAGGACGTGGAATCGCGTGAAAGGGGTTCCGAGGACACCTGGTTGCCGAAGATCCTCATCACAAATTTCGGCGGTCAGTTCGTCGATACTCCTGGTGGTGGTGTGGTGAAGAATCGCCGGCGGAATCCCTTCGGCTAAAACTTGAAGATATCGATCACCGCAGCGAATAAAGATCATCCTGAGGATATCGAAGTTGGTCCAAATGCTCTCGCAGCACTTATCTACTCGAGCAGTACGGATCTCCGGAGGCAGGTCGACTAGGAAATGATGCCACTGCTGGGGCGGACTCTTGAGAGCGAGGCTGATGCAAGTAGCTTGCCAATGCGTGACAGGGAGAGCATCAGATACCGAAGTGTACGCCGATCGAAGTTGTGGGAAGACCTCGCGGCGGAGGAACGCATCGAGGTCCTTCTTGGGACTGAGCAGTGAAAAGGCCTCGACGGCTACCTTCGCCGCCTTTTCCTTGGGACGTACTACGGCCACCGCGACTGCAGCGAGGTCGCATAGTCGCGGTCTCTTGAACACGTCCGCGACTGTGAAGGATAGGCCGTGTTCGCGTGCCGCAGCTACAAGGCGCATTGCTGCGATGGAGTCACCGCCTATCTGGAGAAAGCTGTCTTCGACCGCGATATTGTCTCCGACCTTCAGGATCCGCGCCCAGAGCTTTTGCATTTGTCTCTCCGTTAACGTAAAGGGCCGCCGCTGTCGCCGCTCGCCCTTGGTCCGATTGAACGATGTCAGCTCCTCCGTCGTGAATGAACTTCCGATCTCGCGCAATTTTTGTCTGTCCGCCTTGCCATTTGCCGTTATCGGTATCCTTCCTATTGCAATATATGCCGAGGGAATCATATGACGCGGCAACACCTCACTTAGCCTCTTCTCCAACCCGGCCAGAAAGTGCCTTTCGATAGGCCTCACCTCCTGGCTTTGGTTCCTTTCGCTGGTTTGGATGAAGACCACCAAGGTAGGATTGCTACTCCCACTAGGAGAAAGGACTTCAGCTATGGCCTGCTTGTCTTTCGAGTCTATCGAGTCGAGATTCTCGAGCACGTGGTGTTCGACATCGCCTAATTCTACCCGCTGCCCACGAATCTTGACCTGTGCGTCCTTCCGGCCAATATACGTAAGCGAGCCATCTGTGTTGTAACGCACAAGATCGCCGGTACGGTACAGGCGATCGTGCCGACCGGGACGGTTCGTTTCGGGATTGCCTCGTACCAACCAGGGCGGATTCTCAATGATCACTGCGGCTGTCTTCTCGGGGTCGTTGAGATACCCCCTCATGATCCCGGGACCCTCGGCAGCTAGTTCTCCAATGGCTCCTATAGGGGTCAAGGAATTTGGTTCATCCTTCTCTATCACCCAGCATGTACCGGAAGAGCCTGATCCGATCGAACCGCCACTCCATGTTGCAGGATTCACGGGGGTGCTCGCGCATAACGAAAATTCAGCTGGGCCATACCAATTAAACACCTCGGCTATGCCTGCCCACCGAGAGACGTCCGATTCTTTCAAAGCCTCTCCGGCAAACACGAGGGTGTCTAGCGTGCGGACGCTCTCTGTTGGGATAGCCCTGGCTACTGACGGCGATAAACATGCCCAGTTGGCCCGGAATCGCACCAGAGCTTCGCTGGTGTTGTTCTCCTTGTCCGACTCGGAGGGGACGCAAAGGCAGCCGCCGTATAAGAAGGTCATAAAAGTTTCGTGGATGCTTACGTCAAATAGGTATGATGCGAATTGGAATACGCGAGTTCGCGTGCTAGCTTTAAAATCCCTGCCGAGATACTGCGCCGTGGTTGAGAGACACCGATGATCTAACACTATGCCTTTCGGTGTCCCAGTCGTACCAGAGGTGAAGAGCACCGCTGCGGTGCTGTGTGGCTGAACACAGCGCGACGGTAAGTAATCACAACCTGTGTCCTCGCGCGTATCTTGGGGGGATATAACCGGAACATCTTCCGAGAAGAGGCTGGCGTGTTGTGGGAAGGCGACAATAATTTTCGGGTTGATGGCTTCAATCATCGATCTCAGCCTACCCTTTGGCAGAGATGGAGGGACTATCGCGAAGGCACACCCGGCCCTCAATACCCCCAGCATCACGACCGGCGCCCACATTGACTTCTCAAAGCATAGAGGAATAATATCTCCCGGCCCTGGATATTCGGGGTCAGCGGCTACTTCGAGTCGTCTGGGGCGTTAATTACTTCTACTCACCAACTCTAAGCCGAACAAGGCGGTGGGCTAGCCGTCTAGACAATATGTCCAGCTCGCCGTACGTGAGCGTCCCGTCCCACGCACATACCGCCGACATGGCTGGCTGCTTTCTCATCGTCTTAGCGATCAGATCGTGTACACATGCTTCTACTCCCTTGGGCACGGAAGCATTCCAGGTCCAGATATCTCGCAGGTCTTGTTTGCTGACCATCATCACCGCCGCCGATTTCGCCTTACCACTCATGGGAGCGCACAGTTGCCGGAGAACATGTTCAAATTGGTGCATTGTTCTCTTTACTTGTTCCTCCCTGAGTACGGCTGACTCAAAGCTGACGCGGAGGCCGACACCATTATCCTGCAACCTGCATTCTAGGAGCATCGCGTATGGGTTAAATACACCTAGCTCCCAGTTTTCGTCGGCATGTTTTGTAAATAACATGCTCTGCTCCTCTGTTCCTGGGGTTGCGGGTTGAATAACGAGTAATGTCTGAAACTGGCATGCCCGGTCAGCATCGTCATTTAAGCGTCGAATCCATTGCAGCCCCATTTGCTCAAAGGCTACTGTCTCTATAGCTTGCTCCTGTATACGGGCAAGCAACTCATCTACACTCTGCTCGGGATCCAAAACCACCCGAACGGGGACCGTCGCGATTGTTGGACCTGTCATCCGTTCAATCCTCGATACCGCCGCCTGTCTCCCCGACACTGTTGCCCCGAATATCACATCGTTTGAGCCGGTGTACTGTGCAGTCACCATTGCCCAGGCTGTCCGTATCAGTGTCGACGGCGTGACATCTTTCCGTGGCCAACACAGTTCCGTAATATTGTGTGCCATCTCCATGTCCGCTCTACGCCGATGAGTTACTGACGGCAACTGCGGGAATGGCTGTGCCTTTACTCCGTCCAGCTGCTTGCGCCAGACAGTCGCTGCGAGGTCCTCGTCGACACTTCGGACATGCTTGATAAATGATTGGAACAGGGGTAACGGCCCAATTGACTCTTTGCGATAGGTCTTCTCTACCATCTCGAGTAGTAGTGGTACGGACCAGCCGTCACACAAGGAATGGTGTATCGTGTATACGAAGAACCTCCTCCCACTCTCTTCTTCGTTAATGAGTCCAAATCGTGCCAGAGACGTTCCCAGGCCCATCGTGCGTCGCGCGTCTGCCTCTGTATAAGCACCGAGGTTTGTCCCTGGAATCCACTCTGTCGGCTCGTCGACAACCACCTGCGTTAGTCCTTCTTTTCTTAAATCGACGATTCGCGTTCGCAGGATCGGTGACTTCGACACGACCTCTTCCCACGCATCCTTGAAGTGGTCTATGTTAACTGTTGGCCTCAGTTCTAATGCAACTCGTATCACATAGTTGGTTGCTCGCCTCGCTGTTAGTGCGAGTAGACCTTCCTGCATCGGCGTACACGGGAACGCGTCCTGGACTTGAGACGGCTCTACGCCGCATAGACTCGCCGCAATCTCGCTCGTTCGCGTCTTTTCTCTCTCGCCCAGTAGATAAAAGGGCTTGACAGGCTCGTCCAAAGTTTCCTCTGAAGATATTTGGCCCACAACGACTGCGAGATCACGCAATCTGGGTCTCTTGAGGACATCTGCCACCGTGAGAGAGAGGGACCCCTGAAATTTTATGAGTACTTAGTCGATTGAGCATGCTGGTGACTTTCAGCGTCCGCCACTTACCTCGCGCGCCGCAGCGACCAGTCGCATGGCTTTAATGGAGTCGCCCCCTATTCGTAGGAAGCTATCTGTCGCCCCGATGCTACTAGCGTTGATCCCAAGTACAGAGGCCCAAAGCTTTTGAAGCTGCCTCTCGGTGGCCGTCTGCGGCTCCCTCCATTCGCCTCGGGCCAGGTTTATCCTAGCTAAATGCTCCAAGGTGAACGAAGCACCGAGCTCGCGTAACTTTCGTCGATCTGTCTTACCGGTCTGGGTCAGGGGTATCTCATCCACCGCGACGTAAGCAGATGGGATCATATACGCGGGGAGCAGCGCCGTTAACTTCTCTTCCAGAGATGCTGCCGCCGCCTCGGCACCTTGTGTCGCTTTCAGGAATGCTATAAGCATCACGCTGTCGCTATCCTGGGGTTTAATAACATCCGCTACCACCTCAGCATCCAAGCCACCCGGAAGGCTGTGGAGTATCTGGTGCTCCACCTCACCCAGTTCCACACGCTGCCCGCGGATCTTGACTTGCGAGTCCTTTCGACCGGCAAACAGCAGCGAACCATCTTCACCATATCGCACTAGATCTCCGGTCCGATATAAACGCCCGGGCCGACCAGGAACATCCGGGCCACCTTGCAATAGCCAAGGTGGGTTCTCGACAAAGGCTGCTGCAGTCTTCTCTCGGTCATTCCAGTATCCTTGGCCCACCAACGGGCCCTCGATCCAAAGCTCGCCGATAGAGCCTACTGATACCAGCGTGCGGGGGTCATCGGCATTTACAACCCAAGTCCGCACCCCGAGTCCGCGTCCGATAGTAGAGCATGATACACCATTTTCGGACACGGTGGAGAGTATGGAGCACTCGGCTGGGCCATATGCGAAGCGCACCGGTACCATTTCCCTTAATCTGAGGACTTGTCTAGGGTCCGCTTGTTCTCCTGCTAGCTCGATCATATCTAAGCCTTGGAGAGAGGTGGTGTCGAGAAATTCGCATAGTTTCGGCGTGAGATTGATGAAATTCGGGCGGAGGCGGCGAATACATCCTGCCAAGTCGTTCCGTCTGTCGTCTTCAGATGGTATGCAGAGACAACCGCCTGCGTAAAACGTGTGTAGTGTGTTGTACCACACCGCGTCGAAAGCATAGGATGCCAATTCAAGGACTCGCGACTGTCTCTTGAAGCCTAGCTGCTCGTTTTGATGAAACAGAGCACTACTAAAGTTGGTATGTGTGATGACCACCCCCTTAGGCGTGCCTGTGCTGCCCGACGTGAACACAATGTATAAGGAGTTTGTTGGCCTAGCAGGTGTTGATGGCATCGTTTGCGATATTGATGGCAGGTGATCGAAGTCACCCTTTCCAAAAGTAACAACGTTGATGCTGTCGGAGATGCTTGTGGCTAGGGCTCTGTTGGCAACCGACGATAGCACAATCTGCGGTTGTATTTGTTGTATGATGGCCTGCAACCGCGCTCTAGGCTGTGTGATGTCTATCGCACACGATGCACCGCCGGCTTTCATCACCCCTAACATTGCTACCGGCATCCACATCGACTTCTCAAAGCATAGGGGTACTATGACCTCGGGCCCAACCCCCAGCTCGACTAGGCGGTACGATAGCCGTGTCGATAACGAGTCCAACTCATTGTATGTCAGCTCACCATCCCAGGCACACACGGCGGCCGCTTCCGGGAGCATCTGCCCAACAATCAGGTCATGGACGCAGTCTTCTACCGCTCTAGGTACGGTAGCGTTCCAACTCCAGATTGTGCGTAGGTCCTCCTCTCTGGCCACTTCAGCCGCGGGATCTGAAAGTTCGCTCATAACTTCTCCTAGTGTCAGAGGTACGTGGATGATGGCTTTGTCGAGGTCACGCCGATTTGGTCTCCAAGGCTATCATTGCTACAAGGACGTACTCCGAGCGATAGTTGAAACTCCAGGAGATCCGAATATGATATGAGTTTCAACAACCTCCTCGGTCAGAATTATGCCACGAGTCGACCGATGGCGAATCTAAACTGGCGCGCGCGCCGAAAGTCGGCCAGGCCTCTAAAGCCATGAAACATGCGGGTCCGTCACGATTACAAGATTACATGCAGTATACAGAAAGGTCTCAACCGGGGCAAGCTTGCCATGGCCGACTCGAGCTTCCCAATCGACAATCATGAATGGGTGTCCATATCGTCGTCGGTTTCGTAATACACATGCCACGCCTCGTGAATAGGGACCAGTATGGCAAGGATGTGACGAAGGGCGAACGTCGGAGTTCCTAGAGTGGAAATTAGCTACTGCTATCATACCATGGGTTGCATCTCTGTCCCCAATACCCCAGCACCAAGCTAATTAGTCTTAGGTAAAGAAAATCAGCAAATTCAAATCCTTCGATCATCTTGTAAGAATAGTAAGCCTACTTCATCTGAGTCGATGTTAGCTAACGTAGTCGGAAAACTAGTATAGATGATATCGGATACGTAGTCTATACCCCTGGGACTATAGTTGGATTTTGGCCTGGCACCCCTGACCGGCTCCTCTTCTCGTCATGTGTTTCTTGACATTATCAGCATGACATGGCGTATTACGGCAGCTCTCACTTGTGTAGATCACCTATATCCATGCCAACCCGAGGTCCTAAGTTGGTGCTGACAACACTATGCCTGCCGCCACGTCTCGGGCTATTTGTAGACGCGGTGGTTGCAGCCAATGCCGATTTGCTTATATTAGTTCAGGGCCGTCCCGCAGCTCGAGACTTTGGAACCCGAAAACACGTCAGCTAATCCCAGAACGACGCAAAGATGGGCTCCCTACCTCCACCCGCAGGTATCCAAACCATTGATATCTCTACTCTGATTAACAGCAACGACCCAGTTGCCCGCAAAGCTAAGGCCGATGAACTCGTAGCCGCTATACACATCCAAGGTGCCTGCGCTATAGTTGGTCATGGCATCAAGGTGGACAGAATGAGGGAGGCCCTCGACTGGTCTCGCAAGTTCTTCGACCTCCCGTACGAAGAGAAAGCCAAAGCCAACCACCCCAACGGAATCGTGCCACACCGTGGCTACTCCGGGATTGGGAGGGAAAAGTGCTTGATATACACGGAAGAAGAGCTTAAGAACATGACAGGAGAACTGAGCACCGATTTCAAGAAGGCGCTTGATTTCAAGGTACGTGTGAAGTTACTAACCCCCTACGTCAGGCGTCACCCCCTCGATCCTATACTAACAGTCTATACAATACAGGAGCATTACGATATTGGCAGTGATGGAGAGAAAGTCCATTACAACCTGTGGATTGACGAGGCCGCACTGCCCGGCTTCCGCGCCTGGGCGCAGAGCTACTATTGGGAGATGGAGAAGCTGAGCAGGACGGTGCTGGAGGCGATGTTGCTCGGGCTCGAGGTGGACGAGGAGGCGCAGAAGTACTTCATGAGCATCCACACGGGGCACCAGAACGGGCTGCGGCTGATGCACTACCCGTCGGCACACGAGTCGACGATCGACCGGTCGTCGCTGACGTGGTGCCCGACACACACGGACTTCACGACGTACACGTTGCTGATGCAGGACAAGAACCAGGGGCTGGAGATCGAGGACCGGCTGCACCCGGGCACGTTCCTGCAGGCAACGACGGAGATTGAGGACCGCCTGTACCTGACCATCGGCGACTTCGGCGAGATCTGGACCAACGGCTACCTGCCCGCGTCGCGGCACCGCGTCATCATCCCTCGCGCCAGCGACGGCTCCGACATCACCCCCAAGCGCTACTCCATGCCCTACTTCATCACTCCCGCCGAAGACGGCATCACCGGCCCCCAGAACACTGGAAAGCCTGGGACTATGCCCCCTGGAAAGTACAAGACGAGCACCATCAAGGAGCACATCGAGTTTAGGATGAAGTTCCAGTACTAGGCTAGGAGGCATAAAGGGGGGCGGGGACTAGGGAAGGGTTCGAATTGGACTCGTCAGGGATGTGCAATCAAGGATTGGCTTTTTTTGAGGATGATGACATACATGATTGACTAGGGACTCGGTCTACGTAGTGCGTTCTGATGTTATTGTTGATTCTCGGCGTTAGCTGGGGATTGTAATATCACACTGCCCACTTGAACACCGAAATAGGGGGTGGGGATGGAGGGTGAGGGGGAGCGATCGAATACACACTCTTTTTTCGTAACGCGCGTTCTAATACGTGATCTGCATTTCCCCAAATCCTCTTCCAAGTAGAGCTACGTAAACCGGTCGGCGGTGAGCTTCCACGCACCATTAGTCGTCAAAGCTCACCGAGGGGGGGCGGGCAAGCGGTCCAGGCAGGCAACCCTTACCTTGGCTTTGTCTACGACGACAGGATCGCGACGGAGAGTAATTCATGCCCATCCCACGCTGTTCTATCTGACATAATTCCGTTTGTCACGGCCTGCCTATGCTAATGCTTATCGCACTCGGTGCTCCGGGCCGAGAGCCTGCACGTTACAGGTGTAGGCGTGCTCGAATAAAGCGCTTCTCGGCCATGAGACGATGATACGAAGGATTCCCGGCTCTGCCGTCATCACGACGCGCTACGCCACCTCCACCAGTGTTCGACCAGCGCGGGATGAGCCGTCGAAATAATCGCTCAGGACCCGATCTTACATGCATAGGGGCGAGCGGGGTGCAGAGGCTCATATGCCTCAAGCGAAGCTCCCCGAGACCTGCCAAGGTCTGACGAGGCCCTTCGAAAGAGGCGGTTAGACTTGCTCTTTTAGGAGCTCGTATGTGTTAATACGTGTTCCGGCGCTGATATACTCCAGAGGTTGGTATGTTTACGTAGGCATAGCGATTCCATATTCTGTGGCGTCATGGCTCTGCAGTCTGGAGGAAACAAGGCACCTGGACTATAACAGCTTCAGAGTCCAAGTGAATTACTTCTAGGGGACAATTACCTGCTAAATTTGCATCTCGATGTATAGAGAGTTATCTTCTATCGTGTGGTAATACAGGCACCTACATTTCCTCGTTTTTACATTCTAAAGTACAAGTTCGATTGGCAGCTCCGGGCGGACATGAAGTCAAGCAGGAGAATGGAGCAAGATGCTGAACCTGAACACCCAGATGGTTATTTGTAATAGTTTCCTTTAACGGCTATATTTTAAGGCATGCAATCCTCGTATGTCTATACCCCAGTACAGGATTTGCTGACAACTTGGAAGACCACGTCTACTCTATCCGTATTCCCTTGACGCGCCTAGACACGGCTATGAACGTCACCTCTTTAAACAAACCCACCTTACTAGAGGCCCGGACTCTACGTGGCTGACACACCCATTGTCCCATAACCCGCCACGGCAACCCGGCACCCATACACTCTAATAGTGCGGAGACCGGCGGTCGCTCGCGGTATCGCTGATGGGCAGGCAAGGTCGGATCAGGTCAGATCATGCGGGCATAGTTACCGAGCAGCTACCAAAGCGGTATCTCGAGGGCTCAGCAGATAGAGTGAGCACGTAAGACGCTTCTGGCTCCTTACTGCGGGGCAAGAAGCCTCCAGGCCAAGGATGGGTTACGTTGCCGTCGACCCCGTGCTGCTGAGGTCAGGCTGACGGCCACCGCCGCTGCCATAACGGCAGGTGAGCGAGCTATTTCGAAACGGCAGCCCCCGAGTGGTCGCGTCCTAACACACGTGCCAATGCCGCCGACCCCTGGACCGACCCCGTTGCCGGCCTATACCCGCGCTAGTGTGCGCGTAGCGCGTCCCATCCCGGCCGCTCCTCTATCCGGGCAAAGCTCTCGGAGGGAAATGCTTTTACGTAACGGGTGAACGTCGCGGCGATGCGGTGTCAGCATGCAGATGGACAATACCTGTCTTGGGTCTCCCGCTGTCCGAGCGCGAGGAGGAGTCGATTCCCTGGCGGACCGGGCAACGCGGGCGTGTTATGCGATGGCATAGGCTCGTCGGGCTCGCCCCTTTTCGCGCTGGCTAACTCCGCGTTGGGGCGAGGTTCGCGCAGGAAGATTCGAGGACTCGCGACTTTGTGCGAGAGTCGGGGGCCGCGAAACGGAAGAGCACCACCAGAGCTCCCTGGACAGGCGGTAGGCTTCCGTCCCCACGCTCAGCGACGAGATAGAGGCCTAGAGTGTGGAAACAGGTCATCAGGACTCTGCCCTTCGCATATTCTTCGTTTCCTTTGTTCCTATGTGCGTTCTCTCACGGCGATCTAGGAGAGACTATGCGGGCTCTGTGGTGAGGGCATCAAAGTCCGAACGCCAAGTACCCCCGCTTGAGTCGTCTAGATATTACATAAAGGGGTCCTGGGGACAATGGGAGCACCGGTGGGAGTAACTAAGACACTTTCGTGGAGGAAACGAGCCGAGACCCCTTGTAACAAGGGGGTATGCTTGGAATAGGTTTAATTTAACTAATAATTCTATAGGGGGTCTTTTAGGTCCTTACTTCCTTTAAGTTTCCTAATCTTATTCTTATTCTAATATACTCCTAAGGTACCTCCGTACCTTAGTACCTTAGTACCCTAATGCCGAAGCTATCCGTAGCTTATCTAGGACTTTTTTTTAATAGGTCGCCGAAACGGCGACCTTAATGCCCGATATTATCCTTTTAACCTTTATAACCTAATATTATCCTCTTAACCTTTATAATCTAATTATTAATACAGGGCTCTATCCCCGTATAATACTATCTCCCCTTTACGAAAGAGCTCGTTTCTAAGCGCGGATTAAGTACCTAAACTTCGATAGTTAATAGGTTTATTAGGGTTTTATTAATGGAATAACTTAACGGCTTCTTTCGTCCCTTCGGTAGTGAAGTACTCCTACGGTTCCTAAGTCTAGTAGCGCTTAACCGGCTAGCCTTCTTACTTTACTAGGTACCTAACGACTTTTCCGGTTCTAGCGGAATCTAATACCTTATCTACCTCGTAGTTTTCTACCTCGATCGGGGCTACCTTTCGCAAGACCTAGTTAAGGTTAGGTAGTTCCTAATTACTAGCGCGATAAGGTTCGATAAGGGATACGTAAAAGGTATTATAAATACGCTAGCCTTTCGGGAGCGTTAAGGTTACGGTAATAAGCGAAACGACCTTTTAGATCTTAAAGGAACCGAGTATCTTCTTATTTATCTTTTTAACCGGACGTTTAGTTTTAATGTTACGGGTATTTAATATAACGAACTATCCTACTTTTAAGGGAGGTTTTTCTTTTCTATACTTATCCGCTTATCCTTTTATCCGCTACCGCGCCTTCTTTAAATATTACTTAGCTTCGTTATATACCCGAGTTATTTAATAAGTATAGAGGTTACTTCTTAGATTCTTAGGAATACCTAAAGGAGGGTTATATACCGCTAAGTACTACTTATAATTAACGTAAAAGGGTAATATACCGGTAACTATCGAAGCGGTATTATTATAAGTAAACTCGGTAATAAAAAGTAAGCTTTCCTAGTCGCTTATCTCGTAGTTTACGAAGGCGCGTAGGTATACTTTTAGGATTTAGTTAAGTTTTTCCGTCTATTTATCCGTCTAAGGGTAAAAGGCGGTACTTATTCTAGGCTTAACTCCGAGGAGCTTTAAAACGTCTTTCTATATATAGGAAGTAAATCGTAAGTCTCGGTCGGAAATAATATCTAAAGGGATCCTATATAGCCGCTAGTAATTACGGATAAAAATAGATATTAGGTCTTCGGTTTTTTTACCGTCCTTTTTTAACGGAATAAAGTATGCTATCTTGGTAAAGAGGTCTATAATAACCTATATAAAATCGTAGCCGTTAGATATTAATAAGTCCGTAATAAAATCTATCGCGATTATTTACTATAGTTAGTAATATAGTTCTATAAGTTATAATAATCCGAACGGGATATATTAGGATACCTTATTTTACTAGTACTCGCGATATCCCCTAATAAATTCCCTAATTATTACTTCTAGGTTAAGCTATTAAAAGTTTCGAGTAATAAGTTCCATGGTTTTATTTATACCTATATATCCCGCTACTTTAATATCGTATTCCGATTTAATTACTTCCTATTATAGGTCCTTAGGTACCTAAAAACGGTTTCGTCGGTAAAGAAGGCCTTCCTAAAGTTCTATCTCTTTACCGAGTAGTTTAGCTAGCTAGGCTTAGTATTCCGGGTCCTATATAGCTACCGTTTTAACCTATTTAACGAACTCTAGGGTTTAAGCGGGTATTAAAATATTACTTAGTCGTACGCTAGAGAATATTACCGTAAGTAAGCCTAGATTTTTTAAAAAATACTTTTCCTATAGGACCGTCGCTATCGGCTAATCCTTAGCTCCTCCTTTTTTAAGGCGATATTATAATAGTCTTAATAAAATATCGGCCTTCTTATTTTACTTTCTTAAGCGGTAGTATATTATAAAGTAATACGAGGAAAGCTATTAAGCCTAGCAAGCTTATCGTCGATTTAATACTTTTACCGTAGTAAAGTATATTAGGTTCTAGTAATCTAAGTATACTTCTATTTAATACTAAGTACCTTCGAAATAATATCGTTATTTCTCGAATACGTCGACGATTATTAGTAATTCCTTATTATATATCTTATAATTTATTTCCGTTAGAATAAGTCGTCTTAAGAAAAAGGCTACTAGTTTTAGTCTTTCTTTATCGTCTTTTTACGAAAAGACGGCCGAAATAATAAAGTCCGAAGCGTCGGCTTTAACGATTAAGACTCGATTAAGATCGAAATATATAAGTACTAAGGCTTTTATAAAGGTCTCTTTTAATTCCTAGAAGGCCCTTTTTATTTCGATTTTCCATTTCCATAGCTTACGGTTCCCTTTATTAGCGCTAATAATCGGCCTAGCTATACCTAAAAAGTTACGTATAAATTTGCGGTAAAAATTAGCGAACCCGATAAAGCTTTAAGAGTCCTTAAGTATAGCTAGGGTACGCTAATTAAGGATAGCTTTTACTTTATCTTTAAATATAGTAATACCCTTAAGGCTTATATTATATCCTAAGAATTTAACTTCTTACGTTCGCTAGGTATATTTCTTTAGAGCTACCGCTAAATGATTTTCTATAAGCCGTTTTAAGACTTCTTTAATTAATTTATTATATTCTTCTAACGTATCGGTATAGATTAAGACGTTATCTAAATAAGCGATAACTCCTACGTCTAAAAGGTCGCGGAAGATATGGTTTATTATAGCCTAGAAGGTAACGGGGGCGTTAATTAATCTCATAAATATAACCGTATATTCGTATAACCCATAACACGTTCTAAAGGCGGTTTTCTATTCGTCGCCTTCCTTAATCCGTACCATATAGAAACTAAACTTTAAATTAATCTTAATAAACCATCGCGCCGTTTAAAATAGGTTCTATAGTTCGTTAATTAACGGAATCGGATATCGGACGGGTATTATAATTTTATTTAACCCCCGGTAGTTAGCTACCGGTCTTAAAACGCCCGGGTCCTTCTTATTTATAAATATTATAAATACGCCGCAAGAGGCCTTAGATTTCCGGATTCTTTCTATGGTTATTATTTCGTCGAATTAAGGTTTTAAGGCGTTTAATTACCGTCCGCTTATAACGTATAAGGATTCCTACGGGGAAGTAATCCCCGGACGAAACTTAATAACGTAGTCCTACGGTTACCGATTAAGGAACCGTTATCCCGCTTCCTTAGTTATAATAGGAACGAAGTCGCGAAATTATTCGGGTACTTATAATAAAGCGTCCTTTTCTCGCGTAGTTCCTATACGGATCGGCCGGGGGCGATAGTTCCGGTATTAAGGTAAGTTAAAATATAATCGTCCCTCCGTAAATAAACCCTAAGGAAGGTATTCCTTTATCTATTATTAAGGTAGGATAGCGTCGACCTCTTTATTTAATTTACTAACTTCTTAAGCGATAAGGTAAATATATTCGTAGCTACGGAGCTTTATTTCGTTCGTATATTAAAGCCTTCCTAACGAGATCTTAAAGCCGTCGAATCTTACTAAGGTTCTTAGCTTTAAGCGTTAATTAATAGAAATACGTAACTACTTAACCTTAGCGGCGTTAATTAAGGATACCTCGCTACTAATATTTAATAAGACTTATAAGGGATATTCCTTTCCCTAATGTTTTATTTATATTATATAAATAAACCGTTTATCCGACCGGGGTTTACTTTAATTACGCTAAGGGATTCGTAATTTCTTCGCTATTAGTACTACTTCCGTTACTTCTAGCGTTCCGGGCCGTTTTATAGCCGTAATTTTTACGTTATTTTTATCGCCCCTTTCTTCCGTTAACGCTTACGGGGAGGCATTTAAAAATCCCGTTCTTTATCGGAATCGGATAGTTCTATAATACGGGAAAGAATTTCCTTCTATCGTATAGTAGTATCGATTCTAGCCTTTTTATTAGGTAATAATTCGGGCTCCTTCCTTTCTCTTTTTCCCGATAAAACCTTCTTAGGTAATATAGGTAAGTCCCGTCCTTTTAAGTCCTTTTTTACGAAGTAAGCTAAGGTTTAGTAATTATTCCTTCCATACCGCTAGTAGGCTTTCTTATCCTTCTTTCGCTAATCGATTACGGCTTAGTTAATTTTAATTAAAGCCTCTTTATTATTTATCTATCGTAAGTCCTTAGCCGGTACGGGTTTCTTATTTTCCTTACTTTTACGTTCGTTTATCGGTTAGCCTAAGCGAAAGCGAGTTTCTTTTACGGGTTACCTTTATTATTAATCCGCTTTCGTATATTCCTTTTACGAAGCGGATCCTCCTTTTCCCGAAATCCTTAGGTTAGCTATTATGTTTTTATAAATTTAACCGGCTTCCTTAATTACTCCAAGAAAAGCTTCGTCGCTTTCGGGGATATTACCTAGTCGTAAATAAATTAACTTAATTATTTCGTCGGGTAAGGTACGGGCGATATAATTTTAAAAGGTAATTCCGGATTATTAAACGACGTCGTTAAGGTCTATAAGCTCGGTAAGGTATTAAGAGATATCTCCTTAGTACTTAAGTTCTTATATTTTCTTAAAGTTACGATATCGTTCGGCGGGGTCCTTAAATCGTTCTTAAAGGGCTTAGGAATATCCTACCTAAGTATCGACGATTATTAACCTTTTTACTTAGGTTAATCGTTATTAATACTAAAGCTAGGCCTTTTCGATAAATATTAATCCTACCTAGTTAATTTTCTAAACGTTCCGGGTAAAACTTTCTTCGTAGGTCTTAAGATAGGACTTAATTTTAATTTACTATAGTCGGAACTTAACTAAGTTCTTACCGTTATAAGCCGTAAGCTTAATAAGGTATACTAGGTTAGTCGTTACCGTAATACTTCGTCGATTATTCATAGCTTTAGTCTAGGCCCGAATTATACGTTCTTCGGCCGGGTCGAGAGGTTCTTAAGGTTCTTTTTAGGCGCCCGATAAGCGTCGCGGCTTTTACGGATCCCCGGATTCTAAGTCGTCCGAATTATCGGAATCCCTTAGGTCTCTTAAGGCATTCCGCGGGATCTTTAACGGATACGGTAATCCTTACCCGGTTCCTCCTAATATAAAGGCGCTTACTACGGCGTCTTAGAAACGGATTCTTACGCGCGTAGCGGTACGTTTAACCGCGACGTCTTAAAGTACGCCGTTAGAAATAATCTCCCTTATTTTAGCCTCGCTATTAATATACCGTTTTATAAATATCGTCGTAAGGCGAATAATTAATACGGGGATAAGTATTCGAGCCCTTTAGCTAGCTTTAATTATAATAAACTCGATATTCGTTAACTTATTACTTAATCGTCGCTATTAATATTCCTTAATTAAATTAGCGGCGTAAGCCTTAAGATCGTTTTTAATTAGCTAAGTCTTTTTCTCTATAGCCTCGGGGATAAGATATTCCTTACTAAGGATTTCGTTAATCTATTTATCCTTCTACGTAACCTATAAGTTAACGTCCGTTATTAATTTATTATATTTTTTACGTAGCTAAACTAAGGCCCGTTAATTTTAAAGGACGGCGTCTTTAAGTTAATCTACGGCGGCGGTTCGTACCTTATCTTATTAGGTAAACTTAGCTACCGTTTCTTATACGTTCTAAATAAAGTAAGTACTTTATTCTACGACCTACTTCTAAAACTCGTAGATTTATATCTTCGTAGTTCGGATACCGGTTATTTATATAGCCGTAGCGGTTTAATAAAGCTATCGTAATTATTCGTATTATTCCTTTAGGATCGTATTTTATCGGTATCTTATATCGACCTAGTTAGTTAGTATCGCTAGGCTTTAATATACTTATTTTATTTACTTATATAAATCTACGATTTACTACGGAAGATTACGTATAACTACCCCCGAGTTCGTAATCTCCGGAGCATTAATTATAACTACCTCGTATTCTTAGGGTTAATATACGATAAGAGATTTATCGGTCGGTTCGGGGATTACTTCTAGCTAGGACGCCGGAAGGATTTACTATCGTTCGGCGTCCTTTGCCTTTAATTTTATTATAGCGGCCTTTAATTCGTTAATCGTAGTTACTATCTAAACTACTTCCGCTATAGAGATTAACGCTAGCCCGGAGGTAGTAATCCGCGGGAGTAGGAATGCCTATGGCTCCTCCGTAAAGGGCCTAGGTTAATCTAATAGTAACGGTACCGAAGCGATAGCTACGTATAACGTAGGCTTAAGCGTAGGCTTTTCCTATTATTAACTTATAATAAAGTTATAAGGTTAAAAGTAATATAGAATTATTTATAATAAAAGGATATGCTTAGAATAGGTTTAATTTAATTAATAATTCTATAGGGGGTTTCTTAGGTCCTTACTTCCCTTAAGTTTCTTAGTCTTATTCTTATTTTAATATATTCCTAAGGTACCTCCGTACCTTAGTACCTTAGTACCTTAATACCGAAGCTATCCGTAGCTTATCTAGGACTTTTTCTTAGCAGGTCGCCGAAACGGCGACCTTAATACCCGATATTATCCTTCTAACCTTTATAACCTAATATTATCCTCCTAACCTTCTTAACCTAATTATTAGTACAGGGCTCCATCCCCGTATAACACCCCTCTTCTACCGCTTATACTGTCTAACTGATTCTAAAACCTACCCACCAAAATGTCCGCGGCAACGGCTCTTCCGTCGGCGACGATGTCTGTCTTCATGGACAAGACTAAGGCCGACGACGACAACGTCTCGGAGCAGGTGCGGCTCGAGGACCAGCATGAGACCGTGATTTACGCGATGGGGAAGGCCTTGTACGCCCCCGTCGACCTGTCGAAGTCGGGTCTCCGCATCCTAGACTCTGGGTGTGCGAACGGTAGGGAGTTCCCCTGAGATGTTCCACCGGATTTCTACAGCTTTCTCTACGCATACTAACGACCTAGGCATATAGGCCGGTGGATCAAGGATCTGCAAGCAGCCGCGTGGCCGGCGCAGCACGAGTACGTCGGGACGGACGTGGTGTCGTCGCTGTACCCGGCGCCGGCGCCGGCGGGGACGCGGTTCGCGGACCAGTCGATCAAGGAGGCGTTCCCGGCGGCGTGGGCGGGGACGTTCGACGTGGTGCACCAGCGGCTGGTGATGGCGGCGGCGGCGCCGGAGCGGGCGCCGGGCTGGGTGGTGCGGAGCCTGGCGGGCCTGCTGCGGCCCGGCGGATGGCTGCAGATGGTCGAGGTGGCGACCGCGCCGCCGCTGCCGCGAAACGGCCCTGCCCAGGCCGACTACCTCGCCATGCTCGATACCCTCTACGCCAAGCTCTACGGGGGCACCCCGCTCGACCGCCCCAACCTCATGGGCCGCCTCCCCGACGAGATGCGCGGCGCCGGCCTCGCCCACGTCGCCCACCGCGAGGTCCTCGTCCCCTACGGCGCCGCCGTCGCCGACCCCCGCGTGCGCGAGCGCAGCCTGAGGACCGCCGTCGCCGGCGTGCCGAATTTCCTCTCGGTATTGCGGAGTAGGTTCCCCTCCGCCCTTTTCCCCATTGCCATTGGACGGTCGGCTGAATATGGTGCTCTCAGAGATGCCGCCCGAGGTCTGGAGGCCGGAGTGGGATGATCTCGAGTCGCGTCTCTACACGGAGCTGAAGGAGACGGGCGGCTACGCGAGGTACATCGTGTGCTGGGGCCAGAAGTAGCCTCATCAGCAGGGAAATTTGCGTCACTTGTAGCTCTTATGAGACGGTTATGCTTCTTCGGGTTTGCAGGTTAGCTGAAGAGCAGGATACAAGGGGGAGGTCAACATACTTCGTGCAAAGGCTGGCTGAATCCCCTCGCGAGATGTATAATATTGAATCCAGTTTCAATGTCGTCCCCCTTCCGCCACACCTACACGGCTCTCTAAGCTGTTCGGTCCCTTAGGGCCATCCTGCTTGATTCAACAAGACATGACGGTACATAGATATCCACTTAAGAGGATGTAGCAGAGAGAAAGATCGCTCCTCGGTAATTATCTTTACATAATAATGCGTCTCAATGGTTGCCAGTATAACGGGCTGACACAAATAATGATTAATGTACGGTATCGTCTTTTAAATGATAATATTAGGAGTCTGCCTTCAATAAGAAGCCATCACATGAAAATGAAAACACCAAACCCTCTCGAAGGAATCCCACCTGTAATATAACCTTACGTAGTCCTCGGAGGAAGTGTAGGCCATTTAACACGCATTCAGCTACGCTGGCCTGCATATCTCTTTTTTCTCAAGCAGCATAGGCTCCTTTACCTCTCCACTCGGTTGTTAAGGGCTAGATTTCTAGCCAATACAGGACAGAAGTAACTGTATGGGCGGCTAATATTCTCCAGCCTGCAGCAAATGAGAAATCGAGTATTGCTGCTAGAAAGCCTTGGCCTCCAAAGTATTACCACTGTTTAACATACGCTGATGATTGGCTCTGTGGACGGATATCATTGATGCCTAACTAAGCCACCTAGATATTATCGTCAGCCGCTCGTGGACCCAGGTCGCTTTGACTTCATCTTCACGACGACTCAATCCCAGACCTCCACGAAAGATTTTGTACGTGATAATATCCTCCGTATAATCTAGACAGGAAAGGAAATGTCTACCGACGGGCACCCCGCTGAGGCGCGATATGTCTACTCGAAATTGCCGTCCTCGGATCACACTCGAGTATTAGAGATCTATCCCTCGGAGGATCCTATAGCGGAGATACGATGCGCCATCCATACTTTTGGCCTGTATAGCCCCGATGCCATCTCATACGAGGCGATCTCATACACCTGGGGGGAGCAACTCTTTCTGGAAATGATTTGGGTCATTGGTTCCCCCGACGGCCCCAATCAAATTCCCATCACGACCAATCTCTCAAATGCAATTCGTAGGTTTAGGTACCGCACCAAGCCTCGCTTTCTTTGGGCAGACGCTGTCTGTATCAACCAGAAGGACAACGACGAGAAAGCAACACATATTCCGCTTATGACGGATATTTACCGCGGTGCTGCTAGGGTTGTTGTTTGGCTTGGGGCAGAACAGAAAGACCAACAAAACGTTTTACGGATCAACAATATGGGGAGGCTTATCAAGTCAGAGAGACGAGCAGAAATTTACCAGGAAGGAAAGCTACTGGAATGCATGACAGATTTGCTTCGTCTGCCGTGGTTCAGCAGACGGTGGATTATCCAGGAAGTTGTGATGAGTACAGATGTTGTGCTTTTCTGTGGTTCCCAACGACTATCATTCCTGCGACTCGTTATGATGTTACATTCTTTCCGAGACACTGCGATATTTTCCGTCCCAGCAGCGAGAGGCCTATTACGGATGTACGAGCTTTGGAAAGGGTGGGCCACTAGCGAGCCGCACAGCAGTGGGAGGGAAGTGATTTCAGTCCTAGATCTGTTGCAGGATTTTGATCACTGCGGTTGTGTTGACGGCAGGGATCGAATCTTCACCCTAGCCTCCTTATCCGAGGATGTCTACGTCCACACGACGGCGGACGTCTCCCCCAAAGCCCCACGGCATTGTTTCGAGGTTCTAATAGACTACGGGGTTTCTGTGGAAGAAACCTACATATCGACGGCCCAGATGTTCTCTAACTCAAAGTGCACAAACTGGATTTTAGTGAACGCCGCGATACGCTCCCGCGGTGTTTATGACACAGGCTTGCCAAGCTGGGTTCCAGACTGGAGAGTCCCTGCCTGTCGGCAGCCATTATCGAGACTCGCACCTGGTCACCACATCGTGCCTTCGCGCGAACCGGCGGACTCCACGGACTATATTTCATTACACAGGATGAATCTTCACAAAACTGAGATACGGCGGCTTTCCAACACCAAATTCCACCTACTGACTGCTGGCTTTCTCTGTATCCAAGACTGGCGGCAACAAATCGCTGCTAACAATAAAAATCCAAACCGGGGGCAATATTACGACGGCCCCCGTTGCCAGATACAATATTCTACGTGGGCAGGCAAGTCGGAAAAGAAACCCCCGGTCCCTCGTGATAAGAATGGCTTAGCACCATTGGCTGTAACCTGGAAGGGAGAAACCCTCTCTGAGTCCGGAGACAATGTGGATATAATGGCGTGGGTGCAATCGACCTTTGAGGGGGTTTGGAAACGGGTTCGCTCGTCACATGCAGAGTCCAGCTTCATCTCACAATCTATACCTCCAGAGGGTATTAAACTTGAACAGAACCATGATGAAGGCGACATTTTCACTCCTGGAGGGAAGGTATGGGATGAATGCATAGATAAATTCGCCTACCTTATCACCGGGTACGGGAAAACGTCCGACAAACTCGACTCTATGCTATTGAAGGCAATTGAAGATATGAGAGAAAGTGCGGATTCCCACGAAAGATATCGGATATCTATTCACGAAGGTCGAGACATCGATTTATTGAGGGATATAGGATATAGAGCCCGCTATAAAAGCTCGAAGTATTACCACACTGCCAGGGTGCAGGATATCGTTCTCGGGAAGAAGGGAAACTTACCGGAACAGGATAAAATATTGAAGTTGATTGGTCTAAGGATGGGTGGTCGATGTCTATTTACTTGCGAAGTGGATTGGAAGCCGGAGCGCGCACTTGCTGCGGATATAATGGGTATCGGAGTGCCGCATATGAAAACAGGGGACCGGGTCATATTTCCTGCCTTCGAGGGAGGTGACTTCAACTGGTGGAAAAGCACGCTCCTTGTTCGCGAGGCGATCCTAGACGCCCAAACATCTGCTGAAATCTCGAAGGATCCCGAGTTTATCAAGGCTAGAGACCAGCAGTTCCCCCCACCAGTATACCAGTTCGTCGGGGAGTGTTTCCTAACAGCGTCACGTTGGATGTCGCTTGTGAGGGGCCTCGTTGACATGAGGTGGATTGAAGACACTCCAGGTGGTTATTTTTTCCACGAGCATAATGAAGACGGCCGCAGGAATCTGGGGATGGTTAAAATCGACGTTGTTCTTGTATAGAAACCTTTTGTTATTTCCTAGAAAGAGTGGTGTTAGGGCTAAGGAGTTGATTGGGGCAGGTACAGGTATGTGAAACTGATGCTATTTCCTCTCTGACGGGTGAGAATTGACCCAGCATAGGAAAACGAAGGACTACAGGGCCGAGCGAAATCGCCACAGTTACTAAGAGCACCCTTGTGAGAATACAGGAATAAAGAGGTGGAGAGCAGCTCTCAATAGTTGGTCGGGAGGTACAGCGAGAGCTGCTTCAGGACAGTTGCTGGGTGGGTTGTTGGGTTGTTAGCTGTATACATAAGACCTCTATTACGTTGAGGATTCTCTTGGGGCACCTTATGTGTCCAAAGCGTCGAATAAACTATATATTTGAGGGTGAAACTTGAGAAAACTAGAAGCCAAATTAATACTCAAAGTGCCAACGAAATAACTACATTAATACCTTCAGTTTCTCAAATCCCCTATTCATGGTTAAAGGTCCTTTTCTCTTGCCAGGACTTAATCCCTGCCCGTGGGAAGAAATAGGGGGTTCCAGATATCGCGCCAGATGTCAACACCCGTCCAGACCCAACTGCCAAGCCCCCACTGGCACGTGACATCACCTACCTACAGCCGCCGCCGGCGAGTGATAAACGTGGGCAACTAGGGCTACACCTAGCAAGGAATACAGACATCTCCCAACCTAATCCGCTGTCTAACAAGTCCAACGACCCCTGGAGGGCTAATGAGTGATGACTCTACCTAGTTGAATCCACCCTACCATCCCCCATGATCATCGCGACGAGCCGGGTAGGCTGACCGTCGTGAAACACGAGTCCAGTGTACCCAAAGAGAAAAGTCACGCGGGAACACCGACGAAGCTAGGACCAAGGCAAGGTGAGGCCATACCAGCGATGGCATGTAGACCCGAAGGTTCTCTACCTACCGGGGGGAAACACAGATGCAAATATATGTTCTGCTACGCTCGCATGCTGTGTCACGGAACATTGGTATGCTACACATGGGCCCCCCATCGTGACCATCATCACCGGCACCGCCGCAACCGCTAACACCCCAGGTTATCTTGATGGCTTAACGCATCAGACCGTCATCCCGCACCACCAAAAAAAACTTCCCGCCGTCCCGTACGGGGTATCGTATCCGTCCCCGCTATACATTATTACATTAACCAGAACAAGATGAAGGGAGAGGAGTTGTGTTTCCCCCCCTTTTTTCCCCGCCCGCAGGCGTGCAACAAGACAAAAAGAGAAGGAAATAAAAAATTTGCCCGCGATGGCTCGGGGGAATATGGATACGTCACGGTAGCGCTTCCCCCGATATCAGGTCCTCGGGAGCACCTAGGCAAGTGTCACCGGCCAATGCGCACGTAGCAACGCGTGTCGAGATAAAGGCAGGGCAGCGTCGGGTCAAATCGTAGCACTATGCATTGTCGGCTGTGGGGGTCGTCCAGGACTAGTCGCGAGCCTCCGATCGTGTGATGACAGGTAAACATACGTATGTGTATGTATATATGCTGCTGCTGCTGCTGCAGTCAATAGCGTGGTGGGTTCGGGTGAGCTGGACCAAAGGGGCCTATGCTCCTGGGGCGTGCGCGTGCTTATCTTTAGGACTGTACCGGCTAGGATGCGCGATGCGCCCCTACCAGAATCTAACCCGGGCCCGCCTATATTGCCAATTATCTATGACCTCTAATAGCCATCACTTTCTTCTTCCCCCCTCCGGCAGAAGCCGGGCGGCGGATCTAGAAGAAATCGGACACCAAAAAGGGCAAACCAACTGGACCGTGGAGTGGGTGGCGGTATGAGTCTTGATTGGGACGGCATTACCGGCCTAGTCTATATCCATTCGCGAGGGCTCCCCCTCAGGCACTGGTGCTGAAGTAGTAGTTCTCCCACAGGTATTCGTAGTCCTCGAGGATGCCAGAAACGAGGCTGGGCATGCGGCGTCGCACTCCCGTCACCACGCCCTTGGTGACATGGTCGTAGAAGGCGCCTCTCATGGCCCACCAGCCCGCGGCCCAGTACCTCTTGACCCATTCCTCGTTCTCCAGAGCGGTGCTTCGCAGGCCCCGGTCACGCAGCTGCCGTGCGGCGTACTCCATGCTCAGACCAATGATCCAGGGGGTCCAGGATTTCTTGTCCTTGCTTCTCGACAGGGCAATGGCGTAGACGAGAGGAGAGAGGATGTGCAGAATCTCGGCCGTCTTCCCGTTGCGGGATAGCGTGTTGAGGAGCTTCGCTGCGGGCTTTATGTCGTCTGCGGTCAGGACACGGGTCATCAGGTACGAGCTGATGTCCCCAGGGTTTGGCAAGCTCGGGAGACTAGACCTCGTCCGCGGCATCGTCCACTCCTTTTCGCGGGTGGCCTTGGAAGAACCGCTGGAGGTAGTGTCTTCGCCCATCAGCTCCTTCAGCGCGTCGTCGTCGTCGTTCTGTTCGACATCTGGCGGGACCGGCTCTCGCTCGGGGAGCGGCGGGGTGACGAGGGGCCTCGAGTTGGTAACCCGCATCAGCAACAGCCGGCAGACGGCCTTAATGACCTCTAGGATGATGACGACGCGCCAGCGAATCCGCTCCCCCTTGCGCTTAGCGGCCATCTCCCACAACAACTCGGTGTACTGGACTATCTGCAGCAGCAGTGCTATCCTCCGGTACAGGGTACTCTTAGTGGTCCAGAATCGGGTATAACGCGTATGGGAGTTGGGTATCTTAGAGGCTAGAGCGGGTATCTTGGCGACGGCGCCGCGGAGGAGGGCATCGTGGTAGAGGGAGAGCAGTTGGATGCTCGAATGCAGGGTTTCGGAAGCGATCTCGGCATCGCGAAAGCGGCCGGGGATGATGTAGGTCAGAGACCGCAGCGCGCTCTCGATCTGGGAGACCTGGTGCGCGTTCTTCGTGATGAAGTCGCCATACATCTGCAGCCATTTCGGCGGCATCGACAGCACGCTCTGGATCGGGTTCCGCGATTGGGCGGCATGCGGCGGTCTGGATTTCCCGAACGGATCGGCAGGGCGCGACATGGCGAATGGCAGGACGGAATTGTACAGGAGGCTAGATTAAAACAAGTAACGAGGGAAAACGAAGAGAATGAGAAAAGGAGAGGAAGAGGAGAAGGAAAGAAAGAGGACGCGGGTCGGAGAGGCGTGATTGGGTTGACGTGGTGCCGAAGGAAGCAAATGGCGGAGGGGGAGAGGGGAGGAGGGGGGGGGTTGTGTTGGACGAGGGCGGCGAAGACGAAAGTGATGAATGGATCGAGGGACAATTGGATGGAGCAACAACGACGACGACGACGATGACGGCGACAGCGACAGCGACAGCGACAGCGACAGCGACAAACAGTTGGTTCAGCCTCTATCACGTCCCAAGTTGGACGTACCCAGGTATTTTGCCCTGCTTACCTGTCATTGCCACTCCTCGCGTCGCCGCGAGCCTCGGTTTAACAAAATCACCATCCTACACTAGCTAATGCCCCGGGACTAACCCGAAGAGGGAAGTTGAATAGTGAAGCGGGACAGGGGACGCCCGGACCACCTCGCCTCAGGCCATTCCACCAATCGTCGTGGGCGTAATTTTGACGCCAAGCTTACTCATCCCACTGTCGTCATACAGACTGTGATAAGGCATTATATCATCTAGTGTAGGACCTGACAAATGCTTGCTCTACTATACTCTCCCACCTCACCATCCCACTCCCCCCGCCCCAGTACACAACTCGGCTATCTCCTTGCAATCTATTCTTCCGTGACAGGGAATCGAGCCGAGAACTTGTAGGCTATCTCTGATCCCAGTCAAGCCGCATACTTAAGCCACATACAGCTGCTCCAGGTAATCCCTCCATCCGTCTCCTCGGCCGATGTAACCGATGTACATATCGGGCCTCACCACCACGACGAAATCATCCGCCACCGCCACGACCTCAGACGAGAAAACCCCTGCCCCGGCCTCTCTTTCAGTCTCGGTCTCCTGTTTCGTATCGTCTCCGCTAGTCTCTGCCCTGGTCGAGCTGCTGGGGAGAAGGGTGAAATATGTGCATAGATCCCCGAATCGCTTCTCGAGATTCCGCTCTCGGCCCAAGGCGAGAATCAAGTATTTCCCGTAGGTAACCGTCGAGTATAGGCGTTTCGCCTCCCCGGTTGCGATATGCGTGAGGCGGATATCTGGACATCGTTTTCCAGCCTTCCAGATACCCTGCTCCGACTCCACGATCAATTCGGATCCCAGTCCGTCGTACGAGACGCCCATTCCTATCTCCGCGTGAGCGTACATTGCTAGAGGGGCTCTTTACATGGATCTTACCCGTGATATACCCGGCATTTCTCTCGATCGTGGATACGTACTGTTTCGCCGTGTGCGTCGTATCCCGCACCAAGGCTGCCGCAACGTCGATAACCCCCTGTGCCACGGCTCGTCGCTCGGTGTCGTAATTCTTGATAAGCCTCGTAGCAGCGCCGGGCACCAGAGGGACATTCTTAGTCGCCGCGATCCGCCAGCTGAGACCGAACGCGTCGGCGATTCCCGTATTCAGCCCCTGCCCGCCGTTTACCGAGTGAACATGGGCCGCATCGCCGGCGAGGATGACGCGACCAGTTCCCTGCTTCGAAACGAAAGTCGACGCTATTCTTTCCTTGACTAAACGCTCGAGGGATTCCGTTAGACCGCCACCGCTCATGCTTCAAGTTGTCTCGGCGGAGAGGCAACACCCACCGTCAAAAGTACTGAACCACTCTGTCCTGACAAAGTCGATCCTGTATGGCGCCATGTGCTCTCTAATCGAGTCCTCGGCTCTCTCTTGGGTAATCTCTCCGTCGAGAAGAGTGTAGAACCTGGCCATACCCCGTTCTCGGGGAATCCACGAGACCCGTGACTGGCCCCTAAGCTGGAACGTGATGATTTCCGGGCATCGAGGAAAGTCCGTGTCGATAAACGTGTCCAGAACTGCCCATACCATTTCGGGTTTCGTCCCAGTAAAACTGATACCCAACGCTCGGCGTATCGTCGAACGGGCGCCATCGGCAGCGATGGCGTATCGGCCCCGGATTGTTCGACCACGATCAGTACTCACCGTTACGCCGTCATCCGCGTCAACTATGGCTATAGCTTTTTCCTGGTAATAGATTGGGGTATCCAGATGGTCCAAAAGAACCCTTTCGACCACGGGCTGCCCGATCATGAGGAAATTAGGATGCAGGCAATGCTCAAGCGACGTCCACCAGTGGCTCTGCTGAGACTTGAAGACACCCTCGGCGAAGGTTGAACTGGCTGGACGCGGTAAGTCCAGAAACCACATCTCAGGTTAGGCAGGCTTACTGTTGCACTTGAGTCCGAGGGGGAGCAAATCCTGGAGAATCCCTACCACCTCCAGGTACTGCTGCGTGCGTGCATTCAGGGCATCTGCTCGGCCTAAATCCAGAGGTCCGGCTTTCTCATCTAACATTCCATCACCTTGGTTAGATTACCCGACGGTTGAGCACCCCGGGACCAAGCATAGCCTACCAATAACCCTCACGGAGAGCCCGAGTCGGCTTGCCAGTAGCGCAGACAGAAGTCCCGTAGGACCACCTTCCCGTAGTGTCAGTTTTCTAGTAGATGTATAGAGACCGAATCGGCAACCAACCTCCAATAATCACCAAGTCGACCTGTTCTTCAGACCCGAAGGCCTGCCCGTTCTGCGCCATAGCCAAGGCGGCGTGGTTGCGCGGATGACGTAGCAGATAAGTTCACGGTATTAGTTGTCGTATGGTTGTCGAGACAGGCTGACTAGGAAGCAGTGCGAGGGAGTCGATCGAGCTACGACGACACTTTATGCGTCCGAATGGCTGCCTGGGTGAGCTCCCGGCCTCGGTGATGGCGCCACCTTCGGTCGACGTTTCACAAGACCGAGGGCAGACTTTTTATTGCTGGATATATCCACGACGTGGCGAGCTGCTGTTGAGGTGAAGAGGAGTCCGCTCTTGTGATCCTCGCCACCCAGCACGGCCGTTGGGAACAAACGGGTTATGTAGTCCGACGGGGGGACCGCGGGATGAAACGAATCCCCATCCCATCCCGGTCTCTTGGTTTTCAAACTTCCCCTTCGGGCAAGGGGAAGACTTCCCTCGGTGCTACATTGGGGGCTTCGGGAGGGGACCGCATGTCCACAGGCCAGGAGACGACTCCACTGTGGCCGAGAAGAGGCCCATTTGCCCGTCGTGTACGGGACTCGCCTTCGTTCTTTTTCTTGGGCGTTTTAGCCGTGCTGCCGGAAACATTGCACTATGGACTGCCAACACACAATTGGCCTGTATCCGCAGCTCGATCCGTTAATTTGCAGCATTGCGCCTTGCCAAGTCGGCTTTTGCGAGAACGCGTATGGGATATGAATAAAGTCCTCAGCTACCGCAACCGACGCTCGCTGAGTCCTCCCCGAGCTGTACTTGTGTGTATCATGCACACATCCTGCAACCCGCACCTCGTAGATTATTAGGAGCGGCGCACTCTCCCTACAATACCAGCTCGATTACATCTAGCCGACGGCACCTTATCGAATCCTACCATTCACCATGCCATCCGCCTTGAAGCTTGACGACACCGAGGGCCCGGAACCTCTGGCAGGCCCAGCCGCCCAGCCGGAAAAGCCGCAGCCTACCCATCTGGAAACTGCATCGCATATTCTAAGTGTCCTCTCACGATATAAGCTCTCCAAGAATTTGTCGCCGCCGAAAGCAGGCGATGGAGACTTCAGATTCCTCACTCAGATTCGTGATAAGGTGGCAGCCGGAGAGCCTATTCTTATGTGTCTCCCGGCGTTCCCCTTCAAGTCACCGAATACGACTGCAAAAGTTCTAGGTCGCCTCCCGGACAAGGCTGAGGAGTTTGCACTCGCCCATCTCGATGGCTTGTGTGCCGCCATCGAAGATATCTATCCACCCGGTGCTCGGCTGATGATAGTCTCTGATGGGCTCGTGTACAATGGTAGTGTACCCCTGAACGTTGTTGCCGATCTTAGTGTTATTAACTCCGATCAAGATCTTCTAAGCGTCCCCGACAAGGACGTCTGGGCATACGGCGAGGCCCTCCGAACGATGAGGGCCAGCAAGGGCTTTCGTCACATCGAGTTTTGCCGGCTTAAGGACATAGTGCACGTCGATATACCCAACGAGTTGGACGAAATCAAATGTTGGTACTCGTTTTCGCTATTATCGTCTTTTATTCTCGGGTATATCTTTCGAGCCCCCGCCTTGGCTTTTCTCCGTCTTTGGACACTCACTATCTCCTCAAGCCTCGCAGCCAGGAAGCGACACTGACTCTAGTTCTTGTAGACGTTGCCAACGCTACAAATTTCCGCCATGCTCTGCTGAAGCAGTTCGGTAACCCTGACTTCAACGTCTCGTTGAGGATCTCGGAAGACGAGGATACGTGCCTAACGTATAGGGGATACATTAAGTTCTTAGAGACCGACCTCCAATATGTGTACCCTATAGGAGAGGGCCGAAGCAAATCAAAATACAAAAAGGGAGTAGAATACGTCGCGAAGCAGATGCTGATGAGAGGCGATGTGAGCCCCCATTTTCTTCCTTCAACTCAAAAGTCCCAAAGAAAGGAGAGGAGACAACGTCAGCTAACCATAATGGTACAGGCATTCGCTCGAGCAGTGCGGGAGCGGTTCCCCGACCGACTGAGGCTCTCGATCCACGCGTCGACGGGAGAGAGTAAGCTCTCCATCAGCCTTCTGCCGACCGACACATTTTTCACGACCCCTTGGCACTGCAGCATTGCGTTCCGCCTCGACGGCACTGTCGTGACGGGCCACCGTTCAGACTTTGATGTTGACGGCACGTTCGAGCTCGTGCACGACGAAAACGGTCGGCCGAGCTTCTTCCGCGAGAAGAGCGACCTCCTCTCGTGGCCCAAGTCTGTAGAGGGGGAAGGGGTGGCCATAAAATGCGAGCCCCTGTACCCGGTCGGCTTGCTCATCCGTCCAGCGGCGGGTCGGAATATGCTCTCTATCGGCGATATCGATGCGGGTAAAGTTCGCGCCCTGGCTGAGATGAATTCTCCCGTCGTTCTGCGAGGCTTCGCGCAGACGCGTAATCGTGACCGGTTTGTCAAGAAAGCTAGCGAGCTTGGCAAGCCGTTGCCGTGGAAGTTCGGGCTCGTCCTCGAGGTGAAGGATCGCGGTACGGATTCACGCGGTTTGAATAACGTGCTGTCGACTGAGTGGATGCCATTCCACTACGATGGGCTGTTCAAGATGGGGAAGAGGCTACGGGACGACGGGACAGAGGAAGTGGTATCTACGCCGCCAAAGTAAGCGGATCTCGCTGCTCTGCTAGGGACGATGGACCGGCTAATGACACTTGCCAGATTCCAATTCTTCACAGCTGTGACGACGTCGCCGCCGGACACAGGCTTCACCCTCTTTTCTTCGTCGACATTGATCTTGAAGAATCTGCCTCCGCAGCTCCCTCTATCTTACCTTCGCGGTCTGACGTGGACGGTCTCAACCTCCTCCTTCGATTGCTCTCTAATCCAAGGCCTGCCCCTCATCGTCGATCACCCGGCTACCGGGCGTCCGTGCTTACGGTACCACGAGCCGTGGCCGCAGTCTAAGACACAGTTCGAGGCCACATATGTGGCGATTGACAACGCATCCAGAGCCGTCTCTCCTACGACGAGCGGAAGCGACACCGATGTCGAGTTAGACAGTTTTGGGTCGGCTCCCTCCCTAGACGGACCAGCCATCTGCGACACGCTGACGAGCCTGCTTCACGACCGCCGCATCGTATACTACCACTCCTGGGAGAAGGGCGACTTGCTTGTTAATGATAACACTCTCACCATGCACACGCGGAGCGATTTCACAGCAGGCTGCGACCGTGAGCTATGGCGAATACATCTCGACTAACAGTCCCAACGCCGCGTTGGCCCCTAGATATTTTCACGAGTGCCCGTCTTTCCACAGTTTGTCTAAGCCCTCTCTCGTTAAGTTGCATTGTATCTCTGGGGAAGGCAAGCCTCTTCATGGCTCTTGGTCCGTTGCAGCTCGATCGTATCTCTCTGCTTTCTCAACAACCTCCTTTCCAATTCTAAAGCATCTGGGAAACTGACAGAGTTATATTACCGCGAAGCCATGTTTATTTGCTATCTACTAGTCTATCTGATGATCAATCTGCCTAGCTTCCTAACCTTCCCTCCTTCATGTGTTGTTCCCGTTGTCTCATGCCATCGTGCCCGGTAGCATCCGATAGTCGAAGGAGGCCGGAGATGCTGTCTCGTAAATCACGTCCTCTCGGCAGCATCGCGGTCAATATTATTAAATACAGCTGCGGCAATTCGTTGCGGTGATACACCTGATGCCGGGGATGCTTCATCATCTGCCTGTTTGTCAATTGAATCCCCTAAGACATTCGTATTATGCGTACGACATGGGTCCACTACGCGAATCCTAGATATAAACTTAGCGAAAATGGCACTCCTGGCTTAGCTTCTACCACTAAGAAGCCCTATTGATAGTCCTCCCATCTGTCTGTATCGGACGTTGAGACGATATAATGGCCAGAGAGGAAGCCGGGGGGATTTATTGTCATCTTCTTAGAGCATCGATTTCCCACTTTTACGATCTCGAGACGCTCCAGAGAGGGTAACACGTCTGGGGGGGCTACCTCGCCGGTGTTATTACCGGGACGAGGATAGAACGACGAAATTAGCGCGGCATCATGGTGACAGTGCGCGACAACAGCCTTTTTAGATTCCCCGTCCTGACTGGGGTCGACAACCCCAAGAATGCTCCGAGCCGTGATCGCGCAGGCATCGAAATGCCACGTCGAGATGGTTAGCACCCTGAGGCTGGGCAAAATCTGCCCCAGGTTTCTTATGAACATGCTCCAGGCCATTCGGTTCTCAGGGGTTCCGTCTTGGGTCCGGAACTCGACGCGCCGGATGCGGCGCAGGAAGTCGGCCCCCAGCGCGGTTGGCGCCACGAAGTAATTGGCATCGCGGGGCCTGCAGTGGTAGAAGACCGCCTCGCTGTCGAGATCACGAACCCAGGCGGGGAACTTGTCGCGAACCTCCGCGGCGTTCATTCGACTCAAGCTGTCGGTGGGGCGGCGCAAGTATGCGGTGTAGATGCCGCCGGCATTCATGGCGGCGCGGTACGTCTCGGGGAAACTGCGGACGACCAGGCTGTCCCTCTTCGGGTCGAAGGGGAGGCTGTGGCGGCGGGGCTCACCGTAGCAGCCGACGGCGTAGGTCCGGAACGCGCGGCAGACGTGGAAGAGCGGCGACAGCGCCGCCCAGGTGCGGGCCCCGGTGACGATGAGGCAGGGCTCAAAAAGGAACGTGGACAGGGTGTGGGCCTGGACCTCGTAGGGCTCCGTCACGTCTTCGAGCACCTGGAAGAGGATCTCGACAGGCAGGCTGAGAATGGGGAAGACGCGCGGCGGTGGCACCCATCGCAAAGAAGCCAGCCGTGGTGGCGGCATGCCGGTTCGGACCGGGGGGGCAGTGGGGTAGGCAATGGGGATGCTACGCGTAGTGTTGTTGCCCCGGGCTGAGGTGACAGCTCTGCTAAGGCTTCGGCCGTAGAAGTTGTCCGTCCAGACTAGGTGGCGATTCAGGGTGCGTGTCACGCGGGCCACAGCGTAGTTCATAAGTCCGTTGTTGAAGCTCTTGTCGTTGACGCAGTGGTGCGGCTCACAGCGGATGAAGGGCAGGAGGTGCTGGATAATGTCGCGCCACGGAGCCGGACCCTGGCCGTTCAGGTCAACAGTGACCTTATGGGGCGTCCGGCGGATGATGGCGCCGCGGAATACGTCCGTTTGGTTTCCGTTGGAGGGGAGATACACAACATCGTTAAGGGCCGCGGCGTCATGGGGCGTACTGGCGCTGCTGCTTCCCTGTGCTGTGCCGCCCGCAGCCGTCAAATCGATGCCATGCTCCTGAGCACCACCACCAGTCTCTATACCCTGACCGGCCATCACAGTGGCATAGTAGACACGGGACAACAGGTCCTCGATATGGTACAACGGATCCATTGTTTTGTGATAACTGTGGTGCGGTCTGGGAGAGATCACACCAGCAAGTGGGTAGATTGGTTGTGGCCTGTCTTCAGGGATATCCAGAGAGGTCTGTCTAACTTGACGACGACGACTAAGCTCTGCTGGCAAAGGAGACGAGTGGCGGTGGATAGCTATGTGGTATTGATGGACGTTATGCAGAACTAAATAGAGGTGGATGGAGGAGGGCTTGCATGCGATGACTAGTTTTGGATCGCAGAGGTAAGCGGGCTGACGGAGTGGTGCGGATAGAGGAGTATCAGGGCCTACACGGCAGTTAGCTAGCTAGCCAACAATCGACATGTACAATGCCTCAGACGGGAATGATTGATTTGCTTCTTACGGGAAGATACAATAACGCTTGTGTTGTGTTGTGTTGTGTTGTGTTGCGTGAAGCCTTGGATGGGAATTTCACAATGGGCACGAAGGCTTGGGGGAGGGAGAGAAGATGGAGGGAGAGAAGTGGGAAGCGCAGCGAAACTCAGGGCTAGGGAAATTCTGCTCTTTATTTTTTACCAATGGAGATTATTTAGTGAGTAGAAGGCACACGTTGCTGTCACCATTTCTATTAGGGCAGATGACATCCGTGGACGAGGAGTCATCTGGGGCAACGCACATACAGCAGTTAATGGGCAAGCAGACCAGCAGCAGTGAATTTAGATACATTGTACCGATGCGTCCTAGTGTGTACTTACGTACTAACGGTTACATGTTAATACTACGGAAACAACTACACGTGAGCAGCAGGAATAGATATGAGGTTTTGTAGAAGAGCTGTTGATAGTATAGGAGCAGGATAAGAGGAATCAGAGGACAAAGGTGAGCTGAACTGGAAACTTTAACGACTATTGGAGGCTATCTCGTGACAGATATCCTCTCTCTCTTTAACCCTACTTATGTCTTACCTGAGAAACGCGTGAAAAGCTTGTACCAGCCACGCCCCCATTCTCTTGCCGAGTAGCCTTCTAGGTGCCCTCCATACTCTACTACGGTTAATAAGTACTATTACTTAACAGCTAAGGACCATGTCCCACTCCCTTCATAAGATATATTCATCATCTAGTCGAAGTACTTCTCTCTGAAAGTAAGTCCACGCCTCATATAATACTTTACTACTGAGGTTATGGAGTTGCCCTCTGTTCCCAACAGCTTGAAGGAAAATGTGCCCTCATGGGACTAAAATGACCACAGTTAAAGCCAGCGATTTCAAAGGGCAGACACACTTAGAAGAGCAATTGAGAACTGCTTAATTTATAGGAGTTGTTCTTAATTCAACCTTTTCTCAGACACCGTTGGTATACCCGCTACCTATTAACCGTCTAGTCGCGTTCGGATAAGGAGACCAGTGGCAATAGTTGGACTCGTCTAAGACAAAGCCATTCACAGTTGAAGTGCATCACAGTAATGAGTAATATACGTGAGGGCCGGCAGCTAAGAGAAAAGGTGAAGAGGCTAATATATTCACATTATATATGTTATTGTGAATCGTCGTTTAATAAAACTATGATATTGGAACTCGTAATTATTGTAAACGCTGAGGCCATTACTCAGTCCCATAGAGTGGTCGGCCTCGCTTGAAATCTTCCCAGTCTTACTAGGGACTATTGTACCGCAGATGACGCCATTCTTCAACACAGGTTGAGGATATTATGAAGGGTACGATGCAGGGTTCAGCCCTGGAGTTTCTCCTTTTCGGAGACCTGCTTCCTGGCACAGAAAAATATCTGCCTCTGATACTCACGCGTTGCATAAGGTCATCTAAATGTTCTCCCAAAACACGGGTGAAGGTATTTGTATTTTATCGGAGCACAAATCCGGTCAGCCCATTTCGATTTGACCGCCGGGGCCTAATTAGTCATGAACAATTCACTGTTCGTATTTATTCAGTAGTGAATCAAGTATAGTTACAGGATGATAATGATAATATATGACCAAAGAAGCTTCTGTCAACGCCTGACCAACCCGTCTCCCCGATGGGCCCACCCGGAATATCCTCTCTAGTTTCTACTATTGACCATCCCTACAGTTCTCGTCAACCAGGCATGGCTTCTCTTGGATGTCTACGCCCCCCACTAGTTGCTGATGAGAAATTGGCGCCTTCTACCTCGGCTGATACTTGCCGTACGGCCTAAACACATGTCATCTGTGGTCTCACATAGCAACCATAGTTTAACTTATCCCTACGTAAGGAACACATATTTGTGTGGGAGGATTTATTGAACCCATAATCTATGCATTCCATAAGTAGTACTGCAAGGCACGACTTGCAGCTTTCAAGGAAAATCGCTACCAGTCTGAATTGCCCGATACCCTTTGCAGTTAAGCACGATCGAATGCAAATAGGGGATGGGGTATACGGAGTCTCGAGGAGACTAGGGACATGTACGAGGCGCTACAGCTTCCACGATGCCTTGCTTGTCGAGGCCGGATGCAGGTTCTACTGATGATATACCGTGATCGAAATAAAGTGGGTTGCTCCAAATATAGAGCGCAGGTTAGATCGTGGCAGAAGCATAACGGTCCTTCTATTTGCTCAAGCTCATCTCCCGTATGCTCTTGCGGCACGACGCCAAACAGCCTGTATGTCGCGGGAGGGTTTACGTGATCTATATGCGTACACATATAGCCTGTTCTCCGCAGAGATTGACCGGTCAGGCCCGCCCTGCCCAGGCCGTCTAGCCTTGAACATACAGAATGGGATCGTCCGGAGCAAACGGCGCGATTCCTTACCAACGGGGGAGCGAAGCTCATACGGCGCCAGTACTATTGCATAGGTACTTACGTATATATTTAGGAGCAACCAGGCAGCACCGTTTTCCGTGCCGCTCCCGTTACCTGACTGTCCGGGCATAGCTGAATGCTACGCGACACGGAGCAAAAGGAGAAAAAAAAACGTGGCGCAAGGATGTCACTCTACCCTGGCGGGTCATCTGAACATCGTAGGCATTAATAGCCGTGCCTCGCAGGGAGCGCGATTGCAGTGAAATGGCTACTGCCGACTGGGCAGCCTCCTCTGCGTGCCATCCTGGCGCGGGAACGCGAGGCTTTCGGCGGATTGCTAGCATTCGAAGAGCTGAGAACGAGAGTGGGAGAGGAAGAGACAGACAGACAGGGGAGGGTAATACAGACCTGCGCACGCGCATGCATCATGGGCGAAAGGTTGGTCGTCCATCGTTATTTTACTACCAAGGTGACCGCCATTTGGGGTCCTGTGATGCCGGCCGTTTATCCACGTTGAGATGCATGTTGCTTCGTCACGGCATCGCGAAGGGGGCACGTCGTGGGTTAGGCCGAGCGACCCATTGGGAGATGAGCGTCAGCGATAGATCAGGCTGTCTGACGACAACCACAAGGGGGGGGGCTTTCGGGGAGTCGACAGCGAGAACGTGTTCGTGTGGTCAATTCTTCGCAATCAAGAACAAGGGTGTCTTGGGGGTGGCTTAAAGGGTACCTCGAGGCGAGGTTGGGGGACGAACACGCCACAAGAGAGGGTTGAGCCGAGACCGAGGGATCGGGAGACGAATGGGGACGCGACGGTGCTGGCTTGGCCCCGGTAGGGGAAGACGGGGATCTTATTTGCTTGGGCCTGGGGATGACCGCGAGAAATGAGAAAGGGGGAGAGCCCGTTACTTCGGATTGAGGGCGCAGCAACGTGCGACGGTTAGAAAGACACAGACAGCCGTCTGTCTGTCGCGAGCGGGCAGGTCGTCGCGTCTTTATTCTTGTTCTCGTATACAGGCAAGGCAGACAAGCAGACCGACGGGGATCGCGAAGGAGGCAACCTGGAGGAGTGGATCGCGGGAAATATGCCATACTACCATGTATGCATGTAAGGAAGTCTATCTCGATGTCCGTCATCGATGTTATCAAGCGGGCTGTACAAGTGAGTAAATGTTGTATATGTGTATGTATGTGTGTAGATACTCGCCAAGCGAGTGTGCATACGAGCGATGCCAGCACTGTATGTATGCACATAATAATGACAATAGAACACCAGTCTGAGGTCAGAAGGTGTTGCCAATAATAGGGTATGCCATCATTCTATCACCGCGAGATTTCATTCGCGGGTTGCGGTATACCGGGGTGAAAACAAGGTAAAATAAATAAAAATAAACCCGAAAAGGGAGCGAAAACGAAAACAATCACAACGTGTCCACCTGTTGGCGCCACAGGGTAAACAGCGTACCTAGTGCGTGTACACGTATGTGTGTACGACGACTTCGTACTGCTATTGCTGTTGCTATTGCTATTACTATTATCACCATCTTCGCTATCGTCACCACTACTACGGCTCACTAACTACATGTGTATTACTGCCGCTGCCGGAATTTCCACCAACTGCTACGGCTACATATGACAACAGCGACTCGAAAGGCGTTGGCAGATCTGGAGACGGCGGCGCCAAGTCGGGCTAAGCCAGGGTCAGAATGACGGATGGGTGGATGGTGGATCAACGACGGATCTATCACGTAGCATCGTAATGACGAGGGTTGGTCGTCGACAACAAGCCGACCAGTCTCTCTTTATTTTCTCCGCCCAATATGTATGTAACTTCTCCCTCGAAGATAGATAGATAGATGGAGAGAGAGGGTGTGTGTGTGTGTGTATGTGTGTGTGTGTCCACCCTTCCTCGGGTATCACGCAAGAGAAAAACCGGGAGAAGAAGATCGGTGGTTAGGGGAGGGAAGGATGGGACCAGGGGGAGGGGGGGTGTGGGTTGGAGAGGGTACATGGGGCTACCAGGGAAAACGTAGGTAGTTGACGATCTCCTCTCTCACACACACAACACGCACGTTCTCTCTGTCTCTCTATCTCTCTCGCCTAGATAGATACCTCTCCTCTCTCCTGGGGACATGAAGAGAACAGGACAGAGCTCTAGAGACGCGATGTGCGAAGAAATGAGGGAAGAGAGAGAGAGAGAGAGAGAGAGAGAGAGACAGAGAGACAGCGAAAAGAGTGCCCTGCCCCAAACTACGGGCCAATCATGAATCTTCATCGATTCCTCCAGCCCGGCAATCTTGAAACAGATTGTCTGCATGGTTCTTCGCCAAGTCCCCAGGGCACCTCTCTCTTTCTCACTCTCTCGCCCTCTCTCTCGCTCTCGCGGCCCTAGGTTGATCATGGATCACCGTGGGCCCATCAGGGTCCGTAGAGGCCGTGGTTGATCCGGCGCGCTCCAGCGCTGGGCTCTCGCTTGCTCTCGCCCAACTCTACTCCTCCGATTGGTGCCTCCATCCCACCATCGCGCGTGTTTCGAAACGATGAGGAGGTGGATGGCTGCCATCAACTCGTTTCAGGTTGAGCCGACCTGTCGAATCGCTCCCAGTCACTTTCCCCATCGCGCTCTGGCAGACACCAGCGAGAACCAGCCCCCCCCTGGTCGTAGAACGGACCAGCGAGGCTCATTCGACTGACGAGAGATGCCTGCACGCCTTCTTCTTCCCACACCCCATCCCATCCGCCCCCCCCATGAGCAAACAGGGATTGGGATGATGCTTGCAACGACGGACGCTATGAATATGAGGGAGAGGGGTCTGGTTTTCTGGCCCAGGGGGCAATATATCACAGAGCGGTAGCCAGACGCACGCGGGTGCGACCTCGACGTCTTACCTTACCTGGTCGAACCTTACTTACCCAACCCGACCTACCTCTCTTTTTCTCTACGTTTCTTGCTGTCTCTTTTGCTTCTGCTTCCTCTCTTTTCGTTACTTCTTACTTTCGCATGAGCCTTGCTATTCCCGTAACGTCGTCGACCTCCCTGGCATCTCGAGATTACTACGTGCACATCCAACCCACCCACCCGGATATACGCGTAAACGCAAATACACACAGACACACCGCGCAGATCACGATCGAAATCAATCGGTCCAATGGATCATCCATCGAGGGTATTAGCGCAGGCGCGACAGCATCTCGAGGCCCTCAAGCAATCTGGTCTTAGCCGCAATGAACTAATCGCCTTATTGGGAGAGGAATCGCAGCCGCAGCCGCAGCCGCAGTCGCAACCGGGACAGCCTACCATGGTAGCCGACGGTAAAGAACCAACTGTCACCTCCCCCCTCCTCCCCTCCTCTGTCTCCCGTCTCTCCCGCTTGACTTGGTATACCCTCGATAGAGAGAGGAATCCTGGGCTGTCCCGCTGACCCGTATGACGGCAGGCTCGTCGGCAATACCCAATTTCAGCTACCGAGACGTCGGCGGCCCGTCGTTCACCCAACCTCACATGCACCGAGCGTCGATAGCGTCGTCCCGATCGAGCTGCTCTAGCCGCGACAGCGTGTTCTCGTCGATATCCGGACGGAGCTCGATCTCATCGACGACGGCGTCGAGCTCGACGGAGGCGAAGTTCTGGTGTACGTCCTGCGACAAGACGTTCAAGAGGAAGTTCGACTGGAAGCGGCACGAGGAGGAGTTCCACGAGCGGTCGCGCAAGTACCCGTGCCCGAACTGCAACCAGAGCTTCTGGGGCCCGAACACGTTCAACCAGCACCACAAGTCGGCGCACGGGTGCAAGACGTGCCCGCACGCGGAGTCGGTGGTGAAGCACCTTCGGAAGAGGCGGGCGTGGGGCTGCGGGTTCTGCGCGGCGATGCACGGCAAGTTCGAGAAGCACATCGACCACGTCGCCGCGCACTTCGAGTCGGGGCTCACCAAGGCTGACTGGTGGCACTCGAACGTGATCTACGGGCTGCTGCACCAGCACCTGGTGCACGAGGCGTGGAAGAGCCTCGTGGCGCGCAAGCAGAGCGCCTTCAACGGCCTGCAGCCCATGTTCAGCTGGAGCCCCGAGTCGAGCGGGCGCGCGCAAGGCTTCGTCGAGAACGAGAACCCCGGCCAGCTCCAGGACCACCTCGAGTTCTTCGACGGCACCAAGGAGTCGGCCGACGCCATCGCCGAGATGGCGTACGGCTGCGTCCACCTCATCCTCCGGCCGCGAGCCGGATCGGTCTCGAGCCACCCGAGCCAGCACGACAGCCTGTCGCCGCAACCGACCTCCGCGCCCGCGCCGTCGAGCAGCGCGCACAAGAGCATAGCACTCTCGGCGTCGAGGCCGGCAGCCGTGCCGCGACGCTCCGCTTCGATGTCCGCGCTTTCGGGACCAGGCCGCCATGGCGGGCGGGCCCGCAACGTGCCGAACGCGACCGGCGGCAGCCCCGGGCAGCAGCAGTTATCAAACCTGATCCTCTCGCCGGGGCACCAGTCGATGGGGCCGAACGCGTTCCAGCAGCAAGCGTTCATGCGGACACCGCAGGCGCAGCCTCAGCGGTTCACGGCGCCTCCGCCTCCGCAGCTCTTGATGGATAAGGCGCTGCCGCCGGCCCCGCTGGCCCCGACGCCGACCTCGCCGATGAACCTCGACTTCCCGATGTTCGGGACGAACGACGGCGGGCTGCTACCGCCGCTGGACCTGTCGTCGGACGACTGGCACAGCTTCACGAGCACGCTGGTGGAAGAGGAGCAGGAGGATATGGCGATGGACGTACAGCAGCACGAACATCAGCACCAGCACCAACACCACCACCAGCATCCGCACGCGCACGCACACCAGCAACAACCGATATCCGGAGACTTCCCGATGACCTGGGAGGACCTGGGGCAGTTCGGGCCGCGGGGTCAATAAACGGCGACATCCTCGGGGAAGGACTGGGGGAGGTAGTGAGAAGAATGGACAGAATATTCTCCGTCGCCGTCGAGGAAGGGAGAAAACTGCCGGCTTCCTCTCGTCAACCCGGCGCGCTCTCGAACGGCCAACGCGGCCAGCCACCAGCCTAATCCACCAACTACCTATCTAACCTACAATCCCTTTGTACTATTACGAACACTGTATATATACGCACGGACACACACGCGCGCGCATAGCATATTCCTTTTTTTTATCGCGACATCATCATCTGCATAGCTATCTTATATATCTTACCTACATCCATCGAGGCTATTATGCCCGGGCCGAGGGAGGACTAGCCGCTCGGGGAGGGGCGGGGACGAAGAAGCGGGAAGCAGAGATACCAGAACCACCAAGCGGACTCGGCTCGGCTGGTCAAGCATAATAATGTAATGAGATGAGCACGCCGGGCGCTTTCTTTCAGGGACATCGGTGCTGAGCGGGAGAGAGAGGGGAGAGAGAGGGAGAGGGGAGGAGGGGAAAAAAAAAAGGAAGACACGGGCGGCGGGCTCGCACGCACCGTTGCGGAAATACATCAGACATTATTATTTATATCATCCTTTATCGTTGTAATTATTCACCAAGCGTTCTTGTTTCTGTTCTCTGCCACGTAAACGCTGCCCGGGTGGGGGGGTACCCTCCACGATGCGGCCGCCGGTGTATAGGTGCTAGTTTAGGTGCGGTGCCTATGCGGACAGCTGTCCCCGGCACCTGGAGACACCTATAGACACCACCTATAGGTCTAGCTACCTAGAAGACACACCTACCCAGAAGACACACCCAGAAAACACACCCTGTGGCCGTCGCCAGCTAGCTACCCATACCCCCATCCCCCCATCCGCGCTCTCTCTCTACCGTCGACGACGGGGGTCGAGTGCCAGCGTCGGCACGCCGCGTACCGAAGCAGCCGTCCGCTACTTAAGTAATTAATTACATCACCTACCCAGCCAGCCAGCCAGCCAGCCAGCCAGCCACGGCGCGCGCCCACGCCCACGCCCAACGCCCCTCGCCCCTAGGGCCTAAGCCCGTCCCCCGGCGGCCACTGCAATTCCAACATCCTTACGCGGGTCGTACGGTGCAAATTGCTGCCAATTACCCGCGTGCCTTGGCCAGGGGGGCCTGGACGATCCCTGCTCCGATCATAGCTGCGTCGTTTTTCCCCTTGTGGCCCGATTCCCTCAAGGGGGGGGAGGAGGGCGCTGTGCCTCCCCTATTTGCCTATTCGGTGGTGCTCTCCGCGCGCCAGCGCGCCGGCGTGCGTGTAGTAGCTGGCTGCTAAGCCACGGCGGGTTCGAGTGGGTGTTGCTCGTAGTAAGCTACGCCATTCCCTCGGGCTATATCTATATATATATATAGGTACGTAAAGAGGGGTATTACGAGGTGAGGCGTGCCGACACACGGGGTAAATAGGCTACCGTGTCTCGCTTTCTCTCTCTCTCTCTCTCTCTGTCTATGTATCTAGCCATCTATCTATCATCTATCGAACGCGCGCCAGGGAGGGGAGGGGAGGGGGAGAGGGTAGGTAAGGTTATAATACCGACGCACAAACGGGACTAGCAGGCGAGCACGCGCGCCTTCATTTCCCGTCGGACGAGGGAGAGGAAAACAGGGGACCGGGTGCAAATTGGGCGCATCCCGGTCCCTGGCACGCTGTCGCCAGGTTGGTCGTGTTGTAGGTACATTACCTACATACCTTACATAGGCTACGGGTGTATCTGATACGCCGGCAAGGCAAATTGGCCAAACCCCCCCCCCCCCCCTGGCAGGTCGGTCGCGGAGACGTACAGAGATGCGTGGGTAGGTATGTGTACCTGCGTGCGAACAGCGACGACAAAAAGAAGGCCAAGGAAGGGAAGGGCAGAATACGAGCGGGTTTGGAAACTCGAGGACGCAATGTAGGGCACGTATTCATCAATCCGAGGGCGCCGCCAGCCAGGGGCTATCCCGGCCGAGTCCTCGGCGCGCCGCTCAGGCCCCAGGTTGCGGCCTGGCGAGGGCGTCTCGTCTTCTCCCCCCAGCTCCCACCAAGGCGCGGACAGGAACGGCCTAGCGGCTCGATTCAAGCTTCGAGGGGGAACGACCACGAGGGAGCGCGAGGGCTGCAGCGCGGAGCGAATCCCACCCTCTCCCTCTCTTTCTCGTGTTCTCGCTCTCCCTCCCCTTTCCAGCGGACGGGATGGCCAATGGGCAACGCGCCGTGCCTGGCCCGGCTAACCTCCTAACGATCCCCTCTCTCCCTCCTCTCTCCCCAGCCAGGTTGCGTCGACGTATGAGGTAGCGGTAGCGAGCAGGCCCTGGGAAGCATGTACGTGCCTGTCTACTACCTACTGCGTAGTAGCTACTGTGCATATCCATCCGTATTCACAAGCGCTCTCGCAAACGACGGTCGCCCGAGCTGGGAATGGCAAACCAATTTAATAAGATTGCGGGCGACGTGTCAAGGCCGCCAGCAGCAGCAGCCAACCTGGACGTAGATAGATTAATGGCGAGGGCGAGCAGGGACAGCGGGCGCGCGCTGGCGCTGCGGTTGGAGGTAGATAGGACCCTTCCAACACCGGTACCTGCGCCAGGGCCGATACGGGGGCGAGGGGCCGCTAAGCGATTCCGCGAGGCAGACAGGGTGTATATCTGGGGGGGAGGGTGGTTGGTTCGCGGAGGTTTCGGATACATGGGTAGGTAGATATACCTAGATGTGAGGGTGCAATTCGTCTCTGCGGACGAGCGACAGGGAGAGAGACGAGCGAAGAACGTCGACGGCGCTGGGTCTGCCTACCTAAGTTCGGAGAGGTAAGCAGCCTAGATGTGCCTAACCCCAGAGGTATCGTACCTGTTTAGGGTGTCTGGTACAGCATGTAGGCACCTAGGTAGGTACCCAAGAGGGACACCTAGGGCATGCGGATAAGCTACTGCTACCTGCCTTCTAATGTAGGTACCTTGGCTGCAGACAACGCGCACACGGAAGAATAAGAGAGACGAGGGGCGAGAGACGAGAAGCAACCGAGACAGACGCCACCAACAACAAGTGAAAAAAGAAAAGAAAAACCAGGAGAGGGCCCTCACACATACAGCTCGCGGTCCCGGGGAGGCAATGATAGACGGTCGCGTGGGCGTGGGCGCATGCCGGATTGCATACGAGCTGCAGCGATCTCAGTGCGGCGCACGCAGCACGGCGATCGCGTCGGGCAGCGGGAGGAGGGAGGGGGGGGGGAGATACCTGAGGCAGGCAAGACAGGTACGTCTCTCTGTCGGCAAAACTGTGCCGGGGCAGCAGGTACCTGCCTGTGCAGTCCGATGTACCGCCCGCCAACCGGCAACCGGATGCCCCGTCGAGAGTGAGCGAGGATGGAGTGTGTGAGGCGAGAGAGTGTGTGTGTGCTGCCGCGGCGCATCGCATCGCTGCAGGTGGCGCGCGCGCAGTGGACACGGGGATATGCATGTAACGTGTGCGCGCATCTCGACGTTACTCTCTATCTGTTTATCAATTTCTCTACTTACCTACCTACCTATCCCGGTGCCCGACCTGCCTCTCCTCCACGCGCGCTGCGTTGTAGCTTGTAGGTAGGCAGGTAGGTGTGCATCGCGCGCAAACCCGCCACGGATACATCGCGAAACGAAAAAAAAAAAAAAAAAGGAGCAGGAAGAAAAAGGGTAGGTAGCACGCCGGGAACCCGGGAGGCTGGGCAGGGAAAGAAGAAGGGGAAAAAAAAAAAACAGAGAGGGGCAGAGGTGGGGGACGAGAGACAGATTCACAACAAGGAGAGAAAAAAAAAAAGTGAAATCGCTCAAGGTCGCTAGCTTCACTCCGTTTCGATCGGAGGACCTCCGGGTTATGAGCCCGGCGCGCTTCCGCTGCGCCACGAAGCTTTTTCTTTGTGAGCGGGCTCGGTACGACTTCTGCCTCGATGACGACCCGCCATCTTAGCCGCGCCTATGAACCCAGCCGGGACCGGGTGCCCGCCCGTCGCCCGTCGGGAAGGGGATGAAGAGTTGCGTGTGGTCGTGCTGATGGCCTTTTTAGGGGGGTTTTTTTTTCTTCTTCTTCTCCTTTACTCCTGTCAACGAGCCCGCCGTCCCGCATTCACCTATCCGCCGTACCTACCTAACCCACATACCCGTAGCAGCGATCGCAGATACGCGCGCGGAGGGGAGCGGCGGCGGTTCCGCAAGGTTACGTGGGCGTCTACGCGGGATTACGGGAGGGGAGGTATACCTACGGGCCGGGAGAACGACAGGGAGCTTCGCTGCTGCTCTCGTCGCACCCCGCTGGAGAGCAGAAAAGGGGGAAAAAAAGAAAGAAAGAAAGCCGGAGCCGAAGAAAGCCGGAATTATGGCTTCTCAGACCACGAGCAGGCCGGATTAGGGCTTCCCGTCGACGCCTTGCAGCCTCGGCCCAGACAGGCCGGTTCGGCGCCAAGACACGCTCGCACGACGGCATAAACCCCCCGCCCTCCCCTCCGAGCGCCATTCGTCGTTGCCGGCGCACACCCAGAATACCGACTTACTCTCCCCGCCCTCCGACGCCACAACCCTCTTTCTCTGCGCCCTCGCTCCCCCGCGAACCCCTCTCAGCACGACGCCACACTGCGCACGTCCGCGGGAGCGACAGCGGCAGCGGCAGCGGCAGGGTCCGCCGCGACGTTCCACCGATGCGACGTGGGCGCGGGCGGAGAGGGGGAGGGATCGTCGGCGGCGGCTCCTCGTATCGACGCTAGGTTGGTTCAGCGCCCCCGCTCTCTCCCCCCCCGCCCCCCGCGGGGCCAGTAGGCGCAAAGCCGAGCCGATCTGACGGCCCTCGCCGCTCCCCGCGCCAAGCTGCGTGGTCCTGTGTCAGGTCCTGCGCGCGCAGCCCCTGAGACGACGAGAGGGGCAGCTGCTGCGCGAGCGCAACTCGCCGGCGACTCCACGGAGTCTAGGTAGGCTAGGCTGCGCTGCGCACCGCGTCGCGGGCGAGGCCTCGATTGGCTCTGGGCGAGCGCGGGCATCTCTCTCACCGTTATCCCCGGCGGCATAACTGAGGCGCGCCCCGGCAATAAAAAAAGGGGGGGAGAGGGGGGGAGGTTAGGTACGTGTGCGCGGTTTCTACGGGGCGCCGGGGCTTACTGTCAGCACGAAGCGTCGAAACGCGACGAGGTGGATCAGCCCAAGCAGGCGGCGGTGAGACTGGGCTGACGACGGCCTGCATTGCGTCGAACCCTGCCTGCCTCCCTTCCTCCCTCACTCGCTCACTCGCAGCGACGATCCAGGGCAGCCCTCCCACGCACCTCGAGTGCCTCGCCTGAGAGACATATTCCGACAAGGCTGCCCGTCTCTCCCGATCGCCTACCCCTTTCGCCACCGAAAAACCCGGTCCCCCCCCCCTTTTTGTCGGGGCGCGCCTGATTCTGCCCTCTTTTTTCTACGCCTAGCCGCTCACCCAGGATCCACCGCTTTCCTCTCAGCCCCATCTGTCCCTCTTCTCCGCTCCTAACTCTCCCCTCCCCTCTCCCCTCTCGCTCGGCTCCTCCGCTCGCGTCGACATCACGACAGGGACGGGTACGTGTTAGGTGTAGCCGGTGAAGCGGCCGTGGTGAGGAGGGTGAGCTGGGATAGGACCGGAGATGACGGGGAGACTGCGCATGGTAGGTTTCAACGGGCGGGGCTGGGGTGCGGACGAGGTGAGCGAGGCTGCACGGAGGTGCCTCGGTCTGCGGGTCTTCCCAGACCAGAGAGAATCTCGGCGTGTTCTATAGGTTAGTTCGGCGGCATATACGCTCATTCTGCATCTCGATACTCGGACGACATTGGTAGGCCTGAGGAGAGAGCGAGGCAGTTCAGGGGCCGGCGGAATACTTCCTGTGACTCACGTCCCCCTGGCCGCTGCTTAGAGTTGCGGGCTATACCAGGCTTCAGTGCCTGATCAAGTGCCATGCTGGAAGGCAGCCACCCGGGGGTGTATTGCGCGGAATCCAGGGGGGCTATCTCGAGATGGGTTATCATCTTGGACGACACAACCTCTCGTTCAGTGTGAGTCAAAGGGATCTATGACACAGAGCAATTTAATATTGACGACCTCGTGTATTAGGCCTGAATAGAGATCCAACAGCCAGCTGAGTGGCAATTGAGCCTAAAAGTGAAGACGTAGAACGTGATGGGCCCCGGATCGGCCGTGAAACGTGGCAGAACTGAAACAACTCGACTCGTTAGCGATATTATGTTTATGATGATCGTGTCTAAGTCTAACTTGACGTTCATGTTAGATACTATTACGCCATTTCTAGAGATGTAGTTCGGGCTAATAGATAAAGGAGGATCTTCCCGATAGTATCATAGAATTACCTACCATGACTATGAAGCCGAATCCACTTATGAAATGCATACCAGGAGCATCCCTTCCTTTTCCTTTCTGCTTCCCCTCTCGGGGTATCAGCGAGGGCAGAGTTTCGGTCTTCTCTAGCCAGTCTCTTTCTCTTCGGTTCGCTTTCCACTTGCCCTTGCTAGTCGTACACGTTACAAACACGATAACGATATTGAGCGACGACTCCTTGTAGACGGGTACCTATAATGCTAGACGGTGGATATGGGACAAGGGCATTGCCACGATTTTCGAGACAAGATACCACAGACCCCACGGTAAGAGCAGGCGGCACCCAGATCCCGTAGGCCATCACATCGGGTTCACTTAGATGCCCTGTTCGAAATCCAGGGAGGACGATCAATAACAGTGTATTAGATCGGGGTCGACGGAATGTCTATTACCTGACATCAGTCCATCACTAAAGTCCAAACAAGCTCCCAAGTTTATCCCTCCCCAACGCGCTCGACGTAGCTCCGGGGATTTAAGGGGTACTCTGTAAGGGCTATCGTAACTTAAGCTAGTGTACCGCTCTGCGGACCACTAGCTTACTCGAGGGACAAACGGAGATATTATAGTTCCAAGGGCTACTAACTTCTGCGAGTACCCGATGATCATGGACTGCTTACAGTCCGTGGACTTACGCCGCTTAGTGATAATAAGGTATAATTCAGAGTGTAGAGACGTATATGCGGCCCCGGGCGGCGGAGAAGGAGTGGTAAAGTAAGAACGAAGTTGAAGAGAAGTAGAGGAGAGTAAACCCACCGATAATACAGAGGTTCCCCAGACCTCTGAGAAGTCCTATACTACACGATGGTACGGAATAGCGCCTTGCTTTAAGCTGATATCGATTGAGGAAACTTTAAGAGCAAGTTGGATAGCCCTGAAGGAGCCACAGTCTAAACAAAGTCTACTTTACCTGATGTTCTTACGTCTATCTCTATAGGCAACCCAAGTCTTTGCAACACGAGCGGTAGGATTAAATCATACTATAGAGACGGATCTGTTTCTCGAGAGCTGCCTTGACGTTCCTCAGTTACCAGGTTAGCTTTAAAAATTATTATCTGGGAGCAGTTACGCCGTCGAAAATGCTATCTTAGAGACTACCTGTTTCTGCATTGTAACATTCAGGTTAGTTGACCTCCCAGTACCCCTTTTCACCAGAGACACCTATGTAGGTGAACTCTGAGTTGGCATACGATATAGGAACTGGCCAATTATTCGTCCAAGTTGGCACTTCAAAATGGATAGTGACTAGCCTTGCAAAAGGCCACCAGACCCATCCAATCTCCAAGATAGCAATTACGATACCGGGAGGGACACGATACGAAGGAGTAGAGGAACGTGAAGAGATTTCACGTGGTCTCTCGACTGAACAACATTGTCCCGAATATCTTGCGATAACTAAAACTTTAGGTACTATTACTTAAAATTACTTCCTGGTCCCGAGATGATATGGCCGATCTCTCTTTTTTCCCCGTCAGTTCCGCCGCGAACACACCAGGCGCTGGGTCATGGAGTAGTAGTCATAAAAGCAGCTGGTATAATTGGAGCTTGCCGTCGTCGCTCGGTATATAGTTAATCTCCCCACCGTTTCCCCCTCTTACAGAAAGTCGCCCTTGCTGCATCATGAACCTCTAGATGAATCCGCTGCCTGAAGAATCCCGCAACGCCACAGCATGAGCCGACCTCTAATATGACCAATGCCTCCATCTCGCCGACTGTCCAATGACTTCGTGCGCGATCATGCTGCCTTTCCCTCCCGAACCCCCCCCCCCCCCCCCCGAACGCCGTTGGATCGGACATGTCTCGTGGAAACCAAACCGAGTCTTTCTCGCTCACGGTCCGAGATCCCCCCTCCCCTACCCCCGCCCCGGGCCTCCCTCTCTTCCCATTACACCCGCGTCAGGGCCAGTAGACGATAGGCCCGATCCCAAGCAAAAATCGCATAACGGGCCGCGACGGGCCGCGCCACAAGGATTCGAAAGCGCCAGGCTTTTCGAAACAGGCGGAAAAGAAAAAAAAAATGCTTTAAGGAAAGCCTTCACGCGCCTGATTATCTTCTATTTAAAAATGAAACAATGACTAGATATAGGAAATAGGGATAGAGGGGAGTAGAACAGAAAAGAAACCCGAGGGGCGCCGCGGCGCGGCATTAATCTAGGTTGACCTCGAAGCTGCCGACGGAGTAGTTCTCGAAGCGGACGCGCTCGGGGCGGACGCCGCCGCGGCGCAGGCGCCTGGCGGCCTGGAGCATGAACTTCTCGGGGCCGCAGACGTAGTACTCGGCGGAGCGGTTGGCGAGGCAGAGGTCGTCGGGCGTGAGGGCGCCGAAGTCGTTCTCGAAGCTGGACGTGTACGAGAGCACGTCGCTGTCCGACAGGCGCGACTTGAAGAACTTGGTGCGCAGGTTCGGGTGCGCGCGCGCGAGCGCCTCCACGTGCGCCTGGAACGGCGCGTCGTGGCGCGACGCCTGGATCCACGAGATGGGCCGGCGCGTGCGCGGCCGCCCGCCGCTGCCGCCCGCGCCCAGCGCCGCGTTCAGCATCGCCACCAGCGGCGCCACGCACACCCCCGCCGAGATCAGCACCAGCGGCATCGAGCTGTCCTCGGCCGGGTCCAGGTAGAAGGCCCCCGCCGGGTGCGTCAGCTCCACTACGTCGCCCTCGCGGATCTCGTCGATCAGCGCGTTCGACACTACGCCGGGCCGGTGCGGCAGCGCGCTGCCGAGGCTGCTGTCGGACGCGCTGCTCGCCGCCGACGACACCGTCATCGCGTCCGCGTCGCGCAGCGCCAGCGACGCCGCCGACGACCCCGACGCGTAGTCGTAGTTGACGCCCTGGTCGCGCTTGACCGTGATGCGGTAGTGGTCCGGCCGCGGCGCCTCGCTGAGCGAGTACTGCCGCAGCTGCGCCGAGCGCTGGCCCGGCACCAGGATGCGCAGCGTCACGTACTGGCCGGGCATGAACTCGGGCAGCGGCGCGCCGTCGACCGGCCGCAGCGACAGCGACACGATGTTGCCCTCGAGCGTCTCGGCGCGCCGGTCGTAGATCATGAACTTGCGCCAGCCCGTCCACGGCGCGAAGTCGCGGTACAGCTGCGCCTCGCGGCCCGTCAGCATCTTCGCCATCACCCAGTACGCCTTGGTCCAGGCGAGCTTGACCTCGGGCGTCATCGACGGGCCCAGCACGGCCGAGAAGGCCCGCAGCAGGTACCGGCCCACGATCTCGTACTGGTCCGGCTGGATGCCGAGCGAGGCGTGCTTCTGGGCCACGCGCTCGAGCTTCTCGGTCAGCTCGCTGATGTTGACGATGTTGGAGGCGAAGGCGAGGATGAGCGCCGTCAGCGCGCGGGGCTGCCGGCCCGTGTGCATGTTGACGCTGTTGAAGAGGTTGTTGAGCTCCGGGTGGTCGCGGAGCATGGTCTTGTAGAAGACGGTCGAGATGTGCTCGCCATGCTGACGGAGCGCCGGGATCGTCTCCTTGACCAGCTGCGACTCCCGGTTGTTAAGCATGGCTGGGCGCTAAGTCCTGGTCCCCGCGTTATCTGGTGGTGCTGGTGCCACTGGTGCCGGTACTGGTGCTGGTGCTGGTGCTCTACGACGGCGGCGCCGGCGGCGGGTTCGTCTTCCCCGGACCACGGACGGAGTTCGTATGGATGGCGAGTTAGTTAGCAATAGTGTGAAGAGCTGAGCTTCCGAGCCAGTGCGCGCCAAGAGTACGAGACGTATATTTAGAGGGGGGGGGATCGGCGGATGAGATTCAGATAAACAAGATATCAATAATTCTTATTCTTCTTTTAAATTCTCCGTTTGGAAATCTGATATCATGTTCTGTCCGGTCTCGTTGTGTAGTATTCGGGGTGGATGAGGGTAATCTAACAGGCAGGTCTGGAGGAGACGGCGATGGACGACGGGCTACTGATATTGATATTCAAACATGCTCAACATGCGGGTCCGAATTTCCGATCTGAACAATCCCATGGGCCCTGAAACCGAAAAGACGGTGAAGAGAAGGTCTTCGAACCCATTAACACAAGGACATATTAGTTCGCTCGTGCTGCATCACATCTCTCTCATCTGGGCTCTCGGCTCTGGGCTCTGTGGAGTCGTGCTGTCAGGCCCCCGTCCCAGGCCCTGCCTGCGTCTCCCCTCTTCGTCTGGTCCCCTCCCCCGGTTGGCGCTGGTAATTATGCGTTGCGAAATTTAATGTCTCTCTTCCTTCGTCCGTCCCCCTACCCCTTCGTCGTTCTCGAGGCACAGCACGACAGGTATGTGCGGTGTTTGTGCATCCGGCCTCCACCGGCGACACGCGATACTGCGTAGCAGTCAGAAATCCTATGCCCCATGCTGAATGGCGAACAATCAGGCCAGTCGGGAGATCGTGGTCGACTCGTAAGTCCGTAATGGCATGATCTGACGACATATCCATGCGTGGCTGGTTAGATCCGTCAACAGCCCCTAGCATCGAACGATGGTCTTCTCTTCTAGAATAAAGAAACTCGCTCCCCCTCCCACGGGGACCTGACGGGGAGAGGAAAAAAAAGCGAGATGATAATCCCCGACGCGTGGAGCACGCGACAAGCTTGCGTACAAGGGGGTAATGTCTTGGATTATTTAGCCTAGATTTAGTACCTAGGTAGGTATGCATATGTGTACGCACATACACTCGTCTATGTGCTGCACACCCACACACACCTGCTCGGCAGTCTTCGTATGTATGTATGTGTATATATATATACACATAGCTATCTACAGCCACATGGATGCGTAGCCAGCATCCGGGCGTAGCTGTTGTGTGCCGGGCTGAGCTGGGGCTGGGGACCTGGAGCTAGGATCCATGTAACATGTACCTAGTAGGAGCAGGATGGGCGAGATCTCAGATGAGCCCGTCTGGCCTAGCTAGCTAGGGGTATAATGCACAATACGTGCGGCCTTTAGCACCTAGGAGGCTCGCGAAGGTGCCGACATCCCGACCTCCGGGCTTAGTGAGTTTGGTGATCGACCTGCTGCCCGGCTCAGTTGGAACCGGCTACGATGTAACGATTAAGCCGCAACCCTCTTCCCCTCTCCTCGACACCCCTTCTCCTCTTCGGTAGCTCTCCTCCTTGCCTGTGTTTGTTTCTCGGATAGCTGGCGAGCCATGTAACCTCGAATGGAAGACACCCTGGTCGTAATACGTAGATAAGTGTCTGGACTTGGCAAGACTCCCCGTGACGTATCACGTAGTAAGCGCCGGCTACTTCTCCACGGGGTCTAGTTCGTCCGAGTTAGTTCCACTTCGATAGTAGTTCCATGTAAGAGACAGCAAGCCACCAAGTCATTGTTGTGATGAGTTTTCCGGCCGGTTTCTTCGCCCGGCTTCGCAGAGACGCATCTCGACCTCAACAAACCAGGAGGAGTCCAACACACGTGCATGGTAATGGCAGGGAATAAGACGATAGACACACGCATAATACGTACGTACAAACGAGAATGCCACCCTGGCTCCAAAGGCTTGGTTCTTGGGATGCATAACAACCGGGATACCCTTTGGGAAAATTTTTTCATCTGTGGATCGCCCACCTCCAGCTTTTCTGGACGCAGGCTCTGTATCCGGTATGCGACTCGCACCTAGACGAGTTCCGACAAGACGGTAGCGGACTGGAGAAGCAGTTGATATTAAGGGTATCAGAGAAGGTGTGTGTGCGTGCACGCGCACACCTGCGTAGGTATGGATATGTACTATATGTATGCTTACCTATATTTATAGCAACATCGCTTCGTATCCCGTATCCAGGTTGCCGGAAAATACTTGTTGATCGTGAATCGGAGAATTCTTTTTTTCGTCCGCACGATCGTCGAAGGCGAATCGCATTTGTAAATAATCATATTCTTACTAGTATACACTCGCGCGCGCGAACACACATCTCTCATCCACCCTGACATGTTGGTTCGGTTAGGCGACAGAGTGACAGGAACCGGCCGAGAACCACAACTCCGTCCACCCCCCCTGAGCTCCCCCTTTTTCTGCACCCATACATATAGAACCGAAATGTCGCTCATCAGACCCCTCGGAGATCCAACCACCTCTCTCGATCGATGCTAATCCACGCCTTCTCACCTAACTGCATGCAGCTAACACACACACACACATGTCTTCTATACACCCCCTCCTTCTCCGTTTTATTAAGCACCCGCTTCCCCATCAAGGGGGGGGGAGGCAAATGAATCCCATATTTTCGCCCGTTATGAGGTGTTAGTGCTGCCTCTTCAGGAGGATGTGCTGGTCCAACAGGTCAGGTGGGAAGATTATCATGACCCATTGGCGTGCCTCGTTGCCTGATTGCTGACTGCTTGGGACATAGCACGGCGCAGCTGAAGCTCCTTGACGAATCCCACTCCTCTCTTCTCGTGATTCTGATTTTGATTTTTTTTTTTTTTTTCGCGACCCAATTGCCGCTCAGCGATGAAACCCCCCCCCCGGATCCCGGCCAAGTCTGGCTCGTGCTCGCCATGCCTTTTCTTCAGGGACCCTCGTCGAGGACGGCACATGTAATCAAGACCCCTTGACTCACCCTTTATATAAATGCAGGTCTGTGATGTATGTAGGTATGTATGCATGTATATGTGTGCCCAGATAGCTAAGCGGTGGGTAGATAATAGGGGTAGGCATGTAAACAAACCCTGATACCACCTCGTCGCCATCTTTGCTAGGGCCGTCGGTCGACAGTTTTTGTGTCGGTTAGTGTGACATGGAATATTCCGCGTATACCGACGTAAGCAAGCAGCAATGGGATCAATTTCACGCCATCACGCGGCTGCATCCTGGTCCGTTCTCATGACGTGTCCGGTTATTTTGCCCTGTTCAAGACCACGCTGTCCCGGTACCTCCCGACGAGGTGAAGCCCCATTGACCACATTAACCGGTTGACGGGCGTGCCGCGAGAACCCCCCCCTTAAAAAACAAACGTGCTGCCAAGTCGAGGGCTGAAATACTTACGTTATCAGATCTTTAGAAACAACTCGACTCTTTCCGTCTCGCCATCAGGGACTGGCTTCAGATAGAAACGACTAGCAGAAGAAGAAGAAGACAGGGGTGATGCAAGATGAGTGGGTTCTGGGGAAGGGGGTGGAGAGAAGAAAAAAAAGCATCTACCGAGGTCTGTCGAGATGAGATCGTATTGCGAATTCACGCTACTGTAGCCCTGATCGAGGTAGCTCTCTAAGCCGATGGCATCCGCCGCCTAACCCACCGACTTTTCTTATCGTCCCCTCTCCCTAGACGGTGGGCAGGTAAATCGGAACAAATACGAAAGGAGTTTATCGCCAACGATAACAGCTCTCCAGGCAGTCCACTCATGTCCACCCAGCGGCGCGTCGTAGACGTGGTGTGTCGCGTTCGTAGTGGTGATGCAAAACCTAGCCGTCGTTACTCCCCCGCCGGGCGCGTCTCTGCCCCGACGCGATAGCGCCGCCGGGACGGGTCGCTGACTGCATACTCCTACGGAATTAGTCTCGGGACTTGAGAGGGCATCTCTTCCACGTGGTACCTATATATTGTGTACGCCGTGCCATAGAGTCTGTGCCTCACGCTCGAATGCTTCCTAGAGAGGCATGTCGCGGGCGAAAACAGAGTCCCCCACCACTTACACGCCACTTAATACACCGAGGCGTGTGGTAAGCTGACCCCAGCTCAACATCATATATTATAGCCAGCTCCTGTGCGTCCCCCCGTTCATCTTGCCATGCATATCCAGGATCTAATCTATCGGACCTCTCGCCTGTTATACACGCGTGCGCGTGTACACGTATCCAATCCGAATGGGTAGAAGGAATCACATTATAATGCGAAGGAAAGCTAACTACGTAGAGTCTACACGACCAAACGAAGAACTGTAGGCGTCTACATGTTCTCGTGACACGTTCTACTGCGACGGCGTGGGCGACGGCGACGGCAAAGCAATCTAAATGGTGACGACAGCGGCGCGTTGGTTGGTGCTCGCGGTCTATGTATGTTTGTAGGTGGGTATGTGGGCGGCAGCCGGCTGTGGTATGAATCTACGAAATAATGACTTCGAGCTACAGAACTCTTCTCGAAATTAGCGAACGCGTTATCGAGCATACGAGTATGTACAAGCTTGATCTTGCTGAAAGATAGTTATGGCATTTTATGAGCTTATTGAAAATCTGCACCGTGGCCAACATCAAGACCTTTCGCTTTTTGCGGCGCTACTCTGGCTAATTCGGACCATATCGCCTTGACGGGGCTCTCTACCTGACACCTGCTTCTCCGGAGGGACTGGTGGAGGGCCCGGCTCTATACTACACATTACTGTCCGGCACCTACAGCAACCCTAGCCCCGCTGCCGTGCATCAACAACATCTGCCCCTCTTCTGCTAACCCTCCTCCTCCTTGACCTCCTCCTCGGGTCCGTCTCAACTGCGAGGGCGTCTCGACCGGCTCGGTCGCGCCATCATTTGTTCGCAGACCCGTGAAAAGAGGCGATCCTTGAGTCCACCAAGGATAATAAGGGAGCATACCACTCCAGAAACTACACGTTGTGCCATCTTGCTGGTCAAGAAGTACTATATAGCACACATCACCGGGGCTCATTCCGGGGTCGAATCCGACTTCGTCCTACGCTTTCCATAACCATCCTAACGAGTATCCTGCCCGTTCTAGTGCCCCTTCCCTGATCGTATCGAGGCTATATATCCGTCGCCTCTTAGGTCATTGCGTCGAAGCTACCCACCGATCTATATCCTAAAGTCCACGGCGGGTCGATCTCGAACGTGGCCTTCCGAGCCATCAAATCGTAGCTCGCCATTATATATAGGGCCCGAATATCCTCATTCGAGAAGTACGCATCTGCTGCCCTGTCACCTTGTGCTCGACTGGGCAAGTTCCCGGGTTCAGATCTTCGATTAGGGGAGGCTCCCTCTCCCTTCGCTCAGGGCGATACTTATGGTACGCGGGGTCGTTGGGGAGTTCTTGGGACCCTCGCAAATCAGAGAGTAGAACTGCTTTAGGTCGGTCTGGGTTGTCTTGTCTGTCTGGCTCGTTTTGTATCTCGGTCATATAGGTTTCAACTGAGTCACACGCGTCGGTCCTTACCAATGATCCGAGATATCCAGACGGATACCCCTACCACATGCCCCGCATAACGAAAGGTATCGAAGAACTGCCTTCGTTGGTTCTAGGCGGTTCTCGTTTTTAAGGCTGAGGCGTCGGGCGCGGGAACTGAGTCTTGGTTGGTACGTCGCGGCTACAGTGCTTCTTACAACCACGCCTCGCCACGCCTCACCACTGCATTGTCGAGGTTGACCTAGGTGATGTAAAGACCGCCAAGGCTAGCAGATGATCATCTACAGATAACTACATGGGGATCGTCGGTGTCTATCACGACGGCTTTGGCGGGGGCTCTGCCATTTTCTTAGCGGAGCCGGGTACGATGGCAAAACCACTCCTCTTTGGTCACGGCCTCTGTAACCGGGGGGACGCCTACGGCGCTGCGTCGCCCGAGGTGTCGTCTAAAAGATCGACGAGAGCCGCTGCAGGGAACGCACGCTAGGAAATAGGAGGGAGTAGTGGAATCCGCTGAAGTGTTCTCATTAATGATGTTCGTCAAGATAGAATCTGATTCCTCGGTCCAATCGAAGCCGATAGGGGAGATTGTGCGTTCTTGCAATACCGGCAAGCGCGTCGTTGAAATGAGGGACGAACCATCGGCTCAAAACTCGCCGTAAGCCCCCTTAAGTTAGGCTTACGTGATTTCGGGCGGCGGTCGTATCGGTGAGGGAAAGGGCGGAAATGATGGGTAAGAGAGAGTTGAGGAGGGACCAAAAATAAAGCAACGTTTACAGTAGCAAGCGAATTAATTAGCGAAGTCTCCTCAGGCGCCTCCAATAGGGCAGATCGAGGTTCTTGGGGGTCCGTAGGTGTTCCTCTCTGGGTTTGAAAGGCTTCAACTGGTTGACGTGGTATGCATGGGGTGAAGACGGCTTTCCATCCAGCAACAACAGCTGGAAGGCTGAACGCCCCACAGGCTCTCCCACGATAAAGGGACCGGTCCACCGTTCACGAAATTTGGGAGGCTTCCCCTCCTGTAACAGCATGACCAGGTCTCGTTTCTTGATCTCCATCTTGTCCTGTTCCATGGCCTTCTCTAGGGCCTTGCGATCCTGCTCTGCCTTCTTCAGAAGACTCTCACGACAATATTCCACTCGAGCCATATGGGGGCGTAGTGTCATCCGAAAAGGCGAAGAGACTGGTAATACCCCGTAGCCGGGTATTGAAATTCTTGCCACTAAGGGCCAACGAAAGTAGGGGGAAAGTTAGTAGTACCCGGGAGCTGCGTATTTAGATTCTGGCCTCTGTGGGCCGGCATAAACGCACGGGGAGCGAAATGGCGCCAGAGTGAGCAGGAACTAGTAGCTAGGGGACCCGGGGACCCGAGGGCCCGAGGAGGCGGCACCCAGGTGACCATGGGAGAGTATTTCGGTCTCCCGGCGGCCCAGTCGATGAGGCACTGCTGGTTCCGGACCCCGCAGGTCTCGAACGAGTCTGGGTGGGCCTCGAAGGCACCGTCCCAGATTTTAGCTGCGCCGGGTATATGGCCTTTCCCGCCGTGTCGGAAGGGTTTGCCAAGTCGATACTGGAGACTCGGAAGGCGGTAATGATAGGAGCAGGGGCGGCAGTGGGAGTGGACATGGGTGCCGGAACAGCGTGCCCACCATCGGGCCAAGGGTGGCTAGCAATTGCTCCTGCACGGAGCGGTCTGAGGCTAGTGTTCTAAGAATCGTTAACCTCCCCCCTACGTACACATACCTACAGTCTCTCCGACACGCGTGGACCACCATGTTGATCGGAGCTTAAAAGACCTGCGTTGGGAAAATGACTTGCCTTGTTGGCTTGGTTGAGAAAGAAAAAAACGAGTCAGTTAGAGCCCGCAGGGGCATGCGGAGGGAGCCGTCCGGGGGTCTGCGAACAGGGGGTATAACAGGTTCAGGGCCCAACTTGCATTTTATGGGCGAGTTCCTGTTATTGTTGTCCCTTAATCGAGCGACCGGCTCGGCGGCCGTGATGCGCGGTCGAGGTGCACCCTAGTCGTCAGTAGGCAGAACTGAAAACTCCTCCCAGTCACTGAGGTAGCCGGCCCCCATCAGATGCTCGCGCATGGCGGCATCGAGGTCGGCCATGAAAGCCCGCTTTGCTGTCAACCAAGCGGAGTAACCTACATCTCCGCTGACCAAACGGCAGTCCACCTAGTATTGCCACTGCCTGATCGTCATCGTTTCCTGCCCATGGCGATTAGATAGCACACAGCAGCCGCAACGGGGGGTACTCGCGTCGTCGGCGGCTGGCGCCCTCTGCACTAAGCGACGCGGCGCCTCCTCGTCGCATTTGAACAAATGGAAAAGACGTACCGAGCCGCCTTCTATAAGAGCGGGGTTAAACGAGCCCCTATCCGGCTCTTGTTGTCTGATGGCCACGTTACTGTGTAGAGCTGTGCTATCATAAGCACCGAGTGCTTAATGTCTCGCAGGGTATGCTGGGAACATGCAGTGCCAGAGCACGAGAACGAGGTGTTGGGGTATGAGACGTCCGGCACCATGCTAACAGCTGATCCGCAAACCATACCGGAAGGGCTGGAGGGGTGGGAAGCTCTAGGCGTCAGCAGTAGCCTGGGATGGTAGGCCTCAGAGAGGACGAATACGAACGCCGGCGACAGGGAGAGGAGGTATCGTAATGGTGGCACCCAATCGCGGGGGGCCGCCGCGCGACGGTCTCGCATGGTGGACGAAGCGAGCCAGGAGGCGGGCTACGGAAGGCGGTAGCGTACCGCTTCGGGTGGCCTCCAACCCCCTCACGCATGACCTGGGTGGCTCACTCATCACCATGCCATGTCGGCTGGAGGTCTCGGAGGTTTCCGAGACTCGAAGGATCCCCGGAGGATCCCCAAGCGGTTATCGTGTTGGAGTCGACGGAGCGGGGAAAGATCGGCGTTGACAGAGACCTGATGATAGCATGTAGATATCTCATCACCCACTGTGCTGAAAGGTATTGCATGCAGGAACAACACATGTGACAACACGGCCGTCAGGTTTCAACCTACAAGTCGTCGTCGAAAACTGCTCACCAACAGACATCATTGCTGTGGTGATAGATGCCAGCGGCGCCAGCGGCCCTCATCGCCGTGCCATCTTGCTAGGAATCCAATTGGTTTAAGACGCCCAGGGTTTCAAGGATGGATGATATGTTCGGGGACTTCGTTCCCACCCGCCGGCGGAATTTATGAAAAAGACCGAGGACGGCAGATGCTGGGAGGCCGGGAAGGTATTGTAAATCCATCCCGTAAATCCTATTTGGCTATTGATTGGGGCTGCTCTCGGTTTCTCCCGTTCGATATTATGAGAGGGCTCTTTCGTCTCTTTGATGCTAGTCTCTCTTGGTTGGCTTTGGCTTTGGCTTTAGAAACACGATCGGCGTGTTCTGCTTCTAACTCTGCTACTTTCTTCTTGTGCTCAGTCCAGCCTCCCCAGGAGGGAGGGATGCCATGGAAAGGGGCGGGTACCAAGTTTGTAGGTCTTAACGCGGTGGTCCGTGAAGGGGTAGGTTAGCTTAATATTCCCCCAGCGGGAGTCAGCCTCCCGATCCCAACTATTGGATATCAGAGGGTACGTTCAGGAGGCCTTTGGTTTCTCCTTTCGAGCAGTGGGAAGTCTCCGGCGTCGAAGAGTGAGGAACGGAATCTAGGAATTGAGGGGACGAAGAGATGTGAGGGGGGATGGGACGAAGAAGTGTTGCCCCTCGTCGCTGGAAGCTTTTGTCTTTGGAAGCAAGCTGCTGTGTCCCAGCATTGTCAACATGTGTGTGTATGTATGATGTGTGTGTGTGTGTGTGTGTGTGTGTGTGTGTGTGTGTGTGTGTGTGTGTGTGTGTGCACATCGCTGTCTTGTTGGTGAGGTGGTGGTGATGTGGTGGAGGGTTGATGGAAAGGGTTGAGACGGAGGTCTACTCGAGGTTTTGTATACCTGCCCTTCGTGAGGTCTACATATCTTGACGTACCTACTACGCACTTAACACATTGTGTTGCTATGCGAGTGCGACATGATGGTTCAGGTTTCGAGTGAGATGGAAGTCAGGAGAAGTAGGATAATCGCAGTCGTAATCGCAGTTGAATAATATGGCCGACTCCCTACTGAGAAGTGGCCTAATAACAGGGGGTCGCGGGTGGGGGCATGCCTGGGTGTATGGATGTGTGTAACTATATCGACGTACGGACGTATATATAATAGGAACATTCGATCAAGCAGGCGACGGGAGGACATTTTAATATTATAGGAGCAAATCTTCACGCCGTGTCCCTCGATACTTCAAAATAGATGTAAGCGTGTTCAAGAAAAGCTGCGAATAGGGGGGCCAGGGGCTGTGAGGTTTCTCGAAGTGATCTTCAAGTATATCCTTTTCGAGTTTCTGCCTAGTATATCGTAGTAACTTGTCACACTGAGCAATCGTCTCTTTACACTAGTAAAGTTCCTGTCTTCACCTTGGCTTCCTTCAGCGTTAGCTCGTGCTTCAGCTGCTGCACTTTGGCGAGGTACTTCTCGTAATCCTCCTCGTCTTCGCCTGCGTACTGGCGCTAGATGTCTTCGCACCGGTCGACGTAGCCCCGGGCGCGCACGAGGCTGTCGTTCTTCTTACCGCTGCTGTTGCCTACCCTCATGCACGCCCACGCCACCGTGCCGTGGTATACGAGCAGCTGCGGCTCGAGCTCCTCGGTGCGCTCTAGTGTCTGCACCTCATTCGCGAGCGCCACCACCGCGCCCGCCGTGAGGTTTCTAGCCTCCGCGGCGGTGCCGTCTGTGCTCAGCCCGCCGTAGATCTGCCGCAGCTAGTCGCGGCGATGCGCGGCACAGCGAGCACGTGCAAGTGAACCCCCACTGGCTCCTAAGCTCTTCCTGTCTCTCCTTTTGCGGGAGGCCGAGTGGGACATTTGGGTGAGTGGCGCGAGGGGTTAACGCGTCGTTAGTAGGCGCATGTATTGACACGCGAGACAAGGGGACGGGGTAGGTGCTTCAAATAGCTCTGCGTGATCTCCTCTCGGGGCTCGGTGTCGCGCACGGCGACGGTCTCAACAGCCAAGGTGTGCGCCGAGTACCGCTAGGGTCCCTTGCAGGTTCGTCCAAGGAGATGGAGGGAAGAGGGAGAAAAGAAGAAAATCCAATAATAGTTATCATTAGGTCGGGGCACCTTGGAAGCGTATGCTTGAGAGTCGAATACAGGTAGGTCCTGTCGTGGCGCTCTGTCGAACTACGCGCCTTCAACAGGCCGAGAACGGATATACCGCAGCGTACATTGCGAGATAAGAGAGAAATACTATTACCTACTAGTGGTATATAGTGATGTCCAGAGGGCTCCGTGAGCAAGTGAGTATTACAAACTACCTCCGTAGTCCGTCTGACTATAGAAGAGGGGCAACAAGTGTGCTCTTATACTATGGGAGACATGTTATTAACTCGTAGTGGTCTTAATCGTTTCCAAGCTTCTGGCGCCAGGTTCGCTTTATCTCCTATCACGTTTCGGTTTTCATTTGCATTCCCGGCCCTGCATTAGGCCACAAATCGCGTCCTTAAGGGCCTTCTCGGCTCATAGCATACATACCGCCCCCCCTATTCCGCACCGACGGCAGCAATGTCTTCGGCGGAAATCATCATCGGCTTGTCGGAGCCAGACATGGTGACGGCCCATCTCCGGTGGTCGCGCGAGCGGATCTCGACGTCGATGTCGTAGTCGGGCTGCTCGACGGACGTTCCGGGATTGGACTTGGCCGTGGTGGGCGCGACCCAGCGGCCACTTCGCGGCTGGATTTCGAAGCGTAGGACAATTAAGGCCGTGAAGGCCAGCATCTCGGTAGACGCGAAGTGGCGCCCGGGGCAAAGCGTTGAGCCGCCGCCAAACCCGCGGAAGGCCGCGGGGTCGTAGCGCCGCTTCCGGCTGCCGGCCTCCGGGACGAAACGTCTGTGGTCGAAGGTGTCGGCCTTCTCTCCCCACGCGGATGAAAGGTGGTGCTGAGCTGCTCCCGGAATCAGGACTATGCCTCCTTTTTTCAGGAGATACTGGTCGTTGATCGTGGCATCTTCCGTGACTACCCGAGCCGACACGCCGATGCCGTGAAACCGCAATACTTCTTGGAAGGTAGAGAAGAAGATGGGACACGAGCTTTTCATGTATCCCACGTCGAATGTGCAGACGCCGTCGTGCTCCTGGAGGGCCTTGGAGAGCTCCCCGCGGCAGTCCTCGAGGACGGCCTTGTCTGAGAGGATGTGGAAGACGAGCCAAAAGGTGGCAGGCATGGTGTTCCCGATAAGCGCGATGGAGGAGGCGACCTCTAACCTCGCTATATCTTCGTGGCCCAAGCCAAACCGGCTGAAGAATTCGTAACGGTCCTTGATGAAGGCCGATGCCTCGGGATCAAGGTAGCCGTGCTCGTCGTAGTATCTCTCGTAACGCTTCACCAGGGTTTCGCGCATCCTGAGGCTCTCTCGAGCCGTGAGCGCAGGCGCGATGCTCATCATGAGTGGAATCAGTCCGGTCTCGTACTTGCTAGAGTCATTCACGTTAGTCACGACGCCACGAACTACCCACGGCGATGTATACGTATACTTACTGCCAGACATCCCGGATGGCAGGGTCGCGGAACGGGTTACCAGGGCCGTAAATTCCCTCGGTGGTAGCCATCATGACCTGGTGTCGAATCCATTCATTCATCTTCAACACACTGGGCTCCTCTGCCGTTCCAAACTTCTCGAGGGATGCGGCAAGAACGCTGACCGCCCGGGTGTTTAGCGCGTTGAGTTTCGCACCCGGGCTCAGGCTCGGGTGGAGGGCCTTGGGGGTCTGCATAACGAAGGAGTGCTCTTCGAGCGAGTCTCTCGCAATGATCTCCAAGCCGGGCTTACTGACGCCCATGAGGCTCGAAGCCATGCGGACCAAGACGGGCGAAAAGGAGACGCTGCGGACTTGGCGCTGCACGGAAGAGACCAGAGCGGTTGAATTCACGATGTATAACCGGGTGAAGGGAAACCGCAGGGTGTAGATGGGCAAATGCCTAGCAACAAAAAAGACATGGTGATTAGCACAGCGCGAGGAGGGCTGCGATACTGGCCGCCGAGGCTCACTTCCGCGCAACCCAAAACTTCAAGCCTTCTCGTCCCAGGCCGATCAACGGGCTGACGAAGGGGACGGAGGTGTGGACGGCCGGCGGTTCCCTGGCATCTTGGGTGAAATGCAGGAGGGCGCGGGAGAAGAAGTAGACAGTCGAGAGGCCGACGAGGAGCGTTGCGAGGGCGGCGATCATGTTCGCAATAGGGACGGTCGGGCCAAGAAGGCTAGGTATATGACATACAACACAACGAATCAAGGCTTATATCCACTATAGGTTGGTTGAAGCGACGAGGAGAGACAAGTTTCGAATATCCGGCTTCTCAATGGGCAGCACCAGGACCCGTTGGCCGGGATGTCTGTGGCGCCCATGAAGACGAGCCCAGCCACACGCGGGCGGTGGAGGGGAGTGCCCGTAGCCAACTGGGTGCTCTGATAGAACGACCTCCTAGGCGGAGAGATCAGAGATGAGAGAGGCGGCAACCTGTCACACAATCAGCATGTGTGCGGCAAGGGAGGAAGAAGTTCCAATTCTTACGATTCCTGGCGATGCAACACAACCCTTGGCCCGTCTCCGACTGGCTCTCTTACCAGCAGGCGGACGACAGAACCAATCCGGATAGGGCTTGGAGGGAAGACACGGGCTTGGTATGCGGGCTTGGCGGATGGATGGGTGGTCTTCCGGTTGCTGCGTCGAAGACACATCGCAGGAAGATGCGGCTACCTGCCTACCCACACTTCCCCATCCGGCAACCTGGTCGACACCACTCTACTCGAATAGGACCACGCTGCAACTCTGCAGCTCCTTACACGACTCTCCGTACACAGCTTCTACCCACCCAGAGGCAGCGTCGAATGCGGCGAGGGGAGCGCCAGTGAGCGTGCCTACGGGAGCCTTGGGCTGCGTCCTCGCCGATCCACTGCTACGTAGTACAACAGCAGCATCGTCCGTCGTCCATCCGCCGACGGCACCGCGAGGTGTGCGAGCATACAAGGTAGACACCCTCACACACGAATAGGTAGCAGTAGGCTCGGTCAGGTGTCAACCAATGCGACTTCGGGTGCTGCTGGTATATATTATCGTCGCAGCGACAACGCAGGCTTGTCCGGTCTCCCTTCCTCCACGAGAGCCATGTTCCCTATCCTCCACGTCGCAAGTCGACCTATCAGACTCCCGCGAAGCGAGCAAGCCAACCGCTTGGCACACAGCGTACTGGGCGACGCGGTAGCGAGATCGTTCCATCGGGAAGCCTTCGACCCGGTCGGCCTCTCTCACCCAACAGCCTGCGCAAGAGGGGAGGGGATCCTTATCGACTCCCTCAGCACCACACCCGCACACCGGCCGCTTCTCGAAGTGTTATTAGCCTGCCGTGGCGACGCCACCAAGAGCGCGCCGCCACGCCCGCCATGCCCGCCACTCCGTGGCCCTTGGCCCGAAAACCCGTTTTGCTCCCCTGCTTACTACTAGCTGGCGATGCCTGCATGGCTGGACCTTGCCTCGCGTGCGTCGCTGGTACACAACGGGCGGCTGCACCGTGCGGGTTCGCTGCGCCCCTAGGCGGCAGATCGGGTTGTTAATCTCGGTTCGCGCCACGAAGGAATCGGTAGCGAGGGTCGATCGAGCCACCGGCTGGTAGGATGGCGGGTGTGTGGTGAAGAGAAGAGGAAGAGGGGAGGGAAAACCCAAAAAAAGAGGCACAGCCGAGCCTAAGTATGTAGGTACCTACTCTGCAGTGAGCCCCCCCCCCTGTCGGGCTCCACGTCGGCGGCGGTCCACTCGATCTCGCTAGGCGTACCCGGATAGCAGCGAAGTTCTAGACTTTCTGCTGCGGACAGGAAGAGGGGCATGGTGAAGACTATAGGTCGCGTATGTGTGTGCGGATAGGTGATTTAGTTACGTATGTGTCTCGTCGCGCGGAGACGTTGGGAATGGCTGGCACCCCATTGGATTGTGTCATACGCCTGTCTACCTACTGTGCCTGTAACTCGCTTACCCGAGACGGGACCGAGGAGAGGAGGGATCAGACGGCGAGCAGGCTGGCGATAGTGCCGGCTCCCCTATCGCTTCGCCGCAGGCCGAGAGGGAGAAGTGCCTAATAAGGTGAGTAGTAAGTTATTTCCCGAGAGGGATGCGTACAGCATATAGCATATGCCACCTCTGCGGGCGGCAGTATAGTAACGCCTAAAACCACTGCAACCCACACCTAACCCCTATCCTTCGTCGAGTTCCATGGAAAACGCAACGCGGAGATGGTAAACGCGCACCTCGATTCCCACGCCGGGTATAATTAGCAATGTATGGGTTGCACTGGTTTGGGACAGGCATCGGGGTGGGTTGTGGGCGCTCCCCACACATGTGTGTATTCCATGTAGGTAGATGCGCTGCGGTGCGCATGTATGCAGTGTGTAGGCGCATACCTACATACACAGGTACTACCTATGTTGGGTCGATCCCGACCTCGTGGGAGTACCGCCACACACGACTGCACAGGAGAGATCCAAATGCTACGCAACAATGTGGTTGCTATAGCGTCCAGAAATAGGTGGCTATAGAAAGAATAGTATTAAACCCGAGTTCAAATCCTCGGAAGGAAAAAAAAAGGTGGGAAACAATCAAGACTTATAGCACCGGCCTTATGTTTTTGACATGTATGCTGAAGTGTCTGGGTGCGAATCCTAACGCACCGGCTCGGGACTAGTCCCAGGGACTAGCTCCACAGGCTAGCTAGGGGGTAGACCCCCTATACGGTAGGTAAAGGGACAGGCTAAGTTAGGGGCAAGCTAGGGCACCACGTCGCTAACCACAGGGACCGGTTACGGGTACCAACCAGCGGCACCAGATACGCTGGCGGGGCAGCGGCTGTGCCCCCGCTCCAAGTCCCGCCGGCCTTAGTCGCCCGTCGCCCGTCCGCCCTCCCTCGCCCCATCCCATCCCATCCTGTCCTGCGAATCATTCTGCGAATCATCCTGCCCCGGCACTTGAAGCTGCTGTGCCTGTTCCCTCGAATCACGCCGGCCTAGGATCTCCCAGCTAGCTGCCGCGCTGCGCTGTCCCTAACGGTCCTCGCGCCCCAGCCGCCGTCTGATGCGAAATTTCACCGGGCGCTTCGGCTCCTCAGTCCCAATGCCGAAATTGCTCGAGCACAGCTCGCCCACCTCCGACAGCAGCTCTACCTCGAACTCACGCAAGAACAGCACGCAGGTGAACATGATGGCGCTCTTGGCTAGAAACCGGCCCGGACATACTAAATGTCCCCCTGCGCGCCCATCCGGTTAGCGGAGGGGGGGGGGAGAGAGAGGCACAGGCGGCGTGGAAAACTTACCTCCGTAGGGCACCCAGGACTCCTCGAGGCCCTCCATCGAGAAGTAGGGCCCGTCCCTGGCCGTCTCCTCCTCTTTCACGTGTGCCTTGGCGTCGCCGAGGCCTTGCGTTTCCCGATAGGCCGGGTTGATGGGGCCACTGAGAGGGTCCGCGGGGTCGCGAAGGAATCTATCGGCCCAGAATCTTTCGACTGGGTGGGCGCCCTGCTTGGTGTTCCAGAACGCGGCGTCCATGTGGGATATGTGGGAGTTGACCAGGCCGATGCTGCCCCTCGGCAGCCACCACCGCCCGAGCTTGAGGTCGGCGCGCTGCGAGCTGATCACCGTGTTCAGCTTGACGTGGAGCCGCAGCGTCTCGGCGTAGATTGAGGACAGGAGCTGGTTCTCCGAGAGCGCCTTGACGTCGATGTCCGCCAGCGGTCGGTCGCCGACGCTTTGCTCGATCTCCTGCATCACCCGCTGGTGGACGCTCTCGTCACGCAGGATGTGCACTAGGGCCATGATGGTGGAGGGAACGAGGTTAACGACGGACCTAGTTATGTATAAATTTAGCCTATGTCTGTCAGCACAACGGGACCGGAGGGGCAAGCCCTACCCCCAAGCTGCACCCAGATCCGACGCCGCGAGGGTGTCGTCGTCTTGGATCTTGTCTAGCGTCTTCTGTCGGTGTCGCATCCAGGCCGATCCCCAGAACGGGTCTGCGTCGCCGTCCGCGCCGATACTGGACTCGTCAAAATGCTCTCGCGCGTAGGCATACCATCGCTTCAGATGGTTGTGCATCTTCTGCCGCGCCGCGTACGCGTGCGGGATGAGAAACCTCGGCGTCGCTTTCGCGAATAGCGGGACCGCTCGGTTGAACTCCTTCAGGTCGTCCATGAAGGTCGGGCTCAGGCGGAGCAGAGAGGGCCCGAAGATCGCTTCGACGAACGATTGACCGGTGGTGTGCAGGATCAGGCGCTGGAAATCTTCCATCTCCGCCCAGTCCTCGGCAAAGCCCATGGAGGCGACTCGCGCCAGGAGAGCGGCCCGAAAGCGTTGCAGCGTGGGGTTGAAGCCCGACCCCGCCAGGGCCTGGTGCGTCCCCTCGTACAGGGTGTGGTGGATGCGTTTCTCCGGCGGCACGGAAGTGCCGGGGTATGGCTTGGGGAACGGCCCGGAATCATCCTCGTAATACATCGCCACCGACCGTTGGGGCATCCCGAAGATGTATCGGTAAAAGAAGATACGCAGGCTGACCGACTTCATCAGATTGGACTTCTTCCAGATCTCCCTGATGGTGTGGCGGTCCTGGAAGAAGTAAATATCCCAGCCGGGCAGGAAGGTGACCCGGATCGAGGTCAACTGTCCGGCATACGAGCTGGGAAGAGATTTAGCACGGGAACCTAGCCGAGCGCGCCCGAAGCCGCGGCCGTAGCCTTCGATGGCGGCCGCTGGAAGGTGGGCGGAACCTACGTGACCTTTCTAAGGAATTCGGGGCCGTCCCGCAAGTAGGGAATAGCAGACCCTACATAGGGGAGCCATGTTGGGTATTTTGGCGGCAACTGGCTTTCCTCCCTGCCCCGCTGCGCCTTGTGATACTGGTAGGCGTAGTAGAAATAGTTGAAGACGAGGGCCACGACCGAGAGGGCTCCGACGAGAAACAGGCCCGTGACCGGATCCTGCGCCGCCGGGGGTAGTATCATCCTGGGCCTGACCTGCTGTGTCGCCGTGGGCACACGCAAAATCACTAACGAGACTTGGACTAGGTCGGCTCTGCAGCTGGAGTAAACACACTTAAGCCGACAACCTAGAGACCGGGCGACTCTCGGGAGATTCTATGGAAATAGCAGCACCCTGAACCGCGTATGGGAGACATGATGAATTAAGTACGCTCACGGAGCCTCAACATTGTGTTGTCGTGGGTCCGGTACAGCCAAGTATAGTCGCGGCGATCTATACGTGCTATGCAGCCGGCATCACCAGGGTCGGTTCGGCATGTGCTGTGCCTAGCGTGTACGTGCGCCTCCCTTGTCTTTGTGGTTACTATTCCGTATGATTACCTTCTTATTCGAGCCAACCTGCCTGTCTACATTCGCCGAGCAAGCATCGTTATACTGGGGTCGGGTGGGTTGTAGCTGATGCAGACTTTGCTTCCTTGGTAATGCATCCCTACGGCGTGTATGGCGTCAGGTAATCCTTTCGACGCAACCCTTTTCTAGCATCGCTCCGTATAGTATAGGACGGCGGGGACTACTACCACATTCCCTGCCCTGCCACCCTCCCCCCCTGTCTCTCCACGCTGGTATCCCGTCCGACGCATCCTCCTCACAAGCCTGATAGGAGCCCTTTCTTCTAATGCCCTCTTGGGCGGCCGGCCCCTCGCGCGATCCTACCAGGACAGAGTATTTTATCCACGGTGCCACTGCTCCGCCCGCCCGCCTTTTTCCTCTTCTAGTCGGGGCTCCCTGCGGACTGTGATCGGATCGATTTGCCATTCTCCTCGACATCTTGGTTTTCCCGGTTTGCTGGCAAGAGGCATAGACCACCGGCTGCGAAACGATCCGAAGACATGGACTCCCTCCCGCCGGGCATCGACCTGTCCCAGATCCCCGCAGGCGTCCCTCCGCCCGGGGTGCTGCCCAACTTCGTCGACCCCCCGTCGCAGTCCTGGATCGGCAGGCTGTCCGTGTACACGACGCTGCCGCCGATGGTCCTGTTCTTCGTGCTGCGTGTCTATGTTCGGCTGATAGTAGTACGGCGCTTCGGCGCGGACGACTGTGTGTAACACCACCAACGGCCCCCCGTGAACGGGCGTCTTGCTAACGTATCGGTGCTGCCAGACCTCTGTGTTCTCGCTGCCGTAAGCTGGCTCCGTAGCTATCTCCGTTCGAACGCTAACGGAACGAACATCAGGCGTTTACCATAGGTTTCTCCTGCATGTTGATACCACTATGTGAGCCTCCGACGGACCTTTCCCAGCTGATGGTGAATTCGAGACTAATTCCCCAGTTCTGAATGATACTTGGGGTCGCCATCTGTGGGATATTCCAGTGATAGCGTTAAATGAAGAATTTCTCAAAGTACGACCCTCTCGCCGTGCTACGTTGAGGCCGACGTGATACTTATTCGTTGCAGTCCCTCTTGGTCCTTGGTATCCTCTACAACTTCGCCGCCATGTTCATCAAGCTGTCGTTTTTCGCCCTGTACTTTCGGCTCTTCCAACCCATATACCGCGTCAGCGTCATGATCTGGGCCGGCATCGTCACGATGATCCTGTTCTATTGCGCGTGCACCGCCGTCGTCATGGCTTACTGCCTCCCGCGGAGCAGCGATGGCGGATGGGTATCGACGAGCTACAACGAGCGCTGCGGCGTCAACTACCTGAACTTGAATGCTGCCGCCGGGCTCATCAGCGCCTTGACCGACTTCTACGTTCTCGCCATCCCGATCATCGTCGTCCGGAAGCTGAACCTCACGCCCAAGAAGAGGATAGGTGTGACCGGCATATTCCTCACGGGGTTCCTGTCAGTTCTGTCTGCCCGTTCCGGAGCGCGAGGTTATGTGTGCCGGTGCTAACAGTCGCTCAGAGCTTCTGCATTCGCCGTAGCGGGTGTTGTCTACCGATTTGAGGACATCTTCCTCCCCCTTCCGGATTACACTTGGTATTCGATGTATACATTTCCATTGGCGTGAGTGCAGCTCCTTTCCACATACCAGCCCCTCTTGACCGAGGTATCAGCTTCTTACCTCCTCACCTATATAGGGTTGCCGAGCTCAACGTGGGCATCATCTGCTGCTGCATGCCGGTAATATTCGTCCTATTCCGAGGGCTCCTGGCGAAGACAGAGTCCTTCTGGGTGTCTCTAGTGAGCTACCTGGGCCCCAGATCCAAATTAAGCGGCAAGTCCGCTTCCGAAGGCAGCGCGGACCCTCCAGGGAAAATCCCCACCGGTGAGCTGCCGCAGGTCCCCAGGGGCACGTTGAACACGCTCGCTTCCTTCGTTCGCAAAGGGACTCGGTTCCAGGGGAAGACGAATCGGGGTCAAGAGACCCGCGCGTCGACGTACGTCGAGCTGCAGTCCGTCGACAATTACCACGCCTACGTGCAAGGAGAACATCGCAGCGAGAGCACAAAGTCGCTCAGGAGATAAAAGGCCCGAGCGGCAACGATCATGATTATGACCCAAGCATAGGGCGGTTGAGGGCATATCGGTGTATACAAAATGGGAGAGGGAATGGGCGGATACACGGTATCCTGCTACAGAAACGCATCGCGGACTTCGACGTTTTTGGCATTTGTATATTATAGCGGTCGCGCAGTACATACGGCATCATTATGTAGTATATTCACTTTCCGTCTTCGGTATATATGAGCATCGCCGGGAGCCGTGGGCAGTATTGCCTCAACATGCTGCGTGTATGATGCCCAGCGGGTATTTCCGACTAATATATTGTAGCTAATGAATGATGTGAGAATCATTACCTACACTCTGCGGTCCAACAAATTTGGCCTTATTAGCTAGCTAGAGGTAATACAGCATAACACATGATGAGCCCAAACCACAGGAGACCTTGCTCTGAAAAGAAATCACAATGTGAGAAACACATCAGTTCCTCTGCGCCATATTTTACCCGCCGTCTGTGCCTGGCCCCGGCAAAGCCTCCGGGGGCGCGGGGAGCATGAGGCCGAAGCTATTGAGCGACGACGCGGCAGAGAGGAGCGCTACGGGGCAAAACACTGCCGAAACCTGCGTTAGAACAGCGCACGCGGCGCGCTCGGACGGGCCGGGGCCGGGTCGGTGGAGCCTTACAGAGGTTGAACTCGACGGCGGACCAGAGGTAGAAGGCCGAGTCGGGCTCGAAGGCGGCGCGCGGGCAGCCGAGGAGGCTGCCGCGCGCGGCGATCACGGCCGCGTAGGCGAGCAGCGACAGCGCGACCGAGGACGCGAAGCCCGCCACGCTGCCGGCGCGCAGGTGGTGCAGGACCGCGATCGGCGAGCACACCACTTTCGCGGGAGAAACGCGGTCAGCCCGATCTGCTGGCAACCTAGCACCCGGACCCGGGCGCTCGGGACCAGCTCGTGGGGACTATTAATATGAGCAGGTACTGACCGAATACGTCCGAGACAAGATCGGCAATGCCTGAGACCAGGGCCATGGTGTTCGCGCGGTGGGGACGCGCTCGAGCCGCTGCGAGATGGGGTGGCTCTGAGGTGCTGGTTAGCTTTCTACCACGGCGCACTGAGCGTGAGGATCAGGCAGGCTTGGTAACTCGGTAAGCAGCAATTCCTAACGCATAGGTATGGCAAATACCTAAAGACTAGTTATACACCTACGAAATATGCCGGTTGGAGTATCGCGAGATCTGAGCAATGGGGGCATCAGCCAGGCCTGATGGTGTCTGTCTGGGGTGCTTCGAGTACCTGGGCTGTATGGATTCGGTATAAGCTGGGGATCCATCTATGTTATTATCCAAGGATTACGAGTGTTGCTGACATGCTAGCGGACAAGGGTTTCTCAATAAAGGGTCCGTCAACGAGCCTGTTTGCCGGCTGGTCGAGCCGATCTTCATGTGAGACGATCTTGTTGGCAACAACAGCCTGCCCACCTTACATGGGCTATAATATGTACAGTGCAACAGTAGACGGCGTTCCTAGTAATATCGTAGTGGGCGGAGGATTCTCGATAGAGGGTTATTTTGCGAGCCCCGGCTCATATGTGATGTCGTCTCGGCACTGTCCACCTACCTAGTCTATATGAGCAGCGATGCAATGCAACATAATAACAGAGAGTTGGCGTTTCCGACATCTTAACGAGCACACGGGAGTGAGTCTAGGGGTACCGCAGGATCAAACCCATGTCGGGCACCATACTACCTACCCTCTGCGCCGTTGGCTGTCCCGTTGCGTCCAGCTGCGGCACGTTGCATCCACCACCCAGCCAGAACGGTTTAGGGGCCTGCGGCGCGCGTTTGCGGTCGATCCCTGGGATTCTCCCCTTATCGCCATTTACCTACCTCTAGGAGCATTCGGCCTTCCCTAGAATGTGGTTGTCTACCCACAGGGCAAGTTCTTGTCCTTTTCCATGTTAGAAGCAGACGATCTGGACGACGTCATGGGAGGAGACAAACACCTATCGCAGCGGGAAGACAGTTCGGGAATCGGCGTGTCGTTCCGGGATCTTTACTGCTACGGATTTGTTGCGTCGGATGCATTCCAAGAAACAATCCTTTCGTATCCCTTTTCTCTATTGAGATTCGTGACGAGGCGACTGAGGACTCGCTCCTCCCAGAGAACGCCAATACTGCGGGACTTCCACGGGCTGATTCTGCCCGGGCAGATGCTCTTAGTGCTCGGGCGACCTGGAAGCGGATGCTCTACGTTTCTGAAAACGCTCTCGGGCGAAACCCGGGGGTTCCACCTCAGCAGCGAGGATTCTATTAACTACCAGGGTAAAATTACCTCTCCTCGACTGCTGTCTGCTCGGCTGGTTTGACGTTTGGACGATAGGGACTTCGTACCGGCAGATGCACCGACGACGCAAAGGGGACCGCATCTATCTCGCCGAGCTCGACGTTCATTTCCCGGAGCTGACGCTCGGCCAGACGCTGAGCTTCGCCGCTTCAACCCGGGATCCGGCCGGGGGGGCCCACGAGTGCGGTGACATCCTTGCACTGTTTTCTCTTGACAAGGCCATCGACACTCGCATCGGAAATGCGGTTATTCGAGGCATCAGCGGTGGGGAGAAGAGGCGGACCAGTATCGCGGAAGCCTTTGTGGGCGGCGCTAAGATCCAGTGCTGGGACAATAGCACACGCGGACTAGATAGCTCGACTGCGCGGCATGTTGTCGATATACTGAGAAAGTCGACGGATGCAGACATGTGCACCGTAGCGATGAGCCTGTATCAGGCGTCGGAGGACATGTACAAAGTCTGCGCCATATCCTCCCACCTCTTCCGGCTGTGCATCGTACTGACCGGGGTTTTCTAGTGCTTCGACTTGGTGACCGTCCTGTATGAGGGCCGCCAGATATACTACGGGCCGGCGGAGTCAGCTAGTACTTACTTTACCGCTCTCGGCTTCGTCAAGTCCAGTCGCACAACCACTGCGGATTTCTTAACGTCCTTAACCAACCCCGAGGAACGTGTCGTTCGCGAGGGCTACGAACACCAAGTTCCACGGCTGCCAGATGAATTCGCCGCAGTCTGGAGGCAGAGCAAGGAGGCAGAGATGCTGGGCGATCAGATCGTCGCTTTTGAGGCAAAACACCCGATCCGTGCTGAGCATGCTAGAGGCAAGCAGGAAAGGTATGTCTCCCTGTACGCCCGTTTGTTGTGCCGCGTTGCATTCTGAATTCTGTCACAGGGGTCGGACGCCGACTTACCCTCTCTCGATCTGGATGCAAGTCGTCGTGTGTTTCCGCCGAGCGCTGCAGAGACTGTCCAATGCCAAGGCACCGGCCATCTCTGCTGTCGTTGCGAACACTATACTCGGGCTTATTGTCGGCAGCGTATTCTACGGCCTAGAAGAGACGACAGACAGCTTACAGCAACGGTCGATAGTGGTCTTCTTTGCCCTGATGATCAATGCTTTCGCCCCTGCCTACGAGGTGAAAAAAAAAACGGGACACGGGAGCCCATAGTATCCATCTTCTATCGTACGGCCGGGCTGATGCTGTGTAGGTCTCTCTGATGTGGGCGCAGCGCCCCATCGTCGAAAAACATCACCGCTACGCGTTCTACCACCCGTTTACCGAGCGGCTGGCCTCGCTCGTGTGCGATTTGCCGACTAAGTTTGGGATCTCCCTCGGGCTCCATATCCCCCTTTACTTCTTAGCCAACCTCCGCAGAACAGCTCCGGCATTCTTCACGTACTGGCTATTTATGCTGGCGAATATCCTGACCATGTCCATGCTCTTCCGCATGATCGGCTCGGCCTCTCGGACTAGGGAGCAGACTATGACGCCCGTATCGATCTTATCCCTGCTTACCGTCATATACACCGGTTTTGTGGTCCCTCCGGCTTACATGGTGCCCTGGCTCGGGTGGTTCTGGCGTATTAATCCAATTGCTTATACCTACGAGAGCTTGATGATTAACGAGGTTAGTCGAGTCGGGAACTATCACAAGGTTCAACATGGCTAATAGGAGAAGCTTCATAATCGGAAGTTTGTATGTTCGACAACAGTCCCAGATGGCCCAACGTACGAGGAAGTGGGAGTAGGTGACCGCATCTGCGCGGCCGTGGCCAGCAATAGCGGTCAGCAGGAGGTTGACGGCAGCGCATACCTCTCCTTAAAATACGGATATGTCAGTGGGCACCTCTGGAGGTAAGGCTAGCCTGTGGAAATGGCAACGAGACATCGTCATTGATAACAGTTTGCGACTCAGGAATCTCGGCATAGTGCTGGCGATGATGATTGCCTTCCTTGTGCTTCATCTCCTGGCGGCCGAGTTCATCCCAGCACAGCAGTCCCGAGGGGAGGTCCTCATCTTCCGACGAAAAGCATTGGATCGGAATCTCAAGTCTCCAGACGAGGAGAGTGGCGGCAATATGAGTAGCCGTTCCGCAGACGACCTCGCTGATGGCCGTAAATCGAATAGAAGAAGCGAACGGCCGATCCTCTCATCCGCAGCCACCCCTCAGGCCGGTGTGTTCTTCTGGGAGAGCTTGACTTACGAAGTCAAGGTCCAGAAAGGCACGCGCAGAATTTTGAAAAGCATCGACGGTTGGGTGAAACCCGGATCGCTGACCGCCTTGATGGTAAGTCGACCCCGTGTAGTCGCCCCTGTTGCAGTAATACAATGCTAACCCCATCTGTAAGGGGGTCACTGGCGCGGGGAAAACGACCTTGCTGAACGTCTTGGCTGACCGTACCACGACCGGGTGGACGATGGGAGATGTGTACGTAAACGGACAGACTCGCAATGCTAGTTTCCAGCGCAGGATGGGCTACGTGCAGCAGGAAGACATACATCTGCCCACCACTACTGTCCGTGAAGCGCTGCAGTTCAGCGCGCTTCTCCGACACCCCGGGAATGACACGCGCGAAAAGCTCGAATTTGTCGAGGAGGTCCTGGATATCATGGACATGAACCAGTATGCCGATGCCGTGGTCGGCATTCCAGGCGAGGGTCTGAACATCGAGCAGCGGAAACGACTGTCAATTGCGGTGGAGATGGTCGCGAGGCCGGAACTGTTATTGTTCTTAGGTATGCCCGCTATTGAAACTTCATGACCGAGCCCGCTGTCCCATTTTATTAACCTTCTCGTGCCCTAGACGAGCCAACCTCGGGCCTCGATAGTCAGACGGCGTGGTCCATATGTACGCTCCTCCGCAAACTAGCAGACCACGGACAGACCATCCTATGCACCATCCACCAGCCGTCTTCTCAGCTTTTCGATATGTTTGACCGTCTCCTCTTGCTGGACAGGGAGGGGTCCACTCTGTTTTTCGGGGACATTGGCCCCGGCGGCTCGACCCTGATTAATTTTTTTGAGAGCCACGGAGCCAGGAAGTGCCGGCCGCAGGAGAACCCGGCGGAATGGATGCTCGACGTAACCGGTAATACGCCGGATTCAGAGACGTCCGGTGATAAGGACCGGCGTGGCTGGCCCGAGATATGGCAAGGTAGCCAGGAGAGGCGGGACGTTCTTCAGCAGCTCACAAACCTGAAGCAAAGTTTCTCACAGAAACCGCCCTCGCCGTTTCGACAGGACAGTAATGAGTACGCCGCGTCTCTCCTCTCGCAGCTTATCGTCGTATCGACGCGCACATTTCGAGACCAATGGCGAGACCCGGTTTATCTATTCACAAAGGGCACCTTGTGTATCGGCTTGGTACGTAACCGTGGGACTTGTATACCCGAACGATCGCGGGAGCTTACTAACCTGATCTAGGCTTTCCTCAATGGCGTCTCCTTTTGGGACATAACAGTCGACATCCAAGGTCTGACGAGCTTGATCTTCTCTGTATTTCTTATCATGCAATCGTTTTCTGGCATAGGGCAGCTCGTCGTGACCCGGACGGCCTACGGTAGGGAGATCTTCGAAGCGCGGGAGTGTCACTCCAAGTCCTACTCGTGGACCGTCTTCGTTGCCTCCAACCTGCTCGTCGAGTTCTTCTGGCAGACTCTCATCGCCTTACCCATGTTTGTCGCGTGGTACTACCCCACGGGCCTATACCGCAACGGAGACGCCGCGTTTGGGACGGCGGAGCGAGGGGGGCTGACGTTTACGCTTGTATGGATGTTTCTTCTCTGGTCGACAACGCTATGCCAGGCGCTGGCGGTGGCGATGCCGCGCCCCGAACTGGCGGTGCAGCTTGCGATGCTGCTGTATTGGCTGTCCCTAGTGTTTTGCGGGTAGGTGCTCTACAAAATCGGCATATCAAGTGGAAGGAAGTCGATAGAGGCGGCGAGGAATGCTAACGATCACGCGCGTAGGGTACTAGTGCCGCTGGCGGAGCTCCCTAGGTTCTGGATTTTCATGTACCGTGTCTCTCCGCTAACGTATTTCGTCGAGGGCGTCATGGTAGCCGGGCTCGCCGGCGCCGGCGTGACCTGCTCCCCTGTGGAGATCCTGCAGATCGATGTTCCACGCGAGCGAAGTAACCAAACTTGCGGCGAGTATCTAGGGCCCTACGTAGACCGCATGCGTGGATACCTCGAGAATGCGGCCGAGACGAGTGGTTGTCGGTATTGCCCTGTCTCGGAAGCGAACCCGGCGCTGGCGGGCCTCGGTATGGATGCGCGACACACGTGGCGTAACTTTGGGTTGATGACGGTATACGTCTTGTTGCACGTCCTGGTGATCTTTGGGTTTTACTTCCTATTCAGGGTCCGCCACAGCACGCGGAAAACAGCATAGCGCTCTTCGGTAATTCCACACAGGTCCACATACCCGGCCCGGGTCCGGGGCTGATAACGTACCTATCAGTTACCCGACGATGCGGTATACGAGGCGACCTCCTTGGCAACACACCAGACGACACCGCAGGCCCTGGCGCCGTACATGGATGGAGAGCAGTGCCTTGAACCCCTCGCTTCAGTATCATCAGGCGTGCCGTTTGGCAAGAGAGTCAGCGAAGCGGCTGCAATATGTTTCGTCTCGCGGCTTGCCATTGATGCACACGCCAAGGAAACGTATATGCCCGTATTGGTGTCCGGGTCACGCCAGCGTGCTGTTTCACACCACGACTTAGTCGACGGTACCCATCGTAAGGATTAGATGAGGAGAAACCGGCAGGGAGTGCCTGTGTGGTTATAGCACCAACAATATTCACCACAGATCGACTGGAAGGGGTGCGAGCGACAGTGGGACGGGGTGGAAATGACGATGAAAGGAAAGCAGAGATGGATGTGACGTCGACGGCAGGAGAAAAGATACCTCTTGATAAGCTAAGCCAAGGCGCCAGAACAGTGTGCAGTACCCATGTACCCACTTACCTAAGGTGGAGGTTAGCTAAGAGAGAAATGCCACGAGAAAAAGCTTACTAAACTGTTGATGAATAGCAAGTGTGTATGGCTATGTAATAATACTATACAATATTGCCCGTGTAGTAAACGCGTCAGACATCGCAGGTGTGGTGGGAGACATTAGGTATGTGAGGAAGTATAGTACGGGACCATTTGACTTACCTACCTAGCTTATGGGCCATAGGTATTACGCAGGTGGAAGACGGAACTAAGAACCGTGTCTAAAGGACTACACAACAGACCTCCCATGTATAGGTAACTTGGATGGTAGATATCTTAGCGCCTGGACAACGGGATGGCAAACTAGTTAACTTTCTAAGACACCCAGGCATTATTATACTTGGACTGCCACGTGGCCCTGTTGAGACATGCATACTATTATACTAGCATGTGCCACGATGATTCTATATATAGTCTGCATTGCAATTACACCGATGACATCGATACCAGGCCTAGGGTAATACTAGATCGATAACTTTGGGTTTACAGTTGTTATCATACCGTTTAAAGCAGAATTCGTACTTCGTAGGAGGGGACTCGTCAACCAAGGCCTGTGGCAGCCGTCTATCCCGGGCAACTGGCACTTCATCAAGTGCCGACCTTCGGGTATGCATGGCGTGTATGAACCCGCTAAGCAACACCTCCCGCACCTAAGATGATACCACTGGATTACGCACATTCTGACCGATGTTGATATGTTGATGCGCATTTACATAGGTGTTAGGTGCCATTCCGATCAGTCCCTCGAATACCTCGCTACCAGGAGGTGGGCGGGTATGATACTACTACGCCGTGATGGGGACATGTGTACACAAGAGCCTTTACATGACCGAAAGTAAACAAAGACTCTCTACCCTTACCGGATATCGCGCTGCCTCTTACTATCCGGCCCTTCCCTTCTACTCTTATCAACGCAGATTGAGAGGCCACCCCCCGTTACGGGCCGAGGGCATACGGGATCAAAGCCGACTCGTGGTTGTGTATTGCAAGACAACGGGATAAGTAATATTGCTCTCCTTCTTTCCGCTTGTTGCCCTACTTCGAGTGCGTATTTGAACAACCAACCCTTCACAATGTCCTTGTTAACGCATTCGTCGTCCCTTCGCTGGCCGTCAACAAAGGCCTCAAAGGAATACCTCGACGCCTGAACATGTTTCCGGCAAATATTAAAGCGATAGTCCCCTTCTCATTCCAACTTGATTTGTTAGCATTGCCATGACCAGCAGCAGATCATAGATTTGCACGTTACAGTTGAGTTGCCATCGGGACTAACACGAAATAGCGCCGGCACGTATTTGAGACACCTGGATACCTCCGTACCGTACTCCTCTTATCCTACGCCACCCTTTGGAGAACGATGGCCCCGTCACTGCCGACATGTGCCGCTAGAGTTATCCGAAATGACTGGCTCGACTATGGCTGGGGCACGGCGCTGGCCCCGGACGTAAACAGGGTGGTGCTGCGCGTCAGGGGAGAAGCGGGTGCCATGAATCGGTTACAGATCTCGCGAGACCGGCCGGTCGACCCCATCAGCATGAGAGCCGCGCTGTTCTGGGAGCATCGCCACCTCCCTCAGCAGAGAATTGTATCGACGCCGGCCGCCGATCACCTCAGTCTCTTCGCAAGAGAAAGGGACATCTTCCGGGAGACGGTCGAGAGTATCCGCCGGGACTTCTCCGACAACTTCGACAATATCGAGATCAACCCGCTGTTCCAGGGCATGCGCGAACGCGAGTTCACCATCCTTCCCATCTGGATCGACGACACTTGGGTCACGATAATAATGCAGGTCGAGCCGATCCCCGTCGAGGCAGCGAGACCGCACTATTTCTTCGACCGGCGGGTGACGCAGCTAGCCATCATCGACCCCCTCCGCGACGACTACGAGTCCAGAAGAGAATTCATAGTGCAGAGACTTCACCGGATTTTGGTAGAAGGCTGCATCCATCTCCCCGAGCTGGATATTTCCGAAACCTTCGCCGTGGCGGATGTTGACAGTAGGTGGGCGACCGGATATATCGCCTATGCCGTCTCGCGCGAGTTTCTACGGCGTTTGAAGGTACTCATTCAGCGGAGGCAATCCGAGCCGAGTGCCTCCACCGACTTTCTTTGGGAACCTTTCGAAGAATTCTACAGTATCGACGCGTACAGGGAGTCCATGATGGCCGCGTGCGCTCACCAAACCATCGAGAAGTCGGGCTACATCGTGCGCATGGCACTCGAAGTCCCTAGTGAGAAATCTAGCCACAAGCCAGATGCACTCAGTCACCTTCACGCCCCCTCCGTTATCTTCCCTCCACAGCAAGCCCCAGATGAGCTGTATACTGGGAATAACCCCGACGAGTGCCCTGTAGCTGTAAGAATACCTGAACCGCATTGGGCGACAAGCCACCCCGAAACGACACCCGAGGGCGAGGGAATAGAACCGGAAGAAGACGACTTGGAATACTCGGTGATAGAGGCGGGTGAATCGAAGTCCGTGGATCCGGGTTCTAATGACAGCTTAATTATCAAGGCGGAAGAGGAAGACGAAGACGAAGACAAAGAGGGGGTTGATTTGGAGATATTTCCTGCGGATGAGTACGGTTGGCAGGATAACATCTTCGACGAACCTACAGGCTCGAACCCTGAGCGATTCGACTCCCCTCAGATATCACCGGGAGCGCCGCCAAGCCGGCCCACGGCGTTCAGATATGAGAACGAGACCTCAATTTCCAGGCGCCGTACGCCAGAGACACAGCCAGCCGAGTTCGAGCCGCAATTTCCGTCGCCGGTGCCCGCGGCGGAGCACGGCCTTCCGTCGCCAACCTCCACGGCACGCCCGAGGACCCCAGGCGGCACTGTGAGATACGACCCGGAGTTAGAGACGCAGCGAGACTTCGGGAGCAACGCGGAGGAGTACGACCCCGCGCAGAGCTTGCTCAGCGAGACGGCCGGCCCGAACGCGCCCAGCTCGCTGCAGCTCCCCGACGATTTCCAGCAGCTGGAGGTCGGGAGTGTGTCCCACGGGGCGCAGAAGCGAGAGCTAGAAGACGCGGAGGAACTGACTCCCAAGAGGGTACGGTTTACCGACGAAGAAGAGTATGACGAGGATGAGGTGGACTACTAAGCGATGCACAGGTAAGAGGTAAGTAGCGAGTTTTAGGCGTGGGAAATATGTTTATTTGCGATGCACGCGTGTACATAAATTCAGACGAAGGCGCAGCACGTAGATGGATCAAAGCTACAAGATCACGACACGAGATGTAGATGTCGAGGTTTTATTCATGTACAATGACACCATTCTTCATGGCTTATGCAACCTATATGTGATGCCGAATAAATATTTACAGTATCTGAAGTAATAATGGGGGAAAGCCAACAATCCGGGGGCATATATGCCCGAGTTTTCGTGTCGACCTATGTCGCGATGCTACGCACCGATGCATCCAGCAAAACGACTCCTCCGCGATGCCGTCGTAGTCGCGCTTATCGACTGCAGGTGGCAACGGTGCCGCCGGGCGCCGTGTACTTCGTAGGCTCGAAGCCATAGTAGAAGTTGGGGATGTAGATGTTGGAATCCTCGGCCTTGTACGCGCCGGGCAGCGAGATGGTGGGCGAGCAGTTGCCGCCGCTGCCCGTGATCTTGAGCTGGGCGCAGCCGATGTAGAACTGGCCGCCGCCGAGGTCCTGCGCGCCGTGGAGCGCGAGCATCTCGGAGCGAAGCTATACGCACGAGCGGGGGTCAGCACGGGCACGGTGGTCGTGGAGCTGCTCTTCCGCTCGACGCGGGGACCGAAGAACTTACCAGATACTCGCCGCTCTTCAGCGAGGACGGCAGGCTGAATGTGTAATTGCCGCCGTTGCTCTGGATGACCTCGTTGGCCCAGCGGCCATCCACGTAGCTCCTCTCGTCGATCTTAAACCAGCCAGCGCCAACGCCAGACGCGCTCGCGGCGCTGTCGACGGGGCCGAACAGGAAGTGCGTGATCGGTCCGGGATGGCTCGACGTGTCCCAGGCGACGGTGATATCGTCGCCCTCGCGCGCCGCGATCGTCTGCACTCCCGAGGGCACTTTGTCGCCTCCGACGTTGCACACGATATCGTTGCTCTTCACATCAACCTATACCACAGGTGCGTCGTTAGTGATGCGTGTTCGGCTCTAGAAAGTCGAGACGTGACATACCACAGGGCTGTTGCTAGGCGCGCGACGGATGCCGATCTCGTAACCGGGAGAAACACCGTTAACCCAGAACTGGTGCAGGTTCTGATGAGCTGAGACTGCTGTGAGCAGCGACGCAAGGAGAGTTGACTTGTACATGTTGACAGGGAGGCGGTGTGGTGCGGCGTAAATAAAGAGCGAATAATAGTGAAGAGAAGCTGAGCTGCCAGGCCGTGAAGTTTCGATACTGCCAACAACTCCCAAGGCAAGGCGGACGACGACAGTATTTGAATCCCTCATCGCCTTGCCCGGTCCCGTAACTTCACATGCACGTATAACGTTCTCCTTTTAGGCTCAATCTGGACGCGCGCGCACCCGCTGGTGGGAGGGCCGCCGTATTGGGGGCCCCATCGTCGTCGTCGCCGCACCCTTGTCCGGAGGAGACGCAATCTAACTAAAACAGAGCAATGCTGCGTGCGAATGGGGGTCAGATCGACGAAACTGATGCCCACAGGGTACCCGCCGGACGCGCACCCCCCGTCGGGCGCTCGAAGGCGGAATAACAGCACAGGTTTTCCCACACGTGATGAAGGCCTTTGGAGACATCCTCCCCGGCCGGGTCTCCTTTATCCACCAGTAGCTACTCGACGGCCCTTCAGTTCGCTCTTGGAGGGCATACTTTGAGCCCCGCGCGCGTCCCGGCCCTCCTCCGTCTTCCTGCGCGGCGAGGGCGCGGGTAGACTTGCCTCGCGTCGCATATTCTTGCCCTGTAAGCCAAAACGAGTATGCCAAAAGCTTTTCCTGGGTTTGTTTCGCCCGCCCGATGGTTTGGCGATATCTATGATCTGATCTGATCTGGTTCGACCCACAGTCGGCCCACGTGAAAGGGGGGCCCTAGGCACTCCTTAATGAAATCTGTACTAGGTGAAACCTCCGGGTCGCAAGGTGGAATGGCTTCAAATATGGGCTGGAATAGCTTCAAGGCCCATGGACTCGGGCACCCACCCGAGCAACTGAAATGTCGCCGTCGAACCGAAATCCCCTTCGAGCCATCGTTCGCTCGTTCCACGGTGGCTGACTTGCTACCGCCCGAACTGGCTGCGTCGCCCGTGCAGGGGTTTCGGGGCCCTGAGCATCGCGGAATTGAAACCGGGTCCTCGGACCGCTGCGGTCCGCATTCTCCTTTTCCAGAATACCCACCAATCCCGTAGTCTGCGAATCCCTACTTATGCATACACACACATGAGGAAAAGGGGTATAGTTCGTTGACCGGGAGTCGGACATACGCACATGTGCTTAACGTCAGGATCCACTCATAATAAATAATACACAGATTCCCCCAAAGTCTGTACTGGCAATAAGGCGGATGTTGTAGACGAGATGGACACAAGTCGAGACGAGGCGCTGAACTCACACAGCCGCGCTCTCCGAACTCAGAAGCTTTTCCCATTTCGAGTCCCGGATTGCTGTCGAGGCGACCATTGACTGAGCTATGTGTTGGTGCAGGACTTGCCAAGCGGACAGCAACGGCCTCTAATATTTCAGGTTGTGTCAGGGGTATTACTGGCGCCCAAGTCATTCTGCTATCTGTGGCCCATGTTGACCATCACGACATACCAGAACTTTCCGACGAAGGGGACCGAAAGAAAACGGCTCGTCGATTAGAATAGCAAATGGTTAACATCAGTCCACGTCTGAGCACCTCGCCTTTGCCGTGGGTTAGGTCACCTTAGCTCTTCGCCGTCACGCATTTAGGTCACTAGAAATTCATGAATACGAGTTGCAGGCAATACCCCTTGAAGATCGACGTGCATGTCGTGGGCCAAGCTCTCGTTGTCTGGGAGTAAAGAAAAAGAGACCTCTGGGGCCGTATAGACTCATCATGGCTTAGCTAGGCTAATCGCAACGATAGTTCGGCTGGAATGGAATCAACGTGCAACCTCAGCCTTCCTCTCCCTTAGTATGCAGATATACAACTAGAGACGACGACAGGATACGTAAATCGGATTAAATATAGATGAAACAGAAGTTCCCATCGTGGCCGCCTATGTTCGTCATCATGTTTTTCTACAGTTCCCCGAGCGTCAGTAAATAGGGGTAGCGCAAACAGTAGAACATATCTTGGCGGTGAGAACGCGATCGCCATATAAAGCCAATGTCGAGTATGCCAGGAGTATAGCCGAGACATCGAGGCGCTTGCGGTAGGGGAAAATGATAAAATATCGCAACTGCACTTACCACAGTAACGTTCGGCGCCAGCCAGTTGATGTTAATGACATCCTTTTCGGCGAACTCGTCGGGCGTCTGGCCGGACTTCAGAGTTTGTCCCGGGTACTGATACATACGGTTGTCGGGATCCTGGGAGGCTTTGTCAGTTGCTTCGCAGATTCACGACAATACTACGGGCGACAGCCTCGGAGTCAAGGCCATTGAAAACGTACCTGCATCTGCCAGATCCACCAGAACCGATCGATCGCGCCGCTACGGGTCGAGTTAGCGATGCATTCACGCATAGAAGCATGTGTCCACGATAAGATATACACATGTCACGGGGAGGTGGCGGGGAAATAAAATGACGGCGTACTGGTGGAAGTAGAACACAGGGTCGCCAGGGGAGGCAAAGAAATCACCGCCGGGGTCACCACCGATGGTGTAGTGGCCGCCGGTATGGATACCCCAGTCGTTCTTGTCCGGCTGACCGAGCAGGATCTTCTGGAAGGTCTCGATGTCCGGGCTCTCGGTGATGAGCTTGTACGCGTGGTCTGCGGTCGTGACAGAGGCCGAGTACTTGTTCACGTCCCGGCGCAGGCAGCGCGGGTTCGAGCCCAGTCCGTCCTTTTGCGGGTTCGGGGGGATGTCCGACACGATGGTCGATAGCGGCCCCAGGCTCACCACCATGCTGTGTTTTTTTCGGCTGACGCAACCCAAGTAGAAAGCAGGGGGGATTTCCGTTACTCTTTGAATGGCCCTTCAGTTACACACCCTCCACCGCCAGCAGAAGGAATTACTGTACGTATTGCTTAGCATCACGTCGTCATCTCTGGCCGTGGTAGCAGCGTAGACTCACTATCATACGGAGGCTTGAATCCCATCTGTCTGACCCCGGGGTATTCGCTGGGTGCACCGTTTCCACCCATGCTAGACGCATTTCCGTTGAAAAGGGGCGAATTGATAGGATCGGCCGCATATCTGTCGTAGTTCCAGTACTAACACGGAACATCAGCATCTTTCGTCATATGACTATGTGCAATCCCAGGTACTATTCTTACGGGTTGGTAACCGGTGTAGCCACACTCATCGCGCAATGCCGTCTCATACACCCAGATGAAATACCGATGCGCCGGGAGTAGATGGGCCTATAAGGCGTTCGGGTTAGCTCGGGGGAGTGAGACTATTAAAGTAGAATAAACCTGCATTTGAGTGTAGTTGCATTGCCGTCGCTATATGCGTGCCAACCTATGTAATAGACAATTAGTTCATGAGTCCCCATCACCTAGATCCTCCTGACGGAACACTGCCTATCGGTCCGGGAACATACAAAGTCATCGTAACGAGACCGTGCCCCTGGGAACTTATCCTTAGGGGCCTTGGCTGGAAGGTTTTGCAAGCAGAGCACGGCGCTGATGTACTCCTCTCTCTGCGCAACCGTAAGATCGCTCCTATTTTCTCTAGTCAGATAGAGTTATGGGGTTCCGAGTTCTCGTAGAGATGATATGCATACCATTCCATTTTTTTCACAGCCGTCTCGAGCGTGCAGCCGGACGCCGCGGGATTCTTGGCCACCCATTCTTCAAACTTGCTGATGGCTTCTTCCTCCAACTTGTCGACGATATCGGGGGGGTACACACTGGGAGGCCTTTGACACGAGATTAGTCGAAATTCTTGAGCAGCACGATGGTCTGTGATCAAGAGACGACGAGTACCTTTCGAACCGGAACCGCTTCTGCAACGGTCCTGCATCAACTCCTATCAGGAGCAGGCCGACGAGGAAGGTCAAGCGGGGAAGCATAATGATGACACCACGGGTCTGAGGCGGTGGCCACGAACATACGAGCTGCTAACGGGTATCGAGAAAAGGAGAGAGGAGAGGCGCAAGGCCCGACGGACGGGTCGAGCGAGATTTACACATATATGTACATCTAAAGCCGGTTTACATCTAATTAAGTTGTCCCCCGGGCCGCATACAGGTGCCGTCAGCCAAGACCTAGGACCATAAATGAAGGGAAACGGTCAGAGTGTGGGGAAGCGTCAAGATCTTCCATATGTTCTGCTATGATCGCCGCTCCTAGCAGAAGACTGGTCCAATTGACGGCGTCGAACTGTTTACCCTGTGACATGGACTCGGCCGCGTTTAGTGCGCACGAGGTCATTTACCCGAGAACATCCAAAGCTCACGTCCTGTTCCAAGCACGTCCATATCTACCGGGTGGTCGGCACTTGGACAGGACGAAGATCACGGCCGGCAGACGGGAGTACGTAGTTGCGTGAGAAGGAACCAAGGAAACAGATGAGAAGAGGTGCATTAGTTCCTAATTTCAACAAATCTTTCTCGAGATGAGCTAGTAACTCTCTCAGACAACCCTGGATATGAGATGTTACCAGTCAAGTTCGTCGCTAGTTGCCTCTCCAGGTAGAATACTCTGCATTCTGGTTAGTATTATCGTATTTACGAGAGTTGACGTTAGCTCCGGCTGTTGAGCGAGACAATCTCAGAGATGTTTTTGAAGACTACAAACACACACACCACACCCGCATCTACGGGTAGTTGCACCGCTGCCCGAATACGACGGAGAGCTGCTGGTCGGGGGGATCTTAAGTAGGTAGTACTAGGGTTGTTGTGTATGTACATGCATTGATATCAACTGCACGCTAATAGTTCCCAAAGGCGTTTCGCGGCTTGCGAACTCGTTGAAGTTGCTTGGTGCAACCGTATTGTGCTTAAGGAGATCTCTGGTCATTCTAAACCCTTCGCGTTGTGATAATGTAACAGTGCTGTAATAATAAGTAAAACGGAGAATCAAGAATGATATATCCTCTTCCTGGGCCGTCATAAGCTTGCCAAGGGGACGATCTATCAATCTCCTCGATTCATTTTGTGCCTAATATTAATACCACCATGAGGCCGTGTGCATGCACAATCACCCAGTTGATAACAATTCAATATTACCAGACGCAAAAGACAGTTGGATGGATACGCACTGTATTAGTGCATGGGGCCAACGCTACCCGTAGGATTGGCTTTCGGAAACCCCTGCCGGCGTTGATCGCTTGTGGAGAACAAAGCGGGAAGCCTCACAGCCACGCTCAATTTGTTTGACTCAGCTCCGGCGAGCTGAAAAGAGTATGGGCATAATAGAGGGGTTCGTGAATTCCAAATGAGCCTCAGGTTATGTCTGTTGCCGTAATGAGTCAGATGGGAAAACCGGCGGCTAGGTGCCTAGCGACTGGGGGTCTTTACATAGGTATTTATACAGAGTCTTGTCGTCTCGAGTTTGTCTGTTTCCTTTTCCTTGGGCCTACCAAAGCATAGAAGTTCCTCCTAGTAGTCCTAAGCGTGGTATCCCGTACCTCGGTCACAGTCATTATTATATCTAGACTCGGATCTTCTCATCAGCCCCAAGTTCAGTGTCTCCGCCCGAATTGCCAGTCGTCTACACCGAGTCGCCAGCCAGCATGGATCAGAATCGCCCTTCTCCCAAGCAAGATGCCGGCGCTTCCTTTCGATCACGCCGGCTTCTCGCGGACATCAAGGAGCTAGTAGCCAAGCCATACCCAAATATACAGCTACATGTCAACGAAGACGACCTCTCGCGAGCTTGTCTGATTCTCAACCCGGCCAACTACAAGCCCCTTCACCTCACCGTCACTTTCCGGCACAACTACCCCATAGGCCCACCCAAGATCCAAATGGACTCCAGCGTCCAGCACCCCAATGTCTTCGACGGTTACATTTGCGCGAGCATCCCCAACACAGAGGAGGGATATACGCCCGCCTATACCCTCAAGGGCATCGCGATCCAGATGTTGAGCTTCTTCTCCAGCGACAGCGTCGAACAGTCGTACGGGGGCAATACGAGTCTAGCCGGCTTCAAGGCTACAGATAGGTCGTTATACGACAGCTTCCAGTGCCAGCAGTGCGGTTTTAACTCGAGCCAGCCATCGCCAAAGAAGCAACCCAGACAGCAAGCCCAGTTCAATGCTCTCGTCGATAGCGAGCCAGGCCTATGGCCCACGCTGTCGAGCGCTCGGGCGCCGAGGAAAAGGAAGCAAGGGGCTAAGAGGACCGAGCCAGCCAGCTCGCTCCGAGGAACTCCCGTCCTAGGCAAAGAGGTGAAAACGTGCGAGATAGGCCGGCTGCCGAACGAGGTCTTGCTGCTCGTCATCGAAAACATGGACTTCGAGGAGCTGACCAGCTTCGCGGCGGCGTGGCCGAGGATCAGCCAGATCGTGGCGGACTTTGACGTGGTGCGGCAGCGCGAGCTGCAGTGCTTCTGCCTCAAGCGGAACTACCTGACGGTCAAGCTCGGCGTCGGCGTCTCGGTCCGGCGCGGGCACGTGGCCTCCGAGTTCGACCTGCTGTCGCAGGAGGCCTTCCGGCACTGGCGCATCCGCCGCTCGGTCAACCACATCGCCTTCGACCACTGGCTGCCGCTGCCCATCTCGCAGCAGCACTGGCGGCGCGTGCGCGGCGACGCCGCCGCCACGCTCGGCGCCGTGCGCCGGGGCCTCCGCGGCGGGCCCTCCACCGACGCCCAGGTCCTCTTCGCCTTCATGAACGACGTCGTCGTGCGGCTCAACGAGGTGGCCGCCGGCGCTCCCGATGGCGGCGCGGCGCGCAGCACCCTGCGCCACGCGTCCGAGAAGGCCATCGAGTCCTACTTCCACCTGTTCCACCTGCTCGTGTGCCTCGCGGCGGAGGACGCGGCGCTGGTGGCCGGCGCGAACGCGCTGCTGCGCAGCTTCGCCGCGGGGCGGCGCGCCAAGGCCGACTGCCCGAACCTCGGCCACCTGCTGGTGGCGCGGCTGATCTCGGACGTGGAGCCGAGCGAGGAGCTCACCAAGGCCATCGTGGTCGAGGCCATCACGCGCAACGTCGTCTGGCTGCTCGACCGCCGCGGCGCCGGCCTCGCCGAGCTCGCGTACCTCGAGGCCGACCCCGTCTCGCACTACCGCCTCGCGCGCACCTTCGCCGGCTCCCGCACCTCGTACCGCCTGCTCATGTTCGCGGAGCTGTTCCGGCGCACGGCGCGCCCGGCCTCTTCGGCGAGCGGCGGCGCCGCCGGACTGGCCCGCGTGCGCGACGAGCTGTTCGCGCGGCACGGAGCGCCGCCGCGCGGGGCCGCAGCGCGGCTCGCGGCCGAGGTGCGCAGGCTGCACGAGGTGTCGGACTTCCCGGCGTTCCTGCGCGAGATGGGGCTCGCGCAGGTGCCGAGCGCGGAGAGGTTCACCGAGGTGCTGCGGGACACGGTGCGCGCCAGCATGGAGAAGGGCTACTCGCGGTGGGGCGTGGCGCCGGAGATGGCGCTCGTTCTGCGGGCCCAGAAGGACCCCGGCCTGGCGATGACGCCGGAGATGCACGCCGTGGTGAAGAACCTGCGCGTCGCCGGCGTCAATCCTAACCGAAGCTTCTTCCCGAACGGCGACAGGTAGGGTTGATGGGTGTATGAATAATGGTGAGGAAACCTAGATAATCAGAACGGCCGGAATGAAGTGAATACTAGTAGGGGTTGGTGTTAAAAATTATTTGATAGATTAGCTATGAATTAATTAATACCCACCGGTATGTGTATTATTACTCTGCTGCTGTCCGCCACGTTGTTGTAGTTGTCCGAGCCAATGTCATTCCTACGGTACAGTCCTTAGCAATCCCCCCCCGACTCTGGCACTGTCACAAGAACGCCTGAGAAAGGAACCGACATCCTGGGTAAACTTCACGCTCCTCCTTGTAACTAATGTCTTATTGACTCTTGGGAGATGTATCGGGAGTCTGACTGTGTCCATGCGGATACATACTAGAGAGCAAATCGCCGCAATGGGGATGCGGGAGTCGAAGATAGCAGCGCTCTCGGGGTAGGCGTGTCGCTATAGACGTCAATTTTAGATACTCGTTATCTGAGACACACTTGAGCCGAGATTCAAATAATATCTGACAGCCCAGTGAGTTAGTCAGCGCTTCGGGTCCGAGAGGATCTCGCGTAATATCAACAGTTCTCGGCGGAATGCCTGAGTCACGGCCAAAATCTGCGGCGTCTGCGACGCCGAACCTCGTTTTCCAAGACTCTACTCATAGTGATTACTTCCCTCCTACACGCGTCGAGTTGATCGATGTCTCAAGAGTCGCGGAGAGGTGACACCAGACATTATTTATAACACGATAGCGCGACAGAATGTGGGACTAGGCCAGATCGCCAGTCGAACAGCGGGCTAAATATACCTTGGTATGATTCCTTTCAGTTGTAGGACTTGTCTGGGACTGTTTGGCTATAGCATTGCGATCCTAGCAGGGTCTCTGGACTGACTGGCATCGACAATTAATAATATAATAACATCGATGTGACAATATAGAAACCGAAATGGATGACCCATGGAATCGGCCTTGCTTACCCGCACTCGCGGATCCGACAGTGGCAACATTTCGGGTCAATGATAGAGTGAGTAATGAGTAACACCTACCAGCATGCCTTGCAAAAAGCCGAAACCATAGAAACAGGATTGTAGCGGCGCAGGTCGACATCATTAACTAGGTAATTAACCCCTCTCGACCGCGGCGACAATAGGCCCTGCTATTAGCGGCGTCGAGGGACTCTTTGCTCCGTCTAGAACACCTACTCGCCTCTCCTACGGCCAGCAGATCAGAAATACCAACCCTGTCCTCCATTTTATGCCGTGCCAGGGAACGATGCGAAGAAGTGCGGGGTGCAGCTGGAGGCGTCGCGTCCGGTTGCTATTAAACACCATATGAGCGACAGCGGCGAGGGATCCCACTGAGACATAGGGAGGGTGGTAGGACGCGAGAAGGCGAATACAATACCTACCTGTAAAGAACATACCCAGCAAGTTATATATGGAAATCAGTACTATTATTCTACGTAGGTAATAAAATACGCATGACTACGTATACGTGTGCGCGAAGAACCCCCTCATCGCCTCGCCTCGTCAACTGCCGACTTGGGCAGGAAGGAGAAGCTATTTATTCTCAGAAGACAGATTCGATCCTGGTGCCTGGCCGTGCCGATCCCACCGACCCCAACCATCTACTTAACATCTGCTCTGATCTGACGACCCGGCCCAACTAGGTAATCCACCAGCAGGCTCGGTCTCTGCGCTGCGCACGATCTCCATCGCCCGACGAAAAGACCCAGGGGACCCGTTTAGAGTTGCGCGTCCTGGGGAGGAGCCGCGATGCATGGATCCCCGGCTGCGTTGTGCTGCCGCACGCGATGCGACAGAGGCAGGGGGGAAGGGGGAGGGTATCCTCCTCTTCCCAGGTTCGGTTGGGGGCCGCGAAGGGCCCAGGTCGCGACGATGGGGCCGACGGGGATGGCGGGATGGAGGGGAGGAATCGGTTCGCATTGCGGATCCTGGGGCGAGGGACCTGCGCGCACGCGCACGAAGGTAGGTAGGTAATCATACATATCATGGAAATGCGCGGAGGCGCGTATGAGATAACGCACCTCGGTGAGCTTCGGGACCGGTCAGGCGCCCAATATAGCCAGCTGTGCCCGACCTGGCATTTCCTCACCGGCACCGCAGCAGCCAGGCCTCGGCGTACTTATCCCGCAGCCACGAATATACCTACCTACGCCGTATCTCTCGAATACGCCCGTCGTCCGCCGGTGGACTTGCCCCTGTCATCCCGCCCCGCCGTCGCCCATCATGAACGTCTTACTTGCCCGATGCGGAACGTGGCTGTCTCTCCCTCATGCCCAGAACGGGAACCCCTTCACTGCCCATCGACTTGCGCCGCACAAGTCGCCCTGGTTTCCTTATCCGTCTCTCACCAAGTACTTATCCCGCGCGGCTTACGTACCTGTGTGCGGCTGAAGCGTTTCCGTCGCAGTCAGCACGTTTAGGGCTCGCAGGGACCCCTATTTTACCTACCTCCCCCCCCGACTGCCCTGTGCCGCCGCCCCGATCGTTGCGGAATACGACGCAGAAGGCCGTCGGATCTGGGTGAGACGACGTTACCTACGTGCCCCGTCTCACAGCGTAAGGCTTAGAGCGATCCACCATGTCGGGACAAGGTCTCTCGCGTTACGATGACGCCCTCCCCTCCCGCACTCCCATCTCGACGACGACCGGGCTAAGACAGATCGCCCGCAGGGTCCAACCGACCGCGTCGAGCGAAGCCAGGCTGCCCTGCCCCTGGTCTCTCCCTCGATCCTCTGCCGCACCCCGCCCCAGTCCCCGTCTGCTGCCGCCTATTCTCTCAGCCCTACCAGACCGCGAGCACTCGACCTACCTACCTATACATACGTAACGTCTGCCTGCCTACCCCCCTTCGCAGCCGCAACCCTGCCCGAATCCTGAGGCCATTGCCGGACAGGATATCCAACGCTGAACGTCGCCAGAATGCCCTCGCTCGGCACTATGCCCTCGCCGCCGGGGCACAGCGCCGTCATCGCTGACAGGGGAGGGCGTTCATATGCACGCCGCGTCTCCAGACTCGGGCCGCGACAATCGTCCCCTTCGCGTGGCCCGCACCCTCGCTGGGCCGCGCCCGGTGGGACGTTGGGGGCGTTGAAGCTCGGTTGACTAGGAGGAGGAAGAGGAGGAAGGGGCACCGCGCCCAGCTCTCGCGCTCTGCTAGCTATACGCGGCGGAGGCCCAGGGATCGAGTCCCGGCCGCGGGGCGACTTGCACGCGAAGACATATGCCTCTGCCTCCGTCGTCCTTGGCTACCTGCCCGCGCTGAGGGCGAGCACGTCGCGGGACCTACTTAAGCCGCCGCGCTCCCCCGCCCCCTGGTGCCTTGTCTTCTGTCCGCCAGCGTCGACAGCGGGACCACCAGACTACCACGCACGCATCTGTCTACTCCGAATCGTGGCCTGTACTCGCGAGCCTATCCAGATCGTCGTCTGAACTTAGTATATCCTCCTCCTTGCCACCAACACAGACACTCTCTCCCTCCCCCCCTCCCCTCCCTCAATATCTCTCCCTCTTCCCATCCACCATGCCCCCCTCCCCCTCCCACCCCCTCCGCGTCGCCATCCTCGGCGACTCTCTCGCCGGCGCCTCCCTGCTCCGCGCGCTAGCGCCGCACGCGCACGTCGCCGCGGAGCTCCTCTGCGCGCGGCCCGCGCCGCGGGACGAGGGCCCGGCGGTCGCGCTGACGCGGGGCGCGCGGCGGGTGCTGGGCGCGCTGGGGGTGCCGCCGTCGTCCGCCTTTCCCGGCGCTGCGCCCGCGCGCGTGCGCGTCGCCGCCGGCCCGCACGCCGGGCGCGACGTGCTCGTTAGCGGGCCCGAGGACGGGGGCGCCGCGGCGTCGCGGCGCGCGCTGCTCGACGCGCTGCTGGCGGGCGCCACGCCGCCGCACGCCGTAAGGGTCGGCGCGCGCGTTGTCGGCATCGAGCCGGCCTCCCCGGGCACCGCGGCGCTGGCACTGGTCTTCGCCGACGGCGCGCGCCGCGCGTACGACGTGGTGGTCGCGGCGGACGGGCTGCACGGGGCGGGGCGCGCGCAGGTGCTTGGGCTCGGGGGCGCCGCCGCGGCGGGGGGCCTGCGCGACACCGGGTACTGGGGCGTGCACGTGGAAGTGCCGGCGGGCGAGGCGGCCGGCGGCGAGGAGCGCGCGACGTGGGTGGGTGCGGGGACGGCGCTGACGCACGGCGCGGTGGACGGCGGCGGCGCCGTCGAGGTCGCGGTGTACGGGCGCGCGGCGGTAGCGGCGGTGGAGGGCGAGGACGCGGCGGCAGCGGCCTGGGCGCGCATCTTCACGCCCGACGAGTTCCGCGCCCTGTTCGCGCGCAGCAACTGGGTGCCCGAGTGCCGGGGCCTGGTCGAGGTGAGTCGCTTCCATCCCCCCGCACATCATACGCTCCGTCTGACCCCTCGCAGCTCATCCAGCGCCGCTACACCGTGCACGTCACGGCGCTGAACCAGCTCGCGCCGCCGGCGACGCCGACCTTCGCGCCGTCCGACGCCCATGCCGCCGCGCTCCTCGGCGACGCCGCCCTCACCATCCTGCCGTTCCCGCCGGCCGCGCCCGTCGTCGCCGCGCTGCAGCAGTCGCTGGTGCTCGCGGCGGTGCTCGCGCGCGTGCCCTCGGCCGCCGCCGCGCCGCTCGCCCTGCGCGCGTACGACCGCGTCGTGCGCCCCCGCGCCGAGCGCGCCGCTGCCGACGCCGCTGCCGCCGCCGCCCTGCTGACTGGCACCGCGCCTGGCGTCGGCACGGACGCCGAGGCGCTCGGCGCCGCGCTAGCAGCGCTCCGGGCCGACGAGCCTGCCGACGACGTCGAGGCGCTGATCCAGGAGGGCCTGGGCGTACTCGCCGAGTTGCTGCACGGGGGGCAGTAGGAGGCTCACGGTGTTCCGGAGACAAGGTGTCACGATACGTTTTGCGTTTTTCCAGCCCCGGCGTTTCCGCTTCCGTTTGTTTTCCCATCGCCCCTTTTCTTGGCCGTACGTGTCACCAGCCGCCCCTGGCCGGTTGACCCACTGGGTTTGCGGGCTGTGGATGACCGTTGCGCTGTTTCCACGGCAACTGTTCCTACGAAACTACGGCGCCTGGGAGTTGGGGGATCGCAAGGTGAATTCTAAAGTCAGGAGGTGGCATACCATTAGTTACCTAGTCAATCTGCGGGGGTATGAAGTATATGATAGAGGTGGACCCGGCGAGTGCAGAGTTACGATTATAGACTTACGATAGAACATGATGGAATGCAAATACAAATAGAAATTTCCTTTTCGCAATTAGACATCGATGAGAGAGCCTTTGGCGACCTGTCGAACGGAGTCAGGGCGTCGCTCATCAGTCAGATAGCCAGTCGTCCACTCCGACCTAATAACAGCCCACAGTCCATAATACTATGTCTTTCTGCCTGTGGACATTAAAAGCGAAGGAGACAGGGGGAGACTACACGGAGCGCAGCCGAGACTGCGTACCACGGTAGCCTCACACATTGACAACCAACCCGACTTCGTCGCGTAGGATACTTCCCCGGGCACTAGAGTATATAGTCTAATTATGTGCTGCAGTTAGACCATCCATCTACCTATAGAGCGGCGACTTTCTACTGCCGATACGAGGGGGGCAACTCGATTCGAGGTTCCCGTTCGTAACCAACCCCCTCCCCTCTCGCATCTCTGGACCAGTAAGTCACATCGTCTATTTCGCTTCTCATCTCTCCCCAAGCTCCTTTGCCACGTTTACACTGTGCGTGCCAAGCCAAAAGAAAAACAGGTAAAAAAAAACAACGTGAGCTGGGTATTTCGCGGCCGCTTCCCCCCACTAACCATTAGACGAAAAGTGCATGACAAGCGTGCGTGTATTCGCCTGCCGGGGTATCATTTTCTTCCTCCAATTTCGGTTCCTCACCTTCTAATAAAGTAACACCCCCCCCCGTGAGTCTTCCGGTGGAGAAACCAGTATCCTCTTGCTCGCCGAGTTTCCTTCTCCTCCCACGCCGCGTCGACTGAACCCTAAGCTTTCGGGATGCGTATTTCGCGACGGTGCAGTCGGCGCGCCGCGGTGGCAGGCGATGCCTAAAAATGCAATAGTTCGCTAACGCCTCGCTGCCGTATCATCTCGGCTTCGTATTCGGTATCCGAAACATCCGGGAAAAGATATTACGTCTCACGTATCCTGCCCAGTGTACCTCTTCGTAGTCGCGGTGTATTTCTCCAGCAACGACAAATCATCTCAGGCTCTCATCACGCCTATTATAGAGGCGCGAACCCTGCCTCCTCGAGCTTTTGACCCTCCGGCAGCATCGGACGGCCCTGCATAGGAAACGGCCAGAATAGGGGGTTCTCGAGGTTTTTGGCGGCACGCACCGACGGACCCTTAGCGCGTCCGCGTGGCGGTCTCGGTACTGGGTCTCGATCTCCCCCATGCTTCTTGTGCATCTCTCCGATAAGCTCTTCCGTCTTCTCCCCTCCGCTAGCACGGGCAGGCCTAGTCGGCGAATCGTACGGCTTCTGAGGACCCTCGGGCCCGCCTACGCTGCGCGTGTTCCAAGCGCACAGGAAATCCTCCTCGTCCACATTCGGCGCGAAGAAGTTAAGACTGCTAGTCGCTGGCCTGGTGGACTTGTCTATCTCCTCTGGGACGCTGGGGTCTCGCGGGATGTCTACGTCAATATTCCATTTCTTCGCCAGGTACTGTAGGATGTTGAGCGCTTGATGGGCGAAGTGATGACAAGGTTCCATCTCCGTCAAGTGGGCGATGCCCTGGCTGAGGGCTTCGGCCACCTTCGGGCTCAGCTTCGCCGTAGTTGCACTCGACGGCGACGTCGGCTCGGGTTCATTCCTATTTATGGACGACGAGAGCGGGTTGTCCTGCTCCGTATGGTGATCGTCGAGTTTGACCGTCGATGGATTCGAGGCCGCGGCGGGCGAGGTCGAGTGCCCCCTCGAAGCTTCTGCGCCGATGGCGAGGTGCATGATGGAGGAGGTCAGCACGAAGTACGGCACGAAGGACGGCGTGCGGCGGAGGGTGTACAGCTGTGAGTATGACCGGAGAAGGCCCTGGATAGCGTCCGCGGCCTGGGCGCAGACGTCTCGAGGGAGAATCCCCGAACCGATGATCCGCAATTTTATCAAGGGCCGAAATAAGAGCAGAATGGCAAAATGGTAGTACATGCTGGAAGAGACGGGTAAGCAAGATACGAATCAGGCCACACCATCTCGTGCCGACACTCACTGCGCGAAAAGGACAGCGGGCGTGAAGTTATGCCCTAGTCGTAGTACCTCCGGAATCCTGTCGTACCAATTGAGATATTGGGTGTATATGCCGAGAAGGTCACGGCTTGTCACCGGCTTCCCAGGGGAGTGGAGAATGTATAGCGACTGATGGACAAGCTCGCTGAGTTCGCAGAAGCACTTGTAAACAGACCGAACGTTGGACGGTTGCTCGCAGGATCGCTGAAGAGGAGTGCCTATAAACCCAGTCAGACCCTGCCCGCTATTGCCAACCCGAGCTGCGTAGGAGGTACCATCGTCGGTGTACGGGATCCACAAAGATGCCTCTATATCGTCGATGATCTCGGGTTTGGGCGGCAAGTGCGGAAAGCAGGAACACTGTGGCAGGGAGCCGGTCGCCAGAGACCATGCACTTCGGATACGTTAGCCAACATAGCTGGTGTCGGCGACTGGGTGGGCTTACTGGTCTAAGGCGAAGGCGCCCCAGAAAGTTGCGGCTTGCACCGCTATCTCATCCTCGTCGTCGCCGTCGGGCTGGAGGCGGTGCAGCCCCATCTCGAAAGCCAAGCGTATGCTCTGGCCGGCGTAGAACCAAGACTCCGAGTCTCTTCCGCAACTCGCCTCTCGAATGGACATGATCCCCAAAGCTTGGATCGTGGTTAAGTTGTGGTGGTTGGTCTCCCCGTAGAAGAGCGCCAAGGCTTCTTGGAAGAAGTGGTCGCCGGCGGTGCGCGGATCGTTCGAGTTCGCCCTCGTGTTGGGTTGCGTCGAGAACCGGCAGCCCAGCGCCAGCAACGCATTGACTAGGATCGGAGAGCAGTACCGACTGCGGCCGTTGAGGAAATCCTTCATGAAATGTTCCTTGCTGAGAGAGGCGAACGTGGGATACTCCCAACAGAAGTAGAGGGCGAGGAGGTGCTGGACCAAGGCCGCGTCGGCGGTGACTATGGTCCATGTTCCCGGCGGTACCTTCATGTCCGGGGAATCCAACGGCGCCAATACTTGATCGACCCCCCGATAGCGAGGCCCGTCCGTCGTCACCGCCGCGGCGGACTGATCTTGAAGCCACACGCCGACCCGCGAGTTCGGGGGCCCTTCGGACGGCGTCCACTGCATGAGGTCGGGATGGGAGTCGCTTCGCGTCGACACGGTCTGGCTGTGGGATGAGAAGTTCCAAGGGCTATTCGAGTCGAATTCCTGGGGCATACCGGGAGCCTGGGCCGTAACGGGGCTCATCCCGATCCCTCCGTAGGCGCCCGCGCCGGGGATGGCTCCTCCTCCGTAGGTCGAAAGCGTCGGTAGCGTGGCGCCGCCCCGTTCGCCGGCGCGCGCAAAGCCAGCCAGCGCGCCGCCGGCTGTACGGAAGGTGGTACTGCGACCCAGCCATTCGGAAATGCCTTCGACAGACTGCCCTTGTCGCAATCTCTGCAGAACCTCCTCGACGAGATCGGGCCGGACGAGGGCGGAAAAAACCGAATCGCTTTGCCGCTGCTGACGCCGCAGAGCCTCGATCTCGTGGCGCAGGTGTTCCTTGGATTGGCGCACCGGGATCTCGTATATACACTCGACGTCCTTTTGCGCCTTGCACCGGCCACACGGCTTCTGCCCGTCGCACTTAGCGCGCTTCTTTCGGCATTCGGTACACGCATTAGGGGTCACGACGCCGATGCCCCTTCTCCGCTTCGATAGCTGGGAGTTTGAGGGTCCAGGAGCAGGTCCCGACGAGCCGGAAGCGGCAGGAGGTTCTATTTTCGGAGCGGGCATCGAAGAAGAGGGCGTCTGGCCAGCGGAAAGGCTGCTATGGGACTCGCTCTCCATCGCAGCCGGTTGAAGCGGGTAGAGACAAGGCTCGGACAAGAGGCGAGGCAGAGTGAGACATAGGTATAACAGCAGACACACAAACCTTCCGGCCGGCACCGTCAGATAGGCACAAATTCTAATGAGAGGCCCGTCGCCTAGTAGCGATAGGCCGAGGAAGAGAAGCGCCTGAGGAGGATTGGCTCGAGGGCGTGCGTGGACGGGCGCGCATGCGTACCAGACTAGAGCTCCCCTAGAATCGAGGAGAGGAAATGAAGGCGGCGTGGGGCAATTTCACCTGGCTTGTTATTGGGCTGGCGGGCGCGGTGGACGGGGGTATCCCGCAATGCGACAGTGCTATGCACAGCGGAACCCGTAGGGGCTTGGAGGGTCTGCGTCTTGGGAGCCGAGGCTACGGAAGCGTATGGTATAGCACAGCTGCCAGCCATATAGGTACGGGCAAGATATATGTCTATTCGCGGGGATCTACCGGCTCGAGCGGGTAGCAGGGACGTCGACGGGGCAGGCCAGCGGGGAGGCCAACAAGCGGGTAGATACGGACTCGAGGGGGAATATCAACGCGACGCAGCAGCAGAGGCAGGAGTTGACATGTATCGCATCGGCACGAATATGTATACGGGCGGGCATAAGAAGCGTCGATGCATGGCGGGAATTGGAGAGGACGGAGGGAGTGAGGATAAGAGAGGGAGAGGGAGAGAAGGAGAAGAGAGAGAGAGAGAGAGAGAGAGATAGGCAGAGGAAGAGAGTGGAAGACGGGCCAAGCCCCAGGTCCCGGGCGGCCCTGTCGAGGTCGGGTGGTAACGACCGGATGACGGGCTTGTGCGCTAACTCGAGTGCCTGGTCGTGCCGGAAGTAGGTACGTACAGGGGCACACAGGTAACGTAGGTAGGTATATACCTATAACAACCTGTCCTGTACAAGTGGCGAGTGGCGAGTGACGAGTAACGCGCCGCTGTTTCTGCTGCTGTGCTATGAACACCTATGCAGCGGGCTCTCGGGGGCCTTGACTGGGTTAGGCAGTGACAAGAGAGGCGGCGGAGGTATGAGGCTATGAGGTGGGAGACAGCGCGTTTTACCCGCCAGCCTACGCGAACCTACCCATGCTGCGGGGAGGACTGGGGGGGGGCGGAGAGCTGAAGGGACAAGACGGGCGCGGTGACGAGTAGAGGGTGCTCAGTAGAGAGCAGCAGTAGAGAGCGAGCACCGGGCGAGGGCGGCAGAAGAAGGACGGACGGATGGCTTGGCCTACTGAGATCAGGGTGGCGGAGGTTGGGGGGTGGTCGGGTCGTTACGCTGACATACCTGCCTACATACCTCCTACCTACCTACCTACATACATACATACGTAGACGGCTGACGATGGCCCGCCCCAGGTCCCTTTCTCCAGACAGACGCCGCGGATACATGACCTGCGCCTAATGCGACCGGCCAGGAGGGCAGGCTCAGGCTGGGCACCCAAGACGATGGTGGCATTCACGTGTCGGCAAACGATGGGCGGCGGGCGGGCGGGCGATGTCGCGCCCGGGTGGCACGCTGCGTAGTAGGAGTGCAGGATCGCCACACTAGCCCGAGAAGAGGCGACCGGTCAGGGAGACGGACCAGGGGAAGGGCGAGGAAAAAAGGAAAAGCGACGAGCAGAGGATAGGAAAGTCAGAGAAATCCATTTCCCGCCGCATGGGCGGTTCAGGTGCCGACATGGGGGGGGGGTGCCACCTTTACGCAGGTAAGACTCGGAATATCTACACGGCGCATACGACAGAGGCGGGTATAGCCACTCCACTCTCCGTAAGGCCCGGAATGGGGAGGCGAAAAAGCCAAGGCGAAGCCACGAGAAAGGGAATGGGGGGGGGGAAAAGGGGGGGACGGCGACATTCGAAGCGGCAACTGACGAGATCTAGGCCCGGAAGAGAGTGGGAAAGGAGAGAAGGGAGAAATATGTATATATAAAAAAAAAAGAAAAAAAGAAATAGGTGACCGGCTCCATATGCTGGCTATTATTACCTTAGGTACCTTCTTACTATAGCTGTAAGCACGGCGGGAGGAGAAGGCAATGTATAGGGTAGGTATGTGGGTGTAATAGAGGTAGGGATGCACTAACCACCTGAGATGGTGGCGCCCCTATACGGGGTTTAGGTAGGTGCCTTGGGTGCCTTAGGTACCTCTAGAGGTACCTAAGGTAGGCATAGGTAGGTACATGACATGCTGAGACAACCTAGCCGCACCGCGCCCCGCCGGCCCAGACACCTATCTCTTGCGGCGGCGAAAGGGAGGCAAGAAAGGAAAAAAAAAAAAAAAACCACAGCATCGCCTTGGCATCCAGCAACGAGCCGTCGCCTCCTCGCCGATGATGGGTCCCCCATATCTGAGGCACCCTCATCTGTGCAAAATGCGGTTCCGAGCGGGTGGGGTGCTTGCTGGTCGCGCGCCCCCCGTCGGGTCTGCCCCCCTTGCGGCGTAGCGCCGTCGGCCAAGTGGCGCGCCGCGGTGGCGTCTTCGCCCATCGCGCCCCGCTGATTGGCCCCCCTCCCCGCCCTGCACCGCGGAGACCTGAGCAGCTCCTCTTCTGCTTCCTGCGCGACCCCGGGTGGTGCATTCGCCTGTCTGGCCACGCTGCCAGAATACGCCGTGATAGGAGTTCTGGTGCTGCTGCTGCTGCTGCTGCTATTGCTATGCCCGTCTCCCTGAGCCGATTGATCCTCATAACGTGCTACAGCACGCCCAGAGCTACCTACTACCTACCTATAACGCACCCATGCGTTACCCTGCCGGCAAATGTACATATAGGATGCGGTAAGCATTGTGGTCGCCGATATCATTTTTTCCCTTCTTCCACTCTTTCCTTGGCTTTAGGGGCTAGGACCCCGGCCCATTTCCTGCATACCTATGTATGGCTAACCCCCAAATGCCCGGTTACGATAGAGAAGTCCAGGACAGGCCCGGGACAGAGGCCCAGGACAGGCTCAGTACGTAGGTACGGGGCGAGGGAATGCGTCATAGTTCGTACCCTGAGCCGAAGCGAGACAGCCGTTGTCGGTACGAGCCATCGTATATTCGGACGTCCTAACTGTCGCCACGACCTGGGAGCACGCTAGTAGGTAGTTAGGAAGAGACAGCCCTCCCTTGTACCGAGAGAGGTAGGCGTACAGGTGCCTGCTCTCCTGATACCACCCGGAGCCAGCAGGCAAGCCGGGGAGCCTCATCTACCTCAGGGTATATATATAGCACCCATAGAATTATCCGTCCCTCGAGACGGTACCCTGAAACGTCACTCCAACGCATCCTATATATCAGAGTCAGGGAAACTAAACAAGGGATCTACATGGCATAGTACCTACTATCATGGCCCAGCGTGATCGCCGCGACCCCAATCGCGCTTAGTCGCTTCGTATCCCTGCGGCGAGTGCAATGTCTAGTTTCGACGTGGCGAAAAAAAAAAAAAAAACGTGGGCGCGATTAGGAAGACTCGAGGGGGTACGCTAAGGATAAGCCGACGAGATCAGTGAGGGAGGGGCACGATGGGTAGAGATAGTTGAGTCCCCCTTATCCTATCCCCCTTGTATTTTTTCGTCTATTTAGCCTGCTCTACCCTAGTCCTCGCAATGCTATCCAGGTGTGCCCGAAACCCCTTGCTCCTAAACGAGCCATATTGGCGTGCGCAGCGTGCAAGTGCCTTTCCTATATACCCATCCTACTCCGACTTCGACCCCTCCAGGTACGAAGCGGAAGGGGGTATTGCTTGGCTTGCTCGCTACACGGCTGCCCTCTTCTTACACAGGCAGATGCCGCCTACCCTTCGATGCCCAACTAGCCCGAGCCGGATTTAGCCTAGTAACGCTTCGTAGGACTCCGGTTGTTCTTTGACGGGCTCCTGGCGCGGTCCCTACCCTTCGAGGGGCTCCGTCGGAGCGACACCGGCGTCTCGGGTGGCGGCAGCGACGGGAATCCGCGCGGCGACCCGGTTGTCTCCGGCGTTTCCGGCGTGTCCTCCTCGTGGTTGATCATGTGCCGCGATCGCGAGCGGTGCGGCGTCTGCGGCGCAATCGCCTGCCAGTAAACCTGCTGCGGGAGCGGCGGCGCCGCCGCCACTGCGTGCGACGGATATGGCGCTGCGGGGGGCGAACGCGGGAACTCGGCGAACGCGTTCGTGCTCTTGTACAGCGACCGCCCGCTGAATATGAAAATCGTAAAGAGCAGAACAAAGAGAGCCTGGTTAATTTCCGGAGACGTTAGCTAGCTAGATCAGATGTAGAAAAAGCGCCCTTCTTGCCACCGTGTTCGCGTTTCCCAACTTACGATGGTCTTGTAGGACATCGTGTCAACGATACCGTTGACGATCTCCATAATTTCCTTGGCGCCGATGGACATCTGCTTGAGGTGGTCTGGGTTTTGTTGCATGCAGGCGTACCACCGGTCGCACAGCTCGTACATCGCCGGCAGCCGCTGCTCCACCGGGAAGCACTTGTTCTCGCGGTAGTCGGACGCGCACTTGTCGATCTCCGAGAGAATGTCAGCCCGTAGCGCCGCCCTGGCCGTAGCGAAATCCTGCCGCAGGCCGGCAATGACAGCCCAGCCGATCCAGCACGACGCCAATACGCAGAAGAGATTGAACCCGAGGGTAAGCCAGTAGCCTAAGATGCTAGGGGCGTAGGGGTGGCGCTGCACCGTGGCGAGGAAATTTCCGAACCAGCCGTTCCCACGCTTCTCCTGGCCCTTGCGGGGTTTCCGAGGCTGGAAGGTGCTCTCATCCGACTCATAATCAGACTCGTCGTACTCGTCCGGCTGGATGTACGGCAGGCGGTAGCCGCTGATGTCCCTGTCGCCGTTATATCGTTTCCTCTTGCGCACCTTGTCCCGCGATGCAAAGATCGTCTTGGGTATCTCGCCTTTGCCTGGCGTCTTCTTGGTGGGGGACACCCTCTCCCGGTTCATGGTGGCGGGCGTTACTGTCATCCGCCCCATGTCGTACGATCGGTCGTTCTCGGGTGTGTCGATAAAGTCAGACACGTCGGTGATGGTCGGGCTGTCTTCGGAGAGCGCATCGATGTCGAAGGGCCTACGTGGGGTGGTGAAGGCGGGATTTCGGAAAGGGGGCGCCGCGGCGGTTCGGGATAGGGCAGAAGTAGAGAAGATAGATCGCAGCGGGCTTTGCGAAGGCTTCGACTGAGAGGGCGTGCTCTGGGCACGATAGAAGGGATTGCGGCCAAAGGCACTGATGGCGTTGTTATCATTATTGCCATTGCTCGCGCTGGAGTGGGATTTGGAGCCGCCGTCGTTATCGTTCATGCTGGCTGAGCTAAAGACACCTACACAATTGGTGGTATTAGCGCCGGGCTTCTCGCGACGCTCCTCCATCGTGCCACGGCCGGGGAGCAAGTCGGTGCAGGAGTTCTGATTACTTTTCTTGGGGGTGTGCTTCGTCGACTGCGCAAACGGGCTCGAGGGATCCATGGGGCCATGACTCTGGTATTCCCAGTCCATGGGAGATTCATATGTTCGCCGGTCCATCCCTCCTATCGCTGGTAGTTATCCACCGGCGGATGTGCACACCGCCGCCGTATTCTTTTTAGGCAGGAGTGCCAAGAGCGAGTCGAAGGGAAACGTGGACGTTGGGACCTGAGCTGGCAACGTTGAATGGCTCTGGGGCGCTGCGGGCGGCCAATACGCGACTCAACGGGTCTTTATTCTCGAGGGTCGGAACAGGGAGGGAGCAGTTCCCGTTGGCAACCGGTGCCAAAAGTAAACAAATCAAACCAAGCACCGGACTATGTCAACCAGCAAGGCGCCACAACAAAGCCACACATATTCTGTGGAACCCCCACACAAGCGGATCCATCCGATTTCTGGTGGACGGGATGCCCCACTTCAGCTAGGGAGGCTTAGCTAATCAGGGACGGGGACGGGAAGGTTGAGAGGCGACGAGTTAGTACCCAAGTACTTACCTAGGAAGGTGACTAATGAGAGGTACGCGTGCATGTACTCCTTGTACCTCGAATCTTTCACACTCCTGGTCATGATAGCATTCCAATAAATCAATCCATCCCTCTCCCTGCCAACATTCGGCGGCAACCTCATTCATCAGCATCAGCATCACCAATCCCTCGTCTACACGTCACGAAAGAGCTTCGAATTTCATTTCCCTTTCGTTCCCACAGTTTTCTTATCTTCGTCCGCTCAAGACTCTCCGAGTGCCTGGGGACAGCCTTCTCTGTATTTGCACCGCCTCCCCTGCTCCCTACCTAGTCCTTTGAGAGGCGAAGAGACGGCCACAGGACCAGAAGAGGTTTTTCGCGATCCCATCACCTCCATCGGCCTTGCGCCCGGGACCAGTCGGCCTCGCGCGAATCGGCAATGTCGGACTCGGGTTCCGCCGCGGGGGGCGGCTCGCCCGCCCCGGCCAGGAGCCAGGACGAGCGTCGCCACAAGCACGACGATTCGGACAAGGACTCGGACGCGCTGTCGGACATCGACGAGGACCAGTTCGACGACTACGACCCGGCCACCGCCCGCATCGACGAGAAGCGTCCCGAGCCCAAGGTCATCGACGAGGACGCCGCGCGCACGCTCAAGGCCTCTAAGAGAAAAGGCACGGCCACGAAGAAGCCCAAGGAGGGCCGCCGTGAGAAGAAGCGCGCGCGCGACCGCGATGACGACGGCGCCGACGGCGAGATCCTGACCAGCAAGCGCGTCCGCAAGGCCCCGGGCGGCGGAGCTGACGAAAGAGAGGCGTCGTCCGAGCCCGAGAAGGAGGAGAACCTCACGCCCGAGGAGCGACGGCGCCGAGCGATCGAGCGCGCAGCTAAGAACCAGGTCAAGCCCAAGGGCGTCCGGAGAAAGAAGAAGGACGAGGTGGTGCGTCTCCGCCCGCGTTTTTTTTTCCCGCCCCGCACCCATCCTCTCTCTACATACTAACCGAGCGTCCGGCTATGTAGGACCTGGAGGATGAGCTGGACGACCGCATCGCGGACCTGAAGGTGCGGATGGAGAACGCGTGCCAGGCGGACAACCAGGCGCGCGACGCGAACCAGCCGGCGCTGCACAAGCTGAAGCTGCTGCCGGAGGTGATGGCGCTGCTCAACCGCAACAACAACCAGGCGGCGGTGGTGGACCCGGACACCAACTTCCTGCAGCACGTCAAGTTCTTCCTCGAGCCGCTCAACGACGGCTCCCTCCCGGCCTACAACATCCAGCGCGACATCTTCCAGGCCCTGACCCGCCTCCCCATCGAGAAGGAGACCCTGCGGTCCAGCGGCATCGGCAAGGTCGTCCTCTTCTACACCAAGAGCAAGAAGCCCGAGGTCGGCATCAAGCGCATGGCCGAGCGCCTGCTCGGCGAGTGGAGCCGCCCCATCCTCAAGCGCACCGACGACTACAAGAAGCGCCGCGTCGAGACGCGAGACTTTGACTACGAGTACGTTCTCCCTACCGTCCCACCTGCCCAACCCATCTTCCATCCACGCATCCACCCGATCATCCACCCCCCCTGCCACATTCAACATACCTTTTTTAGTTTATTTCTAATCGCAAACCTCAATCGCACAGGGCGGCCAAGCTGCGCCAGGTCACGGGCGCGAGCAGCCAGCTGACGCTGAACCAGCGGTCGGCGCTGCAGCAGAGCTCGCAGGCGGCGGAGCGGCAGCGCATGCTGGCGCCGGCGAACCAGACGAGCGCAGCGCGCGTCACGGGCATGCCGGCCACGTACACCATCGCGCCGCGCAGCACCTTCGACCCCGCCCGCGCCCCCGACTACCGCCCCATCGGCGCCGGCGGCCTCGAGGCCTTCCGCAAGATGACCCAGCGCGGCAAGAAGAAGGGCTAAGGTCCGCGCCGGCGCCGGAAGTAGTAGTGGTGGTGGTGGTAGCGGTGGTGGTTAGGTGCGGAGAGGAAGGGAGGACATCAAGAAGGATGGAGCGAGCGAGAGAGAGAGAAATACAAGGGGGGAAGCAAGGGCAATGCATAGACAGAGGTTAATGGATGTGTTAGTTAATACTTCTGGCTCGCTAAATTAGTGGTATCCCCCGCCTCTTTTTTTTTCCCGGCCTTCCTCTTCTCTCGCCCCCTTCTCCCACCTGGGGACGCAGCACGCTGCCGTGGCGTGAAGCGAAGTGAAGCGAAGTGAAGCGAAGCGAAGTGTACGAGAGAGGCCGACGTATTAGTATGATTACAGATCGACAACCTAAACCTACGTCGACGACTGACTGACTGGCGGGGCGGGTGGACGGACGATGGACGGGTTAGGCAAACGGGCAAGGAGAGGAGCGGATGTTTTTTTCTTTATTGTTTTCTTTTGCTCCGCAGCGTCGCACCAGATGATTTCCGTTCCCGCCTTATTTCTTCCCGTCCGCGTGCGCGCGCGCGCGCGTGTATGTGATACCGTCTATCTATACTCGGTGTTCGTTGCATCCATCGGGACAAGACATACCGCGCGTCCCCCGTCGTACAAAGCACCTACCTCTACTCTTCGGCCGGGCAACGCGAAGGGAGCTAACGCCGGCATCATCCGGTGGCCGCATCATGAGTGATATGTGCGTATGGTAGGTATAGTTTAAACGTGTGCTTCCCGTGGCGGCAGTACCCGTTAATAGTTAACCTAATCCCCTAACCTATTCTCCTGCGTAGGGCGCGTTAGAGTCTCCAGAACCCAGCTACTATCCCGGCTAAGAGGATAGGAGGATCGTTGATCGTGGTGATGTTCGACAAACGCCGGCACGAGTGTCTAGGTACCGGACAGGTAGACCGCGGTTTCATCTGATCGGATCTTACACGTCTACTCTACCTCGGCTTACCGGTGCACCTCGGGGATTACACAGTGATTTGGCGTCTAGAGGCGGTGGTAGAAGGGGGACTAGGAGAGAGAGACAGGGAGAGAGAGAGAAAACAAGGAACAGAAAAAGAGCTGCTTGGAGGTAGTCAAGTTCTACTAGGGCACAGTTGGCGCATGTATACCTCCATCCTCGCTCTATCCATTATACGCTGGTTGGGGAGAAGACGAAGAGGACGGAAAATAAAATGGCAATCAAAACAGGAAAAACGCAGAAATCGAAGCCAACTCAAAGTATAATGAAACATGCCCCAGGCTCTGACCAACGGCCGTTGCGACTCCGGGACTTTCGTTTTCTCGTTTCTTTCTCTCTCGCTTCACTTTGTCTTCTCACGCGCACGCACACGCTCGTGTCCACTCACCCTCCTTCAGCTCGCGCATTCGCAAATCGTCAGATCGAACCCGTCTATGTTGGATTGTTTTCCTCGGCAAAAGAGGGTCCGATCTTGCTGTCAACAGATACTATAAAGTCCGAGGGATCATTACCGCTGAGAGCGAGGGGTGGCCCGCGGGCATCCTCCTACCGCTTCTTCACCTCGTTGGCCCATCCTTCGATTCCCTCACCTCTACTGCCCGGAGCGATGCCTTCCAGCTTGACATCTTCCATACCCGGGGTATCATTCAACCAAGAATGATTAGACATACCGCCCGCGTTGGCCCGCCTCTCAGGGAGCAGCTCCAACATTGGCAGTAGGAATTCGGATACCTCGGAAGGTTGGTATTCCAGCGAAGATTCATCATCTGCGAAAAGATCCTCCACAGCCTCCTCGTCCTCGCCAGCCTTCCTCGCCTCCATCTTAGCTTTGGCCTTCGCCTCGGCCCGTTCCCTCTGTGCCTTCTCCTTCTCCTCCCGTTCCTTGGGCGTTAAGTCTTTGTGGTCCTTGAAGTGATACTTCTCGCGCAACACGTCAGGCAGGGCCCAATGGCGCAGGCGGTGAATATTGCGAAGCTCTCCTCTCTTGTTGAAAATTTCCTGCGACCAGCGACCCGTCTTCCAAAGTTCTTTAGGAAAGGGGCCTAGAAGCTCGATGATTTGGGCGATATGGTCGTCGTCTTTGCCATACTTGGTGCCAGATTGCGGGTCGAATAAATAATCGCCCGTAATTAGCTCGAATACCTAGATAGAGATGCCCGCGTATTAGCATCTAAAAACCGCCAAGCCATACGAACAACGCCGGCGGTAACGCGAGGGATAGTCGCACGAATGAGGCGGCACGATGCCACTTACCATCGCTGCCATACTCCATACATCAGTGCTGGCACCCCATTTCGCCCCTAGGATCACCTCCGGCGAGCGGTATTGTCTCGTTTGAATATCATTAGTAAAGTGATGCGATACCCAACAGGCGTTGCCCAGATCCGCAATCTTGACGTTAATAATCGGAGACCTCCGCTTTCGCTTCCTCTTCTCGCCTGCAGATGCAGAGCCGCCGGCGCTAGACTTATCGAGTGAAATACCCGATACCTCTCGCGTAAGAAGATCACTGAGATAAGCGAGTTAGAAATCAGTCCAGCCATCACGACATTGTGGAAGAGTTGAACTTACGCCGTCTTTTCTCTCTGCCCCTGTTTTTCGCTACTAGAGGGACCCTGTGTAGCTGCTGCTGCTATAATACCTCGTCAGCAATAGACACAATGCCATACAACAGGAGGCGACCAGAGGAGGGGGACGGAGTAACGAGCGTCGCCTAAGAGTATAGGGATAGGAGTTTTGGCGGGCGTTATTGATCTCTCGAACGCGCAGCGACAGAACGCGGCGCAGAGAGAGGCGAGGGGTAGCAAGTGTTGAGCGAATACAGACCTTCGTGCAGCATGGCGCCGAGGCTGCTGTGAGATTTTGATGACGGGAACAAGTTGTCTCGATTAAAGTTCGCATTAAGCGGCGACGGCAGAGGCTGGCTACCCGTGATCAAGGTCCGTCGTCTTCGGCGCCCGTTCCTGTGGTTCTCCTTGTCCGAGTTCTCAGTCTTGACCACTTTCTTGACAACCTGCTCGACATCGCCGATCTCTATCAGGACGTTCTCGGGCTTGAGGTCGGTGTGGATGATACCACATTCTCGGTGCAGATAATCCAGGCCCATCAGCACCTGCTTCGTAATCTGCATAACCAGGTCCCGTGGGATGCCTCGATGTTGCCACTTCTTAATGAGGCCCAGCAGATTCTCGCCGAGAACTTCAAATACCATACAGACGTGCACGCCGTTTGGTCCCTTGTGCTCGAACGAGTCGAGTAGGCTGACGACGTATTTTCGGCCGGGGTGGTTGGGATTCGCTTGGACGATCTTCTGCAGCAGCTTGATCTCGTCGATGGCCGTCTCGGTGTAGTGGTTAGCGGATCGCACAACCTTCAACGCGACGTGCTTGCCGTTTGTGTTATCTCGCGAGAGCCAGACCGTCGAGAAATGACCCCATCCCAGTTTTCGCACAACCGTGTATTTTCCATCTTTGAATTTCTCGCCGACCTGGACAGGGTGATATCCACCCTTGCAGTAGTCCTCGGAGTCCTCTTCATCGGCGGTGTTATCGGCAGCGTCCTCGGGACCGGAGGACGAGGTCGGGGAGTGTTGGTTCATGGCGTTCGTGAGGTGCGGCGGTCTAAATTCACAAGGCGAAGTCAGCAGACAGGCCAGATAAAGATACGAGGTGTGTGTACGAGCGGCAGCAACGCGACAAGAAAGGCGATGGACGTATCGACCGCCAGGACGAATTGCAACAAGCGCAAGCAAGCAGACAAGCAGACAGGCCTAGAGAGGAGAGCAAAGTGGCGGGGTGCGGACTGCGGGCTTGGTTGTGGCTCTCCTGCGCTGATACCCTGACGGCCTGAAGTAGGGTTACCAATGAAAGGCGGAGTTGGGATATTCCATCAAGAAATCCCTAGACCCGGACAGGCTAACTGACTAGTCGCGGTGTTTTTGTGATGTGGCTGTGGAGGGGGGTATTAGAGGGGGGAAATTGCAGCCAGAGCGCGAGGCGTCCCAAGTGAAGCCAAAGGAGACAGAAGGGAGGGGGAGATGCGAGCCGCACGATCAGGCGAAAACTAGCAGATGGTAGGCAGTAACCTTTTCTTCATGGTAGCCATGGTGACCAGAGTCGCGGATTCCGGGTGGTCGGCGAGGAGAACGAGGAATTCAGGCGGGGGGGTGAAGAGGAGAAGATTTCAGAGGTGTGAGCGCGAGAGGGAGGTTGTCGTGATGCAGATGTAGCTAGTACCCCTACGTGCAGCCGAGGAAGCATGTAGGAGATGCCGGGATCAATGAAATGCAGATGCGCAAAATGGACCGGGAGAGATGAAAATCAGGGGGGAAGAGAACAAGACAGATGGACAACAATAAACGGAATTATAGATGAACAATGGGGACGGTCGTCGACAAATAGGAGTCGAGATGAGTGGCCATACGCAGGAGAGCGAGAGCGAGGGAGGGTTGATGAGGGAGGGCGAGGGATTTGGGGGAGGCAGACTTGTGGGGAGCGTGAGGAAGAAAGCGAGCAATAATAAATCGCCGCAGCAATTCTACCTTGTACAGCACTTCCCTGTCCGCCGAAATCGACTGTAATATAAAAAAAGACAAGAGAGCCAAGCCCAGGCAAATGTGGAGGAGGAGGGCGGAGGGGAGAAAACAATTGAAGAGGGCAGAGATGAGGATGACGACCACGCAGCAATCAGAGAAAACAGAATCAAACCAAAAAAAAAGGTAATAAAAAACCGCAGCGGGAGCGTGCCCGCCAGGTCCGCCAGTCCGTCCGATTCTATCGTGAATGCGTGCGCTTGCGCGAGCGGACAATGCGTGTGTTGTGTGTAATGCAGCATGTGTGGATGGAGGGAGAGGAGATGGCAGCTCGAGGGAGCTTAGCAGCACTGACTGGGCGCACATGTGGGTGGGAGGCGGTAACAGACAGGGGAGACGGGGGGGGGCCGACGGCGGCGACTTTCTCGTCACTCCCCCCCCACACCGTCCCATCCCCCCAGGTCACATCTGTATGTACCTCTCTCCCACATACCTCCATCCGCAACACCGTCGTCACACACTCTCCCATCCTCTCTCTCTTCTCCGCATCGACATGTTCTCCTCAGCGATCCTGGGTGGCCACGGGTGCGGTGCCGATCCGGCCTGGAAATGGGGGGGGGAGCGTAGGCGCAAGGCGACAGGAGCCGCGGGCGCTAACCGGTCCTCCAGCTTGAGGTGTTTGGTCCAGTCGCTCGAGTTCGGACCAGGGGACGAGCGAACAAGTTACAGGTGGTAAGCCCAGGCACTTTCAGGGTACAAAACCCCTACAGGGCGCCCCCCATCCGACCCGTCCGACCCCCTGCAGCCCCTCCCACCAACCCCTCCATCGACGGTCGCTCCACAGCACGGTGCCTCGCGCAGCACAACCGATGGCGCACGAATCTTTCAGAGGAATGGAGGAGCGCGGCCGCAGAATAGCGGGGAGAGCTGGCATGATAGGCAGCAGGCGAGACGGGGATGGCATAATAGACAGCGCAACTGACGACGAGCCGCCTCGGTCGTCGATCGCTCTCCCCGACCAGCACCACACACGACAGCCGGGGAGGTGCGGCGCGATGAACACGCCGTGTGTTGACAGGTTGGGCGGAATTTGAATAGCACCTACGCCCCAACGGCGTGGCTCGCCAAACCCAGACGATTCACGAATCACATCGTCATGCCGATCGCACCAATCCGAAGAGGGCGTCACGTCCAGATCACTTTTTGTCGGTTTCCTCGATCCTTGCCGCACCCATAGCCACAACTTGTGGATGTTTCCACTTGGTCTCCTCCAGGACGGAGATGCCATGGCTGTCCGCTCGCTTGTCGGTCCGCTTACCTGCTCGCGCTGGCTGCAATATGGGGGCATGTTGTCAAGGGCTCCAATGGGTCTATATCTGCATCGAGGACCCGTGCAACCCAACAAAATGCATTGTTCACGGCTGCAAGGTGTGATGCATAATGCGGCAGAAAATGGGGATGATAGGTAGAGGGAGAAAAACCCTAGAAATAGGCCAGGGGGAGGGGGGGGACAACACAAAACGAGCGAATGGTCTTACCCTAAAGCCGGCGGGCCTTCTGTGGTGATGATGGGTTTTAAGCCATCCTTCTTCCTCTTCTTGTTGAACGTCGGGCTGGCAGTGTTTGCCGTCGTCGAGTTGGTACCGTTACCGTTCGCACCGGCCATCAAGGGAGGAATTGCGCTCGAAGACGTCCGGCCAGGCGTGGCGACGGTACCATCGGACGTGTCCGTTACGCCCTTCCCACCATCCATATTTTTGGAGATTTGAGGCGAGAATAGGTGTATAGGTGAACGCTCCGTCGGGAACGCCACCTACTAAACCGCGTTTCGTAGCAGCCGCGGAAACACCGGGTTGGCGGTCGAAAAGCTTTGGCGCGGCCAGAAGAGGAATACCTGGCCGGGATGGCGGTGCGCGAAGCTATCGAGGTCGTGTAATAGGCCTAGGCGGTAGTCTCGTTCGTAGACGGGGTAAATGGACGGGAGGTGATGCGATCCGATGCGACCGATACGCTACGATATCACGGAGTGATATCGCTGCCGCTGCAACTATTAAATAGCTACCAGACTCGAAAATCTCGACGGGGCAGTTGATCCGACAGATGCAAGGAGAGAATAAAGTGCGTATTATTGAATAGATATGGCGGAATGATCGTAGGCGGGTTATTGTTTACTTGCTGGCAGAGAGCTGGCCGGTATCATAGATATCAGGTAGGATGGGTTTCTCGGGCGATATCCGGTTGTCCCGTCTTCTGTTTATATCCTCACACTGGGTCAAGCCGACACTGATTACGATCGGATGTTACCGTTCCTGCTACTGCTAGTGTTGTCGTTGCGATCACACCTGGGAGACGACTGGGAGTTGTCAGCAAGGGTGACTCGGCCTAACCGGGCGGGCGAATGCGGAAATAGGTATTCTTTCGTTCTCTCTCTTCTAGTCATAACCCCCATTGCCGAGACGTCATATGGACCTCTCGACACAATAAGCTGGCAACGTACGCACCGATCTATGAATGTCGGACGAAAAAAAGAACAGTGACGTCTGACTGGATGGACAGGATGGATAGGAAGCGATGTACAGAGGGCGAAGGTGGCTGTGGGCGAGGGGCGAGGGTGGGCGGCCAACGAAAGTGTATTTATAATGCTGAGGAAAAACAGAAGAGTAAAAACAAAGATCGAGGACGGGGACGAGAGGTGATTGGCTAAGCTGCCAGTATCGAACAGAGAGGAAGGAAATATAAAATAAAATCAAAAGACGGCTGACTATGGAACGACACGACCTCTCTCTTCTAGCCCCTTCTGGTGTGTGGGGAGAAAAGCGCTCAGTCAAGCCAGGCAGGCAAATAGAGGTCGACGGCAATCTGGATAAGGGAGAGAGAGGAGCGTCGCGGAAAGGAGAAGAGAGGAGAGTTAGAAGCCAGTGAGACAGACGGTAGTAGGTAAGGTAGGAGAGGTATTAGGGGCCGGTAGGGGTTGGTTCACGTCAGGTAGCTTGCAAGCATCCTGCATCACACTGACTTGTCTCCTACCGTCAAGCGCAGATACCCGTTGGGTCGGTTCATATACCTATTACTCCCAAGCAAGTAGGTACATCCTGCAATGCCACCCTGGGTACCTACCTACCTAGGCAGGTACCTAACGGGCCAGAGGAGGTACCTAAGGCGCTACCTCATGTGCCTGAGGACCTAATGTAGATACGTTAGGTCAGGTTCCTACAGCCACCTCTTAGGTACCTAAGATAGGTCGGTAGGTACCTCATCACACCGGATCACGCCCACTGCCTCTGGGTCGAGTTAGAGGCCAAGCCTCAGGCAGCCCCTGGGTAATCTACCTAGGTACACATCCAATTTCACCCACTCGGATCGTGCAATGCGGGGGCTATACTCATAAATCTCGATGCGCTCCGTCCATCAACGTGTAGGACCCGGGTACTTCAGGTAGGTACCTACCTGTTATCTGTCATCCCTAACGTTTTGGCCTACCACATCCTGTCTTACGTGTACACAGTACCCACGCAGGCGGTGGGCCCCATGCCTATAAGGACCTCAGGCGGGGGCGTTCTGTACGCAATGCGAGAGCTCAGAGCACGCCCAGACGTGTGTGATGGGCAGCGCATGTGGTGATGTTATACCTACTTCTACCTCTCCGCGCGAAGGGCCCTATTACTTCGCGTGCATACTCACACCTGTCGGTGCACGATGCTCCACCGGTTATACTTGTACGCAGGCCCGGTACCTCCCAACAGTAGGGCAACGAGGTTCTGTTAGGAGCCTTGTGTTGTGATCGAGATAAGCGGGGGTTGAATAATCCGGGGGGATGTAAGAGGGGAGATATGTTTCCTATAGGCTAGTTATACCTGGGCTACGTAGTATAGCACGTAAGGGTGAGCTTGGAGCTTGTCAATGACGTATGTCCCGTGGCCCTAGCTTAAATAGGAGGTACATACCTAGGATGTACCTACCAGAATCGTCATGACAACGTACCAAGGTATATACCTTTAGTGTCTACCTCTCTATACACACCACTCGCCTACTCGCCTACTCGCCTCCCTTCTCGGCCTCCTTCTTGCTAACATCCGCCGAAGAACCCTCAGGACGAGAATGGAGAGCGAAGCACCGCTCAGCGGTTGCCCGAGAGGCTTGCCGGACCCTACAGATGCCTAGAGTGTCGCCCGCCGGTAAGCGCTACACGGAAATCAGTTGCAAAGCGCCGAACCCCCTGTACCCACGCAGGCCTACCTTGATCTACCTACTGACCTACCTACCTACGACATTCGCCGGTGCTTCGCTTGCGCGATAGCGTCACGAAATCATGCGCCGAGCATGGGTCACAGCCATCTCGCTCCTGTGGCACGAGCTTCGGACCATTCCCCGCCAATATCTCTTCGCCGTGTGACCTCAGCGGGCAGCACAGGCTGCTACACCACCGGCGTGGCTTCATCCGGCTTCGTCGCGTCTGCCAGTCTCTCGCTGCATTGCACGATACCGGCGAATGGAGGCGACATCCAGTTCCGGCCTCGGCCCCGACCTGGAGCGTCGCAGAAGTACCGCCAACATACGACGTAGACATTCCTTACTAGCCTTGGGTATTCATCTTGGACAACGCCATTCCACGTCTCCTTGCCTGCGAACTCGCCATATACATACGCACACATATATATATGCGCACCTACGAGGCCTGACGCCCGCCCAATTGCTCGGTATCTCCCCCCGTCCCCTTCCCCAAATACCAGCGATAGCCGGCGCATCGTTCGCATACGCCACACTTCCATTTGTCGATTTCGCCCCACGTTGGGTATCTACAGGCTCTCGGCATCGTCTAATTGGGCAACCCGTAGGGAACGGGAAACAAGCGACCAGGTGTGGCAGGGGGAGAAGTAGGGGGGAAGGGCTGAACGGCTCTCCCCGTGCTCCTCCTCCTCCCTGCTCCAACATATTTAGTAGCTTGCCGTGTGGGCGTCCACATCGACAAAGCCACGAACTAATCCCGCCGTTGGTTTGTCCACCGCTATCTACGCGTGCCCTCTTCGCTTACCGACTTCCTTGTGGTCAGGAGAAAGCTGGGTGCTCGCCCTACCCTCTTTCTAGCTCCCCCGTAGAATCGACCGTAACCGCCAGAAAGCAATCTCTTAGGTGGCCAGCGGAGGAGCACACAGTTCGCGATCTCACTCTCAGCAATAGCTTATCCATGCCAATCACGACCAGCACAGTGTGTATGAAGCCGTGCCTGACCCGCGGATGACTGTCCAACCAAGACCTCTGTATCGAAAGGCTTCACACCCGACACCGCCGGCTGCATAGGTGGTTTCAAACCTACCCCGAGTCTTGGAAACCCGCATCTTGTTTCTCCTGCTCGACCTACATCAACCCCACAAAATGCTCTCTCGTCGTGTACTCGCCTTTCGGTCGGCCGCGACCTAGGCGCGATTGCATCATGAACTACCCTCTAGACCTGTCCTTCCGATGCCCGGCGTGCAGCTGTTGCGTCTCCCATTGGATGCGGACGCTGGCCAAGTATCTAGCGAAGGCCAAGCATCTACCTGCCTCGTTGCGAAAGAAAATGAATACCTACCCGAAAAATTAAGGCACGCGGCCCCTCACCGTGACCATCATTAGTGGTCACGTTGAAACCTCGGTATCAGTCAACGGCAGCAAGACTGTTATGTCTAATGGAGATAGCAAGGCGCGAGATAACGCTTACTACATACATGGCACCCAAACCCGACGGGTCCCGATGTTAGGTATTTACTCTATGCAAGGGCGCATGCGGAACACGTCTCGCAGCGCTAAAATCCCTAGGCATTCATCATGCTGTAGGTATAATAAAAGAGGAACATTCCAAGCTTAAACAATAGATAAGAGTATGACTGCAGTATGCGCATATCCCTCCTCTATGCGCACTCATAGCTCCTCTAGAATCGTTCGGATATCCTCAGCAGGCGTCCTGATCAGTAGTAGCTCCTCCTGTCTACCATACACCCACTCCCAGCTATTTTTCGCCTCGTCCCAATAGACGTCCTCCTCTTGGGGGAACACGATAGTCCTGTTCCTCTCGGGCACGAAATGTTCTGCGTAGAGTTCGATGCTGTAGTACGTGTTCTTTAGTAAGGGGAGGTCTCCAAGCACCGGGACCTTGTCCTGTAGATTCGTCATGCCTACGCGCGAAGATCGTGAGTCAGGAACGAAAGCAGCGAGAGGCGAGTTACGTGCAAAAAGGGAGGTGGACGTACCGATGAGTGCTCCAGCCGAATGGCCCCATTCCCCGGTAGCGTGGCAGTAGATCTTGCCTTCGATGCCTTCCCTGCGCATCTGCTCCAGGGACGCCTTCAATATCTCGTTGCCCGTCGCCCCGATTTTCATGTTGCCCTTGACGATGTCTTGCAGCCGGTTGGCCTTCTTCAGCCCCTCGACCATGCCCTTGGGCACGTCCGCCTCCGTCTCCCCGGGGTAGAGGACGTAGCCTAGATGTTGCGTGTCCGTGTTCAAGCCCAGAGCCGAGAGGCCGAAGTCCGTGTGGATCAGGTCTCCGTACTGGATCGGCCGGTCCGGCGCCCTCGGGTCGTCCATCGCGGCGACGAAGTCGTCTGCGGCCAGAAAGCCGTCGCCCGTGAGGATGAACACGCTCGGCTGGAACCAGGTGGTATAATTCAACGCCTGGATTTTCTCCCGCATCCACCACTCGACGTCCTACGGCATCAGGAGGGGGGGAGAACCTCGATGTCAGCCCAAAGTGTCATATGCCACGCGCGAGACAAGAACAGATCAGCGCCCCAGACTCACCCAGCTCGTCGACTGGCCGGGCGCGATGACGGCCTCGCTGAAGGCCTCCTCGATAATCGCCCAGGCAGTCTCCATCATCCGGCGGTACCACGGGAGACGGCCCGGGACCATGGTGGCGACGAACTCGACAGCAAGCATGGGGCGGAGCACGAAGCGGTCGCGAGTCAGCCGCTGTGCGTCTCCTCCGGCGTCACCGGCGTCGACGCCGAGCCCAGCGTACAGGGCATCGCGCTCGCCCGCGTGCAGCCCGCCGGCGAACGCGATCTCCGCGTGGGTGTTGAGCGCGACGCTGACGGTGGCGGGGGGGCCGACGGCGGCCAGGACCCGCCGCAGGTCGGCCCACACGGCGGGCGTGTTGTCGATCCAGGAGTAGGCGCGCGCCGTCGTGTTGGGCAGCGGCTCCGCCAGGAACAGATGCGTCGTGCGCCGCGGCGCCGAGAACTGCGTCGCGTCCTTGAGCGCCCAGAACACGGTGTCTTCGGCGTACTCCCGCTGGCTGATCTAGGCGCGGCGGCGCTGGCAAGTTAGCACGGACTTCTTTATCCTGGTGAAGGTGGGCGGGGGAGGGGAGAGAAAGAGGAGGGGGGGGGGGGGGGTGTTCAGACGAACCAACCAAGCGTCGACTCGGTACTTGCGCAGCAGGCCCGGGATCAGCGCCTTGCGCTCCTCGGTCCATCCGTCTACTAGCACCGCCTGCTCCCGCAGAGGAGGTAAACGCTGGATTTCCGGCTTCCTGTTGGAAGTGGCGCTGGCGCACGCCGGGGCGGCGGCGAGGACGCTGGCGACGCTGCCTAGGATCTCCAGACCCCGCATTGCTAATATTGGTGAGTGCCGCAGGGAACGGCAAGCAGCTGAAATCAAAGTATCGGCCTGATAGACAGGTAGTATGTTAATAGCAATGTCGCGGAATACCGAGGTCTTGGTTGATGATCGTTCCCCATGATAATCCGAATCGCCTATGAGGACCGTTTCCCGCCACCCTCCCTGTCAGGACGTGCCCCGGCTTCGGGGCAGATAACCAGATATCGATGCCCATGTTCGTCAATATTAACCCCCGTCTTCGCGTATCATCATCCCTCGGTGGCAACCGATCTGGATAACGCTGAACCGCCGCTTGCCGGGTGAAGCCACCTTCCTAAATGAGCAAGCATGTAAATAATGCCAGAGCACCCGAGAGGAGCGTCCGTCTAAAACGATGGGGATCCAATCTCTCCATAGCCCATCGGGAAAACCCAATATAAGTAACTGTTTTTAGGACGCTTCTTATATAATTGAAGGAGTGTTTCTTCATTAGATTGAATGTCCTGATACCTTCCTTAACTAGGTTCTTAATCGCTCGAAGGAGTCAACATCTTCAAGGTCCGCGCCTCTTACGCCGCCATTCGAGTTTCTTTCACCCATTTTATTGAACCGCCAACCGGCGCAATTGATAGAGGAGCTAATCTGTTCATCGTCAATCTCTTTTTACGCTGTGACTCCAAGCTCTTAAATACGCTGTTTCTACTTAACTAAGTCATGGTAAATTAAGTTGAGATAATGCGCGAATCGAAGGTATCATAAGATTTCACTCAGTGAAAAAGATATGTTTAAATGCCTGTGTTAGAATTATTTGATTAGGCGGATCGCAACCGTTTTAGTTATAACCATCGTGAGTTGTGTTAGACGCTCGAGGGAACACTAACTCTGAAATTGCCTCCTCGCGGGCCCAAGGACGGATAGTAGTGTTGATCATAAAGGAATTGCCTGATCCGTTTCTATTTGTTTATTAACTACCATACTATGTCGATCGATCAAGATGTGGTATTGAGTGAAGCGACCGCCGTTAGCAACGGTTGATTGATATTCGTGTTCGATAACGCCATTACCTAGCTGGCACTGGTATCGTATTAGAGAGTCGACTTCAACAAGCTTGACCGGCTGGAAAGAATCGATGCGCCGACCTTGGGTAGGAGTAGGGATGCGGTTGTCCTCCTAAATCCTTAAACCGCTAATTCATAGGTTGATCAACCAGCATATATCCGTCCCGACTAGACACTCCCGTATTATAGTGTGACTACAGTGACGGGCTAGTGATTTGTCTTTACCGAAAGCAGATCATGTCAGGCAAGGTCAATCGTGCTAAAGTGGACTCTCTGATTCTTTCCACCCTGCTCAGGTTGGCGAAAACAACGCGCGAGGCATTAAAGGCCTTGAAGTTATACCACCAGCTTTGCCGTCCCTGCGCCCAACGCATTGTCGAGTCCAGCTGAGGGACAGACATTCCGGTGACGGGTAGAGACGTGGAAACGAGGCTGGACTGAAGGCAGAAGGAAAAATTACTGCCTAGGTGGGGTTTCATCATCAACTTCGACAACGACGCTCACCGCCCTGAGGCGATGGATATGATAAAGGCAGAGTTAAGGAAAGGGGTCTAGCTAGCGCGCTCTAATCCCTCAACCCCTTTCCTATTATGAATCTTGAGCAATATGCATCGTCGGAGAGCTTTCATGGAACCTGAAGCTGATGAGATTCCTTCAAAGAGTGTACCAAGTCATAGGTACCTGATGGAGCGAGTGACTTGAGATACCTAGTGAGTGTCATTTGTGGGGAGGCGTAAGATATGTATTTTTCATGTGCCTGTACGGTTTCTTTTCAACAAATCACCTGTGACGCTTAACCGCCAGCCGCTGATGACAGACCTGGTAATTACGGAGTTGCATAGCTACATCTGGGAAAAAAACGATTCTTTTGATAGGTGAACCCCGAGGTAGGAAGGGGTGTAGTTACCTAGTACGTACGATATATTCAATTAAGCAATCGTAATAATATATATTAAAACTAGATACTCTATTTTATTAGGGCGTAAGTCTGGACATTAAAAGTGGAGAATCCTACTCTGAAACGGGTTTTTTCCCAGATGTAGCTATGTGACTCCGTAGGTAATGGGACAATTCGATTAGTCTGTAGGTAATGGGACAATTCGATTAGTCCGTAGGTAATGGGACAATTCGATTAGTCCGTAGGTAATGGGACGATCCGATTAGTCTTATGTCACGTGAATACGTTATTCTTCCTTCAGCTACCCTATCTCCCCGTCCTCATCCACCTAGATTTGTTCCTGTGCCATTACTCTTGATAATCTGTTGATATTGTCCCAACAACCCATGTCACGTAGGCATGCGCCCCTAGTGGGAACCACCCAGCTTACCTAAGCTGGTTGAGCACTTCTATATGTACCCGTAGATTGCTCCACACTCTCTAGTAGCTTTCCTTCTTTTCTAGTCAGTCAATACACACCTTCTCACCCGCATTCCATTGCTCCCTTTGCGCGCAACCTATCAAGCCACACGTAGCTCTCGCCAGCTACGTAACAACCCACTTGTTTGATATTCATAGTTAAGGAATCTGCCTGGCTGATACAAGCAACTGCTTCTTAGTGTGCTCATCCTTGGAGATGGCGCCTCGTTTTATTCGAAAACTCAGAGCTAAGTTCAGAAGGCTGCGGGAAGTCGCTATCGGAGAACCTGACTCGAGTGGATCGCACACAACTCCTTTACCCACCCCATCTCTGCCAGGGCCAGGGCTAGAGCCCTCCCTCGCTGTCTCGGGGTCTGTCGATTCGAGTGAATCGCACGCAACTCCTTCGCCATCCCCATTTTTGCCAGGGCCAGGGCCAGAAACTCCAGCACCTCACCCGAGGCCTTCCCTAACCGTCTCGACAGACCCCGAGACTTTATCGCTGCCAACCCTACCAGAGAAACTCTGGAACCAGGCCTACGACGAGCTCAAAGCAAGCGAGCCTACTCTCGTTGAAACGTTCGAGAAGATCTTATCGGCCGAACTTTGCCGGGATGAATCAAGCTCTGTCGGCTCAGAGTTGGAGAGGAATACGATAGGAAAAACCCAGGAGACAAGATGCCATCAGATGCAGAAACTGGCCCAGGCTGGACTGGACCGGACACGGAAACATGCGTCGGTTAAGAATTCGGTAGGCCAAGTCTTACAAATAGCGCAATTTATAAAGGCGGTAGCGGATCCAGCGGTACAGGCTGCTCCCGCAGTCGCCGTTGCTTGGGTCAGTGTTGGGTTGGTATTTGAGGTATGTGTGCTTGGCCTTCACGATCCGCGGGAGATCAGTAGATCATCTCGCGCTAATACTCGATAGGTTATCTCGAATCCCATCAGCGAAGCACGCTCCAATCGCGATGGCATTTCATACGTCCTCTCGAGAATGGAATGGTACTGGAGCTTAGCGGACCTACTTCTCGACGAAAATAAAGCCGAGCAGTCCTCGATAACACTACGATCCCAACTAGAGAAGAGCATCGTCCAGCTTTACGGGAAGCTCCTCTCCTATCAGATGAAGAGTATCTGTCTTTACCACCGTCACTGGGCAACTGTCGTCGCAAGGGACACGGTTAAGTGGGATGACTGGTCTGGTCAGCTTGGAGACGTACAAGAAGCGGAAACACTAGTGAAGAGCGACGTGGAACAATACAGTAACGAATATATTAAGGAAAAGCTGAGGGGACTTCACAGCACAGCCGCCAACATCGAGAACCACGTGAAATCCATCGAGGACGGGACCCGGCGGCAGACGGAAGCGAATCAAACCGAAAAGGACAACGAGTGCCTGCGAAATCTACACGTGACTGACACTCGCAATGACAAGAAGCGTATCGAAGAGGCAAAGGGTGGCTTACTCAGAGACTCCTACGTCTGGATCCTTGAACATGCCGAATTCGTGCAATTCCGGGGGGAGCCCGAGAGTCAGCTCCTCTGGATTAGGGGGGACCCTGGCAGAGGCAAAACAATGCTTCTGTGCGGCATCATTGATGAGTTGGAGAAGGATCAGTCCCAGCGAGTATGCTATTTCTTTTGCGAAGCCAATGAGGATCGACGCAACAATGCGACATCGGTGCTAAGAGGTTTACTATTCGACCTTGCCCACAACAACCGATGGGTCGTCGAACGCGTGCGAGAGAAGTATGACGCCGTGGGCAAAGATATCTTCAGCAACGATAATGCGTGGCATGCTCTCACCGGGATAATTACGGCCGTCCTGCAGGATCGGCGCCTAGACGATACGGTTGTGATCATCGATGCTCTCGACGAGTGCAAGACAGACCAGAAACGGCTCCTCGACTTTATTGCTGGCTTTGATACTGCTGACCCTACTGTGGGGCATCCTACTGTAAAATGGATTGTATCGAGCCGCAACTGGCCCGACATTGAGGAAAGGCTGCAGAGCGCAACGCAAAAGATTGAGCTGCGACTCGAATCAAACCGAGACGAGATTTCTCAAGCTGTGAAGAGTTACATCAAGCGCAAGGTGGACGAGCTGGAATCACTTAAGAAATACGATTCGAAACTAAGGGATGATGTCGAAAGTTACCTGACCGCTAATGCTGACGGCACTTTTCTTTGGGTGAGCTTGATCTGCCGCGAGCTTGCAAACCATAGGAAACGGCATACACTCGAGAAGTTGGAGTCATTCCCGCCAGGCCTGGGTTCTCTCTACGGACGAATGATGGAACTGATATCCAGTTCGAGTGATGCGAGGCTCTGCAATGAGATACTAGCTGTTACTTCAGTGGTATATCGACCTCTTACCTTGGACGAATTGATAGCATTCATTGGGGATCTCCAGCGCTTTGACCGGGATGAGGTGGAAGAAATCATCGAGTCGTGTGGCTCATTCCTAACACTTCGAGACGGCATCGTTTCCTTTGTGCACCAATCGGCAAAGGATTACTTGATAGAAAATGTACGCGACCAGGTTCTGCCTTTTGGCATCGAGCATCAACATAGCGAGGTCTTTTCCAGGTCACTGAAGCTCCTCTCTGGAACCTTGAAACGTGACGTGTATGGCCTATGGAGGCCGGGATGTCTCATCGATGAGGTCTCGATACCAGATCCTGACCCGTTAGCCACAGTTCGATACTCTTGCATCTTCTGGGTTGACCACCTTAATGACTCGGTACCGAAGACAGGGACAAGCGACAAGGGATTAGGTGACGGCGAAAGGATATTGGCCTTCCTCCGTAACAACTATCTACAGTGGTTGGAGGCTCTCAGTCTAATGCAGAGCATTCTGGAAGGGGTGAAAGCGATAGTAAAACTGGGAGCGCTCTATGTAAGCACGTCTTTGAGGAGATCTCGAGAGAGGAAGCTTCTACAACCCAAGGTCAAGAGGTTAACGTTTCGCAGGCAAGAGCTGAATTGCGCGATCAACGGGATCTCGTGGATCTCATTAAAGATGCACGCCGATTCATCCTCTCACATAGAAGGGGAATCGAGATGGCCCCCTTGCAAGTCTACGCCTCAGCTCTCATATTCAGCCCGACCAACAGCTTGATTCGACAATTATCCGAGAAACCAAGTTGGGTCACAGTGACGCGGGGGGTCGCACCTGATTGGGATGCCTGTCTACATACACTCGAGGGCCATACTGATAGGGTAGCGGCAGTGGCATTCTCGTACGACGACCAACGGCTTGCGACAGGATCATTCGATAAGACGATTAGGATCTGGGACCCCATCCTCGGCCACTGCATCCAAATACTCGAGGGTCATACCAGCTATGTTACCTCAATTGCTTTCTCACCCGATAACCAACGACTTGCATCAGGCTCACACGATAGAACAGTTCGGATCTGGGACACTTCAGGCCAATGCATACGAATTCTCGAGGTTGGGGATATAGTAAACAAAATAGCATTCTCACCTGATGCCCTAGAACTTGCAGTAACCAGCGCAGGTGGCATGATTAGGATTTATACTCCTACTATGCACTCACCTCCACAAGAGTTCAATGCCCATACCACCTGCATAGTTTACTTGGACAACGGTCGGCTCGCATCAGGGTCATGGGATAAGACAATCAAGATTTGGGACACTGCTTCATGCCAGTGCATACAGACATTCAAAGGCCATACCGATCGCGTATCATCGATAACGATCTCGAGCGATAGCCAACGACTTATATCAGGCTCAAACGACGGATCGATTCGTATTTGGGATACCGCCTCGGGCCAATGTGTACGACTACTTGGTAATAACGCTGCCAGAATATGGTCGGTAGTATATTTAAACGACGGCCGGATCGTATCAGAATTATCCAATGGCAGACTCGAGTTTTGGAATCCTACTTCAAGCCACTATTTACCGCAGACTCTTAAGGTTCTCACAAATTCGACAATTTTCTCAATTGACCAGTGGCTCATATCAAGTACGAGCACTACGAACATAGTTAAGGTCTGGGACACCGCCTTAATCCAGAACATACAGGCTTTTAAAAACCATAACATGCGAGTAGATGCATTAATATTCTCACATGATGGTCAACGGCTCGCATCAAGCTCAACGGACGGTATAATTAAGATCTGGGATGTTACCTCAGGCCAATATTTACAAACTCTCTCGGGTCATGCTACTACAGTACAAATCCTATTATTCTCACACGATAATCAACGGCTCGCATCAAGCTCAGAGGACGGCACAATTAAGATCTGGGATATTACCTCAAGCCAATGTTTACAAACTCTTCCGGGTCATGCTACTGCAGTAGAAGCCCTATCATTCTCATACGATAGTCAACGGCTCGCATCAGGTTCATGGGACGGTATAATTAAGATCAGGGATATTACCTCAGGCCAATGTTTACAAACTCTCCCGGATCATACTGCTAGAATAGAGGCCCTATCATTCTCATACGATAGTCAACGGCTCGCATCAGGTTCACTAGACGACACAATTAAGATCTGGGATGTTACCTCAGGCCAATGTTTACAAACTCTTCCGGGTGATTCTACTGCTACAGTAGAGGCCCTATCATTCTCATACGATAACCAACAGCTCGCATCAGCTTTACAGAACGGCGAAATTAATATCTGGGATGTTACCTCAGGCCAACACTTAAAAACTCTCCAGCTATTCCCGAGTAATACTTTAGGTCAGCAAATACAGAATTTCGAAGTCGATAATGCGGACCTTACTCGTTTATTCGACCTAACGAAAATCGTTAATCTTATCATGAGATTCGGCAGTTGTTATTCTGAATATGACATCAGCCGAGATGGGAAATGGATTCTAAGACATGGCAAAAAAATACTTTGGCTACCCCCAGAGTATCGTCCTAGGCTAAAGACAATATTACTGGATTGGGTATCTACGTTTGCAGTATTCGGATCAACGGCCGGAATTGGTTCTCTATCTGGCCGTATTTCTATTATACGATTCCAATAAGTAACCAGTGTCGATAGTACCCGGAGAGAAGGCAGTGCTAGCGATATAAGTGATATTGCTGAGCGGAGGCTTTGTCGGCTAGCTAAGGATATGTAAATATTTATACAACGTGGTGTAGCTAGCTGGCTATAGGAATAAGGCAATTGATGGATCACGGCTCTTGGCTCATTGCTGTGTATTACCTAGGTTACGGGAGGGGAGTGAAAAGCTCGCATCACACGCACACGATCGTGGAGGTAGAAGATGCGTAGATGAGCAATATCTACCACGTGGGAACCACCGAAGTCACATTGTCTAATCGTCTTGGCTCGTGGGGACAAGCACCGTGGTAAGCTAGGAAGCTAAATCCGCGAGCCATGCAGCGGTCTTGGGCGGCACTACGAAGAGCGGCGTTAATGATTAATCCTTTAACCTCTCTAAGTATGCTTCGGTTAGGGACGTCGAATTCAGTCTCATAAACACTCCACGTGGAGACTACAACATACGAATGTAGTTTAGCATGTAGGTATCTATGTTTCCGCGCATACACGTACAGATCAAGCCCTGCCGTACCCTGGTCTGGCGTTAGGTAGGTAACTTGAGAGGCTGATGTTTCGGTGCTAATACCGCCCGATGCTACCGTATCCCTAGTACAAGACCTCCACGATGTGGAGTTGCAACAGGATCCTGTCAGAGCGCAGCCGCGGTGAACTGACCTCTAACAACTTAAAGTAGCTCTTAACTTGAGCCGGAAGAGGTCTGCTGCTTGGCACAACTTGTCTCCGGTAGCTAGTCACCAGTCACATAGGTATTACCTGCCTATCATCATCATCATTATTATCAACAACTCATATTCTAATCCAATTTCGAACCGCCGTCGGGCCTTGCCTTCGCGATGAGAGCATTCAAGCTAGTAGAATGGGGCCAGCCAGGCCAGTACGTCGACGTGCCCGTCCCCGAGCCGGGTCCCGGGGACGTCCTGATCCGCATGAAGGCCGCCGGCCTGTGCCGCTCTGACCTTGACATGGTGGACAGCAAGCCGGGGTCGGCGCCGTACGCGAACTCGATCGACGCGGGCTACGTGCTCGGCCACGAGAACGCCGGCTTCGTCGAGCGGCTGGGCCGCGCCGTGGCGGACCTGCGCGTCGGCGAGGCCGTCGTCGTCCACCACATGCGCCACTGCGGCAACTGCGACTACTGCACCGACGGCGCCGAGCAGCACTGCGAGGCCTACAAGCGCAACGCCATCGCCATGACGCGCGGCTGCGGCTTCGACGGCGGGCTCGCCGAGTTCCTGCTCGTCCCGCGCGCCGAGGTCGTCTCCATCGGCGCCGAGGACCCCGTCCTGTACGCGCCGCTGACCGACGCCGGCGTCACCGCCTACCACGCCGTGCGGACGGCGGTCGCGCGCCTCAAGCCGGGCACGAGCGCCGCGCTCGTCGGCGTCGGCGGGCTCGGCACGTACGGCGTGCAGTTCGTCAAGCTGCTGTCGCCGGCGCGCGTGTTCGCGGTCGACAGCGCCGCGGCGCGGCTGCGCGCGGCGCGCGAGGTCGGCGCCGACGAGGCGGTGCTGTTCGCGGGCGACGGCGCGGCGGCCGCCGAGGAGATCCTGTCGCTGACGCGGGGCCGCGGCGTCGACGTGACCGTGGACTTCGTCGGCAGCGCCGACACGCTGCGGCTCGCCGCGGCGGTCTCGCGGCCGCGCGGCCGCATCGTCCTCGTCGGCATGCAGGGCGGCACCCTCGAGGTCGGCTGGGGCCTGCTCGCCACCAGCTGCGAGTTCGCCATCAGCCTCGGCAGCACGCGCCAGGACCTGCGCGAGGTCTGCGAGCTCGCGCGCGCCGGCAAGCTGCGCATCGACGTCCAGCAGTTCGCCTTCTCCGAGGTCCAGAAGGCCTACGACGCGCTGAGGGCCGGCACGCTGGTTGGGAGGGCCGTCGTCGTGTTCCCGTGAGGAAGCTCTACGCACACGGTACAATCTGCACAGTGTCTACAGAGGTAGCGGAATCCCGGACTGAATATGATAGCAATTCTATCTCCAATGCAACCTTGAAGCTAGGTATCGTGATCAAATTACCGCCGGGAACCTACGATGGTACGTAGGTATGTGACTCGGGCTATTCACGAGCACACCACCATCCCTACACCGTTTTCGCGCAAGACAAACGTCCGGTTCTCTTCTCCCACAGCCCCCCTTGCCTTGTTCATCTTTTAGGTATACGTAGCTATAGTGAAGTTTTGGGAAACTTAGCGTATCCATACAATCATATAAGATGGTTGGGAGCAGACGGGTCCGAGGGAGGAAGATGAAATGGAGAAAATAGCCGGGCGGCGGGATCAGCCCATGCCATGTATTGCCAGGGATTAGGGACTATAACAGGATCGACGCATAAAACCACGCCGTTTCAAGCGGGATATTTCGGGTAGCCCACTTCTGGCGAAGGAACTAGCGAGCGGCTTGAAATTAGAGCGGCGGGAACTAGAATGTGAACGATATGGAGTAAGTAGAAGAAGACTTGGGGAAATTCTGAGGTCGAGTACCAATATCGTATTACGCATTACAACAACTCGTAACTCGACTTACATCGGCACTATAACTATGGCTACGCTGTCGTTTCACCATCCCTTGCATCTTCGTACATGCATCCGGGCCATACGCATAACACCATCGTCAGCTGCGGCGATTATCCAGCTCATCAAAACTAGCCTCTACGACGGCCTGCCCAAACTAATATCGAAGACGGAGTTACGATGCGGTGGCATCTTATGTGACTAATAGTAGCTATAGATACGCTAATCATGTAGTCTAGCACACAAAATAAAACTATCAAGCCGTTACGACATTTGACAGCCAGCAGTCTTCGCAATAAACAATGACAACGCTAGAGACGCACTCATGCTGGAGCCGATCCGTCGTCCGACCCCTGAGACGGCTTCTTCTCGGTGGCAGGTCCGTCTCTGGAAGCGGGGTGGTCGACCATCTGCAGGATATCCTTGTCCGTGTCGCTCTTGTGGTACAGCTGCCGGCTGACGTGGTCGGTGAGGTAGTGGTCGAAGTCGCGGATGGAGGCGGCAGCGAGGATGGCGATGACGCCCAGGCCCAGGGACGTGTAATAGGGGTAAGCGTACGCGGCGGCGTAGGACTGCGCGATGCTCTCCGTCGCGACCGCTAGGATGCTGTCGTTCATGCCCGGCACCGCGAGCAGCGCCTCCTTCGTCCCGGCGGGGACGGCGAGCAGCAGGTCGGCCACGGACGAGGATGGTAGGCCGGCCGCAGTGACGGCGGGGACGGCGATCGAGGACAGCTTCTGCGGCAGCGTGTTCGATACCTCGGCGCTGAAGATGGCGGTGAAGATGGAGCCCACGACGCTCCGCATGGCGGACACCACAGCTAGCGACGGTGTTAGTCAAGTACTTAGCTGCTAGCCGTAGGATCTTAGGCTAAAGATTAGGGGTATACGTACAGAATGCGACGCCGAGGTCCATATCAGACGCCACGTACTGGACCATGAGCATGGTGATAACTTCCCCCCAGCCGACGGGAAGCATGGCGAGAAAGGAGAACGCCGCGGCTTGGCCGAGCTCGTTCGTATCGACTGATGCCATCGCGCCGACGAACGCCGTCATGATGACACAGCCCACGACGAGCTGCCAGCGGATGTGCTTGACGATGTGGAACAGCGGGCCGAAGAGGACGATGCCGCCCCAGGCGCCGAACGCGACGGTCGTGGTGAGCCAGGCGGCGGTCTCCCAGTCGCTCGTGCCGAACACCTTCAGGACCTGCGAGGGCCAGATGATCTGCAGCGCGACGTTGAGGCAGCCGGTGATGGCCGAGATGACCACGATGGGCGTGAAGCCGCGCAGGTCCTTGAAGAAGTGCATGGGGATGATGGGGCGCTGGACGCCGCCGTAGATCTCGTACAGCACGAACGCGACGAGCAGCACGAAACCCGTGATGAGAAGACCCAGGATCGTCGGGGAGTTCCACGCGAGGGGCTGGCCGCCCCACGAGATGCCGAGGAGGAACAGCGCGAGGCCGGCGACGAGGAGGAAGACGCCGGCGAAGTCTATCTTCTTGACCTCGTCGAGCTTCGTCGTGGTCTTGCCGTGCATCTGCGTGAAGGACGGCGGGAAGTAGAAGAGGTAGAACAGCACCGTCCCCGGAACCATGAAGATGATGTAGATGATGAAGATCCACCTCCACGTCGTCTGCAGCACGATCCTCTGGCCGATGTAGGCGCCGAAGCCGGTGGCGACGACGTTGGGCAACACCACGAAGACGGTCGCGAGGTACTTCGTCTTGTTGGTCGCGAGCTCGCCGGTCAATAGGGGATAGGACGCCGGGGGGCCGGACGCAAGACCGAGCAGCACATTGGCGCCGACGAGAACGTCCATGTTCGGCGCGGTGCAGGCGACGATGCCGCCGATTATGCCCAGGACATTGGCGCCGATAGCCAGCCAGCGGCGACCAAAGCGGTCCGAGAGGCGGCCGAAGAGGAGGATGCTGATGCAGTCGCACACGGTCCAGACGATGGAGAACAGGCTCGCGTTCTGGCTTGGGCCGATATCCCGGTTGATGGCTGTGATCACAGAGGCGCCGACGGAAAAGGCCCAGTACGTGCCCAAGAGGCTGAAACCGATGGCGCCAAAAGTGCCAACGACGCGGGCGCTCGAGTAGTATCCAGGCGGTAGCTGTTTGAGATCGGCGGCCAGGGCCTCCGAGCGCAGCTGATCGCCGTCGTCTCCGACCGCAGGTGGCGGCGAAGGGGTCGTTGCTTGCTCAGCGACTCCAGACATCCTCGCAAGGCACGTGGGAGTTGGGGTAAGACGGGACAATGGAAGAGGAGGGTGAGGAGGATGAGAGCACACGAGAGAAGCCGCGAGTTGGAGCTGCGGTCCTTTTTCTGACCGCAACTAGGGGACTATATGACTAGGGAGGGCCATCACATTGCCGAGCAGGAGGCTAACCTACTCGGTCAAAAGAGCCCCAGGAGAACCAACAGACATCAACTGCAGCGCAGAATGCTACACCCCAAGCCGCGGTGTCGCTCTATAGGCATGCTTGATCCATAAATCGCTAGTGGACTCCGACGACACGCATCTGCCCAGGGAGCTGATACGCAGTTTCGACCCTCAGCGGCCATAACTCTTCCCTTCCGGGCCCGCTCCGCTGGTACTATTGTCGAGGGGAACGAAACTAGGAGGGGGGGAATCCCATGCTCTATATCGGCTGCACCATGTCGACGTGCTACTCCCCACGTCGATCGACTTGTATGCGGACTAGGTCCAATAGAGCACCCTGGCCAGCAACTGAAATTCACACACCAAAGGGCCTTTCCCCCATCTCCTCGGCCGACCCCGACGCAGTGCCTAGTTGGAATCGGCTAACTAGAATCGCTTTTCAGCTCCATACATATACATGTGTGTACGTGCTATATGTGTATATGTAGGTGTAGGTGTACATGTAGTTGACCTTGTTCTTCAGGCGAGACTCGAGGGGGGGAAAACACCTACCCCCCGCTCCCCCCCAGAAGGGCACATACGCGTATATGTATGTACGTAAGTATGTAGTTGGCAGGCAGCCACATATTGATTTTGATGCATACGGTTGTCGGCAGAGGTCCGCTGAAGGTCTCTCTCGCGTACGTTCATTCATATGTATGTTGGTTGCTACTCAATGCTACGTTATATGTATAGACTATGCCCAAGGCAGACCGAGATCCACCTACGGACCAGGGACAAGCATTGCTGAAGAGCTGGGGCCGTTCTAGCGCACGGTACATGATGGGGATTGGCAGGCTGCCAACCCTTGGGTATCCATCTGCAAGATTGCGAATGGTAGAGTCGATTACTGGTTTCGGACTGATCGCGAGCGCTCTCCTGGTGGGCCTGGGGCGGGAGAGCTGTCAAGGGTTGTCGGCGCGACGGATGTAGTTGGAGCCCGCGATCAGACCTGGCAATGTCTCGTGTTGAGTTGGGTAACGAGTCTGCAACGCACATCTTTCCTCCCCTCTGTTTCTTCTCCGTAAGTCTAAGTGTGATCGAGATAGGGACTTGCCCAAAGTTTGTAAGGTGAAGGGACAAGTGCTGGGAAACCCCCTACAATCGAGTCTCTCCATTCTGGGGAAGACGTCTCATTAGGTAAGAAAGATCGCCGAGGACGTTGATCACTTAGATAATGGTGTGGCATCTGGTGGTAGCAATGTACGTGCAGGGACTAGTACGGTGTGCACATATTTGTGGTGTCTTCACGCACAATGGTAAAGATATGTACGTTGCGGTGCTGGCTTGAGCGGTCAGTCCTCCCTATCTGTTGGTTCTCCGTGTACGTAAACGGACAGACACCCATCACGTCTTGGCGAGATAGAAACGAGAGACTCATCAGACGATATGAAATAGCCGAGGCCTTACGGTATGTGCTCTGCATTTGTATGCATCTATGTCACACCGTAATAGTGGCCGCTTCCTCTTCCCCTGTGTGCGCGCAGTTATGGACGTAGTTATGTGTAGTGAAGCGACACTTACACATGAACCCCTTTCTCGGCGTTATGCGGTGTCATCTGTGCTTGAGGGGACGCAAGGCCTGTTTCTCATCCAGCGACTCGGGACCCTTTTTTCTTCCGCCATTCGTGCCAAGTCGAGGGGATTCGTCAGAATCATCGGTTTCACCCTCCCGTCTTCTCTCTTGCTTGGCCATCCATAGGCCTGATCGACACACTCTCCGTCTCCCATACTGTATCGGGTCGCTTGCTCACCTGCAGGACAGCCGCGCGGACTCGATGGAGGCACACCACAGAACGGCTCAAATACCCTCCTCCTCTCACGATACTGGCGTGTTGTCAAACATTCGCGGGGAAGCTTGCGCCTACATCAATATATAAATCTGTGTATCTATAATCAACATGACGTGATTTAGACACATACCTGCACCTTTGCCCTCACGACTTTCCCACACCCGTCACGTTTCTGCCATGTTTCTTGAGGCATGCGAACCTCTACTACGATTTCCTTGGTACCGTATAGTATGTCCGGTTCTTGCCCAGGCGGCAGACCTGACTGCACAAGGTGCATGCTGTTGTTGTATGCAGATGATCATCTCTACCTCTTGATGAAGTCGTGGTGAAGGAAACACAAACGGCATATATCATGTCGTATAGATGTTGTCGTCGATGTGTGTTGCGATAGAATACTACCTTCTGGGTAGTACTGAACTGATCTATGCATACGACATATGTATCTATGCATACAACCACCTACTATCAGTTCACTGGAGACTGGAATAGTCTCTCAGACTTACGTATAAGTGTCAGTATGTATGTAGATGCATAAGGAACCTCATGGGAGTTGTTATGAACACCGCACAATGATCCCAGAGACGCAATGATCTGTCGAAACCAAAAGATACATGCATTATCTGGCTAGGCACTAATATCCTCCCCCATTGTACGTATCTCCAGAGTACGGCTGAGGCCATCGCTGCGCTCCGCTTGATGTACCTACATACATATACACAGACCAGGGCCTCACGCGAATTAAAGGGATACCTTGACTTGGCCGGCACTAGGGCCCGAGCACCTGGCCTCTGGCCTAGTCTGTTGTACATCCTTACCGCATAGGACCTACTTTGACAGGCACTGGGCTTCGTTACCGGATCATCCTGCTGCGGCTGACAGGCGAGTAGCAACTGAACGAAGCCATAATTATCTGCGAGTAGGCATATATGATCTCTTGGCAACGTTTCCTCTTCTCTGCCTTTCGCTGCCTCTCGCTGCCGGGGCATAATCGTGTAAGTCCAGGTTGCCCCTTGATGCATTGGGCTGACAGGATCGATCTGCCTGGGGAGCGAACCATGCGGCAAATAAATCATAATGATATCGTTCTAGAACCCGGGGTTACTTCATACTTAGATAGAGAAGGAGAGAGAGTCCTATATTCGTTCGCGGCTCGCGCGAAGCTTTTCATCGGCACCGACTCGCCGCGGACCAAGCTTTCTATTCTTCTGCGTCGACGACAAGCCCCAAAGAGTAGCCCGCCATGCCGACCCAGGAGGAGGTGAACATCGAGGGCTACGCGGAATATGCCGCGGGGATGGTGATATTCGTCGCCAGAATCGTTTCCAGGTTACTGCTTGTCGGCTTTCAGGGGATGACCTGGGATGACGCCTTCACGGTTATCGCTGCGGTATGTCTTGCCTCGCTGCCGTAAGGCTTGACGGGAGAGTTGGGAGACGAGAAGGCTGACAGACAGATCACCATCGCCAGACATTCTGGACGGCAGACTTGGTGATTCTGTATTACATAGGTGTCCACGGAAGCAGTGTTGGCCAGACGTTCGAATCGGCCGACCTACTGGACGATGCTACCGTCGAAAGCTTCAGGATAGGAGACAAGTTGACATTTGCCAGCTGGGTCTGCTATATCTGCCTCATCTGGTCGATGAAGGGCATAGTCCTCTGGTATTATGATCGCATGGTAGGCATTTGGTTGCGACTTAACCCCCCTCCCCCGCTCACCGTTCTCCTAAGTTGCCTATATCAGAAGAGGACTACTAACAAGTGCTAGACCTTGAATCTGTGGCAGAACATACTAGGCTATTGGATTCGTTGGCTGACTTTGGCGACCTTCCTTACTGCCATCATCTTCCAATTCTCCCTCTGCACGCCCATCGAGAGGGCCTGGCAGGTGAAGCCCTATCCCGAAGGTGAGTCAGAGCATCCAGCTTGCTTGAGTTGGCGGCTTGTTCCCCGACGAGTCTGAATGTCTAACGAGGCTACTTAACAGATAAATGCGTCTTTCGTAAAGAGAACTACATATTATACCCGATCCTCAGCATTGTGTAAGTAAGAATAGCCATGCTGCTCCGCACGCGACCTTCGCTTCAACCAAAATGCGCGCGTGGATAATGAACTGACGAGGCTCGCCTCCCTTTGCAAGATCCGATATTGGTATTATGGCCATTCCATTGCCTCTGCTATGGCAAGCTCGACTTCCGATAGTGCGCAAGCTCGTTCTCGGCGGATTTATCGCGTCTGGCATCTTCATCATCATCGCCACTCTCCTCAGAACGTTCTACTCTCTCGGATCCCTCACGGACCTGCTTGTAGCGACGCAGTGGGCCACTCGCGAATACCTAGTTACGGCCTTCGTCGTCTCGGCGCCAGCGATCAAGCCCCTATTCAGCAAGCGCCTCTGGGGCATGCACACGTCTTCGACAAAGTCGAGCAGCTACGCAGATCGGTACGGGTCTGGCGGGTCCGCGCTGCGCTCGACGACAAAGAGCTCGAAGGGCCCCAGCCACTCCGTCGTCATCGAGAGCCAGACGCAGGGGGAGTCTTCGGCGGGAAAGTCATTCGAGATGACCTCTCGAGGCTGGCCTAGGAAAGGGAACAATCCGAAGATACGGCTACATAGCGACGCGAGTCAGGAACACATCGTACAGTATCCGTCCGACGAAGAAGTAGGGATACATGTCACCGAGTCGTACACGGTTTCCAGCGAAGAGAGGAAGTCCCAGACATGAAATGATGTTTCTTTACGAGTTTTTCCAGCGCACGCATCGCGGGGGGGCACGACTCCGGTGTGAATAAATGGTTGTATGGTCAGGTCAGCTCCGCCGGAACGGGGCAGCGCCGGCACTCTTCCCCTCGACGGCTTTAGATGCCGTGGGCTACCTGGTACCCGGAAAGAACCTGTGGTTACTTTGCAATGTTTTTTTTTTTTTTTTTGGAATTTCGGGCTCGACTTGGAAATAACCCCTTTTCGTCGCCAGGGCTCTCCTTGATTTGGGAGATTACGGACATATTAGTGGATGTGGGAAGGCAGGTCTCTGCGGATGTGAGCTTGGTATCAGTTGCAACCCTCACATCGAAAGACACGAAGTGGAATAGGTCAGCAAAAGCAATATTGATTTCCCTCATGGCGTTGACATGTTTGAGAGCAGACAGCCGATGATTGGGAGTTCTTGTCGTTGGCGTTTTCTACTAAAAAGGATCGAAGAACCACGGGAAACCTCGAGGTCATCGGAGTCGTTTGGTGTTGAATATCCCCGGAGCAGTGCCCAGTACTGATTTACTAGCTGCTGTCACCATGTTTCTGGTTTTATTTTACCTATCATTTTCAGCCTACTACTAGTATAATTCTTCCACGGAATGGCCGGCGACTGAGATATCACGACATAACGCCCTGATACGTGATGAATTTACGACCTTACTAGAGTTACGGCTATATCAATATCAGCAGAAAGCATTCATCTCGAGTTGTATTGTGCGTTTTGGTGGCGGTTCCTCTCGTGGCCTCGCTGCCTTAATCGTAAGGCAGGCAAGACGAGTTGAAAGGTCAACCTAGTTGATCGATTGAAGGTGTAAAAACTAAACTGCTAAAAGGGCTTAAATACAGCGTTTTACGAACAGTTAGCTGTTGCGTGTTTTTCTTCAATTCCACAGGCCTCCATTCTGGATGCCTGAGGATCCACAGTATGTCTTGCGCCTAATTCAAGAGTTAATCGCATACAGCGTGACGGGCAGACTCCTCGCGCAAAGTTATTGGGACGAAGTAGGGATCTGCAGAAGGGGTAAACGGAACCCATTAAATTAATTCTTTTGATATACCTCGGTCTGACACCGAAATGAGGCGGTCCGAGTTATCCCAGAATCTGAATGCCAATGCCGTTTTCTTTTTGGTTCTCAGGATTATAACGGAGCCCCCAGCTTCTCAGCCCCAAGCCACTCGTCCGTTCCAAACTCGCAATATCGTCCGACCGCCTCTTACCCTTGCCCGCCTCCCGGTCTGAAGAATAATTCGGCTTCGATTTCATCCACGCCTTGTTTTTTCATAAGGAGCCAGGTATTCTCCGCGGAGAATGAGTATGCAACTAGCCACACTAAGCCCCATCGCCTCTTACGTCCAGGTAGTGCCCAGCTACTCTCATGAGAACGTCACCCTAGCGTGGGCGACAACCTTTATCTCCTCCCCTGCTCGAGAAGCTAGTTTCTTTACCTAGTCGGTCAAGTCCTACGACTCCTAGGACTTGAGCGTCCTTCAGCCAAGAGAAGCCCAAACCCGAACCCAAACCCAACCCCGCTCATGCTCGGCGGTCACAATCAGTCTGTCACGTAGGCACTCGCCCCTAGTGGCAACCACCCAGCTTACCCAAGCTGGTTGAGCACTTCTATATGTACTCATAGATTGCTCCACACTCTCTAGTAGATTTCCTTCTTTCTAGTCAGTCAATACACACCTTCTCACCCGCATTCCATTGCTCCCTTTGCGCGCAATCTAGTGAGCCACACGTTGCTCTCACCAGCTACGTAACACAGTCACACTTACTTACGAACTTACCTACGAATCTCTACCGTTCAGGTTCGGCGTTCCCCAGCATCACCCCCCTTGCTGCCCAGACGGAAAGCGGGGCCTAGACACGCATACACAGACAGGGAGACAGGGAAGAGGATCGAGCGCGGCGAAACCCCCAGCCATGGCCCCAGACCGGCAGTTCCACCTGTTCCCGCAGCTCCCGCCGGAGCTGCGCGAGCTGATCTGGGCGTTCCACGAGGCGGCCGCCGACCTGCCGTCGACGCGGCACCTGTTCGCGGCGAGCGGCGACGGGTCCGGGGCGCGGACGTACGCCGCGTTCGACGAGGCGACGCGGCTCGTGCTCGACAAGCGCGCCGCGGCTCGTGCTCGACAAGCGCGCCGCGGCGGGCGACCACGCGTACCTGCGGTACCGGCGGCGGGTGCGGCTGCCGGGCGCGGTCCGCGCCGTCGACGCCCAGCGCGCGCCGTACACCGCGGCGGACGAGTGGTCGACGCTGGCGCTGGCGCGGCTGCTCCCGCCGCCGCCCGCCGGCCTCGACGTCTGGGCCGACCTCGCGCGCGACGTCTTCGCCTTCGTGCAGCAGGCGCACCCCGCGGCCCCCCCGCCCGCCTACCTCCCGCACTTCCGCGGCGCCGCGCTGCCCGACGCCCACTGGCTCTTCGCCGTGCGCCGCCTCGCGCTGCGCCCGCCGCCCCGGCCCGCCCTCGCCGCCCGCGTGCCCCCCGCCGACGCCGCCCTGCTCGCGCGCATGCGCCGCCTCGCCGCCGTCTACCTCGTCGTCGCCGAGGTGCCCAGCGGCCGCGACCGCAACAACGTGCGCCAGCGCGCCGGCCGCGACCCCCCGCCCACGCCCGACGCCCTCGGCTTCATGCCCGTCGACGACTTCCGCGCCGCCTCGTCCTGGCCCGCCGGGCTCGCCGCCCGCGACGCCCTCGGCCGCTTCTTCGCCGACCACGGCCTGAGCGTCGACGTCCAGGTCGTCGTCGACTTGTACTAGCGAATGGCTCCGCGGGACGGAAACCGGCAGGCAGCGAGGCTGCCCGTTGGAGGTGTACGGGGACGTCTCCTAGGTAACGTGAGGAAAGGTAAGGGCTGCCTAGTCCATTAATAGTAGCTCGAAGACTTACGGCGGAATAGTGGCGGAGGATTTTGCCGCTTCCATGAGATGATTTATGATAAACGAGGTCTGAGTATGCGAGATTTGTGACTTCTAATGTACTTGTGAGACGGTATTCCCGCGTATTATTGCACATAAAAGCTGATGATATTGCGAGGCCGATATAATGGTGACTGGGGGGTGAGTGAGCATTACTTAAAGAGATTGAACAGGAAAGGAAACATAAAAATAAAGCAGAGCGCATGCTTCAGTATATTTTCACGTACTAAACACCCTTTTGAGTCTCATTTTTCGTAATTCTTTCTGTCTAAATGTTGAATGTATGTAAGTAGGCGGATGGTGGGAGACTGCATGCCATGACCAGGAGGCGTGCAATATTGTTGCTTCGCAGTAACTCAGGTTCTCACCGACTATATATGGTTTTCGTCCTCTACGCATTAAATTTCTGGATTGGTTATGGAAGAGAATACAAGCATAGCCGGGGTCCCTGTTAGAACAAAATATTAGTTCGCGTTGCCGTCGTATGAAACCTTTACAACATCATTCATGTTCACGACACAAGAAGCCTGTATATATAGCAAAATTGTGGGCAACGATGACCCCGTCCTCTATACTCAGTTTCTCGAATGCGAGTTGTTGCTTATGTGCTGCACACCGATCCTCTAACGACGACGCCTCATGCTAGTCGGTCTTCCCGCTCTAACCAATGCAAATAGCCGCCACTGGGGAAAGGGAGAGAGCCTCCGTGTATACGCACACGCACACCTGTCGACCTGTCTACTGCCTAGGCAGGTTAGGTGCTCGAGGCAAAACAATAAAAAGGTGAGCCGGCATATACATCAGGACGACTACACCCAGCAACCCCTCCTTCACACTAGCGTCTTCGCATCGCCGTCCTGGAGCTTGCCAGCCGCGATGAGGCGTTTGACCTCGTCGCTCCACACGCCCTTGATTTCGTCGGCGACCTTGAGCCCCGTCAGCTTGCCGGCGAGGGCCGCGACCTCTTCGGGTTCGATCTTGCCCTGGACGAGCTCGACGTCGTTGAGTACGGCATCGATCTGGGCTGGGGACGCGTCAGCACCCGCGGCGGCGAAGTAGTTGGCGTCCTTGACAGAGCCGCGTAGCACGCGCTTATTCTTCTTGACTGCGTTCTTGGCCGCCTCCTTGGCCTTCTTGTTGGCCTCGCGGTCGGCCTTGGCCTTCTCCTCGGCCTCGCGGGCCGCCTGCTCCTCGGCCTCTTTCTTGAGGCGCGCGTCCTCCTTGGCCTTGCGCTCGGCCTCCTCCTTTTCAAGGCGTTTCTTGTTCTTGGCCGCGTTGGCCGCCTGGCGGAAGCGCTTGATGCGCTCGTCGCCGGCGGAGCAGTCGTCGAGAAGCTTACGTAGGCGGGCGTTATCCTCGGCCTTCTTCTTCTTGCGAGCGTTGGTGTTCTTGCGCTCCATGTGGCGCTTCTGGTCGCGATTCTCGTTGTCGTCGGGCACGTCCTCGTCGAGATACTCGAAGGAGCGCCACGAGTCGAAGTTGTACCAAAAGTTGTAAAAGCCTTCGACCTCTTCCTTAGTCGAGTTCTCGTCGCCGAAGCTGGGGACAGGCTGCTGCTTAGAGAAGCGTGCCTCCGACTTAAAGACGCGCCCCCACAGCTTGTAGTAGTTGCCCTTGGCAGCCTCCTTCTTGGATGGGGGTGTAGCGTCGGCCTTTTCGTCGACAGAATCGAACTGGCGGCGCCTGACCGGGTCGAGGAGGACCTCGGTGGCCTTCTGGATGCACTTGAAGAAGTTGTCGTCCTCGGTGTTCCCCTGGGCGGCCTTCTTGTCGGGATGGTGCTTCAGGACCTTCTTGCGGTGGGCGCGCTTGATCTGATCCTCAGTCGCTCGCCACCGGTATTTCGAGAGGCCTAGGACCTGGTAATGGTCTTGGGACTGCGGTTCGTCAGGGTGCATCAGTATGACAGACAGGCTAACGAGGGTTACGGGTAGGGGTGCGGGGTCCAAGCTCACCTTCCAGTCTTTGGCTTCCCGTTGGAACATCATAGGATCTTCGGGCTCGCTGACATCGCTCTCGTCGTCATTCTCGATCCTCTTGGCCGTCTCCTGGGCCTGGATGCGGTCATCCTCGGAGAAGGTGCGCTTATGGCGGGCTCGTCGTGCGTGGGCTAGGAAGTGAGGTCCGACAGGCTCGATGGTGCGTTGGGTAGAGGCAGTGATGGAGCCGAGGGGCTTGAAGTCCTTCTCGGCCGACCAGCCGTCCGGGAGGATGGGCAGCGGCCGTGCGACTATTGTGGCAGCGGCCATGGTGTCGCTTGCACGGCGGAGGTGCGCAGTCCTCGTGTTTTATATTGCTGGTTAGGTAGTAGCCGGGTTATGGGGGGTTGTGTGGGAGGTAGAAATGTAACATGAGAGTTGAGGGAGAAGGTATCGTGGGGTTTTTCCATCCGCCTGCAAGAAAAAAAGAATTACGGATTAGAAAAAATCAATATTGGTTAATACTTGGGTGTGAGAGTACGTAATACATGCTAGGTATAGCGATTCCGTCGTTAATTAGGTAATGCGTCAGATGTTGCACTGCGCCACAATAGCGCCCTAGGTGGCGTAGCCTCTGGGTGAAGGCTGGATGATGACTCAGCAAACCATCACCCAACTGAAAAAGTCGCCGTCCTTTACCTCGTTCTGATTGGCGGGTCAAGTCGAACGAGGTCTGAAAACCGAAGCCGCCAATAGGCTCGCCGTCGAATCGACTTTACACATCGCTCTCTTTCCTGCTCCATCTCAGTCTCTAACCCCTCCTTTGCGCGGCAGAAAGCGGGAAAAAGCCGACCAGGGAAGAGAGGAGCCCCAAGACACCCCCCCCCCTTTCGCACGCGACGGCTGCAACCAAGACCTATCCATGGCTCTCCCCGCCTACCGCGGCCTGCTGCGAGCCTCGAGGCTAGCCTTCCAAGGTAACCCTGCGCGCGCCCCGTCCCTCCGTCGCGAGCCCGCGGCCCAGCCGAGCTAACCCGCGCGACTTTTCCCCCAGGCGACGAGCGCTTGCTCGCGGCCTCCCGGGCCTCCATCCGCGCGGCCTTCCTCGAGAACGCGGCGCTGGCGCCGACCGACCCGGCCGTGCCCGCCGCCGTCCAGCACGCGCGCGACGTCGCCGACATCCTGCGCCAGAACGTCGTCCAGGGGAAGAAGGAGGGAGACCGTTACCGTACGTAGTCGTTTGTTTCCCCCGTGTGTATGTGTGTATGTGTGTATGAATGTGTGCACCACCCGCCGATCTGACGACGACCGCCCAGGCCTACGCATACACGACGAGACCGAGCGCGGCGACAACGACACGGTTAAGAATGCTGGTGGCAAGACGGCGAAGACCGACGGCAAGACGTGTGCCAATCGGTGATACGGGTGGACAGGATAAAGGCGGTCAGGAGAGGGAAAGGAATTCGGGAGACACATGAAAAAATGACGCATAAAGTCCCCGAGAGCAAGATGAATTCTCGTGCTCATGTATTATACCGCTCATCCCCTACGTAACGGTGAATACCCGCCGTGTGCCAACAATTACACACGTACATACATACACGTAAGCGCATATAACCCGCCGCCACGAGCGAGAGCCGGAAGGCGGCCGTTCTCGCGTGAGGGCTAGCCGGGGGAGGTATCCGCGGTGAGTGGCGGGCAGACAACCGATTGTATTTGCTCGCCAAAAGCGCTAGCCGCATTGCCATCTTATTATATCCCTTCTCCTCTTTCCCTTTTCTCTCCCTCTCCAACGCAGAGACAAGAAAGTGCCCAAACGCCGTCCATGCATATGATGATGATAATATAAAGACGCCACGCCATCGTCCGTAGTCCTGCTCCCCATCCTCGTCCGCCAATCCACCCTACCGTCCCTCAGCCAGCCGCTCAATCGCCAGACAGACTCGCGTAGTTGACCTTGGCCGCCCCCGGGGGCGGCGCGATGACGGGCGTGCTCTCGAGGTCCTGGTCGGCCTCGCCAGCGCCTTCCTGGCCCGGCGGAGCGCCGATGGCCCGGCGACCGCCGCCGCGCCGCGGGTGCTGGCCTGCAAAGGCCGATCGCCCGTCGCGCGCCATGGCTGCGCGCTCCTCCTTGTTCATGGTGCCGACGGCGCGCGGGACGGACCAGCGGACGCGCAGGGGGCAGCCGGCGACGACGGCGCGGCCGCGGCACGCGTCGGCCGCGCGCTCCGCGCCCTCGCGCGTCTCGTAGTTGACGAAGGCGCAGTGCGACATGTGGCTGCAGATCAGCGACTTGATCTTGCCGTGCTCCCGGAAGAAGTCCCGGATCTTGTGCTCCGGCAGGTCGTCCTCCACCCCCGTCACGAACAGGCTCATGATCGTCTGGTCCGCCGGCGGCTCCCAGTCCTTCGGCCCCGGCGGCAGCTGCGACGCGCTCGGGAACGCCCGCCCGCCTCTCCCGCCGCCGCCTCCCCGTCCTCCTCCTCCTCCTCCGCCCCGCCCCCCTCCTCTACCTGCCCCGGCCGCCGCTGCCGCTCGCGAGTCGCGCGTTCGTATGGGACCCGGTCCGCCGGCGCCGGCGCCCACGGCGGCGTTCCCGCCCGGCGACGACGGCGAGCCGCCGCCGTCCTCGATGGCGCGGCCCTTGCGGAAGTAGGGCTTGCTGTTGGCCAAGCGGCGCAGGAGCTCGCGGGCCTTCTCGTCGGTCTTCTCGTACTCCTCGGTGCCGGCGCCGCCGTCCTCGATGGCCTTCTCGTTGTTCTGGGCGAAGTACTCGCGGTTGATCTCGCTCGAGGGGCCCGGGGCGACCATCTTGAGAGCGGCGTCGCGCAGCTGGATGGGCAGGCCGAACTGCAGGTCGAGCATGCAGCACTGGCAGCAGTTCTTCATGCGGGCGCAGGTCAGGCAGATGTTGGTGCGCTTCTTGCGGCCGTGGGCGCGGTCGGCGGCCCAGGCGAAGACGGTGTAGGGGCGGGTGCAGATCTTGCACTCGGCGCCGTAGTCCTCCTTGAGCATCTTGACGTAGGGGTTCGGCGGCAGGCAGTTCTCGCACACGGACGGGAAGTCGGTCGACTCCCAGCCCGAGCGGTTCAAGTCCTGCTTGATCTGGGGCGGCATGGCGGCGGCCCGGGTTCGGTGTCGATGCGGTTCAGATGCCGTGTACGGGGAGGAGGGTGGGATGGTGGTAGGTTGTTGATGGCGGCAGGCGATGTGAACGGATGAGAGAGATGGAAGAATGGATTTGGTGATGGGACCGGTTGTCAGCCATGTTATTGATCGGTGGAAAACTGCGATAAGCCAAGTTTATCGCAAGTGTGGCTGAGGAGGCGACTTTCGATATGGTGGTGCATTCTGCATTATTGCATGGCTGCGTATAACTCAACGCCTAATATTTATATAAGCAAAATATGTATCTACCAACACTTACGTTACGCTATCCCCAGCAAACATAACCAACCTCTCCCCCACGGGGCGGACCCCCAACCAATCACCGCCCGCCGCCACGACCTCGAATTCCTTCATCGGGTTTCCTCACTCCCCTGGCCGCCCGGCCGCTCTCGATTTTCCCTCGCCGAATTTGACGCAAAATTAGCAAACATCGTGGGACACGGAGATGATTGTTTGTCCCTCTGCCTGGCTTCGGTATTCATCCCGCTCCGTCGCCCCTCCATTCCCGCTCCATCCCCTCGAGGACCATCACATCGGGTAGACAATGGCGCCAGATCTCCAGACCGGGCTGGACGTTCCTCTTCCCCCCCCGCCTCCCCATTCGAGTCACCTGCCTGCGTCTTTCTCTGGGCACCGCGTTTCTACGCACATTTGCCTTCGTAAAGCGAAGTTAAGGTATTGCTACAAGTCGGAGGTGTGGGAGGGAGGGGTCGAGAGGGACCAGGGCAGAGGAGGAACCTTAAAACGACGGAAGTCCAATTCCAATACGGAGAGGAAGACTACTTCTTACTCTGAAGACTACCAATATTGAATCCTTACTTTTCAACTACCATGTCGCACTGGCTGCCCGCATGTTACCTGCTGGTGGACGGCGCCTTCAGATGGGGAGGGAGACACAAAAAGGAGAAGCGTACGGGTTCCGTAGGCATTGTGCTTGGATGTTCGGTTGAGTGCTCCACATGTAGATAGTGTTACGAGTAGCCTGATGACGTGGCTAGCAAAATAGGTATGTGCCGTAGCGTGTCCGTTTCCTCTTTGCTATAATATTATATCTCTGTTATTAAGCGGCAATGTAAACAGAACCTACCCTTACCACGAAGCCTGTTATACCCTCCATTCGCCAGCCAGCCGCCCGGCCTCGACGTTGACGAAGGTTCGCAAGTGTCACTCACTGGATCAGGTTGTTTGCTTGTAAGTTTTGTTGTCCTCAGCTGACCGGTGAATGTGGGTTTCGGCCAGCTTCGCGCGTGTAATTAGACTGTCGGTAAATCTTAAACGATCTGGCGTCCCTCACGACATTGTTAGGAAGTGGGTTTTCCGGTAATCATATAAATACGGGGAGGCCCCAGGCTTTCTCTTCCTGGAGGTCACCACCACTTCATGTTTCTCGTCAAGGATACTCCTCTCCCTCGCTAAGGATACTGATATAATATTGACAACAACATCGAGATTTTTATTAATAACCTGTACCTACCTTATTCTAACCTATACCATTAATGTAACCTCTGCCACTGTTGTCACCATGCAACCTCTCATGATCCAGACCTCGCGCGGAGCTGCCCAGGGCGCTGCCGACAGTAACGGACCGACTGCAACTGCGCATAGTGCCGAGAAAGCTCCAGCAAAGCAGGCTACATCTCACGCCGAAGTGGTGCTGTCGGGCGGAAATGGCGGCACCATCCTCACCGAGCGTGACTGTCCCGAGGCTCTCGGCTTTGCATTCTCGAACCGCAAAAAGTGGTTGACGTTGACCATCATCTTCCTCGTTCAAACATCGAGTAAGCAGTCTGCCCCGCACGCTCGCAACCTCACCTTGATATTCTCTCTCCTCGTGAGACCTGCATCAGGAGAGCGATATCTTTGTCGACAACAGTTATAACTGACGATGGCATAACGCAGTGAACCTCAACGCATCTCTGTACGCCAACGCCCAGAGCGGCATCGCCCGCGATTTGAATGTGAGCCCACAATCCGCCGTCAGCGGCGCGGCCGTCTTCTTGATCACTTATGCATTCGGATGCGAGCTGTAAGTCTCCCAACCGCACAACCGGTCCATCTTTCCCTGACTGACACACCGTCCTGCGTAGCTGGGCTCCCTGGTCCGAGGAGTTCGGGCGGAAGCCGGTCCTCCAGTGTTCGCTGTTCCTCGTCAACCTGTGCTGCATTCCCGTGGGCACTGGCTTCTACCACAAGTCGTTTTCCGGCGTGCTGGCTGGCCGGGCCCTCGGCGGCCTCTTCTCGGCCGGCGGCAGCGTCACGCTCGGCATGGTGGCCGACATGTTCGACACCGAGCACCAGGAGCACCCGCTCGCGTTCATCGTGCTGTCGTCCGTGGGCGGCTCCATCGTTGGCCCCATCGTCGGCGGCTTCGTCGAGGACAACTGCCCGTGGCAGTGGGCTATCTGGATCCAGCTTCTCTTCGGCGCCTTCGTCCAGCTCCTCCACCTCCTCCTCGTCCCCGAGACCCGCGCCACCGTCCTCCTCGGCCGCCACGCTAAGAAGCTCCGCGCCTCCGGCGACAGGCCCGACGTCTACGGCCCCTCCGAGCTTAAGACCTGGCGCGAGTACCTCGTCCCGCGCGAGCTCGTCTCCCTCTGGCTCCGGCCCTTCCATATGTTTGCCACCGACCTAATCGTCCTCGTCCTGTCTCTGCTCTCCGGGTTCAGCGACGCCCTCATCTTTATGCAGATCCAGTCGCTTAGTCGCGTCTTCAAGCTCTACGGCTTCACCAACACTCAGAACGGATTGGTAAGTTTTCTCATCATCCTCACGCGCCTTCCGCTTCCCTTTGCCCCATTACCAGCGAGCCACGCGTCGTGCATTCTCGGAACCTCCGCTAACCTCTTCTCCCCCCCCCTGCCTTTTGCGCGCAGGCCTTCATCTCCATCGGCCTCGCCTACCTGATCGCGTACGCGCTGTACTTCCCGGTGATCCGGCGCAACCGGGCGCTGCGGGCGCGGCAGCCGGCCGACGAGCGGGCGCAGTACGAGGCGCGGCTGTGGTGGCTGGTGTACACGGCGCCGCTGCTGCCGATCGGGCTCGTGGTGTTCGGGTGCACGGGCAGCCCGGCGGTGGCGCACTGGGCCGTGCCCATGCTCGGCTGCGTGCTCATCGGCGTCGCCAACTACACCGTCTACATGGCCACCATCGACTACATGGTCGCCGCCTACGGCCCCTACTCCGCCTCCGCCACCGGCGGCAACGGCTTCGCCCGCGACTTTCTCGCCGGCCTCCTCACCTGGGCCGCCCAGCCCTACTACGACGCCTTCACCCACGGCGGCCGCGACCCCGACCCCCACCGCGGCCTCGCTATCGCCAACGGCGTCCTCGCCGCCATCGCTCTCCTCCTCGTCGCCGCCACCTTCGCCGTCTACCGCACCGGCCCCTACCTCCGCCGCCACTCCCCCTTTGCCCAGTCCCTCGCCAGGGCCGCCGCGGCGGAGAACGCCTCCTCTCCCGTCCAGGGCCCACAGGAGGCGGAAGAGATAAGGAGTTTCGCTGCCGAGCCGTCTGTTTCCCGCGTGGTATAAAAGCTGTTAAGGTGAAGGGGCGGATGTCTGTTTTTTCTTGTCTGGGGTCGGGTTGCCTTCGCGGCAAAGGTCAGTGAGGGGGGTTAGCTTTTCGCTTGTCTCGCGTCCGTTTCGTGGTATCCTTATTTGGCTATGATATCCCTTATGTACGTAGTATTACCCAGGACCCTGAGGCTAGGACCCTGATGCTGCTCTGCCACACGCTCCGTGTGACGTGTTCTGGCGGATCTAAGCTCTCGATCCTGTCGCCACCATACCCATAGGCTTCTTTGCTTCCTTTTCCACTTGTTCTGTTTTAGATACTGTATTTTAAGGCACTCTGATGTTATACAGATACATGTCCGCTCGCGCCGGCGGACTAGGATGCCCACTACCACTCACAGTATTACTATACGGAGAGTGGTTCTGCATCCCAATACATAGGCAACTTAAAACGGCTATGCTATTGTTTTACATGTTCTGTCGAACAAGTTGACATAACTGAGGGCACACGATATGCCCAAGCATGACGACGAAGATGGCCCTCCACGAATCACGTAATTGAGTAAAGACGCCTTCTCGAGTAATCTCTATGAACTGCTACCTATGATATCTGTACTTAAATTTGTATCCCCCCCCCCCCCCCCCAGCACGCCTAGAGGGACAGTAGTAGCATGCATCGTGCAGTCGAACTGTGGCCGCAATTAGGGAATTATTCTCTTGCCCTTCTAGCTATCCTCCTGCCGCACACCTACCCAATTCACTCAACTACATAACATATGGTTAGCAGAGAGATATACCTAGGTGGGTTGATGCGAGGACCCTACCCAGGTTTTTGCCTTGTTATCACCACGCACACCATCTTCAACCACCAAAATCCTTATCTGGCCTAATGTAAGGTAGGCAGAGAGGGGTATTTACAGCGTACAATACTGTCTAACGTGAGATAAGAGCGAAGTGGGTTGGGAGAATCTTTTGTAACACGGATTGTATCTGGTGATCAGATACGAGCGCCGGGTTATGTCCTTTGTCCGAGCAATGGTCGTGTAGAATACCGCGCCTTTTTATTCTCACCCCACCCTGAGGATAGTTGATGCACAACGTCGGCGGTCGGAGAGAGCGTCAAGAGTAGGGTAGCGTGCGATAGGCTGGCGGAAGGGGGATTGCTGAACCGAAGAAGGGAAGCTAATATCCGCTTGGAAACGCCTCGGTAAAAGTTTTCTAATCATCGTAAGAGTGGATGTAGTAAAATATGTATCATTGCGGTAGCAGAGAAGTTATATGGTCCTGCAACCATTGGACAGGTAAGCGGCCCGGGGTGGCTTTCGGAGGAGGGCCAATACCAAGACCTCGATCGAGTACGACACTCCCCACGGGGAGCGGTCGTGGATCCTGCATTCATTTTATTCACGATCCTCGTCCTCATTCGAAGCGTCTTTTACGGCCCGGACCAATCGTATGTACCTATGGAATTCCGGCGTTACGAGCAACAGGCTGTTGGATGTGTGGCAAGGCGCCCACACGTATTCCAGCCCCCTGATGTGCCGGGCCACGCATTGAGCCACACGGCTGTCCTCGATGACCATCCGGGCGCCAAATCGCGGCCACACGAAATCTCGCGACGTCTTGGTAACTTGGTGCGGATCGGACTGGACGAAATTGATGCGGCGGAGATTGGGAAATACAAATCTACGAAATATCTCGACGTAGTGTTCTCGTGTTAGCAGGATGGCATCCAACTCGAGCTCGCTTAGGGCCGGAAGGTCTCGCAGAAGCTGCCATGCCTGTCCCAAGCTGTTCTTACCCTCGCAGGGGATATCCAAGTATATCGGCTCGTCCATGGCAGTCTTGGGGACGAGCTCCGCCGGCTTCGGCAATGGCGTGAAGACCAACAGGCTAACCTTGGAGATTAACGCCTTCCATCGGGGTGACAGGAAGGTAAGAAACTGGGAGCACTCCCGCATGTTCCCGAACGCGAAGGTGTTACGGGTGTAGAAGACGGCACCGGCTTCGGCGTACCACCGGCGGCATACCAGCAGCGTCTCCAGATGGTCACGCCGTGCACATAGACAAGGCAACCTAGACTCGGTCGGAAATGGGCGGGGTCGGTGCCGGTAGTCGTAGCAGGCCGTACACACGTACGGATTCTGCTGCTCCGGGGCCCAGCGGCTGCGCCAGGGATCGACAGTGATGGGATCGGTGCAGTGCCGCCAGAGCGTCGTCTCGTGGAACTGAGAGGCGCATACCCCTAGACTAATCTGCGGCCGGCTGCCCATCTGACTGAGGTAGCCCTCGAGGGGTACGGTGCTAAGCGGGCAGTCCGGGCGATGTTTGATGTTCCACTTGACGGGGCGTACGAGGAGCTGGGCAAATATCTCGTTACGGAGTTCCTGCGGGAGCGAGTAGAAGCGGTGACCTAGTGTACCGGGGGGCGGAGGAGTGTCGGCAGAGGTCGGGTCTGGCACCCAAGGGGCGCCATGGGGGTGTCGGTTCCCACGAGGGGCCTCTCGCTCGGCTTGGGCCAGCTGCTTGGCGGCGGCCCTTTGTTGAGCTTTCAGAGAGTGAACCTTCTTAGCACGTTTCGGCATAGTTGTGTGCGGAGAGATGTACGGGTATGGGCGCTATTATAGAAATTCTGCAGGAATTCCTAGGTAGACTCGTTGACTCGGCCAAACTGATGGATGTGGTGGAGGCGTGTAGCTGGTGAAAAAGGGTGGTGTGATGAAGAAAAATCGACGAAAATGAGGACGGAGAGGCTCGACGTTTGTGGATAAAGACAACCGTTCTGGAAACAGGGAATCTAGTATCCGGCGGATTCCCCCTTCCGAGACAGGTGTAGAGAGGACACAAAGTACAGTAACGGAATAAAAATAGGAGCGAAGAAAGTGCGCTGAGTTAGCTTTTGCTACCAAGTGTGTGCGTAAAAGCCCGCGTGGGAAGCTGGCCGGGGACGCCAGTCAGGGTTCGCACGCGCACAACCCCTAGCAAGTTAACCAACCCGGTTTCCAGGGGACGAGCAACTTGGCATCTGTTGATTTGGGATGTTGTGGGATGGGTAAAGAGGGCATAGGGCTTGCCATCGGTCCAGACTGTCGGATGCTGGTGCTGGCGATACCTCGCCGTGCCCAACGCTGAATGGGAGAAGACAAGCCTTCCTGCTTCCTCGCCCGGTTAGCGGTGGGGCTGGGATGGGCGCCGAGATACTGAGACACAGAGATAGGCAGGCCTCGAGACACTGGCACGCGTCTCAGAAACCGTTCGGGCCTGTTGAGACAGTGGGCGAGTTGCTGTTATTGGAGGCTCCGTGGCCTCACGACGTGCTGTCGATGGGTTAGGTACCTAAGGTACCTAAGGCGGGCGGAAAGACGCTGGCGGGCAAGTACCTGGATACTTACCTATACCTACCTAGGTACCGCGAGAATCGATGTTTTTGGCTAGTGGCCGGCGGGTTGATTGGTCATTTCCACATTGTTTCCCGCCGTCCGGCCCACCGCCCTCCCTTGCGTTTAAGATATCTCTAGTGCACGCTCACCTACACAAGGTACCTACCTGTACCCGTAAGGTATCCCTAACCTGCCTCAGCGATACCTTCAATAGACGCGTATCGACCTTGTTCGTAGTCACATATACTCAGTAAACACAATAAACACACCCACACACACATACATCTACCTGTCCATCTTGGCTTACCTCGGTGCGATACAGCCGTACCAGATTCCCGAACGCGATATCTGACGGTGCATGGCAGCTAGGTAGGTACCTAATGTAACGTGGGAGTTCCCCGTAGCGAACAGCAAGTCGGGTCGATGCCGGGTTTGCTCCCGTGGCGTGGCCTCGAACGGGGATCGTTGGGCGTGTTGGGTACCCAAGTCTCCTCGTGTGCATACATCTCGTACCGAGCATCTCCCCATACTGGGAACGGGATCTACATCCCTCAACCTACCACACGTCATGCGGAGAGCAAGGGGGAAGAGGAGAAGAAAAACAAACGAGATACAGCCTGTGGAATTCCATCGTCGAGTCCGCCCTACCGATAATTACGCATCAATAGTAGGTATATACCTACCTCTTATACATACCGCACGTTTGCGTGTTGATGTGGCTTGACATTCACATATCCCCGTTATGACGATTCCATGCATGTATTATACCTAGGTATGCCTAGCCGAGAAAAGTTAGCCGCATCCCTCCCTGCTGGCACCAGCAAAGCAAAACTACATTCATTCATTTATAGAGGTTCTTATGTAAGTATGCACATCCACTAATATATTTGTGCCTATATCCTACCTACCTATGTAGGTATCTAACCTACTCCGAGCTTCATCACGTCTTCAACCCGTAATACTCGCCTAATTCTGGAATCTTCCATAGCCGCCGATACCTAATTCTTCTATCCTCGAAGCCGGACGTGACATACGCGTCGGTGCCTACGTAGCAGAATGGTTCGTCGGTTCGAGAATAGAGGGCAGAAGAGGGAAAACACACGTAATTCTCGCGCACGCTTCGGGCATCTCACCATAACGCAGAGCGGGCGAAGGTTCATACCGGCCTCAGGACCGGCCCCAACATTTTCATCGTTTATAAGCCTTACCCATAGTTAATCTTTGCCGCCCCGGTTCGTCACCTGGAGTTATAGCATAGCGTGTCGACAAGGACTCGCTCGCATGGCAGTAGATACCGAGATCACTCTCCAGGATTCACCCTTGAACCCCCGGGCTAGTACCCCCAGTCAGCAAGGCAACGCGAGACCTGCTGAGTCCCAGCAGGCACTTTTTGAGGATGAAAAGGCCAGTTTGGTGGGACGATCTTGTAATGCAAGTCATATCAGGTAGGTATATTCCAGCAAAGAGAGTCGTTCCAAACGGAGGATCCCTTGACGTGGTGGTATTAGCAGCTCGCGTCTGCGTTAACGCTTGTCCACCTTCTCCCTAGCCGTTATCAATAGGCTATTATGATGAACTCCTCTTCCCTTCATCTGTGGTTTATGCCAGGGCCACGAATAGACTAAGCCCCATATTCTCTTGAATTCACGATGATCCCATCCTAGAAGGGCAAATCTTAGACCCGCCTACCACTGCTACCATGCTACTGCAACAGTAGCTTGATATCGTCGCAGCCGGGATGCCCCTCCTGCGAGTAAGCTTATCTCCTCTTTACGGCTCGCCGAGGCATGGACACGCCCTCCGCCCGGCAGTCCTTGGGTCCACATTGTCGTCGATGTCGATATTGAAACATGTTCACGGCATTCATAATTTGCCCTTCTCTCCCCGACGTCGCTCCTAGTCCTAATTAGGGAAGTAGGGCGGCTCCTCAACTACGATGAGCGCTTGAAGTTTACGAAGCCCGGGTCGCAATTCAGGAGAAAGCGTTCTTAATGCAAGGAAAACATGAGTTTCACAGCCTGGACTCGAATGCGCACTGCGGCGCGGCTATTAGAGGAGCGATTCCTTGTTAATGCTCTCGTCCGACTGAATAGGGCTCAGTGGCATGATCCGGGTTCAAATCTAACAAGTATTGCCCGTTGTCAGCATTTCTGGAGGATGCTTACGGCGTTATAGAGTCTGGGATTAACGACCGCGACCAGATACGTAATTGGATAGCCAAGAAACACACCGATGTTCGTGTCGGAGGTTACCTAGCCCCGCAGTCATGTTGGAGATGTTACATCGAGGGACAACGATGCCACGAGGCGGATTTCAGTTAATACAACCCATAGCGCATCTTTTATTAATGGCACATATAGTCCGTAAGATGCCACCAGTCCGTAAACTACGGAGTGTACAGTTGCTTCGAGGACCCACCCGGGATAGGACAGTGTCCTAAGTCTTCGATCATACGCATTAATACTTGACAGATTCGGGAGAACGGTATCAGATTCGTTAACATAGTAAGGACTATGCGACCGGACCGGTCTATTGCCGTAGTAGAATAGAGGCATTCGCCAGCTCGCAGTCACCTGATTCCCTCGCACTGATACCGGTGCTACCGATCACCATATATTTTAATGCTAGTCGACTTTGCCGGTCCCTTAGTGGCGGGCCCAGGGGAGGTATAATACGCCTAGAGCTCTATATTACTTTATATCATTCCCGAAAATGGGCATATGTGGGTGAATATCGACGACACAGCTATATTGGATCTCTATCCCAAAGCATTTCCTAAGTAAAGAGTTGACTGGTGCTAGGACCCCGAACAGACCAAGCTTTGGAGATCGTGGAGCGGACGTGGAGCAGTCACAACAAGATATGAAGTCATCGTAGGAAAGAATGCTATTACAATGTGTTGAAATGGAAATAGAACATAGGTATAGTTTAATACCAGCTCCTTTATTTGTGTATATATCGAGGAAGCTCGATCTACGAAAGAAGATGCCCGTAGCCATGCGGCACACACAACATCATAGAGCTAAGTCTATCCATAATCACCATCTTCTCTCCTTGACAACTTACTAACACACCTGATTCTCAGCTGCTCAGCATGAAGTCGGCAGCAGTAGTGTTCTCGGACCTCATAGCTTGCGCCATGCATTCGCCTCTACAGCTGTGCTAAGCACCCAAACAAAGCCAACAGCCATGCTAAGCGACGGCCTCCTTGCCGACACCGGCTTCTCGGGGCTAGCGAACGACGCCCAAGCCCCGACAGCTATATGAAAGATAGCCATTCTGATGCCCTCGGAACTCCTGACGTCCCTGAAACCCCCGGTGTACCTAGAGTTCCTAATGTTCCCAGCATCCCTAGCATCCCGTTTACTCCGCTCTCTGGTGTTACGATGTAGATAAAATGTAGGATTTGGTGTATGTCAGTCTTATCTACTAGTAGTTTACCATACGCCCTTTACGCTGTTCGCAGCTGCTCAGATATGGATGCCTCCGTTTATCTTTAGGTTATATTAGATCTTAAAAAGATGCGTCTAACGACGGCAGTGGGTCGGAGAGAATACGCAACGAGCACGCGCCGTTTCCAGATATACGGTGATCCCTCAAGGCTGCCACGCCGAACGGAACTAGCTTTCTTTGTCTGAGAGAGACGGGGTTACGTCAAGCGGGTCTTTGATGCTAGAGTACTTCCCTGTTTAGTCACCGCACTTCGTCTCAGATCAACCCAACTTAGTAGAGGCAGTACATAAATATCGCGCTCCAGCCTTCCTTTCCTCTTCGTTTCTATCAACCGAGCAGACCAAATCTGATTGTCGCAACTAGCCAGCTCGTTGAGGTTTGCGGAGCGCAATAAAATTCCATTGCGCCATATTACAACTCAAAATGATGGCTTCCATGAACTCACTTACCTTCCCATCGCACCAAAGGCACCCACGAACCATCAATTTCGGGATGCAATCATGGCACCATCAATTCACTCTAGGCTCGAACTTGACGATGATAAGCCGCTGCGGCGCCGGGATATTAACATGTCCGTTAATCGAGTGGGCCGGCAGGATCGAGGATGAAGACGACCGGATCCACGACGAGTGTTAAATCGCCCTGCACCGCGTAGCTTAAGACCTTCGTAGAACACATGTTTACGTGGCTCGACCCCCGCGAGAGACGATGGAATCGTGGAACGAGAGGATTCTGGAGAAGACAGAGACTAATCCCCAGTGGCTAAGCAAATTTAACAAGCAGCTTGTAGTAAAACTCGGCATAGGCACAAACTACCACGATATTACCCACAGGCTACATCTATCTCGCACTCAATAGCGACGGCGCGCTTAACGTTATGAACTGTCGAGAATTCATCGTTGGCTACGACGATAAAGTGCTCCGAGTATGGCACCGGGACGAGGAACAATATGGCCAGTGTCTCTCTCGCTCGGGAAGCCGGTAGGTTGCAAACACAAGCATAGATATCTTCACATATTGCCGCCTTCCCACGCTCCCTACTTCTTTTCCCTGTTTCCCTTTTGGGGTTTCTTACTTACTAACTGACTGATAACGTAAGATACTCAGAAGCCGATCCGGCCGTTATTCGCACAACGTACTTAATTTCGGATTAACCGAACTGCCAAGAGCAACGTATTACGCATGAAAACGTTGTTTGAGACGGGTTTTCCGGCGTCCACCACCTGCTATACATATGTTGACCCCTGTTAACGAGCATCGACCTGTAAACTACCCTTGGAACAACCAGCATGTCATCATTCATACTACCTCTTGGGAGATAACGCGTAGATAGTCGGGAAGAGGAAACTGGGTAGAATACTCAGCAGCGAGAGATTGGTTGAGATAAAGTTGCATGTCCGAGCAAGCTAGCGTGAAGCATGGATCACGAATTCCTACAAGGCGGAGGAGGACGTTATTACTAAGGTATAAACTGGGGGTGGCATGTAACAATCTACGAAAGCCATTGTGTTTAGGAGCCTGTGGATGCCACGTCAATGCGGTGAGACAAATCTGGATACGAGATGCAATATTAGGATAATTAATAGAACAAGCTCTGGGTATAGGAGAAGCCTAGCATAACGCGTCACCGAAATGCCATTATAGGGCTGACTTGAAGGGGGGAGGTAGGGGGATGTGGATGGAGAGCGGATCTTCACGTTGTGCTGTGCCCACACATAAGACCAGACCAGGGTCGCACTCAAGCCTTAACTCCGTGCGAAATAGGCAGTTTGCGGTGTCGAGAGTGGCTTGGCCACGTGGGTCATGCAATCCTTCCGGGTTCAGGGATGCCCTCAACGAAGCCTGTAAGACCGTTTCGGCGGACGCTCTTCTAACTGCGGCAATACCTCGGTGGGCCATACTGCGTAAATTCTCCTACAACGTAGTATCATGCCTGCGGCCGTGGCTTGGTATAGACTATCCGAATCGTTGCTTTACGCGAGCCTGTCGGTGTCAGGCTGGGGAACCGGTACCGCCGCGTCTCGACACCACCAGATCGGCATCGACATGGGGATGGCCAGTCCCCAGCAAATCACGTTCGACGTCGAGTACCGCGTTTGACAGGTGCGCCAAGAACCTCAATCTTCAACTGCATTTCTATTATTTATATCCGCAACCGGCCCGGCGGCTGTCTATCGGACGTCCCTACTTAGCTAAGCAACTCAACAGAGTCGGGATATATGTCCAGCTAAGGAGTCAACAGGAAGCGGCAGCATATCCGCGTATCTTCCTTGCCTAGCCGCGATACTCGCGGACGACTTCCTGACACGCAGGGGCAGAGTACGAGTCTTCGATGGCGACGAGCGTGGGTTGGCCGGGGGTGCGTCCCGTCAAGACTTGCACGGAATGTAAGCAGTCCAAGGTGCGTTCAGCCACGCGGCATCGCTGTCTATTCATTGACGGCTAGATTGACGCCTCGGGACAGCTTCGGTGCGACTCGAAAGACAGATTTCCCAACCCGTGCTCGAGATGCCAGGCGAGAAATCTCACATGCACCGTGGACCCGTCCTTCCGGAGAACACCAGCACGCAAGTCCGTCTCCGCACCTGCTCGCGGTCTAGATATCGCACTGCCAAGTGTTGATGTCGTTCCTCGCCGCTAATCTCTACCACCAGGAGGCTCGAGGCCATGTCGAAAGAGCTACAGGAGCTGCGCGACCAGAGGCTAGCAGAGGGGGCCCGGGCCAGTTCGGCGACGAGCCCGGATGCGGACACAAATCGCTCGCGAGACACGTCCGTGAGCGCATCGCAGTCCCTAGCCGGCATTCTGCTGGACGATTTCGAGTTTTTAGGGCACGAGTCATTCGAGCTCGGCCCCGTAGTAGTGAGCAAGCAGTCGGTCGTCGAGATCTTCAACCTGTACGTGTGATAATATTCTCTAATACCCCTTAACGAAAGCGAATAGTACTCTCTCCAGGGCGGCCCGTTAACAAATACCGTGTCCCTAAAGATTTGTCACATTATACTGTCCTCACATGCCTATCCTGGGCCCGATATCACTCAACGGCACCTACCAATCTCAACCCTTTCTGTTCTGGACCATCGTCATCATCGTCGCATTGCGCTCACCCGTGCCGTCGGACGAAAACCTCTTCACTCGTCTGCGTGACCCGTACATGCAGATGTTGAGGGGAGAGATTTTGCGATCTCCGATGCCTCTGGGCAAAATCCAAGCACTCCTATTTCTTTGCACCTGGCCGCTGCCCGTCTCGAGCCAACGGGACGATCCGAGTTGGCTGTATTGTGGGATCGCGGTAAATGCCGCCCTTTACATGGGCCTTCACCGCTCGAATCCCAAGGCGGGGGATATCCCTTCGTTTTACAGCATCGGAGTCGTGGCGGGCAGCGCTCACGAGCGGAATAACACGTGGCTCGGCTGCTTCTACGTCAGCACCTCGTGAGTCTAGTCGCAGCGCAACATTGCGTTTAATCGCCAACTAACAGTCTTCTCTAGTCTCAGCATGCACTACGGCGTCCCTCCGATGATAAACACCCCGTCAGATCTCGCCCACATACGAACGCTTCTAAGCGAGCATACCGTCCCGCGGGGGTTCGCCCTTCAGATCCGTGCGCTCCTCATCAAAGCGGGCTTTACCAACGTGCTCGCCCACGACTCGAACGACGTGGTCGTCGATTCCTCCATCACTCACCTCCTCGACAGCGAGCTCGACACGCTCAAGGCCAACTTTCCCGAGGGGTGGACGAGCATGACCGAGTTCACCATCATGGTGGTCAAGATGTACGTCTACAGCTTAGTAATAACGCGGTCTCGCGCTGGCATGGGCTCGCGGGAGATCCTCCTGAAGCTCGGCCTGGCCGCGGCTCTGCGCTCGATCTACATAGGGAACTCGCGGTACCACGAGACGCAGGACAAGCTCCACAACATGACGGTGGCGCAGCGCGAGCGTACGTTGCCCAAGGACTACTTCCGGGGCTTGGCCTTCGCGACGGTCTTCCTCATCCGCTACTTCGTCCAGTACAAGGGGTCCAATGCCGAGGAGCAGCAGCTGGCCGCCAACCATGTGATCATGGCGCACTCCATCTTCAAGGGGGTGACGCTCCACCCCAGAGACGAGTACGGCCGGGCGGCGGCGCTCTTCGAGACGCTTTGTAAGCAGGCCCCTATTCCCACCGATACGAGCAAGCCCAGCTTAGCCGACAGGATGGGCGCCACCCTGATCGTCGACGCTATCAACACAGCCCGCACATTACGCGGCGCCCCCCTCGAGATCACAGAGCCCGAGGTCCCCATCGCGAACACGACAGAGAGCCTGGCGGCGCCGAGCGCCGTCGAGTCGCAGGACGTCTTCAATAGCACGTCTCATCTCCTAGACCCCTGGCCGTCGGACCTGGCGTTCGCGAACGAGTTCTGGAGCGATCTCTCGTGGGACGTATTCAACGTGAACGGCGGCACGTTGCATTTCTCGCCGAGTCATCAGGGTCACCAGGATCATTAGGGTCTATAATAGGTAGAAATTTTAAATAACGGCAAAAAAAAAAAAACCAAATAAAATATCTCGAGAAATGTCTTCAATTAGCCGAATAGTCTACAGATTCCGTGACCACGTATTATAATACATAATAGACCAAAGGAAAACCCTGATCCCTCCTCGCCCTAGCCTGCTCGATCCGAACCCCTGCGTCTGCTCCTCCTCCTCGTCCATCTACGCGAGCGCCGCCACCAGCTCGTCGGGCAGGGGCATGCGCACGAGGGGGACGTGGCGCTGGGAGCCGTGGACGTCGTCCTCCATGAAGCCGCCGGCGGGGACGGGGCGGCCGGCGCGGAGCCGCGGCACCGTCGCCTTGAAGGCGCGCGCCGGGTCGTAGAAGCCGCACCAGACCACGTCGCGCTCCGCCAGCCCGTACGCGCGCGCCACCGCCGCCGCCGACAGCAGCCCCGACGCCTTCACCCGCTCGTACGCCGCCGCCGACCCGAAGATCAGGTCGAACGTGATCTCGAACGGCCCCGCGTTCTTCGACCGCACCACCTTCGCCAGGTCGCCCAGCGTGCGCGGCGGCGACGCCGCTGCTGCGGCCTCCTTCCCGCCCGCCGTCCCGTTCGCCGCTGTCGCGGTCGGGGTCGCGGCGCTGCTATCGTTGCGCGCGTCCGCCTGCGCGTCCGGTGCTGGGACGGGGGCTCTGAGCGCGGCGCGGTCCCCCTTGCCCACGACCGCGACGGTCTGGGTGAAGAGCGGAGCGCGGGGCTTGCCGACGCCGTCCCCGTCGGCGCTGCCATTTGCAGCGTCCAGGAACAAGCGCTCCTCGCCGCCCCGGAGCTCCATCAGATGGTACAAGGAGAACTTGGAGCAGGGGCCGAGGTCGATGACGGGCTTGCCGCCGATGCCGAACGCGAAGTTGCCCGACGTCGCCTTCTGGCCCGGATAGCTCCCGTGCTGCGCAGGCGACGGTTAGCCAGTCAGCCGGCGCGACGAGAGACAAAGAAGCAACTTACAATAATACCGATTCTCGCCGTGTACGCCACGCTGGTCGCCAGCTCCTGCGAGGACGCGAGCGCCTCGCCGACGAGGAAGACCTCGGAGCTCTCCGCGCCAGGCGCGGGCCGCCCGTAGAAGTGGAAGTCGAGCTCGAATTTGCCGGGCAGGTGGCTGTGCTGGCCCGCGACGTAGGCCTGCACCTTGGCGGACAGCGAGTCGATCTGGTTGATCAGGATGGCTGCGTCGGGACCGGTCAGCAACGGTCGAAGGAGAGAAGAGGGAGGATAGAAGAGGGGGGGGGGGGGGAGAAAGCCTTACGATCGCGGATGCTGCCGATGAACAGGGACCGGTAGCCGATGACGCAACCCGCCTCGAGCTTCACCTGGTACGGCAGGCCGTCCTGCTTGCGGAAGTGGAACGCGCTCCCGCGCACCCTGACGGTGCGCTGGTCGGCAAGCTGCTCGTACGTGACCTGGGTGAGGTCGAGGTGCCCGCCGGGGCCGTAGAGGATGTCGGGGCGGGTGTTCTCGTACATGGCGTGGGCGGCGACGGAGACGGGGGTGCAGCGGGCGGCCGGGGTCAGGGGCGCGATGGCGAAGCTGCCGTCGCGGAAGACGGTGGCGACGGCGCCGTGCGACTTGGGCTCAGCGCAGGTGCCGCCGCACTCGAGGATCTTGCCCATGTGCGTGAAGCCGCCCCAGCGGCGCCGCGCCTCCGCCTCCGCCCATTGCGACCCGCCGAGCCCCGCCAGGAACGCTGGGTACGCCACGTACGGCGCCGGGTCGTATGCCCGCCCCCCGACCACCACGTCGAAGTCCGGGCTTGCCTTCATCGCGTCGATGAAGGGCTCCGGCCCCATCTGCGCCACGATTCGCGGCGACGCCTCGATGTCTTCTTCCGTCAGCAGCGGCACGCACGGCCCGCACCCGCTTACGAGCCCGGCTCGGAGGCGCTCCTTGACGAGAGTCTTCTGCATGCCAGAGAAGATTGCGATCGTCTTGAACGAGTACTGCCTGCGCCGAGTCAGCCTTCCCACCATTACGCATGTCCGTGTGTGTATGTGATTATGTTCCACGGTATATCTCCTCGCCGCTCCTTCTCGGGTGGAACACATACTCATTGCCCTTCTCAGCGGTGATTTCCTCAATGATGCCCAGCATCTCGCGGACGTGGTCATCGGTGCCGTCACCTCCAGCAGAGCTGAAGATCAGTGGGACGTGGTAGGCGTGAGCGAGCCCGAGCAGCTTCTTGAGGTCGCGGTAGTAGGACGTCCGCGGGTTGCCCATCACGCCCAAGGCGAGGCGGTCTGGCCCGCTGTCAGTCGAGCCCGAGTCGAGAATCATGGCCGTCGGGACGCCTGTCGCGACGAAGCGGCTCAGCGCGGCCGCTACCTCGCCCTCGTCGAGGCCGTACCCGAGCATGCCCACCGGGGTCACGATGTTGCAGAGCGGCGTCGACGCGGGGTCGACGCCGTTCGAGTTCCCGTTGCTTGCGGTCGGCATCTTTACGGCTCAGCGCTTGCCTCGGTTCGAAAGGGATAGTCGTGAAATGGGGTGCTGGAAACGTAGTACAACGGACGAAGAGATTTGTTCTTCAGGTCAAAAGTTCATACAGAACTTCACCTACGGCGTACTTAGAGGGGGAGCGTACGGGAGTTATACCCATACCTATCGGGACGGTACTCTCTCTGGTCACGCGTCATCGCCTGCGACTCGACATCACAGAAAGGTGCAGCTCGGGAAACAGACACAGCCTCGATTCCCCGTCCCCTGTATTTCTTGCTCCCTCTTCGTCGAGGTCGGCGGTCGGAGGAGTCTATATTCTCCGTAGGTAGCTTGTTGGCTGTGCCTTGGTTTGAACCCCGATCCCGCCGAGCTTCGCAACCCCGCCGAAGATCGGTCTCGCAGCCGAAACTCGCTCGGGCCGCGAAAGCGGCTGGGATTGCTCGTGACGGTCTTACTGCTTGGCGGCTTTGTATCTTGAAGCCATTGCCTCGGCGTGTAAAGATTGATTTTTGTGTCTATGATAATATTGAATGGTAAAAACGCGTTCTAACGCTCGGTTTTAGTGCCCAGGATCTGGCATACCGAGGGAATACCTACATCGTCGCTAGTCTGGGAACTCAGGGGCGGCGGCGTCATCCACGCAAGGAGCGCAAACGAAACCTCTTCTATGTGTAGTCTACTATGTATCACATAACCACGGGTCACCCCCCTGCAGGCTACCTCTTAATATATTAAAAACCCCTAATATTTACCCTTATTATTATATCGCTTCCTATTCATTTTAAAGCTATTTAGAAAATTACCACGTGGAGGTCGCGCCTCTTCGTTACTTACCTCAGCAACAGGAGCTCCTATATATACGCTCCCGTTGCTTCTATTCCTTTAGCTAGTTCTTAGATAGATTAAGACCGATTCTTCCTTTGCTCGTCCTTCCGTTGCTCGTTGTTCGTGAGAGATAGCTCCTCGCGCGCGCTCTCGCACACGTAGCTCCCTCGATCTACGTGATAACTTTATGATAGAATGTTAGTGGAAAAAATTAGCATTTTTATCTTGCGATACTTAGTCTAATACCCTCAACTCGGCACACCTATTAAACGGCACCAGGGCCCTGCCGCTCTCTACAAGTCCTCACGATCTCCTCTATCAACAACACAGGTAGCTGTTGCACAGATTTCCCCTCCTCCTTTAGGATCGAGTGACTCGTTTCTAAGAAGCGTGACTGGAACGTATCCCAGAGCTGCTCTTCAGAGGCCGTCGTATCACGACTACTCGGTGGTCTAGGAAAGAACGGATCGTTGCGTAAGAAGGCCGTAGCCGCCTGTTTGACCCCGGCCTCGTCCATTGCCATGTCCCTACAACAATCAAAGTCGAGTACCCACATGGCGTGGGTTCCAAGGGCCTCGGACTGGAACATGACGGATCCGATTCCTGGGCTGATTGCCGCGGCTTCGGAGGAGGACCTACGAGTAGGAGCCAGGACAAATTCGACGTCATTTGCGTCGACTCTGGCCGTCCAGTAGAGGAACGCGAGGGTGTCTGCCATAGCAACAGCATAATCCTTGGCTGGGAGACCGAGCTGGTCAATTTGGTCGAGATGAAGGAGGAAGTTCTGAATGCCAAACACCACCAACCGGCTGGGCCGAGCTCTTGGAATCATTCGTGGCCCGAACAGGCGACGTCCTAGATATGGGCGGACTAAGCAGTGGTTGTTGATGACAGTGGCTGCCGCTGGGAGTCCCATAACCTCTGGGTGACCCATAACCTCTGGGTGAAAGGTGCGATATAATAGTATGCGGACGCGGTGGGGCATAGACGGAATCCTCTCATTCACCAGGGCATTGCAAGGCTCAAAGGCTGGAGGAAGCCGCGGGAGGATTTGCGACCAGTGTGGCGAGTCTCTGGTAAGGAGTCCTTCACAAAATGGAAAGTTGACTCGAAATTTCCCGAAGTCGCCATCACTAATAGTATTTTGGATGGCTTTAAGAATCTGCTCGTGTATCCGATGCTCGTGTACAATGGAGCGCCATGGGCAGCCGTCTTCTCGCTTCAGCGCAAGGTGGAGATGTTCGTGGTCGTGGTCGTTCTCCCCCCAGACAGTGCCACAAAAGCCTTGACCGATCTTCTTTAGCGGCACTTGGGATTCGGCGAGTCGGTTGATAGCTGTGTACATTTTTTGTTGCCGGTATGCTGTGTATCTGTATGTGTCTGTATGTGTCTGTATGTGTCTGTATGCGTCTGTGTGTGTCTGTGTGTGTCTGTGTTCAAAGTAGTTGCAATAAATAGTCATTAGTTGAAAGCTAAGGAGAAGGAGTTGCATATCTACTTTTAGGAAAAACCTCTATTTTATAGTAGGATTCTTTACTTTTAATGTCTAGACTTTCGCTTTAATCAAATAAGGTATTTATTTCTAATGTATATTATTTTAGCGTAATACTAAAATAATATAATAAGAATTAAATTAATTAATAAGTTAAATTAAGTTTCTCGTTAATATTTATTTAATATGCATTTATAACTTGATATTTATTAAACGTTACTAGTAGCTCTTGAGATTTAAATGGTAATGCTTAATTTAAGATAGTATATGAAGGTAAAGCATTTAAAGTATTTAAAATAAAACATTGTAATTAGTTAAATTAATAAAAAGTACGCAACATCCAACTAATTGTAAAATACTAAATCTAAGCTATTTCTAGCACCTGGTTTTATTTTTTTCAATTGATTAACAGTGTAGGTTTATGTTAACGTTTTGTATACCTTAAATATAAGACAGCGAAGCAACGAGAGCCAACCCACGCGCTACTTAAGGTGTGCAGGACCAAGAGTCATCCGCATGCCGAAACGTGTACACTCTAATCAGAATGCGCACACTTAAGCTCTCTCTAACAAAGTTACTTTTATTTCAAATACCTATTCGTTCCCAACATCGTTAGCTGAGCTAATACCCTGTGCACCTAGCTCAGCGTCAATAAGCAACAGCCAGTAGCTAAGAGGAAAACAAGGCCTAACAATCCACTGTAAGGTTTGTAAAGGCGATACAAAAACTCAAAGTAACTGGGGGACCTGGACTGGGCTTGTGTATGAGGGCTGTCAGATTGGGGTGGGTGTGTATCAACTCCTCAAGGTCGCCCAGTTGAAGACCAGTAGCGAGATTCGCGGGGAGGGCATCTAATCGAGGTCGGTGGCGGTAAGGAACGACTAGCACTCGTACCTCCACGCCTAGATATTTCGACCTTTTATGCTGCAACGTCGGCGCCATGATACTCTACAGCTACGAGCGATTTGACGAGGGAGCCGATTACGAGAAATCGTTGGGCACCAACAACTTTCCGCCAGGCATCAAGGAAACACGTGTACTAAGTCAGGGTCACCCATTTCACTCTCACAAAAGGGGGAAGGCTAATGCATCATAGGTTTATATAGCTCAATATACCCGCCTACTCATATACTAAGCCATACCCCCTTCTGAGATTTTATCTCAAGCTGTTTGCTCTCCTGTATGTTTCCACATTAGCACGTAAATCTCTCGAACGTAAAAATGCGTTAAATTGATGAAATCAGGACATCACTAGCGATCTGTCACAGTCTATTATACAGCTTCTGTTTTCACCAGACTGCCAACACATGTCTCAACTTGCAGATCTCCACAAGCCGCCAGAGGGAGCGACTAACCGGGCCAAGCCGTGCACATGCGAGAAAAGACACCTACGGCACCGTGCCCTCAAATATATACAGATCCAGAATTCCGCGAGAAACTCGTGTCGCCGCTGCGGTGCGTATGAGAAGATTATTCTGGCCGTGGTGGACGGATATCTGCCAGCATTATTCCAGGGACCGCGAGATGAGGCTGAACGTAAAATGATACTCGACGAATTATTAGTGGTTAGGTCATCCATGCTGAAGTCCGGGCGCCACGAGCACGAACTGGAATTACGCATCCTGGATAGACGGGTACTTATTGAACTCTTCCGAGATGCAGAAGAACAACCCGACTTTTCTCTTAAAGGAACCAGATTTCCGGAAAAGGTTCAATATGGGCCAAGAAATAATTCAGACAGGGGGTTTGAAAGGGCTAAAGGATGGCTCCATGAATGTTCGGAGCACCACAACTGTGGAGAACCAAGTTCTGCTCCGTATCCCAAGAGGTTGCTCGATCTTCGCGAAGGCCAGGTTCGATTACTCGAGACCAACCCAACCAATGGCTGCAAGGTCCGGTATGTTTGTCTAAGTCATCGCTGGGGTGATCCTCAACACAGGCGACTGACAACTACTACTGCCACAATCCAAAAGAATATGCAGGGAATTGCGTGGGAGGACCTTCCAAAGACATTCCAAGATGCCGTAACCATTTGTCGACGCATGTCTGTGAGCTATCTATGGATCGACTCGCTGTGCATTCTGCAAGAGTTTGTCAACATGTCAGACGACCAGAAAGAGGAAACAAGGACGGACTTTGCAAGGGAGAACTCAGCTATGGCGAGCATCTACAGAAACTCTTATTTCACAATCTGCGCTAGCATATCAACTAGTATGGACAGCGGCATATTTTCTACGAGGGACCGCGGAAGCCACCAGATAAAGGTCATTGATGACAACGGAAACGAGGCCCTTTTCCGCATCAGGGAGAGCGCACAGCATTGGAGACTTCCGACAGATCTAGAGAGGAGATGCTGGACATATCAGGAGTATCTGCTCTCTCCAAGGGTCTTGGGCTTTGAGCCTTTTGACATCTCTTGGAAGTGCAAGAAAACACACACTTGCGAATGCGGACGCATCAGACCGGGCTTGACATTCGCTAGTCAAGCACAGGGTCCCGATGCAGGAAAGGCTGTGTGGTGGTGGAAGGAGGTAATTTCCTGGTACGCAGCGCGAAACCTAACATATGAACACGATAAACTACCCGCGCTCTCCGGACTAGCACAGGCCTACCACCAAGTAACAGGCGATGCTTATCTCGCAGGCTTGTGGAAGGCCTCTCTACCAAGTAGTCTTTGTTGGTACCATTTGTCAGGCTTTGCAACGAGAACTAATCTCAGCCGAAGGCCTAGGGGCTTCCGTGCTCCCTCCTGGTCTTGGGCTTCTGTCGACACCTTAGACAGTGCCCGATGCCGTTTCTGGTGGGCTTCCGAAGTAATGCTTGGAATCGGTGTGCCATATTACTCTAGGTATCCCAGGCCACAAGAGGTCTGTACGATATATGACGCCGCCTGCCAGCCGAAAACAGAAGATGCATTTGGCGAGGTATTACCCGGCGGGTTCGTCAAACTCGGGGCCATACTTATCTACGCGAAAATTGGCCTTGAGCCTCAGGGACTGAGTTTCCAGCAAACAGTCGAGAAGGGGGCCTGGACATTGAGTTATGTCGAGGGTGGTAAGGATGTCTCTTATTGTTATCCAGATTGCACGCTAGAAGACGACGGTCTGGAGTTGGGCGACGGTGTCTATTGTGCGCCAATACTGGAAGCGGGGTTACAGCAAGGCTGCCTGGTGCTGAAGCGGTTGCAAGGACAAGAGTACAGACGGGTAGGCTTCTGCATCTTGGGGAAAGGGGAGCGAAGCGGAAGCCCAGAGTCCTACTATCCCGACTCCTGGGAGGAGGACTTAACGACTCCGGAAAGCGAAGAGAGGGTCCAAAGTTATGCTCTGCAGTGCAGTCCAAGCGCGGAAGTCCGGATCACGATTGTCTAATGAACGCAGCCAAATGAAATTGCCGAGAGGAGATCAAAGGAAATAGGGCCTTGGGCGATAGGGGCGATTGAAGGATGTTTTATTCGGGGGGTGAGCAGGGGGGTTAAGAGGTGGTGTGTGTTTCTTCCTTTTCTGTGGTTAGGAGCTCGGGAACTCGCTCTTATGTGACCGGTATTGTAGTGGTGAGGTAGGTCTAGTCCTCTCACCTATTTTCTCATGTTGGTTTCTACACCCTAGAGTATCACACAGATAGCCACTCCTTCAAGCACTGTGATAACACAGAATTGGTCACTGTTCTCACGGTGCGTTATCTTCTTGTTTCACCTAGTTGCCATCTACAGTTAGCTATCACCAGTGCCGATGCACCTGTCTGGCACCGGAACTGTCACGGTATCCACGGTATCCTCCGATACCGATTACGGAGCTTATACAAGCCTCATACAGGCCTCATAGGCTTCAGTAGGAGATTAGCTTAAGCTTTAGGTAGATAGCTAGCTTCATCATCATCAAGCTTTTTCCCATTACGAGTCTCGTCCACTAGTCGTAATAGGAACCAGTTGTGGGCAGCGGTGATTGTTTCTTCTTGAACACGAAAGCCTCTACAAACCAATACTTAAGAAATAAAAAAAAACAGACCACGTAGGAGATATCTACAAAACCTACGTTGTAGCCCTCGGTGCAAGATTCTTATATGCGCATCCCGATGCATGCTGAGGAGGAACGACGTGGACACGGAAATCTCCCCAGCTGCTCAACTGTCTAACGATACTGAGCCTAGGAAGGCACTGTTATTTGTTTCCAGAGGTTCTAATTGGTTTTAAACACCTAGCTACTAACAGACTTCCTAGAGCAATACCATGACAACATCGTCATTCATGGCATCTACCTACGCTATTACTAGAACAACGTGCCCAAACCCGAACGGTCGTCCATCTCACGCCTCGTAGGCAGCTCTGTCCGAAGCCCGACGGGTTTCCCTTACGCTCCCTGTCCTCCGTCTACCCAGTGTAGCAGCAGATCAGCGTCCTCCTCCTTCTCGCTTCCTCAAACCCCCTCTCAGAGCTACTGCTCCTCGTCGATGGCGTACATGTCGCGGCACTTGGTGCAGCGCGTGCCGTCCGGCGTCGAGCCGGGGCACTTGCGGTCGCAGACCTGGCACTTCCAGCCGACGTCTTTGCATTTCCCCTTGCCCTTGCCCTTGCCCTTGCTGCAGGCGCCCTTCTCCGGCGCCGGCGCGGCAGAGGCCGCCGCTGCGTAAGGCGGAGGCGCCGTCGCCGCGGCCACGACCTCGGCCGCCTTGCGGGCGCAGTCGCGCCGGCACCGCGCGCACAGCGTCTTGCCCGCCGTGCCGAGCACGATCTCGTGGCACCACAGCGGGTCGTGCATCCGGCACGCGCACGCGTCCCACGCCGGGCACTCCGCCGTCCGCAGGTTCGCGCACGCGCCGCACCTCCACCCGAACTGCCGCGCCGCGCCGCACGCCCGGCACTCCCACACCCGCGCCAGGCACCCCGCCCCGCACGTGTCCTGCAGGTCCGCCGCGAGCGGCTTGCGCTTCGCCGGCGGGTTGCACGGCGTCGGCGCCCGCCACGACTCCCGCCGCAGGTAGCCCCGCGCCTTCGCCTTGTTGCAGTATTCCCAGGTCGACCGGACGTGGCCGCACGGGTATTTAGCGAAGAATTCTACGCACATCTTTGTGTTTGTTAGTGTGCTTTGGTTTTGAGAAGCTGGGGTTTTTCTTTGCCTTTCTCGCTCGTTCCCCTTTCTCGCTCACTCTTTGTGCCTTTGCTTAGGCTCGCTTGGTCTGTCTGTAGATGAAGAATAAGCGCCAACTTGGATGCGCAACGCCGGAGCAGACTCTCTCGCCTGGGTTATTTATTCAGATGATTCTTGATGTTAGGTTCTGGTTCCTTTAAAAGGTAGGTATGGATAACACTTCTCTAAACAAGTCCATGGTGATTCTTTACCCATAACCACACCTTTATACAAGCTGCATACGATATCCACGATGGCGTTGTCTAATTTCATGAGACATTGTTGCCAAGACAATTGGTTGTTGGGAACTTATTCTTTGTTCAATTTCTACTCGAGAGATGTATCCTGTTCTAGAATATCCGGTCAAACGGGGAGTTATCCACGGAAAGGTCTTGTTATGGTCGTGGCCCATAAGATACTATAGTTCCAACCTCTTCCACCAAGTTATGAATGAATGGCATCAGAAAGAATGAGCAGCAGCAGCAAGTTTTGCACTAGGAAGAAAGCCTCGTTACGCAAAAGGCAACCTGGTCTCCGGAAAGTTCTAGCGGTACCCCAAGGGTAAGTATAAGGATTATGACTACAGGTACATGAAAGAATATACATTTCTGTTTACCGATGTAGAATATCAGGAGTACCAGTATAATCCTCTACCGTAACCACCTAATTTACTACAACTACTCTTCTACAACCACTCGAGTACCATAGCCATCCATCATCCTTCTCTTACCCTCCCTACCAGGGCTGCACAGAATCCGCGCGGATGACCAGCCCGGCATCCTGGTCCCGCTTGCCCTCGATAACGTCGCGCACGAAGCGGCCGCCTATCGCCGGGTCCAGGGCACCGATCTGCTCGACTCTCGTTAGGACAAACAAAGCAGGGGGTAACAAACCGGGACCGGCACAGGGATGATGAAAAAGGAGAGAGCAGCGGCCGGGGGGGGGGAAATCAACTCACAGCCTTCAGCTTATCAGCGCCGACGCCTCCGAGGCCCGTCGCCAGGAAGCCGGGGGACACGGCCCAGACCTTGACGCCGTCGGCGCGCAGCACGCGGGCCCAGTCGCGCATAACCATGTTAAGCCCGGTCTTGGCGGCGCGGTAGGCGGCGAGGGCGTCGGCGTCGGCGTCTCCGAGCCCGCCTGCGGCCGCCTTGGGCCAGCCGGCGGCGGGGCTCGCGTTGATGCGCGCGAGGGGCGGCGTGTCGGCGCGCACGGTCTCGGCCAGCGCGCTGGTGCCGCTCGTGACGAAGAGCAGGCGCGGGTCCGGCGCAGCCACCAGCAGCGGCGCCAGTTGCGTCGTCAGCGCGTGCGGCCCCGCCACGTTCACGTCCCACGTCCGGTTCAGCACCGCCCGCGGCGTCGCCGGCCCCGCCCCCGCCGTGCCCCCCGCGTTGTTCACCAGCACGTCCAGCCGCCCGCCGGTGCGTGCCGCCAGCGCTGCCGCCGCCGCTTCGAGAGACGCGTCCGACTCCAGATCCACCTGCACGACGCTGAGCGTCGAGGCGGAGGACGGCAGCGTGGATTGCAGGCTGGCGATGGCGGCTTCGCCATTGGACGGCGTGCGGCACCCCAGGACGATCTCGTAGGCGACGGGCGACTCGTACAGCGCCTTGACGATCTCGTAGCCCAGTCCGGTGTTGGCTGCGTGAGAAGGCAGTGTTTAAGTCCATGAGTGTGACGAGGTGGGTTCTCATGCAATACGCGAAAGCGCGGGAGAGTTCCTCTGGGACATCTTACCTCCGGTGACTAGGACGATCTTCTTTTCTGATGCCATCGTCGAAGGGATAAGTAGGGTAAGAGGATGTAGATTATAGACAGAGGTGGAAGATGTAAGCTGGCGACTCAAGGGCGATGGGTAGCGTTACTATTGCTAGAGTTATTATGACGTCTGTAGTACATGGTAGCAGAAGAGACAAAGAATGAGCCGTGGGGGATATATTATATCTAGCCTCGGGTCGGGGGTAATCGTCCCCTATGCTCCGAGAGATGTAAGCATGGCTGATTCTATTATGGGCGCACTCCCGTCGACGGTGGTAACCCGTCAGCAGGCCCGTCCCCTATCCATACCTACCTCCTGTTTCTGGTATGTCCGAGCCTCCTTATTCCGCAATATCCGGGTAATAGACCGCTTATTCCGTAATAAGTAACGGGTTCTTATCTCGTCGCGGTTATACAGCAGATCCTTATGCCGTTGCGTGGTAGGCGGCATCGTCTCAACCCGGCCGCAGCACACTGACACGATGTGGTGGTGCTCCTACTGGATCCGTCGCCTCCGGCGGTTTCGTCTTCGACGTGGGCTCAACGTCCCCATTCTATAGGAATTCAACGTTGGATTTAACACCGAAGGGCGAGCCCCGACAACGTCTCCGAAACTAGTGGATTTATCGCGGTATTCCAATAACTAAAAGAAATATAATAAAAACAGAACTAAACCAAAAAAAATCGTTACAGAATGAAGATAACATCTATTAACTAAGGAATCGGAAAAAACCAATGAATAAATAATTCAAAAACCGAATAATTTCATAACCCTGCTGGTTGGTCTCGTTTTACTATGGGAATTATTGCCGACAGCCAATCCAGCTTAACACCGGCGTGAAGTTCTTGGTTAACAAGTCCTTCACCGCCGTCACCCCTGTTGACTGCTTTGCTGCTACCGATAGGCATTTTCTAAAGATGTCACGTGTAGGATCAGCCCTTGTAAGCCTACATCCCTAAGTCGTAGGATGTTAGGCGTCTATGTTTTACGGAACAAAAGACATGTCACGATGGCATACTTCCCACGTGTACTGCTGCTGGTATGTTGTGTGGGACAGCTTCCTGACACTGCCGTGACACACGACTGCGGCTAGTTTGATTATTGATAAAGGAAATCAATCTCATTCCACAGTAGTGGTAGTGGTAGTAGTAGTAGGTAGTAGTAGTTGTTGTCATATCTCTCTGCTGGTATTCTTTTTTGTGTTTTGCCTTCTTTTCTGCTTTTTTTCTTTTACAATGGCCACATACTACAGCCACATACAACAATGTCCTTCCTGACCAAATCCGCCCAGCACCCTCTGATAAAACATTCGAGACGAAAGAACACCAATACAGCACCAACACGAAAGTCACGTCGCGTAGGGACGCCATACTTGGTGAAGGAGCCGCATCTTCCACAGCAGCTATCGAGTCTTGCATCCCGCAAGCATTCTAATGACTCCTTGCATCTCCTCCGGGGCCCGCATACCGTGCAGAATGAATGCCCTTGTCCGAGTAAGTCAAGCCGGGTGTGAGATGGTCCTTTACTCCACTCTAACTCCAGAATGATTCCGAGAAATATGGGTTCGGGAATGTCGGCACAATCTAGTGTGGTGAATATGCAACCGTGTTGAGTCCCAACCAGGATGGATGGGTACAGGTTGGAGTTGCAGATGGGAACAAATTAAAGAATGTGCAAGGGAAAATATGCGAGTCGTGAGCGTCGTGAGAATCCATGACTGGTCTTCGTAGCAGCGAAAGGAAAGGTCTAAGTGGTATAGCGAGCGATTGACGAGAATATAAAAACCGTGCCTGGGGCGGGGCCCGGGAGGGAACCTGTTCCAGCCCTTGATGTGTCTGCTGGCTTGTCCGACTAGGCGCGAGACCGTAGGGTACCCGCCGGCGTCGGTGTCGTCGACCGTCCCAGTTGCGAGTGAGCGTTGGAGACACGACCGCCACGCTTAGTGTGAGACAAGGTCCCGACGTCGTGTTTTCCTATCGCAAAGTTAGCGTCCGTCGTAGGGTAATTTGGCCTGGCTAAGCTTACCATCACAGCATGCTCTCACGTTCTCGAGCCGGTCGGACTCTCGGTCCTGCTGCTCGATTATCTGCCGCACGTCCTCGGCGCTGTCGCGCACTTCGCTAGCCTCGTAGATAGACTCGTGGGGAATGTGGCTCCTGCTTCTCAGGCTGCTCAGGCTGCTAAACGTGCCACCTAGCGTGCTGGTTCTCCAGTAGCCGCTTAGCCTCCCCATCGTGCCGCTGCGGGCAAGTTCCCTCTCGCGCGTTGGTGTGAGCGTGGGGATGCTCATGGACATGTCCAATTGTGGGGAGTCGGTTCGGATAGTCCTAGAGTTGAACGAGGACAAGGACGGGGGTGGTCGCGTACGGGTGCTAGGCGCAGGTCGTCGAGAGGCCGATGGGTTAAACTCGTCCACGTCCTCCTGGGTAACGGGAAGGGTCCCGTCTTCGGTCTCGGCCTGGTTTTCGTCCCCTGTCCGAAGCAAGAGGTATGAAAGTGCGTTGAACCACGTCTCGTGCCTTTGGCCTGTAGTGCACGTGAGCTTGACTGTTCGGCCTGGAGATTTGATGACGAGGCTCTTCTGGTGAAGTCCCGGCGGCATAACGTTGTTGTCGCCCACAATATGGACGGCCTCGATCGGAATACTCTTGGTCTTCAGCTCGGAACGGCTAGCAGCAGACGGATGGCCATTGCTCCAGTATAGCGTTCTTGTGTAGGGGTGCACCCAGAAATACCGTCTGTGTCTGTTCTCGGACATTCCTCCGCGACCAGCCTTGCGCGTGTATTTCCACATGTACTCTCCAATCATGGTCTGAGTGATGGCTTGGATCATGCGAGGATCGGTTCCGAGACTTGTCACATCCATACCCATCTCGCTTGGATTATTGAACCTCGTGTCCACCTCGGATACAAAGGACGACACTGACGATTGTCTACTGGGAGCGGGTTGCTTTTGCGAGTGATGCATGTCTGCCGAGCCCGCCACCGAGTGTCTGCCAGCTCGGAGTGTCGGTGTACCCTTGGCGGAGGTAGGAGACAAGGGGCGTCTGCTGCTAGGAGTGTCTGGTCGTGATCCGGGGCCTCGGAAAGCCGACGCTGGGAGTGCTGGAGGGCCCATTGACCCTTTGCCCCCGCCGAGAGAGTTTGTGCGTGCGGCCTCGATGGTTTCCCGATGATGACTAGGTAGCGGGGGTCTATTCGCTGCAGAGCCTCGGGCGCTGGCTGAGCTGTCAGGTCGTCGTGCCGAGATCGATTCAGGTGCGGACGCAACCACCGTGTCGCCGCTCCTCGGCTTTCCTTTGGCCTCGCCAGAGGGCGTAGTCGCGGCGACGTCACCTCGAACAGTGGCGATTTTGACTGGATCCAGGGTTGCGACGTCTTGGTGTTTTATCAACTGCTCGAGTCCATCTGATGTCAGCGCAGTCTGTGAGCTTTGGTCAGCAGTGTCGGTTGCCTGCTTGCGCGACAGGCGGACGTCGATGTTGGTAGAAATCTCCTTGAATGGCTGCTGAGATTCTGGCGTCTCTGGACCGGGGGTGGCGCTCGGGGATTGGCGCGTGTCATCCTCGGCGATTTCTGGCGTGGGTATCTTTTTGCCTTTCCTTCCAAAGAATCCTATCGCGGAGGATGTCGGCGTCTTTGGACGGCCTTCACGGGTAACGGCGGAGCTTTCACTTCTTACAGCCGGTTCCGTCTCAACCGCCTTCAATTCCGAAATGCCTAGAGCGGGAGCTGGTCTGGCCAACGACTTCCGGAGAGCTTCGAGTTCCGCGGCGTGGATAGCTACAAGCCTCTCTATCTCCTCCGCGCTGTCCTTCTTGTGAGACTCAAGAATGTTTGCGTGGACGACCCGAGCAGCTTCAAGTTCTCTGGAGAGTGCCGCATCGGCGTCGATCTTGAGCTGGGCCAATTGTTCTGAATGGCTAGCACGGAGTGTCTCGAGAGCTTGTGACTGGCTCTCATCACGTTGCGTCTGAAGAACCTTGAGCTCTTCGGCATGGGACGCTGCCAGCGCTGCCAGCGCTATGGACTTCGCCCTGTCACTTTCTTGCCGCAGACGTTCTAGCTCACGGGAATGGTCGCCCGCTAGTTCCTGTAGTCTCTGAGACTGTGCTTCTTCGTGCCGAGCCCTCAAGCTTTCGATTTCACTAGCATGTGCAGCCGATAGGGACGCTAGCGCCGCGAGTTTCGCCTGGTCATTTTCCTGTCGAAGGCTGTCCAACTCTTGCGTGTGCCTGGTCGATAATTCGTGCAACTTAGCTGACAGTGCTGCCCCATGGTCGCTCTTGAGTACGCCCAGATCGTGAGTGTGTTTGGCGTTCAGAGCAGCAATTTCAGAGGCATTTGACGACTCAAATTCCGTTTTCAAGGATGCTATTGCCTTCAGGTGATCCTGGCGGATTTCCTCGATTTGCTGGTAGTGGGCGGCGGCAAGGCCCTCTAGCGCTTGGGCCCTGGCGGTCTCATGCTCCTTTTTCAATGCCTCCAGTTCTTCGAGGTGCGCGGACACGGCGCCCTCTAGCTCCTTGGACCTCGCGACGGTATTCTCGCTCATCAGCGCCTCGATGCGTCGCTCGTGTGCGGCCTTCAGCGATTCTATCGCCTGCAGTTGTGACTTCTCGCTATCGCGCTTCTGAGCTTCCAGAACCTCTGCGTGAGCGGCATTAAGGGCCTCAATTTGTTGAGTGTGCGCCGCATCGCCCTCGGTCTTGGAAGACTCAACTTGCTTATCGATGGCAGCCTTGAAAGCCCCTAGCTCCTTCGCACGGGTAGCAGCGTGCTGGCTATTTAATGAGTCGATCTCCAGCGCATGCTTCTCTTTGAGGGCCGCCAGTTCCTTGACCAATGTTGCTTCGGCAGCAGCTTTGATAGACTCGAGTTCCTTGCTATGGGATGCGGCGAGGGCGGAAATCCCAATGGTATGCTGAGCCTCGAAATCCTTCTTCAGGGTCTCCACATAGGCAGCGTGAGCGGCATTCACCGCGTTAAGCTCCTCGGTGTGCGCAGTGGCTAATGACACTCTAACTTCTTCAACCTGCTGCAGGTAAGTCGCCTTTAACGACTCGAGTTCCTGTGCGTGAGCCTCATCAGATCTCTGCATCGCAAGATCGAGCTGCTTCGTGTGGTCGGATTTCAGATTCTCCAGCTCTTTAACATGAGTGTCAGAGAGCTCATTCTTGAGACAGTCGATCTCGTTAGAGTGGGCGGCGGCTAAAGAGGCAGTCTCGGCGGCGAAACGAGCATCGCCGCTTGTCTTTAAAGCGGTCAACTCGCTAGCGTGGTTAGCTTTAAGAGTATCAAGTTCAACCGCATGTGCGGATTTGATCGCGGATTCTCGTGCGGCTATCTGCTCCACGTGAGAGGAGGTGAGAGACTCCAATTCAGCATTGTGAGCAGCCTTGATGTCCAGCTCTTTCTGAGATAGCTTCTCGACAAAGTCAGCCTTCAAAGCGTCTAATTCCTGGGCATGAGCAGCCTGACTGTCAGCCGTAATCTTAGCTTCTTGGTCAACGAAGCTAGATCGCAGCTCTTCAATCTCCTGGGCATGGACTGCACGGGCCTTGGCAATAGCCTCACTAATCTCATCAGCGTGGGATAACTGGAGACTTTCTAGCTGTCTGGAATGGGCGGCTCGAGTTTCCGAGATGGCCTTGTTGATCTCCTCTGCATGATTCGACGTGAGAGTTTCAATTTCGCGCGCGCGGGCGTCACGGGCGTCGGCTGCGGACTTGCTTATCTCCTCTGAGTGACTCAACCGAAGTGCTTCAAGATCCCGCGTATGGGTAGCCTCGACGTTGGCGATGGCCCTGCTAACCTCATCGGTATGGCTGGACTTCAGGTGGTTGATCTCTTGAAGGTGGGCGTCGCTAGCTTCGGAACGGAGTTTCGCCAATTGCTCGACGTGTTGCGTCTTAAGCTCTTCCAGCGCAGCATTGTAGGCAGCCGCCTTTTCAGTGCTCAACTCATCTAAGGTCTTCTGGTGCTCGGCTTTCAGAGCTGCAATCTCGGCGGCAACAGCGTTAGGTTGAGGAACAGCCGAACGACTGATGTTGGCTGCGGGGCCAAGCTCTCTCGCAGGCGGCGACGTAGGAGGCGATGGAAATCTGGCGAGGTTTTCGTTCATGTTTTGAGTGGCGGAATTATAAGATGACGAGGCAGAGAGAAGGCTCGCTCCACCATCACGTGCAGAAAACGGAACGCTGGGACCGATAACACTGGCATTAGACGAGGGCGATGACCCTAGGAATCCGTCAGTCATCGTACCGCTGTCGATCATGAGGACCCTAGGCAGCGGCGGAACCGGGGGCAGTGGAGACGTAGTCCGGCCTCTTATAGATCTCCGGCCCGGGGTACCGGAAAGATTCGATTCGTTGTCGCTAGCATCGAAGTCGCCCAATTCCGCCGCGAGGCTTTGGACATGTTGCCTCGGGGTGCCAGTGACGCTGCTGTTTGCAAGGCTGGGAGGACTACTGTGGAATGAAGGGTCTTCGCTTATCGCCCTGGGACGACGGAGAACACCTCGGCCTACACGGAGCGGGAACCTAGGCTGCAACGCTGGCAGCATGGTAGGCGTTCTCGCGCCTTGGCCAAAAGGATAATCCTCTTCGTCTTCGGTCGACGCGGTACTGTGCAACGACCCGCTACGGACTAAGCCGGAGAAGGTCGGCTGCCTATTTCTAGGTGTACGACGCTTTGTAGGGCTGTCCGTCTCGGTTTCGGCGTCCTCATCATCCTCGCTCGAGAAGTCTTCGGCGCCAGTATGGAAGTCATCCGTCTCGGTTGGGGGTTCGGGTTCGTTTGCGGTTTCGAACGCTGCGTCGCTCGTCTCCTGGGCAGGCTCGAATATCTCAGTTTCATCCGGCAAGGACTTGAACGTGCTAGATCCTCGCGATCGCAGCGAAGACCGAGTCGGGCTAGCGGAATCTGGCTGATCCTCCCAGCTTGAGTCTTCCGAAAAGAAATCGCTTCGAATGGTACGCAGGCCGCCAAGTAATCGGGCAACTTTCTTAAACTCCTTCGATTCGGCCTTGCGCGCGCGTCGGGTCGGCGGCGGGGGTTCGCTACGCAATTTCTCAATCTCATCACGGGCCTCCTGGAGCATACGTCTCAACTCCAGCTTTTCGGTCTTCTCTCGGTGAACGTTGCTTCTCAATCCTTGAATGGTGCGTTGGGCGTGTCCGAGAGAGGTCTTGAGCGTTTCCGACTCCAGCATAGAGTGTCTCGGCGTCGTCCCCTTTACTGGCGACGGGGGAGGAGAATGCTCAGGTGTCGATCGGTCATGCGCGTCCTCGGGATCTCCCTCGCCCATGCCGAGGATGGACTCACGCTCGATGATCCTCGCCCGTTGCGACGCCGAGACGGCTTTAGCCAACTCTTGATTCTGACCCGTCAGATCATCGATTCTTCTCCGCAAAGAGGCGCGCTCGGCATCAGCAATGACGAGGCTGCGCTTGGTGGTACCCAGTTCGATATCGTGCTGTTTCACGGCTGCAGCATACTCATCGGTAAGGCGAGCATAGTTCACCTTGACTTCATCCAGCTCCCTCTGTGCCTTACTCTTCTCGGCCTGGAGAATATTCAAGGACTGTGCCAATTTCTTCTCGCGATCCAGGGTCTCCCTCTCCTTGGCCAGCAGGTCGTGGACTTGCGTCTCGAGATTCCAGTTCTCATCCTTGTATCGATGCTCACTCTCGTCGAGATTCTTTACGCGTTGTTGGAATGACTCAACCTCATACTCGAGCTTAGATCTCTCGGCCCGGATCTCCCTCAGCTCCTCCTCCTTCTCAGCTAGCAGGCCCTGCAAGTTGCGTACTTGTGCGATGAGAGACGTGCTGATCTCTGCAGCAAACTCGATGTCGTGAATTCGATTGGCAGGTTGGTTTCGTACTTTGCGGTTCGGAACGCTGAATTTAGACGGAGAACCAGTTGCCTGACCCTCGAACTTGGACGGGCTAACAGAACGCTGAGCAGACAACCTGTTAGCACCCCCTCATGGCGCCAGATTTATGCACGTGTTGGCGAACTTACCCGACCGCCTTTACCCTCGGGCACGAACGGTGACCCGGCAGCAGCTTCGTTGCTGGGGACTCTCTGCTTCGGCAAAAAGGCTCGCGCGCTCTCCTTGGCCACTTCGTTGTAGTCTTTCTCGATATCGATGAGCTTCTGGCGCAGATCGTCAGAGAGCTCTCCTTCGGCCTCCAACTTCTCGACCTCCACCAATCGCTCGCTGAGCTCCTTGCGCTGCTGGACCAGGGCGGTCCCCAGTTTGCCAGCCTCCTCCATCCTCCGATCGGTCTCGGCAAGGTGGGCTTCTAGGGCACGCTTCGCCTGAGCCGGCGAAGCATTGGGACCTAAAGCGAATAGCTGCGAGTCGAAGTTGGAGAAGCGATGGCGGGACGACGAGAGGGGAGAGGTGGTGGTTATGAAGGGGTCGTGGTGAGGATCAAGAGCAGGGACGGGCGCAAGCAACGGTGACGGCGCTTCATCGCCGCTAGCATTCGAAGAAGCCATCGCTGCGGCCCGGGTTCTTGAAGAAGCCCAAGGAGAAGACGGTTTCCCCTTGGATCAGAATAGCGGCATGCAGAGTTACGAAATGATGACAGTACAATTGGCAGCCGATGAGACGACGGAGGACGCGAAACCTGGTACAGCCTACGTTAACACTTTGACGTGGCCGAAGCTAGCGATGACGGCCCCCTGGGCCTAGCGCCAGAGGAGAAAAAAAAAAACTGCCCGGTTCGCCTCGAGATATCGAGTGGTAGAGGATAGGCCCAGCATGCATATCAGAACATCAACTAGGACGTGACTGGCTGCGTTGCTATGTATCTAACCGTACCTGATGCCGGGGGGGAAGGGGGGTGAGAAGAAGGGGGGCAGGCTAAGCAGGGAAGGGTGCAGATGCGACGAGGAACAGCTAGGGAAAATATTTGATAGACAACGAAGGTGGTCTGGTGTCGGTTGTTTTGCTGTCAATCAAAATGAACGAATGCCTCGGGGAAGGATGATCAATCAGCGTCTCAGCCCAAGCGGGTGTGTGCTGGAACGCTCAACGCGACGAGGTGCAGTACAGGCTCGTGAGTGGGTGGGTGCCGACCTGTCGCACGCGTGGGATCGCAGATTGCGGCACTGTGACCATGTATAGGCAGCCGATTTGTGTGTTGTTGTCGTGGTCCGGCACGGTGAGACGCGAAGCCGCCGGTGGAAACGGTCGTCAAGGGGATAGAGAGAGAAACACACCCACACTGGAGAGAAGAGAAGAGAGCTTACGCCGGCGAGACGTCGGGCGAGGGAGAAGGTGACACAGTAATCGAGGCGCGGATGGAGAAGAACCAAGTCGATGGGAAAAAAGAGAAAAAAACCCAATGTGGCGTCGGTTGGCGTAGTCGGGGGACGTCGGAATCCGACCTATCTCTACTCTCGTCGGCACACTGTACTGGTGGGTATATACCAAAGAGGCGAGGGATCCGTGGATGGGCGCAATGAATTTTGGCGATGGAGCCTTACCTCCCACTACCTAACGGTTCGTATGCAATGCGGCAAATTCCCAAGGCCAGGTACCTCGTATGTACGTAGACAGCTAGGGGGGTGGATGCGTTGGGCGTCGGCACACGACAGCGCGATATGTACGTTAGAGGACCGCAAGGCTGTAAGATTAGGTACGTAGGTGTGCCTGAGACAAGGTAGCGCAGGCGAGAGACGTCGTAGTGAGCAGGAGAAATACTCTCTACGTGCTGCTGGGCATCCGGAGCTGGCCTTGCAGTGACGCTGCGATGCGACAATAGAAAGAAAAAGAAGAAACGCGCCGAATGGTCAAGTCGTGTTGAGAATGCCGGGATTATCAACGAGGGAACAGGAAAGGGAACGAAAATAATTAAGAATTAGACAAGACAGGAACGTTACAGTACGAAAGAAATAGTAGAGGAGTTCGTCGTCGCGGCCGGGATGTCTCGCGTTGACCACAGGGAGGGGAAGGGGGGGAGAGAGGAGGGAAAGAAGAGGCCGAGAGACATCAAAAGTAAACAAGAATAAATAGAGCAATCAATAACCCCTCGAAAAACGCAACAAGTGGAGGGGGAACCGCGGACGTAGCGCGAGCGAGAGTGGGTTGCGTATCGGTAGGGAAAATATCGAGGGACCAATTGTTAGTTGCTGGGCTGAACGAGTGACTAAATTACGAAGGATCTAAAATGAGTGACTGTGAATGGCGACAAGAAGATGCAGGCTGCTCTTTTTCGGCGAGCATGCAGCAGGCCGGCGTCGTGTGCGGTTGGTGCGAGACGACGCGCCCAGCGAGAAGGAAAACAATGAGAGCCGGACGGGAGAGCTAGACGAAGGATCCAGAGATTTTGCGAGACACACGGGAAGCAGCCCAGCGGGGAGACGGGCGGGAACGGGGAAACAAAGAGGGCGAATAATTACGGGGAGAGAGAAAAAGAAGAATTGACGGCTGCTAGGGATTCCCGAATTGGCTGGAACTGTCTCACAGAATAATAGGAACGGGCCCCGACGACACGGCAGACAGAGGGGGGGAACGGGGGGACGAGGGGAGGGGGAGAAGAGGGGAGTGAAAGAAAGAAGAAAAAAATAAGAGAGGGAGAGACACGCAGAGGTATGGAGGAAGGTCGGTCGTCGTCGAGCAGTAGGGCAGGGTTAGGGGGGACGAGGGGGAGGGTTTGGAAAGGGGACGAGATTTAGAAGCCGATAGAGATATCGATGTTGTTTGACGACGCGATGGAGGGACGGAGGAGATGGGGAGAGCAAGGGACAAGCGCGAGCAGGGCAGGGGGAGAAACCCGACCGGGAACAAGGGACAGCACAGGCAAATGCGAATTACCTACTCATAAACAGGTGCAGAGTCGGCGAAACAGTTGAATGGGAGTAGATTTCCCGGCTGCGCTCCTTCACGGCCGGGCCATGCCACGATGGGGAGCGGGACGGGTTGATTAATCGAGGGACGGATTCATTCCTACGGAATCGATGGGACGGCGAGGAATGGATTGATGAACGTGTGGCATTTTCTGTCGAAGATGCGTAAATACCTGATCTCACTGATGCTGTCGTACTCGCACTGGCCACGGGACATCTCCCATCACCACGACGCACGCCAGCCCTCGCGTACCCATGCTGGGACGGGTACCTACACGACGGAGGGGGGGTGGGTTCGGTGGGCAGTATTACTCTACTCATACAACCTCAGGCATCTCCTCTTGGACAATGCCCAGTCTGTAATCTCTGTAGGGCCTCGCAATACGACGATAGGCGAGGATACGTTTTAACGTTCGTCCATCAGCCAAAACACGCGGGCACAGATTCCTGGCACCGCAAAACCGGTTATGTACCCACGCGTGGGTATGAAGATGGGATCCGGCTCGGGCGCGGCCACAGTGCTGCGCAGCAAGTTGTCGACGTGCGAACGCGCACAATCATGTATGTGAAATTGGTATATACAGACACAGATACGCCAATATCCAATCACTATGAAAACCTCGAGGGAGCGTTGAAACAGGACCGCGAAGTGATACGTGGAATTTATGAGTAGTTCGGGTTCCCTGCCAAACCCGGATGCACATTGGAAATTATACCAGGCATCGCAAGCATACGGATATCCCGCCCGCCGCCTATCACGAGTATGTTTACATGCTACCTACCTAACCTAACCTAACCTGCCTCCTAGGCCTAGACGTTATGGAGTATACCCTCTCACCGTGCATGCTGTATCCTCCCGTCACCTCACCTGCTACCTGCATCGCAGTGCATGGCGTATGTAGGTGCCTAGGTAGATATATAGGTACCTACCTACAGGTAGGTGTAGAGGTAAGTAGATAGATGTAGGTGCCGATATGATATACGACATACTTCCTAAGAAGCGATCGACTAACGCCAAACTCCTCGTTGATCGAGATAACTTGGAACGCGAGACGCATTGCCAAGGTGGCCGAACCGTGGGTGTCAGGACAAGTCTCCGGCGTCCACAATATAGGCATGTGCACGTATACCTCTATATATCCGACCTTCGAGAAAAAAAAAACGAACATAGGTATGGAGATTACCGCAGCCAGAAATGAAATCCAGGGTTGCGAGAAGGCATCGCTGTCACGCCTGGTTACGCATAAGCCGCAGTCAGGTAACCAAGTCTGGGCCTGCAGAGCCGTCTCCACCTCGCTAGACGGAGGGGGTACCTGGTTAGGTTGTCTTTCAGCACACGTAATAAAACTCCCGCATTTCACGTACATACAGGGCTTGGTTCAGGGATGTTTTCTGTTCCCATCTGTGTATATAGAGAGAGAGGGGGGGGGGGGCATGGGTATATATATATGAGTATATCTATGCCAGTCAATCGCGAGGATGGTGACAAAAACGGTTCGGTGTTACGAGTCGGTCTCTGTAGTGTACTACTCATAGCTCGCCAGGATCGAAACGCGCCAGCGGGACGGGCAGATGCCAGATGCTAGATGAATTCCTTAGACGAGGTGCATAGGTATGTACCGAGGTAGGTACCTGATTGTGTATCCTGACAGGTGCCTGGACAGACCGAGTCATACCACATATCCCCAACCGTGGGATTTCAGGGTTACCCGGGTAATGAAGACACGGGGGTGCCTCACTGTGGTACGTACTTCTCCAGGTATAGGGTGTACAATGCCAGGTACCTCTCGCGCCAACCGCACTTCAGTCAGGATAGTCGGGATTACATAAGTGGGGAGCCCAACTGAAGATCCCCAAGCAAGCAGCACGGAAATGCCGTGTTTTCATTGGGTGAAAGATCCTAGGCGGACGCAAGGGTGTGACATGGTATAAGCGCTGCGCTAAAGGACAGCGGGCCAATCAGAGCCAGGTCTAGGCCCTCGATTCCACACTCAACCGGTACCTAGATATTTATTACCTAATAAGCGTTGAAGACAGGTACGTAAAGACGTACAGGTACCTGCTGATGTATTCAAAGCCCCTGTACGAGGGCAAAGGTACCTTGTACCTGTCGTGACCAGTCAGGCGCATTGTTTAGGTAATGCTCCCGCTAAACCCATGATATACCTATGTGATGCAATTTCCAAGGTGCCAGAAGATTTCGAGCCTGTATACCCAGTACGTACAGTAGTACCCATCAACAACCTCGTCTCCGTGATCACCGGTTCTGTAATTTCTTCGCAGCTGCAAGTAACAATTACTTGCAAAAGGACACGTCTAGTAAAGCTACCGGCAAGGGAGTCACGCCATCATGGCATCCGACAACGACAACAACGCGGATCATTCAGTGACAGGTGGCCCTACGTCCTCCAACGCCCCTATCGCCCCCGTCGCCATCTTCAAGAAACGAGGCGCCAAAGGGAAAGCAAATATCAGGAAACGCCCGGCGACGCCGCCGCCTGCCAACAGTGACAGCGACGACGACGCCTACACCTCGTCCGAAGACGAGGCGGGCCAGCGAATCAAGAGGCGGAAGAAGAACACAGCTGTCATAACCGCCTCGTCCAAGGACAACAGCGCCACCGCTCCCAGCCGAGACCACGGCGCCACCATCTTCGAAGCCGACCGCAGCGTCCCCATCACGAGCTCCAACGACGCCACCAAGCAAACCAACTGGTTCGACGAGGACGCGAACCTCCTGGGCAAGACACGGCCCTTACCGACGCCGAAGGACTCCGCCGCCGTGGCCACCGCGACCGCCCAACCAGACGGGACCTACAAGGGCCTGGCTAACCAGACCACCTTCATACAGCGCAACCCGAACGCGCCGAACCGGACAGTCGGCCCCATCAAGGCAGCAACCAATATCCGCACCGTCACCGTCACCGACTTCGCTCCCGACGTGTGCAAGGACTACAAGCAGACCGGATTCTGCGGTTTCGGCGACAACTGCAAGTTCTTGCACGCGCGCGAGGACTACAAGCAAGGGTGGCAGCTCGACCGCGAGTGGGAGAACGTGTCGCGGGGCGGCAAGAAGTCGGCCGGGACTGTCGTCGCGAGCGCGAACCGCAACGCCAATAACGACGGCGGCGGCGACGACGACGCAGCCGAGGAGGCCTTACTCGAGAAGATCCCGTTCGCCTGCGTCATCTGCAAGGGCCCGTACAAGGAGCCCATCGTCACGCGCTGCCAGCACTACTTCTGCCTGCCCTGCGCGCTCCAGCGCTACCGCAAGGACCCGAGCTGCGCCGCCTGCGGCGCCGGCACCGGCGGCGTCTTCAACACCGCCAAGACGCTCAACAAGCTGCTCGAGAAGAAGAAGGAGCGCCAGGCACGCAAGCGCCAGCGGGCCATCGAGGCTGGCGAGGACGTGCCCGAGGAGGGAGAGGAGCAAGAGGAGGCAAAGGAGGAGGCTCCGCCGGGAGCGCGTGGAACCAAGTGGTCGCAGGGCGGCAAGTGGATGCAGGGGAAGGTCGGAGCGCGCCCGGGGAGATGAACAGCCATCGAGGGTTTGACGATACTAATCGTTGACGATGCTCGAGAAGCAAGGCCCGAAGATCCCCGGTACAGAGCCGGGCGCACTCGCCAGTCTGTTGCCGAAAACAACTCATCCCCACTGGGCTGTCGTCTAAGGGGATATGAGAGTCGCGAAAGACTTTGCAGGGCCACACGCGAGTTGAAGTAGCTGATAGCTTACCGCCAACTGAGAGCAGGCCAACCCGAGGCGCGCTGCGGCATCCAAGGGGCATATATGAGACAAACGTACGAAGTTTTTATTCATTATGCCCATACTCTAAAGATCTAGATAGTCGGGTATCCTAGATCAGGTGCTATACGCGTCTCGAAGGTCACGAAACCTTGAATATAAACACGACTACGTTCGCCATAACCCGTAGTGTATTCACTACGAGAGGCTACGTTACGACAATTGCCCAGTTTATAGAATAGAATAGACGCGCCAGTCACCCCGACGTGTAAAGGGGGCGCAAGTCAACATGCACCACTTCAGTGTCCTATTTCGTCTCCCCTTTGTCCTTTTCCCTAAACCGACCCTTCATCGGTTACGGGAGCTAGGTACTTCTACCCTGGGCACGGTGATATGCCCTTGTTATATCAACGTCACTTTCTGTCGTAAACATTCCATCCATACATCGCTAGTACACCCTTTCGCATTGGAGTGTATGTTTTGACGCACGATCCCAACCCGCCGATATACACCCTCATCTACCTTCACAGCGGCTATTGCCACATCCCTGTGGTACTTCACATTCTGGCGGTCCAATTCTCGCACGCTTGCTGAACCGAGATATAGGTAGTCGACCTGACTCCCTTGCTCTTCGTCGGCGTCGCCGTCGAAATCCGGCTCCCAGCCTATGCGGAAAGCTTCGGCACTGGTCGCGGAGTCTTGAGACCTGGCTGGGTGGGACGTCGTCATGACGCGGCAGATCAAGCTGATTTCCCGGCCCGAGATCGAGTTCAGCAGCGCATCGATTCGGTCGAAGCGGAAAATATCGACGTAGACGTACCCTTGTACAGACATCCACGACCATGAAGGCGCATGTGTCCCCCTCGTTAGAGACCTGCTCTTCACCCCCGTGGCCCAGGATAAATCTCGGAGCGCCTGGCTCTTCCAAAGACCAAAAACACATTCGTCTCCCCATTCCTTCTCGAGCTCGTGGATGACTCCCTCCAGAGCGACTACTCTGTCTGCCGCCACGCTTGATTGCCGCTTGCTGAAATCGCTAACCAGATTCTGCCAGATTCGGTCCTGGCCGGCGCTGCGCAGTCGGGAGCTGAAGATCCGCGGAGGGTCGGCCCCCTTGCTGTAATCTATCGGACTCGCGAGTACCGGCTGGCAATCGACCGTCTGGCAACGGAACAGTAGCTCCTCGTGAGTGTATAACAGTATGCGCCTGGGAAGAAGCGATTCCTGGAGGCACCATGCCCGCCGATCTGTAGGCAGGGTTATTTCCCCCCAGTAATGACCTATGCCTTCGAGTTTAGGGATCACCGTCAAGGTGCCTATTCGACCGTCGTCGATCCGAATAGCGACGCGGCAAGGACCTTCCGATTTGGCTCCGGACGGCGTTAATCTAGACGCTACCGATCGAGCACGATCACACCCTAGGAAACCCTCGGAAACTGAAGTGGCGCCTGCTGCGACGATGGTGACGGCGGCGTCACGATATATGGACGCCATCTTCCCGAGCTCCTCCCGCTGATCCTCGACGCTGTCTTGGATGATACACAGAGCATCGATCCAGATATAATGGTACGCCAGCGCCCTCGTGCAGGTCACCGCGTCCTGGAGGCTTCGGGGTAGCGACACAAACGAAATGCCGCACTCGAGATCGGCCTTGTTACGAACCAACAATTTGACTGGCTGGTCGCCACCCCAGCAATAGCTGAGGGCGACATATTCTTCCCTTGCCATATCGCGAGTGCTACGAAGATAGATAAACCCCTCGTCGCCCCCGGTAACATCGAGCAGCCGCGATGGAGGTCGCGCATCGGCGGCAGGGCGACACGCAGGATGCGAATCCCGACACCTCGCGATGGCCTCTCGCGCCGCTGCGGCCGCTGCCGGGGAGGACACGTCTGTCTGAACGGGGCGGAATGTGGTCAATACCGAGGCCGGGTCATCTAATGCAAGTCAACATCCTGTAAAGTCTCCCCCAACGGGCCATCTAAACTACCTTCCGCGGCATAGACCCGACAGCACGCTTGGCCCTTCTCCCCGTCGACCTCGATGTGAATCTCATCGACCAGCGACCCCTCGCCCATCGACCGGACGTGGAGCGTGACCAAGTCCTCGGGCATGCACTCTACGATGTCGCCGCCCTCGTCCGGGATGCCTAGCAGGGCGCACACCTGGAGCAGGCAGATGAGCTCGCAGAAAGGGCAGCCGCGGCGCGCGCTGGCGATGACGATCTGCGCCTCGCCGTGCGCGAACGAGCCGCCGGATACCTCGCGCAGGCTCGCGAGGCTGAAGAGTTCACGGCACCGCTGGCAGAGACTCGGGTTCATGGCTGGTGGTCCTGGCGAGAGCCTGCATCTTCCTGCGGGGGCATTGGTATTGCTGTCTATACGGCTTGACATTCGGGAAACTTCTCGTCTGGTCGGTTTGGTGCTAGCAGACTGCCCCTCATTCACAGGAAGGACTCCGGCAGTGGACCCCACCAGTTGTAGGATGGAAAGGTGTAGCGAAAAGACGGGGGAAATGTCAGTGAACCAGCAGACGCTCCCTCTACACACTATTCATCTGAGTATTTATCGGAACGGGGAAAAAAGTATGAGTATATGCCGTCCGTCGGTTGAAATCTTCAACCTCGGCCTCGCATTGTCAAATTACTCGGTGAATAAATAACAGAAGCTGTTACGCCTCCGGGGCGATCCCTATCACCCTGCCCGTGTAGCGTGAAGTTTTCGAGGGGCACAGAAATAACCATTTAATACCAAATTTAACTTACCTGTTAAGTTCACCTACCCCTTCGCGGACCACCCCCTCCGAGGACCACCTCATTCGCGGGCCACCTCTTTACGAGCCACTGAAATCGAGGATCACTTTTAAACAACCACATTAATAATTAAAGGGTAATATTAAGGAAGGAAGGGCATCACGTTACAAAGCGCATTCGTAGGTCTTAATGTAGCAGCCCGCGAAGGGGGTGGTCCTCGAAGGGGGTGGTTCGCGAAGGGGTGGCCCGTAGAGGGGTAGGTTAGCTTAAATCTAATTAGTACCCTCACCAACGAACTCCAACCTCGTCATGGCTACAGGATGAGGAGGGTTATATAGGGATATTAATCAGAAAAGTAAGAGTTGTCTAGCTTAGAGCCCAGCGGTGTTCTTACCTGCGCTCTTTAAGTGAAGTAATATGCTTCGGCGTGTGCTTAGCTCTGGAAATCAATTCATCACTATTATTATACGGATAATCCACGATAATAAACGAGTCTCGACAAGTTGCTTAGGATGAGATATTCCGCTAGTGTAACAAGCATCACAAACCTATTACATTACCGGTAGAATAATACTCTCGGCGTGAAGGCGAACTTGGAAGGGTGGTAGCGTATTATCTAGGCAGTTAGGTTCATGCAAAGTCCTCCCGGAGTTGAGTTGCGGACGTTGAGATTCTTTATCAGCCTAGGGATCGCTGAGAGGCCTCCTCCAATGTTACGTAAAACGTAGAAGTCTACATTCTACGACTTGTAGGTAGGTTTGCACATACGGGCTGACCCCTACGCGACATCTGAATAACTGTCTTCCCTCAATAGCTGCATTATGAACAGCTCCAACATTTCTCTTTCATATGTTCCTTCCCAGCAACTTTTCACCAAGACCCATATCCAGTTACCCTAGTTCACTTTTTACTCCTGGGCCAACGCGCCTACACAATATAAGTACTTTAACTATGGCTAAGATAAGGACTACCACAGGTCTGAGGCTATCGTAGAATGCGACCTGGCGTTGCTAGATCAGCTCGGCCTGTTCGCTAAGGGGAGGGGAGGGACACGCCGCCTTACTATATAGTAATTGCCGCGTAGGGACGCGTATTCCTGATGCGTCTTCTTCTTCTCTTTTTCTTTCGATAAGGTTAAACTACTGTGACCTTCCAGGAGTACCTTTCACCACAGACTCACATTTTGAGGGAGATACCTACTGCAGCCTAGGCTACCACCTCGATGAGATTCTGGCCCACGTGCCCCGGAGCCCGGAGCCGGAGAAGGCACGCAGTAATGACGAGCTAGCATAGTTTTGGGCTTCGTATTCCTTGGCAAACTGGGTCGAAGCCGCCACGTGAACTCTAACTCTACCTCACTTTCGTCCTCTTGATCTGACATTTTCAGCGATTCGATTCTAGAAGCACGAGCAATACCACTAATATGCATAAAGTCCTTCAAAAGTCTTCGGCACACACACTCCTATTTCACTTCTCTGTCGCCAGTGCCAACAACAGAGTCCTTCCCAACGTTTCAAACGGCGATTAGACCGAGCAAGCTTAAAGTGCCAACATTCTCTGCGTCCACCAGAGAAACAGAAGCTCTGTCAATGGAAGAGGACGAGCCAAGGCTTTAGATTAGAGGCTGGATATAGGCGTCGTGGTACCGGAGTTGTCGTCTGGAAGCATTTGTTAGGCGACTTGTCCTTGATATCTCAGGGGATCGACTCAATCGGCATAAACTTCCATTTCACGTTGCCGTACTCTTCGGCCTCGCCAACGCCATTCTCGGCAAGCCGTTTCAGGAAGCGAATTAATGCAGGGCTTCGCATGTTCACATACAGCGAGCCTTCCCCCAGGTGCTGACCGTACAGAGCCACCGTCAGGACTGGATAGTACTCCATTGCCTTTCCTGGTGTCGTTTCAGCCAGCCACTGCTCTCGGCCGTCGCCGAAAAGAGAGTGGATGTAGTCGACAAGACTCTTGCAATGCGCGATACGATTGGCGTCGGACATCGTAGCTGTGATTGCAAGTGGTGCGTTGCTTCGTGAAGGCTGTCAATGAATGGAAAACTGTAGTAGATAGTTTGGTGGGTATGTAGGTAATTATGTCAAGCTAAGTGCCGTCAGGAATGTGCAGTATGCAAAGGGAGGTGGGTGCTGGCTTCAAGATCGCGTGTAGGTCTAGAGTTCACACTTATATACACCGCTTGGCGGCTGCAAGCTCGGCTGGCGTAAAGCGAATTCTGAGCGCCCGTTAACACCCTCAGACAAGGCAACCGCAACTTCTGCAAGGAGGCGCAGCAACAGTAGCCGGCGGTTAGGTGTGCCTCCAACTTCTGCTTCCTATTGTAAGAAGCAAGTACGTTTGAACGGAGGCGACCTCAAGTTGGACGCAGATAGGGGGTTGCGTCCTAGGTGTCGCAAGGCGGCCGGGTCGCCGACTGAGCCTCGGACAGGGCCAACATTAGGCCCCAGCCCGGATTCCGGCGCGTAACGCCTGCCGTGACCAATGGAGGCTGCGGTCGGGGGCCACGATCTCGAAACAAGTGACAGTATAGCACCCAACTGTTGGTATATCTTCTTAGTTGGGTTTAAAATAGTAGGAATATATTCAAGTCGTCGACGTCCCCCCCGGTTGGCTCTTATGCACAGCCCCGCTCAGGTTAGACCCTCATTTCTTTCGATGGGTTCCCAACACACCTTTGTACATGCTTTTCTGTGCGTGCTTGGGACGTAGCCTTCTGGGGGTTGGTGGTGTGAATGGTCGGCGCTAGCAGTTTTAGCAACGGCGTGTTGGTTCGTCCCGTCGCACATGTCTCCCTAAGTAAATCTCAGAGACTCTGCACTCCAACCGGTTCATTCCCCGTCAGCCCCTTGGCTTTGAGCCGCTCGGCCCTCCTTTCGAGATACTCGCGGTATGGCGTCTTCGGAATCTTCTTCTGCTTATCCTCCCAGATTTCGTAGCCGGTTTCCTCCCACACTTTGAGTTGCTCCATGAAGTTGGCATTTGGCTTGATATTTCTCTTCTCTTTGACAAACTGGGTCACGTCGGCCAGGCTTTCGCGTCGTTTCCGCATCAGATAAGCGATCACGGCCGTTGGCGAGCGAGAAACTCCGAGCAAACAGTGAACCAGAACGCCCCCACCAGCAGCATCCTTGCTGAGTCGTTTGTCGATAAAGTTACAGATATCGTCCATATAGACAAGTAAATCCTGGGTGCTGGAATCATTGGCGGCAACGAACAGATGATCTTCTTTAGGCACCTGGGCTCTGTAGTACGAAGTACCCCATGAGCCGTGTCGATTTGGTTCGATGGAGACGACTGAAGTGATAGAGCGTTCCGTCAGCGTCGGGAGATGCCACGAGACATTCGAATTTCCAATGAAGAGGCCGGGCTCAATCTCCGAAATAGACATCATGTCCATAATATTTATTTCAGGCGCCATCGTGGGCGACGTAGGGCTGTGTTGTGGAGCGAGAAATTAGGCGTTGGGAGGTGAGAGTGCTGCGGAACATTTGGGTGAGATTTTATTCTGCAGCTGGGAGCGCGGGTCGGAGCGTAGGTGTGGCCAGCTGCCAACCGCGCCTGGTACCTGTCCTGCAGACGGAGGGAATGTCAGACACCTGCAGTGGCTGGAGTGCGGTGGGCCGCCGCGCCCCGCCACCAACAGGAGTCCTGGATTAGGTACCATGTATCACATGACCACGGGCCACTTGAATACCGACGAATAATTAATTAATTCCCGATACTTAAATAATATCACGTAAAACGTAGACGCCTACATTTACGCTTTGCGGTACGTAGGCATATAAGGGCTGGTTTAATTGGTATGTGACATAACTTGTATATATATTTAATCGTATATCTACCTTGAGTCTTCTTCCGTTGCTTGTCTGAGAATCGCGAGTCAGTCTCCCGACAAGATGAAGAACGGCCGTGCAGACTCGTGGCCAGTTCTCCCAGTATGGTCAGCATATCATCCTGGTTTCTGCTCTGTTTCCTTTAACTTATCACGCGAGGGACAGACGCTGGTAGTGCCTTCGCCGGTTCCCTTTTAACGAAATGACACCATCAGTAGCCCTCGCAAGCTGATACGTAATCACCAAACGGGGAGAAGGAGAGCAAGAACTTGACAAGTCTGCCTAATCCGAGACTAATGCCTAGTCCCACTCCTGGCAGCTCGCCGTCATCACTGCCTCGGCCAACCTCAGCTTCGTCCTCTTCCTCTTCGGGAGCCATCCGGATATTTCGATTCCGTGATCGCATAGTTGTTATCGCTATCGACTTTTTAGTCCGTCTGTATAGGACGATCAGCACCGCACTTATCACCAGCTACGATGAGGCTCCACTGTCCCAGGACTTAATGATTCTAAAGTCCGTATTCGTTCCTCTCTGTGTTGGGTCCATCGTGGCCGGGGCCGCAACAGAGTATACAAGTTCGTGTTCTTACCCCAGCCCTAACCCAATATTCTAGAGTGCGCAGACGGCATACAGGAAGAGGATGGATACGAGAAACGTAATCTAGGCTTCAAGGACGACTCTGCTAAAACGTGTACTGAAATAGAAACACGCCCCTACCCGCCCTGATCAGCACAACCTCGCGGCAAGGAAACAAAAGTACAACCGCATGCCACAAAGCCCTGCAGGCGTTTGGATAACAGGATAGGGACAATTCTATTCCCAAGTACCGCCTGTTGCTTCACATTCATGAGCTGGTGGAGGGCGCGTAATTTCGTCATGAGAAATATTTCGAGCTAGGTGCATGGCGACTTATCGCATTTACTACTCCCCGGTCGGTTTAAAGAGTATCCACGACCGGGAGTGGCGCTCGATATCTTGCGCTCGCCGTATACCCCCACACTATCTCCTCTTTGTTGTTACTGGTTAGAGAACACACAGCAACACGGGGTTACCACGTCGGCATTATCACCCGCCACACCATATTAGCCCGCGCCGTGATTATTAACATTAGCTCCAGTTTCCAGACGGTTATTCATCCCCCAATCTCTATGGCTATGTAGGCTACGTATTATGACCGCCGTTGCTAGTCCTAGGCATGGCTCGATATTAGCACCTTTATGCCGTCATCTGAGCGGCTCTTGAGTGGACCCAGCCCCTGATTGGTGAGATCTTGGAAATGCTCAGACCACGATCTATTATCCAGTTGACATTCCGACGGGGAAGTAGTGTTAGCTGTATCGTTTCTTTCTATCCGGAAGTCGGTGTTGAGATTCTGTCGTTGAATGTCGGCCTCTGGTAAAGAAACCTCTTCTGTCTCATCGAGTGCGGCAACACGTCTCCCGTCCTCTGATTTCAGTTAAACCGGTGTCATCACTTTGCTGTCGGCCGGAATCTCCTGTTCAACGAACTCCCGAGCAGAATCCCAAAGCACAATGTGACTACGCCATCCTAGGCTATTGCCGCCGGCGCTACCCGTCATGTCGGACTAGCGTCGTCGCCAATGGGTTTTCTCTGCCTGTTGCTGGACTCCTAGGTACTCTATCCGCCGGACGCCTATTCTCGCGCTTGCGGCTTCTCGTGTCGTTTCAGGACCAGCGCGCACGATGGAGCGGCTGAATCTGAAGCAGGTTGCGGAAGAAAGGGGCCGTGCGCTACGGGGCAGAGATGAGAGTAGGGGGCAGAGTGAAAAGGGTTCGTAAAGCAAAGCCCCGTCGGGTCAGGGCAACCCTGCTATGCTCCCAAGAGAGCTGGTTGGGTCCAACTCGTGGTTCAAGTGCTAAATTAGCTCCGCGTCGAGGGACGTACGTCCCCTCGCCCTCTTGCACGATCGTCGGCCGTCTGCAGGGGTGCCGCCCCGGAATACCATCCCGAGCCCCCTCTCCCGAGACCACGAGGGTGTGGGTCACCGAGCGGACTATTCCGTATATGGTGTCTGCTTGAACTACCACTTCAACGGCGCCGGTCAGCTAATAGCACTTAGCAAGTTAGCCTCACGACCGCGTCCTATTAGGAGGTAGAGTACACGCCATCTGGCTAGGCTTTGTCTCTTTTTAGTCGACGCGCCATCAATTCGGTAATAGTAGTTATCAAAGAAGTAATACCTCCTGATTTTCTTTTAGCCTCATCAGATGGAGAGGTCTTAGGAACTACGAGATGGCGTATTATTTGATTTCTTATGCCCAACCCTCGGCACATGACTGTGAGGCTCTCTCGCTCAAGTTATCTTCCCCATCTCCCTCCCAGCCATGGTAGGATTCCCGTCGATCATATTATCTTATAACCGCTAGGAAGGCAATGAACACCGAGTGCCTGGCAGCCTGAAGAGTCATACCCCTAGGGCAAGACGCAACCATGGCTTACGACCCGGACCAGGCCCAGATCGTGGGCTATGTCTGCGGTACATTCTCTCTCATTATCCTGGTTGCACGCCTAGGAATTTCCCGATGGCGTCGCGAGTCTATCGATCTAGGCTTCTTCCTCGTCTCCCTCTCGATTCTGACCATCACTGGTAGGCTCGTCATGAACGAGTTCTACTTAAAACTCCCGACGGCGAACGACGTCTTGCACAACCCGGACACTCCCGATGTGACGAGCAACGAGGCACTGAAGGTCGGCGGCATCCTCGTCCTCCTCGCCAGGGTGCTACTCACCGCCGCCCTCTGGCTGCAGATTGGAATTCTACTCGTGTTTTACGCGCGGATCACCTCGAACATCTTCTGGGTCCGCCGTCTAATATGGGTAACTTGGATCTTCGTGGGCGCTACTTTCGTCGCCGTCGTACTAGCAACATTCCTCGAATGCCAACCCATCGACCTATACTGGCAGATTGAACCTAACCCAGGGCAATGCGTGCGAGCCTACCTCCAGCTTCTGATTCAAGCAATTGCAAACATTATCGCCGACATCATGCTTCTCGTGATCGCATACCCCCTGATGCGCCTCAGCAAGCGGAGCTTGTCGCAGACGATCTCGATATACACGCTCTTTGCCCTGGGAACCTTCTGTATGGTCATTACCATCATCCGCATCGTCCTGGTCTTCAGCGAGAACTCGTCGCAGACGACTCGCAGTCTCTGGGCGTCGGTTCAGATGTTGGTCGCCTGTTTCGTGGCCAACGCACCGACTATCTACGGGTCTCTGCGGGTTGTACAGCGGAAGCGATCCGAGCAGCGCAGCGCGAGGGGCTACGCGGAGCCCATGAGACGGCCGTCGCGGCCCGAAAGGGAATCCTGGATCAAGATGACCGAGCAGGCCGCGCCCCCTCCACAGATACCGGTAGATTCTCCTACGACTCCCCCTCCCATACTGTCGCCTCACCACGACAACCCGTATCCGGCGACACGACTCTCTACTGCGTCCTCCACAGAAGATAAGCCTCACAGCGTTAAGAAGGCTGTATGAAGAACGAACGAAAATGTGGTGCAAAGGAACAAGGGGGGTGTGGAAGCAGGGCAGGACCTCAGCTAAATAGCACAAAATAACAGATATTAAACAATAATAATAATGAACAGCACGTCGACTTTCCAATTATACGTCCGTTTCAGCTGCTCCCCTCGAGCCCCCGTTGACCCCCCGTTGACCCTCATGTATCTCAACAAACACGCCAGCCCCCCCCTATGTTACTACCATATAATGATCCATAGGGCGAAAGTATCCAATATGTGGGTGGGATGGTAAGCCTATCTACGTAACCCTACACCCCGTTTTCGAGAACTATTAAACCTAGGTATAGCTCTCTATAACCCCTTACCCCTAATTCTCCACGCCTCCCCCACCCCCCTTTATCTTTCTCCATCTCTCGCCCGTCGTCGTCCTCCACCGCCACCCACCTACCCGGCGACCCTCCTCTCAAATTCCCCCCGCGCCTCCTCCACCATGGCCTCGACGTCATAGTCCCAGATGCGATGAAATCTGTCCCCGACCTCGCGCAGGAACGCGTCGGCGTCGCCCGCGCCGCCGCGCACCGCGCCCCCGGGGTCCTGCCACTGGAACAGCGCGCCGACCTCGCGCGTGGCGCCGACGAGCCACTGCGTGCGCTCGCGGCGCAGCGCGTCGTAGGCCGCGAGCGCCGCGCCGCACAGCCGCGCCTTGTGCGCCGCGGGGTCCGCGAGGCGCGCGTCGACCGCCGCGAGCACCGTCGCCAGCACGAGCGCGTCCTCGACGCCCATCCCCGCCCCGGCCCCGAGGTGCGGGCCCGCCGCGTGCGCCGCGTCGCCGGCGACCGCGGCCACGGCCCACGCGCCCTCGCCCTCGCCCTCGCCCTCGCCGTCGTGGTACCGCGGCGCCGGGTTCTCGTACATGTCGAAGAGGGCCCACTTCTGCAGCGGCTCGTCGTCGGGCAGCAGGTCTACGAGCGCCCGGACGCGCGGGTGCCAGGCGGCGAACGCGCGCACCGCCTCGTCCTTGCGCCCGACGGCGGTCATCGTCGCCGCCTGGGCCCCACTCTCGCGCCCGCCCCACGGCTCCGCGTCGCTGATGACCAGCAGCACGTTGAGGAAGGCCCCCCGAGCCACCGGGTATGTGACGCAGTGCGCGTCCGGCCCGTTGTACATGAAGCGCGTGGACGTGCGCTCGGCGCCGAGCGCGGCGCGCGCCCGGTCCATCGGCACCAGCGTCCGGAAGCAGTATTTGTGCGTGTAGCGCGGGTGCGACGCCGGATTCGCCTCGCCGAGGATGAGCTGCCGGACGCGCGACCGGATCCCGTCGCAGCCGATGACTGTTGTCCACCGCTGGCGTCAGCGCGGCGGTGTGTGAAGGGGTGGAAGAACAGACGGCTCACGCACCTATATCCGCGTCCTCCCGGCTGCCGTCGGCAAAGCCCAGGCTGACGCCGCCGCCGGCCTGGCGCTCCAAGGACACGAGCTCGCGGCGGAAGGCGACGCGGCGGGGGTCGACGAGCCGGGCCCAGGCGTCGAGGAAGTCGCAGCGGCGGCCGCCCTGGAAGCGGGCGACGCCGATGAGCAGGCTCGCGACGACGGCGTCGGAGCCGCGGCCGTCAACCCAGCGGAAGTACTCGGCCTCGGGGCCTGGGGCGGCGACGGCCCAGTACGCGGCGTGCGCGGCCGGGTCCACGAGGCCCAGCGCGCGCTCCGCGTTCGGGCTGAACCCGATGCCCGCGCCGATCTCGCCGAAGCCGGCGGCCCGCTCGTACAGCACGAAGTCGACGCCGCGCTTCTGCAGCGCCATCGCCAGCATGACGCCCGTGATCCCGCCGCCGACGATGGCAACGCGGACACGGCTGGACCTACCAGTAACCGGCGTTGCGAGGGTGGTCATTGTGTTGGCCTTACGCGCGGGCTCGGATTGGAGAGGCGCTCTTGTGGAGATATGTAGTACGCGCTGGAGAGAACAGGCGCACGATTGAGACGGAAGGGAATTCTCGGTGTGAAACTGGGAGGGGTTGAGGAGGGTAAAATCGACGGCTTCGTCACTGTTCGTCGCCCTAATGTGACGGGATCAGTGAGACAACACTCCAACGAGTGGCTTGCTTATTGGGGGCGTCGGCCTTGGTTTGGGGAGATGCGCCGGAACACCGACGGAGGACAGGAGCCTCAAGGGGGCGATGGATAAATATTTAGTAATATCCACCTTATTGGTTAACCCCTCGATCTACATCTGTAAGTCTCACGTAGGTCTCACATCTAAACTACTTGAGAGGAGGGAGCTTATTCCCATCTGATTATCCAGCCTGCTTCGATCAGAAGTCACGCATGGCGGAGTCTGTGAAGCCCCTGAAGGGCAGAGTGTTATTGACAGGCAGGTGGCCTCGCTACGTGATCTCTACAGATTTCGTATCTGACACTCCTAACATACGAATTAATATACAGGTGGCAGCGGGTTCATCGCCTCTCATACCCTCGATGCTCTCTTAGACGACGGGTACTATCTATCCTACAGTCACTGAATCGGTCTCCCTTGCAGCTTACACGTGTCACCACAGATTTGGAGTTGTCGCTTCAGCAAGGTCTCACGCGAGGGGCCGTAGGATACTGGATTCCGTCGATCCTACTCGCAGAGAGAGGGTTTCCTACGTCGTCGTTGAAGACGTAGCGAAGGATGGTGCATTTGATGCTGTTAGTGCCCACGGTGGAAGATGACGGAAGAGCGCAGGGTTTTGACATATTCGTAGGTATTCGAGGCCGACCCAAATTTCGACTATGTCGTCCACACCGCCTCACCGTATCATTTAAACGTCGAGGACCCTATCAAGGACTTCTTGGATCCGGCGATCAATGGGACTACGGGGCTCCTGCGGTCCATCAAGGCATACTCGCCTGCTACTAAGCGTGTGGTCATAACCTCGTCGGGCGCCGCGATTATAAATCCCCTCCATCATGCCAACGTGTATGACGAGACGTGTTGGGCACCCTGGACGCGTGAGCACGCCCTGAACCCGAAGCGGTCTTACGAAGCTAGCAAGGTAAGAGACCGCGCATACATATATAGTGATAGGAGGTCCCATACAACTCCAACTCTAACGGCCCTAACCGGTTGAAAAAAAAACCAGGTTCTCTCCGAGAAAGCAGCTTGGTCCTTCATGGAGGCCGAGAAGCCCAGCTTCGACCTCGTAACGATCAATTGCACCTACACCTTTGGACCCATCCAGCGCAACATCACGAGCCTGGACGCCATCAACACGTCAAACCACCGCGTACGGGACCTGGTGCTCGGGCGGGTGGAGGGGGGCCTCAAGCCGACAGAGCCGGTATTCGTGTTCGTCGACGTGCGCGACGTGGCGCTGGCGCATGTCCGAGCGATAACGGTGCCCGCGGCCGGGGGGAACCGGTTCTACGTCGTGGGCGGATACTTCTCGAACAAGCGGATTGCGGACATCGTGGGACGATGCCGGCCGGACCTGGCGGCGCATCTGCCGTCCGGGGACGCCGCGCGCGACGACCTCCCCGACAACGTCTACGCGTTCGACAACGGAAAGTCGCGCAGGGTCCTGGGCCTCGAGTACACGGGCCTCGAAAAGAGCATACGCGACACAGTGCAGTCCATACTGGAGGTGGCTGCGGTGGAAGAGAGGGCAAGAGAAGGGAGCGCGTATACGTAGTCGCCGACTTCAAGGTCGCCGCATTAACGCCAAAGACAACCAACAGATTATAATAATGTACCGAGGTTTCACGGACAAGGGTTGCTTAACATAATGTCTTCGATATTACATACTCCGTAGTTATGGCTAGCACTTCTTAGTTACTCACCCCTGCACATAGAAGACCGTCTTCTCCTAATAACTTAAGACGAGAGAACCTCTTTCATCCTGCATTTCAGCACGTTTCAGGGGGTATTGGTCATACTCATGTTATAAGAGTCGCATTATGTATACTTCACTAAATTCCAAGCATGCTCGCTTCTTGCAAGGCGTAGTATATACATACACCTCAACGATTACACTACAGCCTCTCATTGACCATCAAGGTCGGTACTCGCAGCCACTTCGCGGGCAGCGTCGATGTCGCTCTTGAGCCTCTCGATCTTGGCGCCGATTCTGTCGAGACTGTCCGGGCCGAGGGGCAGGCGCAGGATCTTGCCGCGGAGGTGGCCGGCGGGGCCCTCGCCGGCGACGACCTCGAAGATGCGGTCGACGGCCTTCTGGGGGTCGCCGCGCTGGCGGCCGTCCTGGCCGCGGAAGTGGCGCAGGGCGGCGGCGGCGGGGGTGTCGGCGTCGTCGCGGGGGACGCCGCGGTCGTTGGGGTGGAAGGCGGCCAGGAAGTTGGTGCGGAAGGCCCCCGGCTCGACGATCAGGACCCCGATCCCGAACACCGCCACCTCGCGCGCCAGCGACTCGCTCAGGCCCTCGAGCGCGAACTTGCTCGCCGCGTAGAGCCCGCAGCCCACCATCCCGTCCTGCCCCGCCATGCTGCTCACGTTGACGATGGTGCCCGTCGCCCGCGCGCGCATCCCCGGCAGCACCGCTTGCGTCGCGTATAACGCCCCGAAGAAGTTGGTCTGGAACTGGGCGGTGGCTTCTCGGTCACTGTCGAACGGAGCGGTAAATCGTTAGAATCGGTGGATATATTCGTGCAAGTTGCCTTCGACCCCCCTTCCCCTTCACTCTTGTGCTTGGGGAGATATAAGTATAGGGGTAGGCGAGCGGGCAGTGCTTACCTAAACTCAGATACGGGGCCGAGAACAGAGTAGGCGGCGTTGTTCACGAGGATGTCGACCCGGCCGTAGATGGCCTCGGCGGCCCTCAGCTTCTCCCAGATGGTCGTCTGCGAGTCGTTCATGTCGAGCTGCACGACCTTGCCGCCCGCGTTCGTTATCGACTCCGCGGCCTCACGCGCGCGGGCGGGATCGCGCATCGCGCCGATGACCCGGTGGTTAGCCTTCAGGGCGCGATGGCACAACGCTAAGCCAAGGCCGTTGGAGGCGCCCGTGATCAGCCAGACGGGGGTAGTCATTTTCGTCGATAGTCAAGCAAGAAAGGTGCCTCGAAGTTGAGAAACTAAGGGTTAGTAACGGAGATGGAGGAGAGGGAGTCGTTACAGGTGTTTGGCTGGTAGGCATTTGAGTGAGGATATATATACGGAGAAATACCTATAGGTGGTAGCTCTATGGGTGGGTCTCTCGTGAGTAGAGGAGTTAAGGGAGATATTGTCATCGTCGTCGTCGATGGGGCGGGGTTATCCGTAATATCACCTAACGCCGTCGAGCCCAAGCGACTATGCCGAAGAGGCAATGGAGGGATAGCACGATGATAATACTACCTACGTGGCCAGTTATAAGCGGAGACAGTCCTGCTTGCGGAAAGGGGGAGAGCTATACCAGGAGATTTTTGAAGCCAAGGGTGGTGATCTGTGACTCGCTTATTCACTCCCTGCTGATGTTGAGTCTGGCCATCGTCTTCTCGCCATCGCTGTATTACCTGCCTATTGCCGACGTGCCGCCACTCGCTGAGGTTGTCTCGATTCCTCAGCCGTCGTGAGCCTGAACAGCATATTACTCATTCTCACGCAAATAGCCACATATGGCAATCAAAAAGATTATCGGCTTCAGATCGACGATTTTATCCTTATTATTTTTTGGTTGGGACCTAGAGATAACGCCGAACCCTTGCGAGAGCGCCGCGGAAGAAAACACAGCGGAGCCCATCGTGTAGGCGATAGTGTAGGAGATAGGCGATAAGTTTCGGAAGGTTTTGATAGAGAGGTATGGACAGCTCGTAAGCACATCCCCTGCATCTATTCCGGTTTGGAGTACCGAGCAGAGATTCGTTGTCATCCTTTCGACCCTGCCACGCCGTGTGAGTGTGCATGAGTAAGTGTATAAAAGGGTGTAAAACTGGGTTGGCCTAAGAGAAGAATGCTGGTTGCACCAAGGCATCAGCCACAGTGCATAGTCGCACGGCCACAGCACAATGTGGCTTGGGTGTCGGGGCGAGTTCTCCGATTACCCCGCAATACCTAAGATGGGGGGCAGCTGGTGTGCCCAGTACCTAGGTAGATACCTACCTGCACATGTAATTGACGGGCACCTAGGCGAGGAGCAACCACGAAAGTAGGTACAACGTGTTTCTCGACGGTAAAGACAACATCACAATTCCTTTAGGTCGGAGGTTCGTGCTTCGCTGCGCTTCGCTTCACGCTGGTTCTACGTTCGTATGCGCTATCGGCGATGACCCGGATCGATAGAGGCTGCACAGATGCGCGACGAAACGACGCGCCGCTGATCCCCAGGTGTCTACCAATACCTAGGTATCTGCCTGCCTACCTACCACCTACCTAGGTACCTACCTACCTCGTTGGCACGTTGAAACGCTGCGTGCCAGCACCACGACGGAGGCCGAGCTATCGCGCCAGCGCTCGTAGACCCAGCGAAGAGTGAGCTACACGTCCACTTTCGGCCAAAGGGAGAAATAGCGTGCCAGATCGAGTTGATCGGTCTGCAGCGGGTTTCAGGCTGGCTTCGACCGAAACGTGCAAGCTGTCGGAGTCGTCCCGCGTTTAGTTCGCCAAGATCTCGTCCTCGACCAGCTCCTCGGCACGGAAATTAGCCCTATGATGCCCATCTGGTCCCAGACGCCACGCCTCTCCGTCTCCATTCGCTGATCCAGGTCTCTGGTCCGGTTGCTCGAGCTAGAAGGGGGTAGTAATACCTAAGACATCTCCGCCGTGGCTGTAAAAATAGCCTCAGATGTCTTCAGTTCCCTTCTAGTCCCGTGGTGCCAAAGGCCAAGGGGCGTACAGTACCTAGTTACTCAAGGCATCCCCAGAAGTCATGCCACCGAGACTAGCTCTGGCCGAGACAGCAGCAGTGGGCAGGGAATATCACATCGGAGAAGGCTTGGCCAGAGGAGCCATCAGCAGGGCGGGCGGCACGGCTGTGGATAGGGATGCTGGTTGGTGGAACCCGGGCTAGTTCCTGAGGGTATCCCAATCGAGAAACATACGAGTCCGGGCAGAAACTATCGGTGTTACACAGCTGATGAGACAGAGTGCAGCGACTCGGACGTGAACGCGAAAGGGCACGACATCGGAGGCGATGTCGGTAGATTCTTAGAGCCAGCCCCCCCTTCTCCTTGCACGGTGTCCGATGGGGGGTTCATCGCAGACTGGTTTCGCCTCTCCTCGCCCATGAGCGCGGCGTTAGGTCTGTGTCTGTGCTCGCGACACGATATCGTAAGTAAATCCACGCACAACACGGCGATCGCGAACAGATGCCGGACGACTTTCTCTCTGTCTGGGCGAGCATGTGGTTACGACTCAACTCCGGCAGCCCATGCACGTTGCCGCGTTTTCATCAGATGCCGAGCTCGACTCTGATTCCCCCCAGGCTCGATCTCTCGCCCCCATTACATGCATGCATATAGGTTTTTGGTCCGATCTCTCGCGAATTAGCGCCGCCGCGGCTGCGCATATGCATATACCTTAATGTGACATGTTCGTATGCAAGTATGCAAGGGGCGGGTAAAGCTGCCGGAGGACGTAGCTAGCAACCTCTTCCGCTGCCAGCGGTGAGGCGAACTTAGGGACTTCTTACAGCAGAAATAGAAAGGATTCGTACCTCCACATTGCGAAGTACTGTATATCGCTAAGCATGGATATAGATACGTACGATCTAAGTAAACTCCTTCTTTTCCCCAGGCTGACGAGATCGCGCAACCCGACTTTCCCACCGTCCGGTAACCAATCAACGCGGTAATCTGCTGTGTTTCGTTCCTTAAGCGGAAGGGAGGGCGTTGAGGGTGTTCTGGCTCTGTGTACAACGTTGTTCTCGGCTATTATACGGCGTGCCACGTATGTAGCGGTATGCCTCATTACATGCAGGGGATCCTGACCCAGAGATCGATAGTCGAGAAATCAAATCTAGTTGATACTGCAATCGGTGCACGAGATCGGCCCCGGACAATCCGCCCGCCTATTTTCCAGCCACTATCGTCACCATTGTTCGTCTTGACCATTTTGGTCCGCAGCGTATTCGCATACCTTTCCCTTCTGCCGGATGATTACAGGTTTTTCTATCTGTGTGTGGGAGCATAATTACTTAAAGGGCGGCTTGTACTCGTAGGCGAGGATATGGGGAAACGGCCAATTCGACTAGATCATATTTCAGTTTCGATAAGAATAATGCATAGCATCCAAGCGGGGATAGCTCAGCTGGGAGAGCGTCAGACTGAAGTCCCACTTCAGGAACTAGAACATCTGAAGGCCGTGCGTTCGATCCGCACTCACCGCACATTTCTCTTTTTTTTAATTTTTTTATTATGAGGCCCCGCGCGTTGAGAAGATCCCACAGCGTTGGGATAGCTGAGCATGCCGTATCTATAGGTGGCTAAATATCGCTACAATGGCCAGGACCGCCGCCGCCACCATCACCACTACCAATAAGCACAAGTAGGTAGGTATATCAATATGCATGCATGATAAAGTAGGTCATTGCTTTCCCCTGCCTCCATCGATCATATACCTAATGTGTTCATTGATGGAGAATCACTTTTTCCCTGTTACGTATACCGCCAGAGATCAATCCACACAGTCCACGAGTCGCACTTATTTAGGTATCATATCATCGTCGATGGCTCTCTGCTCCCCTTCCCCTAAAGGAAATCACCTCGTGTAAGCAAGCATATTCAAGCGGTCATGGCCTCAGCGAGACGAGTGTTGGTGGATGGGTGTTGATAAAAGGGGCTAATCGTTGCGAGACCGACATTATCTACCCACGTAACCAATCGGTAGCTTCTCCGTTCTGCATACCACTGTTAGGCACCAGTAGGACGTCGTCAGGTCGATGTTGTGTAGGTAAATACTTAGGAGTCCCATTGGTCGTTAGTTAGTTGGTTGGTTGGTCGGTTGGTTGGTCGCGCAGAAGGAATACCAGAACGACGCATACCTATTAAAGCCCGAATCAGGGTCATAGATATTATATGACCATCGAAAGACCGGAGGGGTGGCCTCCAACCAAGCCAGCGTAGCAAAATTCATTCGAGGATAGAAGTCCAGTCGTAAAACAAAACCCTAGTCATATACGGACGCGATCGTTGAACCGGCTACAGCAAGGTATCCGAGGATGGTAGTCGTCTCTCACCTGCCGTAGTAATAATATCGGTCGGAACGGCCTGTTTCTTGATACGCCGTCCATCTGGGGTTCGGGTCCACGGCAACATAGTTGGGTACGACCGGCGGAGGTATCGACTGGGGAAATTCATACGGCCAGTAGGTCTGCTCCGGCTTGGTAACGCCGGCGGCGTCGTACGGAGGGTAGCGAGACTTCCTCCTCCTATCCTCGTAGGCGGAACTCCGCGCGGACCTGCATCGCCTGGCGCAGCAACACCAGAGAAGGATCCCGAGTACGAAGGCTCCGACAAGACACCCCACGAGGATCCCGATCTGCTGCGATCCGAGGCCGTCGGACGAGGCGGTACCGGCGCTCCCGCTCGGTGGGGTCGGAGTATCGGTCGCGGCACCACTGCGATCAAGGGTTACTATAGCCGTGCTTGTCGAGTCGGGGTATGTGAAAACTTGCGTCAGCGTGACCTGGCGCTTTGCTGCGTTCGACAGGACTTGGCGCACGGTGACCGCCGGCGGCGGAGACAGGTGAGGGGACATTTCGGCGGCGAGGAGGCGGCGGCCTAAGACATCGATAGCCGGGGACGAGACTCGGCGATAGCGATAGTGCCCTCGAAATACACGTTCTAGAGGCGAGGCCCGGAGGGCAAGGGGAGACGGGATACTCAACCATTTTATCGACGAACCCGTCACACGGGGGAGTCACCCCCCCCCCCCCCCCCCCCCCCCGGGGCCCGACGACGCAGTCGTCCCGCCCTGGCCGGCAAGGCATACTCAACAGAATACCGACCCACAGCAGGCCAACCTGCAGCCAACTTAGATCGCATCATCATCTGACATTGGCCGCGTTCTCATGACGACCCTCTAACACCAGACATGATGGCTGCCAACCCTTACGTGGTTGCGTTACTAACGGCTTGGTATCTGGACCCGTGTTGGGACATGGTGGCCATCTGACGGGTGAAACTACACCCTCCGCTCATGCACAACACGCACAACACGCGCATCCCTGGACGGGAGATCGAATCCTCTGCCTGTGCGAACTCGGGAATCTCATTCGCTCCGGTCTGGGGTGGGTTGCATTTGGGGGCCGGACGACCCCATATTGACCCTATCACATGGCCCGTCCTCGAGGACCTCGATATTCGTCATTCACAGCGGATCTACACACCGAAAACGATGCTGCCGTGCGTGGAAAATTCCCGTCCCCTCCGACCCCCCTCCACGACCAACCCCTCTATCGCATCTACGTTACTCTCGAGGTAGGAACCGTGAAAAGCGTCGTATGAGCGTCGTCGCCATCATATGATCGCCGCCGGGATCCCACCAAGTTGCTACCCAGAATGCGCACACTTGCCGGGCTTGAGAGTAGAGCCCGGTATGCTGTCTGTCGACTATAGACCTATGTCCAGACCGGTCCTTTGTATAGTCTTTCTTTTTTTGCCTTGCCTAACAGCGAGCCATAGAAGCCACCATAGCACAGTTTCACAAGTTCAAGGACCTCGCAGACCTCTGACCGTATCTCCTCGCCCGTGTAAGTCCTTAATTTCTTCATGTCAGAAGGCAATATTGGGCAGAGCTAGAACGTACGGAGATCAAGCCACAACGCATTTTAACGACCGCCCTCGACGTGTCGGGTGGTGTTCTTGGCCTCCTCTATCTTGTGGAGGGCAATGTCGTGAGCCCTGACGGATGACTGGCATTCGAACTTGGGAAAATCGCGAGTAGACACCCGCTTCTCGAAGAGCTCATCGATCTCCTCTAATGACCTGCCTTTCATGTCGGGCAAGTATAGCCAGAAGACAACTAGGGTGGGGGAGGCAAAATTAGCAGATGGTGATGACATGGCTTGGGGGAATTCGATCTCTCTCACCGTACGTTATGGCATTAGAAGCCGCCCAGATCCAGCAGTACTTCGCGCCCCAGTTCAACGCAGTCGGGTTGATAAAGTACGGTGAGCAGAATGATGTTAACCCTGACCAGCTGCAAGTCAGCCCGGTCGCGTAACATGGGATGGAGAGCCGACAGGAACAACGCAAGAGACACGTCGGCAGAAGACGTTACGCAACAGTACGGTTCGCTGAGAAAGGAGATGAGGCGGTCCCACAAGCAAAAACGTAATCAACGCCCGTAGCAAAGGACAACGTGAGCACCCTCAAGCGCGAGTTCACAACCTCGGCGGATATGGGCCAGGTCATCGTCCCTGCAAAGCCACTGTATACAATACTGTAGAAGAACGAGGAACCGAGGAACACCTTGGCAGCCTCTTGAGAATCGGGAGAGATCGTAGCTGCTATGGCCGGGGCAAGCATAGCGATGACTGCCGATCCTACCCCTATCAGAATCATCGTACGACGGCCCCAGACCTTGTAGGCGCAGTACAAGCCGACGACGACACCAACAAGCTGTACCACCATCGAGTAGATGTTGATCCGAAAGACGTCGTCTACCCCGGCTCGCTGGTAAAAGTATGCCTAGACAGTGTTAACGGGACAGCTCAAGCCGCGGATCGCACAATAAGTGGAGGGCGCTCACGCCGTAGGACAAAAACACCCACACGCCCGACGAGGCACGCGACAGTACAACACTGACGCAGAGCAGCGTGCGACGCAAGTTGGTTCCACGGAAGATATCAACCAAACCCGACCGAGATGCATTATTCCTCTCTTCCTCAACGCCCTGGATGATCTCGACAAGCTCTTCCTGCAGAAACTCTGGCTTGAGGGAGTCGTCGCGGAGAGATTTCAGGGACCGCTCGGCCTCCTCGCGACGGTCATGAAGAATCAGCCAGCGGGGCGACTCGGGAATAAAGAAGACGAAGAGGCTAAGCAAGGTGGGGAATATGAACAGGCACGCGAGCGGGATCTGGTAGGAGCGCTTGTCCAGCATGTGAGATGTCCTCTCGTCGACGACGGCCCCGAGGATGGTGCCGAAGTTGATGGTCAGAGCGAACAGGGCCGAGCACACGGCGCGCAGCTGGGGTGGCGCGCACTCGACGATGTGCGCGTTCGAGAAGGTGATGAAGAAGGCGTTGGAGGCGCCCATCAGCGCCCGGCCGACGCAGAGGCTCGCGATCGAGCCCGCCGCGATCTGCGCCGCGCACCCGGCAAACGCGACCAGCGTGCCCATCCAGATCCCGTGCCGGCGGCCGAAGTAGCGCCCAAAGGGGGCTGTGAACAGCACCCCGACGATCGTGCCGACGTTGAGGAACGACGCGATCAGCTGCTGGTCCGTCGTCGCGATGCCCCAGCCGCCTCTCAGGCCCGGGTCCGCGTAGCCGAACGTCATCAGGAACCCCGGCATCGTCTGGAAACTCCCGATGGCCGACACGTCGAAGCCGTACTGGCAGTTGGCGAAGGCCATGCCCGCGCACACGAGCGCGCATTTCCAGTTCTGCCTGAAGCCATTGTTGCGCTCGCTGCTGATGCCCATGGTGCCTCCTATGACGAGCCAGGGGAAAGCCGCAAGGGAAGTGAAGACGAGGAAATAGGTAGAAGACAGGGAGCCGAGTCGGACTCGGGGTAAATGGCCCCCTAAATACGCGTTGGGGGAATGCAATACTTACCGATCGATGTCTATTGTGACCGAATGGTGCTGATGACCTAGACCCGATCCCCAATCCCCGCTCCCACGTCAGGGTCACATCCATCCCATGCTGTAGAGTGATATTTTACGGGGGAAGCGTGATGTATTACCCCAGATTGCCACGCCTCTATTTACATCTTCACGTCGGTACTTACTCCACTACATAGGAGAGTTTCTTCCCAGTGCCGGTAGATCACGTAGAACGTCTCGTGGAGAGGGGTGTAAACGAGGTCGATCTAAATCCGGAGTAATCCGCTCGCTTCCGTAAAACGAGACGGGCAGGTCGAGTATATGCCCGACTCGATAGATATAGCTATCGGCGGCGATGATATACCTATAATGAGGGTCGGAAGAGAAGCACCTAATTCCTTTATTTTGTCCCATAAGTAACAACCTGAAAAAAAAAATCCACAGTTCGTGTGGGTACATTTCTCTCCATGTAGTCCTCTTTGAGATCTTAACTAGTCCATCCCACGGCTACTTGTAGGAGTAAAAGGCATGCTCCGCGTAGATACATAATAGTTAATACACCTACAGTGTCATAGGTACTATACCCATCGACATCATCACCCATCCTCCGCACCTCATGCACAGCCGTCACTACCCTTTACCCCGATAATACATACTCAGCCTACCACGTCTTTCCAGGAATGAAGGAGGCCTTCTTCAGCGCCTCGGCCTGAATGCGCCAGACGGGCTTCGCGAGGCGCAGGAGCTCGGGGCCGAAGTCGGCGATGAGGGCGTCGACGTCGGGGTCGGCGGCGCGGCTGGCCTCCCACTCGGCGTCGGAGCCGAGGGTGGCGAGGACCCAGCGGCGGTGCCAGGCGGCGACGGCGCGGGCGGCCTCGTCGCTGCCGGCGCGCACGCCCGTGGCCAGCGCGTAGAAGGACGAGCGGATGCCGTGCTTGCGCCGCGGCTTGAACAGGCGCACGCGCGCGAACCCGCTCAGCGTGCGCAGCAGCGCCGCCGTCGCCGGTGCGTCCGCCTTGTGCAGCAGGATCACCAGCCGCCCCGCCCCGTCCCGCCGCAGCCGCCGCACCCCCAGCACCAGCTGCGTCAGCGTCAGCCGCTCCGCCTCCCGCCCCTCCCGGTACGCCGCCCGCTGCTGCGTCCGCAGCACGTTGCCGTCGCAAATCACCAGGTCGAACGCGTCCTCCCGCCACCCGCGCGCCCGCCCCGCCCAGCTCCGCGGGCCGCCGCCGGCGCCGCCGTCCGGGCTCCCGCCCTCCACCAGGAGCCCCTTCGAGAAGTCGAAGTTGGCCCGGTCCGGGTGCTCCTCCGGCACCATCGCCGGCTCGATGCCCATCTCGCCGGCCAGCATCGTCAGATCGCACAGCGTCACGCGCACGCGCGGGTCCGTCTCCCACCCCGGCAGCAGGATGTCGTGGCCGCCCTGGGCCGGCGGCAGGGTGGTGCCGCGGACGACGGCGCCCGGGTTCCGCTCCAGGATCGCGGAGACGAAGCCGCCCGGCGCGAAGCACAGGTCCAGCACGCGCGGCGGCGACGCGAAGGTGAAGATGCGGCTCATGCCGTCCATCTCCGACCCGATCTGCCGCATCATCTCGAAGAAGAGGGTCTTCCCCTCGGCGGTCGGATTGTCGGCCTGCCGCCGCCGTCCGACGAAGTAGTCATCGCCTTCGCGGTTCTTCCACCCCTAAGTCGGTCAAGGTGGTGAGCTGCTGGGGGCTGCGGTGATACAGAACATATTAGAGAGGCAGGGGGATGAGAACATACCTGACGTCTAAGCTCAGACAGTTCCCGATACTCGGGACTGTTCTCGAGCAAATAATTGTTCCAGCGCCGTTGTTCTGGAGATTTTAATACTTCCTCATCCACGTGAGGGATCGGCCGGTTCGAGTAATCCATGACGCTTCTGGTGTTTCTTCTCAGGCTTGACATCCCCATAAGTGCATGCTAAGTTGGAAATGCGGGATCAGGGACAATGTCATACCTTTATGAGGCCTCGGCGGAAAATAGATCAACTTTAAGACACAGAGGAGACGAGTATTAGTACGAATACTTGCAACCAGAAGACGGTTTTCCCTTTATGTTCTTATCATAATCGATGTATGAACCGGTTTCTACCAGTTTCTCACAGCAATGTGGTCGGCCTGACCCTCTTATCAAGGATCGAGGCAGGAGTTTGAGAAAGGGGATACGGCGTTAGCAAGAGGTGAGTATTTTGTATGGCAACCATACCATTGATATGCAACACGCTCTTCGGTAAACGATATGGCCACTCAATTACCTGATTAGGTTATGAGACCGGGGATCATAGGACGATAGCATCCATCTCGACCACTGAGGCGCCGCTCTACCCTAAGTATTGACCTGAGCACTACGCGCCGAGGGGCGTGACACACCGTTTATTCCGCTGTTTATTCTGCCAATTCGCTGCCCTCATTGTTCAAACGCTGCCCGAGAAACTACGTGGTCCAACTGAATGTGCTGGACCTCTTCCCTCGCGGCGTAGCATTTTACACAACATCTGACAGGTCATACCCAGTCACTATTGGCTTGGGACCGCCCGTTTGAAAGTCCGTTTGTATCGGTGCTACCCATCTCTCCCGTAGGCTGCCTGCTGCGGGAGCAGACTCTACCAACATGTTTAGTTGCTGAGTTCAATTTGTCGAGGTCCTAGCTCTGGGTAATGTAACATCATCAACCATAGGTACCAAGTCGATCTGTATTAACCTCCACAGACGAACGGAAGTAACGCGAAGGCAACCCGTGAAGTGAGTCATCCATCCCATGCCTGAAATGCCTTCTCCCGTATTCTTGATCTTGCCACCTAGGCTGACCATCTTGCTAGACAAGGTGGCACGCAACTGGTGTCGTGCCCCTTTCCGCCGAGTTGTTGTAGATAGTATCTGCTGTGCCAACACGCGCCCTGCTGCCTGGACATGCGAGCTTGTGGCGACAAGGAATACTAAAGGACTAGCGATGTACACAGGTTTAGAACATGAAATCGTGCGGAGGGAATTCCTATTGAACTTGGTAATATGTAGGTAATACTACCAGCCGTGCCACCCCTCACCCTTCTGTCTAGGTACGCATCACTTGTGTTGACGCTGACTGGTATAAGTCCAGGCAACAGCGTTCCACATGCCAAGATCGCATTCGAGGCTGTAGGGTCAGTCATGACTGTTGAGGCTTTTCCCAACTTGAGGAAATTCCACTTTGGCCCAATGTCTCCTTGTGCCGGCCAAGGGTATGACAGTGATGGGACGCAAAGACCGCCTTGGGACTCACACCTGGCCAGTCCTGGGGTACTTCCGGGATTACTATCTTTTCTTGGAAGTCTTCAAATGTAATCTCGTCCCTAGGCCTACAGTCTCTCGTAACGGAGGGCAATCAGGCAGGGAGCTATTTGTAAGCGCACAATACTAGAGGAAAAGATTTGGCGTCGTAGTTGTAAAACACCCGAATCTCCTGTTCTTGGGTACCGAATTGTTACTAGGCCGAGAGCAGGATGCCTATACCAATTCACAACCATCCTCTCTGGCCTCTGAGCGAGCCTCTAAGCTCTCCTGCTTTTTCTTTTTTTCTACTCGGAAACCCCGAAATCCGAAATTCGGCAAGCCAACGAACCCTTGTCACATTAAAGTAATAGAGAGTTAGGGGCAGTCCTACAGCTACTTAAGCCGTTACATTCTAGCTCGGCACTCGAGTGAACATCACATTACGCTCAGTCTCTATCGTTGTTATACCTATAGCTAAGGTCCCGCTGATCACTCACACGTTGTCGTATACCAAGTCAGCAGCCAGAACGTGAGATTATACGCAACATCTGATGCAAATACGGGGTTTGCATACAGCCGGGAACGCGGCCACAAAAGGGCAAGCAGACGGTGTCGCAACCAGCAAACCTAACAGCAAAGGAGGCACGCTATGGCCTTGGACGCCAGAGAAACTAACGGCATGTTGGAGAACATTGCGAATGCGGCGATGGGACACCCCGACCTGGTTATGGCCGGTGGGTCGATCGGTCGACGCGAACCCAGCCAAGCGGGCGGGCAGGCGGTTAAATAGGGGTAAATGGGAAGACGTCGCCACTAGCGGACGCCCTCCCCGGCGGGACGAGGTGTTCTTGGAGGGGGCGGGGACGCCGCCTTCGTCGTATAAGTCGCATGGCAGAAATGTCACGGTAATAAATAAGTCGACACCCTCTTTGCGCTCGAAAATAATGGACGGCGCGGTGGGATGCCGTGTCATCTCGAGCGTGCATGTGCTGTCGCTAATACTCGCATTCCCCCAGCCTAATAATACCTAACCCCTCAGCACCACCACCCCACCTCACGATCCCCCGTTCTCCAGGGAATTAGCAAAACCGCACGCAAAGCCGCGAAGAGCGCCGCCTCGAACCACGCGAGCAAGAGAGAGAGAGAGAAAAAAAAAAGCAGACGCCGTCGCGATGTCGCCGCCCCTCATCACCCACATCTACACGGCCGACCCGTCGGCCCACGTCTTCGACGGCAAGCTGTACATCTACCCGTCGCACGACCGCGAGACCGACATCGCCTTCAACGACAACGGCGACCAGTACGACATGGTGGACTACCACGTCTTCTCGCTGGACTCGCTCGAGTACTACGCCTCCTCCTCCTCCTCCTCCGCCCCCGCGCCCCTCGAGCCCCCAAAGGTAACCGACCACGGCGTCGTGCTCTCCGCCGCCGACGTGCCGTGGGTGTCGCGGCAGCTCTGGGCGCCCGACGCCGCGCGCCGCCGCGGGCGGTACTACCTGTACTTCCCGGCGCGGGACGCCGCGTCGGTGTTCCGGATCGGGGTGGCGTCGGGGCCGTCGCCGACGGGGCCCTTCGCCGCCGACCCGGAGCCCATCCCGGGCAGCTTCAGCATCGACCCGGCCGCCTTCGTCGACCCCGACGGCCCCGACGAGCCCGCGTACCTCTACTTCGGCGGCCTGTGGGGCGGCCAGCTCCAGTGCTACCAGCGCGGCAACGCGCCGGAGCACTACGACGCCGCGTGGCTCGGCGCGCGCGAGCCCGCGGGCCCCGGCGCCGCCGCGCTCTGCCCCAAGGTCGCGCGCCTCGCCGACGACATGCGCTCGTTCGCCGGCCCCGTGCGCGACCTCCAGATCCTGGCGCCCGAGACCGGCCGCCCGCTCGCCGCCGACGACCACGACCGCCGCTTCTTCGAGGCCGCCTGGATGCACAAGCGCGCCGGCGTCTACTACTTCAGTTACTCCACCGGCGACACCCACTACCTCGTCTACGCCACCGGCGACAACCCCCTCGGCCCCTTCACCTACGCCGGCCGCATCCTCGAGCCCGTCCTCGGCTGGACCACCCACCACTCCATCGTCGAGTTCGGCGGCCGCTGGTGGCTCTTCCACCACGACTGCGAGCTCAGCGGCGGCGTCAACCACCTCCGCTCCGTCAAGGTCAAGGAGATTTTCTACGACAAGGACGGCAAGATCACGACCGAGAAGCCCTCGTAGATGCAAGTAACTAGGGATGAGCTTGGATAAATATGATTTAATTATTTTAATCTATGGGCTCTTTTGTCTTTTTGAAGAACATTGTGCTTGCGTCTCTATTCGCTTTCTAGCATGCTAGACAGTGTATGGCTGCTAGCAAGATGCTAGCTAGGTGGCTATTATTTTCACGTTGCGTTGACATGTTGCGTTTGAGTAAACTCCGTTTGATATATAACTTCCTTCCCGACAACCCTGGCTTATGCTCGCCCTCGGACGTCCTATGGTATACCACAGAAGCGAGACGCACGAGTCGGTAGCAATCACCGTGAAGCATAGGCTCATAATTGCATGACCCCATTCGTGAGTCGCCGCAGAGCGTCTTCGTATCGTCCGGGGCTGTGGTCTTGTAGCATGCTGGAGCCGAATCGGACCTCCCGAAACCGGGCTTCGACATCTCGGACGTACTTGAAGACGATTCTGGTTGCCGGACGCCCGACTTGGCCCGTACCCGCCTGAAGAAACGCGTCTCGCCTGAGGGCGGGCGTGCTCTCGACTGAGAACACCTCGCCGGGTGGTAGTAGTTTCGAGCTCATCATGCTTGCGCGCAACGTCTTTAGTGCGGCATACGCCCACTTATCCTCCTCTTCATTTCTATGCTTCGGTCCGTTATTGTACCACTTATCAGCCAGCCCCGACTGGAAGCCCTCCCAGATTCGGCGACGCACTTCCGCCTTCGCTTCGCTGTTGTCTGTCTTGAACGCTAGCGCGACAGCTTGAAAATCATGCAAGACGCCGAGCGAGAGAAAAGGGACGAGGTCGTTTCCGTTCACTGTGCTCGTTATAAGCCCCCTTGTTGCTTTCTGCAAGGATGGTGACATGGTCGCAGGTGGTCCGTATGCGTACACGTGAATCGGCCGGCCAGGTGGCAGTAATATGTGGGAGAAGTTTCCCTGGGATCGACCATCCGTAAGTAAGGCCTGTCGCGGCTCGGCGGAGGTGATGAAGGCCGTTCCGACTGCAGCAGGCTCCGCAAGCATAGCTCCGAGTAGTGCGGTTACCCCCCCGCCCAGCGAGTGCCCGCAGAGCACCAAACCGTAGTCTGGGAATTCCTCGAGAGCCTCCTTAAGCGTTGCCAATACTCTTCCATCCCCCCCGTACAGAAGTCGCCGCGCCGATGCATGTATGCCTTTATGCACCTTGTACGGTTTCCCCCTCCAGACCAAATCGTCATACTCGCACATCATATCAGCTAGAACGTCCTCAAAGCCTAAGGTACCACGGCAGGACAATACAACTGCTTTAGACTCCTCGTCGAGTGCGATGGTATGGACGAGGGGAATCCCCGTGTCGGTGGACCCGGTGGAATCAGAGCCACCCTGCGGGTCGACGAACGAAGAGAGGATGATACTATCGGGCGGGAGGTCGGTGTGATACGCAAATGACCGAATGTCCCGGTGGGTTTCGTCCAATCCCTTAAGGGCGGGTAGGTCGTTGGTGATGCCCATAAACTTGAGGAAATGCGACCCGTAGACGGCCGACGCATACCGGCTATATCGAGTGATATTCCTCAGTATATGAAACTCGGGAAACATCCCGTCCACCATGCCTGTACGTCGCAGAGTGTCGACTGCTCCCGAGTCGCTGTAGGCACTTTTCTGGTGGAAGGTAGAGAGGGCTAAAGAAACCTGCGAGTCCCTCGTCCTTAGTGTGTATATACTTGGAGTGTATAGACTCCGATTTTCCGACCGTGCTCTGCCATGGTGGCCCCGAGCTGGAGAGGGAGGGTCGTTGGCTTCCGGCTGCACGACGCCTCCGCTCTGGGTCCGAATGTCGCCCCTCTGGAAGGTCGGTGATGCTGGCCGGCTTTCGAACGAGTGCACAGAAAAAGTGTCGGTCAGCGATACGATGGAGCTGCGTCGCCGGCCTTGCGCTGGTGAATAGACCGCTCGTGACGGGGACGGGTGTCGGTCGACGGCGTCTCTACCATCGCTTAAATGTCTTGACGAGGAGTGGTGGGAGTTGTACTGGTGTGGCACTCGAGAAGATTCGTGGTGCAGCATGATACTTGAGGTTCGCTCCGGAACACCCCCTTTCCGCTGGCTGGCCAGTACCTTGCTCTGCACGGGCTTATGGCTGCCTCCCCAAGGGGGTTTAACTAGTGTCTTGGATTTGCTGCTTTGGAAGTTTTCGGAGCTCGGATCCCGGCTTAATAGACCGGCAAATGCAGGGACGGGTCCTTTTTTAAGAGCACTTCGAATGCCGCCTTTCTTTTCCCTTCCTTTGGCCGTAGGGGATTCGGGCTTCCGGGCCTGTGCTCTGGTACTAGTCGGCGAACCAGGCACGGAAAGGTGATCGCGAGGGTCTTGCCGTGTACTCTCTAATGGTTTTCTGGTGCGCTTTTGATTTGCAGCATGCTCCGAATTCTCCTTGGTAGAGGCCCCCTTGGCCTTCCGGGTTTTGGGGGAGACTGAGCTAGATCTGTGAGGTTTATCGTGGGATGTGGACATCGTCTGGTGGACGGGGTCATCATATGCGACGTTCCCCTTTCCTTTCGCGGTTGAGGCCGAGGCTAGCCGCGCGGTCTTAGGTGGAACCGGGGGAGGGCTATCGAACTGTTGGACGGCGAGGCGAGTTGATGCCTCGGGCTCATCATCCTCGATCACTTCAACGCGAGATAGCGCATCATCCTCGGTGTCGCTATCTACTGCCACACTCCTCACTTGATTTCGACTGATCTTGTATACCACCCGGTAACTTGGGCCACCTTCTTGACTGTCTACTGCAGGATGGTCGAGGTCGCTGATTTCACTCTTGACCACGTCCACTCCCGGCAGGGAAAGGATTGGCACCCTGGGAGTGCCTATGGTGTCGACGGTAACTGTCTTGGTTGTCGTAGTAGAAACGGAAATGGATACCTTTGCGTCCTTCGGGAGCGATCTCAAGATCTGACGTTTGAGTTGCATTTCTGGCAGTTCGTCCTCGTCGCTACTACTCCATCCGGGTCCGTGTTGGTCCAATGCCTGGCCCAGATGGCTATGGCCGTCTAGACCGCCTACGTGCATGGCGTGAGAACCGTCGTCGTCCACGTCAACTCTCTCGCCGTCAAGAACGACAATGTCCCATATAACTTCCTCCTGGCAGAGAAGGCGGGACTCGTCCTGTATCATCTTTCGGCACCAGTTCTGCAGGTACGCGAGGCCGCACAAGCCGAGGAGCAGGTCTATGACCCCGACCTTCTCGCCCTGTACACCGGTAGCAGGGTTCTGAAACTCTCGACGAATCAGAGTGATGATACTAGCAATGGCCCTGGACGAGTCGGTCGACCCGAAGAATTGGTCGAGAACGGACAGGAACAGCTGGGAGATCTGGGATACGGTAGATACGGTGGTGCCGGTAATATGAAACCCGGTGGCGGTCCAGAATACGATCTGAGACATGGTCTGGTGAAGGCTTTCGAGGCTCTTCTCCAATATGGACTCGGCATCTGCTCTGCCCAGCTCCGACTGAGCCCTAGACAAGACATCTCTCCCGGCCCTGCTCAGGATGCCCTCGAGGATGCCGCGGCCGAGCTCGAGGCTGGAGAGGGTGGTGAACTTGGCAGCTCCTAAGCCATAGCCACCGATGAAGGTGCCGAGACGGAGGGCGAAGGAAGTAGACCGCGTGGCGAGGCTGACAGCGCTGGCTATAGGATTGGGCAGGAGGGTGCGGCCGGGAGCGGGCGGTAGCAGGTGTTGCGGCAGGCATCCCGAATCCTCCGTCGCCGTGTCACTATCTGGGCCACGACCCGCATCCATGCTGGCCAGGGTGTCGGCGGTGCTCGAGGGAAGCGGTGGAAAAATCGAGGATGCGCATCTATCGCGGGAGCGGGCATAAACCTGGACCTGAGCCGTAGGCCTATCAGCACCGAGACCGAACGGTTGGGTCGCCGGTATGTCGGTGTGAAGTCGCGTCGTCACGGTTCCCGTGGCTGCTCTCCCCCACTCGCCCTGCCGCCGCCGCAGACCAGAGAGAGAAAGGAAAAAGGAAAAAAGATTGGACCTTGTTTAGCAAATCTAGACCCGTCGCCAAGTCCGGCAGCGGCAAAGAAAAAGAAATGCCGATACGAAAGAGAGGGGACGTTGTGATGTCGGTAGGCGGTTTTGGGTAGTTGGGTATATAACAGCTCGTCTCTCAATGACCCGAAGATTCAGTAGTAGTGCAGGGACTCGGGTACCTGGAGGAAATCGGAATTACACGATTGGCTGGCGTGTCGGCTTAGCTAATACAGGTGGAATGACGGCAGCAAGGAGAAGGCACGGAGGACGGCGAATGAGGGGGCAGCGAACTGTGGGGGCGGATGCCTTCGACAGGTACAGTAAAAGGGAGCGGCATAACAAAATAAAAAATAAAAATAACGAGAGACAGAGAAAAAGACAGAAGAAGCAAAAGGGTGGGTAGAGGGTGGGTACTAGAGGGAGTGAAGGAAGTAGGGCGAGGGAGAGAGAGGTGTGCGCAGAGGTGTGCGCGTAGGCGTGCGTTGGCAAGAAAGCTGGGGACCGACGGCATTTCGTTGGATGGGAGTTGGCGGTTGCGACAGATGTCCCGTCTTGGGGCTGGCATGTGAAAGCTACACGTACCTACGCGGGGAGAGGCCACGGGAAACCTACCTCATGCAGGCATTCCCCGTGCTTCTCTCGGGCGTGGATGGCTACCTGAACTGTGTTCCCTACATGCCTTACGCTCCTAGCCCCTAGGCCTGGTAATGGGGATGTTATGAAGGACCTCAGATAATTGCCTAGGTTGAGTACCTGAACAAGCCGGTGGCGGCTAGCCTGTTCCGGCAAAGTAGAAGGGGTCGAAAGGGGGTTCGCGTCCCAACGATTTCCCCCAAACGAAAATGATGGGAATATCCCGTAGCGTAGCGTCAGGAGACACGTAACCAGGTCCTCGTTATGTACATAATTGGGCCTGGTAAGCGCATGCACAGGGGTGCGTTCTGTTCGGCATCGAGGAGAGACGAGGTGCACTCGGTGCCTGTAGGCTGTAGGTACTCCCCCTGACGCTTTATATATACTCTCTCGGCTCGGTTTCGACGCCACCCGCTTCGATAGGGTTTGTCGCCGCCCGACGCCCCGGGACGGCGATCCGTCGAGGGTTATGGAGTGACAGGATGGCAGGACGATAGGATGACACCATGACACTAGACGCGAGAGGTTCCAGCTGCGCCGGCGCCGGCTCTGTACACCTACCCTCCCGCACGTACTGTACACAGTATACATAGTATACGTAGGTAGTATATTGCTTGCTTGCAGTGGCCAGACCGGGGTTGGGGGTGCAATGATGACGAGTCAGGTAGCCAGACTCAAGTCGCCCCCATAGCCGCCTTCGTGATCCCTCGCGTAGGTGGGCATCTCGACTGCGATCCCGGGTGTCTGCGCAGATCGACGAAGAGGACACGATGGCTAAATATCCCGAGTGCCGCCACGTTCGTATCGAGTCGATCTGTAGGGTTAGAGTGACGGGGGCGCTTGCGAGCCGCGGAATGGAAGGAGATCGATGTTGGGGGTGGGTGTCACTCTGAGATGATATGATTTGATCTGACCTGTAATCGACGGAATCTCAAGATTCGGGAAGTAGGGAGCTATCTCAGCCGTGTGGGCAGATGTGTACTACGTAGGCAGTACAGGTATCGCAGAATCGGTGTAATGCCACGGCCGGCATGCGGCATACGGAAATTCACTATGAGTAGAATAAAAAAGCCTCCTGCTCGGTACCCTGTGGGCCGTCCCCGATCGACAGACCTCTTATCCTCCGAAATTATGTCAGCCATACCTATCTAGTTCTCTTAGTAGGATACCTAAGAAATGCAGAGAGTTAGCACCGCCTTTCAGCAAGGCCATAATAGAACAGACGGATTTTAGAGCTGTTAGGGACATGCCTCCTCCTCCCAACTCCTACTCGGGTCTTTCTATTCTTAGTGTTTTCAAGCTTTCGCGTGTCCCGAGTCCCGGCTGTTCAGCTGGCCATGCGGGCTATAGGCGATCCATCATAACCCCCCCCCCGACTCAGTCGATCGTTTGGTCCTCTTTAGGCGGGCCGCATGCGTAGCAGCAGCGCCCATCCAGCCACGGTGACGAAGCCGCCGGGAGGTACCCAAGGTACCCCAAAGTACATGATCGAGCGGACCTTATGTACTTACCTCTCTTTTTACGGTTGTCAATGGGCAGATATGTACATACCTGGGCACTTCCTCAGGGCGGGCAGAGGTACCTAGGTGCCCAGGTCAGGTACCTTCCTCTCAGGGCGTCAAGGGCGTAGGGATGTACAGGCATACCTACGTCGCACTTCTTGGCCAACCACTTCCACCGGCGCCTAGGGCTAAGCCAGGTACCAAACACCGCCTACGGTCCCCAAGTCGTGTCGCCGTAGCAGGGTACCTGTACACACCTTAGGTACGTAGTCGACAGGGTCCAGAGCCAGCGTCCGACCAGACGCCATTCGCGTCCACTTTGTCTCTGTCCCTCTCGCGCTCTCTTTGGCACTGCATTTCCTCGTCTCTCTCTCTCGTGCCTTACTGTCTCGTCTCGTCGGCTCGTATTCCTTATCATCGCTGGCGTTATCGTCCAGCCCTGCTAAGCTAATAAGAGGTAACCTGTACATAGGTAACTGGGCTGAGGTAGGAGGTAGGTACATAGAAAAACAGAGGTGAAGATGTCCTGTGCTCTCCCGTCCCTGCTTCTCTTTCTCCCTTCCACCCTGTCCACACTGCCCGTCTCCCCCTACTCCTATTCCTCACCCTTGTCTCCCGATCGACGCCGCCGACGAGTCAACGCAATTGACTTGATAATAAATACCTCCCAGATCCGCTTGCCCCGTGCCCTATTTGTCTTGTGTCAATTAGATTCCTGCTCTGTTTGGGACGCGTGCCATTGGAGCCTCCTCACCTCCCGCCGACGTAACCACCCCTCCAACTGGGCTCGACTCGCCTCGACGCGCGAAACGAACCAAGAGCTCGCCGCCGTCTCGTCTAGTGATGGCTGTAGATCAAGGCCTCTTCTCGTCCGACCTCATATCCCCCGGTGTGGCTGCCGTGCTGCCCCAGGGCTACACCGCTCGTTCCCTGCGCCTGTCCGACTATGAAGCCGGTTTCCTCGACTGCCTGCGCGTCCTGACCACCGTCGGCGAGATTAGCAAGGAACAATTCGCCGAGAGGTACCAGTGGATGGCATCGCAAGACACGTACTACGTCCTCGTCATCGAGGACACCATCAACAACAAGATCGTAGGCACCGGGGCCCTGCTCGTAGAGAGGAAATTGTAAGATGCCGCCCCCCCTATCCGGCAATGTGACGCGTCCGACGTGCGCGAGTCTCCATGTACATGTTGGGACGGAAGGCAAGGAGAGACCCCGTCTCGGCAAGAGAACAAGCTCCGTCTAGCACTACCCCCCCTCTACCTGTCCGAGGTAGACGACAGTCGCTAACGCGGGACACTCTCGAACAGCATACACAGCCTGGGACTCGTCGGCCACATCGAGGACATCGCCGTCGCTAAAGACCAGCAGGGCAAGAAGCTCGGCCTCCGCCTCATCCAAGCCCTCGACTACATCGCCGAGAAGGTCGGCTGCTACAAGACCATCCTCGACTGCAGTGAGGCCAACGAGGGTTTCTACGTAAAGTGCGGATTCCGGAGAGCCGGGTTGGAAATGGCCCATTACCACAACGCAGAAAAGAGTAAGGCCCAGTGAGCTACCCCCAGTGCACATCTATACCAGTCCGCAGACGTACGAGCAACGAGGTCGGAAACGGCGGTATATATGTATGATCTATGTGCATACACACAGATACACACATCCGTGCCTTAAGTCCGTAGGCTGACCAGAGAGGGGGGGGGGTTGTAGAGCCGAAGATATAGGGTAATGGGCCAACCGGCGCGCTCTACGTGGAAGACTTAAACGGCGTTGGCAGGTCATGAGAGAAATGGGATACACGTATATATAATGAAGAGTTAGGAACGCTTGCCGGCATCGTCCTGCCTAGGGAAGAGGACCGATTGCGGGACAAGAGGGCGTAGTCGAGTCGAGGCTAGATTAAGAAACATGTGAAAGCGATTCCCTTCCCCCCCTTCCCTTGCCGCCCCTCCTCTCTCTCTCCTCTCCTCCAACGACGACTAGAGAGGTCTCGATCTGATCCCGTCACCCGGTCACAGGGCTTATTATCAGGCGGCGGAACACGACAGCACCACGTCGGTACTGCACCCCGAGAATCGCCTTCTCTTTTCGGGTTGGCCAGTGGTCCGATCGTCCCCCCGGACGTTTTACGACGGCCGCTGGTAGCCATTCAGCCTAAGAATTCTCGCGAACCCCCCGGAGGGCGAAACGCTCCTCGGCCAATCTAAGCCGCCCTTGGCGTCTTACTGCGACGCATTGGCACGAGCAGAGGCGTCGCTTACTGCGATGTGAGGGGTCGGACGGGCAACTCCACGGGCATATTTCTGTGCTACGATCCGCAGAAATGCCATGATTATCCGACGGCGACGATCCCTCTGGTGGCATGTTCTCGGCACCTGGTCCTACACGGAGATCGAATATTAAAAGCCGACCTGCCGTTGTGCTCCCCGTTGTCGAGGTACTGACTGGGGGGAATGTTGGCGATCTATTGCGATTTGATCTCACGAGCCATCTCTCTCTCCGTACTACCTTCGTAGCTATCTGGTCCCTCTCACAGCTCTTCGGCAGCCATTTCGCCTACTCTCCCTCCTTACCTAGTGACGGCTTAATCAACGCGATAGCGGATTATCATTCGGACATCCCCAAACATTGCCTCCGAAGCGAGATTGACCGAGCGGGATACCACATCTCGTACACGCCACGCGATGGAGCACCGAAATACTACGAAAATGCCGGAAATTGACCAGGACCTCCGTAGCGCCTTGATCAGAACAAACCTGTTCTTGCTGCAGCGAGAGTATGTGGCGTCCATTCCTCGGCTCGACTAAGACAGTACCGCCTGTCCTTGCGACGAGCTGGTGGTCCTCAGTCTAGTGACTAAGGTCTGCCGTATCCATGTGCTCACGACGCCTCCCCGAGACATGTCTTGTGGGAACGTCCCAGTCAAGCTATCTACTCTCCTACTTATACCCCCTAGTCCGTCTCGCCGCAGCCTCAGCCCGATCCCCTTGAGATTGCAACCAGCTCACCCAGTCCACCTGCAGGATCCGTGAGAAGAACCATTGGTATACCTCGCGCCGTGTCGTGGTCCGTAAGCGCAACGGTCGAATCCACCTCTCACGCCTCGGCTCCCAGTCTCACGGCCACTCGGACGACGACGAGAGCTCCCAGGGCGCCTTCACGTTCGTCGACGAGCCACCTTCCACGCGGTCGTCGAGAACCAATTCCAGCTCCAGCAGTGGCTCATCATCGACCTTCGACTCCTCCCGCCTCTAATTATCCCTGCCGCCGCTGCTGCCGCTCCCGCCCCTTCCAATATGAGCCCGACCACCGCAACCTCCGTGGTGCCGGACGAAGGCAAACAGGAGCCCAGTAGGCCGGAACCGTCGCAGTGGGCCATGGGTACCGAGGCCTTCGAGCGGCGCATGCCGCACCACGACGGCATCCGCGCGCTCTGGGAGACCAAGTGGCGGGGGCCGTGCACGGCGGGTGTGTACCCCTTCCACGACGGGCAGCTAGAAGATTTTGCGCCCGTGTTTCAGTCGCTAATCGTGGAGCACGGCGACGTCGTCAAGGAGGGTACCGAGCATGAGTACACGCGGGCCTTCTTCGGCGGGGCGCGGGATCTCGAGCGGCGCGGTGACGAGGCGGCGGCGGCGGGCGACGTCGAGGGGGCGTCGCGCTTGTACCTGCGGGCTGCGTGCCTGCTGCGGATCGCACGCTTCCCCTACATCTCCGGGCACCCACGCGTCAGCGACCCGGTCAAGTGGGAGGCGTGGGAGCGCCAGAAGGACGTGTACATGAAGGCGGCGCGGTCGTGGCCGCAGCCCGTGATCGAGGTCCCGATCCCGCACGTCTACGCCCGGGGCGGCGACCGCGACGTGATCCCCGCGTACGTGCGCGTGCCCGCGCCGTCTCCCAGCGCCGAGGCAGAGCGGTGCCCCGTCGTGATCCTGCTGACGGGCCTCGACGGGTACCGGCCGGACAACACGGCGCGGTGCGACGCGTTCCTGGCGCGGGGCTGGGCCGCCGTCGTGCTCGAGATCCCCGGCACGGCCGACTGCCCGGCGGACCCGGCGGACCCGCTGGCGGCGGACCGGCTGCTGGACAGCGTGTTCGCGTGGCTCGACGGATGCGCCGCCTCGGCCTCGTTCCCGGGCGCAGCGCGCCTCGACGCCGGCCGCGTCATGATGTGGGGGCTCAGCTCGGGCGGCTACTACGCGGTGCGCGCGGCGCACACGCACCGGGCCCGGCTGCGCGGCGCCGTGGCCCAGGGCGCCGGCACCCACCACTTCTTCGCGCGCGGCTGGCTCGCGCGCGCCGACGGCCACGAGTACCCGTTCCGCCTGCTGCCCGCGCTCGCCGCCAAGCACGGCTTCCCCGGCGACGTCGAGGGCTACCTGCGCGAGGCGCAGGCGCGGTTCTCGCTGGTCGCGTCGGGGATCGTCCAGGGCCCGAGCGCGCGGCTGCTGCTCATCAATGTGAGTTTCTCCTCTCCTCTCCCCTCCTCTCTTTTGTCGTCGGCTTACGCGGGATCCACAGGGCACGCACGACGGGCTCATGCCCATCGAGGACTCGACCCTGCTCTTCGAGTACGGGTCCCCCAAGGAGGCGCGCTTCTTCCCCGGCGCCCTCCACATGGGCTACCCGCTCGCTAACGACTCGGTGTACCCCTGGATGGAGCAGGTGATGGCCTCCGCGCAGTGACGCGGGGGGTTGCGGGTATGACGCGTATGGACTGATGATACATGATTTTTTTTTCTTCTCTCAATGTTAACGAGTATCATGGATGTTATGTATTATTGCATTGCCTCGCTGAGATTCAGGAGGGGGGCTTCATGTGGTAACGATCCGGTATGATTGGGTACGGTACGGTATGGCAGGTAAATTGTGACGACGGACATGCTCTGTATGATTGCTAGACAGTTCCGATTTTATGGGGTCACTCGATATGACTTTTGATGAATTGACTCTCTTATGGGCTCTCGTTGTAAACTCCTGTAAGACCGGGCTTTGCTCTCGTCTTCCGATTACACATGTAACTCCCTCTGCTCCCACCACACACCGTCCAACCCGCTCATCCTCTCCGTCTCCCTATCCCTATCCTTCCCGTCTACCGGCCCATCCACCCACCATCGACAACCAACGTGTGTCCGCTGACGTACGCGCCCGCCCTGCTGGCGAGGTATACGACGCTGCCCTTGAAGTCGTCAGGGGTACCCCAGCGGCCGGCGGGAATACGCGCGGTGATGCTAGCGGCGCGGTCAGTATCGTTAATAAGAGCCTCGTTCATGTCGGTAGCGATGTAGCCGGGGGCGACGGCGTTAACGGTAACGCCGCGGGCGGTCCAGGAGTTGGCGAAGCTCTTGGTAAGCTGGACGACGGCGCCCTTGCTGGCGGCGTAGGCGGGGACGTTGAGCCCGCCCTGGAAGGAGAGCAGGCTGGCGAAGTTGACGATGCTGCCGCGCCGGCCCGTCGTCGCCGACGGCGCCAGCCCCAGCATGTGCGCGCCCGCGTCCCGGCACAGCGCGAACACCGCGTCCGCGTTCACCCCCATCACCGCCCGGTAGTCCGCGTCCGGGAACGCCTCCGGCGCGTGCCGGATCTGGATCCCCGCGCAGTTCACCAGGATCCGGATCGTGTGCCCGTCCGCGAGCGCGCGCGGCACGATGGCGGCTACCGCCGCCGGGTCCGCCAGGTCCGCCACGTAGATGTACGCCTTGCGCCCGAGCGCCTCGACGGCTTTCTTGGTCTCGGTCGATTCGGCAGAGCGCTGCAACGCACGCCGGGGGGGGACGCCAGCGGCTTGGTTATTATGTCTACTCCTCTCGACCAACTGGTGTCTGCGCCTGCGGCATGCCTACCTGGACCAGCAACACGTCCGCGCCCGCCTCGGCGAGGCCGATGGCGACGGCCTGCCCGATGCCCCTCGTCCCGCCGGTTACGAGGGCGGTCTCGCCCCGCAGCGAGAATAAATCGGCCATTTTCGAGCAGAGATACGCACAGTTAAACAGGCAAAGGAAGAAAGAGAAGAGTCTGACGATTAGGTTGGAGCGTCGACCTCCGTGATCGACACAGAATTTTACGATATAATAGACCGTAGCAGAAGTAGTGGTGGTAGTGGTGGAATGCGTCTAAGAGAGAGGATGTCACGTCTAAGACGCAGTCCGTGCCACGCACTGTGAGCGACCAAGTCCCGCGCTCCAGATGACTGGTTGAGGTTTTCGACGACGATCAATCGGGTAGAATCACCTAGTTATTCCTCCAATAGAGAGACGGGAGCGAGTCTTCTCTATTTCCGTATTCGGAGAGAGCCGACAACCCGGTATACTCATACGCAAGTCTGTCTGCTATTATCGCGCCTCTCGAGGCATTACGGCTACTGGCTCACTTAGCCCCCCGCATGGCTCACCGTGTAACTTGTTAAGTAGGCGAGGTAATAGAGCGTTGCCAAGGCACGGAGCAGAATACGCAATGATGGTGCGGCCGAACCCCTGAGACGGGGCTCCTTAGCATTCACCATATTCTGCGACCTGCGCTGCAGATCGCTTAGGCGATAGATTGGGTTAAAATCCCCGAAGTGAAGTATGTAAGGGAGGAAGAGGAAGAAGGGGGGCAGGTTATCCGTTCATTCGGAAGAGAAGCGTAGTTAGTTAGCTCTTCTGCGAGCGAACAATGATGGAGTTTCCCCGCCCCCTCTCCCCGTCTCCCAGGTAGACAACGTCTTGCCTCGTCTCACCTCGCGTCATTAAGTCTTGTTATGGCTTGTCCTGTCGGTAAGAATCAACGTCAACTCTGATTTACCGAACAAGTCGGCCATGTAGTGCCGCGATCCCCTCACCCGCGCCTCTGGAGAGATCCCTATGACCCCCAAAGCAGCGGCGGGGTAGTGGGAGGGGAGTAAATAGGTACCTAGTGAGAAATAGCGTACTGTGGGGGATGGATAGATGGGGGCTGAGTTGGGGATTGTTTGGGGGGAGAGTAAACAGAGACAGACGCTTCGCTCAGCGCCGTCTCGGCCAGAAATGCCTCTTTGCGCCGAGCTAGCATCTCACGATGCTGCTCCGCCGGCTTTGGACTAACAACGCGAGCGGACAATCCCACCCAGTGCCCAGTGCCCGCCTACTTGCGTTGCGAATCCTCCACTTACACGACTCACGCCCACTTAACTTACCCTCAGTATTGAGTACCTAGCGGCTCGCACGACGAGGCATACCCGAGAGAGCGCCCCCCATGGGCCCCAAGTAAATAAATCTCTCCAGGTTTTAGGCAGTACGCCACGGCACACCGAGAAATCAATTGGTGCCCGCAGACGAGGACTTACCGAGCTGCTATGTACGTGCGGCTTGCACCCATCCCTGTGTCTATCCTCGCGCCTCTATCCTTGTGTCTATCCCCTGCCCTCTCCACGCTTGGGGTCACCGGGCTCGGGTCAGCGACTTAGCTAAAGGGGCGCCCCATCGCCGCTCCGTCGTCGGGCCATGACGGCACCCGAGGGGTTCACGATTCCACCCGCTTCTCTCTCCCTCACGAACACCCCTCTCCCTCCACCTCTACACTCACCTCTGTACCACTTCGGACTCTAGGAGATAACGGAAAAAAGAAAAAAAAAAAACGTCGGCGTTGACAAGGATTATACCGTGCTACCCTCGAGCCCGACCAGGCCACCAACGATAGCCATGAGCAGCGAAGTCAAGGCGTCGGTCCTCCATGGGCCGAAGGATCTCAGAGTCGTAAGCTACGAAAGGCGCTGCTCGTAACAGACAGTTATAGAAAGGGGGGAAGAGGGGGAGGCAGTGAATACCCACGAGAGCGCTAACCACATCTTCGCCCACACCAGGAAACCCGGGAGCTGCCCGCGCCGGGACCCGGCGAGGTCCAAGTAGCCGTGAAGGCGACGGGGCTGTGCGGGTCGGACCTGCACTACTACACGCACTTCCGGAACGGGTCGATCGAGGTGCGGGAGCCGCTGACGCTGGGGCACGAGGCGGCGGGGGTGGTGGTGGCGGTGGGCGCGCGCGACCCGTCCGGCGGCGGCGCCGCGCTCGCGGTCGGCGACCGCGTCGCGCTCGAGGTCGGCGTGCCGTGCGAGGCGTGCGAGACGTGCCGGCGCGGGCGCTACAACCTGTGCGGCGCGATGCGCTTCCGCAGCTCGGCCAAGGCGTTCCCGCACGCGCAGGGCACGCTGCAGGCGCGCGTCAACCACCCGGCGCGCTGGTGCCACCGCCTGCCGGCCGCGCTGTCGCTCGAGCACGGCGCGCTGGTCGAGCCGCTCGCCGTCGCGCTGCACGCCCGCGCCCGCGCCGCCCTGCGCCCCGGCGCCGCCGTGCTCGTCCTCGGCGCCGGCGCCGTCGGCCTGCTCTGCGCCGCCGCCTGCAGGGCCGCCGGCGCCCGCCGCGTCGTCGTCGCCGACATCCTCGAGCTGCGCGTCCGCTTCGCCCTCGACCACGGCTTCGCCGACGCCGCCCTCGTCGTCCCCCGCCCTAACCCCGCCGGCGACAAGCTCGCCTACGCCCAGGACCTCGCCGAGACGCTCAAGGCCCTGCTCGCTGCCCCTGACGACGCCTCCCTCGGCGAGGCCGCGGTCACCTTTGAGTGCACCGGCGTCGAGTCGTGCATGCAGACCGCCATATACGTAAGTCTCTGTCTACCTCCCCTGCCCCCCTGTTCGTAAAGCCGCCCCAAAAGAAAACCACGATTAACCCCGCCACCCCCTTTCACCCCCTGTAGGCGACGGCACCAGGCGGCAAGGTGATGATCATCGGGATGGGCACGCCGGTGCAGACGCTGCCCATCATGGCGGCGTCGCTCAAGGAGGTGGACCTGGTGGGCGTGTTCCGGTACGCGAACACGTACCGCGAGGCGATCGAGCTGCTCTCGAGCGGCAGCCGCCAGCTGCCCGACGTGCTCAAGCTCGTCACGCACCGGCTCCGCGGGCTCGACGCCGTCCCCCGCGCGTTCGAGACCGCCGCCCGCGTCCAGGACGACCAGGGCAACCTCGTCATCAAGGTCGTGGTCGACCTGTCCGAGTAGGGCCCAGGCCAGCGGCTCGCTGCTTCTTCCTCGTCTTTCTTGTTATGCGCAGTGAGGAGCTCAGAGTGGCAAGTTCAGGGCAGAGAACAGACGGCTGCGGAGGGGCCGGCCTGCTACGGCCCACAAAGCAGATAGTCAATGTATAGTGCGCGTACCTATATTGAATCTCTAAAAGCGAGTAGCATAGATTAGAGGGTAGATAGAGTACAAGCATTCCCCTACCCCTTTTCTCACTCTCCTTCTATTTCGGGGAGGAATAGATGTTGGAGCGGTTAAGAGGTCGTACGATGCAGTACAATTTCCTAGCTCTTGACCGTGGCAGGACCTACGTCTCTATGCCGTCCCCGATGGCGAATGCAGCAAGCATGCGGATCCCGAGGCGGCCGACGGACAGACGTGATGTAGAGAAAGGGTTAGGATCAGAGGGTAATAGACATGGCCTACATCTGCCAGCGCAGCCTACTACCTACCAGCCAACGCCGCCTTTTTATCCGAACCCCCGTCCCAATGCCCCTCAACGTTAGCTAGGTAAGTGTGTCTCTTCTCTTGACCCCACGCCGAACCAGCCACGAGTCATCATGCCGATGGATAGATCCCCACGACGGTGAGCAATCCATTTACGCGCAATGCGGTCTATTCCTATCTATCGTATACGGTACAGCATCGAGGACTATGCACCCACGTTCGTTTCGGGGCTATTTCCCCCTCTAACCCCCCTTACTATCCCCCCAAGCCTCTCACTCCCTTCTCACTCCCTCCCGCTCCCATGCATCCCATCTCGTAAGTATATCCATAGGTAACCCCCTATGCCACCACCACCGCCGCCGCCGTCTCAGTCAGTCTCAGACGCCGTTCGGCAGGCTGCGGCCGGAGTTCTTGTCGGGGAAGCCGAAGTTGACGCCGAAGGGCGGGTAGACGAAGCGCTGGACGCTGCCGTCCCTGGCCAGCGCCGCCGAGTAGTCGTCGAGGATCTTGCGGTCGTCCGCGTCGAGGTCGACGATCTCCAGGTTCGCCTTGATGCGCGCCTCCGTCACCGACTTAGCGAGCACCGTCGACCCCCGCGCCACTGCGCCGCGTGTAAGCGTGGGCTAGAGTAAAGAGGAGGGTCGGGGGCGAGGACTAAAACAAAAGGGCGGGGAGGAGGGGGGGGGGGGGGGGGAGAAAGGTAAATAACGAACCGTGGTAGCTCAGCAGCACGGTGCCGGGGCTGACGCCCTTCCGCTCGGCGACCTTGGTGACCGGCTCGCTCTGGAGGAGGGGCCCGCCGCTGCTGCCGAGCGGGCTGTAGGCGATGACGTGGATGCCCTTCTCGCGGCAGAGGTCGACGACGTCCTGCTGGGGCAGGCCGGGGTGGTTCTCGATCTGGTTGACGGCGGGGACGACGGTAGCGTGCTCGAGCAGGCGGCGGAGGTAGGGGGCGCTGTAGTTGCAGACGCCGACGCCGCGGGCCTTGCCGGTGGCGACGAGCGCCTCCATCCGGCGCCAGGTCGCGACGTGGTCGTGGTCCCAGAGCATGTCGCGGCTCCCGTCGGGCAGCTTCGGGAACCGGTCGTCGTTCCCGTCCGGGTTCATGCCCACCGGCCAGTGCACCAGGAACAGGTCCACGTAGTCGAGCCCGAGCGCCCGCAGCGACTTGTCCAGCCCGACCTCGGCCCGGCTGCTGTACGTGTTCCACAGCTTCGTGATCACGAACACGTCCTCCCGCCTCGCGTGCCCGGCGTCGAACGCCGCCTTGAGCCCCTGTCCCACCTCGTCCTCGTTCCCGTAGCAGTACGCCGCGTCGATCAGCCGGTACCCGACCTTGAGCGCGTACGTCACCGCCGCCGCGACCTCACCGGGGCCCGCCTGCCATGTGCCTGCGAATCGCGGCCGGTCAGTGTCTTGCTCTGTTGATTCGGAAAAGTAGGGCAGCGAAAGGAAGAAGAATGACGGATACAGTGATAAGGACGTTTTTTTTTTCTTTTGGAGAGAGGGAGAGGGAGAGAGAACATATTCAAGCCAGTTTCCAAGCCTCTTCTCCTCGACGGCTATTCCCCGTCCTAGTCTCGAATCGAGAGAAGTGAAGTGGCTCGAGCAGACCAGCTAGAGACGACCTATAGCACCATCCGTCCCGCCTCCCCTCCCCCCTCTCCTCTCCTATCTGTCACGCAGCTGAGAACCAAAACGTGGAATTCCCCGCTTCCGAGGCTCAAGATGTAAGTAGAAAGAATGAGTCAACGTACCAAAACCAACAGCGGGAATATCCTGCCCCGTGTTGAGCTTAAACGTCGAGGGAGCCATCGTGAGCCAGCGGATGGGTGGTGATGCGTGTCTACTGCTGCTGTTGCTGCTGTACCAACTCCTGCTTGTGCCGGGGATGCGCGACGGCGACGTGCGTGTTCCAGTCGCCGGCGCGAGGCTGGCTAGGGTAATGCTGGACCGGGAGAGGAGAAGAGGGAAAGACGACAGGGAAGGGAAGAGAGAAGAGGCGCGGGAGAATGTAGCGGTAGGATTTCGCATACGGATTGCTTGGAGGGGACGGCGTCGGGAATGGCAAAATGACGACAGGCTCGTAGGTGTTTTATTAGGGCGCGTTCCGGCAAAATAGACAGCGAGCCACCGAGCGAGCTACGACATACCCGCTCCTTGCGATCGGCCGATGGCCCGGGCAGGCGTCCTCCCTTCGAAGCACGATACTACCGTCTCCCCCGACCCTCTCTACCCTGACCCCGACCTCGCATGGCATATGCTCCCTACGGCGGGTAGTCTAGCTGGGATGGTCTGCTTGCTGGGCTGGATCGACCTGGATAGCCTCTACCAGCCGTAGCCAGCTTATACATACCTACCTTGTCGGCTGCTGCGATGCTGCCATCGCGCACTTTCACCCGTTCTGCTCGAGGCGCTATAGCTGGCTGGGGTAAAACCGGCCGGCCGGCGGGGCTCACTTCGCTGGGATGTGCCTCGATGCTACGGTGGGGAAAGGGAAAAGGGGAGAGGGCAGGTAGGGGTAGGGGGTGTTGATGTGTAGGTAGGTGTTACGTGGCCGGGTAAAATCTTGTAAGTCGTCACGATGTTTTTTATCTAGATTTCTACTCTCGAAATCCCCACCTACAGAGATCGGTTCGACGACTTTGTATATGCCCTTTCGATCCCGTCCCCTTCCCAACAAACGAATAGACTAGGTACTAGCCATTCCTTACGCCTCCGTCCAGGCATATGGTAATATCTGATACCCAGCGTGTCCGTTTCTTCACCAACACCCCACTGGAGGAACTGGCCAAGTCGGGACAGTCAGCGGCCGAGGCAGGTCACCGACCGGTCGGCAAATCGAGGATCTTCCCATTCGAGACGGTCCCCGCGACGGCCCTGACGCTACTGGTCACATCTGCTTTCCTACACGTGGACTTATTCCTTGATCTATTACTGTGGCTTTTTTATTTATTTTTTATTTTTTACCCCTCTTAACCCCGCTAACCTGTGCATTACGTATATGAGTGACCCGCATGCGCCGGCGACGGCGGGTTTAACCTTGCAGTTTTCGTGCTCGATGGTGATCCCAGGGATCGTGTAAATTAGATGTTTCTCTAGGGCAAGAAGGACGCATCTACCGCTCGATAGCCGTGAACGACTCGATGACGTTCAACAGCTTGTTTCCCCGGCCTTCTGGGCGCTTCGAAAGAGTCATCTTGTCACAATCTCTGTCCCTGATAACCCGACATGCCCCCGACGCGGTCTCTCGGTTCGATCTAAGACCGAGTGGTTGTATATGCACGTATGCCGTAGCTAGGCCAGCTCGTGGGTCCTTGGCTGAGCAGGATGGATGGATGGTAAATGCGCTGCTTGCTTGGCTCGGTATCGTCGGGGGTAGCGTAGCTCGTATACCGTCTTCGGACATACACAACCCACGCCTGGTTGCTGGCATCACGAATAGGACACGTACGAGACGAGAGGGGCTCCTCGTAATGGCCTCAATGAACAGAATAAGCCTCATCAAGATCGTGTAGTATGGACCCCGGCATCTAAACCGAGGGAAAAGAAAGACCTGCTTCCCCCTCTAAACTCTCTACGTCTCTCACTAATCGCGCGCAAGGAGATTAAGAGCGCTATCGTGATCATCTCACTCGATCCATTAAACTCATTTCCTGTGCCTAGAAAAATAGAACCGAAAAGCCTCGCCATTGCCACTATCATTGCTACAATGTCGCAACGAAGATGTTACCCTTCTCCATCTTCTTCTCTCTCCTCTGCGGTTGGGATATATGCTATATGCTGCCAAACAGGCCGTCTTCATGCCACGCATTCCGATGCCATTACAAGTCTAGTACGTAGTAGTAGGTAGGTCCATATGGACGTCCGTCCCGGGACAGAAGGCGGGAGAGGGGCGCCGTGGGCGATAATGTACAGAGTGAAGAGACACGAAGAGAAGAGAAAGAAAAAGCAGGATTACGCGAGCGCCACCAGTACGCCTCGCTTCATATCGTGTCGCCTCGTACCGTCCGATCTCGTCTTCACCTCTCCTGCGGCTCTTCTCATTATGCCTTCCTTCGTCAACCCGCGATGAGAACCCATAGCCTGTTTAGATAGAATTAGCACTGGAGTAAATAAATTTACACGTGTGAGTGTGTGCGCGCTGGTGAAGGAAAAGGAAAAGGAGAAACTCACAGGAAGAATATCATGAGCACCCCGAACATCTTGGCGACAAGCCAGCGGTTACTTGACACGCGGGACCAGTACTTGAGCAGCTCGCGCTGGGCGCCCTGGACGTTGTCGACCACGTCCTCGGTGTTGGCGTCGATGCGCTGGATCATCTCGCTCTGCTCCGACACCATCTGCGCTAGCTGGCCGAAGATGGACCCGAGCTCGCTGATGGTCTTCTCGATCGCCTCGATCGCCTCCCCGCGCTGCTGGATATACGCGTTCTGCGGCTGGGCCTCCTCCATCATCAGGAGCTGCTGGTCACCCGCCGCCCCCGCCGCCCCCGGCCCCGCCGCTCCCGTCGGGTTTAGCGACAGCAGGTCCGCCCCCGGCGAAGGCGTGCCCCGGTTCGGCGTCCCGTACAGCGGCGACGCCGACTGCTGCAGCGACGGCGGCTGGACGTGCTGCGACACCGAGGAGATGAAGTTCTCGGTGCGCGAGCGCGAGGCTTGGATGTTCTTGGTGCGGACCTCGAGCACGTCCTTGAAGTTGGCGCCGACGTCGCTGAGCTTGCCCTGCAGCATGAGGACAACGTTCTTATTGTGCTCCCCTTCCTGATCGGGTCCCCTCACGTGGGCGTGCTGCTGGCGCGTCAGGGCCTGGAGACCGGAGATCTGCTGGTTTAGGGACGACAGGTCCTGCTTGATGATGAAGGTGAGCTCGTTGATCTCCACGGGCCGGTCGTCGAATAGGGTCTTGCGCTTCGCTAGCAGGGCCAGCTTCTCCAGCTTGCCCATGGTAGCGGCGATGCCCCTCCCTATCTCGGCTGCCCTGCGCGCGAACTCGGACCGTCGGTGCTGCTGAGAGTGGGAGGCGTCGCCATTCGCGGCGGCTTTCTGGGCGTCGGTCAGCAGCGATCGCCGCTGGGCGCCAACCTTGGACGTGGCTTGGCGCTTCTGGACTTGTGTGAGGACGGACCGGAACTCGGCCGTGCGGTCTTGTACGGATGCGACAGCCATCCTGGCGCGCGGTGGGGATGGTTATCTAGAAATGACAAGCGACGTCCTCGTGGCTGCTTTCCCTCCCCTTCTCACGTAGAGGGAAACACACACGCACAAACGTGGACACACGGACACGCACGGACCGAGGGGGGTGACGACGCGGAGTAAGGTAGGGCGATTCGGATACAGCGGCCGGCGCGATCGGAAAGGAAGGGTAAGCCCGGGGTTTTGTAGGAGGGTAGGCGGGCGGTATCGTCGGCCAATGGACGGTTTCGAACTCGTCTCTTATCACTCTCAAGCGGGATGGAATGAGAGGTCTCGAATTCGGGAAAACCAGATCAAGGCGGGTGGGTTACGGGCTCTGCGGCGGGAGTGGGTGAGAATTGGTACACTGAAGAGAATGGGCCAGAAAGGAATTACCTGTCGAGAGAGAGAGAGAGAGAGACGGACGGACTGATACGAGAATAGGGTGCGTCGAAAGCGGAATGGGTGGAGGGAGGGATGGAGATGTAGACAGATCTAGGCCGATGGGTATATTAAAATTGTATAAAGAAGTGGGATAGGTTGAGGGAGGGACAGATGGATGGATGAATGGAGGGAGGGATGGATAATCCAGGCTTGACAATGGGCGGATGGAGGATGGGGGATGGGGATGGGGACGGGCAAGACGGGCGGACGGTTGGGCGAACGAAGGAGTGAGAGTGGCTGAGGTATTATTAGCTTGGCTGTTGATTGGCCTGCGCTGTACCAGATTTCAGTTCAGCCTTGTCCTTTCTGGTATCTGCCGGTACATCCATCTACGTATCTGCCTACCTCCCAGGTACCTACAGCAAAGGCTGGGATCTGAGGTAAGTTAGGTACCTCAGGCACCCTGGGTTAGGTACCCATAGGTATTGGCTGATAGAGAGAGAGTGAGAGAGAAGAGGCCAGCCTGGTTTGTTGAATTCCACTCCACCACACTGAAATTAAGTACCTCCTACCTCCAGTGGGTATTTTACCCGTCGCCGCAGGAGGTGTGTGGCGAGGGCTAGAGAAGCCACAGGTACTTGCATGGATTAATGTGTTTTATGTCATGTATGCATGCATTATGTATGCGGACTTCTTCTGTGCAGGGTTCACGGCGCACGGTGGGTGGCTGCCATGTCTGGGGTACCATTGCACAAATCAGATTCCAGGTTCTTGTGAAGAAACACAGGCATTATACCTAATAGGCGTTGAATACCTCAGGTACCTGCTACACAAGCTTGGAGGGGTACACGTACTTGTGTAATAGTGCCTACGTACGTTAGAGGCGGCCCTCCGTCAGTAAGTTGTCATAACCAGCTTCTTATATACAGGTCCGAGATCCCACCGCATGGCCCGAAACGCAGAGATGCGTCGATAGGAGCCGGCCCAGAGACATTCGCGTCACCGTAGACGGCAGCCATTCCCGTCTCATCCTTCGAGACAGGTCCACAAGTCCAACCTATGCACAACACAGGTGCGAATGCCGGCGTGCCGATAGCCTGCGCGGGTCCGACAGGAGGACGGAAAGAAGAAGGGAGGAGAGAGAGAGAGAGAGAGAGAGAGAGAGAGAGAGAGAGAGAGAGAGAGAGAGGTAGAGAGAGAGAGAGAGGAGCGCCATAAACAGACGGGCAGTAACATACCTAAATACGAGCGCCCTAGCACAGCGCTGGGTTGGTGCATAAAAACTATTTAAACCCATTCATACTCCGTCAGATTGATATTGATGAACCCACTCGACTATTTTTCTTCGCCGGGATATAGGTAGCAAAAAATAAAAGACACGTTTTTGGATATAAACCAAAAATTCATCCGAGATCCACGACGGCGTAATGCTTGCGCGGGGGGGAGGGCGGAGGCGGCATGTATGTATATCTTGGTGAGCAGACCCAAGGAAGTAATGGGAGAGGCGTGGATAGAGAGACGGGAAGAAAAGGGGAAAGAGTGAGAAACACAGAGAGAGAAATAGAATGCGTGGATATATACAAGATACAGAAAAGAAGCATACGCCAAGCAGCAGTAGGTATAGACGTCTGTGTACGTGTGTGCGCGTGTTTGTGTATTCAAAAATGGCCTCCCTTCCAGATGATCCGTCCATCCCGTATACAAAACCAGAAGAGAGAGGAACCAAAAGAGAGAGACGAACAGCGGAATCCAATCCCCTCCGCTATCCCCCGCCCCTCCCCCCGCCATCCATACACCCGATCGCAATACTCACCATAATCACATTATACGTAGATAGGTTTCTCCTCACTCCCAGTCCCCAAACTCTCCCGCCCCGTACGGGTTCCACTCCTGTCCAGGGTACGACGTCGCGCTCATCATGGGAATGCCGTCGTCGTCGTCGTTGACCGCCGCCAGTTCCGCTGGCTGGTCCACCAGTATCTTCTCCTCCGGCTCGTGGTGGTGGTGCGGATACTCCACCGGCACCGGCGCTGACGCTGCCGCCGCCGCGGTCGACGACGTTTGCGACGGGCTCGAACCCTGCAGCGACGAAGTCGACGACGACGCTGTCACTGTGGACTCCACCGGCGTGCTGCTCGCCGCGTCCGCCGTCACTGCCGTCGTAGTACCGGCGACACCCCCAAGAGCGCCTACCCCCCCGATCATGTTGCCGGGCGGCATCCCTGGACGGCTCATATTCGTGATCGCGTACTTGGTATTCTCTCTCGCTGCCGTCTCGTGCATCTGCATCTGCGCATGCCGTGGCTCTTGGGCATACTGCTGTGGCGAAAACTGGGGCGGAGACGGAAGAGGGTTCTGCCGCGGCGTGGCGTCGTAAATGTCCTCGTCGGCGTCCCTGCCGCCGCCGTCGTTCGCGCGGTCGATGTTGATGTTGAGGCTCGTGCTCGAGATTTGATGGTACGGCCGTGGGCCCGACGGCTCCGGGCTCACGCTGGTCGCACGGTCACCGAGCGCCTCCGGGTTAAGGTAAGACGAGAACGAGGGCGGGGGCGGCACCGGCGCGTCGCCGTTGTTAGCCACAGCCGCCATCTTGCTGACGAGCCGTCCGGACGTCGGGCCGTTCCGGTCGTCAACTGCCTGGGCCGGTGACGGCGGGCCCACAGTCAGCGACGGTGGAAGCCCAGGGCCGGGCTGTAGAGCGAGAGGATGCTGCGTGCTCATGGCAGTGGCGATGTGCTGAGGCTGCGATCGCTGGATGTCGATGCTGGGGCGCGAGAAGTTGGGGTTGAGAGGGTGAGGCTGGGCGGCTGCGCCGTAGACGAGAGACTCCTGCGCCCTTAGCGTATGCGAACTCTGGGCGCTGGCTGGGGCGCTGCCCCAGTTCGAGCTAGACGGTATATTCATATCCAAACCCGGGCCGCGTCGCTGGTCTGCCTCGGGCAGTGTCTGCGGTTGCTGGAATGGTCGGGCGTTCTGGTTCGGCTGGCGTTCGGGCTGAAGGTCTTCTAGAGATTGTGGGGGCGGCGTAGGGGCCATGTCTAAGAAAGTGCCTTGCTCCGAAGGCGTTGGGGTTCCGGAATCCGTCTGGCTAGGCGAGTCTCGATGAGACTGTGACGACGTTGAGACCGGCTGTTGGCCAGGTTGCAGCACAGCTGGATGTTGGCTGTAGGAGTTTCCTGGCTGCTGCGGTGGGGCGCCTTGGCGCGGGATGAACTGAAATTGCTGGTGTGATACAGGTGGTGGGCTAAGACGGCCCAGGTTGTAGGGCGAGGGGGCTACCATTCCCGCGTTGCCGTAGCCGTGGACAGCCTCGTAACCGCGCGGGATGGGGACTTGACCGTACTGGGGCTCGAATTTCTGGGTAGATGTCCGGCGTGGTTGACCTGTCGTCTGAGGTTGTGAACCTTGGGACTGGGGCGGTTTCTGTACTTGACTTACGGGCTGGCCGCGCCCAGCCCCTGCTCCGTGCATCATTGGGGGAGACATTCGACTGTAGCCGCTCGGCCCGGGGGGGGATGCCGTCTGGCCACGACCTTGACCGGATTGTACCGGTGTTTGCGGCAGACCACTCATGGGTCCTAGGGGGCCTGCCGGCGAGGGGCCGCTGATCATCGGGCGGCCCGGCTGCTGGGGCTGGTTTGACTGCTGGGTGCGCATCATGTTGGTAGGGGTTTGGCGCCCCGACGAAGGCTTGTGCTGGTGCGATTCGGCTTGCTTGCTACCTCGCTTGAAAGCGTCAAGCAGCTTATGTGCCGCGCTCTTCTCCTTCGTCGCCGGCGAAGCCTGGCCAGGAATCGCCTTCCCTTTGCTATCAACTCCGAAAAATTTCGCGATGGTGTTTTGCTGATCTGGGACCTGGGCAGGACCGCCGGACGACTTTGACGACAACGCCTGTCCACTATGCGAAGGTGCTCTCGGACGTTGCTGTGCCCAGACCTGGGGATTTTGTCGTGAATTTTGCTGGGGGCCGGGCCCTGAGGGTGACGGGAGAGAAGGCGTTTGGGCCTGGCCTGGCTGTGACGCGCCAGGCGGTCCTCGGGATAGTACTTGCGGTTGAGCCGAGGCTGTTGGAGATCCCCTTTGGTTAGCTGGCGACGGCAGAGGTGGTACGGGGGGATGTCCTGGAGATGGGAGTGATGTATGGCGCATATCTTCCAGCTTTCCGAGGGTAGGACTTTGCTGACCAGACGGTGGGTGACTCGAGAGTCTACTTTCGTCTTGGGGGCTCTGATGTCGAGACCCAGAACCCTCGACCTTCACGTTGATCGTTGGCTGGACAGGTCTCTCTGGTGGTCGGCCAGGCGTGGTTGACGGGCCATCCTGCTTTACGGGGCCAGAGCCTACAGGCTTCCTACTAGGAAACGTCCGAGGTGCAGACGACGACCCGCCGATATCGAGACGATCTTGGGAGGGTCGCTCTGAGAGATACGGGGTGATTTTCGAAGGCAAGCCAGAAACCACAAAATTCTCATCCCCCCCGGATCGCTTAAACGAATTGTTGTCGCTGGAGTCTCGCTCAGCAGGTTGCGCCACATTCGCTTGTGATCCATGGACCCAATGGCCATACAACTGCTGCGTCGCGCCTGGTTGGTTCTGGGATACTGTGATCTCGGCGGGTCGGCGCATCACGACCGCTTGCGCCGTCCCGAAGAATTGGGGCGAAACGGGAGACTGCAGAGGATTTTGCACAGCGAGATGGCCGCTTGTCGCGGGCTGGCCGGCATACGTGGGATACTGCCCGGGTCCGACGTGTTGACCCGCTTGCGTCGACTGCTGAATCGGCATCACGGCCTGGGGACCCGTTTGTTGTGGCTTTGACTCCGAGGGCTTCGATGATTGCTTGTTGAACAGCCCGCCTAAGAACTTGCCGGACTTCTTCTCGCGATCATCCTCGCCCTGGGTTGGCTGTACGTGAGCTGGCCGGGGCCCGCTGGGACTATCCCGACCAGTCGAGGCCGAGGATAGCCCCAGCAATCCGGGCCGTCCCGTGGGCGCCTGCATCCCTTGCGAACCGCCAGTCTGCATCCGCGTTAACCCCTGCAGTGAAGGTGTTGACGAGTACGAGCTGCCGGGCTTCGCCGGCTGGTCATCCCTTGCTCCATCCTTCACGTTACCGACCGCTCCAATCATCCCTCGTAGCTCGGAAAGTCGCTTCCTTATCGACGACGACTCCGGCGCGTCATCGTGATCCCACGTCGAGGTTTTCGCAAAGCCGGGGTTGGATTTCTGTTTTGTTTGGGATTTATCGTGGCTAGTCACGGCGCTGAAGAGCGACCTCTTTTCCTTCCAAAGCGGAACTTGGTCCGAATTCTCCGAGCTCTGTTCTGGGCCCACGTTGCGACGATTGGACAGGCTGAAGAATCCCGAGCCTCGCCTGCCCCCACTAGGGTGTTCCTCGCTCGAGGGTGAGACCTCGTCGACATGGACTATGGGTGAGGCTAGATTAGATTTTATATATGTACACGTATATGTGTATATACATGGCTGCGCATTGTACTGGTGAACTTACCATCCATTTCCTTGTTATGATCCGGCTCTCCCCTCCGACTCTGTCCGGCGTTGCTAATGGCCTGTCCCTGTACCCTCCGGGCGCCGACCGGTTGTGGAGGTTGACCTTGGAATTGGTCGGGCCCGTGGGGGACGAAGAGGTTACGGTAACGCTCTGCCGAGACTGGAGGTATGCTGCCACTGTTATTCCTCAGTCGCATCTGCATGAAACCCTGCGCCTTTGATATCGGCACGTCTTCAGTCTCCTTGTCGTACGCAAAGTTGGCTAAGTGTTGCTGAGGCGGGCTATTCGCACCGGGTCGATTCTTATGCTGGATGAGGGGTTCCGAGAGATGAGACTCTTCCAACTTCCACTGCCCGCCAAGCGGGAATTTTTGAATAGGATTGCCTCCCATCTGCGAGACGAAAGGCTGGCGGGAGCTATTCACAGGGAAAGACCCCGGCACGGGTCCGGCTCGCGCCATGCCCGCAAGGGCTGGCTGCTGAGCTCCTCCAGTCTGGTGTATGCCTCCGCCCACGGCGGATCCGTTAGGATACTGGGACGAGCTGGCGGCGTGGGTGGAATGCTGCTGAGCGTGGACGAAATTATGAGATTGGTTGAACTGCCCCCGGCCGGGTATTTGGCCATTGCCGTTGAGATAGGTCTCTTCCTTTTCTATAGGGGGAGGAGGTATGCTATCATCTGCAGGCCCGGCCGGCGAGGCCCGGCCGTCCTCGTCCTCGTCGGGCCTATTCCTCGACATCAAGTCAAACGTCGACGTCCGGCGGATAGGCGGTAGAGGGGTGAAACCCGAAGGTTGCGCGCTCGTCCGCGGGAGGGAATCACCAAAGGTTGGCGAGATGGGCCGGTTAGCTGCCATAGGAACTGACATAGCCAGGCGCCAGCGGGGGAGTCAATCGGGTTCACAGCGTCGGGGGAAACGAATGTGTATCTGGCGAGGTCACCTCAAGGCGATTATTAAATTTACAACCGGGAGTTAAATGCGCGACATCACGTCCAGCAAGAGGGATGGATAAGCTGGCGCAGGGCCCGCCGAGCTGAGGCCGGGCAGTTCGTCCGAATTATGCCCAAGATCGCCCTGCCTTTGCACGCACGTCGAGCACCAAAGTGGGCTTGGGGCCCGTGGGTGGGCGCAGGATGCGGTCAACGGGATGGATGAATGACAGACGGAAACTCGTCGTCGCGGGGGCGAGAAGGGAAAAAAAAAATTTGAAACGAAAAAAACGGAAAGGAAAGACCAAGAAAAAAACCGCGACGCGAGCGTAGATGAAGGGAGCGTCCCGAAATTGGATCAGACTAGCTCAAGCTGAGGAGGACGTGAAGGATGAGATGCAGAAGCGGAAATGGAAATGGAAAGGTCCTCATCAGCTGGTGGTACATATACCGTGCCGTCCTGGGGGGGGGGGGGGAAGGGAGGGACCAGGGTGGGTTGAAGACGATTTGCGGCGAGGAATTCCCAGGGCTCGTCGACGGAGACGCAGCAGATACCTCTATTATAGTATAGACCACTTCTCCAGTAGTTGGACAGCAACGGCCCGCCGACGTGGTAACGGTAGCGACAATATGGTGTAGCGGCAAGCGGCGAAGAGGGTAGGTAGTAGGCCGGTTGAAGATGCGGAGGGGGAAGACGCAGGCGGAGATGCTGTTGGTGTCTTCTGGGTTGGAGCAGGTTGCAACGACGGGGAGGAGGGCGACCATATGAGACGACACGTTCGCGTCTGGACGAAGAGGCGGACGGGCCGTCAGTTGATGGAAATTGGCTAGGGATGCCTAGAAAAGGCTGGGATTGAGCTTCGACGGCGGATGGGACGGGGATTGATGAGTGGGTTGGAAGGATCCGATTTTTTATTACTGGGTGCCGGTTCCCTACCTACGTAGAGCTGTAAGCCGGGTTGCCACCTCTCATTGGCCCGTCCCGCCTCTGCGGTCCTCTCCTCTTCAGCATCATCGTTCACCCTCAGTATCTTGGGTACCTACAAATCAGTACCTGTGTGTATAAGAGAGGTAGGTAGGTACCTAATCTAACCCGCCTTGCCCCCATGCATATGTCTTGAGATATGCGTACACCTACCTATAATACAGGGAGATGCGCGCAAGCCACATGCACTGCCTTACCTACCTGTAGGTAGGTGCATACCTCTTATATACATGCGCACATGGTGCATTAGTAGGTACCTACCTCAGGTACGTCGGTATTTCCGAGCTACCTAGGTACCTGTGATCAGCCATTGCGTATCACAATAACCCGAAGAGGGAGAGAGAAAAGAAGACGGAGAGAGAATGCGTGCTCCCCATATGAGTAGCGAGGAGGTATTATACCACTCCTTATTCCTGTACTTTCTTCTTCCTCTCTCTCCCATAGCTACGCCGAATCCCCATCATGGGAAGAGGGGGATATCCGTATAATATAAATACCTAGGTACCTCTAACAGATATACCTGGTGTTCTCTCTCTCTTTTTCCTCCCCTACTGCCTACCTAGACCTACCTCCCTACCTAGGTAGGTATGTACTTACCCGTACCGAAAACTACCTAGTGAGGTAGGTCCCTTGGTTCGGGTGTCTCGCGACAACCAAGGAACCCTCTTCCCGGTTCCATACCTAACCTAGGCGACTCCGGCACTTGCGCAGACATGCGCCTACAGACATACCTACCTACTTACTTCTGCGTGTAGAATCCCCGAGCGACGAACGTACGGGCATGTATAGCCCAAGACGAAACGCACCGCAAGCCAACGACGAGCTAACGACGACACCGAGACCACTACTCATAGTTGGGGGCGGCGGCGGTCAGGGGTCTCTCGCTGTGGGGGCCTAATACGTACCTAATATCAATGCTTGCGACCACGTACGTATAGGAGGTATGTTTAGAGACGACGAGTCAGGTAGATTCCGTAGGAGGTACTATAAGCAGTATACCTCTGACATGGAGACATCATCATGTTGCTATGTAGAATCGTGGCCCCCCCCCCCCTCTCCCCCGACGAGAGCTCGACGGAATGGCTGTGTTTCGATGTGGAGAAGTCATCATTGCTTCTCCCCCCCTCTGCGGCCGGCATCGTGGCTGAGCTGAATGCAGAATACGTTACCTAAATTACACATGTCGGTTCGGTCCGCTCATCTCCCATCTGGTTACCTACCTATCTATCTACCCAGCCGTTCTTCTCCTGCTTCCAAGACACCGAATTGTTCCATGTATGTATGTGCTATCCATACACTACTACTACTACGACTACTAATATATCCTACTAGGTTAGGTAGGTAACTACTACAGGTATGTAAATCCGACATCATTCGTACATGCATGCGAGCATTTGGTATATAGGTACCTCTATCCTGCCCTTCTTCCCTCGCTGCCCCCTCTCGTCCTCCCGCGCACCAGTGAAGCAAATGAAGACAACGACCAAGAAGGGCGCGGCTTATGAGAGGGATGAGATTCCTGGTCAGTACGTGCCGGCACCGCCAGCGCCGCCAGCGCCGTCGTCGACTTCCGCCGCGCCCCAAGTGTGTTAGTAAGTTTCCTGATAGGATTCCATCGATGGGGCTCTTGATTCCCTTCCTTTACTTCCTTCCGCCCCTCAGAGGCTTCCTGGTGGTGGTAGTGGTGGTGATAGTGATCGTCGTCGGCGTCGTCGTGCCGGCGATCATTACGCTCTTGGTAGCGTGCGTTCGTCGGATCAGGAAAATCTCCTGGCGGTACCGATCGTGCGATCCCCTAGAAAACAACAAAACGCAATTAATATCTCCTGGCCGTTCCGAAGTTGCTATTGCGGACATTGCGTGGCGAAGGCGTGCATGCAGGTATCACACCCTCCCCCCCCCCCCCATCTTGCATGTATCCGTGCATGTATCCATGTAGATATGATTGCACCAGTGCTAGGGGTTGTATGTTCGCGGAACAAATTCGCAGCAACGGGGGGTGGCAGTACGGTGGGTAGGGCAGAATAGGGCAGGGTAGGGCAGAGAAAGAGAAAGGGATAGGGGAGGAAAACATCATCACGAGTCAGTCTCGGTCTCAGCTACGAACAGGCTAGGTAAGGCTAAGAAGGGAGCGAGTGAGAGACGAGACATCCCCCCAGATGGCGGCAGCGTGATCTAGGTAGGCACTGACAGCGACGGTACTCGGAAAAAGCCTATGTAGGGTCACACGTTTTCTTATATCTCCCTCCTCTCTCCTCGTGGGCTTCGGTTTTCGATAGGTATGTCCCACAGATCAGGGCCGCCAAGACTTGTTACGCAGGCACATCCAGGAACAACATCTGATCCCTGGCGTCGCTTGATCTTCTCCGGGGAGGGGGGGTAGCGGGCGGTGCGCGTGCATCATGACTCGACACCGGCGCAGCGACTTTAAGCATCAGACCCCGAGCAGAATTGATCGGCCCATTCCCCATACCGGAAAGGACTTGGGTTGAAGACGGTAAATGAAGCGAGTAATAAAAAAAAAAGGGTCGCCAAACTCGACGTCCCCCAGCATTTGAGATCGAATTAATTTCTTTCCATCCCTCATTAATCGATCAGGCCCGCCTTTCCATCGAACCACACGTCCCCCCCTTGCCGACCCGGCTTCCCCTTGTTCAAGTCCATTGGTATAACTTGCTTGAACTCCCATGACATGAATGAGTACAAAGGACATAGCAACCTGAGCAATAGGGGGAAAAAAAAGTGCGTTGAAGAAACTACATGACCGGCCTCTCTTTCTGTCTGCAAACTAACGGGATGATGCTCCCTGCTTGACGAACTCGCAGCGCCTGGTTTATAAAAATACACCTATTAAATGTGCCGTCCCGCGAAAATGCACTGCCGCCGCCTTTTGTCGCCGCCCTAGTCAACGAATAAAGGACGAAGGACGGAACGATGAGGAAGAAGAAAAAGAAGACGGGTAAGACGGAGCAGGAGAAGCGGATGAAGAGGAGGAGGGGAGGAGGGGAGGAAGGGGGGAGAGGAGGAGAGGAGGAGAGGGAGAGGGGAGTAAGACGAAAGAAAAGGAAATGCTAGAAGAATACCTTGTCGCCTGTTCCGCGGAGCTTGCTCTTCCCCTTGCTGAATAGCTTCATACCAGACTTCACACCCTTGTTGCCAAACGCTCCTGCAGCGTGTAGAAGCTCCTTGCTCTTCACCCCAACTTGGTGGTTACCGGAGCCAAACCCAATCGCGGGTTGCAGGTTGTTGCCCGTTGGTGGTATTCCGAGCTGCCCAGTAGGGGCACCTTGGGTGTTGGCATTTGGGTGTACGTGGCCGTCGGGTGGAGATGTTCGGCCAGGCGTTAACGAGGAACCAAGCGTCGCCGCTGTTCCCTGATCAATCTGGCTCTGCATATACGCGACCCAATTCGACAAACCCGATTCGATCGAGTAAAACTGGGTTCGCGTTTCGTCGAACTTCCGAATCCTCTGCTCGATAGACACGATATTGAGAATGTCCCGGAAGGCCATGATCTTCGCCTGCGAACTCGACTGGACGGCAGGCGGCGGCGCAAGCGTCAAGTCAGGTTGTCTTCCCCATACAGGATGTCGTTCCTCGGAAGATCTACTCGAGTATGATTGCGTGATTATCTTCTCCTTCTCCTCGGCGAAGGAAAGGCGAGATGCATCAGCGACAGCAGCTTGGACCGAAGGTTTCCTCTCTGCCGTCGTCGAAATGGGCGAAGGAGGATCCAGCTCCGAGGGTGATGGATCTCCAGGAGCTTGGCTACTGGCCTTAGAGACTTGGTGGGATACGGTGCCAGTAGCCTCAGGTTGAGCCTGTAGGGTGCCGAAGGAGGGTGCCGTTGCGCCGACTTCTGCTGCTCCCGGTGTTGACTCATTCTTGTCTGGGTTAGCTGAATCTAATCCGAGCGAGAGCGCCGACCCTTTCAATTCCGTCTCGGCGAGCTTGTCGTCGACCGGCTCCGGCGGACCAGCCTCCCAGGAAAATTGTCTTGGCCGAGTGACAATCCTCGGCTCCGGGTTTCTCAGTGGACTTAGCGGGGCGATTTCAGGAAAGAAATCCTGGTCAACGTCAATGCCAGAGGCGGGTAAAGCCTCGCCAGAACGGTGCTCGGCTCCCTGGTGGCCCTGTTTGAGAGTATTGCTGGTCTCTTGAATGGTCTTCTCCTCAACGGAATTCAAGTAATCGTCGTATACGTCGGATAGGTAAGTGCTCTCCCGGGTCGGTCCACGCTTGGCCGCATCGGAGGAGTCGTGCGAAGAGCCTAAAACAGCGCCGTCGCCGGAAGTAGCCGCGGGGCTTGAACTTAGAGACTTTATGATCTCTTCTCTTAGCTTGTCGCTCTCCTTCTCCGGGGACGCGGTATCAATCGTGCTCATCGTAGACTTTCGCTGCTGTATTGTCGGCGTTACCAGGTCTGTAGGGGCATTCAAAGGTCGATGTGGGTTCAAGGGTGCTGTGGGGGTAAAGCCTGATCCCGTGGACGCCGCGCTTTGTTGGGTGGAAGGAGATTGCTGGGAGGACGAATCCATATAGACGGAAGAAGGCGGCGCCGGCTCGTTTTGTCTACGGTCCCCTTCCCTGTCGATTTGCGCTATATCGGACGCCGCGACGAGCGAGTTTTCCGTCTTCAAAGGCGGAAGAGACTGCGGCGTCGGATGGTAACCCAGCCCGGAGGCAACCACTTTCGAAGCCACTACGTTGTCATGCTCTCCAATAGGCCGACCAAAGGTATCGCTCCGAGACTCGTAGAAAGCTTTGGCTTCCGCAACCGTCTTCGATGTGCCTGGCGCTGATGGGAGCTGTCTAAGAGTTGTGGTCGGCTCGATATCAGCGGATCCGGCGTGGGCAGCGCCGATTGGAGGCACACTGTCCTGGACATCGCCGCCCGAGGGCGCCGATGCGACTCCTCTAGGCCTTTCCACGGATGACGGATGTCCGGAACCAATAGAGACAGACTCTGATACCCAAGCGCCGGGCAGGTGGGGTCTGATCGGGGCAGATTGCTGAGACTCGACCAGTGACTGGCCCTTCTTCGGCTCCAAGGCGCTTTCAGATGGAGGCATGGCTATCTCGGGGCTCGGTTCGAGCTTGGGGCCACCCAAAACACTAGGTGGTTTGCTTCCAGAAAGTCCTATAGCGTCACGTCGCTTATCATCCAGTCCGATCGGCGAGCCAAGGTTAGTGTTTGCCGAAACGGCTTGTTGTTGACTACCCGACACTGGCGAAAAGGAACTGAACTTCCCGGAGCTCGAAAAAAAGTCGTCGCCAAACCCGGACATTCGTGCTAGATCGGGCAACTTGGGGCTGGTAGAGAGGCGGTCCGGATTCGGAGGTTGTAGGCCTGATTCGGGCTTGCGTTCAGTATCCGAGGCTGTCAATCCCGTACCGTATCCTTCTTTCTGCTCGTCGACGGGGCCCAGCGCAGACCTCGGGCCGCGAGAGAAGCCGGGACCGCCGTAGCTTTCTAGATTCGGCCTGCTCGTCTCCTCAGGTCTCTGTTCCTTTTCGATTTCCTCGCCAAACCGGTCTGCTGGCTTCGAAGGGTTGCCCAGCACCCTATCTGGGGACGCTGCTCTCGGGTCCGTCCACGACCTTGTAACGGAATGAGGGCCCGGCTGAGCGCCAGGCCTTGAAGCCTCAACATCGGGGGGATCCACGCTGCTCTGGCGAGGGTACTGCGGCAGCCCAGACGCGGAACTTTGCGCAGACGACGAAGTGACTTCGACGGGGTGATATCTCGAACCGAGGCCCGTCTGCAAGTGTAGCGACGGTGGGCCGCCAGGGTTTCTCGATCCGAAGGAGCGAGACACGTTGGAACTAACATCGGGTGCGGTTTGGGGAAAGGTCCGGGATGAGGGTAGGGTGCTCGCCGAGTATTGTTGTCGCAATTCGGCCACTCTCGAGGCAGGTGGTTGCTCGGGCTCCTCGTATTCGTCCTCATATTCATTTCCCCAATCATCGCCATCATAACTCTGAACTTTTGCCTCAACCCATTTCCTCGTCTTGGTCCGGTTCATGTTCGTCTTATAAGAACTTGAGTTGGGAGTCGAGGGAGTCCTATCCGGATCGTATACAGGTTAGTGGCGAGTATCGATACAGCCCGGGGCGGGGGGAGGGGGGGCTCACATTGGGGAGAAGGGGCTGTTGCTCCGAATAACATTGTTATATGTCCCTTCATTCATGGCGACTCGTCCGGAAAGATGCCTTTCTTTATTGCGACATAACCCCCCCAATATTTGTCCGGGTTACTTGTGTATTGTATCTCGGACTCGGAAATGAGTGGTAGGACAGAAGGGCAGGAAAGAGACAACAACAATGGCCCCGAGCAGGCCGAACGTCTCAGGCGCCGGACCAGGCCCAACAGATTCCAAGGCAAAGGCAGTATGCGCTACACAAGTAATCTGGTAAGCTCTTAGGGAATACTAGAAGGGGGCTCTCGTTGGGGGGGGGTGGCAGAAGCGGTTCCCGAAGGCCTTGATCGGAGACGGATAGGGCAGGAAAAGGATATATAAGAGGGGTCTCGCACGGGGTAAGGGGAGGGAGGCGGGCGATCAACGAGCGTCGGCAGGTATTTTTAGACCCAATATGTATGAATGATAGACTCGGAATCATATGTTGCGACGGGACCAGATGGGACGAAGAGACGGCGAGATTGAATGGAGTAGAATTTCTGAGGCTACCTAGGCGAAGGCAAAAACGGAGGAGGGTTTGGGAAGGGAAGTTGAAATTCGGTCGGTCGGATGACGATGATCTGTGCAAGAGGTTATGGAGGCAACGCCCGCGTATATAATTGTGGTACCTGCTTCGTACTTTAGATTAAGTACCTTACCTACCTAGGTAGGTACCTACCTGGTACCTGGGTAGTGTCCAGCAGGTGACTACGGTACCTAGGTAGACAAATCGGATAGATGCTATGACAAGGGCAGGCAGGTTCTGCAATGTACCCATGGAAGCTCAAGTCAACTCGTATTGGAATATTAAGGGTAGGAGGAGGTAGTTCAGCACCGCTATACCACCAGGAGGCTAGGTGCCAGCAAGGACCCAGAGACATCAGCACTTGTTCTCTTTATACTGCGCTATAAGTGGGAGGTTATACCTAGGCATATGCCGATCCACACCTATACGGAAGATCCATGGGGTAGAGGTGCCTAAGGTACCTCAAGTAGCTTTTTATGCAGGGGGACAGAGGCTTAGACTTATACATACCTTTAGGCGCCTCGAGGTAGGTAGATAGGTAGGTAGGAGGTTAGGTACCGACCTACCTAACCTAGGTGTTTACCATAGGGTTTCAGTGGACAAACACCGGCTAAGGTTGCTTCTGTTGGTACGTGCTAAAACGCCCCATACAGGCGCAGGGCACCTGGGGCGCTTGTTTCAATAGGTACATGATACAGACTACGCGTTGCCAGCAGCTTGGCAGATACTCCCCTGCCACCCACGTTCCACCCATCTGCCGCCTGTCTGCCATCCCGCCTGCCCATCAGCAAGAATCTGCACACTTACCTAGGTACACGTACATGATGAGGTATTGACGTATGTTCTCATAAGAAGTACCTAACATGGCATGATCTCCCCCAGAGTCCGCCAGAAAGTGTTCTTAGGCTTGCCATTCCCCTTTAGACTTCCAAGGGGGCAGTTGATTGATCTATAAATACTTACCTATATACCTGTTTATATAGCTAGTATTATCCCCACATTATATGTCCATACGCACCTAGGACGAAGTGTTGAAAAGTTGCAATCTCAACATCGCATATGTACATGTGTAAGTACACAATCTCCAGATAGATGCCGAATGGTGTACCTTTTATATGCAGGTACCTACAGCAGGGTACCTTAGCTAGGGTATGGAATCAGATCGACTCACGCCTGTTTTCATGAGCAAGTCACAGGTGCACTCCCTCCACCAACTCCCCCCCCCTTCTGAAGCGCCGCCCATCCACCCTCCCATCCGGGCCGCCTCATGACAGACCCCATCCCAACCGTGACCGACACCACCACCAACGGATTGCCGCCGAGGAACCCTATCTAGGCCCATCACCTGTTGGTCCGGCAGGGGATGAGATTATAAGGTGTTGTGCTACCTATAGCTACCAGTGTACCTATATACGCTTCGTCAGTTCTCGGCCACGGAGGCAGTGAGATGCCAGTATAAATCATATGTTACTCAACCTAGATGCACCATCCTTTCTAAGTTCCGAGCAGCCATAATTGGTAGATGCCAACTTCTATGATCTAAACCTAAGAGAGGGAGAGTTGGAGAGATCTATGTGTGAGGCTTCCCACAAACGTGGTACCTATTACACGCGCACGACCCATAGAGAGAGTAGTTGAGTGGTAGAACGCGAATCTGACAATCTAGTATTCACTAGGGTTCCGATTATCACCTTTTCGGGCCGCAGTGCCTTTGTTGCTATCGCTTATCAGTATGACAGGCCTGGCAAGGATGTTAGCAACCATTACGAGATGCTTTATAGAAGCGCGACGTACCGAGTACGGGTAGTAGTTCACTGTGCAAGGTGCATCTGTACTGTAAGAGTCAGTTCGCAAAACACTAGCGGCGACTTACCGCTTTTCGTCGCCGGAGGGGCGTGTGAACACTCGATTCCCCCAAGGCCCTAATGACGATTGCAATGCCTGGCAGCGAGACGTACACCCAGGTCCAGGACCAGCGGGCCAAACCACAGCGCGATGTTTTGAACCCTCGCTAAATACTCAGCAGCGATAAGAGGGATACGGAGTCAAGACTTGTCGCACGTATGTAGGATGGCTTCGATCGCGTCGTCAACCTGGTCGCTCGACCACCTCGTGTGAGGATCGGGATCAACCATTGCTCGTGCCAGTGATACCGCTTGTCGGGAGGCTTCGGCGGAGTAGCTCTCTTGCCGCAAGCCCTCCTCGAAGCACGGCGGAATGTTGCCCATCTGCAAACCCTTGAGTATGTCCACCCGTTCCATAGCTGTGCTGCAGGGACACGACAACTCGATAAATACCACGCCCAGGGCGAAGATATCAACCTTTTCATCGTTGGGACCATTCGAGGTTGGCGGCCTGTAGTATGCAGTGCCTATGAGTTGTCCCGCCGAGGATGCGCTATCGTTGCTGACATACGGCGACACGGATATGTCTGCATGCGCAAGCTGGGTCACAAGCCCAAAATCGCCGATGCGCGGATTCAGCCATCGCGGTACCATCCTTTCCGACCCGCGCTCGCAAACTTCACAAGAGAGGTCGCAGTATCCGCCTTGGGATTCGCTTTCGGACGAGGAAAGGAAGATATTGCCTGGCTTGATATCCCGATGCACGTATCCCTTGGAGTGGATATACCGCAGTCCCGAGTGTATAGCACGAAGTAGCCGGAGGGTCGGGAGAAGATGGAAGCAATGCCTTCGGGTAGCTCGCCCATCGGAAGAAGGGGAAATGTACTGAGCTAATGTCATGGGATATAACGACATCTGTATGTATAAGACGTGGCCAGACGCGTCGAAAGTTTTCTCTATCCGGTTGATGTTCCGAAGGGAACCCTTACCGTCCGTGAAGATATTGCTACTATGAGACATGGACAACGTCTCCGCAGCAACACGATCGGAGGCGGCCTGCTCCGACCATCCCTGACCCTCGGCAAGTTGCTTACCGGCGCCACTGCCGGGAAGAGACGGAGTGTCTTCAGCGAAGACAATGCCGCAACTAGAATCTGGCTGGGGCACGTCTAGCGACCCTTCGGAGAAAGGGTGACTGTCCAACAAGAATTGCCGGCGTTGAATCGAAGGACTTTCATTGTCAGCACCTAAGCACTCTAGTTAGCGACGTTTATGCCTCCCGAGTGAGACGAAAGACATCAAGTACTCGTCAGCGTGGCAAGCACAGTGCCTTTAGGTTAGGTGGAAAGATGCCCATCAGGTCCGTGATGGGTACGATAATCCACAAATACACACGAAAAGCACTAGAGCAAGGAAGAGATGAAGTTTAATCCGCTCGTAGGATTCATAGTACCATTCCAGGTACCTCGTTCATAACGTACAAACCCACACTTGATAGCACCGTAGGCTAGCGCCAAGACTGGGAGAATAACCATGTGTAGAGACGAAATGAGGAACCATGTACGTACCCTTCGTGTTTGCGGTTGTGGGTGGTTGACGTCGTTCTTCGAACCAGGTAGCATGGTAGCGAACGATATTAGGGTGATCTAACGTGGCCAGGGCCTGGACCTCACGCAGTATGTGCTGCAGTTCATCGAATCTTCCATCGAGAACCCTCCCCCCGAGCTTCGGGGAAAGCTGGATCTTTTTCACGGCGTACGTCCCTTGGTCCAGGGGGCTGTAGCATTGGTAGACTTTCCCGAAGCCTCCTTTCCCTAGTAGGGCGATTTCTCGGAATGACGATTCATAGTGACTAGGAACTCGAGGTGACTGTAGGGTAAGTTGTAGGTCATTGGTCGGGTGTGGGAAAAGGGTAAGTTTGGATGCCTGGGATACCAAGTCATGCATCGGGTTGAGGATGCTTGCGGCCGGTGCCTGCGAGCCCACTCCTAGGTTATCCAGCCCCGATAGGTACTGACGTCGCGAGCTTCGTGCCGCGTCAGATATCGCAAGCGAGGGGAGCAACCCATTTGATGAGAGGGTCTTGGTTGCTTGCGCAAAGAGCTGTCGGGCTAGCGGCTGGGCCTCGGGAGACTGCCTGGTATAAGTTTTGCCAGGATTGGCGGTGTTCAGAAACTCGGCTGCCCGGGTGCGGTAGTAGTCCTCAAGCAAGCTGGCAAGCATCATGTTACGATGCTCTTCAAGTCCGTCTCCATCCCTTCTAAGTGAAGGAGGTCTCGAATCGGAGGCCGATATTGACCTAATTCCGGAGGAGGCGCTGACGCTCGGAGCATCCTCGTCCGCCGTCCAGCCATCATCGGAGGCAGACTGGACCTCGTCCCTAGACACAGACTCGTCGGGATCCATCTCTTATAGGGGCACAGGAGACAGGCTTTCCTCTATGGCTGAGAATCGACTCGACGCCAGTCTCAGGAGTCACCATTACGCGGAGAAAGAGGACATGTCGGTACTACATCAGAGAGCGACGGTGTCCTGTAAAAGGCGTCGTCTAGAGACTTGGAGTGGGTGAGAGAGGGGGAGTATATAAGATGAGCAACTGGACCAAATCAAATATGATATCATCAGATGACAAAACGGCCGTCGTTGTCTCGTCGTCGCCAAGGTTGCCTCGTCGTTGTTAGGGCGTCGCGTACGGTGTCTGTTCACGTCGAGTTTCGTCCCCTCCTCTGCTCCCTTGGGGGATGGTGTTGCTCGGAGCCTGGATGGGGTTGCCTAGAAGCAGGCAGTTGATCGACCAACCGAAAGTCGGGTGCCCAAGACTGGTGATGTGGGTTCTCGGCTGGGTTGAACAGCCTGGCAGAAACGACGAGAAGGACACCTAAGGGCGTAAGTGACAAGACGAGGTATCGAGGAAGAGTACGGGTACCTTAGGTATCGTCGAATGCTTAGGAGGAGGTAGGTAGGTACCTACCTGCCGAAACTCTAGGTACGGTGCTGCTTAGTAGGTACCTACCTAACCAGTGCTAACATTAGGCCATGTTCGACCTATATGAGGTAGGTACCTTATGCACGACCTGTGCATACATAAACCGAATATGCGAGTTGTGCCACCTACACAACAAGATGCCGTCCGAATATAGGTATATGTACTTACGCACGTCAGGTAATTTCCACTTCTTCCGTTCGGTACCGTTCCCTGACCAACACTGGACGGCCTGCTCGGAAATAGGCCACTAGCGACGAGTGCGATGCCGTGGACTATTGGGCTTCTGGAATATTGCTAGAAGATTCCTGCTTCGTATTGAGGGTCCAGCTGCCCATTTGGTCTAAGGAAGATGGTAAAATCCCATCTCCATGCCGATCCGTCATGTCACCCTGGCCCACGCACGAATCCTACCTAGAGTACCTATACCTAGGTAGGTTAGGTAGTTACCATAACTAAGGAGACGGGATACGGCTATATCGATCACAACGGCCAACATAACAGGCATGGCTTATCGATACGACCTCCTGAAAGTGTCGTGTAAACTGCATTCCAGAAATCTCCGTCGACCCAGGACAACTAACCCAATTATCGCTTAATCCAGACAATCAATCAAACCCCTTCTCCCAAGCAAGGCATAGGGCCACAGACAGGTATCATATCGTATATATCATCGGTTCTTCTCCATCGCTAGAGGTATGCTTGCCTTCCGCTACTCGGCGGTTATGGACGGTGTAGACGATAACCTGAATAATGGCAAAGACCATGCCAATGGAGACCATAATAATCATCGTCCGAAGACCCGTAGAGTAGCTGCCAACCGAGTCAATTCCTCGTCCCGTTACCTGGGCGTTAATTCCACTTACAATGGCACGTCGTTCCCCCTAAAGTACTGCGTACCTGTCATGAGGCCGAGGATTGCGCTCATGACCCACATACTTACGAGGACATTAGCGAGGGAAGAGTCGCTTCTGGAGTGGTGGACCTACGCGATGCTGATGCTCCTCTCCCTTGGATCCCGGCAGTTCAACTGCACCCAGGAGTTATGAACGGGGTGGTAACCCACGGCAAAGCTGTTTACAGCAGTCCACAGGCCAAATCTTGACCACTTTCCGACGTGAGGGTGCACTTGTCGCGCCACAATCAACGTCACCAGATAGCATACGTGGGCGGTGATGACGGATAGCCCGCGCCTATTCGTCTTATCGCTAAGATAAGCAAACCCGAATACCACGATCAGGGCGACAGATGCCCCAACAGCAGCTAGAGCGTTGGCGGCGATGCGATCGAAGCCGAGAGCCCTAAAAGCTTGTGATCAGTGACCGTATACGAGCGAACATCGTCCCCTTTCGTGGAGTCTTCATCTTACACGATAATCGAAGGTGTGTACGTCGTCAACGGGCTCCATGTCGAAAAGACGGCAAATGTCGACACGAAATGTGGCCATCGACGGTAATGACACAAGGTCTTCCATACGAGTTTTAACGGTATGGGCTGCCCCTGTGCACCGCCGCGCTTTTCGTTATCCTCCAACTCGAGCCTCTTTTGGAGGATGTCCTGTTCCGCGGGCGAGAAGCGGATCAGCCCCGGACTCAGCAACGGCTTTGGCGTATCCGGGGATCCCGGCAAGAGAAACAGAAGCGTAATAGAGACGAGGATAGTGAAGAGTCCTTCCACTGTGGCCCCACGTGTTGGCTAGTAGACAGAGAGTGATTTGAGGGTTTACATACGAAGGAATAACCACTGCCAGCCTCGGATCCCGCGTTCTCCATCGAGCTTTAGGATCCCGGAAGCTAGTATGGGGCTCAATGCGTTGCCCCCAAACATGCCGAAGAATAGGATCGCCACACGTTTAGCCAACTCACGCCTCGTGTAAAAGGTCGACAGCGTGTACACGGCCCCGGGAATGTAGCCAGCTTCGGCCAAACCAAGGAACATCCTTGACGCAAGAAAGCCTCGCCTATCCCGGATGAACACCTGGAGGGTCGCGATAAGACCGAAGGCGAACACCTGGGCCGACATCCACTTCCGAGGGCCAAGCTATCACAGCGTCAACTCCAATGACCTCCTCCAAGGCGAGGACATGATGGGCGCAACCTTTTGTAATAACATATTAAAGGGGATTTCCAGGATAACGATGCCGAGGAACATGAGCTGATTTCCTAGATTTATCGTGTCCTGTGTTACCTGTATGTCTGTAGCAAAGCCCCCGGTGAGAGCAGAGGCCAGATTCATCCTGTCCAGTTGGAAGACCAGCAGTCCGAGGAAGAGTAATGGCAGAACCGAGGTATCGATCCTACATGCCCGCATCCGTTAGCCGTGATCTCACGAAGCGTAACTCACGCCAAAGGCTTTCCGAGACTTACTTGCGTCGTGCCCTACGCTCCTCTTTCACCGACCAGTCCTGAACCAATTGCCCAGCCGAGACATCGGAGGATGACAGATGAGCCTCCTGGCTACCGGGCTTTTCAGCCATATTTGCCTCCGTAGTTGTCGTAATACCGCAGAAACAGGTGGTGAGCCAACGACTTGTTCACGTCAACGTTCCAACTGTGCAGTTGGCTTCTGCAGGCCGTCATCCATGGTCGCGAATGCCCCACGTTATGTATACTTAAGCCGTCGCCAATCTTTCGGATATTCATAACTGCTTAACATTAGACTATAATGATGTCTGTAACATCGCGCGACTTGTCTCCTATCTAGTGCTACTACTTGGATAGCAAAACCCGAACGGAGTAAAGCTATCCTTGTGCCCAGGAGACGGTGACCAGTGAGCGTTGCCAGAGCTTCATGACGTGACAGCACGCCATCGCGGGACGAAACATCGCAATAGCCAAGGTACATTCGTTTAGCGGAGCTGAGCCCTGATGAGGCTCTCTAGAGGGCCTATCGCCATGGTTGAGCAAGGATCTTTTCGGGATGGCACTATGGAGCCAAGCTACCGGGATTTGCCCTTTAGGAGGTTGGTATGGCATGTGTCGCGAACAGCGTATCGTGTGTTATATGAGCGCGACGGCACCAGAAATGTATATCTCGTTTCTCCGTCTTGCTCCTCGGCAACATATATTTCGAAGCAGCTGAAAGCGAGATCAAGCCGGTCGCATCGCCCCCACACAATTGTTGAACCAACATCCAATCACCATGGTTGCTGCGAAGCGCGTTGCCGTGATCGGGACAGGCCCGGCCGGCGCCATCGCCATTGATGCGCTGGCGAAAGAAAAGGCATTTGATATTATCCGTGTCTTCGAGAGACGCGAAGGTCCCGGAGGATGCTGGTAGGTGAAGGCGAGATCTACGCATCTAATCGACGCTCCCCGTGCTTAAAAACAGAATGCAGGATAGGAGACCCAACGCCACCGTTGGCCGGAGAGGACGGGAATCTCGATCTGCTATCATTGGGGGAAAGGACTGCGGACCGGCCCGTCCCCATTCCTGAAAGGTTGCCGGCACAGACACCCAGATCTGACCGGCCCAGATTCACGGAGTCGTCCATCTACCCGTATTTGGAGACCAACATCGACGCCGTAACAATGGAATTTAACCAGGAACCCATCCCGGTGGAGAGGACGGCCCGCTCTGTCTCTATACACGGGACCGACACGCCGTTCAGGCATTGGACCGTCATCCGGCGGTACATCGAGGGCCTGATCCAACGCCGAGGATACCAGGACCTTGTCTCCTACAACACGACGGTGGAGAGAGCCGAGAAGATTGGCAACGAGTGGAAGCTTACTTTGAGGAGGAAAGGCCGGGAGACGGACTACTGGTGGAGCGAGTATTTCGACGCTGTAGTGGTCGCTAGCGGCCATTACTCGGTGCCATATATTCCTCTTATCGAGGGCTTGGCAGAGTTCGCAAAGGAGAGGCCTGGAAGTGTCATCCACAGCAAGCACTTTCGCGGTCGAGACGCTTTCAGGGATAAGGTAAGGGCCCGAGTGAACATGTAATTCCATATCCGGGCGCTAAACGAATGTCTCCTCTTTTTCCAGCGGGTTATCGTAGTAGGCGCGTCGGTATCGGCTGCAGATATCGCCGTGGACTTGGTACCGTCGGCCGAAACCCCAGTCCACGCCGTCGTGATCGGCCACAACGCCAACATCTACTTCGGTGACGAGGCCTTTCAGCACCCGAAAATCCAGAAACATCCCTCGATAACTCGGATCACGGGGCGCACGGTTCACTTTGCCGACGAGAGCTCGGTGGCGGACATTGACCACATCATTTTCGGGACGGGCTACACCTGGACTCTGCCCTTCTTGCCTGACGTCAAGGTTGCCAACAATCGCGTGCAAGGCCTGTACCAGCACGTGGTATACCGCGAGGACCCGAGTCTAGTGTTCGTCGGAGCGGTCAACGCGGGCCTCACATTCAAGATATTCGAGTGGCAGGCGGTCCTAGCGGCGCGAGTATTGGCCGGGAGAGCCAAGCTGCCCCCGGTTGAGGGGCAGCGTAGATGGGAAGCCGAACGGGTCAAGGTGCGGGGCGACGGCCCGAAGTTTGCGCTCGTCTTCCCCGATTTCGAGGATTACTTCGAGACGGTGCGCAAGCTGGCCGGGCCGGGCGAGGATGGGCTGGGACGTCAGCTGCCGCCATTCCGGAAAGAGTGGCTTGACGCGTTCTACGGCGGGCACGAGAGGAGGAAGAGGATGTGGAGGAGGCTGAACGAAGAGGCGGCAGACCGAACAGAGGCGCATGCTAAATTGTAGGTAGGTACCTCTAGGAGGTAAATAGCATCGGGTACGGGCATTGGTAGAGGGCAGACAGGTACCTAATCCTGGCCTATGCGCACCTATAATACAGCTGCTTAAAGCGTTGCAACCCGTTGCGGACGGTAGTTCCGTTTCGAGTTCACTCTGTAGTCTGATCCCATCTCCAGGTACCCGAGGTGCGTTCCCGCTCCCAGGCCACACGTGGCCAACCCACTAGGTACCTCCCAACCACCCGCTGAACCAACCAGGAACCCTCGATTCCAGTGCAAGATGCCAGGCTACGAGAAAGTACCTACCTACCTCATATCGATGGAGGTTATGTACATACAATATCTACATTGCGTGGGGCAAGTAATATTGGGTGTCTAATACATACATATAGGTTGTAGGTATATATCCGTCCTCGCCTCGACCCTGGTCGCCCGGCCTGCCGACTAAACCACCAACAAATACCGCCCCGTCCATGGCGGGGCGAGAACTGTCATGTCGACCACACCTCCTTCTTCAGCCTCGCCGTGAATACGCGCGACATTCGCGATGCCCAGCTGTTTCTCTCCGTCGTCTCCTCCAGCTCCGCCGGGTTCTCCTTCGTTCCTAACGGGGCGCCCGCCCCCAGCTCCGGCGTCGGGCCGTCCGTGCCCAGCTCGGCATCTATATTCTTGGACGGCCGCTTCCCGAAGCCGCCGTCGGCGCGTCTCAACCTGGCCCGCCATCTCCCAAATATTCTCTTTACCCTCGTTCCCAGCTGCCACGGCACGAACGTCTCGGTCTCCCCGGCGCGATACCGCCGATACCGCCGCAACAAACCGAAAGCCAGGAACCCCAGGATCATCAGGATGAGAATTCCCGACATAGCCATAGCGGCGACGCTGGTGCTGGAGACAACATCGGGCGTACCTCCTTCCGATTGTCCTCGGTCGGGTCCGCCGGGGGTCTGAGTGCCCCCTTCGCCGGCAGTAGACGTGGGCCCAGGGGGGTCCGAGGTTGTTACGTCCGTTTGGCTGGGTCCTGGAACTACCGCCTCACTCGTACTCGTCACGGCCGGCCCTACGCCGGTCGGAGAGACTATACTGCTGGATCGCTCGCTGGTCGGTGGAGGGGGAGATACGACTACATAGCCAACTGGCTCGCTGGCCCTTGGCTCGCTAACCTCGGTTTCTGAGGAAGTTTCTGGTGTCGGCCTTACCGGTTGAATCGGCTGTACGGGGTACATCTCAGGAGCCGTCGTAAACGAGCTGGCTGAGGGCGGAAGAGTGGTGGGTGTTCCCGGCGACAAGGGATCCGTAGCAAGATTGGCGAGATCCTGCTCTCGCCAGCGAATTTGGATGGCTGGCCCGACAGTAACGGAGGCGCCGCTGGCCGTCGCTGTGCGGAGGTAACCCCAGACCCCACCACGAAAGTCGGTGGTATCTGATGTGCAAGTGAAGCCGCTGCACGTCCATTCGACCGTCGAATAAGCCAAGCTGCCGGGAAGGGATGGGTTCGAAGCGACGCATATCTTACCTCGGTATGCAATACATGCCAGTCTCTCCCGCAGATACGGGCTGAAACCCCTCGGCCGGCGGCTGATGGCTTATCGTGCAACCGGCGGCAAACCCGCTCGGGCAGATAGCCGGTGAATAGTAGGCGAAGCCTTTCTGGGAGATATTGTCCTCCCACGACGGCGGGTCGCACGAGGCGGGCCCTGCAGTCGGGAACCTGGGATATTGCGAGGGCACTTTCGTCGTCGTCAGCAGCCACGTGGTCGGACAGGGCGGCGTGAAGACGGTAGTGAGGTCAGAGATACGATCGCCGAACGCGACCGCGCGAGGTTCGGCCGCCATCGCCGTCGATCTCGCGAGCGGAATCCGCGAGAGGCCGGTAAATAAGTTACACTCCCCAAATCCGCCGCCAGCTGCCTCGCGCCGTGAGTCGTCGAGTCGTAGAACGGTACTGCATACGGAGAAGCGGAATGCGTAGCGATTGATGACGATGATGACGCTGATGACGATGATGATGTTGTGTAAGTCGCATACCCGTCGCGATCTTGGGCACGATTAGTCTGCAGCTCGCCTTAATATCACGCAGCTGCCGACCCCCCACCCTGTCTATCCTTCACAAACTCGTCCATCTGCCCCCAAGCAGCCAGCTCTAAAGCCGACAAGACCAAGGGGCGCGCAGGAGAGGCTTCTGATTGGCGTGCGGGCGAGGAGCTGGATGCCGAAGGCCTGGATCCGTACCGAGGAGAGGTTGCTTCAAAACACTGTCAAAACGTCCAGCCGCCCCGCTTCACACGCCTGGAACTCCCCCTGCATGCTCGTCCCGGGTTTCATTTTGCCTCATTCAAGCACCCAACATCGCTTTAGGAAGCTGACTACCCCAGCATCCGCTGTCACATAGCACCCACCGCGGCACTCTGGGGAGCCAGGCTTACATGCCATATATGAGATCCCCCTCTGGCTCTGCAGTGCGCCTCGCCTGTATCAACCACCAACTACCAACCTCGAGGAGGCCGTGCCCCAACACTGCGCCTTTATATTCGACACCTCCCCCGTCCGGCTTGCCCATGTCGCTAACGCAGGGTTTCGCACCGTGGTGGAGGACTGGTCACCTCAGGACGCAACGCGCCTCGAGCCTTCGCCATCCCTGTCCGTCGTGGATGATTACAGATCAGCAAACTCTAAGCTAGTTAAGCTTAACGCGGGAGGCCTATAGCATAAGTTGGGCAGATATAGCTTACCTACCCAGCCTACTCATACATATTCCCACATGGTGGTTGTGGCTGCGGGACGTGCCGTACCTACACCAGTAGGCTCTTCACAAAGGTGCAACTTGATACAACGTCTTCCTTTCCCCTTGGTAAGAGACATATACGTAAGGGAGGGTAGATGGTAGGTACTGGGTAGGTGTGATATGTTCAGTACGGTGGGTTAATTGTTTAATTTCGAAAAACGAAACAGAACGACCCTCCATTGTCTCCCTCTCCCCCTGCCTCCCCCCCCTCCCCCAAACCCCTTCCCACAGAAAAACCTTCGCCTCTTTTGAAATGAGACCGTTTATTCCTTTCCATCACGGCCATCTGTGAGAGCACAAATTGTTGGGAGGGGATATTAACCACAGTCCTCCCTGCCTCCCTCCCTCACTCTCGTTCTCTACTCGCAGCCGTCGCTGCCAGTGGTGTAAGCCAGGTCCAAGGTGCCCGTGGGCCGCGCCGCGCCCAGCCCGTTCGTTGGCTTCCCCTAACGAAACCGCCATCACGGCACCCTACATCACGGGTTGAGCGGGATTCCCCGGTTGGGTGGCACTCGCCTCGGTGCCGGAGCCTGGCACCCTCCCATCCGACGCCAGCGTAAAGGGTCGGGCCAAGTTCGGAAAGATAATACCTAGCACGAGCAACGAATTTCTGGGCCCCCCCCCGCGTCCATGTTAAATCCCCGGTAGGGTTGCTTCGCATAAGCCGTAAACGGTTCTACGGGTGCATCGTTGACCGCGGAGCTTGAAAAGCGACATAGAACTGGACTCGACATGTCGCTTGCTACGGGCACTGTATTTGAATAGGGCCGAAATCTCTCGCTTGAATACGCTTGCGGGGTTGTCGCCGGGGAAGGCTTTTGTGACTAATGTGGCTGGTATTATCTGCAAAACACGGCAGACAAGAGTTGGACCAGCGTTAGCAACAAGAACTAGCTAAACTTCCAGAGTGCTATTGTTATTCGTTGCGGTGCTTCGATATCCCGAGTACCTAGAGAATACGTTTCGAATATACGACTGCTTACCCTACAGCAACGGCGTTAAGATCGGGTTTATTACCCTCTGGAAAACAGCGAGGATCTATGATAGGTTAGGTTTACCTACGGAGAGAATTTCCTGCGGTGCCAAGTTTTTCTCAAGTGTTCAACCTGCTCTTAACAAACTGTAGCTATTAGCGAGCACCTTGTGGTTATATTAAAGCCCCGTGCTGAATAACAACCCCTGGGTATTTCCTTCGTGAGCTACAGTGCTTAAATAATCATAATCTCTTCGATTTCGGGAAGGGGTTAGAACCAGTAGAAGAAGGCCTAACGAAGTTGTTGACAGCTATGAACGGAAGATATGTGTATTCTATTCTAAGAATGATACTACTTCGATTTAATAGGTATCAACTTGCACGGAACACCTTCCGGCCCCTTAGAGCCACATGAACACATTGTTAAGTGTTGTGACGCCCCGCGCCGTTGCAAATCATACTATTAATTATGAGTCCTAGCTACATATACCGAGATATGGTGCGTTATTATCTTGTGAATATAGCAGACTAGGGGGGGTCCCCAGTATGCACCTCATAACTGGCAACTCACCACGTGAGCTCTCCTAATCGTCTAGCTCCTGTGTTGATATGCGTAAGCAATATAATCTTAGCGTTCCGCCGATGGGGGTGATCTTCCAATGGAGGCAACCGTGTAAGCGATGATGATATAGAGGCCTAGGCGCAGGGGAATACTAGTCCGGCGATATAATTAAGATCGCCGTTTTCCCTACATCTTGTCATCTGTTACTGCGCCGGCACTAGGGTCTAGCTGCGTGGATAGGACGGCGAAATGCTGACCGATAGAGCGACAACCCTCTGCAAGAGTAGACGTTGCCTGGGCATACTGACTGACATGCTGGTGGCTTCCGAGCGCGTCGTACTTGGCCACACGGCTCTCCATAGCCTTGATACGGTCCTCCATTAGCGAGATGGTCGTTTGCGCGAACCCTAATTTGACAGACAGGCATTGGACCTGGTGCTTTAATTCGTCAACTTCGCTGGTGCTAGTGTTGTTGTCGGTGGATACGACGCTGGTAACGGTCGGCGATTCAGTATTGTTCCCTACGTCGCCCTGCTCGTAGAGGCAGGGATGTAGCGGAAGTCGATCGAGGTAATCCTCAAAATACGGGATAGTCTCGGTATGATCGATATTTAGTTCCGGGGCGGTCCGAGGCTCCTCCTACGTTAGAACTAAATTACTATCCGTCTCCACAGCTTCGCCTATCACCCCCTGGGCTTGGGCAGCATAACGAGGAAGAGAGAGCCAGGGAGGGCTGAGGAAAGTATAAACCATGCCTACCTCGCAACTGAAAAGTCGATTGCATGTGGTATCGAAGTCATCGCTGATCGTACTCGGTCGGAAATCATCTGGCGCCCCAGGCGGCGGATGGAAGGACACGTCAGGATCACGAACAGGGCTAGCTGGGCGCGGAGAGGGCGGCTTGGGGACAGAGTCGTCGCCGGTGAGATGGTGCCGCTTCATGTATCGACTAAGTCTCGTCTCCTGATCGATACCGCGGAGTCTGCGGCGTTGCAGAACCTCTTTCTCGACTTGCTCCAAGACTTTGCTCTTGTCCGCCTGGCTCGCCATCTGAAAAGCCTCCGTGTCTGTTTTGAGTTTCCAAGCACGTATGACCGCTCTGGAATCGGCTGATTTGGCTAGCTCGAGCTCCCGTTGCAGTTGGGGAAGTCCTGCGGCACGCTTGCGGGCGCGGACGGTGTGCTTATTAGTAGAATACACCCTGGCTTCCTTTTCTGGCCATCGAGGCATAGTAGGCGCATAGACCGGGAGAAGGAAAAGGGATATGGATGCGTTGTGCTCTTGGCTCTGCCTGTAACTTTCAGATGGATAGGGGCCTACTAGCTCTACGAAGAGATAGGTATGAGTACGTGTGAGAGAGGGGAGAAATACCAAGGGAGAGAGACACACACACAGAGAGAGAAGATACCGGAGAAGGTGGATAATAGGACTTGGGAGAAAAGAGGCGGTTGATCTGGGAGGGCAGACAGCTGGGGAGGCAGATGGCTCGGAGGGTTGGGCGCTGGGGGACAAGCGCAGCGGAACGACGGCTGAGGGAAGCGAAGCAGCTGCTGGGCTGGCAGGGACGTGGCTTCCCTCGTCCTTTCCAACGTTGCCTTCCTCATTCTAACCGCAACTTCCCCTTCTGCTGTCGAGCGAGCCGTGCCTGCCTACGCGAGCGCCTGCCTACCGTCAGGTTGGGTAGTTGGGTACCTCCCGAGTGAGTAGCAGAGAGAGCTTTGCCCGGGATCAACCCCGGGGACACGACACAAGTAGAAACAGAATTGGACGACAAGACTGCGAGTCGCGTGCAGCCGACCCGTCACGTCGATAAGATAGATGGCTTTGGTCGGCGCTCCCGACGGACAGCTTCGGCGCCGATTCAACTCCTGCAGCACGCGCGCGGCCACAGCCGTGGAAGACTCCAGTGTACACGCCTCCCCGGCTGCGCACCCAGCCAGGCCGGATTTGCGAAGAGTGACCTACCTATGGCACCTTTGGCTTGCATGAAGTCCACCGATTATACAGTCACCATTCCCTGTCTTTGGAGGCCGAGGTCCTTCTATGCACATATCGTATTGTACGTGGACGAGGGCAGCCGACAGTACCGCAGCCGTCGGCCTCCCGTGACCCCAACTAAAGTGACGTCTTGGCCTATGTATTCTATCATCTCCGCTCCGGCCTGGAGTCGCCCGAGACGTGGTAACAAGCAACCGGGCAGGAAAGACGCGCGCCATATCAACTGGGGATATCTTTGGTGCTTCTTTAGCTCTGCCCTTCCGTCTATATCACACCTCCAAGAATTATGGTACAATAGCACACCGCCTAGAGATTACTCCGATCTTGTCAGCTGCTTTGCCTGGCCCCCAATAGAGAATATGGCCAGCGAAGCCTGGCTCAAGCTACCCCCTGATCTATGACGTGACAGGTTGCACAGTAGTCCCTTCCGTAGAATCATACCCATCCGATAGTGAGATTCGCAGACGGCTCGGCTACATCCAAGCGGTTCAGGCCCTGACGAGCGTTGCCTAGGTGCAGGTGGGGACAACTTCCCAAGGCGACTCCGTAGCCGAGTCGGTCGAAGCGTCCATGCCGTGTCGGCTTGAGCCGCTAGACGGGTACCGAGAAGATGCCCGGCCCTACTCGGCGTTCTTCTCCGTCCCGGCACCGGCGCCTCCGCGCCAGAGTCCGTAGAATCCCTCGCAGTTCTTCCACATCTTGATCGTTCCGTCTTCCGAGCCGGTGGCGTACAGCTTCCCGTCTGGAGAGAAGGCGACCGACCAGACAGGACCGTGATGGCCCTTATGAACATCTAGGCTTCCCCGTTAGCGTGCAGTCATCATATAGGAAAATAGTACGAGTGCGCACCTATCTCGGCGTCGTCGTCCCAGCGGTACACTCTAGCCCATGTCGCTGGGTTGTCCTCGCCCACGATAATTTTCCTGCCCTTGGGGTCTAAGGCGACGCTGGCCACCTTGTAATCCATCTTCCTCCGCTTGAGCTCCTCCATCGCTTGCGGCCCGCCCCAGAAATAGATAGACTTCCCAGCAGCTACCGCGAGAACCGGTAGGCCTTTTCCGACGTCGGTGGGAGAGGTATAGTCAGGGGCGAGGGCGCAAAATTCGCACGAGCCGATCTCCCCGTCCAACACCTCTTGCTTTATGACACTTCGGGTAGGCAGATCGAACCAGCGCAGGGTATTGTCCGAGGCCGTAATGAGCGTGTTTGGGTCTCTAGTCCAGACGATGAATTTTATAGAGGCCGTATGAATGCCAGCACCGATCTCGAAGGCAGAGGAAGCTGGTATGGTAGGCGGCACGGTCGCGGGTTCAGCGGTACCGCCATTCGCGGCTGATTCGGCAATCGATTTCGGTTTCATCTCCGTCAGGTCGAAGATGCGCAACCGCTTCTCCATGCCGCCGGTCGCCACAAGGTCAGAATTGTCGGGTGGATAGGCAACAGCGCGGACGATGTGATCGTGTTGGAGAGTGAAGAGAAGCTCGCCGGTATGCGTATCCCAAATTTTCCTGCGGTCTTGAATTTAGCTACCGCGCCCTAAGAGAGAGAGAGAGAGAGAGAGAGAGCTCCGGCGGTGCATCATCTTCGACCTTGGAGAGCGAAACTTACGCGGTAAAATCAGCAGATGCCGTAGCCGCAGTCGCAGCATCGGGGCTCAGCCTAGCCTGCCAAACTGCGCCCTTGTGGCCGATGAAAGTGCCGATCCAGTCACCTGTCTGGCCATCTCGAAGCATGGGGTTGCCGTCTATAGAACGCGCCCAGGATGGTTAGTAGAGACCGTGGCAGAGAAGGACACCGGCTGAAGACGCACCCTTGCAAGCGGAGATCAAATAGTACGCATCGTCCTTTTCCAACGGCGAGAAACTGATATGGGGGACCGGACGCGAATGTCCGTGGCAGGTTAGAGGAACATACTGCCTCGGCGCCTCGGGGGCAGCCATTGCGCAAGCGAGCGGGATAGGTTGAGGAGTATCGAACGGAAGTTTCAAGCCCCAAGCTAGAACAAAAGCCCAGGCTTACCACAAGGCCTGGACAACGTACGTATCTGGGGAGCGTAGGGCGGATGGGACCAGGGTTGGGGGCGCGTCGACTTGCGTGCGCTTAAAAGGGAATTGAGGATGCTTGCAGGTCAATGTGCAGGCGAGAGAGCGGGAAGAGGGCGGTTTCTCAACGAGTTATTGACGAAGAAAGAGGAGAAATAGAGAAATATCAGGTTGTCGCGTCTAGTCGTAAGCAGTCGTGAGAGTGGAATTGCTAAAGGAGGGTTTCTGGGAAGAGTTGGATTCGTGAACACACAGTCAGGACCCTGACCTCGGGAGCTACCCGAAAGAAAACCGAGATGGGGGGAAAAAAATTAGAGTCCAAAGAACAGATGAGGATAGGTCATTAAATTCCGAGTCCTGATTGAGAATGAAAGACAGGGGATCCGTAAGAGGCAAGAGGCGAGAGAGGACGTAGTTGAGGAAAGGGTGTCAAGTGTAGAAGGCATCCAGGTGGAAGACGAAGAAATCCGTCACAGGCCTGGAGAGGCATTGATGGACGCATCGAGAAAGCTCCGACACGGAACATGTGCGGGTAGAAGGCATGTACCTGAGGATGTACCTGCCTCATAGTCGGCGGATTCTTGCCTACCAGGTAGGTACATGCTCAGTACATAGGTACACGTAGGGGGTCTGAGCTGCGTTGGTAACCTGTATTCCTGCAGAGAAAGGACCCTGCTTCTTCGTCCTGATTACATAATTAATTCAGCCACAACCGCCCGCCAATGTGGAGCTGTGCCGGCGATGGCAGAAGGCAAGGCAGAGGCTCCCCAGGTTCCGCAGCTGATCCCTGACGGGATAATATGTTCCGGGCAGGCCGGAATTTGTATGTATTTGATGTACGTCTCCTACTGGTCTGATCACATCCATTTGCATGGGTCAAGCCTGCCGGGAAACCTCCTAAGCCGCTGGGATTCTGTGCTAAGCGCAGGAGGCAGGAGGCAGACGTGAGCGGAACAACGAAGGCCCATACACTGCTTGTGTACTTAACGCACCCCAGCCCTAATGCGATGCCCTCCTGAGACACTTAGCTGAGGTACCTACACTTGGTGGGCCTGTGTTGATGCATAGGTACCTAGGTAATCCTGCACAGGTACTAACCTAAGGTTCCTGATATAACCGAACCCGCAGGCACTTCTAGGTAGCTTATAGCGATATAGCGATTTCATAGCGAGTACCTGTAGGTACCTTAGGAGGCAGGGGATCAGTAGGTACCTAGGTTATATAGGTAACGAAGGATAGGTTCGATTCCTAACAGCGCTACTTGGTAGTCTTCGCTATCTAGCTCATCTGCAGGTACCTCCAAGGTTAGGTTCTTGAGAGGTAGGTAGGTAGGTAGGTACCTACCTCCTAATGTATGTACGAACCTCATACTTCCAGGTAGGGACTTATAGGTAGGTAGGTAGGCATTATCGGTGGCCCCACACATGGCAACCCCCCCCCCCCCCACCCCCACCTTCTTCTGCCTTCCTTAGTACCTAGTGTTAGGTAAGGGTGGAAGGTACCTACTTCCTTACTGACAGGGCCCATCCTAGCTTTCGTAATTGTGGAAGCTTCGATACGATTTCGTGCGTACCTGTCCATCTGCCTGTCCATCTGCCTCCATATTCGCCTTGCTAGAAAGGGCGGCGTATGTTGCATGCCTTGGCCTTCACTCGACCCGGTAGCCGCAAGTGAGCCATCCTCTCTTTTCCTCTCCCCTCTATCTCGTCCCTCGTTGGGAGCATCCATGCTCGCCTAACCCCTCCCAACAAAACGCCGAAAACGTCTGCGGCCGAGAAATACCAACGCGAGCGAGAGTGGCAGAGCTCTGGGTGCTGTAAAAGCTGAGATAAAGGCCGGTCACCTACACCCGCCTTCTCTCGCCATGTCCGATTTCAAGCTCTCTGCTCAGCTGGCCGCTCACAGCGCTGATGTGGGTGCCCTTATTCCCCGCTATCTTTCTACTCTGACCACGCCACTCCGCTTCCCAGGTTCGACACGTTTGTTTCCCCAGTCCGGAGCTCGTCTTCTCTGCCGCCAGAGACTGTACCGTCCGCGCCTGGAAGCGAACAGCTGCCGCTCCCCCGAATTTCGAGCCTTCCGTCGTCACCCAGGGATCCGAGTTCTACAATAGCCTGGCATACCTGCCACCTTCTCCCGACTACCCGGATGGCCTGGTCGTCTCCGCCGGCACAGACACCATTATCGATGTCAGAAGAGCCAACTCTACGCCCTCTGACAATGCCGAGCGCTTACTCATTGGTCATGCCCGAAACGTGTGCGCCCTGGCCGCCCTCCCCGGCGGCAAGCATATCGTGTCCTCCAGTTGGGATAAGACAGCCCGGATATGGAGCGTTGATAAGTGGGAGACGGAAGCGGTCCTAACCGGGAATGAGGAGGCAGTGTGGGATGTTCTGCCTTTGGACGAGCAAACCATTGTGACCGCCTCCGCTGATAAGAACATCCGCATCTACGACCGCCGAAAGGTAGTGGCCGGCCAGCTTGAGCCCAGGTCGACTATATACACCCCAGACGTCGTTCGCGCTCTATGCGAAGTTCCGAAAGGCCACGCCAGCGGCGCCGACTTTGCTAGCGCGAGTAACGACGGAATCATTCGCCTGTGGAAGCTAAGTGGCCAGCAAGTCGGCGAGCTTCGCGGCCACGAGAGCTTCATCTATTCCCTCGCGACCCTACCATCCGGAGAGCTGGTTAGTTCCGGCGAGGATCGGACAGTTCGCGTGTGGGAAGGAACGGAATGCATTCAAACTATTACGCATCCGGCCATTTCGGTCTGGACCGTCTCCGTATGTCCCGGGAGCGGGGATATCGCGACGGGCGCTAGCGACGGGGTCGTTCGCATATTCTCTCGTAGCCCCGAACGTCTGGCAAGCCCCGACACGCTGGCACATTTCGACGAGTCAGTCAGGTCTTCTTCGATACCGCAGCAACAAGTTGGCGGGATCAACAAGGAGAAGCTCCCAGGGCCGGATTTCTTGAAGAACAAGTCGGGCACCAAGGAGGGGCAGGTGCAGATGATAAAAGAAGAGAATGGTTCCGTTACAGCGCATCAGTGGTCGATGGGCCAGCAACAGTGGATCAACGTTGGAACAGTAGTTGATTCAGTCGGCAGTAGCGGCCGCAAGACGGAGTACAATGGACAGTCTTACGACTACGTCTTTGATGTCGCCATCGAAGAGGGCCAGCCTTCTCTAAAACTTCCCTACAACTTATCTGAGAATCCCTACACCCGAGCTCAAAAGTTCATCGACGACAACGAGCTTTCGCAGAACTTTTTAGACCAGGTCGCGCAGTTCATCGTCAGCAACACGCAAGGAGCTACGATCGGCCAGAGTTCAGGAGATTCAGGGGGGGCAGACCCTTACGGTACGGAGTCTCGGTATCGACCAGGCGACGACACCAGTGATTCAAAAAGCAGAGTTATACCGCATCGCGAATATCTTGATATCACTGCTGCTAAATATGAGCGTGGGTTGCCCTCACTTCCTACCCCTACTCCCTGCTGCGTCCTAGTTGCCTATTTCTGACTCCTCCATCAGCAATATTCAAGAAGATCTTGAGCGTAAACTCGTCACTAGTAGCCTCTGGGCGCAAGGACTATTCTCTCAACCCACCTGCCCAGGAAGTTCTGTTAACAGTACGGCAGAGATTAGAGGCGAATCAGCCGATAGGTGATGAAAACTCCATCGCGCTGGTGGTTAGGTTGTGCACGCAGTGGGACTATCCGGACCGACTAGCGCCTCTCGATCTTTTGCGTTGCATCGCGACGTCTCCTGCCGCTGCCAGGTTCAATTCAGCGGACCTTAGTATCGTTCAGATGGTCGTTGATGCTGCTCTCGAAGGCATGCCAGCCGGCAGCCAGCCGAACGAGAATTGTGCTATGATGGCAGCTCGCACGCTTACCAACTTATTCAAGTCGACGGAGGGCCGAAAGCTGCTTGCGCAACCATCGGAAGCATTCAAAGCCGTGTCCTTCATTGACCGAGTGTTAGGCATTGGTGGACAGGCTCCGATTGGCCCCTTTAACCGCAACCTGCTGATCGCTTTAACGACAACCATAGTAAATTTTGCCGCTTTAGCGTCCAGGGAGCCGGGGAGCGTGAGAACCAGCGTGCAGGTCCGCCTATTTACGGCCCTCACCCGGATTCTTCAGAAGCAAACCGACGGAGAGGTTCTGTTTCGGGCACTGGTGGCCGCGGGGACTCTTATCACCGTGATCGGCAAGACCGCCCCCGAAGCGAAGAGCCTGGTCGCATGCATAGGATCAACCAAGGATCGTGTTTCCGAGCCAAGGGTAAAGGAGGTTGCGGAGGAATGTTTAACGCTACTGAGATGATTTCGAACGAACCGTGAGTAATCGGCGGCAACGATATGTAATCGGAACTACGTACCTCGCTAATGCGCGATGTGAAAGTCTTAGTTGGAGGTAGTTCGTCATGGTAACGGCCTCTTCTCCCACATGAACCACGTCTCTCATATAACTCGGTTTCTTGGGACTCTTCATCGAGGTTACCCCGCCAGATAGTATTAAGCGCCTATGCAGTAGCTGCAGCATTCATCACGCCGGCGTTTTCAGGGTAAAACGAATCCAATCATCCCCGTCATCACGGGTTTCCCATTCTGAAGCTGTAACATCGGCGCCTCTTCTCGACGCGTAATGAGTCGAGACCAACTGCTACTGTAGCTCAATACCGGCTCGTGTCGTAAGTCATAGGAAGGCACATTCAGCAGAAATGTCGCCAAAGGAGGGAGCGAAGCCCTCTCCCAAGCGCTCAATATCTGACAATTCCTCCGGGCGAGCTGGGTTTCTACGATGTAGGCCTCCCACAAGGCTGCCGTCCTAAAACGGTAGGTAGACAGCCAAAAGAAAGCTGAGGTATCATTTCTCCACGAATCTCCACGAAATTATAAACCCCTCAACACCTAGAAAATACCTCCCGCCCATCCGCCCTGTACGCCGATTTGATATGCTCAACAGTGTATACAAGACGCAAGGACGACTGGGAATACAGTGACGAGACTACGCGCATCTCGCTCCAATACCATCGCCTTGCCATCATAAACCCATCATCTCGTTGTAAATCATAACAGGAACCACAGAGAACCGGCAACCACCGGCAGGTATCCTAGCCAGCTCCATGTGGTGGAACTGCGGTGCCAGAGACGAGCGGCGCCGCTGGTCGTCATATTGGCTGCCGCGCCCAGCTCCTTCCTCGTGATGGTGTAGATGTCGGCGAACCCGAGGTCGGTGGTGTTGAAGCAGTTGGACTCGTCGACTTTGGTGATCCTCTCATCGCCGGGTTCGGCAAACGTAATGTCGGCGCACTGTGGTCAATCGGTCAGCCATGTCTTCACGGTCGTCAGGAGGATGCTGCAACCCACCGAAAATAGAGAGGCGCCGTGTTGGGCCAGCTCGACGACTTGTATCGTCGCGTTATCGCCGGCGTTGAAGGTCATGTTCGCCGGCAACGGGACTTGCGGCAAGCACACCGTCCCCGGGTACGGGCCTTTCGAAGGACCGAGGAGTTGGAACGGCGAGACCATCGGGAAGGAGAGGTTAAACGGCCCTCCGTCCGGGCCGTCGGTCCCGAAACCGAGGTTGATGTAGAGAAATGCGGTCTGATGTCCTTGAAACCAACCAGGCTGAAATGCGACGGCTCCGCCCGTGGTCGGCCAGTACGACCTATTCGTTGTCACCCCGAGTCCACCACCTAGCATGGCATATCAGCGCGACTGCCCCTTTCTTTGCAACGCCGGCAGCGAATCTGCGAACGTCTCGCGTTTTCACTCACATGGGTATGTCCATTGCATTCCGTAAGGGAAGGTATCGTTCTGGATCAGGTTGTTCCCTCGCCATCCGGGATAAGAGATGACGATATGCGCCGCTGCCAGGGTGGAGGCAGCGACGGCTAATAGTATTGAGAACAGCATTTTCGGTGTATTATATATCTGGTGCTGCTGGCAGCTCGGTCCTGGACGGTATTCCGGATTCGTGGCTCTCGTCGCGCAGCGATCGTAGAGCCTCGGGCGGGACGCTCTTCTTCGGCCACTGACGACTCTCAAGAGTCCACAGCCACTACGCGGAAGGTATCGGGGCGACGGTGCAAGCCGGATAGGTGTGTAGATGGGTGTCCGAAGTGCACAAAATGCGCAGGTGCGCGCGGGAGATGGCTCGGTTTTAGGCTCCCAGACAAGATTTTCGTTCTGAGCGTGCTATTGACAGCCGGTCTCGTGCTGTTCCTCTGCGTTCAAGGTAAGCTACGGATGGCTCTGACGGCAGCGATAGCGGCTGAGGGCAATGAAGAAGAGAGGATCTTGGGAGAGAAGGATGCAGGGCAGAATGTGTCCATTATTACTGACAAGTGAGGACAATAGCCGCAGGGCCCGGCTCGTTCTACTCGAATCACCTGCATGACATGGCCAGTACCATCACCAACTCCCCCGCTCCCGAAGCCTGAAAGGTCCAGGATGATGAGAGGCAGCCGTATATTTGGGGCCAGGCGGTCCAGTAAGAAGGCCTGGACGATGTGCACGACGTGCAGCCGAAGAACATGGACCTCGTCGATCGATCGGCCACGGCCAATAGGAGGCCACCGTACGATCGAGCGTGTCGCTGGGTTAATGTAGGAACGAGAGTGATTTGTCGGAGGGCAGCCAATGACACTGACGGGCGGTCAGAGGACCCCGGCGTCGCTGACCAAGGGGCACTCGTTGGGGTGGTGTCTGAGAGGCTGTGGTTGGTGACAAGCCTGCCACCGGCACTGCGTGGGACAGGGGTTGGGCGGCGGCGAGCAGCCAACAGCCAGTTACGGCAGCCAACATAAGCGCCGACAAGAAAACGAGCCCACTTGGGAAGGCCGGGAACCAAGAGGCTCCCGACTTTCGTATCCGGGCCCCAACCTGGCAGAAACCTCTCGGGGGCTGGTTGTGGGGGCTATTCCGTCCTGCTGTCCATCCTCCCACTCGACTCTCGGTGGTGAGCCGTCGCATGCGTTGGATGCGTCGACGAGGGCACACGCGGATGGCACGACTCGGATGCCCGTCGAGGCAACGCGCGTCTAAGAAGGGACAAGTGCTCGAGATGGTCGTGCCATGTCGAAGGCAATGCTCGACGTGGATGGCCCAGAATAGGACAGCCTCGCAAGCCTCTTTATTCTTTTTTTTTTTGCCTCGGAAATAGCTGGCTGGTAATCTCGAGCTGGGTCGCAATGGGATGGGTCGGCGGAAAAGACACCCCCGCGCCGCTCACTTGGCACCTCGGACATTTCCCTCGAGGCATTTTCCCGTAAATTCCAAATCGTCTTCCAATTGCCCGACCGGTACCCTCTCGACAGTGCGCAACAAAGTACGTACAGGCAGTAACATGATATATATAGGTATATATATGTAAGGAAAGGAAATTTGTATAGATTAGACGAGCCAATTCCCTCGTTTGGTGAGGTCAGGCCCGGGATAAAATACACGCTGGCGAGGGGGTATCGTGGTTGGTGGAACACGGAGAGGAACCAAGGGCAATTGAGGTCTTGTTACTACGCGTTGCTCCCTGACGTTGGAAAACCCACCCGAATCACACCCCTTTCTCCATAGGCCAAGCAGGAAACAATGGTGTACGTGGACGGGCGTCGACGACTCCATCCTCAGGACCGCCGTAGCGGCGACGGACAGATGGAGGGGGGAGTTGGCCTGTACAGTAAGCCGGCGACCACGGGGCGCCGTCTGACGAAGGCACCCATCCCGGGCGGCAGCAACATATTAAAGAGTTGACGTATGGGTGTCGGTGGGACGGATTTTCTCGTTCTATCTAGGTGATGATACCATAAAATGCCCGAGGCTTCAACCCGACTTTGAATGCATATTGGATGCATTATGTAGGTACCTAAGGTACCTACAGACACAGGCTTACAAACGTATAGGAGGTACCTACATGTACACGTACCTAGGTATATACCTACCATATGGGAGATAACTGCGATAGCGGGGCTCGTCTTGCTCTGACCTCTCACATAATCACGTGGGCGGTAGGCATAGGTAGAGTAAATCAACATCTACTATCGAAAAAAAAAAACATGTGCCTACCCAGGTTTGGGTTGCTGGTATGAGATTTGTATTCGCTCAGGCTGCAAAGGTCAAATAGATCCTCATCTTCTCCTTGTAGTCTTTTTTTTGTTTTGTCGAGTCATACTTACCTCTCGGACCCAGTCTCCAGCCAGCCAGCTGTAACCCTTTGAGGTGGGCGTGTAGCCATATGATCGATCTGCTTGATTTGCTGCCGGGATCACATGAAAACCAGAACACCTCCTGCTCTCCTGCCCTCTGGTGTTGGCTATGGCGTCCCCGGCGCCCATGGATATATGCGAACCAGTGGCCGAGTCCGCGGAAGAATGGACCACCGTTCACCACCGAGGTCGCCGCACCAAGACGCACCGACCCATCCCACTGCGCTCCCGTGAGGCTGCCCTCACATCTCAGCCGCTGCCCTCCTCTTTATCTGTGGCCGATATCGAGAGGGAGCACCGGCGCATTGCCGACCAATGGAAGACGTCCGCGTGCCGTCGTCAGCTAGAAGAGATCATTCTCTCCCGCATATGCAATTCTGAGATTTCCGAAGCCATTTGTCTTGGTCTGGGGTCCTTCGATCCCGACAACGGGTCCTGGGAGGCTAAGAGAACGGCGCACGTACAGCTCGCCGCCTTCCTATATATTGCCGACATGCTACGCCCCCCAGGCTCTTCGGCCATCCCCTGTATCTTCCAGGAGCCATTCTTCAACTCCGCAGATAAGGCTTTTATCCGGAGCCTGGGCCATGAAGTTGTCGATTCTCCCGAGGGCTTCGAGCGAGTTGGCGCTTCCACCTTCGTCTTCGGTGTCCACCTCTACCGAGACATCTACTTGCAAGCTATTGCGAGCCACATCCCTAGGATCTTCGTTGGCACCCCTTTTCATATTTGGCAAGTGTAAGTATGAGATCCCTCCATAACGCACACTTGGATGCTACCTTGAGCGCCGCCACTAACCTCACGTAGGTGTGAGGACGGTGCTCCAGGCGCAAAGTGGTCCCGGATGGAGGGATTAGATCGATTATGTGACAAGGTGCAATTTCCTCAGGACTCGGACCATACCACATTCTCGAGCACGGCAATTCATTGGATACGGCAGGCTGAGACATGAAGCCGGCTGGTAGACCCTGATATCTTCTAGTCTGTGTTATGAGGCGCCCGTTACGCAACCGTCCTACCCCCCCTTTCGCCGAGAGCAGCTTACCCTTGCTGCGCACTAATAGTTCGCCTCTTCTGCCGCACCGACGATTACCCTATCAGTGATGTCGCCTTCATCGAGGACGAGCCAGCACAGCAAGATGTGCGCATGGAGACAGGCAGAGTGAAACCCGCGTGGAGCGAGTAAGGGCTACACCGGCACGCAGGTTTCTTGCTGGCGGTCCTCAAATCGATCCTGCGAAACCAATTCGCGCCTCCAGGCCTACCCGCTTTCTCATTCATCACCCCTAGTAGCAAGCGTTCAAGCGCGCAACTACTGGATGCTACATCCAAAGGACCATGCCTACGATCGTTCGTGAAACCGCTTATCAGCATACCGATTGTGGTATGAGGGGGTGGGCAACACAACAAGCGCAGACTGGTCTACGTGTGCATCCGGCAAATATTACACCAGGTCGGGGGACGGGACAACGGAATCCAAATTAGCTTCTTGTCTCCGAGATCCATGCCTGGTGTTCTCTCGCCAGGTCGATCGGGTTGTTCATCTCGAACGAATAATCGAAGGGCATGTCGTCTGTCAACGACCCAAGTTCTTGGTCGCCTGCGCCATGCGAACTCTTCCCCCCGACATGCTGGATTAGTACAGGGGTAACGGCCCACCTGAGGCTATTGTGACGGTTGGCCCAATCCTCAAGGAACGTGTCGACGGCTGCGTGGTTATCCTGGGTGTCGCGGTACAAGGGAAGCAGTTGATCCGAAACCTGGTGCTGGGGGAATACCAGTCCCTGCGCGCAGCAGCCGTATTTGTCCATCAGGTGCACACCGGGCGCCTTTGGCAACATACAGCCACGCCCAGCCGCGAAAAACAGGCCGATAAGCATGGGAGTGCACACTCCGCAGATGAAGAACAGGGCCGAATGTGTGAGAGCCTTGCGCATTGGGACGACGCGCCATCGGAGGGTACCCAGAATGGCCATCTCGAGAATGAGGATCGCTAAGCATGATTCGACATATACGGGCCATTCTTCGCCATTCCAGCCGAGGAGTCGTCCGTCGTAGAAGACGCGCAGGTAAAGAACTAGGACGCAGAGAAGGTTAGCGACAACAATAGGGCTCGATCGCAGTCTCCGCGCAGTCCGCATTATTCATCGGTAGATTTGAGAGCCATACAACTTTCTCGCCCAAGCTCTCTTGTCTTCTCGGTGGCCGTATGCAAGGCGCCGAGAACTCGGTGGTACCACCCGTCTAACGCGATCACGTCGTCCTCCAACGTTATCGTATACTTTGGGTTCACTTTGGAGCATTCCTCGAGCAGGACAGTGTAGTCTATCTTTTGCTTTCGCGCGTGGGCTTCGTACGTCCCGCTGGCTTCGAGCTGCCGCACCAGATCCGTTGTGTTCGTATCATTCGGGTAGGTCGGGAGGCTGTCGGCGATGTGGAGAAGCCATGGCTGGTGGTAGTCTTCGTGCTCGGATTGGTTGGTGTGGGCGAGGAAGACGACGATGTAGATATGTTGGCGCTCGATGTCGTCGAGACCTTCAACGAGGGAGCCGAGGGTCTCCTTAAGATAGGAGAAGCCGTGTCGGCTTACTGACGCGACACCCACACAAAGGTCGGGTGCCGTTGTGTTGGGCCACCTTGTCGGGGCGTGCAACGCTGCTAGATCCCCAAATTTCTGGGCTTGCGCCTTGCGAAAAGCAGAATACGTCAAGACACGGGCAGATTCGGGTCTAAAGAAGACGGAAGATGGGTCTCGAAAGCACTTGGATCGCAAGTAAACCACTGCGAGGGCGTACCACAGGAGAAAGCCCAAGAAGAATAGGGTACCGCGGTCCCGGGAATGAGAGAGCATCTGCAACGCCTTTCTTTTATCATCCAGACGCGTCGAGTAGCCGTCAGGTCAACCTAGGAGAGCCCTTCGATACTGCAGGATAGGCATAAATACCAGTATGATAGGTTGAGTTGAATGTGATTGAGATCTGAGCAAACGGACATGGGTAGCCATTACCATCTATCGAGGAGTAGAGTTCACATCATATTCGAGATAGCGGAAGAGAGATGAGGGAGTAGACACTACTGGTTGGGCGGTAACCAGACGACATAACTATACATAATCACTGGAGCGTTCCATAACCGAGCCATACTTCAAAATGGAACTAGGGTAAAAGGGAACAGATTCAGGTTTGATAATGATGGTGCGGTCCCAAGCCTTGGCTGCGGTCTAGCTGGTGGGTGGCATGGGTGCTGATTCCTTAACCCTGCAAAGACTGGGGTTGATGCTCATATTGTGCCTTTCCACCAGCCAGGCCTGTGCTCCCCATTTGCTAGGTGAAGAAAATGGAGTGAAGCCCTGCAGACTGGGCCATTTACCGTTGCAACGAATACTTCCTCTTCTAGAACAGGGGCGGCTACCTACATTACTCGCCAGAGCGCCTGTAAGATAATAAATCTTACAACGATTCTCCCCATATTCTTTCCTGCCTGCCTGTGAAAGTGTAAGCAGAGGTACTATCAGTCATGAAATACTAAACATATCCCTACCTAATATTCTGCAACAGCTCATCAGTGGTATCGGGAAGTTAAAGGGGTGTATATATCTCTAACTCAACCGATGCCTCTTGCTGAGCATACTGTTATGCTTAGCCCTACAAATTCAAGTATGCAATGTACTTCGTAGACCATTAATCTCCTAGCTTCCATTTTGAAGTTACCAAATCGGCAGTTTGTAATCCATATAGACGGCTCAGGAGTTCGAAACTATTCTAATAATAGGCTATGTGTGTGGTGCGTGTCTCCTAAGCTTTACCTAGGTGTCACTTAGAGAGCCCCGTGGTACCTAAGTCATCGAAACTCAATATGTGAAAGCCACTTACACAGAGAAAAGGATGAGAACATGAGGGGACACACACACACACATAGGCTCTGAAGATTAATTAGGCTAGGACTGGTAGGCGAGCTGATGTTATCGTTTGCGGGGCAGAACTTTCATACAAAGAGATGACAATCAGATCTTGAAAGCGAAAGGGCAACTTTTAACTCGGTCTTTACTCTACTGGGACGATGAGAGGTCGGATTCGGCGGAGAACAAAGGAATACTTTAAACAACCTCCTGGTCCTTGTTTCAACTTTGCATGCCTTTGTTGGCAGATGTTAGTAATATCTAATCACCTCAACTCGGCACGGTAACAAAAAATCCTCAAGTTCAAGGTCTAAGGGATTATTGTAGAGCAAACCGTACTCACAATCCCCATTCCCAACACAGCTTCAAAATTATTCGGTCGCCCACTGAAACCGGGCTAATCATCAAGCGCGTTCCGTTCAACGGTATCAGCAGGCCAAGGCGACGTTGCCGACGCCCTCCTCCCTATCGAATCAGCCATTGGATACCACGCGAGCCCAAAGGCCAGAAATAGAGCATGCTCCGATATTCGCCCGCGCAAGTCCTCTGCTCGGGGGGGAATGCAGGGCCGGGAGAATGTCACATAGCTCATGTGCAAATACCGCACCCGAAGAATGTAGCGAAACCTCCCGACGGGCAATGGCCGGATATGAGGGGCCTCCACGAGCTTCAGTTTAGTCGCGACGTATGGCTGAACGGTGATGCTATCGAGAAGGCGATCTCAATATACTACCAAAGCCTCCCAACCGTAGTACAAGACATGGTTCAGATCCAGGATACGAGCCTCACCGGATTGTTTATCCCTGGCAAAGCCGGCGAGGAGAGATTCCAGGGGAGAATCATCAGACCTATGCGTGGCTTCTTCCGAGCTATCAGAGAGAAGGAATACACTCTCTGGCCAATCAACTATAACGATAGCCACTGGGTGCTAGTCTTAATACGAAAGAGAAGGCCGGCGGAGAATTCCGATCAATTCACACACATTTCGCGACTGGCTATCATCGATTCCTGGAAGGACGGAGACGCGGAGGGGCGCAAGAGGTTCATTCATCAGAGGCTGCTGAACCTGTTCCACCAGGCTGGAAATTTCACGTTTTCGGATTCGTACGATCGTACCATATGGACGCCGTGGCAAAAAGACGCGTGTAGCTGCGGCCCCCGTGTGTACTGGGCAGCGAGACAGATCCTCAACCGCCTCCTTAGAGCGGCGGAGTTGAACCTCCGCACTGCCGACGACCTCTGGGACCCCCTGAGCGGGTTCTTCAACGAAGAGCAAGTGCGGTGGGAGATGACCGGTCTCAACGCGTTCGCCGCGGTTCAGCAGATGGGCTACAGAGCGCGGATCGCGGTCGAGCTGGTCAACGAGGTCAAGTCCTCGGGCCGGGACGGTTTGGATACTTACGACGCGGCAGAGATGATGCGACCGCCGCCCCGCCTCCCGGAGATCGAAGACGGCCCCAACCGGAAGCGGAAGCGGCCGACGGAAGATACGGGGAAGGCTGATGATGAGGATGATGAGCTCCTAACCCAGGACCGCCGCCATGCTGGGGTAGCCGGCAGGAACAGACGTCGAGTCGCGCCCTCGTACTCGCCGAGGGAAAATTACCGGGCCTACGTGGGGGATGACGACGGGATCGATCCTATCTTCCAAGGCGGCTTCCAGCCTTTCGCGACGGCTAAGCCGACTCCGAGGACAGGACAAGTGCAAAATCCAGGAAATCCCCTGAGGGCTACGCAGGGGAATTTTAGGATCCCCCCCCGAATCACCAAGGGGACGAGCAAATTTGTTCCTGCCGGAGAACGCAAGCTGTTTGCCGATGTTCTTTAGCTCGCTCGCGATCGCGAGAAAGGGGCGGGGAGTTATATATATCCGGTCGAGGCGTATAGACAATGGAAGGCTACCTAGATATAGGTACGTTAGTGCATATCGATTTAGCAGGTGCGGGCGGTTGATGCGTCTAACAGCACGTATTTATATATGTAAGCTCCTCTACATACTTTTAATTACATGTACATCTACCTATGGATCCTAGGGCGCCTTAAAAGAAGCCTTATGATTAGTTGATTTATAATAAATTATTTCAAGTTATATATTTAATTATTAATAAAATAAAGACTTTGTAATATTCCTTTTAATAAAATTTAAAATACTTATAAGAAGCTTTATAATTAGTTAGCTTATAATTATATTTAAAGTTATTTTATTACTATCTTAATACTTCCCTTTTATTTTTTATAATTGATTAATTTAAGTTTAGTTTTTAATATTTTATATGTTCTAAGTATAAGGCAATGAAATAACGGAAGCGAACTTATTTTAACGTATATACCGAAGATATATATATACCTACCTACTCGGAGTACCTATTCTTAATCTATTGCGTCCGCATGGTGGAGGTGCCAATTCCAACCAACGTACATCCGGGCTTGTTCTGTGCATTTCTGTATTTCCCCATGTTGAGCTCTTCTCCCCTCCCCGACATCTCCTCCCTCCTCCTAACTGCCGATGCCTTCAGGTTTGGCGCCTTCACCGACTAGGCTGTCGTTCCTGTAAATTCGCGGTCCGCCACCCGCGGATCATACCTCTCCCCTCTCCTACCGCCGAAGCCAGTTGACATTCCATTTCGCGACGCGTCGCCAACTTCCAGTCTCCTCCTCGGGAAGGGGACTCACCTACTCTTTTCGGCGCAGAACATCGTATTCGCTCCTGGCTGATAGCACCCTTCTGCCGCGCCCGCGATGGATGACTTTGACCGAGAGTCTAACGCTAGCTCTGATAACGAGCACGAAGACGATCTTACCATCCATGACGCGGACGCCGATGCTGATGTGGACGGCGACGTAGATGGCGAGGATGAGAACGAGAACGCAGATCACGATGAAGACGATAACGAGAACGAGAACGACGAAGAGGAGGACGATGACCCCGACCAGCACGACGACGACGACGACACCCAAGACCATACTCAACCCAATGGGCTGGCCAACCCAGCCGTAACCCGGACTTCGGCTACCCCAGGCCCGCTCGCGACGCCTAAGTGGCGGCCCAGAATCCACCCCGATGCCCTCGAAGCCGCAACCTACGACATCGTTCCCACTATGGCTGCGCCTATGGCCACGAGCATCAATGCCATGGCTATTACCCCTGACCTTCGCTACTGGATGACTGGCGGTAGTGACGGCTACATCAGGAAATACGACGGGCCGGCCACCATCAATGGCAAGACGCTATTGACTGTGGCGCAACGGCACCCTTTCGTCGACTCCGTTACGAAAGCCGGCGTTCTCATGTCGTATTGGGAGAATGCCGAGCCCCAGCCTGCCCCGGTACGGCAGGAGGATCTAGTCCTGAGCCCGGTTTATAGCTTGGCCGTCCACTCTCAGGCTCTTTGGCTTCTATCTGGCCTCGAGAGCGGCGGAATTAATCTCCAGAGCGTGCGCCACGACGAGGGAAAGAGGATTACTTGCCTCAAGCAGCACTCGAATGCCGTTAGCGTCCTGACCCTTTCTCCCGACGAGAAGTCGGTCCTCAGCGGAAGCTGGGACAAAAACATCTTTGACTGGGATTTGAATACCGGCCAGGTAACCCGCCAGTTCGACGGGAGCGGTGGTCAGATTTCTGCTATAGAGATCCGCCCGATGGGGGGGGCGCCCATTCCTCCCGAAGCCAGCGAAGAAGACATACCGAGCGATACCTTTTTTGGGAACAATGCTCATCCAGACATGGATGGCGACTTTAAGGCAGATCCGGACGGTGGATTCGGCATGGACCTCAGTAACGGTGCGAATGGTTTGGGGGCCAATGGTGTATCCAGCCAATTGACCAACGGAAGAGACGGTATGGCTGGTGGCCAAGGGAGTCCCGGGCATGACAGTTTATTTGGCGGGAGCCCGAGTACCTCTCTTTTCGGAGATAACGATGGGATGGGCGCTTTTGCGGGCGACGACGACAATGAGTTCTCTCGGGCGATGATGCAAGATCCACCACAAGGCGCGGATGTCACTATGGGCGACTACGACATGCCCGGTCCGACTTATGAACCTGGGTCGGGTCAAGCACCGTCTGTCCAGCCTCCATCGGACCCTCCCCAACAAGATTCTACCCTTTTCGGCGACAACGCGCTGAATTCCTTCGGTAGCGATACCAATCTCGACCCCTCATCTTTCCCGCCTCTGCCGGACTTCCCAGTATCGACGGCGGGCGATAACGCATTCCAGTCCCAGCCAGGAGGCATATCACAACCCATCGACTCCGGATTTCCTGAGGCGATACCACAATCACCATCCATGATCTTCGCCTCTTCCGCACCCTCACACCAGAACATAACACAGACTTCCGATAGCACTTTCCTCTCCGCGTCGATCGACGGGACCCTAAGGGTTTGGGACCGACGAGTGCCCAATCCTGTAGCGCGTATTGGCAATAGACCCGGCGTCCCTCCGTGGTGCATGGGCGCGTGCTGGAGCCCGGACGGCAACTGGATCTACGCTGGGCGAAGAAACGGCACCGTCGAGGAATTCAGTGTGCAAAAGGCTAGGGGAGGGCGCGTGGGTTGGCAGCCGGAGCGGGTTTTGAAGTTTCCCGGGGGCAGCGGTCCGGTCAGCTGCGTTCGGCCTATGGTCAACGGGCGGCATCTGATTTGCGCTTCCCACGATATTCTCCGGCTGTACGATCTTCGCTCGGAGCACTCCTCCAAGCACTCTCCACCGCCATTTCTCATAGTACCCGGCCCACCGCGTGCCGGCGTCATCTCTAGCCTGTACGTTGACCCATCTAGCCGCTTCATGTTGTCCGCGGCCGGAAACCGAGGCTGGGAGGGAACAACCACAGAAGTTCTCATTGGATACGAAATCAATGTACCTCCCCAGTAGTCTACCAGGCGCGTGTGCAAGCTTCAGATATGGGAACCTAGGAGCCAAACCTGCATTATCTGTCAGTGGATAATCTTGGGTGTTGGCAAGGTCCTACTTACTCACGAACGTAGCGGCTATATGTTGGCGGTGCTGTTTTTGTTTTCTTTCCTTTTCACGATTGGTTGAATCCCGGAGGCGCATTTTGAAGGAATTGATACCCAGCGATAACTTGGAAAAGACACAATAGAGGCTACTATTGTGAGGAACGAACTTTAGAGTCCGTGTACTAAAGACCATCCTTGGATAAGAGTACCTGGACATATTATACACAGATTCATAGAACCACACGACATCTACTCACGTATGGCAGGGCATGTCTTTAGCATAAACCGGCGCAAATATAAAGAGGTCTACTTCTGTTGCCCCCATTCAGATATGGCATGACCTACTGATCTACCGACGCAAGGCTATTATTCTCTCGGAGAGCGCAGGCCAGCTCATGAGTATCTACGAGCAGGTATGTGGCAGTGTCAGAAGTCGGAGACATAGGCACTTTCGCGAAACAGGCTGCCGGATTCCGCCAGATATACACAACCTCGGACTGTATTGCCGGGACCGAAATCTATAAAAGCGGTTGGGTTATGGGTTTTGCTTCCAGATCTCATGTCTCTTTGATGGTGAAGCTAGGAGTCCCGCGACGCCCAGACCAATATGGGTACCCATGCCTCTCCAACGCGAGTGCCCGCCCGATCGGATCTGCGGGGAGTTGGCTGTAGATATACCCTCATAGGTAACAAGCATTGAGCATCATGATGAAGCACTAATTAAGGCTATCTACCATTCCCGCAGAGGAGGGCCCTTCCAGCCGTCAACAAGTTCGGAATATTTGCTCGGCAACGAACGCAGAGAACGGAAATCGACATGCTATACTTCGAGATATCTTTGTCCGCAGGATTGTCCGCAGGTAATCTCATATTGCCTAGCTTATCAAAGGGACCCCCCCCCCCCGGCTCTTTGCATGACGGCCAGACGACTGCCGAAGTAGTCAGGCGGTATTAAACCGTGGCACGGTAGGGTTCTCCGCAAGGGATGAAGATCAACGAGTCTGGTATCTCATGGTGTGGCTAAGGAACCGTTGCCTCTTCTTTAGGAAGGTCGCAAAACGCCACGCTCCACAGGTCTGGCAGACATGGTTTTTAAATTCCCCGCGCTTCCTACTGCGTCTCGATGAACGCTCGTTGCAGGAGCGAAAACACAATACCGTAACTCGTCAACGCGCGTCGAAATGGCGCTCCAGCGGCTCCTCTGGGCCGCCCCGAGTCGAATATTCCTCATCACCCTCATCTTTCCGCTGGCGACATCATGCTTCGACGTGATCCAATTTATAGATCCGCTCATCGGCAGCACCAATGGGGGGAATGTATTTGCGGGTGCTACCAGTGAGCGCTTCCATTCCTCGGCCACCACTGGCTACTAATTACACACCCCGCGCACTCTAGGGCCATATGCCTTAGCAAAGCCCGTGGCGGATGTAGATGGCCAAAATACTGGAGGCTTTTCGACAGACGGGTCGCGCGTCACCGGCTTCTCGGCAACCCACGATAGCGGCACGGGTGGAAACCCGAGCCTAGGGAACTTCCCCCTATTCCCGCAGCTCTGCCCTGAGGACGAAGTCAATAACTGCCGATTTCTCATCGGCTCGAGGGCTACGCATTATGTGCAGGAGTCCGTGGTCGCCAGTCCTGGCTATTTTGAGGTCGAGTTAGTCTCCGGAGTGAAGGCCAGGATGACCTCGAGTGAGCATGGGGCACTGTACAAGTTCGAATTCCCTAATACGGAGGACCAGCACCCGCTAGTACTCCTCGACTTGACGGACCTCTGGAAAAGCCGACAGAATGCTACCATCAGCGTGGACCCGAATACCGGAAGACTCAAGGGAAACGGAACGTTCCTTCCCAGCTTTGGTACCGGGTCATACGTGATGCACTTCTGCGTCGATTTCTTCGGCGGCGAAGTCTGGGACAATGGCGTGTGGGTTAACAACCGGGGGGGTACAGAGCCCAAGGAACTGTTTGTCACCCGCGGCTTTAACCTCTTTTACCTGGAAGCCGGTGGTTGGGTTAGATTCAGCGGGCTGGCGAACAACACTTTAACGGCTAGGGTGGGCATCAGCTTCATCAGCGCGGACCAGGCCTGCCGGCGGTCGGCTGAAGAAATTCCCGAACCCCTCGAAGACTTTGATAGACTCGTGAGCGAGACAGAGGACGAGTGGCGAGAGAAGCTGAGCCCGATATCGATAAACCCCGGAGGCGTCAGCGAAGATCTCCAGACCAATTTCTGGAGTGGTCTCTACCGAACCATGATATCGCCCCAGAATTACACTAATGAGAATCCTTATTGGGACAGTAGCATCCCCTACTTCGACTCCTTCTATTGTATTTGGGATTCCTTTCGTGTACAGCATCCGATCCTCACTATTTTGGATCCGATTGCTCAAACCCAAATGGTCAACTCGCTGCTCGACATTTACCAACATGAGGGCTGGCTACCGGACTGCCACATGTAAGATTCTGTGCATGGTAGTTTGCTTGGTCGAAAGACCCCCTCTACTGAACGCTTTCTCTCCAGGTCGCTAAGTAAAGGCTGGACACAAGGAGGCTCGAACGCCGATGTCGTTCTTGTCGATGCCTACGTCAAGAATCTCACGGGTATCGACTGGGAGCTCGCACTTCAAGCCATCGTCCAGGACGCCGAGGTCGAGCCGTTGGAGTGGGCGTACCATGGTCGCGGCGGCCTAAACAGCTGGAGGGATCTCTCGTATATACCGTACCTCGACTTCGACCCAGTAGGATTTGGCACAAACTCTCGCAGTATTTCTAGGACCCTTGAGTATGCCTACGACGATTACTGCTTGGCTACGTTGGCGCAGGGGCTGAGACGCGATGACCTATACGAGAAGTATGTCCTAAGAGGCTCTAACTGGCAGAACATATGGAAGCCTCAACAGGACTCGATCATTAGGGGAAAAGACTCCGGGTTCACCGGTTTCTTTCAGCCAAAATTCCAGAATGGGACCTGGGGTTTCCAAGACCCCATCGCTTGTTCGGCCCTGGCGGGCTTCTGTTCACTAACGAGTAACCCTAGTGAGACGTTTGAGGCTAGGTCAGTGTCGGAAATCCTTTATACTCTCCCGCAAGGCCTATTTAATGTGCGCTACTTAATACGTTGATTGACTGACATGTTGAGTTGTAAACGCTTTCCTCGTCACAGCATTTGGCAATACCAGTTGTAAGTAGGATATCCATTGAATAGGTAACGTCGTGCAACGCTTACGCATTGCAGCCTCATACCCCAGTCGATGTCTATATTGATAGGGTTGATGGGTGGTGAAGAGCGGTTTATTGAACGCCTCAACTTCTTCCACACTTCTGGCCTCGCCGACATCTCCAACGAGCCCGTCTTTTCTACGGTATACCTCTATCACTATGCTGGTCGGCCCGGCTTATCCACACAGCGACTACATACGTACATTCCCTCGGCGTTCAATACTTCACACGGTGGCTTGCCGGGTAACGACGATTCGGGATCGATGGGTGCATTCGTGGCGTTCGGTATGATGGGTCTTTTCCCTATAGCCGGACAGGACGTGTATCTTCTCTCGGCACCGTTTTTTGAAGAGATGAATGTGACCAGCCCATCGACCGGGAAGACGGCTCGGATTAGAGCGGTTGGGTTCGATGCCGACTACGAGAGCATCTATATCCAAAGCGTGACAGTCAACGGGGAGCCATGGACCAAGTCTTGGATCAGCCATAGTCTGTTCAACGAAGGATGGACGGTAGAATTAGTACTTGGGAGTGAAGAATCCAACTGGGGCACTAAGCTAGAAGATCGCCCACCAAGCTGGGGAGAGGCTATGATATAAATAGTGCATTCTCGCCGGATGCACAAATAATACTAGTGGTTTCCGGACAAGGCTAATTGAGACAGGCGATACTCAAGTCCGCAAGGAAATAGCGAAAGGCCAAACTGTGCATAGGTACCAAGAACAATTATCCTACCTGTAATAGCATTTGAAACCTTGCTCATAACTCGACTCTATACCATGATTTTATAACTATTAAGCTGTCGCGTAAAACGTAGACGCCTACATTCACGCTTTGCGGTATGTAGGCTTATATAGGCTGGTTTAATTACTACGTGACATAAGCCTAATAGCTATTTATAGTATATGGTAGACGCCCAGCTTGTTGTACGGTATATGTTCAATAAGAACAGTAGTGGTGGGACATATGTAGCTAGTCCAGTCTCAAATGCCCAGTTTATAAGACAGTGGATATTAAGGTAGAGTATATAGCATAATAAGTAAGAGTTTCTACTCAACTAAAAGGTCATTCAGTATCACACCGTAGTAATAAAGGGTTTTAGAACGTTACAACTTACTTCCAGCGCTGTTTACTAAGTAGAATGCTGCTCTCGAAGCAAACGGCAGGAGAGCAGAGTGAAGTGCAAACGCGACCAGCAAACTGTATATGAGGGTTACGAAGAATATTGTTTGTGCTAAGATTGTTTTGTTGTCGTCATGCAGGGACGGGTAGCTTCCAGCAGCAACGTTGGATGTAGGTAATAGGTCTCTATAACAAGACATAGAAACTGCGTATCAACTACACTGAACATGGTGTTGCTATTCGACTTTAGCTACGAACGCAGTACTCGAATTATTACACATTGATGCATCAGTAGTCCACATATACCTATATATATGTGTGTCTATGTCCTTCCACACATACTTACACCCCTATATCCTACGCGTGGCTGTGGTTCTTCGGAGGCCTGCTAACCTTGATACAATCGAAAGAGACAACTTTATTTCATCAGCTGTGAGCCGGTCCACTACCCTCCTCTTCTCCTCATCATTGTTCCTCTTCTACACCAGTCTCCGACATATTTGTACGGACCTCTGTGTGAAGATATCCAGGTACCAGCATACAAGATGGAATTACTCGCCTAAAGCCCCTCTGTATTCTCTCGCCCTCATAACCTCTCGTGCTAGACATTTGGTACCAAAGTACCCAGGTACATACCTTAAGTACCGACACCAGATAGGTATAATACCAGACGCAATTGCGGCAAGAGCGACCACAACTCCCTAGGGCAGCAGTCTCCTTCCTCCTGTTCCCTTGGCCGCACTGGGAGGCAGTCGTGAGTGTACCCACCCAAGCTACTTCCTAATATTATTATCCATTCTTCATGTCGAATTTCGGGAAGGCGCATAAGGTAAGCTATGCCCATAACCTCCTTCCTCACCTCCAGTTTACATTCCTTTCTCACCTTGCCTCGTCTCCCATCCCTTCTCTCTCTCTCTCTCTTCATCGACAACATACCTCGTCCTCCATTGGTAAAAACTCACTCTGATCCCACTCGCCTGCGTAAATTACACGGATCCATCTCTCCATTCGCCTGCCTAGCCTCTCCCTCCTCAACCTCTTCTTACACCCGGATCAATTCTTCAGCATCGCCACCGCCACCCATGCCACCCACAGTGCTGGCCAGTACGCTTGTCTAGTTATCTCCAACTCGCTCCATACCTCTATCCCCCCAGTCTCCCGGTTCATGAACGGCCTCGTGTCTCCAGCGTGGGCGGCTTTGTATCCGACAATTGGCCGTCTAGAGCTGGTCCGCATCGAGTATGACGGGCACTGGCTTGGAGAACGGCGGGGCCCAGGCTCTTCAAATGCCACCTCAAAACGAGCTAGATATCATTAAACACCACGTCCATTTCGAACCGTCAAAACTCGGTTATCCTCAAGAATGGCGGAACTATCCCGAGCTCCCCACTAGCCAAGATCTCAACCCCGACTGGGACGACCTCAACGAAAGACAGAAGATGAACCATCTCCTTCCAAATACTTGGATGGAGCCCTGGGAGAGCAAAGATACCTACCTAGAGACTCACTATCGCCTCCAGAGGGAGGAGGCAATCACCATGCTGCGATACGGTATCAAGAAGTTCAAGGAGAGTCCTAACATGATGGATGATGACGAGGCATGCATCTACACGAAGGTAAGCCTCGTCCCCGGCCCGTTCCTTTCTTGTCTCGAGCTGTCGCGTGTAAGGCTGCTGACCGTCCCCGAGGTTTTCGTCAAGGGCTATCTAATGACCCGACTAGGTCCAATGTGCCGAGTTCAGTTTTCGACTGGGAGATCTGGAAAGAAGATCCGCTGGATACAAACTCGCCGCCTTACTGTCGGCACTCTGGTCGCGCTCTCCACCGCTCAAGATTGCTTCCAGACCATCTGCATGCCAGCAATAATCTCGGATCATCGTGTTGAAGGCGGCCTCGACCAAAACCCCCCAGTGATACACTTGCAGTGGACGAATCTAGACGATGCTGTTATGGATCCAAATCAGGAACTCGTCATGGTAGAAGATCGTTTTGGCTATTTTGAGGCCGTCCGTCATAGCATGGTCGGCCTCCAGCATGTTGCTGAGACCCATACACCCCTCGACAAGTACCTAGTCCAGGCACACAAGGTCGACCTCCCAGCAAAATATGTCGAAGAAAATCCCACAATGAACGTAAGTTCTTTGGTTGACCATTCTTCCTCTACCGACGAGAGAGTGCCACGGGAGGAATTGGCCGAAGTTATCGAATCTTTGAAGCGATACTCGGTTCTCGATGGCTTCGACAACGAGCTCTCTAAATACACCAGCCTAGACAAATCTCAGCTTGACGCTGTGTACCGTATTCTCACCAGGGAGCTAGCCATCGTCCAGGGTCCCCCAGGGACGGGCAAGACATTTACCTCCGTGCAAGCTCTACAAATCCTCCTGGAAAGCCAAGATAGAGGCAGCAACGTCGTTGTGGTTGCAGCGCAGACAAACCATGCCGTCGACCAGATTTTAATTCAACTGATCAAGCTGGGATTCCATGTTGTGCGACTGGGCGGCCGAACGCAGAACGAAGACATTAAACGTTATAGCATGTACAACCTCCGTCATCGTGCACACTCGCGGGTATCGCGTCGAGTAGACAAAGACTACAGAATATTCGATTCCGCACGCCAGAGGAACATCGAGAATATAGAGAAAGTCATCACAGATGTCTTCCCAGAACACCTCATTAATCCCGAGAACCTATACACAGCGGGTATCATATCGGAAAGCCAACTGCAGTCCTTACAAACGGATGGAACGTGGATTTCTGCGACGGCGTTACCAGACGGTCCCGAGGGTCCGCTGGCGGAATGGTTAGGCGTGCAACTCATGGAAGTCAAAGTTCGAGACGAGAAAGACCCCGACTTCGAAGCTGTCGAGAGCGATGATAACCTGGATGCAGATGAGCAAGACTACGACATGGAGCTCGACGACTGTATTATAGCCGAAGACGAAAACTCGGGTCGCGTAGAGGGCAAATTCTTGCCAATCCGACACGCCTGGACCGGCGCAAACCCGCGAAACTACTCTGAAACAGACCTTCAAGTTCGTCGAGAGCTGCAAAAGCCAAATTTATGGGATGTTGATACCAAGTATCGTGGCGCCATATACCAATACTGGCAAAAGAAACTTCTATCGCTCCACGACCAGAGCTTTCGTCGTCTCCTCGAGGATAATGCCGGAATTGCTAAGAATCTCAAGGCCAACCGCTGGTACAGGGATACTCAATGCATCAGGTCGGCACAGGTTGAGATTATCGGATGCACCACTACGGGACTATGCAAGTACCGTGGTCTGCTTGCCGCCCTACGACCTCGTACCATGTTGATCGAGGAGGCGGCTGAGACAAAAGAGGCGAATATCCTCTCCGCGCTCTATGGTTCGCTTCAACAGCTTATACTCGTGGGTGACCATCAGCAGCTAGTTCCACAGTGCAGTACGCCCGGTCTCGCAGATGCGCCCTACTACATGCGCGTGTCCATGTTCGAACGACTCGTCAAGTTAAATATGCCCTTCACTATGTTGAACATGCAGCGGCGTATGGCCCCTTTGCTACGTGAAATTCTTAACCCATTTTACCCATCTCTACAAGACCACCCCGTGGTGAGGCAGAAAGACGCCCGGCCCCCAGTTCCCGGCATGAGCGTCGATTCCTTCTTTTTCCATCATACCTGGGCGGAAGGCATGGACGAGAATTGGAGCAGATACAACGTTCTGGAGGCAGAGATGGTTGTGCGATTTATAGATTATCTCATGATGAACGGCGTCCCGGCGTCTCAGATTACCGTCCTGACGTTCTACCGAGGCCAGAAGAAGAAGATCCTTGCGCAGTTCAAGCACAAGTTGAAGCACTGGGCACCGTTCACCAACGTCTACACGGTTGATTCTTACCAGGGAGAGGAAAATGACATCGTGGTCCTGTCACTGGTGAGAAGTCATGGCCCTAACGGACCTCACCAAGCTGGTTTCCTCCAAGACGAGAACCGGGGGGTTGTCTCCATCAGCCGCGCACGCCGTGGCTTTTACATCTTTGGAAATATGATTAACCTAGCGCATGCCAGTAATAAGTCGCGCAGTATGTGGGGGCGAGTACAGGAGGTGTTTCGACGGCACGGTCATTTCGGGGGGGATACACGCCTGCCGGTAACGTGTCAGACCCACGGCAAGACGACTTGGATGTCGCACCCAGAAGATTGGGTCAATTGTCACGGTGGTTGCGACCAGGCATGCTCTGGTACTCTGACATGTGGTCACAGATGCGGACGTCGATGCCATTGGTAAGCCCCTCGTTCCGAGCTATGCCGTTTTCCACGACGACGTCTGGGAACCAAACCGGTATACCTATCTGTTAGGTATAGGTAGGTACATGACGCTGACCGAATTTTGCTAGGATCCCTCACGAGAAGCTCATCTGCCAGGAACCATGCGAGAGACGTCTTTCGTGCAGCCACCAATGCCAGCGGATCTGCGGGGATAATTGCTTTTGTAATTGTGCTGGGTTTGCCAGTGTATGCCGTAGCAGCGAACTGGCGAGCGTAGGGATCGCGTTCAGTCAAGGGGGGGTCGAGCTAAGGAACGGCCCATCGCGACTCGCGCCATTCGTAAGCCAGTCACAACCTCGTATGGGCATGAAAGCAGGCGGTGAGAATGGTCGGCAGAGAGCCGTCCAGGGTGGCCAGAGGGGCCAACGTACTAATGGTGATAGGCGTGGACTTGGGTGCAGTGGCAGCGGCGCTGGCCGTCGACAACCTGGCCAGAGTGTCGACAATGATCAAAACCACCGCTGGGGTAATTTTGATATAAAAAATGACGATGAGCGCGAACGAAAAGAGGTCCAGACGCGAGAGAAAGAGCGGGCTCAATGCTCGGGCGAACCGAATCCGGTGACGATTCGAGACACATTTCTGCCGGTTACCCTGAATCATCGTGGTGAGCGACAAGTTGGGGACCGGGTCATCCTTGAGAGGGGCAGTACACCATCGTCAGAAGAGAGTCACGACCTTCTAGACTTTAACGATACGGTGGAAACCACAACCTTGACCTTGCGTTCGATCGACTTGATTGGCGATCGAGCTGACAGAGATATTCTCGTCGACGAAGCTATCGGTACTAGCGATGATGATGCGGCCGGTCCTCCGGTCGGGCCCAGTGGAAGCCATGATGTCCAAGACAGGCGCTCCCCGCGAGCTTACGGCGCGGTTCCATTGGTCTCGCAACCGTTCCCACGGCCTGTCGAGCAGTCTCCGTCTCATACTTTGACACCAGACGATGCCTTTATGGTATGTCAAGTGGATAGGCCGGAATGGGAATTAGGATGTGCTACCGACATGACCTCGATCATAGAAGGATACGCGGGCGACGAGGAGAAGAAAGAGGAAGAGGAGGATGGGGAGGGCGAGCAAAGGGCGCCGTACGACGATAATGAGAGGGGCGGTAGAAACGACCTCATCAACTTCTAGGGCGGAGCTCTGGCTTGGGAAGTGCCATAGAAAAAGGCTGGCCGATCACCAAACCTTTAGGAGCCTACCTACCATAAGCGGCTATGTGGGGTTGGGCATCTCGAAAACAAGTCGCTTGGAACTGAAGTGATTTAATTGCACAATTTTGCTCGACGAGAACATGCAAGCCCTCGGCGCTTGCGACTTTGATGAGTTCTCGTCCGGATGTACATATGCCACGAGGGGCACGAGCACACGTGGAAGTCATCTAGCATGTAAATAGCTGCTAAACCGTGCGCCCGAAGGATTAATACATTGCACACTAACACGTGCCTTCACTTCATGACTAACTCCAGTATTCCGCTAGCCGTCGGACTCGACCGCGATGGGAGGACACGATGTCGTGTCAGGGAAGTTCAGCGGGTCTTCTACCGAGCTATGGCCACGCGATATCGAATTAACGAGCGTTCTGGGCGTAAGTACGTGCCGCCTGTCCAGGGAGAGGCAAGGTGCTCGCTACCTGCAAGGCTAACGGCGCCCGGGGGGGAGGGTATGGCTTGAGGGGAACGCGGCGCTCAAGCACCTGTCGCCGCGGTCTCGTTGACGGTACTCTCGGAGGCGCACATCGAATTGGACAGGAGGATCGATAGGCTTGAAGACGGGAACTTGGCACCGGGCGGGGGGTGGGACGACGACGGATTGCAGTATCAGCGCGGACAATTTTCCCTCCTGACTCTCGGCGTTTTGTTCCTGCGACACTCGGAGATCCAAACTCGGGCCGGCGACTCCCGCTGACCAGTTCTTTTCATTTGTCTTTTCAGGGGTTTCGCTAGTTGAACCCCACGACGGTGTCCCGCGCTCGCAGACGGAGCCGAAAACGACGAGGGACGGGTACGTGATAAGGTTGGATTAAATAGGCATCCCTTAGTAGTTCGAAACTGCGCTACTAGTAGCAACTGAGTGAATAAGTAGCCTTGTATATATACACATGGGACCGTGTACCCAGAGAAGGGGGGGGGCGAGAATCGAGAAAGACGCGTGTAAATTACATTGCCAAAACTCCGAGGATATCCAGTAACCCGTAAATGCGACGACGCTGATAGACGAATTTCCGTACTCACGCCACCTCAGTTAAGTAGTTCTAGCGAGGCAGGTTTGTCTAGCTAGATATTATCGGGGCCTTGGTTCTCCATTAGTAGATAAGGAGGCGGATGGGGTGCGGATTGGTAAACAGATCGTGTAGTTCGACTTGCCGAGTAGCACACAGAGAGGGCCGAAATGCAAGACTCCTACTATACTACCTCTACCACCCGTTAAAACGACGCCACAACAGGTAATTGGCCCGGGGACCTAGCGCCGTAAGTTAGCGTTGTGCGGACGGATGGGAGGGTGTGTAGGCAGTGTTAGCAGCGGGAGGCTCTCTCACCCCGATGACAGCTGATGCCGAGCTCGTGGGCGACGTTGACGTAGCCCTCGCTGCCGACGACGCCGCTATCCTTGATGTCTCTGAGCACGTTTCCGTCGGCACCTTGTGCCCACGGAGCGCGGCACATGGGGCAGGTGACCTGGCCGCCGCCGCTCGCGCGCGCCGTCACGGCCCACATCTGGAAGCACGCCTGGTGCATGTTCTGGCCGCAAGAAGCGCGGCAATACACGCTGTCCTCGGCGCCGTCGAGCGGCGTGTAGCAGATCGGGCAGTCGCCCTCGAGGACCTTGCGGGCCCCGGGTGCCTCGTCGGCACCCGAGCGATCCCGGTCGCTGCTAGCGTCCGCGGGGGGAGGAGCGCCGGCGAAGATCTCCCGCAGCTCCGCGGCGACGAGCGCGAGCTGGTAGACGAGGTCGAAGGGGGCGCGGAGGACCTTGGCCATGACCTTGAGTTGCACGGGATTAGCACGGCCCGAGGCGGGTTGTGGTGAAGCGACGGGAGCTGACGTATACGATGTGCTTGCAGTGGTTGCCCCTCGCGGCGTCGGGGCAGGTGCAGGCAGGCTCCCGCGCGATGCGGACGGTGTAGATGTTGCCGGTGGAGCCGGTGAGCTCGACCGATTCCTCGGGGCACTCGGCCGTGCCGCAGCGCGTCCGCCCCAGGACGTAAAACCTGAGCGCGGTGCGATCAGCAGGGTTGGCTTGGAGGAGAGAGATGGCTCGGCGACGCCAGCGCTGCAAGCACCACGGCTGGCTGGCATGGAGGATCGGGGGAGAGTCTACCGCTGAGAGGTGGCGCGCTGGTAGACGACGTCAAAGTGGTAGGGCGGATAGGGGAGGAATCTGAGCGGTGCCCCGACATCAGTAAGTATTTCCTCGATGGCTACCGACGGGCGAGAATGCACCGGACCTTTTTAGCCGTCGCTCGACGGTGGCGACGGTCTTCTGCTTCTTGGGCTCGGAGGGCTTCGCCTCGTCATCGTACTCGTAATAATCGTCGTCATACTCGTAATAATCGTCGTCGTACTCGTAATAATCGTCGTCGCTATCGGACTCCCAGAGCGGAGTGGTGGCTTTACGTTTCCGCGACACGGATCGAGTCGTGTGAGGACTAGCGGCAGAGGGGCCGGCGGATGCCGAGCTGCTCCGTTCCGGCGTTCGCTGCGGCCTCATGATTCACCTGCGCCCCGGATCTCGCTACGTAGGTACAGAGGGCTTGATCGTTGGGCTCGACGAGAGCGGTAGGAATGCAGAGATCGCATCGGCAACTCGGGCTGGGGACAAGAGAGAGAGAAAGAGAGAGAGAGTGGGTTATTAGCCCCTGATTGAAATAAGCAGAGGCGCACAGGAAGTTAGAGAGGTGCCTGGGTAGGTGGTCAGTGGGATGCTGGGATGTCTCGCTTGAAGTAGGTAATCTCAATTGCACCAGGGTACCATCGGTATGGATGTACCCACCATGTAGATTGGATGTATCTCGCCGCGGCGGTAGTAGTAGCTCGATGTTGTTCCAAGTTCCTCGCCAACCTGACGCCTAGTCACGTGGCTGGGACGTCTGCCCAGGGGAAGAGTACGGAGTCGCATAGCTACAACTGGGAAAAAACTCCACTTTTCGGTACGTACACCCTAGGGGTGTGGTAGGTAGGAAGGTGGAGGTTGAATATTTAATTACACGTAGGGAAGGAGCTACCCTCTGATTAGGTCGGCTAATAGGTAAGCTAGACTACCCCTTCGCGAGCTAGGTATTTTATATAGGTTTATATATAAACGATTTATCCCCGTAAAAAACCAGGAAAAAATCGGAAAAATCGAAAATTTACTTACGTAATTAATTAGTTTAATTAAAGTAATATATAAATTTTTCGAATTTTTTACTTATTAATATAAGAAGTTATATACGATTTAAGGTTTTTTTAAAATTATATTAATAATTTCCTCTATAATTTATTAATAACCCTATTAACTATACTTATATCGATATATTTACCTATTTCTTTTACGGTAATAAAGTAGGTCTATTACTTAATACTTTATTTTATAAATAGAAAAATAATTAATATTAAGTAATCTTATTTTTATTTTTTATTTCCGTTTTTATTTAATTTATTATTTTAAGAAAACTACGTTTTTAAATAGGTTAAAACTTTCTAAAATCGTACCTATTTTTATAATAAAAATTTTACCTTTTTAACTATCCTATTTTTCTATATAAAGAGGTTCTAAAAAAGAATACTAAAAATTAATATTTTTAAGACTTAATTAATTTAATAAAAATTAGAAAAATAAAAAGAAAAATGTTTACGTAATCTTAATTATTATTTTATCTATAATATAAATGATTAAGTAATAAACCTACTTTATTATCGTAAGAGAAATAAGTTAAGAGTCTGATATAAAGTATAGTTAATAGATTTATTAATAAATTATATAATAAATTATTAATATAATTTTAAAAAACCTTAAATCGTAAATAATTTCTTATATTACTAATAGAAAAATCTAAAAAATTTATATGTTAATTTAATTAAGCTAATTAATTACGTAAGTAAATTGTCGATTTTTCTAATTTTTTTTCGGTTTTTTACGGGAATAAATCGTTTATATATAAACCTCTATAAAATACCCGGCTCGCGAAGGGGTAGCTCGGTAGCCTATAACTCCATTCGTACATATACAAGCTACTACAAATATAATATCAAGCTATCGGGGACTTGCATCAAACATACATACCTCCTCCTATTGGGGGCGTATGTGTAGACGATAAAACTGGGGCGTTCGACCGAAAAGTGGAGTTTTTTCCCAGTTGTAGCTATGCGACTCCGTAGAAGAGAGGAAACCCCCATTACTAGGTAGCCTCTTCTCTCTTACTGCATACCAGCGCGGGGCACCAAAGGGATTGAAACGAAAGGAATGGCGAGGTTGAAGGCTTCGTCGGACTCGAAGGGGGTGCAGCCTAAAGTGGAAGCGTGCGGAATACACGAATACACGAAGAATCCAGTGCCTCTCTTTGTGTTACAAAGAACTGGGTGCTTGTCTCACGGGCGGCAACTAAGAGGGCCTACAAGGGCATTGTCAACACCTCTTTTTCTCCCTACAATGCGCTTCGAAAGGGGGATTGTGTTGTTTCGCGAGCAGTGTCCCATTCGGATACGAGTACGGGACCGGTTTGCATAAGTATGGATACATATCTGCATGTCTCTGCCTGGTGCGTATACCGACTTCTACACTCGCCCGCGGAACCAAGATTGCCAGGTAGGTATAATCGGACTCTTTTGCGTGCCCTCGATCTACAGTAGGCTCTGGTAAGTCTCGACTGCGAAAGAACTAGCGTACTGCGGTCGCCTGAAAATGCCTATCCGCGGCTCATCTCGCCTATACCGAAAGATCTGGATGGCGCAGGGGGGTCAGCCTTCGCTCTCGGTTCCGGAGCATTGTGCCCCTCTTGCCTCGCCCGTAAAGGGTACTCATCGTGCTGCGGTCGGCTTTCAGGCTCCGACCACGTCTACCCCAGCTCGCACAACATTAGTCGAACGGTGTTGCGGTGGTGACGGGGATGATGCTGAGTCTAGCTACGACGACGACGACGGCACCACAGGAGCTGGGCGGCCCCCTGAGCCTGAGCCCTCGGCCTCCCAGAACGGGATGTGCAGCCCAGGGGCGTACGCCGAGTTCGCCACAAACCCGTATTCGTGCATCGACACGGTAGCCGGCAGCGAGAACGCGGGCTCTCCCCTCAACTCGTCAGGGAATCGGGAAGACCCTGGCGCGAGGGCCGCGAGCGGAGTCGCGCATAATAGACCTGTGTATCACCACTCAACCGCGCTACCGTGCGGACAGAGTGTGGACGAAACGTTGGCGCTGATGTCGAGCCATTTGAGCCAGGCACACCGCCGAATGCGGGCCGAAGACTCGGCCGCGCTCCTGTTTCTCCGTCAGCTCTGCCCTTGACATACTTATCCGCGGACTTGAATCAGTATACAGCGACCGTCTAAAAGGTGGGTGGTTACTGGCGTACCTAGAGGTAGAGTAGCATAGGTACCTTTCCCGATAGACGATACTAGATCGGCAGGACCGTGATCTGGTTCTCACACACCCGAGAGCATACCCCTCTTCGTGTGATTTTCGATTAGCAGCAGACTATGCCGTGTTACCGGACTCTCTAGCCGTTGAGTATTAAGCTGGGGCGTGTCTAGACTTGCCGTCACACGACGGCCACGGACCGCCGAAGTAGGCATAATAAAGCGCAACTCTGTCTGGGTTGGCTCGACACCCGAAAATTTTTTGGTTGTTGTTGTGAGAATGCTATATTTATTCTAGTAGCCATAGACTTTTTAACTCGACTCTCTATGTCACACGGGGAAGGAACCCCGTACTAATAATCAGGTCATACGGGTTAGGAGGATAATATCGGGTAGTAAGGCCGTTACTTCGGCGACCTACTAAGGAAAGTCCTAGATAAGTTACGGATAGCTTCGGTATTAGGATACCTAGGTACTAAAGTACGAAGGTACCTCTGGAATATATTAAGACGAAATAAGGACCGGGAAACCTAAGAAAGGAATAAGGACCTAAGAGACCCCCTATAGAATTATTAGTTAAATTAAACCTATTTTAAGTATATCCCCTTGTTATAGATAATTCTATACTTACTTTTAAAACCTTACTATAATAATTAGTACTTTTATCCTTATAACCTTATTATAAGCTAGTAATAGGAAAAGCCTACGCCTAAATTTACGTCGTACGCCGTAGCCGCCGCCCCGGTATTATTACTACTAGACTAACCCCGACCTTTTATTAAAGGTCCGGAGCCGTAGGCGTTCCTACTTTCGCGACCGGCTACCTTAAGGCTAGCGTCGATCTTTATAGCGGAAGTAGCCTAGATAATAACTACGATTAATAAATTAAAGGCCGCGATAACCGAGTTAAAGGTAAAGAACGTTAAACGATAGCGAACTTTTCCGGCGCCCTAATTAAAAGCGACCCCCGAATTAACCGATAAATCCCTCGTAATATATTAACCTTAAGAATACGAAGTAGTTATAGCTAATGCTCCGGAAATCGTAAACTTAGGAGTAGTTATACGAAACCTTCCGTAGTAAATCGTAGGTTTATACGAGTAAATAAGATAAGTATATTAAAGCCTAGTAATACTAACTAATTAAGTCGACGTAGGATATCGATAAAACGCGATCTTAAAGAAGTAATACGAATAATTACGATAGCTTTATTAAACCGCTACGGCTATATAAGCTACCGGAATAAGGACTACGAAAATATAGATCCATAAGTTCTAGAAGTAGGTCGTAAAATAAAGTACTTATTTTACTTAGAACGTATAGGAAATAATAACTAAGTTCGTTTAATAAAATAAAGTACGAACCGCTACCGTAAATTAACTCCGAAACGCCGCCCTTTAGAATTAACGAGCCTTAATTTAATTACGCGAAAAATATAATAAATTAATAACGGACGTTAACTCCTAGGCTACGTAAAAGGATAAATAGATTAACGAAATCCTTAGTAAGGAGTACCTTATTCCCGGGGCTATAAAAAAGAAAACCTAATTAATTAAAAACGACCTTAAGGCTTACGCGGTTAATTTAATTAAGGAATATTAATAACGACGACTAAGTAATAAGCTAATAGATATTAAATTTATTATCGCCGGAGCTAGCTAAAAGACTAGGATATCTACTCCCGTATTAGCTACTCGCCTTACGACGGCGTTAATAAGAAGATATATTAATAGCAAGGCTAAAATAAAGGAGATTATTTCTAACGGCGTATTATAGGATACCGCGATTAAACGTACCGCTATACGCGCGCGGGCCCGCTTCTAGGACGCCGCTATAAGAGCCTTTATATTAAGAAGAGCCGGGTTAAGACTATCGTAACCGCTAAAAACCCCGCGAAATACCTTAAGAAACTTAAAGGATTCCGATAACTCGGACGGCTTAAAATCCGGGGACTTATAAAGGCCGCGACGTTTACCGGGCGCCCCTAAAGAACCTTAAAAGCCCCTCGACCTAGCCGAAGAACGTATAATTCGGGCTTAAACTAAAGCTATAAATAATTAACGAAGTATTACGGTAACGATTAATTTAATATATCTTATTAAGCCTACGGCTTACGACGGTAAAGACTTAGCTAAGTTCCGACTATAGTAAATTAAGGTTAAGTCCTACCTTAAAACCTACGAGGAAAGTTTTACCCGGAACGTTTAGAAGATTAACTAAGTAAGATCGATACTTACCGAAAAGGCCTAGCTCTAGTATTAATAACGATTAGCTTAGGTAAAGAGGTTAATAATCGTCGATACTTAGGTAGGATATTCCTAAGCCTTTTAAAAACGATTTAAAAACCCCGCCGAACGATATCGTAACTTTAAAAAAATATAGGAACTTAAGTATTAAGGAAACGTCTCTTAATACCTTACCGAGCTTATAGATTTTAATAACGTCGTTTAATAATCGGAAACTACCTTCTAGAATTATATCGCCCGTACCTTACCCGATAAAATAATTAAGCTAGTTTATTTACGACTAGGTAGTATCCCCGAAAGCGACGAAGCCTTCCTTAAAGTAATTAAGGAAGCCGGCTAAATCTATAAAAACATAATAACTAACCTAAGGATTTCGGGAAAAGGAGGGTCCGCTTCGTAGAAGAAGTATACGAAAGCGGATTAGTAATAGAAGTAACCCGTAAAAAAGACTCGCTCCCGTTTAAGTTAACCGGTAAATAAACGTAAAAGTAAGGATAATAAGAAACCCGTACCGGCTAAGGACTTACGATAGATAAGTAATAAAAAGGCTTTAGCTAGAATTAACTAAGCCGTAATCGATTAACGAAAGAAGGATAAGAAAGCCTACTAGCGGTACGGAAGGAATAATTACTAAACCTTAGCTTACTTCGCGAAAAAGGACTTAGAAAGACGGAACTTACTTATACTACCTAAAAAGGTCTTATCGGGAAAAAGAGGAAAAAAGGAATTAGAATTACTACCTAATAAAAGGACTAGAATCGATACTATTATACGATAAGAAGAAATTCTTTCCCGTATTATAGAACTATCCGATTCCGATAAAGAACGGGATTTTTAAATGCTCCCCCGTAAGCGTTAACGGAAGAAAGGGGCGATAAAGATAACGTAAAGATTATAATTACGAAACGGCCCGGAACGTTAAAAGTAACGGAAGTAGTATTAATAACGAAGAAATTACGAGTTCCCTAGCGTAACCTAAGTAAACTAAGGTCGGATAAACGGCCTATTCATATAATATAAATAAAATATTAAGGAAAGGAATACCTCCTACGAATCCTTTTAGATACCGGTAGCGAGGTACCTTTAATTAACGCCGCTAAAGTCGAGTAATTACGCCTTCTTATTAACTAACGCTTAAGGCTAAGAACCTTAATAGGATTCGACGGCTTAGAAATTTCGTTAGGAGGATTTTAATATATAAACGAAATAAAGCTCCGTAGTAAACAGGAGCAGCGTAGGCACGCTGACGGAGGCACGAAAAGGGCTACCTAACTGCCAATAACTGGCCTAGTGCCGATCAGACCTAGATTATAGCTATAAATAGCTATAATCGGTTAATCGGCTAATGAGGAGGAGCAGAGCGTACGCGATGCTAGAGACCCGGATATGTTCACTCGAAAGTGCACTCTATCGAAGATTATAATACGTATAATGGTCTAAAATAAATGAAACTAGTATCGCTATATTAATCGAAAGGTAAGGAATCTAATGTAGTTATCGTATCTTAGTTATATCCCTTAGTCGTAGAGATATAATAGTCGCTAGCCCGAAGGCATAAAAGGTAAGGGAAGAAAAGGGGTAAAACGTAAAAGTTACTTATTCGGCTATAGCGGTACGACGAAGTAACTTAAGCGCCTATAATTAAAATAGATATATTAATCGGAGAACGACGAATCTAATAATAAAAACGAATCTTTAATTAAGGTAAAAATAATAAAGATAATAATCTAACTAGGTAATAAACTAAATGATAAGTATAGTATATCCCGTACTTACGGGAGCTATGGTTACTTTATATAGGTATAAGGCCTATCGTAACGTATTACGTAATATATTAAAAGGGTATGTCTTACCGTATTACTATAGCCTCCTTAGTTTAATTATACCGTAAGGGATAATTAAACTAAAAAGGATAGTACGGTATATCCCGATTAATATCTCCCCTTAAAAATTACCGCGAAACTCTATTCCTCCGGCTATTATTTAATTACTACGGCCGCGCCTTTAACTTCTCGTCTAATATTATAAGGAAGCCCTTCTATTATTTCATAGCTAACTTAACCCGGTTTACCCTTACCGATCTAACCCGATCGGCGTTCTCTTTCTTTATTTCGGCTACCTTTTTCTTAGTCTCGTCTTAGTTCTCCTAATTAAAGGGATAGTAAGGGAACGGGCGCGTTTTAAAGGTTAATTAGGTATCTTTCCTTTACCTATACGGTATAAAGGTCTCCCCTAACTAAAAAGCCCTAATCCTTTCTAGTCCGGGGGAAGGAAGGAAACGCGTTATAACCTTAACGAGGTTATTATAACGGAGGTTTACGTCCGCTAATACGAGGAAATAAAAGAGGTTAGGTACTAAGGCTATAAAGGAACGGCGGACTTCGGCTTACGCGATAAACCGAACGAAAGATTTACGGCTAAGGAGCTCGCCGATCGGCGTATTTTACGCCGAGGCTATGGCGTTAATAAGGTCGATTCGCTTCTAGTAATTTACGGCTTACCGGAAACGCTTAACGATATTAACCCCTTCCTTTAAAACCCGAACGCTATAAAATTACTTTACTACCTCGGCGTATTCTCTTATAGTATTAAGGGAATCGAGTCCCTTATTTTCTTAGGCTTAACGCGCGACCTCGATCGGTCGTTTAAAGATAAGATACGGTAAAATACCGCTCTAAAAACCGTAACTAAAGCTATCTTATTAATCTATTAACGCGACGTAATAAGTAAACTAAGGAGTTATATTAGGCTCGAGATTACCGTCTTTTTATACTCGCCGTAGCTAGCCGAACGCGTACGCCGCCCGATCGAAGGCGCCGTTCCTAATTATATTAAAGCTAAATAATCTTCGGGGCTTAAGGAGGTATAATATTACGGCGAAGTAGGCTTAAAAGAACTTTAAGGGGTCGGTAATAATTCGTTCGGGGTTTATTAAATCCGTATAGATCGTAAAGATTAAAGCAAAAGTAGGATTATCGAAAAGGTATTAGCGGGTTAGGAAGTTAAACGATCCTACCGATCGGTAACCTATCGTTTAATATAGGTTTATTTCGAAGGCCGCCTTTTTATTTTCGAGGTCGTAATTAGTTATAATATAAAAAGCGCGGATATCTTCGT